ATACTTGTATGGACTGGTTCGAGTACCAACCTCATCAGACGCGATGGGCGCTGGCCCATTGCTCGAACCAGGTGAAGGAGCTATACAAGGTCAAGTTTCCCCACGATACCCCTCGTTTTAGGGATATGAAGAACTGGGCCATTGGATTGATCAACAAGCACAAGAATCTATAAGAAGCTATGTCTGAGCAATTCGACCTAGCCACTCAGAAAGAAACTGAGTCTGTCCGCGAATACGCTGCGCGCCTAATCCAGTACCAGGGCCAGATGAAAGAACAAGAACGGACAGGCGATATTCAAATCTACACCCGGCTTCGTAACTCGGTGTTACCCTCTATCAAAGAAAGGAGGGAGCAATTCGACGTCCAGAGAGAAATGGACCTCACAGAGTATATCGACCATCTCACTGCTGTCGAGAACAATATCCCTGCCCGACGACTGGCCCTGTCCAACCGAAGGAAGGACGCCAAAGGGGCTATTTCACCGGACCGGGGAAATCAGCCCCAACCACACACTTTCGGCCGTAACCCTGCCTTCCGGACCAAAGGTCGAGGACGAGGAAGGGGCAGTTACGGATTACGACAGGATCCGACACCACGACACAGCACTTCGACTGACCCAGCCAAGAAAAGAAAGGTGCAGGATGGCGCCTGTTTCAACTGCGGAGAGATAGGTCACCTCGCTAGATCCTGCACAAGGAAGAAGACGGACCTCAGAGCCTCCACCGTCGAAGTACCAAAAAATGGACAGCCCCAGTGAACCTTGCCGCAATCGCACTCGGGGCCGCCAAGACGCATTCAGATAGAGAAAAGGCATTTGTCTGCGAAGCGGTTGTTATCCTGGCCGACAGGGGCATCCCTGTAAGCGTCCTTGTGGATAGCGGCGCAGAGGCAAGTTTCGTGAACCAAAAATGGGCCAAACAACACCTCCTAGATAGCGAAGCTATACCGCGGACGGTCAGGGCCATCAACGAACAGACTGTCCGGTCATTTGGAGCGCACGAGCTACTTCTTGAAATGACCGACAGCGCAGGAACTATTCGAGAAGACCCTGTTACGTGCGAGGCAGTCGAAATCTAAGGGTACGACATAATTCTTGGATACGACTGGCTCATCTTAGCCAACCCCGACATCAATTACAAAGAACACACGTGGAATTACCGTGACAATGAACCTACGCAGCTCCTCAGGATATCCGCCGCGGTATATTATAATGAGGCTGCGCTCGGAGCATTCGTCATAGCTATCTACCCACGGCCATCGGACAAAGATGGCCCAGTGCCGTTCTTCCACACAGTAATTGACGACGGCGAAACCATCCCAGAAGCGTACAGGGACTTCGAAGATATTTTCAGCGAGGAAGGCGCGGACAAACTGCCCCAGTCCACACATTTGGATCACGCCATCGAACTAGAGGAGGGCGCCCAGCCACCGCACCAGCCAATTTACCCTCTCTCCCCGAACGAGCTAGGGGTGCTGAGAAACTATATTGATGAAATGCTAGCCAAGGAATGGATTCGGCCTTCCCAGAGTCCAGCTGGCGCACCAATTATCTTTGTCAAGAAGAAGGATAGGTCTTTGCGGTTATGCGTGGACTATCGGGGTCTCAACAACATTACCATCAAGAACCGCTACCCCCCTGCCGCTAGTGAGCGAGACAATGGACCGACTATCGGGCGCAAAAATCTTCACCCAGCTAGACCTCCGGGATGCCTACCATAGGATCCGAATCAAGGAGGGAGACGAATGGAAGACGGCGTTCCGTACGCGATACGGCCATTTCGAATACACGGTCATGCCATTTAGACTAGCGAATGCCCCTGCCACATTCCAAGCGTACATCAATAGGGCGCTTTGTGACCTCCTCGACCAATTTTGTGTCGTCTATCTAGACGACATCCTGATATTCTCTCAGAACGAGGAAGAGCATGTCGAGCATGTTCGAGAAGTCTTTCGACGGCTACGTACCTACCGGCTATACGCAAAACGTAGCAAGTGCCGCTTCCATACCGATTCGGTCACATTCCTTGGGTTTGTGATCACCCTAGAAGGGGTAAGTATGGAAAAAGAACGTGTCAAAACCATACAGGAATGGCCTATCCCTGAATGTGCGTTCGACGTCTAGCAGTTTATAGGGTACGCCGGGTTCTACCGCCATTTCATTGAACGGTTCTCAGCTATCTACATACCCATTTCGGCTACCACCCACGGCAGAACGGCTAGGAAAGCCAACCGAAAGAAAGACGGGTTCCAATGGACTCGGGAAGCGCAAGACGCGTTCGAAAGGCTAAAGAGGGCCTTTACGGAAGAGCCATTCCTCCGACACTTCGACCCCGAACTGGCCCTGCTGGTCGAGTGCGATGCGTCGGGGTTCGGACTCGGGAGTATACTAAGCCAGTTGTTTACGGATGGGGGATGGCACCCTATTGCGTATTGGTCTCGGAAGATGATCGGGCCAGAAACCCGGTACGAGACGCATGATTTAGAGCTATTAGCTATTGTAGAATCATTCAGGCAATGGAGGCACTACCTAGAGGGTAGCAAATTCCTAGTGAGAGTCCTGACTGACCACGCTAACTTACGCTACTTTATGACCACAAAGGTGTTAAGTGGGCGGCAAGCAAGATGGTCCGAATACCTTGCGGCATTCGATTTCGTTATCGAATACAGGTCCGGCAAGAAGAATCCAGCGGACATGCCCAGTCGGCGTCCGGATTACGCGCCTAAGGAAGGCGAAACTGCGGACAATTCAATGTTACCCACATTACAACGAAAGATCCGGCAGAGTTATAGGGCTGCGGACCCTAACGAGATACCATTGATTAGTAGAATCATGGTGAGCGGAATAGATAGACTTCTATTGCCGCGCCTACGTCGGGTGACGACCCACGAAGGCCCCTCACGGACTAGCCCTGTCCTCCGTGTAGGAAGACTGTCAGCCGAAGACCTCCAGAAGAGAGAACAGGCGCAGTACGGTCAAGAGGACCAGATCGACTCAAGCAGTCGAATGCCCCGTCTGCTAGCGGCAAAGGCTACAGACGGAATGGGGGCATATCCAGACTCATTGCGACCCTCACTTATTGAGTTGATCAAGTATGCGCAAGCGTTGGATCCCGTTAGCGTTGATAAACTCAGTAAGATAGAGGGACGGGCGCATAAGGATGGGCCAGTTGGACTGGCGGGCACAGCGTGGACCAAGACAAATAACGGACTTTTACGCCATAGCCACCGAGTATACGTGCCGAATGACCCAGCCCTACGGCAAGAGATCATGAAAGTGCACCATAATGATCCGCAAGGGGGGCATTATAGGGAAAAACGGACTTAGGAAGCCATCGGCCAGCGTTTCTACTGGCACGATATGAAAAGCTTCGTCCGTGCGTACGTCCAAGAATGCGTAGCCTGTCAGAGGAACTTGACTAGGCGGCATAAGCCATACGGGCTTTTGCAACCCATGCCAGTGCCATCCCGACCAGCGGAATGGGTCAGTTTGGACTTTATCACTGGCATGCCTCCCTCAAAATGGGACGGCAGGGTATATAACGCAGTTCTAGTAGTGGTTGATTTATGTACGAAATACGCATTGTATCTTCTATGTACAAAGGACATTGACACGCAAGAACTCGCCCAGTTATGGTTCTCCAAAGTGATACTAATCCTAGGCATGCCAGAAAACCTAGTCAGTGACAGGGGCAGCCTATTCACAAGCGAATTCTGGTCGTCGTTTTGCGCATTGCTAAGAACGGACCGAAGGCTATCAACTGCATTCCACCCACAGACCGATAGACAGACGGAACGGCAGAATCAGACGTTAGAATACTACCTCCGATCGTATGTTAACTAGGACCAAGACGACTAGGCCAGTTACCTCCCGCTAGCGCAGATATGCTACAACCAAGCAAAGCATAGCGCTACTGGAACATCGCCGTACGAGGCATTCCAGGGATTTAAACCTGACCTACGGATCAGTGTTGACATCTATCCAAAGGAGCACCACAGAGATGCGGTAGCAAGGGTGAAGGATATCCAAGAAAGAAGATCCTTCATGCTGAAGAAGCTGACCCAGTCCAAGGAGGACATGAAACGTCATTATGATAAAAATCACATCGATATATCATTTCACATTGGCGAATGGGTCTTGCTACGCGCAAAACACATCGTTTCGCATCGCGTCTCCACGAAATTGGATGTGAAATACATCGGACCCTTCCAAGTAGCGGACAGGATCGGAAAACAAGCATACCGCGTTCGACTACCTCCAATGTATCGACTGGTCCATCCCGTCTTCCATATGTCACTCCTCGAGAAATTCCACGGCAATCCTGAAAAGCAGGACGAAATACCTAGGCCAGTTCTAGTGGAAAACCAATTGGAATACAAGATCGAAGAGATTCGAGCCCACCGTGGCACCCCGCCAAGACAGTATCTAGTGAAGTGGGAAGGGTACCCTGACCATGAATGCACATGGGAAGACCCAGCTACTGTAGAGAATACAGTGGCGCTAGATATCTACGAACTGAAACCTACAAAGAGAAGAGGCAGAAGTTCAAGGAAAGGATAGCATACTCCACGGACTGCCGATATCAGTCTAGTCCTAATGCTATGCCTAAGGCTCAGGGACAAAGGAAACAAAAGAAAAATAGGCCTGCTACCGCTCACTTCTTCTTCCTTTGGAAGAAACGCTTCAGAGGACGACGGCGAGGGGGTTCCTCAGAACTCTCCCGAGAAGGGCCAGTGGAACTAGAAGTAGCCACCACACAAGGGCTCTCAGCACGATCCCGACGAGAAGGCTCACTTCTACCACGGTTATCGGAAGAAGGGGCAGTCGGACGGGGCCCGTTGACTAGACGTCGACCACCAGCGTCCTGTCGATCACGTACTACGGAAACCATCGAACGAGGTGAACCAGTACGACGACGAGAATCCCTGCTGCTACTAGCAACTAGGGTAGTCTCCTTGCTGCTATCCTTGGCCGCGCGGTTACTCTCTTGGGTATGCCGCTTCACAGCCTTTAGGAAATCAGCACGGGGCCCATTAACAGGGGCAACATCTGTGGCAGGAGACGTATCCGCCAGGGCGGCAAGGTAACGGTCCAGGATCTCGGTGGAAAAGGGGATGTCGCTGCACTTCTTGTTTCGATCAGTGCAGTCGTCGCAACGCGGCAGGGCCTTCCCGTTCGAATCCTCCGACCAAGTACACACTCTGCCCATTCCGGTGCAGGTGATACACTTGCGAGCGCGCTCCTTGGTATTGTACCGCGGACGCTTCATGCGCTTCGCTTCAATGGCCGGGGTCGTAGGGTTAGAGTTAACCGGGCGACTGGGGGTGTTCGGAACTCCGGAAGCTTGAACTGGGGGAGTCACACCGCGGCGCGTGCGAAAAGACATCGAGGGCGATCCACTGGCAGCGGCGTTCGTCGGAACCGGGGCCGAAGCCCAGGCCCGCTCGCGGCCACCACCAGAAGACGCCTGCCTATTCTCCTGACGCTCACGGTGAGACAAGTTTGAAAAAGCCCCAGATCGGCGAGTTCCCGGAGGAGAGGGGGTATGAGGATTCCCGGGCTGGGTCTGCTGAGCAGGGCCACGGGATTGTTGACCGCGATGTCCAGGCGAGACAACAGGAGACGAGTCACTGGACTGACGACGGGAAGCGGGCTGGGCCTGCTGAGCGGAAGCACGACGTTGCTGGGCAGCGACGCGGAAAAATTCTTCCTCGTCAGAGGAGGGAAAACGAGTATGCGGCATTTCGAACTATAGAATGCCCCAGTCAGCAAAAGACATCGAAGATCAGGGACGATCCTCCGAAGGAGGGAGATAAAATGCCCCAGCCCACAGAAATATCAGTAACAACAAACTGAGGACAAACTGATCACACAACTGATCTCAAAGCTGACACCGAGCAGAGAGAGCATGAAGATGGGAAGAGGCAGTGAAATAAAGGGGACTTACAGGCAATACAAGCGTACTGGCTGGGGAGAAAGAAGAAGAAGAACTGATTGAGAGAGAAAGGGGCCTTTTATGTTGGCAACGCAAGAAGTGTTGCCTGGCCCTGATATCAAGCAAACAGTTCAAGCAAACAGTGCATCTATCTACTCTCAGCCTTACGGGTTTCCCCGCAAAAAGGCTTGTATCAAGACCCTTTTCTCACTACGCCAATCACATGCCTCGCGCAAGAACGAAAAATGGGCCAGTCGGCATCGGATACCTTTCCCTGCATGGATTTTCCCCAGGAAAGAGCTGGAGGTTTTTGCCATGCATGGTTTTAATGGACCGAAAAAGCCACTGGACAGGCCCATTCCATTACAAGACCCCAGGGACGTGGTCTCTAAGGAGGGGGATATTGTCAGGACCCTCGACTACTTATGTTGGTACCTGAGGCACGAGTGGTGCCTCAGGAATCGTGGCAGTATAGTACTGCTCACCGCCCGGAAGCTGGGCCAGCCTGTATTTAGTTCATCCCCGCTGACCCTGGGAAGGGTCAGCGTTCAGTCTCTTCTACAATAGAACCATATTGTACTACACGTCAGCTGAGGCTTCTACTTCGCTTACCTAACTAAACCGGAGACTCTGCGTGGTCTCACAATAACCCAAGTTAGGGGCCCAAACCCGGCACCGGGCCAGAAATCCTGACCCGGGCCCAATACTGGGTTGGAAAACCCGGCCCAGAACCCAACTCAGCCCGGGTTAAGCTGGGTTCTGCGGAAGTCTAGTCTAGATCTTATAAATAGTCTCGTCAATGGATTTTACCGTCCATTGTGAGATTAGCAGTAGGTTGTCTCGTTTAGTAAACGAGCACGTCCGCCGGGCATTAGCTAGTGGAGTCAATCTAGCCGTATCTGAGTAAGATTGGCAATAACGCCACGAGTGATAATTCATGAATCTTCCTGCCCCCACATTACAATCCTAGATGTTTCAAGGGTACAAGGTGGAGCCAGGCTAGAGCCTCATACCAAATGCAGTGGAGATAGGGTGAGCGGGTTACGAGCGAGCTGTCTCTCGGTAGTGATGGCGGAGGTGACATCCGATATGGGCTCATGGAATAAGCCAAACTACTGGATAAGCGTAGCCCGTTGAGTGAGTGGACTTGAACCTCACCTGCAGCCGTTCCATTGATCTTGGAGACACCCATTCTCAGGTTAGGAGAACATATGAACAAGACATTGCAACCATGGCACCCTCCGATGCAGCTTAAATGGTGTTTTCGGACTCCGACACCCGGGTCGAGGTGTGAGTATCTTTAATATCCCATTCGTGACTGAAGTAAGGTCATTGTAATTTTCATAGTCTAAAAAATGCCGTGAGCGGACGCCTCATTCACCATCCTGAACGCTCCTTTGCCCTCGAAGTCACCCTCGACTTGGTGAAGGGGGCCCATTTCTTCTGTCACAAACCGCCCATGCACTTCCACGTTCAAGAAGAATATATCGAATCTATTCAAGGCCGTCTGGCGCTGGAAATTGACGGTCGGGAAGTGGTGCTAACGCCAGGTGATGGGCCTTACAGCATCAAGCCGTACAAGGACCATCGATCGTACCCTCTTTCACTGGATCGGCAAGAATATGACAATACATTGGTCAAGTTCCTGTTATCGGGTGAGAAGACCGACAGCGTGTTTGAACTGAGTCCGGTTTTCTTTGAAAATTGGTACCGGTATCAGGATGATGTGGTTGTCAATGGGGCTAAAATTGACCTGATCCAGCTGTTTAGCGTATGTCCTCCTTCAATTCATATCCCTTAGAGGCTTCGATTTCATGTCTGACTTATGGATACAGACATTTGACGCCTGTGGAACGTACATCTCCCTCCCGTGGTGGGTTCCTTTTGGGCAGACCGTCTCACGCACTATGGGCCTCGTCGTGGGACGATGGGTGGGCGGTTTACTGGGCTATCAGCCTTTCCATCGTAGATGGACCACAGATTGGGCTTTGGCTTGCCAAAAGATGGAAACTTCATTCTTCCAACGGCGATTTGCCGATCGCTCGAAAAAGCTGGATTGATATAGAGATTGATTGATCTAACTACCGGCTCATGAGATAGTACTCCTGAAATTACCTACATGTCTTCAATCACAAAGTGAACTATTGGCTCTTTTAAATGTTCTATCTAGTCCGAAATTGTCGTCTTGAGAATCTTCTCCACATTTGCAAAAGCTAATTCTTCCTTGGTCTCCTTCCAGAGCTGTTCCGAGATCTTCTTTCCCTCTGTGGTGTAGATGATTGGTGCCAACCTGTAAACGGTTTTAGCGATAGATTTAGTCATGACACATATAGAAGCAACTCACGGCACAATTTTCTGAAAGGAGAGGAACTCGCCATGCGTCTCCTGGCCATGTTTGACGGCTGCATCGGTAATCATTCGGGCTCCAACAGTAGCGGTGTTGGCCAGCTGGCGCATCACGAATTTCGCGATCTTTCCGGAGAAAGTCTTATCATGCTCACGATTGAACTCGGAATCGTGAACAGAGCCCGGCGACGCGGCATTGATCACCACCACAGAAGGCGGGACAATAGAGGCCAAATATACCAGGAAGAACTGTCCCAGCAGCTTGGATACCATCATCCGATCCAGGGGGTCTACGTTAGCGTTCTTTTGGTCGAGCGATTCCAGCAACGGAAAGCTTTTCTTTTCCTTGAAGGCTGTCCACGCAGAGACCTCTGATGAGACAATCGTAATCCGACTCGGACCCCCTTGCGCGGTGCGTTTTTCCTTAACCACCGGGAGCAGTAGAATTGCCAGCAGAGCTGTCGAGAGATAATTGACCTGGATCATCTCATCATGGCCTGTTTTGGAGTTAAAGACGCGTGTCGCGTTGCCGATGCCGATGTTCAGCACGACGATATCCAACCGGTCGAGGCTCTTGGTGCGCTCCGCAAAGGCGATGACAGAGTCATAATCCGCCTGATCAAGTTTCCAGACCTCGATGCTATCGTCTGACAGATTCCGACCAGCAGATAACTTCGTCTTCGCCGTCTGACCTCTCTCTTCACTGCGGACGGCAAGAATGAGCTTGCTCAGTCCAAGGTCGAGGAGCTGCCGGCTGGTTTCTAGGCCTACCCCCGTGTTGGATCCGGTTACCAAGGCAGTTTTGCCCGCGAGGCTGACTCCCTGGACCGTGACGGGCTTGACGGTGAGCTGATTGTAAAAGAAGCGAGGCACGCTGGCCTGCTTTTCCGAACTCACGTCGAATTTAGTCCCCATTTCTTCAGATGATGAGGTGAGATATCAAAGAAGGGTACGTAAGGAGGGGAGGAAAGGGGGTCGTCGATCTGCCCTAATCGACAATAGGAAGTTGCCAAGCATGTCAGATTTTAGTTCGCTCATAAGGCGATCGCTATCTTCGCGTAATTTAACCCTGATCCTGTAATAGCCTTATATCGGTTATGTGATTCGGGACCTGGACAGAGCTATTGTCCAACCCAGACCGTAAGATTGTATCGCAACAATTATATAGCGGCGTGGCCGTCCGGTCCCCATCTCGCAGGCATTTCGAGAGGGGACCAACCACAATCGATTACTTGCAGAGACCATGAAGCTGCTGAGTGTCCTGATTAGGGCATCTGCAGTAGGGGCTCTAGCAGCTTCCACAAGCGATGTGACTAAATTATCCTCCTTTGCGCAGCGCCTCGGGCTGTCCACTGCCGATACCCGTACCCTGGCGGCGCAGTATGCAAAGGCTGGGGACCCCGTTGCTATTCTGAACATTGCGTGTTTGACTGCCCAGGGCGTTCTTGGCACCGAGAATGTCGATACATCGCCCCTCAATCAGACTACCGTGGAAGTGAATTGGTAGGATGTTATCACTTTGATCTGTGTATGTCCGCCCTTCTTGCTGACCACACCGTGCAGGTCCGAATCATGCGTCGCAGAGCCCTACTGCATCATTCAGCCTAGGGAAGCCCAGGATATATCCACCGCGGTCAAATTCATCAATTTCTTTCAGTTGAAATTTGCAGTGCGCAGTGGCGGACACTCGCCGAACCCCGGCTGGTCGAGTGTCGGTAGCCAAGGTATCCTGCTCGATTTGTCTTGATTGAACTCTGTCAGCCTGTCAACCGATGTTCAGATAGCGAGTGTCGGTCCAGGTCTTTGCTGGGGCGAAGTTACGATGGCATTAGACTCTGAGAAGGCCGTGGTGATCGGGGGGAGACTGCCCTCGGTGGGTGTCTGTGGTCTGATTCTCGGAAGTAATTTACGGCGATGTCTTGATTTATGGACCGAAAGAAGTGTCTAACGACGAATTACAGGAGGATACCATCACATGTCTAATCGCTTTGGCCTAGCAGCCGACAACGTGAAGAATTTCGAGGTTGTTCTGGCAGACGGAACCATTTTCAATGCCAATGCAAAGCAGAACAATGATCTATTCGGGGCCCTTAAGGGCGGTGACCCCAACTATGGCATTGTCTCTCGTTATGATCTTAGCACCGTGCCGGTCTACGAGATCTGGGGGCAAATGATGATTTACGCCCCCGATCAAGCCGGCGCCGTTCTGGATGCCTTTACGGAGTGGCAGCTCAACAGAGCCTCGGATGTCAAATTGACCGTGGCCATCGACATCTCCTTGACGTCTGTAGTCTTTGGGCTTGTTTACTCCGAGCCAGCCGACAATCCCAGCGCGTTTGCGCCATTCTATGATCTGGAACCACTGGCGACTCCCGTCCCAGCAATGAACACTACGTTTGCCGTCATTGATCAACTCCTGGGATCCGACTTCCCTGTCGCAAGCGGTCGGTAAGTTCTTACTGAAACCACCCTTCTTCTTTAGACAGGACTAATTCATCTCTAGACACGACTATCGCGGCTGCAGTACCCGGATCGACGCCAACTTGACCCGGGATGTCTACGACTACTGGCTGGAGAAGGCCCAGGCAGCTCACCAGACCATCGGGGTCAACCAGTCCTTTGCTCTGCAACACGTTGGAGAGAACCTCATCCAGAAAGGGATTGAGAATGGTGGAAACGCCCTGAATACCCGATCCGGTCCCCAGCAATGTAAGTCTCGCTGCCATTTGTCCTGATACGGAGACGTTCTAATGTCGGATACAGGGTGGACCACCATTGTGGACTGGGAGAATGCGGTTGATGATGAGGTCGCCCGATCCGTTTCCATCGAGACGACAAATTACTGGCAGAAACTGGCCAAGGATCGTGGGCTGGATGTGTCCTTCACGTGTATGAACGACGCCTCCCGCGACCAGAATCCCCTGGCATCCTATGGGGCGACGAATGTGAAGAAGCTGAAGGAAACTGCCAAGAAATACGATCCCACGCAGATGCTCCAAAAGCTGCAGAACAATGGGTTCCTATTCTCGAGGTTGTAGGATGTCCGGTTCGTCTCAGTCTACGCTATCGTATAGAAGTAATGAAACCGACCGTATTAGTTAGATTCATAGAATTAGGAACATGTTTACTGAAAAAAAGATCAACCAATCGCTGTTCCCTTCTGTCTACTATATACGTAACAGCATTGCCCATGCGACGGTGGAGACGCCGACTGATCCAGCCTTAGCTTTGTTCTGTGCCTCGTGTTGGACCAGGATTCCGGACCGGGATTCCACGCACCCCCACAATCGACCGTAAAATCCATTAACGAGACTAGATATAGGTTCCAGCCAGTCGACGATAGCGGCTAAATCACCCACCCCATTCTTTGCCACGTCGGTCTAATAATGACCCACTTTCTTACGTTATGAAGCAGGCTAGGTTATCGAGAACGATCCCTCCCGAACCGAATCTGACATTATCTAGGGATCTACATGCCTAATCGCATAGGCTATCGCGTGGGCCTTACGTGGGCCGCGAGTGACGGTTCATGAATCCTCCCGCCCCCATGTTACAATCCTGGATGTCGCAAGGGTACAAGGTGAAGCCAAGCTAAAGCTGGGTAATTCGTTGTTCGTACCACAATACGGTATTTGAAGAGAGACGGCTCATGTACCTATTGGGGGTGGTTTAGTGTGTACTTTGCTTCATCAGAGATAGCGGTGCAGTTATGTGCTGTGTTGTGGTAGCGTTGTGATAGTGCCCGAGAACGCTGAGCGTTTCGTACATACTTCGTAGACGCTGAGCAGTCAAAAATTCTCTAGGGTAACATTAAGAGAAGCTGTGTATTTAGCCTAGTATAAACAGCATTCTCTCAAGTTGTCTTCACAATTTCCTTCGGGTCATTCAACACCCAAAGATCACAATATGGATGCGATCTTCACTCTTCTGTCAAACGCTGTGCCCCCAATGTGGTCGAAAAAATCCTCCACGGCAGCAGAATCTATCCCAGATGCCACTATTCATGGAGCTCGGGTGTCGTACCCGAAGGAATCGGTCCCAGCCCTCTATTCCAACGAGAAGGTCGGCGAGCGAGTGACCTCCTACGCTGAAACACACAGCTCAACCCTCCCGCGGCATATTGTCAACTACCATGCCACTATTCAAAAGACCCAGCCCAGAACGGCAAACTACATGATCCACATGTCCGAAGCCCAGGCTTTAGTCTTTCTAGCAAAGACGGTGGGCGCGAAGAGAGGTACCTAATAATCCCAATACTCTCCCTTTTGACCCTTATACAATAACCAGCTGTATAGTTCTCGAGGTCGGCGTGTACGTGGGGCTTTTCATGTTGGCCTGGAGCCATGCTGTCGGGCCACATGGCAAAGTCACTGGTCTGGAATTTGACCCTCACTTTGCTGCCATGGCGGAGAAGTCTTTCTCTGATCATGGTGTTGAAAATGCGGAAGTTATGGTGGGTGATGCATTGCAGACGTAAGCTGGCCAAAAGTCTGTACATTCATCTGTCCTTGTACTGAAACAATTGCTTTTTACATAGCCTCGCGATGCTCGCTCCCTCCGAGCCTTACGATATCATCTTCATCGATGCACAAAAGTCCGGCTATCCGTTCTACCTTGATACGATCTTGAAACGATCCCAGCCGGGTATGCCTCACCGTCTACTGCGCTCCGGTGGACTGATCATCGGGGACAACGTCCTGCGGTGTGGGTTTGTCATCGATGACAGCACCGATAATCCATGGCGCAACTTTGACTTTGGCGCGCACCGACCTCAATATTGGAAGTCCCAGGACGTAAAGTCTCTCAGGGCATTTAATACGAGCGTGGCTGGGAGTGAGCGTTTGGAGATTTGGCTGTGTCCGCTTAGGACGGTGTTAACATCTCTCGATTGATGGACTAAAGAAGATCTACGGGAAGAAATAGGCTCTTGTCTTTCAATATTCTGGGCGGTTTATGAAGTAGTCTGTCTAGAGTAGAGATCAGCACTATCGATATTTACATAGAATGTATCTACTGGACCTCTGTCAAAGACATCAGGCATTGCTTCGGCGCCGTAACCAATGTATCGTACGTTTCCCATGAAACATGTTTCTCGTGGACATTAAACTTTGCCGACCAGATCGGAATCGTGAAGACAATTCGTAATTCCAATTGTCCCAGACGCTTTCCCCAACATCCTCGGTTGCCTGCACTGAATGCGAGGGTTGGACCACTGGCCGCATCAAAGACCCATTTCCCCTCCGCATCCTTTCGGAGCCAGCGTTCAGGACGGAAAACCTCGGGATCGAGGTCATCCCAACTGTGGCGAGTCGGCTCATACGTCTGTGACGTCTTGCTGCGACTGGTCTCTTCGACTGACACGGACGGCATATTGAGCGATGGGCCGGTCAGGTTCAAAAACACCTGGGTATCACGGGGGACAGCGTGACCCAACACAACGGTATCCATTCTCGTTTGAACCATGATCGTCACGACTGGGCAGTTCAATCGCAGCACCTCCTCCAGGAAAGCGACCAGGTAGGGGGCTTGTTTAATCAACTCTGTTGAGATTCATGGCGCATCCAGGCCAGATGCCTAACATATAAGGCATGAATCTGGTGATCAGCATTAGACCTACCAAGTAGAGTATGGATCAGGAGAAGAGTTCTCATTTATATAGGGTCTTCCTCTTATGAAGAGAAAGATCAGACTTAAACAATCTCGTTGGCCTTGATATTGATGCGTCCCAATTCAGTAGACATCCAACTTCCACAAACTCTGCCGCCGTCGGCAGACGTCGTTCGGCCCACGCGGTAGGATATGTCTCTTGCAGGTTCTCACAAATCTTGGTCTGCTCCTCCGGATGAGACAGAAGCCTGCGCATCAGCCAGATAAAGGACCCGGTCGACGTATCATGGCCGGCAATCAGATACCCATAGATCTCATCCCGGACCCGCGGATCATCCAACATTGGCTCGCGGCCGGCTTTTTGTGCGGCTTTGAGCTCGCGTCCAATGACATAGTCAAGAGCACATTCCGGCCCACCGCCCCGGTTCAATCGTGGAATGGCTCTGGTAATTTGAGATTCAATGTATCCTCTCAGAGTCTGGCCTGCATGTCGGACCGAGGGCCGCAGGTTGTTGATGGCGTGGTAGACACGAGGCCAGGGCATGTAGAAGCCCTTCTAGAGGGATTCTTCATTCACTATGAGGGCTGCCAGTTTGGTGGATGTCCCTGCCGATGGGAATACCGTCACTTCACCTTTGATACTGTCGGGTTGGAAGGTGCAAGTGCCGGTGTCTTCCAGGCAGTGCAGGTATGATAGTTGCCGCTTGATATCTCCTCCTTCTGAGCCTAATCCTGTTGCTGCGCTCAGGATAGAGTCGAAGGAGAATTCGACGATATCATTGACGACGTCAAATGGGCGACCGTTAGCTAATTTTGGCATTGAGTCGCCACAACTCCAGCAGATTGCAAGCCACCACATAGGTATGAGGTGCATTCACCTGTCATCTGTTAGTCTGGGCTTTCTGGAGAGATCTAGGAAGAAATAGTCTTACGGTATGAAGAAACGACGGCGCCATCAAGTCTCGGACGAGATCGCGACTCTCTCTGAAACGTGGATCGAGGGTTTCCATGGCCGGGTGCGCATGAGGAAGGATACCACTGAACACGTCCACCTTTTTCCCTCGTTTGAAATCAACCGCATCGCGATGGCTCAGGATGTCATTCACCTCTCGAAAATCTGAGAGCAGAATCGCTGGCTTCGCAAACGGCCCGAGGAAGATCTGGGTGATGGCCGAGTTGTGACGGCGTGCCTGCTCGAGGAACCACGGGCGCATTCCCTGCATGTCTTTTTGCCTCTCTCCTAACTCGGCCAGGTTGCCCATGATGGTTTTGGTTGCATGGTAGTTATAAGGGATGCCGGGGAGTGGCTGTAGATATGCCCTTTGGAACACCCAGTAGGCCACTGTACCAATGCATGCTACAATGAGCACTGTGATGACGGTGGGATTGCTGGTCCACACAGACTCTGGCAATATCATCTTTGTGCCAACCTCTGTCACCTCCAAGAATAAACAATGAGGCTCTTTGCGGGATGTAATGTGGGAATTTCCTGTTGAACTCGCTTGAGGTGTGCCTTTTTTTCCGGCGAGAGACCGATAGATTCCATCTCATCCGTTGTAAATTGCCGATGTAACCCTCTCACCGGTTATAATCTCACTTCCTGCTGACCCTTCTAGTCGAAGATAGTGAGATCTCGCTTATACGAGGATATCTTGGGTATTGGCGATACAGAGTAGGCGATAGGTTATTGCTGAACATTCAGCTACCTGAGTGGATCCGGACCATGGCCTACAGCCCTGCTATCTTAGGGCTTTCACTAAAATCTTGTTTGCAGATCCATACACTCTCGTACCAAGACCATTCCGTATCGTAATTTCACATATGAAACGGCTTCTCATAGATCTGTATCATTCGATAGCACCTCATCCATCCTCAGCTTTGGGTCTAGGGCACATATCCCGTTACTAAAAGACCAGAATGTAGGATACTATTCATTTATTAGATACGGTGCCCAGCCCAGCCCCGTTTATAGATTTGCCCGGTATAGATCCCACGTCAGCACTGGCATCGGAGATTGCTCCTGGGTACAAATTTGCCAGCACAATGCCATTGAGAAATCGACCGTGTCCCATCTCTCTCCTCCTGCTCTCAATCACGCTGTCTGCCCGCAAATCAGTAGAGCTTTCCCTTCACCTCTCTTCTAGTGGACTGCCATCTTGTCTATCGACCTCAACATGGAAGTAGCACAGAAGCCCAATGGCATAGCCAACGGGAAGCCTCAGTCCTCCCTTTCCACGCAATACGGTGGTGTCCATGCCGGAGGATGGGTGGACTACCTTCCTTCTTCCTTTGTCCCGTACATCCAGCTCTGTCGTCTGAGTCCCCCTGTTGCCTTCTTCATCATCTTCTTTCCGCATTTCTTTGGTGTAGTCCACGCTGCCAGCATCCGACAATCTTCCATCGAAGATGTTTTGCGCGTCTCCCTCATCCTGCTGGGTGGGAGCTTTTTCTGCAACAACGCCAGCCACGCCTGGAACGACCTCATAGATGCTCCCGTTGACAAACTGGTGGCGCGCACATGCACACGCCCCATACCTCGTGGAGCCATTACCCCCCGTGCCGTATTCATTTTCACCTGCATCCAAGCCCTCGCCGCCGCATCCTTCCTCCTGCTACTTCCCAGCGGTACCAGACTGGCTACCGTGCCCACCATCATCGGGACCACATACTACCCCTATGCGAAGCGACATACCAATTTCCCACAGGTGGTGTTGGGATTCTTTCTGACAGGGGGAATCATGATTGGAAGCTCGGCTATGGGGGTTTTTGAACCGTGGATAGACAAATCGACCCTGTCCCTATTGATGGCCTCCATTCTGTGGGTGGTCATCTTTGACACGGTTTATGCCCATCAGGATCTGGAGGATGATCTGAAGGTCGGCGTGAAGAGCACCGCGATTCTCCTCCGGAACTATGCGCGTCTATTTCTGTTTGTCTTGTACCTGGCTATGAGTGCATGCGTCTTCGCCTGCGGGTATTTTGCCAACATGAGCCTGGCCTTCTTTTCCGTTACGGTGGGCGGATGTTTCCTCTCCGTCGGGGCGATGGTTTTCTTGGTTGATCTCAAGGACTCGGCGAGCTGCTGGTCGTGGTTTTCGCAAGGGTTCTGGATGACTGGTGTCGCCATCTCGGGTGGGTTGTTGGCGGAGTATGTCTCTCCGCTGAACGGAAGTTTCTGGTAATTGGGCACATTGTTTCACTCTTATGAAAACTGGGCCAACTCAAAAGTGAAGATAATGTGTTGGGGTCCAGATAGAAACGCTGGGGTGTAGGGATAAACTGCATGATATATATGTGACATGACGAGATACCATCGGCTCTATCGCAACCGCAGCATCACTATATCAATAACTGGACAAGATCAAAGCTTCCCATGATCTGCTTTATGCTTATGACTTTGTTTTGTACTTAATTTGCTCTATCGTTGAATTGATCATAATCCCAATTCTATGGATATCTGTCTTTTCAAGATCTAGACATGCCAACAGTGGTTCCGGCAGGAATGAAATCTTGGTTAATTTGGATCCCGCCTTCCTGGATTACACGCGGGGCAGAATTGTGGATTGATGGCAGTAGATGTAGCGACTCATTGGCATATGCTTGTAGGAATCTGCATGAATTGAGTGGCTGGCCTATATGGATTTCATCTTCGTTGGAGAACGTGTTGGAGAACGTCGCGCAAAGCTCTTCTTTTAAACGGGCGAGCGTAGCCAGGTGATGCCCTAGGAGAAACAGGTACCTAGTACCGCTCATGGCGGCGGAGGTGCTTCGGACCCATTTTGGCTTTATCCCAAAGCAAGGCGATGAAATCAGTGATTTTTGCCATAAACCGGTCCTCGATTGCCCTCATGCCTGGGTCGCAGAAGACCTGGAACATAATGCGACGCTTGAACTCGTGTACAGTTCTATCAGTAGCAGAAATAGTATTTGTAGTCCGACGACTGGAGCTCATAGTAGCATAATTTTCTGACTGTCGTAAGTTGGCTCAGGTGTTGTATATTGTTGTCATTCCGGAGTGGCTATTGAATTCCAGAGTGTCAGGTCCAGATCTAGCAATAACTCCTGTACGAAGAATCAGTATTTGTGATATATCCCAAGAAACAATAGCAGATCCGAACGTATGTGTCATGCCATTTTCGATTCTGGATATGGAGATCTCCTCTCCAGGCATTAAAAGCGGTATACTAATTAGGCGCGAACTTGGAAAAATAAGCGGTAGGTGAGTAGTGCATTTCCTTACAATAGTCCGTCTCAGTTTATATAGTACCTGCTTGCAATAGGGACTAAGCTCATAGCAGCGAGGCAAGGACCACCGCCGAATCAACTTGGACATGTTAGTGCTGAAATTGGCTGGCCTCGTGCAGAAGAGATTGATCCCAGTTGAAGGTATAGCCTGCCAATATACTCTAATCTCGTAGGAAATTTCTATGGCGTCATGAGGGCGACCGTAACACATTTCCGTTCATCACTGCACAACTTTATCTCAAACTATATGGACACCCAAATCATCCAATCACCCTTAAGACTATTAACGAATGGGCCCAATCGTCGGGCTGAGATCGAGGATCTAAGCTGCGCTAGAATGCCGGAATTTCTCCAATGGTGCAGAAACTACCATGTTAGGAAGGCAGCTTCGGAATGCGAGACAATGATCGACGACGCCAACACGGCTAATTGGATAGTGCAGAACCCGTGGATCTTAGTGGCTGAAAGATTCCATAGTTTAGCCGATATCAGGCATAAGACGAGTCAGATCGTGCGGATACAGCATCCCTGGATCCATTCTGAGTTTGTGTTGTTTTTGCTCTACGTAATTAGGTGGAAACTATCTTGTAGATCGCCCATAGTTCGTGCTCCAAGTGGGTAAAATTGGGTCTTGCATCGCCGATTCACCCCCTGAAACTGCCAATCATCATTCCGAACGCAGCATTCTCAGATCTTGCAAAATCTTAGCACGAAATTTTCGGGATTTCCCCGAGATAGTCGCAAATACACAGGGTCCACCGAAGCAAGGAAATCTCTTAGATAGATCGGTCGCCCCTTATGGGCTTTCGCGCTTCCAATTTCCCTGCGCGCCGGCCAGGTAAGCCTAGATCGCAGTTATGACTGTCGCCTCTGTTGAGAACAACGTCCCTAGGGCAATCCCGATCTGGCGCAAAGTCTTCGACCAAGGTAGTGTTTCTCAATACATCATTGATCAACACTACAATGGTGCCGGCACTGAGGAGGATCCATACCAAGTGTCTTGGGTGGAGGAAGACCCCTGCGATCCTATGCTGTTTTCTGCAGTGACCAAATGGCTTATTATGGTCCTGGTAGGCATCGAGACTTTGGCGGTGGCCCTTGTATCATCTGCCTACTCGGGTGGTATTGTTGAAATCCTGGTTGATTTCCGAGTCAGCGAGGAAGTTGCTCTTCTGGGTATTTCGCTCTTCGTCATCGGATTCGCTGTCGGACCCTTGTTCTGGGCGCCCTTAAGTGAGATTTATGGGCGTCGTTATATCATGATCGCGAGTGCTGTGGGCCTAACAGCGTTCACCGCTGGAAGTGCTGGGTCGAAGAACATTTGGACCTTGATTATCCTGCGGTTCTTCGCTGGCTGTCTCGGTTCTGCACCCTTCGCAGTATCTGGTGGTATCATCGCCGACACATTCCCTGCTATCAGTCGTGGCCTTGCTAGCGGATTGTACTGTGCCGCACCGTTCCTTGGACCGACCCTGGGCCCCATCGTTGGTGGTTTCTTGTCGGAAAATGCGGGTTGGCGATGGGTGGAGGGACTCGTTGCAGCCTTTTCTGGACTGTTCGCGATTATCACGATCTTTACCTTGCCAGAGACCTATGCCCCGGTGTTGTTGAACAAGCGAGCCGCACGCCTCTCTTCAATCACCGGACAGGTTTATCGCAGTAAGATTGAGATTGAGAAGGGCAAAATGTACCTGGGAGCAGTCTTCAAAACCGCCCTTTCTCGGCCTTGGGTGCTTCTATTCCGCGAGCCCATAGTCCTCCTTTTGTCAATCTACCTCTCCATCATTTATGGCATGTAAGTGTCATAGTCTTTTCACTTTAATGCATCAGGCTCAATCAGAAACTAACGTTGTGATTTTACAGTCTGTACCTACTTTTCGCCGCCATTCCCATCGTCTATCAAACAGAGCGAGGTTGGAGTGAAGGCAAGAGCGGCCTTGCCTTCCTGGGTATTCTGGTTGGCATCCTCTTCTCCGTTCTATCGGCATTCCCAATGTATTTCCGATACAAAAAGAAGGTCCTCTCGACCCCTGGCCGAGTCGCCCCCGAAGCCAGACTCCCCGATGCATTTATTGGTGCTATCGCGCTAGTTGTTGGGCTGTTTTGGTTTGCCTGGACCAACTCACCTTCGATCCACTGGATGGCCTCGATCGCAGCCGGAGTACCCTTCGGCTTTGGCATGGTCATGGTTTTCCTTCCCGTCTTGAATTACTTGATCGACGCCTACACAATCTATGCTGCGTCGGTCTTGGCCGCCAACGCCGCGTTGCGCTCTGTGTTTGGCGCTGTGTTCCCTCTCTTCACCACACCCATGTACAGAAACCTGGGAATTCACTGGGCTTCATCGATTCCTGCTTTCTTGGCGCTTGCTTGTGTGCCCATGCCGTTCTTGTTCTACAAGTATGGTGCGGCAATTCGGAGCCGATGTTACTATGCCGCAGAGTCTGATGCTCTCATGGAGAAGTTGTTTGGAAAACCAACGCCATCAAAACAAGAGGAACCTCACGAAGAGGGTTCTAGCACTGAAGAATAATGTTTTATTATACTGCAATGAATAGACTATTAGACCGTCTTGCTCAACTGGACAAGAGTGCACGCAATCTTAAAATTCAATCTTGATTTTCTATTCTTTTGATCTCCAATTTTTTTCAATATTGACATTACGATCATGCGACCATGAATGTAGGTGTTCTAAGGCGCATGTTTTTACTGGACTGCACACCAAGGCATCGGTGAAATAGGATTCCTTCAGTACTTAGAGTATCCAGTAAACATAAATCTTCTGATATCCAGCATATTTCGGCGGTTTCCTAGCGAATTTTGTTCCAAGAGAGAAAATACCAAAGCTGAGCATGACTGTCTAAATGGGCCTCTACACCATCTTCCCACTAGCCGAGTAGTAGTCCGGCCTGGCCGTATCTTTCTCTAAATTGAATGCGCATAGTCTAGATTGGAATATCTGAGGTAATCCTTCAAAGCCTCCACATTGAGTTTCGTAATCTGACCGCAGCTTGGATGTTAATTATGCTTAACAGTTGACTTAACTTGAGTGGAGGTTCAGCTGTACCTCGTATGACCTTAGTGCGTGATGACACAGACCGGCCGAAACCCCAGATTGTTTCATGTAAAGAGGAAGCCAGGGATGACAGAGTTGTATCGGGGCGCAGACTGGAAGCAGCAGACACGTTGCGTTGCGAATTATCCCCGGATACGATAGCTGCAGCAGTGTCTCACTGGTGTGAAGCAAGCGTTGGCGCCAAGGCAATTCCACGCTTTGCCAAGAGTCTTGTTTCCATGCAGACGGCCTCAATTGGATCAGAGGATTCTATCGGCTGTTGTCTCTCATTCTTATGCATACCTATTCCCTTGACTCCGCGGGATCATTTGGTGATTTTTGTCAACTATGTTGTGCGAGGTATATCATCCATATTATTAACATTTCCCGATGGCTCTCAGTCAACAAGTTGGACGAGCGGTGCTTTCTTTTAGTCTACTAAGGCATTATTCGCATGTAGACTTTCTTCGGGAAACCAAATATTTACAGGCCTGGGTCCCAATCTAGAGTAAAGTATGTGGTAGGCTCTTCGAACATGGCCAACACACATGGCAAGCGATAGAAACTTGATGGGATATTCTTGCATATTTCCCGATGAAGGTATTTAATATACACCCGTATCCGGCTACCATTGCCTTCCACTTCTCCGGAGAACTCCGACTGACTACCAGATTCATATTGTGGCAAGAAAGTTTGCTGACTGCAGCAGCCGAGCTGAACATGAAATCGTACTGAGCTGTGACTTGGTGAGAATGGGGGTCCAAATTATTCTTCAATGCAATGAGATAGAAGTCCTTGCTGCAGCTACATGGGTTGATGTGGCTGATAGAATTGAAAATAGTAGGGGCAGGCGAAAAGGTGATATGGTAATATGAAAATTGTTATGGAGGCAATATATATTCAGCTTCTGCCGTCCGCATTTTACGTTATCAGAAGCAGACAGGTTCCAGCATACACAGTTATCATCTTCACCTTACATCGATATCCTTGTTACATCACTTTCAAAGCTTCCAAATCAGCCTCTTGACGACAAAGATCCATCATGCCCACCTATCCTAGGAATGTTCTTGTCAACCTCGGTGCCATTGGTGGAACCGGCGGCGGCGCGATAGATTTCGTTGCTCAGACTGGCGGTCTGGTGGAAAGACTTGGTGTCTGGGCATCTGGCAAAGACATTATCGGTGTCTCTATCAAATTTACAAATGACGAAACGACGAAGAAAATGGGCTCCGGGGGATGGGGCGACTATTTGGAATTCATTTTCGAAGACGCCTCTGAAATTGTAAAATCATTGAGCCTCTGGGGAAACGGCAAGGGCACAAACCTCGGCCGAATCAAATTCACCACCTCAAAGGGACGTACATTCGACTACGGTGGTCACGGCGGAAACAAGGAGTACCCAATGGACGTTGGATGTGGCCTCTGGGTCGGCATCGGAGGAAATTGCGGAGCCACAGTCGACAACATGAGCGTCTATTTCTTGTCTAAGGTTGAATCCATGAAGATGAAAAACGTCAAATTCAAGAATGATCCCACGGGTACGAGTCAAGGAATAAAACCGAAAATGATCAAGTCGGCCCAATTCCCATGGCTAGGGAAGTCTTACGACTACAAATTCGAACGGCCCAGGCTTGAAAATGAAACACACACCGTGACTGAAACTAAATCACATTCAACAACCCTGGGACTCTCTTTGACTGAGACGTGGTCAGGTGAAGTGGATTTATTCGTTGCAAAATCAAAACTCGAGGTGGGAGCTACCGAATCTGTCTCCCACGTCTGGTCCAAAGAGGACTCAACTGCAGATTCTACAGAGATTACGGATGGTATGACGGCCGGTGTTTCTGGAAAGATTGAAAGCGCCAATGATGCGGTTTCTATTGAGGCTGTGACCTACACCGGCACACTTGATATTGATTACACGGCCACTATTGAAGTGAAGATGGCCAGTGGAGCTTCTTACGAGATCCCCACAAATGGGAACATGAAGAAGGTAGCCTATTCCAAGATATACATGAACGTCAGACCTATCAATGAAGATACGACTCTTCCTCCAGGAGAAGCTGAAGAAAGATCCTTGGAGAACTACCAGGAAGACAGGTCTGAGAAGGAACAATACCAACACGATCTGGAATATCAGAAAGCTGCATGGTCCCCCGCCCAAGATGCAGAAGTTCAAAATGTTCGCCTGGAAAGTGGATATATGAACGAAAATCCCGATGATGAGAGATATCAAAGTTTCGACGACTTGCAAGAGCAGCAAGAAGAGCCCCAAGAAGTCTATGAGCAGCAACAGCGTCGTGGGTACGGCCAACCTAACTATGAAGCTCGAAACTGCTGTGACCAAAAACAGGATAATTCCAGGGGAAGTCAGGATAACTTCCAGTCAGACCAGAATGACTACGAGCGAGACGGAGGCGATTCTCAGCAAAGCCAGAACCAACGCTACCGTTTCAATAACTACGAGGCCAACGAAGAGCCCACTTCTGGTGGCAAATATGCCGAATACAAAGAGAACGAGCCAGTTTCATCCAATGATCAGGAGGAAGATCGCTCGGGCCAGCGGTGGAATTCAGACAGACAGGACAACAATGAAAGTTACGACGCTCAGACCAACGACCAGGATGAGAACCAGAGTGAACAAAACTATAATCAATTTGGAGGATACCGGCAAAACAGCCAAGATCACCGCGACACGCAAGAATATCAGGATGGCCAGCAATATGGCGACGAACAAGTCCTTGAAGAGGATGAGCGCACCTATGCTCCTGTCGAGCAAAAAAGCTCCCGGAGAGGCTACAACGCTTATTGCGATGAAAAAGGGGCATCTGAATACGCTGAGGATGAGTCCAGCTATAGTCATGATTATCAGCAGCAGGGAAATGGCTGGAGAGGCAACCGCGACGAGACTGTGTTCTGAACCGCCCCCCTAGAAGGACATTGTCCCTTCAACTACAGTGACAGAAGGGTTTCGTTTACAATATTTTGCTATTTATCTTTTGTTTTATTCGGGTTTTTGCTTTGCTAGACCGCAACGCGATGCAACGCTGATTTTTATTGGCAAGCTAAATCTAAATTGACATTTGCTTGAGTGAAACGAACCTTCCCCAGAAAAACCATCGATTCGGTAATCTGCCGAACCTAGTTTACAATAGTAGTTAGCCGGAGGTTGATGGTGCTTGGTCCAAAACTTAAAGTATGAGAGATAACTAGATTGAGGTTATTTGGGATTCGCCTGAAAACGCTCGTCAAACGTTTATATCCCAGGCTGAAATTATGAGAGCCGCTTCCGCAAAACGAATTTTCTCCATTAAAGGGTATTTAGAATGCCATACATTCATTATGAGCATAGAGGGAGCAGGCATCAAATAGCACTGTTTCATTCGTGGTGAAATCCGTGCTAGCATACCACAGACCACCGTCCACCAGACAAGGCTTCACAGATCGGCCTTCGTATTCAAGTGGATGTAGTGACCGGGGAATCACTTTGTGAAATATAAAAGAGCTGAACTGGGAAATTTTCTTACTGATTTCTTGAGCCAACATTTCGTGTTCGAGTGTGTGTCTCATTCCTCTCTTGAAGAAGGCCTCCCAGATATCTGACCACTCATTAGCTTGCGACAGATTGCCGCCGTAAGTGGGAACACTGAATCCGAATTTTACAGTTGGCGATCTACTTTTTCAAATGTACACCTGCAAGGCAGCTGGTGAAAATCTTCACATCGGGCAAGTCTCCAGTTATTTTCCGAAATTCACACAGCAAAAAGTATGTATCGAGCACTGTCTCGTAACTCCCCCAAGAAATTGGCTTCGGAACAGAACCAGGAATGAGATCATGAATCGCAGTCATTGATTCGAACTCTCCACGAACTGGAGCTCTGCCCATTTCCTGTGATAGGACTTTCATGAAGAAGGCCTGGACTGAACCGTCTGCAAATTGAACATCAATGCGCCCAGTAGAGGCCCAGAAGCTGGTGCCATGAGGCACGGTCGAGAAAACCTTATAATAATGAGAAATTGCTGATATCATATCCTTGGTTAATGTTGCGATGATACTGGAGAGAGAAATGTAAGTAAGAGCAGTACTCACGCGTAGTGACAGCTGGATCAACCTTTGTATTCCCCTTTCCGAACTCCAAGCCAGGCGCGCCTGCGTAGTTCATTTCTTATAATTCACTGATTTACACGAGAAGGTCCAGGTGCGAACATTACACTACGAAATTATCTTGGAAGACCTTGGAGTGCGCGTCTGGAAAAAAAGGCAATTGCGGGGTCTGAACCGCGAGAGATCAACCGTACACTTAGGAAGCATACAAAGCGCTCTGGGTTTGGATCACCCACATTATGTCGACCTCGAATTTTCTCAAAGAATAGCCACTCTCGTCAGCTCTCATATCTCGATATCGAAAACAAGAACACAAGGCCAACAGCTCATATTATGATATCGATCATTATAAGAACCCCTCATATAAACACCCGTGAGGCGAGCAAAAGACCCGAGTGGCACATTAAGCGAGCTTTGCTAGCTCCTCCCGCCTCTCGTGTAAAACTTCTTCGAGTATCTCAACTTCAATCTCAAGACGTCTTTTGCGATCTCCAGCAAAACTAGTTGGATCTGGGCTGTCCTCGCAGGCTTTCGGTGGTGAAGTGGCTTCTTCCTTGGCAGACTGAGAAGTGGTTTGTTGCTTATTTTTCTCCGGAGGAAGGTCAACAAAGCCAAGGGAAACGACGATGGCTCCGCTTATAAAAAGGACAACAAAGACGATTCCAATAATGATGGCAAGGCTCAAAAGGAATTTGAGCATGAAGGGGAGAAGTACTGTCCCTAGGAAGACTGCTATACGCCAGGTCTCTTCAAAGTATTGGAAAATCTCGCCGAGCATATTGGGGTGTATATTCCACGAGCCTCTTGAGAAAGAGAAGAAAATTTTTAGGAACTTCTGTAACAACCTGCGACCGACTGGTATTTACTTTAATGTTGTCTCAGGCAAAAATGGGGGCCAAAACGAGCAAACTTGCCACTAGTTGTACCGAAATCGTGGAACGTGGAAAGCAGATACATCTTTCAGCTGAACCTTCGAGAAAGAAAGAAATCATAAGGACATGAGTAGTCCAAAAGCACAATGATAACCAAGATATGATCTAAGCAGCTCAGGGTGTTATTGTTCGACTCTCACGCCTATCCTATCAATAAGACTTACAAATCCGGTAATGAACACAGGAACCGCAACAATCAAATAATCCAAAATTGGCCAGAAACAAGCTTAAATTGATCTTGATACTCATAGAGCTACAGACAAGCCCCATCCAGCACTTCAACTTTAAATTGCTCTAAGTGTACAGAACCTTCCTAATCCCTCCACCATCTCGGAAAATTGATCAGCGCAGTTGAAATGGGCCAGGACCTGCCGTAGAAACAAGGGTTTGATATCAGGGGACGCTAAATTCAAGAACTGAACTGATACAACATAATGATTAAATTTAGATGACCAGGTTATACGGCCCTCATCCCTGATTAGTGAATTGTTAGAAGCTTCGTACACTGTTTTCGTTCTACTTTGGCCTCACTTTTTCGCTTTTTTAGTTCCTGTCAGCATTGACAATGTATACGGTATAAATTTCGGAGTATGAGTGGACTTGTGGCCCATCACTGTAGATACTCTGAAGCTGAAAAGGGAAAATGCCGAGCCCAGTGCACGCTAAGCCGGATAGGGTAATCACCGGCAACTACCGAACACGACTGTAAGACAATTTCCAATCCGTTGAGTCATCTCTCGATATTTGAACCCCAGACAACTTTGTCACTTCCATTGCAAAACTTTGAGTAGCCTTTCGCCCTTCTGTTCAGGCAACAGTCATCTCAAAATGAGCACACAAGACTTCGTGACCGTCAGGTCTCTTTTGCCGACCATCCCGCTTCCACGGAATAAGGACCGACCAGATATCATAACGAGTCGATTGGTCATCCGTGCTCTCAGATCAAGTGACCTGGAAGCATTACATTCTCTGCGCATTCAAGAGCCAGTCATGAAGTGGACCAAGGCTGGCTGCATCGACAAAGACATCGAACAGAGCAAAGCGAAGCTGGATCCATTCCTGGGACCCAACGATGCCATCACTGCTAACTGTGCTATCTGCTTAAAAGACACTGGTGCATTCATCGGCATCGGTGGATGCCATCTTTATCCCGGAGACCACGGCTGGCCCGAGGTGGGGTACATGCTCCGAACTGAGACTTGGGGGCAGGGCATCGCCACGGAATTCCTGAGTGCTTGGCTTCAATTCTGGTCAGAACTTCCTCGGGCTGAAAGAGAGATCCAGGTTCAGAAGGATATGGTAGATAGTGAAGGTGCAGTTGAGGAGCAGCTCATTGCCATCACGAATAAGACGAATGCTCCCAGTCAAAAAGTTCTTATCAAGGCCGGTTTCCAGCGCTTCCGAGAGTTCACGGAAGTCGATGATTCCAAGACTGTAGATCTTGTTGCTTTCCGCTTCTTTCCATCGAAAGGAATGAGAGCTGGTAGTGTTTGAGCGGCTCTTTCGTTCTCCACGCTCCTCATCGAGAACCCGGCGCTGGAATTCCCAGTGTGGGCACTTCACCGAAGTGAATTTGGAATTTATTATTGTTGAAGTTTGGTGTTTATTTGCACATATCAGCCTTTGCAAGCGCCTAGACTATATTGGAACTAGTCTTGAGTTAAGAATATGGGCCCATGCGTGACGCATTTGGCCTTGTTTGTCAAGCGGAAAGTGCTTGCTCTTTCCTCGTCTTTGTACTTTAACTCGTCCACAAGAGAACATCTTGAGATTTCAGAAGAAAGCTTGGTCAGTATAATGTCACCCAATAAGACCTTCAGCAAAGCTGCAAAGCCGATTGATATGGCCAAGCACGGAGGGCTCGTTCTAGAAAGACCGCTTAGGAGAACGGAGAGACGGGCCGACACGGTCTCTTACTAGGAAGCATCAAGCTCCACCCCCAGACCACTACACAATCAACCCACCCAGATCCCACGAGTACCAGGAAGTTGACCAAAGATGACTGGTTCCCCAACGTTGCAAGCATATGACGGTTGAGGGGAACGGACACGTGAGCGGCCCGCGTCACCGTCCTCCCACGCCTATAGATATGTACCACCAAGAACATAAATTAAGGCCATGTTATGAGCTGTTGGTATATTAGATCCAGCAAGTGGTTACGAAAAATTCAACTATATAACGCCGATATTATGGAACAGTACGACGTGGCAGTTGTGGGACTCGGCGTCTTAGGAAGTGCAGCAGCATATCACGCTGCTCAAAAGGGCAAGAAAGTCATTGCATTTGAGCAATTTGAGCTAGGTAACGTCCATGGCGCCTCGCATGATACATCGCGTATTGTGAGAACCACCAACTCATCACCCGAATATGTGGCTCTGGCTCAAGCTGCCTATAAGGACTGGGCCGTCCTTGAAAAAGCTACGGACCAAAAGTTGTTGACGATTACTGGCGGTGTTTTCTTCCTCCCTAAAGATGCCCCAACTCCCATCGGGGACTTCACAAGAAGTTTGGAGGCCCGGAATGTACCATACGAAGTTCTCACTGCCAAGGAGGTGAACAAGCGATGGCCCCAATTCGACATTCCGGATAATGTCGACACAGTATACACAGCCGACACCGGTATTGCCCATGCTGCAAAGACTGTCTTGGCCATGCAAAGTCTGGCACGTACCCACGGTGCGGTGCTGAAAGAGCATACACGAGTGGACCGGGTCATTCCCAAAGCATCAGGCTCTGGAGTCGTGATACAGACATCAAAGGGACAAGTACACGCAGCGAAAGTGATTCTCGCAGCCGATGCATGGACAAATAAGCTTCTCGCTCCTCTCGGCGTACACATCCCGTTGTCAGTGATGCAAGAGCAAGTCACATATTTCAAACCGACGGAAAAGGAAGCTTGGGAGTCAAGCCGTTTCCCCGTGTGGATCTGGGGTGGTGATCCCTGCTTCTACGGCTTCCCCTCTTTCGGCGAGCCAACCATCAAGGCTGCTCGTGATACCTCCAACAATTTCATGATACCTGAGCAGCGTACTTATGTGCACTCTCCTCAGTTGCTCGAACAACTCAACGCATTTATGGGCAAGGTCATGCCCGACGATGGTCGCCAGCCCCTTCGCACTGTAACTTGTCAATACACCATTACGCCAGACCGACAATTCGTTATCAGCCCGCTGGAAAGGCATCGTGATATCATTGTCGGACTTGGAGCTGCTCATGCTTTCAAATTTGCACCTGCGTTTGGCCGTGTTCTAGCGGAGTTGGCTATTGATGGAAAGAGCACAGAGGATCTTTCCAAGTTTGGTATCCCGCAGACAGCAACTTATACTAGCAAGCTTTAGAATCTGCATCGTTAATCAAATATCCGATCTACCAAACATTGGCTCACCTTTTATTTTGATATTCCTTCTTGAATGTGTTGCGGACTCGCTCATGTAACTCGACAATGGTGACATATTTCACCATTCCATTTTTTCAGATAACCTCGTCAGCTTCGGACAAACCCCGCAGCTACTGAGGATAGACCATAGAGAAGACTTCACTGATACCTCGAGACGAAGCTCTAATAACGAGGCGTCGTCACGTTATCGATCCTGACATTTCACCATCTTCCAGGTCAACCACATTTCGATAATCCCTGTTCACTAAGAACTTAGAAGACAAGCTCTTTGGCGCGGCGACTTGTGGTATTTTGGTGTGTTAGTCATAATCATCGGTCCTTCTTCATGGCACTAATTTCATTAACAGGCTGCGGCACTCTGGGTTTCTGAGGCGGCGATGAGTATTGGCTACCCGAAAGAAAATAGAAAAAGGGTTTATTGTGAGTTACTTTTCGTGTCGGTGCAGAATGCTCCTTCTCTAATTTGAAATCCCTAGTGGCTGGCTATCTGGTTCTCCCTGATCCTCGTATCTTCAATTGAACTGGCCTTAAATCTTGGCGATGATCAATAAGGCTTCATCAGTTACAAAACATACTTTATTCTCATTTGATTGCAATGTCTTGGTCTCCCGCTCGTACTGCTCATCTTGCTCATCTCTTTGATTGAGAAGCGTGTCCGGAAAGATGGAATAAAACCAATCTGACCGGCACGCACGACAGTCGCGGGGGGATTTTTGAGATTCTGGCTGGTTTTCAAACGACCGAAAGTTTCCATGCTGATGACAGTCGTTCTCAGAAGTCAATGGGCGCAGACATATGAAGGTTATTACTTGACGGTATCCTTCACATTCCGAGCTCGGGCCCTGGCCGCATTCATTGTTTCGAAACTTGGGCTCGTCATTGACATTGCCTTCGGCGGTTTTCTTGAGAATCAGGGGCTGACACGAGCTTCGCGTGCTCGCTTTGGATGGAGTATTCTCGCAGTTATGTATACTGCTACATATATCTACAACCCATTCTTGGAATCTGGATACAAAAAGTTGAGCCCCGTTTTTGATATCGAGACACCTGGATTCGGGCACGTAGTCGCCGTGTATTGCATCTTTTTTGTGCCATACAATGTGTTTCCTTTTAATATATAATTTCAGTCCATTCATTCCTGTGATTTATCCAATATGTCAAATATCGACATGTTCTTCACCATGCAATCTCCTTCTGAATTACATCCAAGCTCAGATCGCACATCACGATTGTTTAAATGGGCCTGCATATCTTTTATGATCATTTCTGCTGCCATACAGGATGTGAATTGGCCGGTCTCTTCGCGATTATCAGACTGCCGTGATTCGGTCTGGGGCTCGGTCGTAACGGGCGTAGGGATGGATGCTGATTCTGGGCCAGATTCTTGAGTATGAAGAAAATTCACACCCTTGTATTCATTTGATTCCGATGGTATATACTCAAGACTTGCTTGGCTTTGCTCATGCGACGGATTCTTCAACTCATCCTGAGATGGGTTTGTTGGTCGATGGTGGTATGCGACGGGATGTAAACTTTGGGCTATTTGAAGGGGATTTTGCGATCCCGAAGAGGGCTCTGCACGGGACTGAGGTGGAATGGAGCTAGGCACGTGTCCATGTAACTCCAGATACTGAGTGATCTGTGTTTCGGTCACACCGTGAAGCATAAGCAGAGATCGTAGCAGAACATTTTCTGATGCGACCTTTTTGCCCGCTGCTTGAACCTCCTGTGTGGCCTTTACGCCAAGCTTTTCAAACGCGCGTAATCGCTGCTCGAGATCGTGGACGTACTCTTTTCGTCGTGTGCGAGAACGCCGCTGATTATCACGGATTCTCGCTGATGAGGTTGCAAGTTCCTTGGATTTTTCGGGTTGCTTTGCGTTCATGCCGAGGATAAGAAAATTACGAGTCGGAATGCTGTAATGATATATATTGGCCTGGGACATGTCAGGATCAACGGGAATCACCGAGAATTGTCCTTTAATTTGCCTTAACTACTAAGCCGGTAACCGAATCCTCCAATGATAGACACGATACAGCCCCATTTTAAGCTTGTCCAATCACCAGCTAGTAGTGACATACTCATCTTTATCTTTAAATATTTGTTGTTTTTGCGCTTTTGAGGCATTTCTTGGTATAGTATGTGCGTTTGACCTCCAATGTGGAATCTCCTCACAAAACGAGTGCCGATAATTAGGCCTGCAACATCTTCGAGACTATCTCTCTTACCCAACTATTCAAAAAGCATGTCCTCTGCTCTTCCTCAAGTGGCTGGAAGTGCCCCCAAAGCCGATCGCTCTTTTCGGTCCTTATCATTGCCTGTGCACGAAGATAATCCAGACGTTCGCCAGAAGTATAGGCCTTTCATTCTGAATGATGGTGAAACTCAAGACTGGATAAACGAGTTAGAATTGGCCACTGCACTCGACATGGCCGAGCAAAATCTGCAAGATACAAACGAGAGGCTGAAAGTTCTAGTCCTCTATGGCAGTCTTCGAAAAAGATCATATTCGCGGCTAGTGGCAATGGAAGCTTCTCGTATTCTGTTCCGACTGGGCTGCGATGTACGCGTCTTTGATCCTCAGGGCCTTCCGGTCAAAAACGACGTCGATACGGATCATCCCAAGGTACAGGAGCTTCGAAAGCTCAGTCAATGGAGTGATGGGCATCTCTGGGTTTCACCTGAACAACACGGCAATTTGGTTAGTTTATCTTCATCAAGATACTCGCAACACATCATATAACTTCTACTAACTCGTGCTTTATCTACGATTCTAGACCGCCGTATTTAAGAATCAAATCGATTGGATCCCTTTGAGCACAGGAAGCGTCCGACCGACTCAAGGCCGAACACTGGCCATTGCTCAAGTGTGTGGTGGATCTCAATCATTCAACGCTGTCAACTCACTGCGTATCCTTGGTCGGTGGATGCGCATGTTCACTATTCCGAATCAATCTTCAATCCCGAGAGCATATACACAGTTTCCAGATGAAGGTCACCCCGACGACCAAAGACTCATGCCGAGTAGCAACCGAGACCGTCTGGCGGATTGCATGGAAGAATTTGTCAAATACACGATTGTGATGCGTCCTCACATCGCCCTCTTTGGTGATCGTTATAGCGAACGGGAAGAGAAAAGAGTGAAAGAAGCGAAGATGAATCCTTCTTCATAAAGCTGGGATCAGTATAGACAACGATAAAACACAAGTTTCCCTAATCCCTGTGATTTACTACTTGAACTATACCTTATCTCCCATTCAATCAACTTTCATAGATGAGCTAGAGTATGATCTTAGTTCGAATGAATATTTTGATTAGGCCAACTACGCCGAAGGAATAAAAGATAAGGCAAAGATAACTAGTTCGCTATCTACGAAATTCAAGCTATAAGAGCTCATAGCATGAGCCAGGCAAACATCCAAAAAAATATCTGCACGACAAAACGAAACAAAAGAGCATAGCACACGGTTCTCATGTCATGATGTCATGGCTGTTGCATTTCTTTTCTTAGACCTCCGATGTGGCGGTCACGCGGATGCCATTTTGCATTTTGCATTTTGCTGACACATTTGGCCTTGGGTCTCGGCTTAGAGACGACGTTTACAAATCGTGTAGTTTGCAAGTGACCCGTTGCTGTTTGCGGAAACCGTGGTTTGAATGAAACGATTTCATAGATGCGGTGGAAATTTTGATGCATAATGACCACTTGTAAACCTACTTATAGGCTCCATGCCTGTGTAGAACTTTGATACAAAATGAAATAATACATTCATGTTCAGTTCTTGGCAGTCCGACCGACGTGCATGCCAAAAATGATTTAAGCGCTCCGCCGTGTCGGCGCATCCATGAGAAAAAGAAATAGCCCCGATCTGGGACATGCGCAGGATATTACTCAAGATGGTAAGAATATCAAAGTTGGCCTATGATGACGAGCCCCAACTTGATTCTAATCGCAGCTAGACTCATCCACATAAACCCGGAACTATGGTAACTCGGATATAATCCAACGATAAAATCCTCATACACTCGCATTTGAGCTGGTGACCTAAAGTATATTTTAGCATAGTCTGGAGTCTACCCAAATCCCGCGGACCGAGTAAATAGTGGTAGCAAATCAGCATCAGAAGAAGGTACGATCCAGGGTTACTACTTTGGCCTGACATCAGACTATCTCCGCCGCCACATTAGGTTGGATAAGCATTGAATAATCCCGCTTTCTCTGCTCATAATGATTTCTGATCATACTGTACACCAGAAATTGCTTTCTTGCCTATTGGCAGGAAATCAAACATCCAGACTCTCACAATGATGTCCCACATGTCCAGTCTGCAAATGGAACCTTCCTTTACAGATGATATGGATGCCTGGATTCTTGGGAGTGGTATTGCCTCGCTCACAGCGGCGGTACACCTAATCAAAGAGGCTAAAATCCCACCCTCACGAATTCACATAATTGAAACGCTAGAGAAAGCTGGCGGAGGGTCAGCGAGCACGGGAGATCCGGTCAATGGGTACGACTATCGTGCCGGCGCAATGCCGGCTTTCAATAACATTTACGTGGAGAAACTCCTCTCCATTGTGCCTTCAAAGTCAGATCCGAAGAAGACAACGCTGGACGATATTTGCGAGTTTAGACGCTCAAGGCCACCCCATAAAAGCCCGAATACGCGAATCCTCTCACGAAAGACCTCCGGATTGGCACGGATTAGCCCGAATCAAATGGGAGTAGGATTGAGAGACCGCATAGCTTTGTATATGCTATCCTCAAAGACAGAGAAGGGCCTAGGACGATCTCGCATTCAAGATCACTTCCACTCGAGCTTTTTCCGAAGCAGTCATTGGTTAACACTGGCTACTACGTATGTATCAAGGCGGACGCAACTATGTCCGGGAGCTATGTTGACTGATTTTTTTTTTCTGAATAGTTTCGGTTTCGAACCCAGACATAGCGCCGCTGAGTTCCGTCGATATGTACATTGGTTCAAAAACGGCAAGCACGAATTGAACCACCTACGCCCGCTCGACAACGGGCAATATAACCGCCACGAATCTATCATAGTACCTGTCGCAAATTTTCTTCAATCCCGCGGAGTCGACTTCCGCTTCGGTACCACCGTTACTGATGTTATCCTTGAACCCGAAACCCACCGGCGTGTTTCCTCTATTCACGCAGTCGAAGGCAACAGCCCGGAGATAACCATCGATGTCGGACCCAACGATATTGTGATTGTGTCCTTGGGTTCAGTGATATCAGGGGCAACAAGCGGAACAAATACCACACCACCGTCGCTCGAAACCATGCGTCCCGACGAAGAGTTGGATGAAAATTGGCTATTGTGGCTGGAGTTATCGACAAAAGATCCAAAGTTTGGAAATGCATACAACTTCTGCACACGGATGTGTGAATCTAGGCAGGAATCATTCACCGTGACACTCAAGAGCCCAGAGTTCTTCAACCGCTTCACCGAGTTGACGGGCGACGCCCCAGGGTCCGGGGTTTTTGTTACCCTGAAAGACAGCAATTGGTTACTCAGCCTCAAGATCCCAGAACAACCTATGTTTCCTGGTCAGCCGTCGGACGTTCAAGTGTTCTGGGGCTATGCAGCGTTCCCAGAACGCAAAGGAGACTTCGTCCAGAAACCCATGCTCGAGTGTTCGGGTAGGGAAATCATGACTGAGATTCTGTACAATCTGCAATTACCGCTGGAACCAATCCTCGATGATTCGATCACCATCCCTTGTGTGGTGCCACGCATGGCAGCACCTTTTTTGCCAAGAGAATGTTCTGATCGGCCACCGGTTATTCCTGAAGGAATGACCAATATGGCGCTAATTGGGCAGTTTGTGGACATCCCAGATGAGATTGTCGGTACCATGGATTATTATGTGAGAGGAGCGCAGATAGCAGTGCGTCAGTTGATGGGGCTGGATCAAGACACGCTTCTCAGGGATGATTTCTGTAACTGATACCCCGACGTTTCAGTAGGCTCTTGGTGTGTGAACCAAGTTATACGAAATGGAAAATTCTTCTGATAGGTAAGCAAGAATCCAATATGCAACACTTCATAGCACTATAACGGACTTATGGTCCCTGTTGTAGAACTGTCTGTCTTCATAAACCCATATCGCGCAACAGGCAAAGGTTGCTGTACCACTTGGCTGCCAATCGATGTTTGTAGGGGTGTATGGTTGTCAAAGGTACCATATCGAGGGTATCATTGTAAGAAGCTGTGCAACAAGTGGGAAACAAAGGCTACCTAGAAAACTAGCAATTGGCTGCTTCATCAACGAATTTCTGATCCTGATCATCATGACTAGCAAATTCCCGGTCGGTCGATCTAGTATTGGATAGGTTGCACTTAAGAGAGCCGCAAACCAGAGATTGAAGTTATCGAAGTTATCGCAGGTGCTGAATTGGGCAGGATGGCAGCATCCTATGCAAGTGTGGTGATCGGGATCCGTTTAAGAAAGATGCCGGAAGTGAAAAGAGCAAATGAGAAGTAGGAAAGCTTGCCAAAAAGTGGATCAATTTGGTCTTGAGGCGGAAAGAAATCTTCAGGTGTTTACTTGTTCTGCCTGAGGCATCAATGCAGCTGCCTCGGCAAAGCCTGATGTCATCTGTTCGAATCGCCAACTTATCCTGCTTCGACCTCAATTGCGCCATGCTTTGTGATCTGCTTTGAGTACCTCAACTTTTCAGTCTCTTTCTGGTCTACTGTGCATAATCCTCCGTTTAAAATCCCCACCGTGCTTGCGACCATGGCTGCAGCCACCGCGCGACCTGCCACTCTTCCTCCGGCTGCCCTCCTTGTATACCCTGCAACACTATTGTTGGGATCCCTGTACTCGATCATTTCACCCACAGCGAACCCCTCTCGAGAAACACAACCTGCCAGCCCTCTGGTGCCCTCTCTCGCCTCAGATCTGCACCTATCCGAAAGCCCGGTCAACTACTTTGCCCGCAAGAACAATATCTTCAATGTTTACTTCGTGAAGATTGGATGGCTATGGACAACAGCTGCTTTCGTATCGCTCCTCATCTTCCAACCGCTTTACTCTTCATCCCTTCCACAGACCTCGTCACAGCAAGAAGCCCGTTTCCGCCGCACTCTCCAAGCTGTTTTGCGTTACGCACTTGCGACAACAGCATGGTACCTCTCAACGCAATGGTTCTTCGGGCCAGCAATTATTGACCGTGGATTTGTGGCCACGGGTGGAAAGTGCGAACGTGCATTTGAGAAGTTCGGGGATATGAGTACCGGGACCGCCGACCTAGAAGTGCTGTTTACGGCCGCTACATGCAAGGCTGCTGGTGGAGCCTGGAGAGGTGGACACGATATCAGTGGACATGTATTAATGCTGGTGCTCGCCACGGGACTTTTGGCATTTGAGGCTGTCGGTGCTAGTGCGCCTGCGTTTCTTTCTCGCTTTGGTCCCACTGGGAACGCGGGGCGAGAGCGCAAGCCGAGCGACGCCGACAGGGCTGCTACGGTTGAACCCACTGAAGACGGCGGGTTTGCCAGGACGTGGTCACTTCGTCTTGTTTGGGGTGTTATAGGCTTGGGATGGTGGATGCTCTTCATGACTGCGATTTGGTTCCATACGTGGGTAGAAAAGGTTCGTATATTCTTGCCAGTCCAGCATTCTACTTTCTATTGCTAACTTATCTGGCTAGTGGTCCGGTCTTTCGATCGCTTTGAGCACCGTTTACGCCATCTATATCCTACCTAGACAATTGGCATCATGGAGGAGTATTGTTGGACAGCCAGGGGTATAGACGCTGTGTATTCGACATGCCATTTGTTCATCTGTGAATATGCCAAGTAATGATAGATTGCATTGTTTTGAGCTTAGAAACCAAGGTCTTTGGTGCGTTTAGTCCTAATTTTAATAGGATATATGAATTGAACACACTTTTTATGCGGCCCCTTTCATTGATACACCTGGTGCGGCAGTTATGTACAGCGGTTTTGTCGGGTGTGTTCACTTCTCGGGTACTGGCTCGGCTTCGGGGCCCAAGAAACCACTTTGAAACGCTGTAATCCACAAGCATATTGTCAGTATCATTATCAAGGCTGGTCGGATCGGATTGACTCACCTCCCGGAATCAAGGCAGCTGCGTACATCACCCGAGTGATAGGCCTCAGGTCCTCCGGTGTCAGGTCATCAGCGATGGTGAGCTCCATATATGGGTCCCAAGCAGCAATAATAGCAGCAGAGAATGTCTTCAGGTCAACGGCGAGCTCTTTCTCTTTGGCCTGTTTAGCCTGGCACTCTATGCCCATGCAGGTACCGAATTCACGAAAAGCCAAGCGAAATTTAATATTCCGCTCCAGGTAGTGGTTGACTTCGAATAGATTGTCTGGATTTATCTGTCAGCATACTGGCAAATTATAGGCGACAACAATGACTGACACGTTTGTTCAAAGCATCTTTTGGATAATTCAGCAGCCCAAGCTTCTCGCTCGGAAAACCAATGAGTTGTCCACAAGGTCATTCCCAAATCCAACGGGTCACTAGAAACATAGTGCTCCCCTTTCCGATTCATCACACGTCTGTAATCGGAGATCTCTTCGGCCAAGACCTCGCCATCACCTGCTTCCACGGCCGAAGCCTGCAATAGGCGAAAGACCACATATCCATCTATAGGATCCAGATTCCCTTCTGATGCAACCAGTGCCTTGGTCAAATCAATATCCATCTTCCACACCATCCTTGGCCGAGCTGTGGTACGATCAATAAAGAACTTCGGATGGACAGCTTTCGCCAGTTGCACAGCTTGTCTGTTATATTCCATATTCCCAGACGCCCTGGCCATCCGATTCAGCGCAAACATCCACAAAGTCAGGTAATGGTGATATTGCCCATCTGCATCTGGACCATGATCATCCGTCTTGCCGATTCTCAACCCACCACCCAGCGGGTTCGTATCTGTTGCCCCCGGCAGCCTGGAATCCCCATCGCGGGTTCTACCTAGCACATTATGCACGGTATGAACCAGACGCTCTGCGAGTATTAGATATCGTTTATCCCAGTCTTCTGGTTTCGTGGATATTTTGTATTGGCTGTGCATTGTCAACAAGTTGATCACGCCGAACGCGTCTGTCCACAGGTATCGTCCTCGGTGGCCGCCCGACCTTGGTGGCGGATTCCAATCGGCAGGCTCTATTATGCTGGTGAAGCTGTCATATAGTGATTCCATGGCTTGCTCGAAACGGTCTAGGCGTGGGGATGGGCTGCTGATTGGGAGAGCCATTTTGGAAGTATACTTGCTGAATATTAATTGAGCATGGGCTTGGTTTTTGAAAATAGGGAATGTTTGTCTGCAAGTCAGGCGAGGTCGAATTAGAGACCTAGAACATTGCATTGAGTTTGTTTCCTTTGCAGTGGCATGCACTTTTGTCGCGCTTATTGGTGCTGGTGCATTAGGATTCGGGTTGGACGGGTGAAGTCATCATGACTTTCTAGTCGCCCCGGTGTAAACCATTCGCTAGGAAGTCTCCCGAACAACAGAAGGGCAGAAAAATACGATAATTGGAATCGGGAAACGGAAGATGAATCCCTATCAGCAAGAAAAACATTCAATGTGTCTAGGTTGACCGGCTTCATCAGTTGACTATCAACAGTCCATGCGATCAGTCTCTTTTTTCTTGAGGTCAAAGAAAATGCCACAATTACAAGGACTGTTCAATTCAGCAATTGAGCCCCTTCCTGCAATTGAGGACCAACATTTCGCCTACCATTTCGATACCTTCGCGGGCAAACAAGTGATGCTGTTAGGTGACGGCAGTCACGGAACATCCGAATTCTACTCCGCACGAGCAGAAATTACCAAGCGACTCATCGAGCATCATGGGTACACCATGGTAGCAGTGGAGGCAGACTGGCCGGACGCAGAAGCGATCGATCGGTACGTGCGCTTGCGCCCGGGGCCAAAGTCACAAATTGGAGGCATCGCAAAGGGATACGAGCCCTTCAACAGATTTCCAACATGGATGTGGAGAAACTCCGAAATGCAACGTTTGGTAGAGTGGATGCGTGGTCGAAATCAGCGCCTGCCGCCAGAGAGAAGGGCAGGGTTCTATGGGTTGGACCTGTATAGCATGGGAGCTTCGATTGGCGCGGTGATTGATTACTTGGATCGGATAAATCCACAGGCAAGCAAGCTCGCTCGTCGGAGGTATGGGTGTCTAGAACCCTGGATTGATGATCCCACGACCTATGGTCTGGCATCCCTGCAAGGCATGGAAGATTGTGAAGAACGTGTGGTGAAGATGTTGTCAGATCTTCTGGAACGACGGATTGAATATGCTCAGCGCGGCTTGTGTGATGGCGATGAGTATCACAGTGGTGAGCAGAATGCTTATCTAGTTCGTGATGCTGAGAAGTACTACAAAGCGATGTATTACAGCTCTGCAAGCTCGTGGAACTTGCGTGACATTCACATGTTTGAAACCTTGGAAAGGCTGTTGCAGCACCATGAGGGACAAAAAGCTATTGTCTGGGCACATAACTCTCACGTTGGAGATGCACGCTATACCAGTATGGGTATTCACCGCAAGGAACTCAATATTGGACAGCTGTGTCGTGAGCGATTAGGTCACGAGAACGTGACCATCCTTGGCTGTGGCACTCATACTGGGACGGTCGCAGCTGCTCATGAGTGGGATGGTGATATGAAAGTGATGAATGTTCGTCCGTCTCGAAAAGATAGTTGGGAGATCATTGCCCATGATACTGGGGTAGCGAGTTTCGTGCTAGACTTGCGTCGGGATCGTATAGATGCTTCTCTGTGGTCTGCTCTGTCCGCTGAGCAGCGGCTTCAGCGCTTTATTGGAGTTCTTTATCGCCCTGATACTGAACGCATCTCACACTACTCGCAGGCGATTCTACACAAGCAGTTTGATGGATATATCTGGTTTGATGAGACTCAGGCTGTCAATCCTCTCGAGATCATTCAGCCTGACACGCCGCTTGGAAAGGGTGAAACATATCCATTTGGGCTCTAGTCAATGTGAAAGACAAGTTTCGAACATAGATCCTAATGCGATAGAAAGACAAGTATAAAATGGGATCCAATTATGCCATTTATGGACTAGCGTAGTCTGACGTCGGGACCGAGGGGTTCGGGACCGAGCAACGTTTGATAATGTTTCTCGTTCGACATTCAATTAGACATCACCCACTACTATATATTGAATGCGAGACGTCTTACAAGAAAAAAGTAGCGGTTGATGTGAACATTTCTTGCTGCTGAGCTGCGTTGATGTATTTGTTTTACAGCACGACCTCCCTTCACACTGCGAGTCCCACGGGTGGATTCAAACATGTCTGGGATCACAAGAGGACATTCTTGCACGTTATGTCAAAGGCGCAAAGTCCGGTGTGACAAGCAGAAGCCCTGTGGAAACTGCGTCAAAGCAAACGCAGAATGCATTGCTGCTCCTATGCGGCCTCGTGGGAAAAGAAATACACCGAAGCCCCAAGGTAAAGACTTGGCTGAAAGAGTCAAGAAGTATGAAGAGCTTATGACCCGACATGGGCTTGATTTTGAGTCACTCATTGGCCAGGGTACTTCTGGTGCACCTGAGCTGCCTCAAAACAAGGAAGTGTCTCCCAAGGAGGGCCCTGGGAACAAACGCCCGTCTAGGACGACTAAAGAAATGTAAGTCTTGGAATTTGAGTGGCATCACTTGAAGGCTTGAGTCCTAACATACTACTAGAGATTCTAAATGGTTTGCCTACTATAATGAGGTATGGGATCGAACAAGGTATGAATGCAACGCCTAGCTAACTGTACCCAGTATCGAGCTACTGACGAAATGCTCAACGGCTCCTCCGACGAAGAAAATGAGCGTCCAACTGTACACCATGCTTTCGATGCCATGTTCAGTGACAATAGCGGCTTTCCATTTTTTGCAGGGAGTTCGCAAACGGAGACTTTATCACATCCATCTTCAACCCAAGTCATTCAATTATGGCAAATATACATAAACAACGTGAACCCTGTTCTCAAGATAAGCCATGTTCCCACACTTCAACCTCAAATAATTGAGGCTTGCACAAACCTCGTCAATATTCCGAAGCCTATCAGTGCTCTCATGTTTGGGATATACCTCACAGCCATTATTTCTATGGATGAAAAGGGCGTTCAGAATATTCTCGAATGCGACCAGTCTACTGCTTTTGCTCGATATCGCGAGGCCATGGAACAAGCTCTGATAGATGCTTGTTTTATGAAGTCTTCTGATTTTATGGTGCTCCAGGCCTACATTTTATATCTGGTCAGTTGCACTTCCTTGGTTCCTCGTCATCTTTCAGCGTCAGCCTTGAATAAGGAAATTATCACTCGTCAGACATCCTGGAGCCTGCTAACGGAAAGTTTTGAATAGATCACTATGAGACTTTGGATTGATCCCCGGTCACTGTTTTGCCTCATAGGCATCGCAGTGCGCATGGCAACCCGCATTGGCCTGCATCGAGACGGTGCCCAATTCGGCCTGTCGCCCTTTGATACTGAGCAAAGAAGACGACTTTGGTGGCAAATAGTCGTCCTAGACAAGCGAATAGCTGAAATCACCGGATCCCCAATCAACGCACTATCCTCTATGGGAGCAGACTGTCGGTATCCCCTCAACGTGAACGATACAGACCTCCATCCCCAATCCAAAGAGCCACCATTATGGTCTCCCGGCATCACAGAGATGACCTTTGCTCTCACGCGGATTGAAATTACCATCGCTTCTGCACCCAACGGAATTCGACCAAATCCCAGGGCTCCCGAATCCGCAATTTTTAACAAAGCGTCCACCACGGATCCTACCAGCCAAACTCCAGATCCCAACATCTCCGAAACCCTCGATCGCTACTGCAGACACATGGAAACAACTTATCTAAAACACTGCAATACCGAAATCCCCCTACAACTCTTCACTCTTCTAATGACTCGCGTATCCCTGCACAAACTCCGAGTCCTAGACTTCGTCTGTCGAGGAACCACATCTCCAGACCCGGACAAAGAAAGACAAGATGCGGCCTTCCTAGCTGCAATAGAAATGCTCGAATCAGACAATACCATCCATTCAACGCCAAGTCTCCGTGGACTAGTCTGGTACAGTCATATGCATATCCCCTTACCGGGATACATTTTCCTTGCGAATGAACTCCGTGACCGGACTCATGGCGAACTCTGTGAACGTGCTTGGATTGCTATTTGCCGAAGTCCTTATCATAAGGGGTTGAGTCGAAATCTTCGGAGTCCGTTGCACGTCGCTCTTGCGCAGGCGCTTTTGAAGAGCTGGAGAGCAAAGGAGAGGGTGGAGTTGAAGAGTGGGAGGGTTCTGCAGGTTCCGGGTCTTGTTAGTTCGCTTCGGGAGAGTCTTCCTGGCCATCTGACCAAACAGAAGGTTGGGAGGAATGTAGCGGGGGCTGCTATGGAGGCTGAAGATTGGTCTAAGCCAAGTTCTATGCATGAGACTGGGAATATGATGTCTGGAGAGAACATGCTACTGGAATCTATGACTCTTACAGACGATTTTCCTGGGTCATCATCTTTCGATTACAACCAGGTTTTCTGGACGAATTTGATGCAGGCCGGTGCTTTTGGTGGGATTTGGAATGGTTATGATTATATCATGCCCCAAGAGCGGCCTACGCCCTGAGGCTTAATGCATTTATTCTGAGGGCGATGGGGAAATTGTTGACAGTTAATTACATTAATTACATCAATGGTTATGACGAAGCGGCTGTCCCTCCTGAGCCAGCTTCTGATACTTGACGGCCTTCTTCATAACCATACCCTCACTCAACTGTGCCGTTTCCTGGCGGAACAGCTCCTGCCATGGAGTACCACTAGGAGCGACAGTATATCCATCAACACCTAAGTCCTTCCTCCGCTGTGCAATCTCTTCATCACTGACGAGAAGATTAACCCGCCTCTTTCGTAAGTCAATACGAAGCCTGTCTCCGTCTTTCAGGATGGCAAGGTTGCCACCGGCCGCGGCTTCAGGGCTAGCATTCAAGATAGAAGGAGATCCAGAGGTGCCAGACTGCCGACCGTCTCCAATACAGAACAGGCCATCGATACCATCCTTGAGAAGTCGACCAGGCGGATGCATGTTAACAACCTCTGCCGCTCCGGGATAACCTATCGGGCCAACACCACGCATAACGAGAATGGTCTTATCGTCAATTTGTGCAGAGCTTTCTAGACGGTGTTCATAATCTTCAGGTCCATCAAAGACAACCACAGATCCTTCAAACGCATCCGGGTCTTCGGGGTTGGAAAGATAGCGTTTCCGGAAAGCAGGCGAGATCGCACATGTCTTCATGATAGCAGAGTCGAACAGATTCCCCTTCAGATGAGCGAAACCGGCATCCTTCATTAATGGGTCGTCATATGGACGGATGACCTTCCGGTCCCAGGTGTGCTTCCTACGAACATTCTCAGCCATGGTTTGGCCATTGCAGGTTAGCACACCGCCGTGAATCTTGCCCTGGTCCAAGAGCTCAGCCATAATGGCCGGAAGACCACCAGCACGGTAGTATTCCTCGCCGAGATATTCGCCAGAAGGTTGCATGTTCAATAGCAGGGGGATGGTTGATCCCAGGGTATCCCAGTCATCCATGGAGACTTCCACGCCCGCATGCTGGGCAATGGCATTGATGTGGATAGGGGCGTTGGTGCTACCACCAATAGCGGCGTTTGCCACAATCGCATTTTCGAATGCCTCTCTTGTCATCAGATCACATGGCTTGCGGTCTGCTTCTACCATTTCCACAATCCGTAGGCCGGTTTCATAAGCGCACTGAGCTCGGTGGCGGTATGCTGCGGGAATGGCGGCTGACCCTGGGAGTGCCATTCCTAATGACTCCGCCAGGGCATTCATGGTTGAGGCAGTGCCCATGGTGTTGCAATGGCCGACTGATGGTGTTCTGGATTTAGAATTAGCTTCTGCTGCTCTGACATAGATTATTCGTAAGGACTTACCCTCTGGCAATATAATCCATAAATTCATGCTCGTCGATGTCACCCGTGGCATATAGCTCTCGCCCATGCCACAACACACTGCCTGCTCCGGTCAAAGCTCCTTTGGAGTAACCATTGAGCATAGGTCCCACATTCATGCAGATAGCAGGAATATTCTCCGAGGAGTCAGCATCGATGTATCAATTTCTCTGTAATCATGAAACTCACCATAGTAGCCGCAGCCATCAAACAAGCAGGTGTGGTCTTGTCACACCCAGTGAGCAAAACAACACCATCAAGGAAATACCCAGTCAAGATTTCCACCAAACCAAGATACGCAAGATTTCGATCAAGAGTGGCAGTTGGCCGTCTGGAAGTTTCCTGAATAGGATGCGTAGGGAACTCAAACGGAATACCACCAGCAGTTCGGATACCCTCCCGAACCCGCTTCGAGAGTTCAATATGGTGGCGATTGCAAGGCGCAATATCCGAACCTGTCTGGGCAATTCCAATCATGGGTTTCCCAGACATGAGTTCTTCCCGGGTAATGCCGTAGTTGAAATACCGCTCCATATAGATGGCAGTCATACCAGGGTTATTGGCACAATCAAACCACGATGAAGATCGGAGTGTTCTACCCGGTTGCTTGACGGGGACTTGGGCATTGTCGCGCTCGTTTGTGACACCCATGCGGGTTTCTAGTTCCTGGTTTCGTCGTCGCAGAGCTTGTAGCTCGCTAAGACAATCTTCTATGTTGATGGACTGCGGCTCAGGGGCGTCATTGCTGCATGAGCAGCCCTCGCAGGACTTTTTGTCTGAGCATGCCATGGTGTGGGATATGAGACTATGTTCAAGGGTGACATTTTAAGTGGGGGATTGCAGATTATATATGGACGGCTCTTCATTCGTGTCTCCCTGGAATTGCGGAGGTCGGACTGACAGTTTCCGGAATGCGTGGGGTGTAGTGATGTAGTGGGAGGTGAGATGTTGCCCTCGGCCGAGATTTGCCTCTCGGGAAGTCACCAGCCGGACGGATATTGGTATTTCCTTACAACATATCTACGGAGTTCAACTTTTTTCATTTCTTGATTCGTTCATCTCACAATGCAAGGAACAAACCGTGTCAAATCCGTTCTCGACAAGGGCAGACTCGCGCTGGGCGTGTGGCAGATGTTGCCCGGCAGCAACATGTCGCGTACTCTAGCACGAGCTGGATATGATTGGGTTCTGGTAGACTGTGAACATGGCAACATTGACGGTAGGCAATGCCCACCTTTATGTATTCAAAACATACTCACATTCTTTCAGACGCTGCAATGCATGAAGCTGTCCCCGCCATAACGTCATATGGAGTCAGTCCCATTGTCCGAGTTCCGGATTTCCAGTCGTGGATGATCAAACGTACGTGTTTTGCGTTCAATACAAGCCAATATACTAACACTTTGCATAGGAGCACTGGACGCAGGTGCCCATGGAGTCCTCGCTCCCCTAGTCCGAACAGTCGAGGACGCCAAGAGCTTCGTCGAGGCATGCCGATTCCCACCACAGGGCAAGCGAGGCTTCGGCTCGCCATTCCCAATGGAGCGCTTTGGCCCAAATGTGACTGCTACGCAATATCTGACCGAGGCCAATGCCAACCTTTTGCTAGCCGTGCAAATTGAGACCAAGGAAGCATTCGACGATGTTGATGCCATTGCCGCTGTTGACGGGCTCGACCTGTTGTTTGTGGGGCCATTCGATCTCGGAAATGGTATTGGACACCCCGTGTTGACCGGCACCTTCGCCCCTGAATTGGAGCAGGCTATTGAGAAGGTTCTGGCTTCGGCTCATAAGGCTGGCAAGAAGGCTGGTATTTACTGTGGGAGTGGAACTCAGGCGAAGAAATATGCTGATCTTGGATATGACTTTGTCAATGTTATTACTGATATTGGGGCTTTGACTAGCTCGCTGGCGAGTGAGATGCAGATTGTTACTCAGAAGGCGGGTAAGACTACTTCTGGGCCTTATGGTAACTAGACTATCGTTAGTGATAAAGTAGAGGTTCTTCGGAATAGATTTTTCTTTTCAATAAGATGTATTTTTATTCATGCGCCAAGAGAATGCCAAAAGGAAAGTGACTCGACATCGACCTGGAAGCCTTGGGCAATTGCCTCAAGGTCGAGATCGGACAATTCCAAATTTAACAAAGGAGATCCGAAACCAACAGCACGGTCTGAGAACCCTTGTTCGCCAGTTGAAATATTTGAGTCCTCTATGACAATACTTTCACCCGGCAGACTCTGCACGGAAGTACTAGTGCGCTGATTATCATCCGGGGCACCGATCCCCAGATGAGAAATCAGCTTATCTAGATTCTCCTTTGCCTTTTCTGCTGCAGCATACAAACGCGTATGCTCGACTAGGATATTGCGACATAGTACCAAAGACTGAAAGACGGTAGAGTTGCTTCCCTTCTGTGCAACTATCCGAGCGTGGATAGTCGCGCTGATGTAAGTGGCATAAGAGAGCATATATGGCGCACTGCTCAATGAGAAATGCTGGGAGTAGTCATGCAATATTTGAACAATTTGATTTGCAGCCGACGTGCAGGCGTTGACTGATTCATGTGCGGTTGTTGAATTTATCACGCCGCCCTGGCCTCCTGTGATTAATGGGCGATGTACGAGAATGATCAACACATTGAACAGAGCCCTGAATTTCGTCAGTTGGGATCCATTAAATTAGGCATTGCTGGGGGGATACACACAGAAGGCAGGCTGACTGAGGCAGAAGAACCGATTGGTTTGGAAAGGATAGATAGTCAAGCTGAGGTGTCAGGTTTTGTCTCCATCTTCTCAGTTGGGACTTGATATCCTCCGAGACACTCTCTCTATGAGTGAGGCTCGAGTCTCGAGATTCGGAATAGATTTCGCAGAGAATTCGTTCGACAATTGTTGTCAGCTCGCAGAAATTTGTTAGCAAAGATACGTTCAATGATGGAACCACTTTATATGGCTTGATGGTCGTGTATGAAATATCCTGAAAAGGCTCAAGTTCATCGAAATCATCCAGGAAATCCAACGATGCCCGCATATTAACGTGGTTAAGAAGAGGCGGTCTGCCTTGGAAAAGGCATTGAATCTTATCGATCACTGTAGACCTGTCAGATTCGATTCGTTCGATCCCTTGGGGGGATGGTAGACTCACGGTATGCCCCCCAAAGTACTCGCTTCCGAATTTCAAGTTCTTCAGCAGGGATACTGTCCGGGGAAGGAAGCACATGCAATCCCAGATCAATAAACATGTTGAACGCATTGCCAGCATAAAGCCACGACAAACTCCTCTCGTCACATCGGGAGAAAAGAGCATTAGACATAATCAGCAATGCCTGGAGAGTGGTGATCTCGCTCTTGTCAAAACAGTCCCGGAGAAGTTGAGTGAACCGTTGACGGAATTTCCATCCTGCGGTAGTAATATCGTTTGGGTCAGAGCGAAGCTCGGGACTGTCACAATGCTTTGATACCACAAAGAATATCGCATTCAGTAGTAATTTGGAAAAATACGGTCCTTCGCAGGCCATGTCTCGCATGAATGCTGGCCGGTAAATTATTTGTGCTGTGTAGAGTTGACGACTCCAGTATATGGAGAGCAGATGAATGCCTATCTCGGGATCGACGCTGTCAAAGTCGAGGGTTCCTGCAGCTAGATTGAGGGATTCTAGTTGCCCTGTGTACAGTCATTTAGTACTAGATCGTTAACTTTTCTATGGTGTATGACTTACTCTGTCTTGCGGTCTGAGAGAAGAGAAGATGCCGTGTCATCTCTTCATTGGAATGATTCTCTGAAGTTGGGCGATTGTTCCCACTATAATTCGGACTCGTATCATCGTATACTGTACTTGTTGGGCCATGATACAGCGATGTATTCCGGTGGTCGTTTTCCGGAACTTCTGGACGCGATGCGTCTCTGGTTTGGTTGGAAGAATCATTCCGCGAGAGACCGATACCACCTCCTAGTCTTGAGAATGGTAATGGGGTTCGCGGGCTGGCCAATGTAATCGGACTCGCTTGTTCTGATTGAACTCTCGCAGCTGGTCCGGCATTGCCGTTCCGTAGCTGAGTGCATTGCTGTCGAAGTATCTCGTTCTCCTGTTCTAGTTCTGCAATGCGGTGATTTGTTGGCCTGGTTATGGATTTCAGTCCTGTATAGGTCATCCAGGGCAATATAGACTGTACCTTGGCTTTTGTTGCACAGGACCTGCCTGGCAGTCAACTCCCTTGGCCATGCAGTTGCCGCACTGCGGTCTTTGTGCATCACACTTCAACTACTGATTATCAGCCTTTGATCTCTATATATGAATATAGTTCCGAACCTTTTTCTGGCGGCAGAACACGCATGCCGCCGCCGATCGGCTTCTTCGAGTCGGCATTTGTAGTCGGAACGTCTCATTCCGAGATTTGCCCCCGAGATCATTCAGCCCGGATGTTGCCGCCTTACATGTCAGGCCTTCCATCCACAGTTCCAGATCATTAGCAAGCTTTGTGGGGGTGGCTGAAGTACACATAAAAGAGGCTTTAGGGAATTTGAACGTATGGCTCCAAACTAGTCAGTCGAACTTTGATTAGCTCTAATTTCAGCCAACCCAGGGATCTCGAGTGGTCGAAGTATGGGAACTTATATCCTCTTCATTATCTAGATCTAGCTCGCTTGCCAGCCTCATAGCCATAAACAGGCACTGTCACACTCATATAGCGCATCTATAAAGTTCGACCGGTGCCATTTGTCGCCTACAAGCCGTCAGAATCTACATGCATCCGAAGGCTCAAAGATCGAGAAAACATGTATAATCGCATAATTCGTGAATTTCTTACCCAAGAGATAGTCCTTTCAGCGCCGCGCTCGCAATGCTTCAATAAAAAATAAGAACGCCAATGAATGCACCAGGTTCACGACCCCAATCTACATCCCCATCCAGCAATTCAAACCACATCAAGATCGGAACCAGACCTCAATTCCCACCATCTGACTCAGGAACCGTCCCTCCAGAAGCAACAACCACACGATCAACCTCCCCCCGACATTCAGGCATAGCACTCCTCATCTCCCGGGCAAGCACATCCCGAAAGCTCCCAAAAGCCTCACGCTTCCCGCGCAAATCCTGATTACCGCGCTGAACAAGCTCAACAAATTCACGCGTGTAGATATCCGGGTTGCGGGCTGAGTCCACGTAGTCGATGATTTCTGGTGGGAGTTGGATGCTTGATAAAGGTGGGTTTGAGGGGTCTATATTTTGGTTTTGCTCTTGTTGGGTTTCGCTGTTTGATGAGGGTTGGGTGTGCGTTGAAAGGGTTGAGAGGGCTAATGTGAGGTTTTTGCTGTGGTGGTTTTGTTGGTTAGCTTCTATTTTTGATGCGGTGGTTTGGAGGTGCGGAGTGAGGCAGGGATGGCTCTTAGAGTTTGGGTGTGATTTTGAGGGATGGATTTTATACAGATTTGGTGTCATTGGTGCTAACGTACATCTTTCGCACGAGCTCTTGCTGCGTCTCTGGGCCCAGGTAGCCGTGGACGGCGGATTGTATCTCGAAGAGATGTTGGATGACCTCTTTCAGGTCATCTGTATAGCGCGTTAGCTTTAAGTTCCCAGAGCTAGCCAGAAGAGACTTACCATCGACCGTCTTCAATGTGACGGGTGCCATAGCCTGAACTCTGAAGAAGAGTCTGAGCAAGGGACAAGTGAGGTTTGTCTTGGTCTTGCGGGGAGAAACCAAAGGCGGTGAGCGAGATCGATCTAGATCAAAGCACACGCGCAGATGTCAGAGGATACAATCTTTTGGAGAGATACTGAGATTTACGAAATAAAAGTCAGAGAACTTATGTCAGGTCCAATATGTCACTGTCTATATATGCATAGCTCGAGGGAACCAGTCATTCCTGGAGATGCGCCCGAAGGGCGAACACACGTACACACGCTGAAACCGCATCATGTGAAACAAAAGACTTCTATCCTGTAGTCTACACTTCCCGAGTCCGCAAACTAGCGTATTTGGGGATTTCAATCTCCGTCTCCATCTCAAGTCCGGAGAGACTGGGGAACCGTTTGCTGAAATTGGCTTCCCAGTCTTCTCCGCCGGGGCTTGCCGGGATTGTTTGGAAGGACGGACTCTGGCCCTGGCCTTTGCTGCTGCCAGGTCGCGAGGTGTCCCCGCCAACGCGCAGGTTCTTTGGCTTTGGTGGTGCGGTTGGTCTGGCGGCGGGACGTTGCGTGGGTGGGTAGCTAGGGGTTTTGCCAGAATGTGGGAGTCCTGCTGGGGCGCTGTTGTCTTCCCGGCGGTCTGGAATGGCGATGGAGCCCTCGCGGGAGTTGTAGCTAGGACCGGATGTCCTAGATGCGGGGATCTTACAGGAAATGGGTTGGGTTTCACTCTGCTTTGCCTGCAAAGGAGAGGAAGTCTCTGTGAACCGGCCATATCCAGTCGCTGTCTTGGGAACGACGGGCTTGTTAGACTCTCCGAGCAACGACTGCATCTTGTCCTGAATGGTGCGGGAGCGAGGGCCATCGCTGGCCGACCTTCCTCCGTCGCCCTTTTCAGCAACCCGGCGCCGATACTCGGCTGCAGCACTGGCAACCCGTTTCTCTTCTTGTGAGAGTCTACGGCGCTCCAGCTCCCGACGCATCTCTGGTGAGATGTCGTCGCGGTCAGCATCTTTCATAGCAATCTCATTGTCAGGGGAGAAGCGTTCTTCGCCCGAATCAGACCCTCCAATCAAAACCTGCTGAGGCACGCCCTCAGATGGTGGTGTTGAGGGTTTATCCTGGTTACCCGCCTCGAATCGGCGGAAAGCATCGCCAAATCGTCCAGCAAACAGGTTCTTGCCTCCTGAGAGCGAAAGAGTGGAGAGACTGCCACGCTGTTTGTGCTTGTGGCTACCGCTAGAGCGTTTCTCACGCTTCCGGTTGCTTTCCTCTTCCTCCATCGCTCGTAGATAGTCGACATCCGAGGAAATCTTAGCCCGATCAGCATCCCGATCAATGTCGGTACGGACAGATCGTAGTGGCGCACCACCTTCATACTGGGCACGAGACATATCCAAAGAGGAGCGAGGGCTCTCAGAATCACGTGGCAAGTCATATCTCGCAGGTGATTGTACTGACAGGGGACGAGCTTTGGGCACGGCAGACTTAGAGCGTACAGGGTCGTTCACCTCCAACCCGGATGGGCGGCGCAAGGTCTCCATGGATGGGCGCGCGGAGTTGGACAGAGTAGACATATGATCGGATGAGAGGCGAGGACTCGCTTCCGGCTTCAGGCCTGACATTGGAGGCGACGGCGCCTGTTCTTCTGCCTTCCAAGATTGACTAGAAGGACGCTCGTTGTCGGACGATGGGAATCGATAAATCGGGCGACTCGAGATCTTCGGCTCAGGCAGGCGAGGTGTTTGAGCAGGCGAAGTCATAGTACCAGTCGACACCATTGTTGGGCGCTGGGGGGTGGGTTGATACAACGGGGCTGGCTGTCGTGTAGGCACTTCACGAGCATTGGGAGATCGCACTGGCGAGGCTTCAGATGGTCGCTTGAAAGCTGGTTTCTGCTCGCGCTCAGGTGACTGGTGGCGGGCAAAGGCGTCGTCAGCCAAGGCATTGGTGAGTCGCTGGGAAAGATCTTCGTCCTCGGACTTCGATTCTGCCACAGCTGGTTCGAACTCGAATTTGTCACCCTTCTCGTGCAAAATATCAAACTGGTCCAACGATGGGAAGCGTTTCGACGTCTCTTCTAGCGTCTTCTTTCGGGGAGCACCTCCATCCAAAGCGGCGAATGGATCAGTCGAGGAGCCAACGGCCGGAGGACGGTACGGCGATGGACTGGGTCGCGCGGAGCTAGGGTGGGATGACTGGGGTTTCCCTGGTCTACCACGTCGCATGGGCGCAATCTCTGGGATTATCTCGGTCTCTTGCACCGGAGGGGTGAAGGTTGCGCCGGGAGCTGGGGCTTCTACAGGTGTAGGAGGAAGCTCCTGGTACTTGCGCGCTTCGGAGATAGAGCGATTGGAATATATCTACCTTTTGTCAGCATCAAACATCCATAAGGAAAAGTGTGGCCACGAACGTCTTTGATCGGAATATCCTTTCCTTGCATCTTACACGCCTCACGCACCACCTCGTATATGTTCGGACGGTTGCGCGGATCTTCCTTCAGCATTGAACCTGAGCCAGTCTGTCAGTGCCAGTCCATCCATCTCAGAGATAAGTCCAAACTCACCAACCAATAGCTTCAACCGAGGCGAGAATGATGGGTAGGAGGGGTATTTGAAGGTCGCGTTAAGAATGGCCATCTGACCAACCTCTTCAAACGGAGTCGTATAGTAGCATAGTTTGTACAAGAACACACCGAGTGCCCAAATATCACTCTTCTCATCGATGGGTTGCTTCCGGTAGACGTCAATCATCTCCGGGCTGCGGTACTGCAATGTTGTATGCCGCTGCACATCATCTTCAATCAAGCGACCTTCGGCAGCCGAAGTCGCAGCAGGACGAGGGGGTGCAGAGGATCCAAAATCACACAACTTGTAGGTGGCGGAGCTCCCCTTGCCCGAAATCAATACATTCTCGACCTTCAAATCACGATGAAGAAGAGGGGGCTTGAGGTAGTGCATACAAGCAACGCCTTCAGCCACATCCGAGAATATCTTCACAATCTCCGGCTCTGTCAAGCGGTGCTGAAGCCGGGTGTTCATGAAGTCAATCAGACCCCCGCCCGCGCAGTACTCCATAATCAGGAACACCTCATATCCGCCGCCGCGCAACTGCGAAGCATGCGAATCAATATACTTTACAATATGCCGGTGGCCCTTGAGTTTTTTCATCGTTTCAACCTCGGTGCGCATGTTGGCGAGGGCCGCTTTGTCGGGCACGGCAACCCGCTTGAGCACTGCGGTCTCGGAGCCATTGACAGCTTGAGGCAATCGCACCACGTAGACATGAGCAAAGCCACCTTCAGAGAGGTACTTTTCCACTACCACGCGATGGCTGCCGACCTGCACCTTAGTGCCCGGAAGCAAGGTCCCCGCAGGTGCAGCCGTTGCGGCGACGGGATTGTAGGCGGGGAATTGACGTGACGTCGCGGAATGACCATGATAGGCTTGGGAGGACATGGTGGCACGGATGCCCTTAAAGGGCAGGTCAGAAATCGGTTCTCGACGACTAGCGACGCGGCATAGAGAGGGAGAGGGGGGAGGAGAACGGGGGGGCGAATGTTGGAGTTGGATGCGAGAGAAGCTAAGGGGACAAGTTGGCGGGGAGGCGGAGACACGGGGGTAGTACCTGACTACCAAACAGCCGCAAAGGACAGAAATGAAGCTGAGTTGAGATAAGAAGAGGACGATTGATGCGAGAGAGCAATGGAATCTCAACACCGCCCAATCATCGGCTACGGATCACGTTCTGCCGAGTCCTCTCTCGCTCTACAGATTAACTTGGACTTCGAATGGCTCCAGTGGGCCACTCCATTCACCCCATTCACCCCATTCACCCCGTTCACAGACTCCAGTGACTTCAATGACTCCAACATACGGCCCTGACCTGGTCATGGCCTCGCATCTCATGCCATAGGTCATGGGACCTGATTCCGGGCCTCGGAGAGCCAACTACACGTGTTACAGGCACCAAGAGGCACCATTTACCCTCAACACTTGTCCAAGCCAAAGCCAGCCACAATAACCTCTCAGGGCTAGTGACCCACTAAGTTCGAATGAGCCCCAACCGCTTGACCGCAATATCAACTCGGAGGTTGTGATGTTCCGTGTCCCCAGCCCATGCTTGATGTCGTATTGGCTGAGGGAGGCTTCAGGGTCCGACTCAAATAAAGGAACACCATAACTGTGTCATACATGTGCATATAAGTCTGTAGGGAGTATGAACCATGATATCACCGTGTCTCACCTTATTGCCCTGAGATCAGGTGTCGAGGTGTCAAAATGAGATGACATAAGCCGTTCCCAAAAGGGAAAAATCAAAACAACAAAACACTCCGGGCTTCAGCTTGATGTTTGTGGTGATAGATCCAATCAGTTGTAGATGAAACATATGAGAAAGACTCCTATGCGAGCCACCCGTTGAATCTGACTTGTCTTTAAAAAGATCTTCACGGAGGGGCACAACTGTATCAACAGTTTCATCCCTTGACGTTCCGCTGTACAGGGCCAGAGCCACTCATACTTGAGCCTTGGATCGCGTGGCATTCAAAAAATTCCATGTAATGTTAGATGTCACATCCCAAAATTCATAGAATCCGAGTAAATGTCTTAGGCAACCGTGGCCAAGATGTGATGGCCACGTCGAATGTGCAGGCGCCGATCCTTAGCGGCTCCTCCCAAACAAATCCCCCGTGGCAACTCTCTCTCTCCATCTTTCATCCTTCGCGCTTTGGGTTTCTGGGAATCTGTGCATCTCCCCACTGGTTTTGGTGTTTTCTCAGATTGGCACAGATATCCCTCCAAGCACTGAGGCCTTGGGCACTCAGTGCAACTCTCACCCGACTGAATATGACCTGGCAATTGACGTTTAACCGCGAGATCTTGTCTAACTAGGTTTGAAGCCCAATCCAGGTCCTAGGTCTTGTATATATATATATATATACATCAGCTGAGGCTGCGCTGCGCTTGCGGTTGTCTTACTATATATCGCACTTTCCCTTAGTCTGAAATGGACGAGGGCCCGCCGCCTCCTCCGCCGCCGCATGGCGAGAATCCGCATACCACGGAAGGCGAATATCGCAAATCCTCCGATCTTCCCCAGGGCAATTACGACATCTTCATTGTCCCGCCTCACTCCGCTGGCTCGGGTTTCCTCTACCTTCCGTCTCTACAATGCAACCGAAACAGTTTCCTGGCCGGTGTCGCGAGCACGCTACTGGTCGTGCTGGCTTGGGTGCTTGTCTCTCCGATCTTGAAGGCATGGTATATAGCCTCCGTCGGTAGTGGTAGTGGGATGGGTATGGCAGTGGTCGCCCTCGGCTTAGGCTTCGCTGGGTGGGCATTTGGGTCCGCCCAGTCTGGTAGCCTGGGCGACAAGAGCAATGGCAATGGTGGCGCTCGAGGTGCACGGTTTGGATTTAATGGTTCTGGGGGCCCCGGCGGTCCTGGAGGCCCGGGTGGCCCTGGCAACGGTGGGTCAAACAGCAACCAGAACTCCTCCGGTGCCGGCTATGGCCAGGGCACGAACTACGGTGGCAGTGGAGGCCAACGACAGCAGCATGGAGGAAACTTTGGCGGACAACAGCGTGGCGGTCAGTATTCTGGAAACCAACATGGTGGGCCTCCTCCAAACGCTGATAATGAGAAGCGTGAAAAGGAAGAGGCCGAAAGGCGCGCCAAGGAGGAACGAGCCAAAGAGCAGCAGGCTAAGGAAGAGCGTGCTCGTGAGGAGCGGGCCAGGGAAGAACGGGCCAAGGAGGAACGGGCTAGAGAACAGCGTGCTAGGGAGGATCGACTCAGAGAGGAACGTGCTAGGGAGGAGCGTGCCAAGGCAGAGCGCGCTGCTAAAGAAGCCCGTGCCAAAGAAGAAGCTGAGCGGGACCGCGCCAAAGAAGAGGCTAAGCGCAAAGAAGACTTGCGCCGCAAGATGGATGAGTTCAAGCGCAAACGCGACGCAGAAGCCAAGGAGAAGGAGAAGAAGCGTGAGCGCGAGGCCATGGAAAAAGAACTCAAGGAGCGCCGCGAGCAGCTTGAAAAAGAAATGGCTGCAGCTAAGGCAGCCGCCGAGAAGGAGGCTCGCGATCGAATGGAGAAAGAAGCCACTGAAGCTCGTGAGAAGGCCGCAAAGGCCGAAGCTGAGGCAAAAGCCAAAGCCGAGAAGCTGGAAGCAGAAGCCAAAGAACGAGCTGCCAAAGCTTCGGCTGAGAAAGAAGCCGCTGCAAAGGAAGCCGCCCACAAGGAAGCTATGGCTAGGTTTGCGGCCCTCAAAGAAGCCGCTAGCAAGAAGTATGCCGAGAAAAAAGCCCAAGACGCAAAGAAAGAGGCCGCTGCCAAACCACCTCCTAAGCCAGCGAGTGCTGGCAACCCCCCTCGAACACCTTCTCCCAAGAAACCGCCTCATCCAACAGCCAACACTGCCGTCGAAGACGATGCCTATTCCTTTCGGCCCTACGACAGACCACGGCGCCCATACGCAGCTGCAACTTCCGTCTACTCGGAGTCCTCTTATGCGCCTTCTCACTCAACTGCGCGCACCACTCCTCCACCTTCACATCGCAGCTCATACTCAACCAAGGATCCAGACAAGATCGTGATCCAAGGCGTCTATGCCTTCAACAACGCCTTCATGAAAACACCTATAGCACAGCTCGTCTCCGGTCAAGGCATGATAACCGACGGTCTCGTACTCCGGATCACAACAGAAGGCCTCTTCATTGACGACGACCTGCGCGGCATCGGCCAGCGCGAATGGGACGTCAAAGCATGGACCCTCAAGCTGGCCGAAGTATGGTGTCCACAAGTGAACGCAGCAACCTCCGCCAAACAACCCTCCAGCAATCCCTTCTCCTTCCGCCGCGGGAACAACGTCCCTACAAACGAGGAGTCAGAGGCCTTTCTTGCCAATTTTCTTAAGGTCTGCAAAAATACTTGCCGCCTGGCTTCGCCCAGTGCCTGCTTTTCTCGCAGCGCAGCTGGTAGCGGTGTCAATGAAGGCGGCAAGTCTGACTTTCGTGGGCTCCACGTTCTACGCGCTAGTCTGCGCGATCAAGAAGGGAAGAGGTATGTCTTCGTATTGCAGGATACTGAGGCGTGGAAGGTCGCTATTGGACTCCAGCGGCTACGGGCTGGTGCTCTAGTCCGCGCACTGGGTGTATCAGCTATGCCAGTTCCAGAATGCAAGACTATGCTCAGTGCTCTCGGCTATGTTTGATTGATCCAGCGTCAATGCTGCTTGCTGGACCTCATCGCATGCATTGTTACTGTGTGCCCATTTGATTTGATCTGATTTTGCGTTATTTATCTTCCACCTTCCATCTTCCATCTTCATCTTCAGTTACATCTTCATATGCCCTATGCCATGTTTGTGTTCGACTGTTCGAATTGATCGTCATCCCTCATAAGCGGCGGAGTTTGCTTTATGCTGTTCTGTCTCCTATATCCATTCGCTTTCTGATGCCTTCCCAATTCCCATGCCCAGATTTTTGAGATTCCCCCCTTGTCATGATCATGTTTTGAGTTTTCCTGTTTATTATTTAGTACAGCTGTTTACTATGAGAGTACATACCACAACCAATGCGGCAGTTATTTAGACATCTTATATTGCTTTTACAAAGGATGCATGCATAGCATGACTATATATCCATACAAAGAAACGACTTCCAGTCTAGAAAGGCGAAAAGAAAAGAGTATAGACATGCTTCAGAAGACGATTGTATTTCGTCTCATGTAGATTGTACGCACGCTATGCCGCTGCTCAACTAGGCAAAACCAAATCGAGAAGAATATATCGTGTGAACAAATCTCTCAATCAAGAAGCCCCAAAAAACCAATGAGCTTGTATGAACGCCTGAAATGAATGGTCTGTCGGATATATCTTGTGTATCTTGCGTGCGCACATCCATCTCCGAATCCCCCGTCATGATGCACCATTCTCATAGAGTCATACAGAGTCCAACAAACATATACAGCCACACGACGAGGCATAAGAGGTAAGAGAAGAAGACGAAGGAAAAAAGAGAAAAAATGAAATGCAATGAGAAGAAGACAGGGCGAACTGAGAGAAGAGAATAAGGAAATGAGAAAAAAAAAATCAAATCTATCATATCGGGAATCATATGGGCGTTTCTTCAGAAACAGAAAACATGGCGAGAAACATCGTGTGATGTGAACAAAGGGCATAAAACAAAAATGACGCCCTGGCTTCCGCCAAATCAATGTATAGGATATCGAGGTGTAACTCCAACTCCGGTCGAAGACATGCGAATTCCTTTGTTCTCCCACTTCATCAACTCCGTATGGATGATGGAAGGTGAGAGAATTGGTGGGGTGGGGGATAATGGCTGAAGATTGCCCGGGGCTGTCTTCATCTTCATCTTCGTCTAGAAGGGGAAGCCGCCGCCGCGAGCCTGGCCGCCGAAGGGGTGGCCGCCTGCAGAGGCGAAGCCTCCGCCGCCGCCGCCGTTCATCATGTTGAACAGGATGTTGGGATCGATGTTTATGTGACTGGCTCCGCCGCCCATACCACCCATACCGCCCATGCCACCCATGCCACCCATACCTCCCATGCCTCCCATGCCTCCCATGCCGCCGAAGCCACCACCTCCGAACATGTCGGCTGGGTCCATCAGGTCGTCTCCGTTATCATAAGCAGCACGTTTCCTAAGAACGGGGTTAGTTTTGTGGTTGACTTGAGACAAAGGGTAGGTTGTAAACTTACTGAGAATCGATGAGGGTTTCGTAAGCCTCGCCAATCTCCTTGAACTTCTCATCACCGGCTTCACCGTCACGGTTCTTATCCGGGTGGTATTGGATGGCCATCTTGCGGTAGGCCTTCTTGATCTCGGTCTCGGTGGCATCCTTGGTGACCCCGAGAATCTTGTAGTAATCCTTGCGCTGGGACTTCTTAAGCTCGAACTCGGCGCGGCGGATCTCCTCCGCAATGCCCTTTTCGCTGGGGTTGTTCTCGGCAACACTCTTGTAGTCGCGGACAGCATCCTCCCAGTTGTCAGCACCGGCATTGGCCTTGGCACGGACCTTCATAGCCTTGACATAGCCGGGGTCGAGACGCAGGGCCTCAGTGCAGTCCTCAATAGCAGAATCATACTCCTTGAGGTTGATGTAGGCCTGTGCACGGTTACCCAGGATCTTGGCGTTCATATCCTTGTTGGTGGGGTCAACCTCGAGAGCTTGGGCCCAGAGATCAATGGCGCGGCGGTAATCCTTCGCTTTGAAAGCAGTGTTTCCTTCCTCCTTGGTGCGGGCCAGCTTCTGCACAATACGCAGCAACTTGATGGCTGCCTTCATGTCCGGGTCCAGCCCGAGGCACATCTTCAGGAGTTTGAGTGCCTGCTCGGTCTCACCGGAGGCGTAGAAAGCACGGGCACGGATCAACATGGCATCCGGGTCCTGGCTGTTCTCGCGCAACATACCGATCGCGATGTCTTGTGCTTTGCCAAGCGAGTTGCTGTTGTTCAACTTCAGCTGGGCATCAGCTGCCAGGAGTGTCCACTTGCGAGGCTCTTTCACCCCTTGTCCGAGTCCTTGCCGTGCCTGGTCCAAGCAGTAGATCACCATTGACACTCCGCGGTCCTCTGCTAATGTCTCCTCGGCTTGTGTGACGAATCGCAGCATCTTCTCTGCGGGGGCTTTGTCGGTCGCGGAGACCGAGGGCTGGATCTGTGCCAGCACATCCAGGGCCTCTTGTGGGCGACCCAGGCTGGTCAGGATCTTTGCCCAGCGGTGCATAATCTTGGGATTATTGGGGTCGAGTTCATTGGAGCGCTCGATATCCTCGAGCGCATTCAGATACTGCTTAGCGGACATGTAGGCCGCGGCGCGGTTGGACAGGTAGGCCGATGAGTTGGGGTTTATCTCAATGGCTGTAGACAAATATTCGTCAGCGACTCTGCTCTTCTAGACAAGATCAGTTCCGAATTAGAGAAGATGCATACCCTTGTTGTATTCCTGGATCGCACGGTAGTAGTTGCCATCCTTGAAGAACTTGTTACCGGCCAGCTTGAACGAGTCAGCCTCATCGGCGGACGAGGAGTTCGGCTGGTGCGGTGGGGGAGTCGGGCTCCGTTCCTCCTTTGTGCCGTTCTTGGGAGTCTCCTGAGGATCGATATCCATGGAGCTCCGTTCCTCTCTAGATGCTGCCATGGCGGACAATCGACGACGTAGCTCGTCAGGCGGGAGATTCAGCGGATGTATGTCCTGGTCACGCGAAGATCGAGCAAACTTGAAACTAGAAGTTGGTCCCGAATTCGAGGACGAGCGACTATGAGAGAAATATGTCTTTGATTTTGCGGAGGGTTTGGTGGGCGAGGGAGAGGATTTGGAGGGCGACTTCGAAGGTGACTTGGAAGGCGACTTGGAGGATTTGCGCGAAGCGGAGAAGGAAGTTTTCGGTGACGGGGAATCAGAATCTTTCTCCTTGTCCTTGTCTTTCTTGAAGATATGGGCGAGTTGGACCATTGGGTGGGGGGGAAAGAGGCGTTCGGGGGAATTTTTTTTTCTATCGAAGGCGGTAGAACCGGGGAGACTTCCAAAGATCTCAAGCACTTCTGAGGTCGAATGATATGATATATGTTATATTCACAACATATCAGTCTGTTCTGATCATGTTAATAAATAGGATGCAAATTGTTCACAGCAAACAGAAAAATGAAATGTACTCTATGAACTGTCACCGAGCCGAAGTCAAGCCGAAGTATGGGGGGGTGTATGAGTGAAGACAAGAGAAGAAAGCGTTTGACCTTTTCCCTTATAATATATTTTCTATTTTATTGAATGACTACTCCCCTCTCAGGCAAATAATTCAGAGGCTGGAGAGCTACTGGTCTGTGTTAGCGCGCAAAAGAACTGGAGCCATGGAGTCACTACATGCATTTCTCGCCGGAAATCTTCCCCCCAGCCGCTGGAAAAATCAGGTCAGGTCGATTCGAGAATCTTCTTCTTACAGCACGCATGAAGACTTCATCACCCCCTCAACCAAGTGGGCAGGGATGGCGAGGCTGTCTATAAGTCGCAGTGGAGCGGTGGATCCGACATGCAGTTTGCTACGCTGACGGTGACAGACATACGTCCAGCGCTGTGACTGGCGTCTTGGAGAGGGGAACCCCTGCATCGGACTTTCTTGACACGGATATACTATGGATACTAAAACATGTCTCGGCCAATCCAGGTAGATTGTCGTGTCTTTTGCCCTGGGTAATGTATCGTGTGAGGCTTGGCTCTGGGATATATACAGGTGAGAAGGTCTCGATCGTCCTTCATTTTGCATCTTGCGATGTGTCTTATCTGACACCGTTTCACAAAACGGTTTGATTTGATGTGCTTGATATCGTTCCTGTCCAGCTGGCGGAACCCTAGGCCAGCAAACCATGCCACATGGGCCGCTATAAACCATTGGTCAGTGCTCAGGTTCTTTCTTGTGCTTATTGTGTATCACATCTGATCATAATAAGTCCATGGTAGGACTCACATGGGTGGTAAAAGTAGAATGAAAGACTCGAACAGGCGGTGAGACCAATATTGAACACGTCGATTCAGACTTGGTGAAGACCCCTGAGTGATGAAATTCATCTGTAGGATATCAAATAATAGGGCTTTGCATCCAATAACTTTTCAGCCACCATAGCTGAAACTCTCAGTGATGTTGACATATAACGTAGTTCGGCCCGTACTCCGTATAGATGTTACCATCGCGACCGACTTGGAGACTAGCGCACCTCATCTGTAATCACAGACCTTGATAGCCCCCATTTATGTCGGTAAGTTCTGCCTCCTTTCCGCGATATCGATCCACCTGGAAATGCGCGCATCTCTTAGCCGCGCATGCGTTGAACCATATCTGTGGCTGCCATAAGGCGGTGGCTGGTCCACTTGATGATCTACACTCACGCGACCAGAGCTAGGGCTGAATGATGAATCGATTTGATATGGCGACATTGATGATATTGGCGAAATAGGCGAGGATCCTGTGGACCGTGGTCTGTTTCGGGTCTGAAGCTCGGGTGTACGCGGCCTGTCTTTGTGTCCAACTACCCAATACTGTTCGCTTTCGAGCCAGACAAGGGGTTGACAGGTCTGTGGTCGTCTGGGAAGTGAAGTAGATCGGATATTGGGCGATGTGAGCGGAGGCATTTCACGTTCTTGTTGATCGTAGTAGTAGTCCGGGAATATCTCGTTGGATGGACTTGGACTTCTCCTTCCTCTGTGGGCCGGAGTTCGTCTGAGATTGGGGTCGAGTGATGACCCAGATGGGCCGTCAATCCTTCTTTGGTAATACTGTTGTGATGAAATGTCTGTTGAAGCCGGTGCTGGTGGCAAAGGTTTCCAGACTAGGATATTGGTGATGCTAGTATCCGGAGGGGGCGAGTGTATGTGAATACGAGGATTTGTGGGATATCGTGGGACACTGAGGCGAGGGTTGTCAATCGGAGGACCCTCCAGGGATGAGAGATCCATGAGTGGAATGTCGACTTTCGGTGGCTCTGGGGAAATTGGATTAAGTCTTCGTAAACAGGGACAAAAGTGCATTGTATAGACAATATACGACCAAAGTCCAGTATATACTATCTTTAAACACAGTGACGTGCTTTGGGGTTGCCAATGGAGGATCGTCGTGAGGGCTCGTATTTAAAGCCAAAATCAAATTTGGACATGAGAAATAAGACGCGTTAAGGATAGGCCTGAGAATTCTGTACGTCCTGCCTCACTTGGAACGAAGGATCACGGCACACGCCTTGCAAGGCATGGCACAGCTTATTATAGAATCGACCCCATACTTTGGACACATAGTGCGCCTTTAGGGCTAACGACACATAGTGGGATATCAACGACGCTTATTTTTTCTCTCGCCAGCTTAGCATCCATCGTGACCGCTCATTACTTGCCTCTGTAAGCAGCATTTTCTTGTCCGGGAAGCGGTCGGAGAATTTCGCCAGGAGCGGAAAGTGGGCGTATATCCTGCTATGATCCTGAAACTGATTAGCCTCTCGGTCTGATTTGGGGTCCAAACTTGATACCACAGAAGAATCCCCCTCTCACCGCAAGGACCAGATAGCGTCATATAGAGACGGTCTTCTCCGAGCCTCCCGCTTCACCCTGAAAATTACATGGCACAGGAATGAAGCCCCAAAGCCAAGAACGAATGTAAATTGTAATAGAAGGGGCCGTGGCTCCTTAGACCCCACAGGTGCGGATACGTCGCTTAGACCGAAGTCAAGACTGTAATGGTCATTGATGCTGGTCTCTGAGAAATCTTCCTATGAAACTACTCTGTACATTTGTTGTCAGAGCATAGTGATATTTTGTTTTGGTATGAAACGTACTCCGTACAAGGGTGTGAAGTAGATAAATGTACAGTGTAGCATGTGCCCTGCAGGCACAATTGCCGCCATCGCGGTCATTCATAGTGGGTCACTCTATTTTTGTCTGCCAATAACATGTCGTAAATTGTATAAACATGTTGAAGTCACTGAATCACTGTATAGCAATGCTGTACGGAATGGACGTGGAAGGATCCAAAATATGTTTTCAAAAACCTAGAGAGGTGGAGCTATGCCATCGTAATTAAAGTAATAACTCAAGATTCATATATCTTGTTCTGATGCTTCTAATTTGATATCCCGCTATTTAGCACCGCCACCCCATCGGCATCAAAGACCCGAAGTCAGAGCTTAACCGGAACGAGCAGTTCTCTTATTTAAGAGTCCTCCGTATTTCCCCCTATCTCAGCCCCACAGAACAGTCCATCGAAAAAGGCTACCTCAATGCCTTGGAGATCACCCTCATCGCGTAGGAACTCCATGGAACCAATTAATTCCGCATATTGATCACCGGAGCTATTTTGATTGAATTCTTCTGACAAAGAGGGCTGTTGTGTATTCGATGGCAAGTTACTCGAAGGCAGAGAGCCCATCATAGACATACCGTCGTATCCAGAGGGTGGGCGTTGGTTATGTTCGGCCGGCTGGTTGGGGCTGAGTATATTCGAAACAGGGAAAGTCGACGTGTCGAGATTTATCTGGCCTGAAATCTTTCCCACTGATTTTGAAATGACACCTCGTTCAAAATTGATCACACCAAAATATGGGATGTTAATTTGTAGTGTCTTGCCGTCGTTGGTCAACCTGCCGTCACACTCAAGCCCCCCATCATCATTTTTAGATGAGCTTGTGCTGTACATGACCCCCTTGGCAGCATTTGCTTCAATTTTGAGAAGATGATGAATGATTCGGGTGAGTTTGTAGGCGATCAAATCAATTTCATCCCGGGCCATGGATGCAATGATCTCCAAGGCACACTCCATAGAACCACGATCACTTGGACGACTGTGGAGCGAGGCATTCAAAACCAGTGTGCACGCCCGAGCTCTCAATTCCATGAGACTGGCTTCGAGAATTGATGTGAGCAATACAAAGTATGTTAATGGCAATAAATGCAAGGAAATAACAGCCGCGGCAGTAGAAATGTGCAGAGCTCGAAGTGCGGAATGCAATATAACGAGACAGTATTTCGCGGCTAGCATTGATGGCGGTAATCTTGCTACGATTATTCCTTGGGCCAGGTGAGAAAAAGATGTAGGGTAGATGCAGTCGTATAAGCATATGATAGTGCGTAAGCTGATCCATTATGCGAAGTGTATCCCGAAGAAGTTTTGAGCCGTCACTACTGCAGGGTATGAAATTCGGAATCAGCCACCATTGAGGTGCCATTTCATCTGCAGCTTTGCGTAACAGCACATCATCCTCTTCGGCTTTGGCAAGGCTGTTGAACCCGCCATTGTTTCGCTCAATAATACGACCGGCTACGGCGCAGTGGATGCATTGCATGCGTTCGGTTGGGCTGCATTCGTCTGACAGCTGGGGAGTAGGGAAGCGATCGTCGAGAGAGCTGTGTGGCAAGCCTAGCATTATTGACAGGTAGCGGTCCGTTTGGATCAATTTGAAACAGGTTTGAGCAGGGTTGAATGTTACCCGAGTCTCGGGCTCAATGAATTTCAAGGACGGCGAGACAAGTCCACGTTGTAGATTCATCATCTGCGCAACGGTAATTGCCCGGTGCATTGCCATCCATGCACGGTGGAGATTCCCAGCGTAGTTCTGGTATACAGTCTCGGGCATTATGCATTCCATACCCTCGACCGAGCGGATGAGTTCTTCATTGGTAGTCACGAGGCTGATGGCCTTTTCAATGACACGAGTCATAATTGAGCGGACAGAGACACCAATCCTTCCTTATCCTTGGAGACAAGAGGGGGGATTTCCTGTAGGAATATTCCTAGGACCAGAAGCCTACGCGCGATCAGCACTGGGTGCTTAGCCGGCTCTGGGATTTGAAGCATCATCCTTGGGGAGGATAGAGCCTCCTCGGTGAACCTGAGGAGGATGTGCATGTTCCACAGAGCAACTGGACTGAAACGCCTGTGGGAAGTAGGTAAATGTAGCCCAGGGTAGGTATCTTTCTTATTCCGCAACTGCTCCAGTAGGTCTTCTACTCGACGAAGTCGACCCTCGAGCTTATTGCTGCTCACAGAGACCGGCTTATCAGGATACTCTTGACTGATGCAAGTGCTCCCGCGTCTCCGACAATTATTGCGTGCATGGGCTGAAGAGCCGAAGAGGCACCGAACCTTTCGTCGCTTGCATTCCCAACAGCTTTGGGTCCCTTTCCGTATCTTTCTTCGTTCGGCTCCGGCTCTGTTCTTGTGGTGGAATACTTCATCCATGGCTTATGGCAAACCAGGTCTCATCAATATGATGAGTAATTTGATTGGATATCCTAGCCTCAAAGTTAGAAATCACATCAATTCAGAGGCCATGTTTGAATGAGCTATCTATCAGTCGACCGAGCTCGGTGCTGACAGACGTTCCGGAGCTCGGCCGGAGTCATGACAAACCACCCCCTCGGTGATTCGACCGAAGCTCGGTCGAAGCCTTTATATAGATCGCAGGAACCATCATAGCTCATCTATTCAAATACCCAGTCAACAACCTTTACCGGAGAATAAATTCTAAGTCCATACCAAAATGGTCAAGATTGCGATTGCTGGCGGTTCTGGCAGTGTGTACTTCGCGCTTCACAACGTGTACTGCAGTGTTACTTATGTCGATAGATGTCGCACAGGAGATAATTGGTGTTCTCCTTGAGACTAAAAAGCATGAAATCATTATCTTGTCCAGAAAGGTTTAAGTCCTTGCTCCTGTACTTTAGACAGACATGTCTAACTTTCTTATACAGGGTGATTCAGGCGCAGAGGTCACCCCAGGGATAAGATGGGTCCAGACAGACTACAACCCAGAGCAACTGGTGAGAGTACTGCAGGGAGTCAACACATTGCTCTCTTTTGCTGCCGACAGGAGGATCCAAATAGTCCAGTCCAAAAGAGGCTTATCGACGCCGCAGTTCAAGCTGGTGTGAAGCGCTTTGCGCCCAGCGAGTGGGCTACGTAATATCTGTCCATCAATCATGTTTACTTTCACTGATTGACAATTGATAGGTCGGGCTTGGAGCATCTTAGCTGGTACAGCTACAAGGGTGAAATACGCCGATATCTGGAAGAGCTGAACAGGGACATGACGGTGGGACTTGGAAAACTTCTTAATTATCTTCAGGTTTTGACCCAAGGATTACGTACAGGTTCTGCAGTACATTTTGTTCCAGCCAGGTCTTTTCGTGAACTACTTGACCCGTCCTTACAAGTCAACCAAGCACATCCACCAGATCGAAATCCCGTTCGATTTCGCAAACCGTCGATTCATCGCCATTGATGGCAGCGATGATGATCAAATCACTTTCACTGCAGTCAAGGATCTTGCGAATGTCGTAGCCGGAGCCATTGACTTCGAAGGCGAGTGGCCGGTTGTTGGAGGCATCAGAGGTACCAATATCTCAATTGGGCAGCTTTTGGCTTTAGGTGAAAAAGTCCGCGGTGAGTAACTCTAGTTAATTTACTTGTGATCATCATCAATCTTGCTTATATACTATTGACTAGGATATCAGCGTTTCCTTGTTGAGAAAGTGAAAGCTGAGGAACTCGAGAAGGGGACATGGCAAACTTCGTGGGTCCCGAAAGTTGACCATCCCTCAATCCCAGGTTGATGTATTCTCGAGAATTGGAGTTGCCGGAATTCTCTTGGCATTTTCAGCAGAAGCATTTGCGGTTTCAGACGAGTGGAATCAACTGCTGCCGGATTACAAGTTCACTCAGACAGAAGATTTATTGGCCAGAGAATGGAGTGGTAAGCCGTGAAGAGCAGGTCACAGATACCTACAGGTAGTGACTATGATTTTGAAAGGTTGATACTTCTTTTGGCACAAGCTATTCGTGGTGATAACATTAGATAGCCTGTAAACCTTACGCATTCTTTTTGCCTAGCATTTCAAACGCAATGAAAAAAAAAATAGAACCCGTCAAGTTCTTCGGGTTTCATATTCAAATTAGTCGATATATGCCGAGCTTTCAAATACGTAACGAAAGTCCAGACTTCTCCCTCAGCTTTATACATACGGAACTTGCTGCTTCGTAATTTTCATACGTCTCCGCTCACAATGAAGATGGCTGATAAGAATGGACAGTTAGTCTGTAAATGCGTTAGTTGTTGCAGAGGCATGCTTCAACTACGGAGACAAATATGGATACCCAAGAAGCGTGGTCTGAAGTCCCAAGGGCTCAACTAATACTATCCTGATCCTTTCCTAGACAACATGTTTTCAAGGTTCCCAAGTTCTTCTAGCTTCATGCACATTTTAACGTTGGGTGTCCAGTACGTTGAACAACATAGAAATGTCCAGAGTCACAGTCATTCACGCATTCTTTACAGGTGCCGCAAACTACGTATCATCATTAGCTTCAGTGAATGGACTTGAAATTGCCCCCTACCGTTATTTCCTAAACTGGCAGAGGTCATTCCCAACACTGCCAGGAAGAAAAACACCTGAGATATTATATTGAGATGACTCTGGCGAGTAGGTTAGATTCACCGGGTCTGATGGGTGTCACAGAGACTCACGAAAGTTAATGCTTTGTTAATCGTAATAGTAAATAGTAATTAGTAATTAGATGGTATACTAAGTCTGAGGCGAAAGATGAGTGAGGAATTTGAAGGATACAAGAGCAGCAGAATCCAACTTTGTAAGGTATCCCCGGCTGCAACGGTATACAATATCACACCGCATACCTTCATTTGCGGTCTATTGGTATGTGACTGTCGTTGTTCTGACGCGCAACAAGTTGGGATCTTTCATCTACTGTACTGTATTCGTCCATGTCTGCAGAAGTTGATCCAGTGGTACTACAGTTGAAAGATAGGTTTGAGCCTCTTCTTGCTATGGGTTCACAGTTTCACATACACTTGATGAGGGTGGTTAGATATTTATTCGCTATCTCCAGCCCTAGATGCTGGATCGGGTGTGCATTAAGTGAGTCCAGTCATCAGATCACATCCTGCTACACGAGATGGAGATGAAAGATGGAGTGGATTCTGTGAGGTATCACCAAAGAGTATATCTCATAGCTACAAGAATGCACGAATGCCTTTACTGCATAGTATTGAGGTCTGAGCAAAAAGGCAATTCACGTTCAGCCAGTCAGTAGCTTCACTTCTGAAGGAAATGGACTCTAGCATCTCCGGGCATTATATTATACATACATAGCGCATATTATGGCTCTGTTACGAGCTAGGTTTCATTAACGAAAAGTATCCCACACATGCCATAAAGATGGAATTCGGGTATGACATGCACGACAGACATAAGGCCTTTGAGTTCAGCGACTCGGCAAATGTGGGCGATCACCTTTGACCCAGAATACAATATTATTATTCCGTACTACGCGCGGTAAATCAGAGAAACTGGAGATTTCATTCCACCATTTCAAAGTGGCTTAGCATACATCGAGGCGTTAGGGTTCGAGAAGCAATTAACTTGGAACAAGGGTAGGTGACCCCGATTTTTAGCAATACTGTAACAATACCGAGGAATTTAACTCCCAATCATAATCTGTCGCATATTCAGCCCTAGGATGCACCAGATGGACGCTAACACAAGGCCAAGGGGCAGGGGTAGGACACGGACTAGAAGGATCGTACTCCGTACTACACACTGGTGCCTTATATATAGATGCTGGTCAGGGGTGAAGTAGAATTACATGTTGGCATTGCAAGTAACTCGTAAGGAATTAAGAAAATATGTAAACAAGACTGGAATACATTCCAAAAAGGTTACGGGCGCTGGAAAGATGGAAAAGGTGCAAAGCTGTCATGGTTTACATTAAGGTCGTGCTCAAGCCACCAAGCGAGCTTCACACAACTCCGAAGCTATCCAGGAAGCCCAAGAAAAGTAAAAAAAGAAATATGTATATAAAAAAGCAAAGACGGATAGGCATATCCAATCAGAAAACAATAGTTCCAAGGTAAATCACCAAAAACACTAAATAACACGGTCCACTCTTGACATCACCTCCAACAATCACTCCGGTAATTGCGACAGCTACGCCGGGACTGAATCATCAAGATCCAATTACGTGCAGATGTACATCACTGAAGAGATCATTTAAGCCAGAACGAAAGCAGCGATGGCGGCGAAGCCAGCGAAGCCGACGGAGCCGGAGAGAGCACCAGCACCGTTGAAGGCAGGGGAGGAGGCGGCGGGGGTAGCAGAGGCAGTGCCGGAGGGGGAAACACCGGAGGGGCCCTTGCTGGGGTGGGGGACACCACCACCGTTACCGCCGTTGCCAGCGGGGGCAGTGGCGGAGGGAGTCACGGTAGAGTAGATGACGGTGGGGATGCAAGTAGTGATGGCGGTGACCGAGGGGGTACCGACGGGGGCGACGGGGGGAACACCGGTGCTCATGGAGGGAGCAACGGGGGGGACGCCAGAGGAGGCAGCGCTGGAGGCGGGAGCAGTCCAGGCGGGGGTCTCGGAGGACCAGGCGGGGGTCTCGGACCAGGCAGGGGTCTCGGAAGAGCCAGCGCTGGGGACGCTGCTGGTGACCTCAGCAGGAACGCTGGTGGTCATGGCGGGGGTGCCAGTGGGCTCAACACCGGAGTTGCCGGGGCAGTCGGTGACGGTGGGAGCGCAGGAGGTGATGGTAACCTCATCAGTCTCGTAGACGGTCTGGTCAGCAGCACCGGGGGCGGCAACGGCAAGGCCGGCGAAGAAGGCAACAGTGGCGGCAGTGAAACGCATTTTGAATGTATGTACGGAAAACCGGGTGGTTGTTCAAAAAGGTTGTATAAAAAGCGTAGCTTTTGTAGAAAGAGAGTTGGTAGTTGGTAAAGAGTGGAAGACCGAAGTCGAAGAGAGTGACTGGATGCTATGCAACGAAGTGTGTACTTGAAGAAGAAAGAAAAGAGGGAAAGGAGGGCAGGCAGGGGGGCCTTTGTATGAACGGGGAGATTAGTGTCAAGATCAGCACAACACGCTTTGCCCCTAAAAAAAAGGGGAAACACCGTTCCTGAAAGTGTACTGGGTACTTGACTGACACTACATCCACACCGTATCTTGCCAGGTACCGGTTACTCGGGCTCTGTGCTTTGTCTGTTTCGCCATAACCCAATGACTGTATTTTTGGACTAGTGTGGCTAGCGTGGTTCTGGTAACGCCGATCGCGCCATTAAACTTGGACGTTGAGACCGACTGTGACAATACATGTCATGGGATCTACAAAGCCCTGATATCGGGTACACTGCAATGCAACCTTCTATCTACATCTGTGTTTACGACTCTCTTTCTCGGTGTAATTCCACCGTTTCTGTCCAGCAAAATAAACACAATGACGCTGTTTCAGACCGCACCGACGATCCACTACCCGTTCCTGGCGTCCCAGTTGCAGTTCTCCCCGTGGGTCCCTATCTGACTCCACTTACCCCTGAACAGCCCGCGAATGTATTTTTGCCAAGAACTGTATTGTGCAAGGGCGAATCCACGATGATGTGCACTTTACCTGCGAAATTGAGGCTGGTCCTTACTCCGGATGTTCATCTAAACACGGAAAAACACTATGTGGCTCTCTGACTGGTGCTGCGCCTGTCGGAGCGAATCGCCGAGACATGGTATATTTTACTTTCCCATTACTTTTCTTTCATTACGTCGTGTGGATCACTAATAATGGGACTGTACTGTGTCCTCCGGGGGACTGGGTATATCGTCGACCGAGAGTGTCTCTCTTTGTTGACTCCCTACATGTACAATAATAGAACAAAGTATATTTTACAAGAACTGTTAATTCCTACTGTATCAAAACCAATATCCATACGCTCTCTTCCCTATATTAATTAATTAAACCCAATAAGTCCGTAAGCGAAGAACCATCGTTCTCGCTCTATGACCGAGTTCCCCCCCCGCAACGGGAAGGTCTCATGCGCTGGCGGAATAACGGCTAGACCGCATTAATTACACCTCCGCGTAAAGTGCTTAACGAAGCTTGCTCCTGTAAGCCTCCTTGACAAGCCACCCGGCTATAATAGTGTGCCCAAGCGTACTGTACAGGAAAAGTACTTTGGAAAATAGATCGAGGTCCGGCCACCTGACTGGGTGTGTCCCTGGCATGGCGCATTGCAGTGTAATTTCATTTCGGTCACACCGGCAGCCTGGCCTTCTGGTCAATGGGGCTTAGAGAATTCAATCTGGTTGGAACCCCGGCCTACTGCAGAGTATCAATGCGTCGTGTTGTCGATCTTCATACGGTTCCTGAGTCGAGGCCTTGGGTCAGGCACTTGAAGCGGTTCGACCGCCAGTCAGGGTTAAGGCTAGCCTCGATTTCATGTACATACATGTATGGTGTTTAACCAATTATCGTTTAGTCCGGCTTGTCGCCATCATTGTGGTTGTTTTGTTCCAAGTACCCGGAGTCAAAGATAGGGGGTTACAAGTAGTAGTTCACCATCAAAGCAGTCCCTGAGTCCTCGTGGCGCCCCCAGACTCCACCTGCCGCCATTGAATTCCTGCCCCTTTTTCAATAGATCGGTCGGGCTGTTGTTTTCTTATCAACCCCATACTTATTTTCGAACTATGTTTAGCCTTCGTTTGTGGAAGAATTATTGGTGGAGATGTCTGGTCCATCCGTTTTTCTTGATGATCCTACTGTATGAATAGGGGTGTTCGTCGATAATAATAGTTGTGGACCTAGACTTCTTCCGAAGTTCAACCTTCCAATACGGATAGTGCAGGCTATCTTCTTTCAAATTGTTCCCCGGTAAGACAATTTGTCCACTAGATTCCACCCCTGAGAATTAGGGGCAGGGTTCGCTTTGACAACTCACCGCTCATTCAGCATTTCGAGGAAAAGGAAGCGTCTTGCACATTCATCTATGTTGTTCTATACCTTCGAAATGAACATGACCACTTGCGAAAGAAGCGAGGGATATCTCCAAGTGGAGTCAATTGCATACCTGTTCAATGCTTTCCAGTCCGCCAGATTACTCATGGCTCACCGAGTCCGTTCTAACGAAAGCCCGAGCAGATATAACTCCGGGGTACAATACCTTGACATCCCTGACTTACAGCGACACGCGACACTGCAATATTTCAATATCATATCCAGGTTCAAACTCGAATTCACAATCACATCCCAATGACTTGGGACTGCAGAAATCCATCTGATCGCCACCCATAATCACCTGTCAGCCAATTCCCGCCGAACGATCAGCAGCAACGCGTCATTGTTTGGCGCCGAGAACACGAATCAGCGGCAACAAAACTGGAGCCGCGGAATTATTGCTCGCAGATAAACTTGACCTCGCTAACGACTAATACTCTACCCTTTCTTTCTTGGTCTTGATGGTGCAATGTGTGACGACAATGTGACACGGAGCCAGGTCAGGTACCGACGTATCTTGGAATAATTTGGTGCTTTGTGCACTGTCTTTGAATGACAGCGTCGATTCAAACAATATCCTTGCCTTTTCACATGAGAATTTAGGCACCATTGTTAACTTGGGAGTGAGGAGTTCAGACCGAGTCAAGAATTTACTCATCTGACACTGTTGTCCTAGGCTCGACAACAGAGTTACACTTTTAATTGATCAATGGTGTACTATAGAAGCTTTCCTATACCATGAATCATTTTCAATGAATACACTTTTGTGATCCCTTGTGCCTTTTCTCATGAACCAACATGGGCGGCTATTTAACGGTCTGTTCACATGGATCGTATTGTACATACCTGCCCCCTCGGCTTACCGGATCTCCAGATCGGCTGGAGCACGATTCGGTAGGATATATATATCAGGTGTCTCTTATGAACCCAATTTCGGTATCACAGCCACATCCATGATCGACTGTATATCAAACTTGGCCTAATCGGGACTGCGATTTTGAGTCAGACCAAAATAGACCTACTGTAACTAAACTTAGCCTCTTATTCATTTTACCAATCCAATGCTCAATTTCTGTATATTCCTTGCTCGATTCTCAAGGGCAACAATTTCCTGTACCGAGTTTGCTGGACCTATGATGACATCGGACCCATTGCGCGGCCTCAGACGTGCCTTGGCTAAGCCACACCCAAGGGATATATATCCTGACTCCATGGCCCTTCAATGACATAGGCACTACTATATATGCTTTGTGAGATATCATTTGTGATTTCCGGTAATCACTGACAGCAAATTGTAAAAGTCTAGATTGGCCACTCTACAAGGATGATAGCATATAGGGCGACATATAAAACGAAGTATAAGTGGAGAACTGAGTTGGCAATGATGTCGACGCCACAGTCTTCTGGCTGCAAATGTGCCCAGCGGAACAAGGCTTGCGGCTCCAAGGCAACAATATACCCGATGTTCCTATACATGTTTGGGTAAACGCCTATGTTCGGATGTCCGAACCATGGCTCTGACATTCAATCTCTTCAACTTTTCTTTGTAAATATTCCAGTCAAGATAGTTTTACAATATAGTATGTTAAGGCTTAGCTTATGTTCAGAATAGAAGGAGACTCGTGTTTCAGCTGAAGCGCCTTCTGAAACACCGTGGCCCCACAGCCCGTAGGACCCGAGTCTCTCGGCTGTGTCGCTCTATTAATATTCGAAGGCAGTTTAGATGTCATATGTAGACTCAAAGATCTTATATAGGTGGAGTTATCCCAAAGGTCACCTGCTCTCGGTAACCTTGCAACTCCAAAGGGGCCTTATCTCTCTCGCTCTGTACTCCGTACTTTTTCCCTTACCCCACCTCTCTCTTTCTCTCTCTATTCCCAAGGACTTGCGGTCCGTCGACGCTGTGGCTACCCTCGCTGATCCGAACGAGTTGTTCTTGCCTGGCGAAAGGCAAAACAATCTCGCCATGTCATCTTCCGTCCCCCTCCTCCGACCGCCCGTCCCTGGCGCCCGCAACAACAGTGGCAGTCCACGAGCCCCGAAGCTCACATTAGGCATCCCCCCCTCTCCAAGCTCCAAACCTGTCAATGGCAACGGTGCGCCTGCTCCAGCACTTCAACCTTTGCCGCAACCGCAACTTCAGCGCCCGGCCGGGCGACCAGGACGACCAACATTGCAACTGTCGACTCCCATGGGCAGCCAGCAGAATGTCTCCCAACAGCCAACTCTCATGCCGAACGGACGACCAGCCCCGCCCCCGCTGAGCACGCATGGACTCGGAGGTGGTTCGAGTTTGGAGGTGAAGACTGTTGGACCGGCATCTGCAACCTCTGCCAATTATTCGTCAGCCAATCTCTCCATTCGACAATCTGGCGGCGACTCAGACTCTTCATCCGCGATTGGCTCGGTGTACCCAGATCGCGATGGTGTGTCGATGGAGCGCGAAAACAGCGTGAATGGGCTTCTCCCTGATCTGGATAGACTTTCTTTAGAGAAGGGCCGGCCTCTCGATGTTGATGACCTCGATGATGAGGGCTGGCACGCGGCCAGTGAGCAGGACAAAATCGTCGAGTTGGGTAGTTTAGGTGAAGGTGCCGGCGGGGCCGTCACCCGATGCAAATTGAAGGAGGGAAAGATCGTGTTCGCATTGAAGGTATGTCCTTTTGGCGAGTCGGGAATGCGCCCAGTGAGACTAACGCATCTATCTAGATCATTACCACAGACCCCAACCCCGACGTCAAGAAACAGATTGTTCGTGAGCTCAATTTCAACAAGGACTGCGCCTCTCACCACATCTGTCGTTACTACGGTGCTTTCATGGACAAGTCTACCGGCACAATCTCTATTGCGATGGAGTTCTGCGAAGGTGGCAGTCTCGACAGTATTTACAAGGAAGTCAAAAAGCTCGGAGGTCGTACTGGAGAGAAGGTTCTCGGTAAGGTCGCCGAAGGTGTCTTGAACGGGTTGACCTACCTCCACAGTCGCAAAATCATTCATCGAGGTACGACATATGGTGCTCCTACATGGTACACTGGCTGGACAACTAACTTTGCATGCAGATATCAAACCATCAAATATTCTCTTATGTCGCGACGGCAAAGTCAAACTCTGTGACTTTGGTGTCAGCGGTGAATTCGGTACCAAGGGTGACGCCAACACCTTCATTGGTACTTCTTACTACATGGCCCCGGAACGTATCACTGGTCAATCATACACGATCACATCAGACGTGTGGTCTCTCGGTGTGACTCTGCTTGAAGTCGCGCAGCACCGATTCCCCTTCCCTGCCGACGGGACTGAGATGCAACCCCGCGCAGGTTTAATAGACCTTCTCACATACATTGTCCGCCAACCAATTCCCAAGCTGAAGGATGAACCAAATGCCGGAATTCGCTGGTCAGACAACTTTAAATACTTCATCGAATGCTGGTGAGTGTGTCCTGAAAGCTGGTCTACTTTACATACTAACTTGGATATCAGTCTGGAAAAAGAACCTCCTCGACGAGCCACTCCCTGGCGGATGCTGGAACATCCATGGGTACTGGACATGAAGAACAAGAAAGTCAACATGGCAAACTTTGTGAAGCAGGTATGGGATTGGAAGGAGTAAATCAAACAATCTTCACCGAGACCTCCCAGTCTCGCATTGCACTGCATTTTTAGTTCCACTGTGAGAATAGGTGGCTGGAACCCCAAGTATTGACCTGGCTGTCAACACCACTCAAACGACCAATTTTTCACGACTCATCCAATGCTTTTTGTGCTTTCCGCTTCTTTTCCCTCCCGGGCCGGAACTCGCGGAGTCTCAACATCTACATCTTTCTCATACCCTATCATACCATCTTGATTTTTTTCTCAATCTTCCAGCGACACAGATTTCATCGCCTACGCTTCACCTCCTCCGATCCTTTACGGCCTGACTCTCTCCCGCATTGCATTCCTTCGGATATCCTCCCTCAGTGGTCTTTCTCTCTCCCTTATTTAGACTACATTACATCACCCATTCCATTCTCATTCCCTCCCTCATCCCTCTTCCCTATCCATGGAATGGACCTCCTCCTTCTTTCCTTTTGCTTTCCAAGTGCCCAGTTCCTCTTCCGCTGTGACATTTCGAGCCTGGACATATCGGCCATCTTGGTATATCGCTTTTCTTCTGTTTCTTTTCCATGTATAGCGCTCTTCCCTTGGTTCTTCTGTCTGATTTAGGGTTTTACTTGGGTCATATTTGCTTTGCACTGGTTGCGGGAGTGTATGCAATGCATTGGAAGCTTCCTTTGGGACATACTTTGGGACTTAATTCCATTGCATCTTGACTTTAGCTTGTTTTATGTACATGTAAACTGTGCGTAGAAGCCTACGTTCACTGTGGCGACCCACTAGGTGATCCTCTAGAAATGTTTTCTCAAGATTACATATCATATCATTGCTATCATTAATGCTACATACATCCCCAGTTTCAAAGCTAACGTGAACGGATAGTAGAGTGTCAAGACTATATCCATATCCAACCATGGGATCTCTCTATTTCTCTCCTGCTCAGGTTAGACACATATGTATGTCTACCATATCACTTGTTGACAGGATCAGCACCCAAAACCCACCCAATACCACTAACCAAACCACCCGTCACCATATTGCTGACCAAATCCCTCTTCCGGACACGACTCTCGCTATCAGGAGAAAGTGGTCGATCTCCATCTGCGCCGGCATCGAAATTCATGCCTGGACCGTGACCCGTTGAATCGGCTGCTCCGCGAAGTGGGAAGGCATTCTTGTGCAATGCGAGTGCTGCACCGCGCGCAACTTCGAAGAGGCCCATCGGCGCTTCGTGGTGCGAGCTCATATTTGCATGGGCACGTGCACGGCGTGCCGCGCGCTGCTGTTCGGTGTCGAAGGCGTCACGCTCTGAGTCTGAAGGTCCAAACCCGCCTGGGACTGAGGAGAGGGTGTCGCCCTTTGTGTCCCAGAGATCTTCTTCTTGTTGCTCGCTGGCGCGGAGGGAGGAGAGTTCTTCGTCGCAGCGGCGCCAGGCGCCTAAAATTTCGGGGAGGGGGTCTGGAGAGGGGACAAGAACGAGGGCTAGGGAAAGGAGTTCCATTCTTTGGGAGAGGTGGGTGATTTGGGATTGGAGGGTTGGGGATGGGTTGACTGGGGTTGTGGAGCGGTAGCGGCCGGCGTTGTAGACGGCTCGCCAGGAGATGTCGTCTGGGACGGCGGGGGTGTTCAGGAGTGGGGAGGAGGTTGAAAGGAGGGATGGGGGTGTTAGCCTGGTTAGGATGTAGGAGTAGGCTGTGCCGAAGTCGTTTGAGGATAGGGCGGAGGCGATTGCCAGGGAGGTGATGCGACGTTCGGCTGTGAGGAGGATAGATTCCTCTGAGGGCTTCTGGTGAGATACGTCATCTTCGGCGTCAGCGGTGGTGTTTTTAGGCACGCCTGCGGCTACTAAGTTGCGTCCGATGGAGAGAAGATCGTCCAGCTTAGTGTAGCTCTTTGCGTTTTGCTCCAGGACCTTCTCGATCAAGACAAGAGGATCATGGTGAACGCGGATGCTGACAGGCTGGAAAGGAACGCCATGTTGGAGAGTAAGGGAGTAAAATGAGAGGGCGTGAGTTGCAGCGATGAGAGCATGCGTTTGTTTGAACCCAACAGAGCCAGGGAAGTGTGGTTGGAATGCTTGTAAGCTGGGGTTCTGTCAGTGCCAAGGTTCATTCTTTCTCGTGCAATAGCGCTTACATGTCGAATGCCCTCTTCATTCCTCCGCGGGTTCGGTTGCCATTACTTGCGTTGTCATACGCTGTGAAAATAGCAACTTGGACGGCGGATTCCACTTGTGATGCACTCAACGGTGCTTCTTTGGGGCTAGTATACAGGTCCACGGCCAATTCAAATTCTGGGAGTGGTATCAGTATCAATAGTAAACAATTGGAATTCGTGGACTTACCTCTGGCTGCTAGTAGAGTCTTTAGGATCTCTGTTTCAACCGTCTCCCGTGAAATCCTCCAGAAAAGTCCGTGATAAGGTGAAGGCTCATCCCAACCTTCTGACTGTTCGGCTTGCCAGTCTCGAAGCCAAAGCAACCTTTCCCGGACCGACAGCCATTCTTGATATGACCTGGGTTGCTTCACGGTAGAGTTGACCACGCTCTTGAGTTCTGCCAGTTGCATCTCCTCGGTGCTGTGAAGACACATATTTGCTGCAACACGACAGGGAACCAGATGACCAAGTTCGGTCAATATGCGAAGGGACATAAGCAAAGCGCTAAGCAATGAGATTGATGCTGGCGATGGTTGAGTAAGAGGATTGGTCGGCCTCAAGAGGGCGTTCTGCAGCAGTGATGCCCGGGAGGTCGATGAAATCGAATCGGCATCATAGTGAACGTGAACGGATGGCAGCACCGAGTCTGAGCTTAGGTATGAGCTTTCCTCCAAGTCAAGTAGCTTAGCAACACGTTCCAACACCTTAAAAGATCCCTCTAGCACAGCCATCGAGGAATCCGCATGTGCATATACCACAGACAGACCGGATTGACAGTATCTAGTCTGGAGTTCTTTCGCCTTTTCCCTCGGAATTTGAATACCGGGTTCTTCATATCCTCCCAGGTCGACATCTGACGGTCCATCCCATTGTGTAAATGCACCCACAATACTCTCGCGGTCCACAAGACTTCTCGATAGGAGCCATTCATTCACATGTTCCCAACCAGCCAATTCGGCTGACTGAGTCTTTGATCCTTCGATGAAAGACACCGAGTTATGCGCAGCAGCCTCGTTGAGTCTCCGGCGTTTGGATCGACTGCCACCATAAAACCACGGTCCAATCAGACCCCTCAAGTTATTGACCAAATCCATGCTGCTTCCTTCGAATCTCATTAAAGACAAGAGAATGTTGACAGCCGTCTGATCGTCCATAGACTCCAAAATCTCCAGTGATATTGTCTCGTCGCGATGCGCATAGTATTCATAGTTGAGGCGAAGCAATGGTAATAGGCTCGAGATCAGCCATGTTCGAAGTACTGGCGAGTGTTCGTAGAATGGCAGAACGAGTTCAAGGACCAGCGGCTGGAGTGCTGTTTCCGAGTCGATAAGGTGCGCCCGATGGATAATGAATTGAGTTAGGAGGTCTGCGGAAGCGACATCCTCTTCCTCGTCTGGGCGTTGCAGTGGTCGTAGGTTAAGCTTCCGTACGCGCTTTCGGGCAACCGATTCGGATAAGTCTTGAACGGCCGATGTATTAATGGATCGGTCTGCGGGTACAGTTTTGGAGCTATTGGCCAGCTCTTGAATCACCGAGGTATAGTGACAGGGCTCTGTACTCTCCGGGAGGAAGGTCAGGATAATGCGCAGGAGGCGCTCCAATGGAAAACAATGAGGAAACTGCGCCTGAAGAATGGGCAGATCAGCCACGTTACCATCTGCGCAGAGTATCGTGGCTAAGAGGATAGCGTGCGCATCTGACAACTCGAGAGCCATGATCTCAAGAGTCGAGACAGTGTGAGGTGGCCTCATAGTCAGTGACGGTGTTGCATACGGCGGGGCGCACAGACCAAGTCGGAAACGAAAGGGAAGAGTCGCATCCGCCGGCCACTTCATCACCACCTTTTTCGCGGTCTCTGTGCCTACCACCAGCTCAATTACCTCCTTCTATACTTCACAATGGCTTCCGGCTACGGACTTAACGGCGGTATGTGACATTTCGCCCTGTTCCAAAGGGATCTGCTCGGGTCCGCGGTCATGAGTCTTCGGATCACAGCTTGCGCAGCCAGTTCCTTCCCCCACAAATGAACCCGGCTAATTCACTGCGGATTCTAGGTCAGAACCGCTGCTATCCCTTCTGGCAGGAGGTCCTCGGTTGCTACGTGGTTAACTCCGGCGAGGGTGAGGCTGGCAAGAAGAAGTGTGTGCCCGCCCTGGAGGACTACTACGAGTGCCTTCACCACCGGAAAGAGGTAAGGACACTCCCCGATCGATAATTACTGCGCATTCAATATCCAAAAATTCGGTCTAATGGAACTATGTGACAACAGGCTCTTCGTACTATGAAGATGCAAGCTGCCTACCGCAAGGCCGAGGCCGCACACCCGCGAGAGAACGCCCCCAAGGCTGAGCAAATCCGCAGCCTGGGTCTACTTGGAAAGGAAGAGGAGGCCACTACTCTGCTGAACCAACGGTGAAGGGGTTGTGACTTTTCTTTTTCAATGCTTGTTATTCCGTGTTTCCGCCCGGGACTTTAGCCCGGAGCCTGTGACTGTATAGAAACGCTCAACTGCTCTTGACCATCAGGTCTATTGGTTCGAAATGATACTCCAATTCGATGACAATCGGTCTTTTATTTTGGTGTATTGAACTTGTGATATGGGTCCGGGATGGAAAATGTAGCAATAGGAGATGAGGGATTTCCAACTCCATAAGCTTAATTGGCAGGCTAGAAATATAGCCTGGCTAGGTGCAGACAAATACCCTCAGTGGTCAGTCGTTTGTCCCTAGCCGCTTCTCCCGGTGATCTCTGCTGGCTTCTCCTTTATATAGTTCGCGGGACTCATTCTCCTCCGCCCATCTTTGATAGGGGGGTCTGATAGGGTGCTGGAGGATAGCTTCAGCCACCAACTCGTAGTCAGCAACAATCTTGTGGAACATGCATACCTACATGCATAAGTATATGGCTGTGTTCTGCCTGAGCCTCATCCGCTCAACACCTTCCATATAAGGTTTTGTCGAGCTCACTGCCCTGAGCAAATCTCCTGGTGCAAGTAAACGAATGTATCAAATTGTTTAGATAGTAAGCTGACAGATCTGAGTATCCAGTTAGCAAAGTGTAGGCATATCGCCCAGGTGGTGAAGTGTAAGCATGCCATGCATGGATATGTTTCGATCTATGACTTATATCTGGAGCATCCCCAGTCTCCAAGTAAAAACAGTTTGATCGAATTTAAATATACTAATGATTGCAGCCAGTATGCGACCGGGCTTGATGATTTACTATACCAGGTATATAAATATTTAAACATCACCCATTAGGCAGTCATTCATCCAATATTTTCATCGAAGGTGCCAATATCGTCAAAATTGCGAAATTGCAACCTATCACATACATTGTTGATCCCAGAAACCCCTCAAATTGAACTGGCATGTGGCATTTTTGAGAGCTTCAAATACCCCGATCGCACATCTCTAATTCATACATCATTTCGATCTCAATGAACGCGTCAGTCACGTGTCCGCCTAGCAAAGAAAAAATCGTCGCGCTGTGAATGGAAGCCCGCCCGCACTAAACCCAAAACAGACTAGCCCCAGCGACCCAAACATGGACCAGCGCGCCGGGCAGAAGCACCCCCAATGATATAAACCCGGCTGCGTGACCTCGACCCTTCTCTACTAAAATCTTCCCTTTGCTGACTAATTTAGGCGTTCCTGGCTTCCCTTCCGCGCTTCACTTTCGCGCTTTACGTTGCCTTTTTTGCACTGGGTTTCGGATTGGGTTGGGCTTTGGATTTTCCTGATTTTTTTTTTCACCTCAATTGCGCCCTTCACTCGGGTGAAAGAGTGAAGGCCCGCCATGGCTTCCCGGTAAGTGTCCGCCAATCACTACGCGTCTGTCACGTGAAACTAATATAGCTCCAGCCTCGACCGTCTTGTCACGTGAGTCCACATCTGGCATAGGGATGCAAGTAGACCACAGTACTGACCACCATCTAGGCTTCTCGAGACGGGCAGTACGCAGTTGATCCGCAACACCGCTGCGCAACAGCTAGCGGATGTCCAGAAACAACATCCCGATGAGCTGTTCAACTTACTCGGGCGCATCTTGCCCTATCTCAGATCCAAGTCCTGGGATACAAGGACAGCTGCAGCCAAGGCGATTGGCCTAATCGTATCAAATGCCGACCCTTATGATCCAAATGAGGATGATGGCCTCCAAATCAAGTCAGCCGCAGAGCACGATGACGTTGAGATCAAGTCAGAGATCAAGTCTGAAGAACCCACTCCGAGTAATGGTCTCCTCAAGTTGGATACTTTGGATATCGCATCTGTATTGAAATTCGGCAAGCGACTCCTCGGCAGTGCGGGCAAAGAGTATGAATATTCGCTCGCATCCATGGAGCCGGCAGCCAGATTGCAACATCAAAAGAAGACCTTAGCCGCACGTCTCGGCCTGAAAGGCGAGTATGACGACGATGAACTCATGGAGGATATCGATCTCGCCCCCAAGGTGGTGACTCCCGCTCCAAAGCGCGAGCCGGAAATTGCTCCCATTTCTCGACAAAACAGCGTGCAGGATCCTCCCTCCCGTCGGCCCTCGTCGCCAAATGAACCCGCAATCAAAGAAGACGTTGGACTGAGCAAGCGGCAACTCAATCAGCTCAAACGCAAGAACAAGCAAAATGCCAAGATGGGAGCTAACAAGGTCCGTGTTGTGGATCTCTCTTCTCGGCGCCAATCTGACATTGTTACGACCCCTGTGACTACTCCCCACCCCGTCAAGTCCGAGAACGACAGTGAACAGAATGGCGAGACGAAACCCGACTATTTTTCTCTTGAACGCGCCGAAGATGACGATGACTCCAAACTGGTCACGGAATTCAAGGGACCCATCGCCCCTGAGCGACCTCACATTCAACCGGAGATCGTGGAGCAAGGCGGAGGATGGCCATTGGAGCACATGTGCGAATTTCTTACCATGGACATCTTCGATTCAAATTGGGAGGTTCGACACGGTGCGGCGATGGCTCTACGTGAAGTGATCAGGGTCCAGGGCATTGCAGCTGGCCGCCTAGATGGGAAGTCTCGTGAAGAAAACGACGCCCTCAACCGCCGCTGGTTAGATGACCTTTCATGCCGACTACTATGTGTTCTCATTCTGGACCGATTCGGTGACTACATTTCCGACAATGTTGTGGCCCCCATCCGGGAAACTGTGGGCCAGACCCTCGGTGCCCTCCTTTCACACCTACACCCCAAATCAGTTCGATCATCCTACCGTTGTCTTTATCGCATTATCATGCAAAATGACCTAGGATTGAGTCGCCCCGTATGGGAGGTCTGCCATGGTGGCATGATCGGCCTTCGGTACCTCGTTGCAGTTCGAAAGGACTTGCTTGTCAAGGATTCCAGTATGATGGACGGGGTCTTGGAGGCTGTGATGAAAGGCTTGGCCGATTTCGATGATGATGTTCGGGCTGTCAGCGCTGCGACTCTTGTCCCCATCGCAGAAGAGTTTGTCACATCCCGGACTGGAACTCTCGGTCCTCTGATGAACATTGTCTGGGATTGTCTCTCCAACCTACAAGACGATCTTAGTGCCAGTACCGGTTCTGTGATGGATCTTTTGGCTAAGCTATGCACATTCTCCCAAGTTCTGGATGCCATGAAGGCAAATGCTGCGGATGATCCAGAGGCATCGTTCGGAAAACTGGTTCCTCGCCTCTATCCCTTCCTCCGCCATACCATCACCAGTGTTCGCTCTGCCGTGCTTAGAGCTCTTATGACATTCCTGAATCTAGAAGGCGAAGGCACCACCGACTGGGTAGATGGCAAGGCACTACGATTAATCTTCCAGAATCTTCTCGTGGAGCGCAATGAGGGTGTCTTGAAGCTATCTATCCAAGTCTGGTCTGAGCTGCTCAAGGTTGTTGAGATGCGTGGCTCATTTAAATCCGAGGCCGAGCTGTCAGAATCCGTCCAACCTCTGGTCACCTTGACTTTGGGTGCTTTCGGTGTGCCACGATACCCTATCCCCATGAACGCCTCGCTATTCATCAAACCGTCCGGCGTACCATTCTGTGCCCCCCCTGCTCCCCCTCCCTCCAAATCCTCACCTCCCCTCGCAACTCCCGGCGGAGCCGAGACGCCCAAGCCGGGACGCAGACGCAAGTCAGAGAAGAAGGAAGCGCCCCCTCCTTCAGCTCACAATGTGGATGGGCATATGCTATCCGGTGATATTGATCTCGTTGGGGCGGATACCATGCTGAGATCAAAGATCTATGCTGCCAAGGCATTAGGTGAACTGATTTCCTTCTGGGACAAGTATGAGCTTCCAAGTCTTTGGCCGGCGATCCTGGATGCACTTAAGCTCTCTGCATCTACAACACAGCTTTCTTCCGCAATGGTCATGGAGGAGTATGCTCGCCGCGCTGGATCAGAGAGCAATTACACCACGACGTTGACTGAACATCTCCGGCCTATCCTTGAAGGCGAGCGTCCATCGTGGTATGCCGACATTGCATGCTATCTCCATGTCGCCCGCGCTCAGTGCCATTCGTTGCTGAACACGTTCCGCGACCATGCACATGTTGCACCCTCCCGACTGCCCACATTGGCTGTCGTTGTACAGGGCGACGCAGAAGCTGGACCCAATGCCTTCTCCTTGGCTGATGCCGAGAAGATTGTTGGACCCGACTTTGACCGTCTGAAGAAGAACCTGACACCCGCTCAACGTATCACTGCTACCCAAGTATTGAATGATACCCGCGCCACTGCCCAATCTGCCGTCGATGAGGCAAGATTAATGAGAGAACAGCGAGACATGCGTGTCCTGGCCGCAACCGCAGGTGCCCTCATCGCATTGCGCGATATCCCCAAGAAGCCTGGTCATATTATCAAGGGCATGATGGACAGTGTCAAGAAGGAAGAGAATGTGGAGCTCCAACAGCGCTCTGCAACCGCTGTCGCAGGTCTCATCGAGTATTACACAGCTGCCACGAAGCGCGGACCAGTGGACAAGATCATTGGAAACTTGGTCAAATATTGCTGCGTGGATACGTCCGAAACACCCGAGTTCCCTCACAACGCTCAATTGGAGAAATCGATCTTGTCTCTGCGCAAGGAAGAAGATCGACGCGACCATCCCGATGCGGCCAAGTTCGAAAGAGAAGCCAAGGAGGCACGCATTATGCGCCGTGGTGCCAAGGATGCATTGGAGCAGCTGACCGTCAAATTTGGCGCTGACCTTCTGGAGAAGGTTCCCAACCTCGCGAAACTTGTTGAGCGGCCATTGCGAGATGCTTTGGCATCCGACGAACTTCCCGAAGACATCACGAAGCCCGATAACGAACTCGGCCAAGAAATAGTGGATGGTCTGTCTACGCTGCGGGCCCTCCTGCCCAAGTTCGATCCTGGTCTCTATCCATGGGTTATCGATCTTATGCCCATCATTGCCAAGGGTCTTCAGTGCCGACTCTCTGTTATTCGTTACGCCGCAGCCAAATGTTTCGCTACTATTTGCAGCGTCATCACAGTCAAGGGTATGACCATGCTGGTTGAAAAAGTGTTGCCAATCATCAACAATGGTCTTGATGTGCACAATCGCCAAGGTGCGATCGAGTGTATCTATCATCTCATCCACGTCATGGAAGATGGAATCCTCCCCTACGTTATCTTCCTCGTTGTTCCCGTTCTTGGCCGCATGAGCGATTCTGACAACGATGTGCGTCTTCTGGCGACGACCTCATTCGCAACCCTCGTCAAATTGGTGCCTCTCGAGGCCGGTATTCCTGACCCCCCTGGCTTCTCAGAGGAGTTGCTCAAGGGCCGTGACCGGGAGAGGAAGTTCATGTCTCAGATGCTGGATGTGCGCAAGGTTGAACCTTTCCAGATCCCTGTCGCCATCAAGGCTGAGCTTCGACCATACCAGCAAGATGGTGTCAACTGGCTCGCTTTCCTCAACCGTTACAACCTCCACGGTATTCTTTGCGACGACATGGGTCTGGGAAAGACTTTGCAGACAATTTGTATTGTGGCAAGTGACCATCACATGCGTGCTGAAGAGTTTGCCAAGAGTCAATCTACCGACTCTAGGAAGCTTCCTTCCTTGATCGTCTGTCCGCCCTCCCTTTCTGGACACTGGCAGCAAGAAGTTAAGCAGTATGCACCATTCCTCAGTTGCATTGCTTACGTCGGTCCTCCCTCTGAACGGTCAAGACTTCAACCTCTGTTGGCCAACACCGATATCATTGTCACTTCTTATGATGTCTGTCGGAATGATAACGATGTGCTCAGCCCTATTAACTTTAACTACTGCGTGCTTGATGAGGGCCACCTGATCAAGAACCCCAAGGCCAAGATCACCACCTCTGTGAAGAAATTGGCAAGCAACCACCGTCTCATCTTGTCTGGTACACCCATCCAGAACAACGTTCTCGAGCTGTGGTCACTCTTCGACTTCTTGATGCCAGGCTTCCTCGGTACCGAGAAGGTCTTCTTGGACCGGTTCGCCAAGCCCATCGCAGCAAGCCGTTTCAGCAAGTCCTCTTCGAAGGAACAAGAAGCGGGTGCATTGGCAATTGAAGCACTGCACAAGCAAGTGCTACCATTCTTGCTTCGCCGTCTTAAGGAGGAAGTTTTGAACGATCTGCCACCCAAGATCATTCAGAATTACTACTGCGACCCAAGTGAACTCCAGAAGAAGTTATTCGAGGACTTCAGTAAGAAGGAACAGAAGGAGCTGGCAGACAAGGTTGGCAGCACAGACCGCTCCGATAAGGAGCACATCTTCCAGGCGCTTCAATACATGCGTCGTCTGTGTAACTCTCCTGCACTGGTGGTCAAAGAAGGTCACAAGCAGTACAATGAGGTACAGACGTTCCTGAACACAAAACGATCAAATATCAGAGATGTGTCCCACGCACCCAAGCTCAACGCCTTGAAGGACTTGTTGGTCGATTGCGGTATTGGCCTGAACCCTGCAGCGGAAGGTGAACTGGATACAGGCGCAAGCTACGTCAGCCCGCACCGCGCACTTGTTTTCTGTCAGATGAAGGAGATGCTGGACATTGTGCAAAATGATGTTCTCAAGAAACTGCTCCCATCTGTTCAGTACCTCCGCCTGGACGGTGGCGTGGAAGCAACTAAACGCCAGGACATTGTCAACCGTTTCAACACCGACCCCAGTTACGACGTCTTGCTCTTGACCACCAGCGTTGGTGGACTGGGTCTCAACCTCACAGGAGCCGACACCGTCATCTTCGTTGAGCACGACTGGAACCCACAGAAAGATATCCAAGCCATGGATCGCGCTCATCGTATTGGTCAGAAGAAGGTTGTCAACGTCTACCGTCTGATCACTAGAGGTACCCTGGAGGAGAAGATCCTGAATCTGCAACGATTCAAGATCGACGTCGCCTCCACCGTGGTCAATCAACAAAACGCCGGTTTGGGCACGATGGACACAGATCAACTCCTTGACTTATTCAACCTCGGCGAAACTGCAGATACAGCCGAGAAACCAAGCGATCAAAACGGGAATGAAGTCGACATGGTCGATATCGACGGCGAAGTCAAGGAGAAGGGCAAGAAGGGCTGGCTAGACGACTTGGGTGAGCTTTGGGACGACAGGCAATACCAGGAAGAATACAACCTGGATTCGTTCTTGGAAACCATGAAGAACTGATCTACCCTGTCATCGCCATCTCAACCAGTTTCCTCATCCAAACTTGCATTTGCATCTGAACCCCGGATTCGTCTGATGATTAGATTTCATCTTCATTCCATCTCACATTCATCTCTCACCCTTGAATACCATCACCCAATCCCCCTATCCCTCTCAACACCCCATCCCATCCTCATTTCGAACGATTTTCATGCCTAATGCCATTGTACTATCCCCATGTTCTTCTTTTCCATGGAGGCTCTGCATTGTCTGTACAACAGACCGGGGCATAATATCCCATTTTTCCCTCTACTTCTACATTTATTTCTATTTCCATTTTTAGCAGCTGGGAAGGCCTTTTGATTTACGCGTGTTTCGCTACCCCCCTTTGATTTCTTCTCCATGTATTGCTAGCTTCATTTATCATTGCCCCCCCCCTGATGGATGGATCTTTATCTTATCCTGTATGTACATAGCAAAATCTTTTGATTCATCCAGATTTGGTGTCATCTCCCGTAGACCAGACTAGAGTAGATGTCGACGAAGACTTAGCTGACTTGGATGCACTGCAAACACTCCTGGGAACTACCTTGAGTACTACATGCCCCATGGTGAAACGAAGAATTCATGATGAAAAAGCGATTATTGCCAATAAGTACATAAACAAAGACGAAAGAAGAAACAGAGACGCCTGTCTTGTGGAAATAACCTGAAGAAGAAACCATGTATCCTAGACGCCAAATCCGACACAAGGCTCGAAACGAGCCTTGAACGACAAGGAAAAAAAGAACACCAGAAATGGAGCGAAGGAGAAAAGAACTGAAGGATTATTAAACCCTCGACAAAAAAAAAAAGAGCAAAAAAGATAAGTAGATACAAGCAAGAATGGGAATGTTGGTTCGTTGACATTGCAGACGAGCATAACTGCAATGTGTGATTGGCTGAAATAGATTGCGAAGATGGAATTGCTTGATCCAAACACTAGGTTGTCATCAGAGACGCGACCTAACGCGCCAGGCGTGTGCCTATTATGTCATGGGGTGATTAGGCTTGTCCCTTTGGCTTGGATAGCATATTGAGACGGCTCATGCTGAGAACGCCGCGGTTCTTTTGTCTGGTGCTGGCGGGGGTGCCGACTTTGGAGGTAGAAGGTCGGACTGGGGTCCTGGTGAGGCGCTTCATAGGGCTTGGCTTCACGGGGCTTGGAGTGGGTGGGCATGACTTGAGTCTCTTGGTGCTGCGCTCCTCGGTGTGCGCATCAGCTGGTGGGACGTTCTCGGTGTTTTCGGTGTTGGAAGTATCGTCAACCTCGCTGCGGTGTCTCTTCTTGTTACCGATGCCGTGAGCGATTCCGTGAGCAACCACGGGAATCTCTGGAACAGAAGCAGTCTGTTCCACGCCATTTGAAGGGCGCACGCGACGAATGGATGAAACGCTAGGGGAATCATTCACGGCAGCTGAGATAGCGGAATTCTTCTCTGGCGTGAGAGTTGGGAGGACCGGATAGAACACATCGGTAGAAGTAGATCGTTGCTTGACAGAGGGGACCTTGGAAGGCGAGGGCGAGTCTTGAGCAAGCTCGTGACGGGACTTGACAGTCGGAGTAAATTCAACATGCTTCTTCGGCGAAGGGGTTGGAGCAGAGTCCGTTAGATCAGCAGGGGGTGCCGCAAAGAGCGAGTTGGTTTTGAAATCAGGTACAGCAACATGGGTGCCAGATGCAATTTGGGCAGGGTCACGAGAGAAGAGAGGTTGACGCCGGCGAAGAATAGACCGAAGATTGCTGAGAGTTGGCAAATTGCCCTTGAGGCGTGGGTTGAAATCGGTACGAGGTGTTCGTGGCGAGGCAATTGTTTTAGCAACCGGAGAAAGTTTCAAGGATGGGATCATGGAGGTCCTCGGAGCCTTGATACTGGTAGCAGTTGTACGAGCGAGGGAAGCACGGGTGGGAGTCATGAGTGAGTTGCGAGCACCAGGGCGAGGGCGTGGGCCCGCGGGTCTGCGAGGCGTCTCAGGCTTCTCCATAGGCTTGTCTGCAGGCTTCTCGGCAGGTTTCTCTGATCCGCGGCGAGATGAAGTATCTTCAATTTTGTTGTGCTTCACACGCTTAGCGGCCGCTGCAGGAACAGGAGTAGGCAAAGCCGAGGCCTTTGCAGCAGGCCGAGAAGGAGATGAGCTTTGGCTCTCCGGTTCGTCAAGCTGCGCTTTGGATTTGGACCGCTTGAGAGACTTGGTAACAGGCTGGAAGCGACCAGGAGTAGCGCGGAATGCCGAGGCGTGTCCTGCAATCGAGTCCATCTTCTTAAACTCGGCCATATGCACATCGCTGAAACGGCCAGCCCTGCCCTTTGGCATGGCAATCTTCCGATCTCCGTGATCTTCAGCGTCCTGCTTTGATTTGTCGTGAACCATCTGTGCTTTAATTCGGGCAACATCGCCACGAACGCTTTCCATGAGTTTCTTGGCCTGGTCGCTGAGATCGTTTTCCTGGGAAGAGAACTTGAATTCGAATCCCGGGGTTCCAAATTGGCTAGTTGCGGGAGACGCCTTGGACTTGGTAGGTGTGTTGTCAATTACGTCTTGCTTGATGATCCTGCCATCGGCGTCCTTTTTTATGGGGTTGAATCCAAGAATTAGGCCCGAGTCCGCGCGTTTGGTCGTGCTTTGATGCACCTTGCTAGGATGCATTTCTTCCCGGGGCGGACGAGCTGCAGTTACACTAGTTGGAGTTCGCGCGGTCACGGATCTAATTCGAGTAGACGCGTTGGGAGTCTTTTGAGATGGTGTCTTCGCGACTGGGGTCTGAACGTGGGGAAGATCGCGGTCGACAGTTTCTTCCCTCTCGGCAACGGAGGCAAGTCTGGAAACTGGAGTTTGCTGGGTTTGTTGAGGGGTAGGGTCTTCAACCTATGTAGGAAAGAAACAAACATCAGACGCGAGCCTCTGAGAATTACCTGGGCCCATCCCACAATGGGATGTTGCTATGCTCACTCACCTCCGGAGACTCCTGGGCGCGGCGAATGCGCGCGGAACGGCGGATCGCCATAACTGCAAACAAAAACACAACCGACAGACCGAGATATGCGAGGAAATCACAATAGTCTCAAAAAGTATTGCAAGGGTAGATCTCAAGAAAGGAAGTGGGGAAACGTTGAAGTCGAGGCGGTCGAAGCGAAATGTAAACAACGCCGAGCGCGTTTGACGTCAGATGACTCAGCAGCTCTATAGGGCCACTTTGAACTCACTTCACTTTGATACTTTGGACTGGCAATATATTTTTTATCATGACTATGTTTCGTGAAGTAACCGAGCTTCTTTGGTATTCGAGGCACCCAGCCTGTATGCAGAAGCCCCAGGCTCGACGGCCAATAGTAGTAGCCCAAAACGCTGAAACACTCTTTTTACACACATCAAGATTCATCTATATAGCTGTTTCTTGGATCTCTCTTATATTGATCTTTCGATCATACTGTTAGAGAACAGGACATTGTAAAACACCATACCAGCATATAAGTAAGTGGATATCAACATATCAACCACCGCTCTCAAAGTCAGAGCCACTTTACAAGTGCATTTTGGTATACCGAGTTCAAGAACGCACCTGAGCCTTTAAAGCCCACAACATCTTCGTCTTTAACTCCACCAAAATAACGTTAACTAAGTTGTCTGGAGTGTCGAGGCCTTATCTCTCAGGCTAAAACCTCCGCTCGAGATTAACTAAGTTAACTAACCTTCCGCGGGCCCAGAGAAAGTGTCCCCTGGCTAAATTCGACCACTCCTCATGTCTGACGTATGAATTCGAATAATGCCATGAGTACAAACGGGAAAATCCGAAATCACGGGCTGCTCCAGACCCGCGCTAGAACCCGACGCGGCCGCAAGACAACGTCCTGTTCCCAGTGCCACTCCAGGAAACAGAAATGCAATAAAGAGCTACCATGTTCTCGCTGTATCCAGCGTGGGGTACCTGAGCTGTGTCAGTGGCCTGAAAAAGACAGGGGCCATGAATCTCCATCTCAGGGGGGAGCAAACGCATCAGGTTAGACTAACACCCCCCCTCCCCCGCCTGCATAGCAAGCTTGAGTCTGACATGGCGATCAAATAGCAGATAACCAAGGAACAGAGCTGGGACAGTTATATATTGCACGAGGAGCACCAAGTTTCTTTGGAAACTCTTACTTTGGCCACCAGGTGGCAGCACGTATGATTCAGGAGTCCGCTCCGGATTTACCCCCCATGAGCTTGTTGTCTAGCAAGGACTCATTGCAATCATTCCGAAATGACTCCGGTCCATTCTCGCAAGTCTGGGATCTACTTGGTCTCCTACCGCGGAATAAGGTGACCGTTGATCGGCTGATTGAGAGGTTCTTGACTGAGATCAACTGGGCCATCGACACGGTCCACCCCGAGACCTTCAGACAGCAATTCGCGGAGTTCTGGGGGCGGAAGTTTGGGTTTGACGAAATTGCCGGCGTGGACCTTCGCTGGCTCGCTCTTTTGTTCATTATTCTGGCTTTTAGTGTACTCCTAGACAGCCCCACGACATCTTCACCTGAAAAACGGAAAGAAAGCGAAGAGGCTTCTCTTCGCTTTTACTGGGCTGCTAGGCGAGCTATTGTTATTTCCCCCTCCTTTCACGGAGAAAGCTTAGATCTTGTCAGAGCAGGCCTGATGGTCACACGTTATTTACTATATACCCGGCAAGTTGCAGAAAGTTGGCTCACTATCAGCTTTGCTATGCGTATGGCTCAAGCACAGGGCATGCATATTGACGGAGAAAAATGGGGGTTGTCTAAGAAAGCCACGGAGACTAGAAGACGCCTCTGGAGCAATCTTTACATGCTTGACAAGACAATTGCACTTGCTCTCGGAAGGCCATACGCGATATCAGATCATATGTGCCTCATCAAAGCGCCGGAGAACGCGTGGCTGGATGGATTGACAGATGAGCAGTCATCTATAGCCAAGGCACATCCCATAAGCTATCCCACACGAAGTACTGTGTCACTTCTCGGGGCTGGATTGGCTAAAATTGCAGGTGAAATCCAAGATCGATGCTTTGGCTTATACCCTGCATCATACGACATGGTAGTCGAGATGGATCACAAACTCGTTGCGTGGAAACAGCAACTACCTGCGTATTTCTCGGTGGATGACTCCGAACTATCACTGGATGACTCCCACACATTCCTGCCATGGCATCGGCTTTATCTGCACTCTGCATTCCATTTTGCTCGAATAACTCTTCATCGACCTCATCTTCTACGTGAATCTATCACCAATCGCTTCGGCCTTAGCCACCAGGCATGTATATCCTCTGCGTCTTCCGATCTCAAAATCAGGTTACAATCATTGAAATATGGAACAGCAGAAAACATGAGATGGACGTTAGGAACCCACAACATGTTCAACAGTGCCTTCATTCTCGGCATTATAGCGGTGCGGCGACCCAACGCGCCTCAGACTGCGGCGATATTGAATGACCTCGAGGAATATTGTGAACGACTGCGGAAGGATGTTTGGCTTAACGAATTTGGCCTTGCCGAAGTTAAAGTGGTGGAGTTGTGTATCATTCGCACCCGAGGATTTGCCCAAGCCACCGACCAGCCAAGTGAAAACACCTCAATGAGCCCACTCGAAGTGCTGCCAAGCTTTGTAGCACAGCAACGGGAAGACAACCCGGAAATAACGTCGACTATGAATATCTCTGGCCCTGGAATTCCCGCTTCTCCCAGTCAGCCTCCAGTCTATTCTCCTGATATGACGTGGCCCGCAGTGTGGGAAGACCAGAATTTTGCGTTTCCACAAGCAGCAGATCTTGAAACCTGGGAGCAAATGATCTCTGAAATTGCGTATCATACCTAGTGTATCCAATAGTGACAACGCAGTGTTTGAATTTGGCGATTGATCTAACGACACAGTGACTGTAGATTAAAGGCTTTAAGACCCATGACTAATATTTTTAACCACAAACATTGGATAGTGGACGAAGTTTGTTTACATTTGTAGATATCGAAAGGCGCGTTTGTATTTCTGTCCTATCTGGGATAACTGGATGCGCTATGTCCCACACCAAGCTCTCGCCGCTCGCCGCCCCCCTCCCTCCTCCTGCTCGCAGTGACGTGGAACAACATGATTCATGATTGACATATCACATCAAGTATCCTGCTAAAGATCCTTGTTGTGGAATTCACTTCTTCTACTTCTGGGTCTTTGCGTCGTTCTGGTTGCCATCGGTCTCATCCTTGTCTTTGATATCGGCGAGGGTCTCGTGGTAGGCCTTCACAAGCTTGCGGCGAGCCTTCAGGAAGACCCAGTTGGCGGATTTAGCCTTGGTATCTGTGAAGGTGCCCAAAAGCTTCGTGTCAATCTGTATAGCGTATGATTAGCTTGAGCAGCATTAAGCTGGCGATAATTTTAACCTTAAGAGGGCTGGTCATGCACATGTAGGCAAGCAGCAGGTGCTTGGTCTCACTTGGAGTGAGACCGGCAATTTCAGAGACATTCTTCTCTTGGGCAGAGGCCGTCCCTTTGGGAGAGGAGGACATGGTGGATTGTTTGGATGAATCGGATAGATGCAGAGAGGAGGTGAGAGAGGCGTCAGAGTAATGGGGAGTTTCAAACGCCCAGGTAGTGACTCGACAGTTTGTATTTGTCGTCGACGAGTAATCACACGGCCACATACGGTATTTCCATATGAGCCGCTCGAAAAGACGCCGAGAATTTGGAAGAGTCGCTAAAGATACAAGAAGCAGGGACTTACGCACATACAAAAGCGGTCATAGATCTTTTTACGGCGCTATGGAGTACGAGATGGTTTCTATACGAAGCCCTCGAAGCAAGTGTTCTATTTCATGCATTGTTCTTGCCCCAAATTGGCTTCTATTTCCTAATATACCTATCTTCAACTACTTTAGATTGATCACCCACATTATCCATAGGTCGGGAGGTAAAGGCTTAGAGTGAGCAAAGAGAACAAATAAATAGGAAGAAAGCCTGCTTATTTCCTATGAAGAGCATACTGGATAACTTCGACTAGGACGAGCAAACAAAAAGCCGGATCCCCGAGGCAGTCGGCCCGTGCGATTTGATATTTTCTAGATAACTGGATCTATGCTCGAGGATTTTATACGCGCAAGAAGAAAGAAATAATGAATTGATCAGTCTATAAAGAGAGAAATTCAAATCTTGATTTATAGAGCGTTGTGTAGATACAAAAGAAAGATCCAAGATTTGGTAGGGTTCGCCTTCGAGCTCTGGTGTGTAAGTTAACCAGAGGTGACGTGAAGAGGACCGTTACCGTCATCAACGGGGCAGCCATCGCTGTCAGAATCGAATTCAACGACACAGCTAGCGTCTTGGCCGATAGAGATACCAATGAAAGTGGTATCCTCCTGTCCTTCACCGGTACCGAGGCTATTTCCATCACCGTCTTTGACCTCGCATGTTTCAGGATGGCCTGCAAAATCAGCCTTGCACTTGAACTTGCGTGGGGTGCTCCAGCAGTCACCCTCGATGGTGAACTCGCGGCCATCGCCAGTGTTGTAGCAGGGAGAGTGGTCGTCAGGGAAGCCTTGGTCATAGATAGCTTCACCGGCGTCGTTGATAATAGCAAAGCCGGAGTAGTGGCCATTGGTGTTGCCACCGGCAGGACCGGAGATTGAGGAGAAGTCACCAGCGGACCAGACCACCTTGAGATGCTCAGCGTAGACGCTTCCAGAGGCAGCCATCAGGCAGAGAAGAGCTGTGCGGAGGGAAAACATCATGCTTCTGTGACACTTGAAAATTTGAAGGATGGTTGATTTATAGCCGAAACAAGAGCTATGTTTGTTGCTGATGCTCTTCTCTTGCAGCAGCAGCTCAGAGGTCTTTATACTTGTTCGGAGCCACCTTGATGCCCCTGAAAGCTGATGCCAAGAGCACTGCAATCCTTCTAGGCTTACTATGATATCATGGATATACTGCAGACCTGCTATGGAGAATGTCAGTCAGAACAAAAGGATTGACAGGCCTGAATCAGGGTCCACTGCCCACGTTCTAAAGAGTGGGCCGATCGACCATTGAACTGTGAGAGTGATGATTGCACTATTCTCTTAAAGACAGTCTATTATATAGCATAATTGGTATTATTGCGATGCGCAGATGACCCGGCAGTAATTAGCATTGTCGTTCGGAAGACCTAACAGATCAATTGGGATTGGCAATACAAATTATACCAGATTGTGCAGAGCGATTCCGTTGTATCTACCTATGAAGGGGCCAAAAATGAGCTGAAGAAGACTTAGCTTCGATTCAAGCCGTCTAGTTAACCATTAGAACTGAAGTGGATAATATTGTTGCTGATCCAGGGCGAAACTCAAAACCCCTGGCAAGGCCAAGACTTTCCATACTAGCTGCTACGTAGTGATACATCAAACAGGGAAAGGGGAAGAATATGAATTGAAGAGATTATATTCTACTTTTATTGCCTAGAGGCTCTTCAAAGCGTGGGTCCGTCAACAGTGATTGGTCCCAATTTCGGAAATGGCTTGTCGGCCTTCCATTGCCATTCAATAACCAACAATGATGGAAGGTTGGTCGACAGGGTTCAGCTATTCACATGACTAGTGAGGCGTTTTCCCTCTCCATTATAATATTCCCCGCCCCCAGAAAGTCAGCACTAATAAAGGCTAAAAGCAAGGCAAGGGAAAATGGGGGCCAAAATCACATCGTTCAGTGACATCACAAGCCTGCAAGCCCATGATGCCAAACACTTTGATTAGCTCAAGCTCTGCAGTGCAATACCATGAATTTAAACTAGAACTCTATTATGGTGTATATCGCTGCCCCTGTCCGCTGCAGGGCCTCTCCAACAGCTTCAATCCGGAGATTAGATACTTCCGATGCCACACACGATTCTTCTCCACGCTGCACCTCCCAAACCTCTTCCATTTCCATTGATATAAATATAAATAGAATGAAGAAAAGGCTTATAGGCCTCGGCCTCAAGTGCCAAGTGGCTTCTAGTTGTGTGGGGGCTATTCCATCAATTTGATGCCCACCACCTACGACATCTCGCATCAGGTGCATGTAACGTTATGCAGTACGTGGAGGTTGTTTTGAGCCAAGTCCGCATTTCGCAGAAATAAAAGTGCATTCAGCCGCTAATGGCCCCTGCCGATCTACCATTTCAGATGAATGTCACGCAGTGTCAAATTGCCAAGTCCCCGCCCCCACTGAATCTTCCTCCCAAGTCCCCACCACGACATACCATCCTCGGTGTGGTTTTGGCTGATCATCAGCGTTCATCCGAAGAGCCTGAAGATGTGATTCTGGATTCTTCAGAGATCCCGGTCGGTCATCCTTTCATCCTCAAACCACAGCCGGAAGATGCCCGAGATAACATGGATAGCTCCGCCTTGCAATCGGAGCATAGCCAAGCTCCGATCCTCCGTGGATCAGGATTCGAAAAAATCATCTTCAAGCAATAGAATCACTTATATGAACACGTTCAGAATGACAACCCTCAATAGGCGGATCGAAATCCAGTTTGAGGAGCACTGATTCCAAACTCAACAGCATCGACTAAAGGAAGAAAAGTATCTAAGATGTTCAACAAAGATGTTCAAAGTGATAATAAAACCTCTATAAGGTGGAGTTTGGCTCACAAAAGGGAAGGATCATGGATTCTCTATGGGGGAAAGGCCGACTAGATAGCCCCTGGCAGTGGCTAGCTAACAGTGGCTAGCTAACAAAGCAAGCAGCTGGAATCCATGCCATCCAAGTTGAATTTGCGAGATTCCAAATATAAATATTACAATATGTTAATACGTATATATGAATGTATCCTGTCACAGGATATAGCGGAAGTCTGGATGGAAGTCTCCACCTTTCTTCTCGTATGACCCTGAGCTGACAATCCTCTCCCTCTCCTCCGGTGACATCTGAGCTCGCTTGGTATTGTGGTATCGTAGCAGCATCCACATTCCTGCGTTTCCGAAGAATGCAAGACAGATCGTAGTAAGTGAAACGGAATGCCCAGTTACATAGCGCCCGTTCACCGGTGACTTGTAGATTTGACCAGCCTGTGAGTCATGTTAGCGCTACGTAAAAGATCAATACATCCATTCAAATTTAGGCTCACAATTAAACCTGCACAGTTTCCGATAGACTGCTGAAGACCCACTGCCATGGCACGTTTATAGTAACCCGAATGGCTGTTAGCGTTCCAACTAACTCCAAGGCCAACAACTGCGTAAATTCTGAGAGAATGGTCAGTTATTTGGACTTTCATGAGATATCAGAAAGATATAGTCCTCATACCCAGTAACGCAAACGTATGTTGCAAAATAAAGGGGACCACGCGCATGAACATCCACTCCCAGCATCAAAGCATATCCGACGGCCGTTACTAGACATAACGGGACCATGAAGACAGCTCGCATGCTAACTCGGTCAGATAAGTTGGCCACAACCAAGTAGAAAGCCGATGCCCAGATATACACCGGGACAGTAAGGAGCTGAGTTCGGACGGAATCATATCCAAATCCGCGAATAATTGTCGGTAAGAAAGTGCTGAAGCCGAAGGAGCAAGTGTTGACGCAAATTTGGTTGAAGGAAGTGAGCCAGCTCTTAGGGTCTCTGAGTGTTTTCCATACTTCCTTGACATCGAACTCTTCGGAATCAGCGTAACGGGCATTTTGCTGCATACGCATGCGCATCAACTCTTTATCCTCTTCGTTCAAGAAGTAGGCGGTTTCGTAGTTGTTCGGAAGAAGGAAGAAAGTGGCGATGCCCACGACGGCACTCATCAGTCCCTCCACAATGAAGAGCCACCTCCACCCTTCGAGCCCGCTTGCACCGTCCAAGCGGACCAGGCCAAAGGCAAGCCTGTAGTTTCTATTAGTATGGACAGTAAAACATTTCTGATAGAGGAGTAACGCACAAGCCACCAAATCCTCCACTCAGAGCAGCAGACACAAAAAGATATGATATTCGTTGTGCTTGCTCTTCGCGCTTGTAGAATGTGGTCAATAGCACAGTTAAGCAACTCAAAAACCATTAGCCCTTGGCCTATTCTTCGCACAAATAAAACTGAGATACTCACGGGAAAAGGCCACTCTCAAAGACACCAAGGAAGAGCCTAGTGATATAAAGCCCTGCAACGTTCTTGACAAAGCCGCCAGCAAGGACTGATGCACTGAAGCCAATAATCAACGCGGATATCAATCTGTTTGGGCGTAGCTTCTTGAGAAGCATTGAAAATGGAATCTCGAAAAAGACGTAGGTCGCATAAAACAAAGAGACGGCATCTGATTTGCATTTGTTAGCTACTACTTCCGGAGCACGATATGGAGTTGCCTCACTTCCTAGTTCATTTCCAACCAGACCAATGTCTTCCTGGGAGCACAGAGTTAGTATTCAAGGTCCCTCGGCAAGTGAAAATATCGTTCTTACTGGCATGCCTGCAACAGCTGCATTTCTACAAACCAGTTAGCAAGTGATATATCCTGTGCTGTATACAAACTTACCCTAGGTTGCTGCGATCAAGGTATGCAACCAAAAAAATGAGCATCACCAGAGGGCAAATGCAGAGGTCAAGCTTCCACAAGAGCTTCTTTTCCCGCACAGGATCAAGTGCGAAGTTTCCCATTTGCACATCATGCTCTGAGGATATGTCAGTCTGAAATTTGATGTCTGTTTCCTCCATCGTCATGCTGGGCGTAGAATAGCAGCGGGATGCCAAATATTGAGAATCAAGCAACTGATAATCCTCGTCGGTTTTTAAGTACCAACCATGTTGAGGTAGTCGTTATCAATCATCGGGAAATACATCGGTTTAATCACAGAATTGGAGAAGGGGCACGGTAATTGACCGACGTTCGTGGCGCTATCACCAATCAAGAGCGGAATGAAACTGTCAGAGATAAGACCGAAAGAGACCAGTTTTAGTTTTTAAATTCGCTTCGGCCTCACTTTTTTTAAGCGTAAAACTCAATTGGAATATGTTGCACATCCAACATGGATCTGTAAATATCATATTGACTACCATTGAGTCTGTCTCAGATGAGTAAAATGCTGTCAAATTCCGCAGAGTTTTGACTGCGGATATGGTCCGATAACTCTTGCCATTCCCCGCGTTTTATCATCTTGGCATCGGTGAATTCAAACTTTGTACCTTTGTTTAGCAGTGAATTTCCCGATGAATTTCCCGACTCTAGTTCGCGGGGGTACATCAGGAGACAATGATAAGAAGACAAAGACTGCAAGTTTTGTATAATTTGAATTGTACCTTACTTTGCTTATCTTGGCATTTGAAAATGGCAATCTCCAATGATTCAAAGACAAACGGGGTTAACCCAAGCCTGACTGCAAACCACCCAGTAAGCGTTCACTGGTACGAAACTGGAACTGAACTAATTCTCCAGGTATGGAAACGATGGGTTCGCTTTAGAGGCAAAGATGGTCAAGTGTATGGCGGCGAACCTGTGAACGAGCACATTGATGGTATGTCAACACCCTTTCGGAAGTTCCATAAAGTTAACCAACTTACAGTGGGCCAGGCATTGGCGAAGAGCTCTGAAGTGGCTGTCAAAATCGTCGCCGGTGCCTCCGCATTAGATTATGACGCTCACTTCACTGGTGAAATCAAGGTCATTGACCAGCTTCTTTCTCCAGTGTCACAGAAAGAAGCTGGGACTGTTCGCTGCGTCGGCCTCAATTACAAGGAGCATGCGGCTGAGATGAACATGACGCTTCCTAAAACACCAACGTTTGTATCTTGATCCTTTGGCGTTAACTGCTTGCTAATATTGTGAAGCGTTTTTCTGAAGGCGGAGACCTGCATTGCTTCTGCAGCCGATCCAATCAGTTTGCCTCCCAATGTGACGTATGATGAAGCGGACTATGAGGTTGAGCTAGCTGTGGTTATTGGCAGAGAATGCAAGAATGTCTTAGTGTCAGAAGCGTCGAACTACATCCTGGGATATTCCGTCGCAAATGATGTGACTGCCCGCAAACATCAGGATCAGACTTCGCAATGGTCTTATGCAAAGGGCATGGTATGTTATGTGTATTTGCTTCAACAATGGCCTATCGTAATTGACATTGATTAGGATGGCTTCTGCCCACTTGGTCCATGTATTGTTTCCACGGAGCAAATCCCTGATGCTGCCATTTTGAATTTGAAGACCTTTCTTGATGGAAAGATTATGCAAAATGGATCTGTTGACGACATGATCTTCAGTATACCTGAAATCGTCTCTTATTTATCACAGGTATGGTAAACACTCTGACAAGCTGAATATTGTACTTATCGCACAACCGTAGGGGCACACATTATTGCCCGGAACAGTCATTATCACAGGAACACCTTGTGGGATTGGAATTTCACAGAAGCCCCCAAGGTTCCTCCAGCCGGGGGATCAACTACGGGTGAGTATAAGCCATGGACTAGGCACCCAAATATGCCCCATTTCGAGAGAGTGAACCTGTCATGAACAGGAAATTCAAATTTGTTCGGTTTTCGGAAGAAGTATGTCGCGAATATTTGGCCAATAGGTCCACAGGACAGTCGTAATAACAGTCGTGGGTATCGCGAAGACCCAGTAAATCCAAAAATTGCTCGACATATTCCAACCAGTATCAGGGCCGTAATTGAAAAAGGACATACTGAAGATAGCGCAGATGAATGTGGGAGGCAAGAATGTAAGAGTAACGAACGCGATGGTTTTCATAGTGGCGCTATCCAATTGAGTCGCACGACCAATTTCAAGCGTAATACTGGAATCATGCTGAGCAACCGTATTGAAGGCCAGCTGGATCTCATTCTGAAGTCGCTTTTCGTTCGAGATTGACCGTGAGCGTAGATTGGCAATGAACGATTGGAAAAAGCGCAGCCGACGGTGGATATCCTCCGATGCACTGGTGACATTCTCCGGGGTCGACTTTTGATAGTATTCATGCTCAGTCATGAGATATTCTAAATTTTGCATGGTGGCGTCTAGTGTCTCATTGACGTGGATCGCATGCCGTGCAATGTCGTGCAGCCGCCTGTAGTCAGGCTGTGGTCTACCTTCCGGCTTTCCTTCGGTCTCTAAGGCTCGAACATGATCCCGGATAGCCCACACAGAGGGCTCCTGGGCGCGAGCAATCTGCTCCATCAAATATGGGTGAGCCCAGAATGGATCACTGAGAAGACTTGGGTCGGCATTCATGAGAGCTCTGAGACACCGCCCTTGGATCGGTGGCTCCATATCGAAGGCAAGGACAACAGTCTGACCAGTTGACGGTAGCCACCTGGTAAAGAGGTTTGTGTAATACCACACAAAGCTGGCATCGGGTCTTACCTGCTTCACAGTAAATCTGGACCAGGTATCTGGCAAAATTAGCGCTGTCACATTAGCCACCATTTGTGTGCTTACTGAAGCCGGTAACAATCCCAGAACTCCTCGTACTTTCACAACCAAACCCACCATTCCCGTTTCGTAAATATTTTGACCACCAGAAATGAGGCATAGAGAGCGCATTGCTAATCGAGTTTCGGCACTGATCGCACCTTTCAATCCCCGACGAGTTGGCAACACTTCATTCGTCAGCGATCTTCTGTCAATCGAGGTCTACCACGTACATAATGCATACTTTTGACCAAGTAGGAAGAATAGAAGAAATGTCGCTGGAGTCGTCAATATGAAAGTTGATGAGCTGGGTCTGTCGCCAGTCGGCTGCTGGATCACCGTTCCATTGGGACACCAACAGATTGGCACAAACTCGGCCGTTTGGTTCCTGCATTTTGTGGAACCTAAATACAAACGGAGGCAAACGGATCAGCGAAATTATTAACGAGAGATAATGCAAGGGTTGGGCAGCAAATTCTGGTAGAAAAGAGCGGTCGCAGGTGAGACGGGCCGTGCCCCTCTCAGCCGCTCAGCCTCAAGTGGAGTAGTACGAGATGTCTTGGAATTGCTTCAATTTGATAAATCCAGGTAATTATCAGATATGTGGCTTATTTATACACCCTATGGCCAAGTTTCACTTTCCAACGATGGCGGGCCGGCATACTTCTCATACCCCCAAAGCCCAGTACCAAGCGGAAGCAATCAAAATAAATGCCACAAAAACGACTGGTGCATAATTGACCGTCTCCGCAGATACAGGGATCGAAGTTGGCATGCAGAAGAGAGGAATCACGAGGACACTCCATGCTAAATGGATAAAAGGTTAGCGATGTCCGTTGGAAAATACTAGATCCGTCTTACCCAGAGCCACAATATTACAAAGTAGCCCAAGAGTCCCAAGATCGAATTGGCCATTCTTGATATGCTTTCGGCCTCCAGCAAGAGACACCGCAATTGGACAAGCATAGCTGACGGTCAACGTAATCACTCCAACACCGGTGAAAGCGTTAAATGCAGCAGTGGATCCTAAATAAATGAAACCGAGCAGAACCTGAACAGCAGTGCCAAGCATCATAGCGTTGAATGGAACACCATCGTTATTCACCTGCTTCCACCACTTGGAGCCTGGGATACCCCCGTCGCGGGCAAAGGCCCAAGTGCTTCGCGAAACAGCGGTGGTACAGCCAATTACACACAAGAAGGCGAGGAATATTAGAGGGACCAGCAGCAAGAATGATCCAATCTCATTTCCAATAGCAGACTTGATAATAGTCGGCATCGGTTGACCGGAGGCGAGAGCGGCAAGCATGGTGGTATCGGGGAGTACAAAGACCAGAGGAATGAGAAAGAGGAAACCGGCCAAGGTATTCAAAATGACCGTACCAGCCATTGCCTTTGGGACTTGTGTTGATGGGTGCTGCACCTCTTCACACATACTTCAGGGCATAAGTTGCGATTTCTGAGAAAGAGAGGAGAGCACGTACCAAATAATCATTCCAGTCGATGAAGTGCTGTAAGCAGCTTGCAAAAGGCCAACACAGAATGACCAGCCAGCTGGCCATCCGGACTGGGGCTCAAAGTTTGTGAAGACATACCCGGCATCATGTCGACCATGTCTAGCAATTACCAGAACACAGACCACAATGGCCAAAACACCGGCAAGTGTCCAGAATATCGCAAAAGTCTGTTTGAAGCGTCAGTAATGGGAGTCAAATAAATAGAGACTCAACATACATCAAGCAAGGGCAGCCACTTGTTTCCAAAGGCTGACGCCGCAGTAGAAATAAAAGTAACAGCAAGGAAAATCAGGAAAACTTGATAAGTTTCCGCCTCGAAGATTCCCACTCCGGCCGAGGACTCAAAAACATTAATACACGAAACGAGGAAAAGGGTGCTTCCGAGATTGACTGCCAGGGTAATAGTAATATTGCCGACAACATATGGCCATCCACAGATCCACGAAGCAATCCGTCGGTAGGAAAGAGGTGCTAACATAAAGGTTTGATAGTAGACACCTCCTGCAGTTGGGTAGACGGATGTAATTTCGCCAAGGGAAGCAGCCACGCAAAGAATAATCACTGAGACTGCAAGCCATCCCCAGATGATGCTTACCGAACCTCCTCCGACAATGGGATAGACGAATGTTGTTGCGAGGCCATATGGGATTGCTGCAAGGACAAACGACATAAAGGCCACCTGAAGGGTGGAACGGTTCCGAACTAATTCGGGCTCATAGCCAAGGGCTTCCAGAACACCGTTTGCTGAGGTCTGTTTGCCCTCTTCGATTTTGGGATAGTCGTCGTCAAGTACATCGGGCTCGGACTTTTTGTCTTTGGATAGTTCATGCTGCTGGGTGTCGGCTTCGGTCGCCATGGTTAAGGTGCTTTAGGGAGTTGCAGCAGGTGGGTATTCAGATGATCAGAATGGCGCGCTTAGGATAGAATGAGATATCTTCTGGTGAGGCTAACGTTAAAATAGAAGATGAAGAAGAAAGAGTTAAACAGTGGAAGGATATTTTGAAAGCTTGTATTCACAAAAGACCTAAATATCTGGGAACATCCGAGCTTATAAAGTTATAGTTCGTCATTGGAGAGCGGAGCATCATCAAGTATGGATATTGGAGACAACGTCTATCTGATTGTCTGGTGATGCAGACTCCATGCGGAGACTGATTTCATTGGCTCAATCAGGGCCGGGCATACAGTAACAGCCACTGAAGTCTAGTTTCGTTGAAACCTTTTATGCCCTATCTCTTCGAGCCATTCTCTAACAAGGTTAGCGATGCGGGATGATGTACTGCAGTAGTCTGTTCACTCAGGCCGTGCCAATCAAAAGGCGGCCACGGTAAGCAAGCTTGACCGTGGGTTACTGGGACTGGACTCAGGGGTGAAAGTCTCCACATTGCAAGTTCATGGTAAGGGGAATCAATCGATAAATAGGCCGATATGGAATAGCGATTTGACGATAAGGCAACTCTATGACAGAGCTATAGTGGCAAGATAAGTCAATAAGATGTTATCATATATGATACCTGAGCTGTAACGTGCCTAAGCTCCAACCGGTTTAACCCTCGCCCTGTCTTTCGCCTTGGAGGCTGCGATATTTATCTAAGCTGTTACATAGTAGGTCTAGTGTTTGGAATGTAGCGGATACGCTAATGCACGGCGGCTACGCTATGTCTAATACAGCGACTGTATCGAGATGATGCTCCGAGGGATGTACAGTACATATACCTACTGTATACACCTGCACATAGTGAAGGAATTATCGACGTCTCATCTGCATCAATATCTTATCCTATCAAGTATAGCCGTGAGCCACCGTCGATAGTCTATATCGAGGATGGTTTGTTGCCAGGTCCAACAAGAGGATCTTTTAGTCGAACCATGACACTCCGGCGTTACCGGCTAGAAAATGCGCGAATTTCCCCTCACCTTACGACGTTTTGGGCCCAGATCACTGGTATACCATGAAAGCATTTGCAACTCAATTCAGGGTAGACGAGAATTTCTCCGCACTCGTGATGTCATGCTATGTCTTTATTGCAGATCAGCAGGAAATGGTTTGACTCGAAGCCAGATATGGCTGGCTACCTTTGTTCGGTCACTGCAACATGTCGCAGTCCTGCCTTGTTAGCAAAAGTGAGATACCGTGCCAGAAGCCGACCAGCTTAGAGTTCTGACCAAATCGAAACTCAGATGGACATAGCACCTGGGGATCAAACCAAAGATGTTTAACTTATAAATTGTGCACTCTATGAACAACATATCTATTAGACAATGATTCTCTGAAATATGTGTGAACATATGTATCGATCACACTGTCATCGAAGATCAAGCAAGCGTCGTCAAGAGTCTGGTTTCTTCCAGGTTATAAGTGGGAATTTTATCCACCTATCCCTGCTGTAATCATTGTGTCGCGTCCCGATCAAGCTGGGGGTGGTTTCATGGTCGAAGTGTCACATGAATATCGACACTGTTGTAAAGGGGGCTGCAAAGGCAAGCAGCGCGCAACCCATAGTAGAGAATAATCGGGTGGGTAGGCCTTGGATGGGAGATGCCAATTTGTTGAAAGAAAATAGGTACTGTTTGGTCGACTGCAAGAGCTCGAGTGGGAGACTATACCTCTCCCTCGTCGCATGCCCGTCACAATTGTCATGTTTGTAAGATCAAATTGCTAAAAATGGGCTGCCGATAGAAGTGTTTCAATATGCAAGACGTTTCAGCTTCATCGATCCTGATTGGGTGAGGTTAATGGCTGCAGGCAAAAATTAGCATGGTGCTCAGTGCTCAACAAGAAGGTACGCTGACCACCCACTTACAGATTTTTGGGAGTGCAGGCTTTGTTTGTTTAGCCACATTACTCTTGATAAATAGCCTTCAAGGCTTGAGCTAGCTGTGTCGTAGGGTCAAGTCTCCATCAGGAGAACAAACCCGCCCTCGGCGTGTTATAGTTCCTGTTTAGGCTTAGCGTGGAGAAGCATCACCAAAATCCCATCACGAGACCAAGGCCTGCGGGGTCGAAATGGGTAATATCATCGTCTGCCGAAGCCTCAACAATCCACTTACTTATACCAAACCAATCGGGACCTCAGGACTGACCTGGCGTTCGCCTTGAAGTCACCGATTAGTCAGGTGATCGGGTCGGTTGGCGTCCCGACGCGGGGCTTGACGAGGCGATAGTGTCTCTTTGCAAGCTCGCCTGTTGTTACCGGCCCGAGATTCGTCTTTTCCATGATGTGTTCATATCTCTCGATAACATCGATACCACTCACGTCTCGCTGATTTCAGTAGGATGCAAGGTGCAAACCAAGCCCCCACTTCGAGGAAAAGGCAAAATCCAAATCGGTGCAGGCCCAAGTCCAAAGGAGGTTGTCAGAGGTGTAAGCAACGGCGAGTGAGTTGAAATGAAAGAGGCAATATGTGTTGCCTCGCTTTACCACTCTCTTGCTTCCAACTAACCCTCGTATAGCGTCGCTGCGATGAGACGAAGCCAAGTTGTCAAGAATGTTCCAAGAAGGGACACATATGTCCTGGATATGAGAAGCAGAATTTGAAGTGGCGCTATGTCTTCAAAGATGATACCCACGAAACTACTAAGACAGCGTCCTCGACTGAGACTCCCAAATCAATAGCGGCCGATTCTTTTGAGGCGACTAATCCACCCCAGGAGCCTGAGAGGGAAATTTCTCCCAATGAAGACCAAGACCAACTAGATACCACCGGATCCTCTGTCTTTGAGGAGTTTCCCGACATTGACGACCCAACAAACATTTGGTTCAATCTCGAGTCAGGGCTGCCTGCCATGGAGGTAGAGAATGATGATGAACAGAACAGCCTGTCGATCCTGCGCAAGCAGTTGTCAAACACATCCATTCCATCGTTCCTTATCCAGCTGCCGGCGATGCTCGTCGAGTATTACTTCCGTACTGTTTGCAACCAATGGTCGTCCTTCGACTGTCCTCTCAACCCATTCCGAACAATCATCAGTCGTCTCTGGAGTCGGAATGCAGCTATTTACTTTACCATCCAAAGCATGTCAGCTGCATCCCTGGCCAATGATTTCCCAAGCATGAGAGCTATCGGGAGACAAACCCAGCAACAAGCGATCGTCTGCTTACAGAATAGCACACGAGGAAGATCTGCTCGTATGGGCGATGATGAATTTTTCCTGGCACTCCTAATGCTGGGATCTACGACTGGATGGCACGATCCATCTGACTTAGGGTTGTCATATTTGAAAGCAGCCCAAGAGCACCTTCTGAGACAGAAGCGCCGGTGTAAAAGCCCAAACTTTGGCGTAGCAAAACAGTACCCGCTTTTCAAGCAGTGTCTGCTGTACTGGAACTTGTTGGCTGCGTTTGTAGCTGAAGATTCGCCGATACTGAACGAGGATAGCCCTACGGAAAACAGCGATGGGGATCTATCAATCTACCTTGTTGATGGTCAGGCAATTCCTCATCCATGGACGGGATCTCTCACTTATGCATTGAGTCTTTTCTATCGGACCGCAAGAGTGATTCGAGCCTCGAAAACGTCGCATCGGAAACAAGCACAGGCAGTCGATCCTGCCTTGGTCGATTTCAGCCGCCTGGCTGAAGAACTGGATCTCAGACAGAGGGCAGAGGAACTTGAAAATAGCATCCTCTTTTCAGGGTTCTCATTCTATTGCGGCCCTGTCGATATTGGTGACACAAACACACCCCCGTCACATTTCCTCACTTTGGCCGAAGCATATCGCTGTGCAGCACTATTACAAATCTATCACGTTTTCCCGGAGATTTTAGAAGAGAGGCTTCGCAGCAACCAAGAAGCAGATGGTGAATCCTCTATTCCAGCTCTATTTTTGTTGTTGTTCCCAATTACTGCAGACTGGGTATCGCTGTCAATCGAGGACACAAGACACACCTTGGCACTGCACATTGTCTCTCTCTTGGATCAACTCCCTTCAACATCTGGGACCAAGGTGATGCAGCCCGTGATTCTGGCTTGCATTTCCAGTGATCTTGTGTTTTCGTCTGGGTCTGTCTTAGGTCCCGCCGCAAATGCAATCCCCAATTTGAATACTTTGGATGTTGATATTGCACAAGCCAGACGAAAAGTCAAGATGAAGTTGTCTGAGCTTACAATAATCCTTCCAAAGTTACCAATGCAGCGAATAACTAATGTTATAAACGAGACCTGGGATCGCGCCGACTCTGGGTTGGAGGAGTTTTGGTTGGATGTTATGTTGGATTTGAATTTGGAGACGATCATGGGTTAAGCATATGGAAATGGTGTACTGAATGCATATTTTAAGTATTTTGCGTAGAAAAATGCCACATACCATCTAGTATGCTAGTCAAATTGAATCTTTGCGAACATTTCTGATCGAATTCGAATTAATACATGGTTTCACTGACCTACGCACATATGGCTTAGCAGATCAAGAATAACTCATTTCGGTCTGAGAAGAAACTAGACATGCCCGTTTGTGCTCCTGTCTTCCATGATTTCTCCAAATGAGCGAGGGCTGTTTCCATAATTCCCATTCCCAAGTTTTCAATCAAAGAATTCATATAACGCCGTACTAAATCTCTTTCAGAGGGCTCATGTGCGTTCATTCCGAAGACAAATAGTGGCCATGTAGCTGTTGTTGCAATTGGAGAGTTGGGTGGCAGGCGTAAAAACAATGATTCGAGAGAATCAAATGAATTTCGAATAGCATCTCCGTCGTTGAATGATTGAAAATGGGTATCTAGCAAAAGGAGATGACTATATTGGTAAAGTTCGGCACCGAGAGCAATATCATGTTCCGCGGCTATGGTTTTCCAATTCGAGATCTGGGATCTTATGCTCCAATACTCGTCGACCTGAAAGTCCCCATTTTGGGATTTCGGTACCGCTGATGCTGAGACTGATAGTAAACCCGAGACCTTCGGGACGAAAGCAAATAACCCTTGAGCACATCCACATAGCATACCAACCCTATTTCCCTGTTGCGTTGGCGATTCCGCCGGTACATTGGGCCATAAAATCGCTAGGGCTGGGCAATCAAATGTGAAAGAGGCGAGACAAGCATTGTAAGTATATAGCTCAGTGATAAGCAATCCCATGCCGGACTGAACACGGCTAGGATTGGAGCGCAAAATGTACGCCATTAAATAATTTGCGCCCTCCATGTGTGATTTCATTGCTTCCTGGTCACTCCCTCGAGTAGCCTGTAGTACGTTAGTAGGGAATTATTTGTAACTTAGTCGGAAGAAAATGACCTGCCTCGACAAGGTAAAGTATCAAAACGACTAAAAGAGATCGCAACACAGAATCGACATTGCGGCTCCCGTCATCTTTGAGTGTGTGGGACACATCTACTCTCAAGCTTTTCAATGCACGGATGTAACTTTGACAGGTCGAAAAACTGTATACTGGAGCTGTTCTGGGGAAGCCGTCGCATTAAATGTACCCCTGCAAGTGCCAAGATGGAATGCATCAATAGTTCGTCATTCAAGGCAGCAGGAAATATCGTATGAAGGAATGGATTTTCGCTGTCTTGTAAGCAAACAAGCCTGTTTGCTGTGTCATTTAGAAAATGGTGGATAATCCTCCAAGTGTCTCCTGCAGATGACACAGATCCTGGTAGGACGAAAGGAAATAGCGAGGCAGGGATCTCGGTGGAAGTAATAGCTGCTTTTTCCATGGCTGAATGTTGAGCAAACAACGCGTTTTGCCCGATATTCATCCTATTTTCCACGTCGTCCTTCTCGAAGAATGTATCAGGCCAAAGGCAGCCTATGCAATTGCGTTGGCAGGCTGTGCAGATCGGCTTGGCTTCATCGCACTTCTTTTTGCGCCTTCGACAAGGCAAACATCCGAGGCGGGATCTAGCCCCCATATTGAAGGCATGCAGAGGATCAACCCATTTTCATTACACGAGATCAACGTCCATTTTAAGTAAATTTCCAAGTAACGGTGAGGGGGTTGAACATCTAAACATCGTAACCGGCCACGTGACCGGCATACGGAATGTGTAGATATGGTGCCGAATCAGGACTAGCTCTATCTCCGTCACTATGCCGTGGATCCTTTTCTAGATGTTCGGTCATCTTGATATCTCCATAAACTCTTGCAAGTCATACTCCGGGGCCTTGACTTATTGGACTGAGTGACGCCTCTCTCCTTCTCTCCCCTTCTAGCTGCTATATGTACGCGGACAGTATTTTGAGCCCCTCAATAGAAAGGCCAGGGCTTGGTTCGCTGTTTGGTAAAGATCCTTTTCCATATCTAGGAGGATAAAGTGGGGTTACCTAGCCATGGCGTAATGTCAATTCAAATTACTTCAGCTATGACAAAAGATTTATGAAAGCTTTCAGACTTGTCCTTTCTCACTTTTCTGCAATTCTCAAAAAGAGCTATCTGCTGTCTGAAACCATGATCAGTACTAGTACGATGGAGACATATGAACTGTCCTTCTATATCTGCGTGGGCGCCCTCATAAGTCAATGTGGGATTCTCATCGCCTTTTTCTGCATACTATACTGGCTGAGTCGGCCGCGGGTTGCTGCTGTGAATGACATCGAATCGAATCCAAAAACAACCGGAACCAACTGGAGCGAACATGCTAGCAAGAGATCCTCTCTCTTGGGAGACCATTTTTTACACCAGGAAAGTGTTCTTGAAATTCGACATGAACGGGATCATGCGAGACTGCGCCTCTGCAGCGGTTAAACTCGACGATCCCAAGGACTTTCTGTTATAAAAACCGTTTGACAATCAATCACTTGAACTGCGCAACAAAATTTGTCATTCTGCTGGCGCGAAATCTATATCTGCCTACTGGGCCGTATATGTATGTTATGCGTATGTGTCTCCCTTGCCTACCAAAGCGGTTACTTTGTAAGCTCCCTAATACTTATTTTCTCTTCTGACGTCTGGCCGACTTTTGATTTTCTCCAGTTCTTGTTCTCGACAGCATCTACCGTATCTAGTGAAGCAGGAATTGTTTGGGCCAGCGACACAAATGTATTGAATCGCCCTTCTTTTTCTGTGAAGTACTTCTCCATTTCGTCTCTGTTGAGTTCATGTTGATGCGTACATGTTATGGCGGTTGAGGTCCAGGGCTTATAGCGCTTGCAGCGTCAAACATGGCCAGGTAGTCCAATTTCAAAATTTTGAGGGCTAAGCAAAAGCAATTATGCTTCCCCACACGAAGTCATGCGACTAATCAGGCATTGATAGAACGGTCTCGCCTTTCGAACAGCTGATCACTTCAAACGTATATATTTGCTGGGAACCCTAGTTCAAAAATATCACTCACACTCTATCTTTTACCGTCTTTTGTCAACCCAAACGCAAACTCAAACTGCAATAAAACATGTCATTTTCCCGAACATTGTCAGTTGTTGGATGCCATGCCGAAGGTGAAGTCGGCGATGTAATTACAGGCGGCGTACTCGATGTTCCTGGCAACACCATGTACGATAAACTGGTGTATTTTTTGCACAAGAAAGACAATATCCGTCAGCTTTTACTCAACGAGCCACGAGGTCGATCTTCGATGAACACGAATTTGATCCTACCACCCTGTGATCCACGGGCCGACGCAGGATTTTTGATCATGGAGAGTGAAGAATATGCACCAATGTCGGGGTCTAATGCCATATGCACTACCACTGTGCTTTTGGAAACCGGTATGGTTCCGATGAAAGAACCAATCACCGAGTTGACACTGGATACCGCCGCCGGTCTAGTGGGTGTTACTGCGCAATGTGAGGCTGGAAAATGCAAAAGCGTTGCCTTCGATAATGTACCCGCGTTTGTCTTTAAGCTTGACTACAAAGTCCAAGTCCCTGGAATTGGAGAGGTCTCTGTTGATATCGCCTGGGGAGGTATGATGTACGTGTTGGTGGATGCGGCCTCGGTGGGGCTAAAAGTTGAGGCTCAATTTAGTACGCAGCTAGTTGATGTAGGCGAGCGTATCAAGCGTGCAGTCCAGTCATCCTATACCCCTGTTCATCCTGAGAACTCCAGAATTAAGGGTGTCAGTATCCTGGGATTTACTGAGCCTCTGACATCAGAAAAGGAGTGCAAAACCGCCGTCAATACTGTTGTTGTCTCGCCCGGGCGATTTGATCGCAGTCCATGTGGGACTGGGACATGTGCACGAATGGCTGTTTTGTATGCAAGGGGTCAGCTCAAGGAGGGAGAGATCTTCAAACATCGCAGTATTATTGGCACGGAGTTTATCAGCCATATTCGTGGCATTACGAAGGTGGGAGACTACCAGGCTGTCCTACCAACGGTCTCTGGCCGGGCCTGGATCACGAGTTTCAAGCAAGTCGTTCTTGACTCGAGTGATCCTTTCCCTGAAGGCTTCAGAGTTGGTGACCAGTGGCGAATGGTTCCAAATTAGGTGGCTCTGGACTGGAATTCACTTCTGCCGGGGCCTTTCCAGGTCTTTGTGGCAGTATTCTTGGGCTGTTGGATCGAATTATTCCTAGGCAAACAGACAAGATTTGGTTGGCACTGAGGGTCTACAAATTCCTGGTTTCATTTATTTGTCTGACTAAAAGCAGCAGCTTTATGATACCATCAATAAGTGGTATACCTACTATCTAGAATTCCAAACTCAAGTGCCTAATTAGGTCTGATGGTACAATCCAAAGAGTAGCCCATAGAATACATAGCCCAGTACAAGAGACCCTGAGCCATTCACGAATGAATCAATATTACATCCCAAGAAAGAAATAAGAACATTGGACGTGGATCTCCTCAGTGGGATCTGGCAATCCTCATGTCCCTGTAGTACAAGGCAGAGTTTGAGCAGGAATAGATCCTGTCCTTGAGGACGTGATTTGAAGACATATCAGACTTCGATATAGATGGTCTCAGCAATGCTGGGAACACCATCATCATTGAGGATGAACAACATCCAAGGACCTGGCAGAAGAGCACCTGCTTCACTAGGAAGAGTCGTCTCGTAAGTTTCTCCGTTCGCGGCCCACGAGTCCAATACAACCCGCCGCTGGTCCGTGTTCATTGTATGGGTAGTGGAACCATAGCGGATCAGGGACGCCTTCGTGAGCTTGATGCTGGCTTTGACAATCAGCTTTTCGCCGGGATGAAGAGTTCTCTTATCAACGCTGTCGATAGTGGGTCGGGTGGCGAGTGTGCCATCATTGTTCAGCAGATAGTCGGGAGTGTAGATCTGGGCATCGAAATGGTTGCTGGGCGCCGAAACACCGAGTCCACTTCCGCCATTGAAGACACGACCATCAGTCAGCAGAAGGGAAATGCTGTGGTACACACGAACGACGCTGTTGGTCTGTCCCTGACGAAACTCGTTGGTTGCAGGGTCGTAGATCTCAGGGGTGAACTGTGCGCCACTATCATTGAATGGGGTAGCGTAGGTTTGTCCACCAGCAACAAAGACATTTCCATTGGGTAGAACGACCGATGTGTGGAAAACTCGGGCAAAAGCCATGCCATCGCCAAAGGGGTTCTTGGCTGTGCTGACCTTGGGGTCGGTTCCGGGCTCGCCGATCTCAATGAGATGGGCGTCTTTCGTGGCATAAGTATTCTCGTAAGAAGGCGAGCCACCGAAGCTGATGATCTTTCCATTCACTGCGTCAAACATCACGGCATTACCAGACATAGCATCATCCGCATCGCCGCGATTTCCTGCGGGTTTTTGGTCACCCTGGCCACTAGTGTAGTACCAGTTCATAGCTTTGCTGGGGCCGGCTTGGAAAACGGTGCCATTCTTCCATCCAAAGAGCCAGCCATGGCTGTCCCGTCGATAGCCACCATTGGCATCGTTTGTCCACATGGGCTCAACACGAGCTCCTGGCAAGCCAGTGAATTCTTCGGCAACTGGATCGTAAATTTCACCGTCTCTGTTATTGTTCGTACCGCCGTTCCACGAACCGCCGATGATGAACACCCGACCTTCAGAATTAGTTGCAGAAGCGTGGTAAGCACGGCCAAGTTTCATTGCAGCGCCAGGGTACCAGGTGTCGGTGGCTGGGTCCAAGATGCTAGTTTGTCCATCATTGTTACCACCCGTCACGAGAAGTTCATTGTTGCCGTCCCAAGAGGTGCCAGCACAGAACATGTCATGTCCAGTGTCTTGAACTGTCCGCTGAGTGACATTTCCAGTCTTCGGGTCCCAGAGGGCCGTGAGGGTCTGGCTCGTAGAATGGAGATAGTCGTCCTTTGCCCATGAAGACCAAACAAGAACCTGGCCGGTGCCGGGAAGAACTGCGCCAGAGACAGCCACAAGTGGCAAATCTATGGTAGGGCCCCAAACACCACCGTTGGAAACTTGTTTTGGGCTGTCGCTGTCATAGATTTGCAACTCGGAGATACTAGCTGCGTTGCCATCGAGGGATACTAGGCGGAGATATTGGCCCTCCTTGGGCTCGAAGACGGCCAACTTCTCGTCAGTGGTATTGTACCAGGTTCCGAATGCAACCGGGTTCCCCCAGTTCTCCTTGTCATTGCTCACGTAGATTTGGTGAGCAAATATCTGGCCTGTGGTGGCGGTATCTCGGCGCGATACTATGGAGAGAGCTTGGATGTTTTCCGCTCGGCTGAGGTCGACGACAACTTCATGAATGCTACCATCATTTCCTGACTGCCAGAAGGTGTCAAAGTTATCATCAAGCATTTTCGTACACTCATCCGTCTGGCTGTTGTCACAGGTGACTGTCCATCGTCGACGGCTGAGCTTTTCTCCAATCGGCGGTGCTTGGTTGGTGGCGTATGGGTCCTCAGCTGCTGATTGAAGATTTGTGGTGGCAGCAGTTTGCAAGGCTTGAGAATTGTCTTTCGCCTGGCTCAGGCCCAAGAGTAAAAGTCCGGAGAGCCACTTGGCGTGCATTTTGTTTGTAAATCTGGCTACCAGTCGGGAGTCCTGCCAGATTCACTGGAGTAACAACTTTCTCTTAAATAAGTTCTCTTAGAGTTCTTGAATCGCCTTCACCAACATGCAATATATTGCCAATCTCGATCAAATTCCTCGACCTGCAAGGGGAAGTTTCATCTGGCATGTCTTATACCACGTATCCTGCTGGACATTGGCGACTAACTAGTAACTATGTGCACATGTTAACGGCCACTGATGTTCATCGCTATAGCTTCGCACCTTACGCTGATTATTGCCACGTTGGTGAATACTTGTATTGTGTTACAAGCCTCAAGATGGAAATTGGCTGCGGCGATCATCCAGCCTCTATTAATCCAGCCCCCACAGTCTTCCTAAGAATGAAAGGGGGCATTTACCTTACTTTTCATTCTAATTCTTTTTTTTTCCCTTTTCTGGATTGACGTCTTATACTTCGCACTATAACGTTAGGTAACTTTAGTTATGCATATTAATGACTCAGTTCGACCTGGGGTCTGAGCTTTGAATTCTTGTTCTTAATATTGTGCGTAGCCCTATGACTATCTGACACTACTAAAGCAGGACAGTAGCTCGAAGTGTAAGAATTCCCTATCCAGGAGTTTCTCTGTCCTGGGATATTTCGATGACATTGTCATTTCAAAGACCCCGAGGTAACTGTGGAACACTGCCCTTAGCCTTACAACTTAGAATAAAGGTCAATTGATTAGCGTGATGTATTGGATCCTCCTGCAATGTATTCCTGCAGTTCGGATTTGCCATAAATCTGGGCTTGAAATTGAAATACAATGAGGCCAGGAATTTTAAGACAAGGAAAATGAAGATCATGATAAAAAATAACAATGAAATAATTAAACAGCGGATGAGACCGAGCCAATGCGTTAGGCACTCTTGCATTCATGGCCACTTGATCACTTGAATCATGTAACATCTTTATGCACTATGTGGGTACTTATGCAAGCGAGTGCTTTCCAATCTCTCCCAGTTCATTCGTCCCTTATGAATTTCGCCATATTACTATCCCTGAAACGGTACCCAGATCCATACCACCCAACGGAAGGTATTCCGAATTCCTACATTGCGCTAAGGTAAGAATTGTTGTTGTACTACACCATAACTCCAGGAATGAGATAGCTATGGCGCATACCGTGGTCTCTCAGCTCCTCATTTCTTTTCACCAGCCTCGACTATGTCATCACTTTGCTTCTTACTGGCCCATCATGTCGAACCGTCCGATTTCAACCTGCAGTTAGATCGCATGGACTTTGTCCTATCCCCAAAGACCGAACAAATGTCCATTCGCCGATGGCAACTTCATAATCATTGCTTGGCTAACATGTTCCTTTCGGCGTCATAAACGGAGGAAAATCAATCAATCACATCTCGAACCTCCAATTCATGTGCATTTGCGATGCATTCCAAAGGCACAGAAACATTGTGTCCCACCTAAATTTACCAGATTCATAGGTCCCCAACAGCGTTCCAACTCATCTCGTTGACCGTCTTTTTGTATTTGGTTGCATTGATCACAGCGGGGCGAGGATTATAAAAGGCAGCTTGAGCTCGTGCCAATAGACTAAATTTCATCATTCTACTCGCTTTGTATTTATACAACCCATTGAACGCAAGAAGCATTATTTCATAATGGTCCCGAATCTGAACAACATCCAGGGTGACATCTGGTAACTATATCCCCAAAAAAGCAGTCGCTTGACTAACGGACTTTCAGGCCCCGGTTGGCAAAGAAATATGAGACTTTCCTTTTCTTCGAAATCCTCGACATGGCTCGGTTCAAGAAGGAGCTTGGATCCTTCAGCAAGTATATCACAACTGCCAAAGCTGCCTGCGAAACTCGTGGCAGGCTTTATTCTCGAAAGGAGAATGGAGAAAACAACATCGTTGAAACTATCAGCACCAACATTTCGCTTTCGGCTGCTGGTCTTGCTCGGGTAAATTATTCTCTGTAGTAAGATTCTATGCTATCTAACCTCCTTCCCTAGCTCGGAAAAACCGATCTTGGAGATTTTATCTTCAAAGGCGGCATGTATGCAGACATGGTGACGGTCGGTCTTGACAGAGACGAGGAGTGGCATGGAGAGTTTAAAGGATCCCGCGGTCAAATTGATGGGGTGTTCATCCTTGCTGGTAGCTCCGAGGATACTGTGAACAATTGGATCATAGACGTTATCAAGCCCAAGTTCGCTGATCCGACCATCAATGGTGAGCCCGCGGCCTCAAAATTTCTGTTCACCCAAAGCGGCGCGGTCCTGAACGAATATGACGTCGAACAGTAAGCTAGTATGCCCTGAATGCCTGGATAATCGCTAATTATATCTCAGCTTCGGATGGAAAGATGGTGCATCCCAGCCTCTGCTCAAGGGATTGGACGATGAGACCACAAACACCAAAGGCCCCGGCCTCATCAAGCCTGGGTAATCTTAGCTACATGTCCCCTCACGCGTATCCGAGGCTAACTGCAGGTTGCCAGTTACATTATCCTTGGAGAGGAGGGCGATACCGAACCATCGCCGGATTGGGCCAAGGATGGTAGCTTTATGGTCTTCCGTAGACTGAGGCAGTTGGTCCCCGAGTTCACTCAGTAAGTTCAGTACACTGGATTTAGGCACAGGTACTAATATTTCGTCGCTATCTAGGTGGGTGGTCAAGCAGATCGGAGATCAGGCTAAAGACGGGGATAAAATGAAACTCGGTGTTATTTCGACTTTGTCCTCCCGTCTGGTTGGAAGATGGCCCGATGGTGAGTTCTCTTTCTCGTCCCTAATTTTATCCGAGCAACCCGCTAATTAAGTACACATATTTCAGGGGCGCCTCTGGATCTGATGCCAGGACCACCAGAGGGTCAGGAAGACACCTACAAGGGTCTTCCTGAGGATGCTCCAGGTCAAGGCGAGGAGCATATGGCGCTCACAAATTCGAATGACTTCGACTTCCGGGACACTCAGTGGCAGGACAGGTGCCCCTTTGCATCTCACATCCGCAAGGTGCGGCCCCGAGCTGATCGCACAAATATGGATGGCACCTTCGATGACACCCATGCCATGATCCGCCGCGGTATCTCGTTTGGACCTCTCACTACCAATCAGGAGAAATCTGTCGGAGTGACCACGCATGATCGCGGACTCCTTTTTGTATCTTACCAGGCCAATCTGCACAACGGATTCCGCCAAGTGCAGAATGGTGAGTCCCCCGAAGCCAATTTTCATGATCAATTCTAACCAATAATGTAGAATGGGCGAACAAGATCAGTTTCCCCCTGGAAAGGCCCGGCACTACGATAATAAGCAGCCCGGATTGGATCCTATCATCGGTCAATGGGCCAAGGACGACGACCACAGCAACTATATCACCATGCCGAGATACGATAATCCCAAGAAGGTAGAGCAATGGAAGCTTGAACGATCCGTCATTGCCGAGGGTGGTGAGTATTTCTTCAGTCCCTCCATCTCCGGTATCCGTGAAATATGTGGTGTTTGCGCATAGACTCTTTCATTTCGGTATTCAACTTGATCATAACGCTCTTTCTCAATCGAATAAGAATTCTAGAAAATTTCTCTGCAATAATCCTACGTCTGAACTTATGCTGGGGCAAAACAAAGTGAAGAAGAAGATTTTAAAGAGTAAAAGCCCCCTTTTGCAGACACGTTTCCTAAAATCCGGCAATCCTTCATGCAGTAGACAGTGACCCTCTTCCACGGGTAAGAGTATCATCGAGGAACAATGAAAGATTGATCTACCCAGATACCCACTCACGCACTTGAGGGGGTTGGTTTCGATTGATAGAGCGGTGTGGAATGGTAAATTCGTTTCATGTTTTACAGACATGATCGTGAAACATCCCGCATAACGATCACCATAGCTATACCGCTTCGAAAACGGATTTGTGCTACATCCTCCAGCCGCATCATTCTTACATGCACATGCCTATGCGGGCATTCTTTTATTAGTGGTGGAGCGGACCGACCCTAGGGTTATCGGTCCCGGGTCGCATCGGGCACTAAATTGTGGAGACCAACCTTGAAACCATGAACAAGCAAGACTCGGGCAAGTAAGGCAATGCAACGTCTAAAGACACGCCTGCCTATCACCATACATAATTGGCGACTTATTGTGGAAGGGGATGAAATATCCCATAATGAAACATTCGAGCTCTGTACTGAATTAGAGGCAGCAAGGGGGCAGGCTGTTGAGAATTGCAGGAGAATGTATCGTTGCAGATAGCTATTTGTGTAACTTCGATCCACAGGCTACGGTTAACGGGTTACGGCCCACCTTCTCTTATTGTAAAGGCAGATCCTGCATTATTAAGATAGTTCTTTGATGTGTAGCTACTGCAAGCAGCTCAAAGGTCGATTTCTCTTCAGGAGCAGAGAGACCTTCTCACATCAATTTACTCCTGGTCTTTTCTTTTTGTTTCAAATTGACTTGATTGCTCTCAAGTACATCATAACATATTGTCTGTTGCATGTCCCCGGTGAGGCAAAGAGGCAGTAGCCATGTAGCAAAAATGCATGTTGCGGACCTGGTTAAGATCAACCTCCTGCACGTCCCTGCATACTTGCATTAGCCGCTGTGTAACAATAAATTTATGATACATAATTCATACAGCATGCTTGAATTTGCGGCTCAATCCATGACTGGCTGATAGCAAAGACGGTGAGGTCATCCAGACATTCAAGCCTGGTATTCTGTCTATCACTGTGTTGAGAAACATGATGCGAAAACTCGTGTTCTTTTAACCTTGCGTAGCTCGGAATGAGTTAGTCCGGGTAGGCTCCGAGTCTTCATACTAACGGTCTGTCTCTAGGTATAAAGGGCAAGTATTATCTTATTTAGACCCCTCACAGATCCATATAAAATTCTACACTTCCAGGGAATTACAACCCCAAAGATTCACACATCACGATGAATCTTACCTCTTATATTCTTGGAGCCTTGGCCGTTGCCGTCTCCGCTGTTTATGCCAGTGATTTGTACTGCGTGAACGATGGGTGCGCGAGTGAGCCCGTGGACTGCTCCGATCTTGGGCAAAAGTTTGTATGTATTTTGTTATTGGTTGTTAGAGTCAGAAGCTGACAAGGTGAATAGACGTCTCAGAAGAATACCAACGAGGATGGCACGGTGAGTTGATAGTTTGTTCATTTTTATCAAGATCTAGAATTGATCGCTCATCCTCCGCAGGATTGCTACCAATGCTGCACGTAACTTCGGGAGCTGGAATCGCGTTTAGCCACAAGGCGAGGGCGAGGTAGTTAGATAGTTCTACGGTGCATGTCTTGGATCTTTCGCCCCTAATCACGCTGAACTTGTATACTATCACTATTCTTGTCTGGTAATCCGATGTGCATCTTTTTTTGGAAATCCCGCCCATAACGACACTCGGGTTAGGGAGGAGTATTGCCGGCAAAATCAGATCAATATATCTAGGCTAACTCAAGCGATTCATGTCTCAGTCCCCTAGAAAGCATAGCAAGATCTCACTAGTAGGCTATTCACAAGCTCTACAGAGTCGGTTGGGGCGAAATCTCCTGAGCTTTAAAACAGAACAAGACTGATATGTTGAAAATGGACATAGAGAGTATTGGAGTCACTCATGAATCACTGGATAAGTGGTTCCTAAATAGGTCAGACGTCCCGGCTTGGTGCTCTGAAGTCTTCACGTATACCAAGGTCAACAAGAATTTATGTATAAGGAATTGCCAGCCACACCTACTAAGCTACTTGCGAATAAGTATCAACGTAATAATACTGCTCTTACACCAGATACGATCGGCTAGCTAGTTGGACTATTGAGAGGTGAATATAATTTACATTTAACAATAAAAGGCAATTGGTAATTATCTTAGTAACGTTCACGCTACAATAAAATCTATTTCTTAATATAATTCCGATCACTGTGTTTCGAATAATTTCGAACTGCTCCTCTCCTTCATTGATCCATCGGAGATTTTTCCTGGGAATTTTTCATGAAGATTCATTGGAAATACTGCTATCTGGAAGCCATAGTGCTGTCTCAAAGTATTCTCATAGTTTACAAGTTGAAAGACGCGGAAATCGGCTTCATGTTTTCCCGATCGGCGCCTAGAAATAGACCCGGATCTTTTCAACGGTCCTCTGCAGTCTCCAACCTCCACAATGGATCAGAAGAAGCTACGTATAGCTAGCCTGGGCAGTTCATTCGCTGCCGGGCCTGACATCCCCCCACAAATCAAGCCTCTTGCCGCGATGCGATCAGGACAAAATTATCCTCACCTCTTGGCGCAACTATTAAATGCCGAACTCACAGATCTTTCAGTCTCTGGAGCAACTCTCCTCAACATCATAGTTGAACCACAATCTGCGCCATTATTCGAACATGTCTTTCCGCCGCAAATATCAGACCTACCCGGAGATGCAGATATCATCACCGTCACTGCAGGAGGAAACGACATAAACTACATTGGAGGCATGATCTCCGACGCTTGCGGTGCTCCAATGCAATCACCAGACCCGTTGACACTTGATCAATTGGCACAGAGATTAGGCGATGTCCTTGATGAGCTACACAAACTGGCTCCAAAAGCTCGCATTTACCTTATTGAATATCTCGCTATTCTAGGACCCGACACACAGCCTGAACAAGATATTCCCTTCAACCAGGAAAGGATCACACACCACAGCGGAGTCGCGTCTCTCCTTCAACATGCATATTCGGCTGCTGCAGAAAGTAGACGTGATTGGTGTGAAAGAGTCCCGATTCACGAACTTAGCCTTGGACACGCACTTGGGAGCAAAGAACCCTGGGTCGGAGGTTTTGACGGCGGGCCGCTCCTTCACCCCAACCTTGCCGGAATGAAGGCAATTGCGGATGTTCTGTTCGAGAGGATCCGCAATGACTCTAACAGGGCACTGCTCTGAACCTGATCCCGTGGGGTCGGCTTATGGTCTCATGCGCATCATATTGCCGAAACCATCGTGTAAGGGCAGATCAGACATCCAGATTCATGAATCTTGCCCGGACAAAACAACACCAGCCTTGCTGTTTCCAGTCAGACGCAGAGCCTGGGCATCTTTTCTTTGCTATAGACACTTTACTTAATTGATACCCCACTTCAAACAGTTACCCAAGCGATCAATCATGTCCACAGAAGAGATTTCTCCATCGAAGGCTGCTTCTCCATCATTTGCTCATTCAAGAGCTCCAGATCAACCGGACAGTCTAGATTATAATACCCAACAGCGTACTCCCCATCTCGTTGCTTTACAAGGCTAAGAAGGCGAAGAAGGCGAAGGAAAGATCTCCTTGCGTAACTTTTCAGATCCAAATTAGACTAATTTAGGGGGGCATTATGTTGATCCTTCAGGAGTATCAATTTTGCTTCGAGTCCAGAAGCACATCCACGAGAATGTGGCCGATTTCTCAGATGGGCCCATCTCAAATTTTGGCGATGCACCTTTACCGAAATAAGATTCACATTTCTTGGTACATCCTGACAGCATGAGGAATTATGAGCAGCCAAGATCTCCGCGGTGGATTCCTAACTTTAGCCAAGATCTTGGTTCGGCATCGTGTCTTGCGGATATGACAGGATGGAGCGAGTTTGACTCGCTTGTTCTGACTGACTTGGGTGGATTTGGTCATTTCTTCTCGGATGATACTGGTGGGTACCGGTGAAGCTTAAAGAATGATAGATAACTTCATCGGTTCCACTCCAGACTGTCGAATATTCTCTCAGAAAGCCGATATTTGCCATGGTTCTTTTGGAGATTTCAGCTCTGCTCTGTGGCCGTAATTTATAGACAGGGTGTGGTGTCAACTTGTAATTATTATTAGACCAAGAAGGTGTCAGGCACAGGAACAGGATGCAGGGCCTGATACCACTGCGGGACGCACGTCTCAACTCAGAAACCCTATTTGAAGCATTGATCAACAGTGGGTACATGAGGGCTAAATACGCTTTTGAGCCCTAGTTTTATGCTCTGAACGGACCGTCTTTGCGTTAAATGAATGGTGGCTTGCGTGCTAGGCATATTTATGAAACATAAGGGCGCGTATGGTATCATCTAGTCACCTGAGGGACAATCCTTGTTCAGTGGGCCCATTCAAAATCAGTAATAGGGCTGGGAGATTTGATCTTGATTTTAGAAGTCCACTGTAGAGGCCAAAAAGAGTAGAGGGATGCAGGTAGAGATGATGTGTTAAACTCGCGGGAGTTCCTTCAGAAATATTTGCTCGACATTCATTTGAATTGTTAGGTCACGTTAAGATACAGTTCAAAACTGTGTTGTCTCCGTTTAAGACTGCTACTGAGGCAATAGCTAGCTATCTGTTTTTGTCATTAAAACCGGGATGTCCCTTGGGCGGCCATCTAACATTTCGGTTGCCCACATTCCTATGAGATGAATTGAACCATGCAAGATACATTACCAATGACAGTAATTGAGATTTATCTCTCTTTAGCAGTCTGAATATTGTACATGGTTAAGACGATGATCACAGTTTGGAAGCCAGCCCGATTTCGTTATTATTCCACCCGGGAAAGGAGTTCGTTGCGATTATGCATATGCAGCTCTCTAACCGCATGTCCATGCAGCCCTCCGATTACTCTGCGTACTTAGCTCCTTCCTATCTGAGATATCGTCAAGTACGTGACTGGGGATCGTACTGCATGTGCATCTTCAATTACAGCCTAATAGCATGATCACGCCATAGCTTTAGTATATCATGCATTAAATATGCTATAATTTACATCTTCTGCAGATATAATAGTATAGAATGGCTATCACTCTATCCACTCGGAATCTTTCGTTCCATTGTTGTCGGGCCGAAGACCTCGGGAAGTCATGTTCCGGCTCCACGCTCCACGTCCGGTAAATATGAGGCCAGTCGTTTCGAATCTCGAGGAATACGTTGGTTTCTTTAGAGAAAGATCAAATCTCCCTGTTTCCAAATCAGCATCTCCACCTTCCGCAACATCAATTTCTCTTGGGCGCAGATATACCCCGCAATCCCCGCCATTTCCCCAGATACTATGGGCAAACGCATCGTGGTCACCGGTGGCTCCGGCAAAGCCGGGCAGCACATCCTCAGATATCTCCTTGACCAAGGTCATGACATTCTCAACCTCGACCTGATCCCTCTTCCAGCGGATCTGGAGAGTCGAGTACACACGCTGAAGGTCGAACTGACCAACACCGGCCAAGTATACAGCGCCCTAGGCTCCCATTTCCACCTGTCAGAGCCATTCCGTGAGCCACTCGGAATTATCCCAGATGCGGTCATTCACCTGGCGGGATATTCACGCAACATGATTGCCCCAGATGATGAGACATTCCGCTGTAACACCCAGGCAACGTATAACATAATCGAGGCTGCATCCCGCCTGAACATCAAGAAGATCATCATCGCTAGTTCAGTCACTGTCTACGGTGTTTCCTATGCAGAGGGTGATGTGGACTACCCTTCCTTCCCCGTCGAAGAAACAGTCGATGCAAACCCTATGGATACGTACGCCATCTCCAAGGTGTGTGGGGAGCGCGTTGCCCGCGGCTTTTCCCGCCGATACGGGAGCGACATCTATGTCCTGCGTATCGGACGTATTGTTGCGCCAGAGGAGTACAAGGAGGCCATGTTCCGGTCTTACGTTGAGACGCCTGAGAAGTGGGCGCCGCATGGCTGGGCTTACATTGATGCACGCGACTTGGGTCAGATGTGTGACCTTGCAGTGAAAACGACTGGCCTTGGCTTCCAGATTTTTAATGCTATTAATGACGAAATTACGAATTACGAGCGGACGGCGGATTTCCTTGCTCGGGTTTGCCCCGGCGTTCCAATTACGCGGGAGTTGGGGGCCAGAGAGGCGCCCATCAGTAACCGGAAAATCAAGGAAATGCTTGGGTTCAAGGAACAGCATCATTGGATGAAGTACTATGAATAGAGAAATTAAATCCAGGATTCCAATACGGAGTCCTCCGTTCACCGACTGTATAGTCAAGATAGAACAAAGAATTGACCTGTCTCAATATAAGGTATGAGTCAGCATGTGACCTCACATGATCCCAATAGGGCAAGTGATCGTCTCGTTCGGGTTGCTCCTGTTGTTCTCTCTCCAACCAACTCCATACGAGGCGCCTAAGTCTTGGCGATAATGGCACTAATTCATGATGTACCCTCCTTGCGATCCTTGCTGCTTTTTGAGGCTGGAAGGCCCTTCCCCCCCCCCCCTCCCCCCGGTTTGGCCTTGGCGCACAATGAACGCCGTCAAGTCACCAAGACGCCGTCAGGACCCCGATATTCCCCTTTAGCGGGGCTTGACTGTGTACCCCTCGGAGTTATTGGAAATATCCCCTGATCCACCCGACAGAAGTTTAGATCTGTGAGACGTTGACAATCACATTATGGACTCGAGGTGCATGGGACGCTGGAAAGCGACTGGGAAGCGACTGGGAAGCGAATCCTTCCCAACGTCGATTCGCTTTTGGATCTCACCGATGATTCCATGTGGGATGGGCCTTTTTTTTAGCACTGTAACCTCTAATATTACATTCGCCTACCCCGGGCTATCACCCCGGCCCCCGCATGGCATTGATTATACGGGGTGCGTCTTTCTCCAGCTCCGCCTCTTTGTTTGCTTTCTTCCTCTTTCACTCTAAGCCTTTCCCCAGATTTCATATCTACCCGTCTCACCTGCATTTTCTACGCTACCCACCGCCATGTCCTATTCCCTGATACTAGGTCAACGCCATGACTAACTTCACCGCCCCTGGGAATGGTATCAGCGGCGGCTACCAGGGAGCTTCCCTGGGCATGAAGATCACGATCGCTACTCTCGCTGGAATCACCTGGTACAATGCCTTCGAGCTGATGATTCTACTTTTCGTGACTTTTGCCGAGTACAGAGGTCTCTACTTTTGGAGTTTGCTGATCTCATCCTCTGTTGGTTTATTGCCTTACTCGCTGGGTTTTTTGCTCAAGTTCTTCAATCTTACCGACATACGATGGCTGCCCGTAACATTGCTCACGATCGGATGGTGGTGCATGGTCACGGGCCAGTCTGTTGTCCTGTACTCACGCCTACATCTCGTCCTCTCAAACCACCGCGTTCTACGCCGCGTATTGATCATGATTGTTGTCAATGCAGTTATTCTTCATCTACCCACAACCGTCCTTACCTATGGCACGAATCTCGCCGTCGCACCCTCTCTTGAAGCGTGGAAAAGGGGCTACAACATAATGGAAAAACTCCAAATGACAGGCTTCTGTCTACAAGAATTCATTATTTCGGGCCTATACATCTGGGAGACAGTGCGCATGCTGCGCCTGGATCCAGATCGCGCCAAGCGCAAGATCCAATACCAACTGCTGATAATCAACTTCATCATCATCATCCTAGACCTCGGCCTACTCGTCGCCGAGTACAAGAACTACTACATTATGGAAACAATGCTCAAAGGCGCCGTCTACAGCATCAAGCTGAAACTCGAATTCGCCGTCCTCGGAAAACTCATCCACCTCGTACATAATCACGTATGGAAACCCGAATCTTTCTCCGCACCACGCGACCTCCCCGATTTCGTCGATGCAACCCGTGTCACCTCAGATGTTACCCACGCTCCTCCCACAGTCAACCAGCGCATGCCATCAGGCATGGACGCAGATGACATCTCCATCGCCATGTTCGAACATTTGCCCCCAACTCATATGCGGAGTAACTCTGACTCCAATTCGTGGAGCAGCGAGGGTCGCGCATACCATGTGGATCATGCGCCGATTGACTTCACCAACCCTTTTCAGTACTCAAGGCATGCGAGTCGGTCTCGGAAAATGGTCGAGAAACCGTGCTGAGCATCTTGTGACTCCGATACCCTCCTTCGATCTTTTACGAATCACGATTTATGAAATATAATCACCTATTGATACTCCTGATATCCCATTTCCTTGTTTGTGAACCTATCATACCCTTTTTGAGACTCTTTCGTCTGGCCCGAGGTACTGTGGTCTCCACATGCCAGAGCGCGGGCCGCCCGACTTATTCTCGAGGAGATTTTGGTTATACTTTGCGGTTCGCGACGCACTATACCACCCCCTTATTATAGGATCTGCGGATGCCTCCTGGCGGGTTATGCATTTCTTGGGCTGTCTATGTATAACTTATTCATCATTGCCTCTCTGTACATAGACCCAGTTTTGATATTTACTTGTTCAAAAAAAATCCTCTGTGACTGGAAATAGAATGTGCGCCCCGTTCTCGTCCTCAAACTACTTAGCAGGCATCCATTTCACCGCAATAGGATCATGTTTTTTACTTCGGATTCTCCTATCTTTAGACCACAACTGAAAGGACAGATCAGCAGGTCCAACCACCACCTTCACATCAAATGTGGTTCTCCAGAAAGCTGGCTTCATACTGTACCAGTGCCGATTTTTCAATTTCTTATCCACAGTTTCAGTCGCAATGTCAAGGCTGCAGACCAGATGAACGCCGCTTTGGCTAATACTACTGGGAAGCTTTTCTGATGTAAGAGTTGACATGACGATATGCACCTTCCAAGGTCCAATTTCTCGGCCAGGGTCCAATTTCAATTGGAATTCCTTTTTAATGCCAGTGTATGGAATGGGATTTCCCTGCAAATATACCGAGGTTAGTCAACCCCAAATCAGAACGACAATGACAATGAAAAAGGGTTGAGCCCTACCTGAATGACTAGCCAGTCAATTTGGTCAACAGCGAAGGTCTTCTTATCTCGTGGATCAAGCCGAACTGGTTCTCCGACGTGGGTCTCTGGGTCGTATATCTTGTCGCAGAGAATGCCGTAGCTCACGGGTGAGCATCTCGATCCAAAGGTGACAACTCCACGCTTGATTTGTTGTATCCTATCTATGACCAAGCCATGCACAACCACAAGTTGCCTTTTCAGAGGTTAGATAGAAAGTCTCGATAGCATGGTGAGCAAACATGGAAATACGCTACGTACGGTTCGTCTGCAAGTAGAATCTGCATTCCCGCGGCATTAGGGTGCACAGGCGCGCTGGGCTCACTGTATCTTTCCAATAGATATTTCCGCACATACGGGGAGCTGCCGAAACCCCCCGACAGGATAAGATATGTCTACTCCAGGAAGCGTGGTCAGTTATATATCCCCGATAGAAATTTGATTCACATACTATTTGATCGCCAGGGTACTTTATATGCATCTGACGAAGATGTCCATCCAGAAGGTTGCAAATTTCTTCACTTTTGGCATCAAAGCACCCTTTGACAAGGGTCCTATATAAATTTCAATCATAAACCTGCCACAGCATATATGCTTCGAGGGCTATCACTTACCATGCGATGCGCATCTGTCCATTGTATATCTCTGCTTCTGGGAAATCGGGGCTGGGTTCCAAGGAGGGTACATCCAGCGTCAGCCACGGTGTCAGTGTGGATTCGGTGCCGAATGCGCATTTCAATCTTTGAAAGCGACCGGACGTCATTTTCCACGCTGCTTCGCTAGGCGGCAGACCTAGGCTCTCTTTGACTTTTTCTAGCCTCTCACAAATAAGCTGGTGCATCTTTCTGTCGATAAAAACTGAACCAATGGGTTGCCCTGTGGTTTCGTCAGTGGGCTTTCTCCTACACTCATTCCTCTGCCATGTATTACCTTCGACATGACCAAGTTGTTCGAGCCGTGTGGGCTCACCTCGGGATGACATGAGCTTCAGAACATTGACGTCCTGTTTTCATGATAAGAAGACAATCGCAGCAGTCAAGATGAACGAAACACTCACTGTAGTTCCTCCACCAGCATCACATATCAGGATAGTATCATCCGCATTATAGTGCTCATTCCCAGCATATACCGCAGCAGCCTCAGCTTCAGTAAGACCTATAAAGGCACGATGATTTGGGGTCTTCGCATTTATCGCGTTCTCAAGAAGTCTTCGAGTTTCCTCAACCATTCGGACATCCTTCCAGGTCGTTGGAACACTGAAAAGAAACTCAACATTGCGCGAAGCAAAATGAGGAATAGTGTTGCTGAAATGAGATAGTACATGTTGATATACGCAATGAACATAGTCTTGGAACCAGCGCTGGGCTTCGTGTCGACTAGGAGCACCGGGATACTCATCTTGGTACTGAGGCGCGAGATGTAACTTGAAGAATTCTTTGAAGTTTGGCCCTTTCCCTTCTGGATCACATTGAAACCCCCAATTGAGAATCCTGTTAGAGTTGGAGTCATACTCGATGCATGTCGGCACTTTATTCGCCAGTTCTCCCGGTAGCTTCCCTGGCCAGCGCTGGAGAGTTTTCGGAGGAAGCCATTCTGGCGCACATGAATATGCAACACCTTGGTATGCGTTAAATAGTGTATGTTCGCTTGTATTGAGCTTGCTCACCAGTATAGGTCATCCCAAAATCAATACCCACCACAATATCCGGTGTCCATTCGTCCCAACTCTCCGCTTTTAGTGCCACAACTTCTTTGTCGTCCATATTTCCAGCTCTCGGAACGAATGTTGTGCAATGCAACAGGAGCTCTCTGGTATATGAACATGGCCCGGAGCACCGGGATTATTCGGTTTTCATGTAAAATTAGGGATTTGGCCCCCTGACAGGGGTGCATAGGAAACTAGATCGTTTTCCCTTAGCTTGCAATCGGCGTTCAGCTCATGCAGCTAACTGTTCTACTACTATCAAAAGTGGAGCATCTTCTATTAGTTCGTTTCTGCTGTTCTGTTTCCCGGGTGCATTCATGCTATCCTAGTTCAGTAAAAGGCCCCGAGAAATGTCACCCTTAAGTACTGCACGATTGGGTTCCTATATTGCAAATTCTATCCAAGCCCACACAGCTGTTCTTACTTTCACTCTATCGCCAGATGAGTAACACGTTAGAAGCTCGACAGGCAGAGGCTGCACAAACCTCTTCCTCTGCTGAATCTTCTTCGGTTGCGAATTCCTCCTGGGCTGCGGCGGTCTCTTCTTCGACACTTCCTTCTGTTGCTTCTTCCTCCGCAGGAGTGTCCGATTCCACCAAAACGAGTACAAATCCATCTGCCACACCCGATACAAGCTCTGTTTTGCCCACAGCAACCACATCTTCCGGGCTCATTCCTACCTCGCCGGCGCCGTCGTCATCCAGGCCGCCTTCCAATACACCCAGCACAACCAATATCCCAAACGGCAATGCTCAATCCTCAAGCCTTCATAAATCAGGTTATTCTGGTGGAACTCTTGCTGGAGCAATAGTAGGATCCATTGCAGGAACACTTCTCCTGGCTCTTCTAGCTTTCGTTTTGCTTCGCCATCGCCGAAAGCGCAACCATCCCGATGCAATGGCCCAAAATTCCACCATATCTGTAACAACAGAAACCCCGAAACAACCCACACAGATCCAATCTCGCTCGTTTGGTGTTACTTCTGCTACTTCGCGCGACGCCTACCCACAGATTGCTCCCGCTGTTGGGTTGCAACATTTTGATCTCGCCTCATATATGCCGATCCCGGCAGACGACAACACTGTGTCAACAAAGATTCAAACGCTCTTTGACCAGGCCAGCCTACACATTGACAATTACTACTCCCATGCCAATCCAACCCTTCAGATAACACCTGAAGTCGTGGCTTGCATGAACAAATTTGACTCACCGTTCCTCTCGTCTCCTCTGGCAACTCTACTCGCAAACCCAAGATCCAAGAGAGCTGCTCTAACACACACCTTGGTAAGGGCCCTGCTGCAGGGTATCCAACCAGGGAGTCAAACATGGTCTCTCCTTCCACCATGTTATACAATGAACCTAGACAAAAAAGAGATTAGTGGAAATATGTTCGGTACGCTTCTCATGTCTTGCGCTCCTCCCCAGTACTGAGCTGATTTGATGAACTATAGATGACCATCGCGCCATGTTTGCCTGGCGTATGTTAACGTCAGCGATGTATACTCGGAATCATGGGGGCCAGGGAACTACTCGAAATGCAATCCCCGCTCTCGTGGGGGATTTTGCTACAGCATTCGCCCCTTATATTGATGCCAATTTCACTGTGGAAGATCAGCTCGACCATCTGACCAGTGTGGTCCGGGCAGCCGCCGATCTAGGTACTTGGTTGTTTTCTCAGCCGTGTTCTTTTGGGTTCCGATGGACTTCCTTGGTCACTCCTTTGGATCAAGTGATTATTTTCCCGGCTGTTTTCAAAGATGGTGATGAACAGGGGCGTCCTTTACGAGTGCCTCATACCCTGGTGGAGGAGACTTCAGTACGAATTTGAGAGCTGGATTTCTCTTTCTATATCTTGATTGAATTCAATAATTTAGGCGAATCCTTTGTTGAGAATGGAGTTTTTTTTAAAAAAAAAAAAAAAAAAAGAGAATTTAGGGCAGATAGCTGTAGCATACGATGTTTAGGGTGTTTACGACGTTGCAGGGATGCGGCTTTCTTCGACTCAAAATTGAGCATGCAGATATCGTGTTTCAGAGACCAGATAATAATAAGCACGTGGATATTCAAACGGAAGGGAAAGTCCGAGAAAGGAAGGTAATGCAACACAAGGGACTAATTCAGGTCCTAACATCAAGTTCCTCCGTGGTAGAGTCCACAGGATGTTTCAATTTATTCAATGCTCCCTTAGACTGACGCCACGCTAACATATCGTGCATCTCGTAGTTCAGGGGACTTTTCGCCCCCACGACCTCTAGCGTATCCTTTGCCGGCCCATTAGATCCAGGCCAAGTGCCCTGTCGCTCATATAGGCTGTAGGTGGAATTCGTAGACAGGCTAACAGCCCCAAGCTCATGCACAACGGGTGACTCGGACACAGGGGACACAAGGATATCCACCCGTTGGAGATGACCCAAGACCAGCATTAGGCTATGGTGGCACGCCAACAACCGTTGACTTTTGACTTTGGCGCGTTTACTGTCTCGATAGATCCAGCGCAGTTGCCGCCCCCAGGAGAGCTTTCCATTTCGGATCTCGCTCTCGACGCGCATGGGCTCGATGAGGATAGCTGCTTCGCGGACTGCATCTGCGACGTCTGCGAGGGTTTGGTCGATCCAGCTGCGCTCGCTGGGTTCTAAGAGTAGGCCCTTTATTTCACGGAGGCGCTGGGCTTCGTGGAGCTGGGCAAGGATGTGGTTTTTTGTTTTGAGTAGCTCGGCTGTTCGTTCGTTTGCGGATGACAGGTACATATCCCGCGCCGGGGCTCGTGGTGTCCCTGGGGGTACTCGAGATTTCTGTTCCTCTTTTGGGATGGCGTGTGCCCCAGTAAACTCCATTTTAGGCGCTATCGGTAGGTAGCTGGGCTTTCAAGGAGGAGAATAGCTTGGACAGGCAGGAAAATACAGGAGGCACCTGGCTCCGCTTTATCCAGTTGTTTCTCTTCGTCGAGAGGCTAGCAGGGCGTCTAAGTACCTTCTCATTTCCGAGGACTAGTTTGCATTTGCTAGGTGCATTGGGATCCATGCTAGCTCTGTACTTAGTGCAAGTGCAGTTTGTGATGCAGGGATTGCAAGATCGGATTAGAAGATGGACTTTGTTGGCACCAGACGTGCCTACCAAGCCTTTGAAAGGAAGGATCGATGACACTCTAAGTTGAATAGAGATGGCATTAGTAAATACGGAACTAGGCAATAGACAGGGCCAGGATCCACGGCAAAAGACAACAATGCTGTACAGGAAGCTGGTGCTTTTGGCAAGCCACTGTGCGCTAGTTAGTAGGTCTTGGTCCGATCACCCGGGTCTTCCCAACTTGGTATAGATCTATGGGGATTTCTGCTCCAGTTTTGTTGTGCGAGGCTATGAGGGGGGAAGGTGCCAAATCCCCAGCTAGTAAGAGAAATGGTACGCATGGTGGGCTATGGAGTACAAATTGACCACACGGGGTCCGTCACACGATACTGATTTGGGTCATATTGTCAATGTGTGCCGCAATCTTCATACACAGCCTTCGTGGTCTAGTTGGTTATGACGTCGGTCTCATATCCTTTCTTATGACATTCTTGGTAACAAGATTGACATCCGAAGGTCTCCAGTTCGAACCTGGACGAGGGCATTTTTTTATATTTAGAATATCCACGTAGATGACGTCATGTCGGATTACTCGATATCTGTTTAGCTGAACAATTTTATCTTTATACTGGCTGTTATCCTACATAAAGCCATATTACAATTTACTCTGGTTTATGTAACTAGACTATCTTAACTGACCGCACTCCCGCTGTGGTTGACCCCGGCGGAAAAAAAACCCGATTGCAAATACATATTGTAGTGGTGAATCCCGTGACAGTAGTATTTTAATGCCTGAGGCATCTATGATGCCTCAGGAGACATGCAGTCTTCTCCTACAGAGAGAGAGGAGCATGATCCAACAACCTCAATATGACTACAGTTACTCGCAAAACTTCTTGATTCATGATATAGCATCAGGCTCGGTACGATTTACACCTTCAGGGACCGCTCTCTACGCCTTCAGGCCATGGGAGTGGTTGTGTGATCTCTTCAGTAGTATCGACCCGTCTGCTATGTCAGACTGCCATCGTGCCATCCCCATTTCAATATATATATATATATTTCTTGAGGCTTGTCTTTTAATGACCCAGTCTCCATGACGCTAGATGTGGTTACACTTAGGGCTGTGATGGGTTTATGACCAAGGCCAAATATACCAGCGAAGATTTCCAAGTATGGAACATGCTACATGATTCTTACACCCAAGCTGAAGCCGATCGAAGATAGTGCTAAAGGCTCATCCAGGTATTTATTCCTTCCGTCGTTCTATGGCATATTAAATTGAACTGTAATAAAACCCAAACAACACAAAGGGACGAAGCTATATACAAAAAAGAAACCATCTATATTACACTGTCCAGCAGCTTCGACATAAATCTAAACACCGCATCATGGAAATACATGTACTTCCTTAACCGAGTCGCAGACGACCAGGCACAGCCCGGCCACCGAACATGCCCGAAACTCCACCCTCATCGGTGGAAGCATTGTTGTTGTTGCCCGACATCCAGCGCGGAAGGCGGAAAGGCTCACCCTGGAACCACTGAGGCGTATTAGTAGTGTCAAAAGTATTCTTCACGCGATGCGCAAAGGACTGAAAGAAGTTCTCGTCTTCTTCATCTTCGCCATCGACAATGGTGGGGGAAGCCACAGCCCGCTGGGTAGGCTGGGGAGAACGAGAGCCTTCGGCAGCTGGGACTCGCAGGCGAGATGATCCCGGGGAGCCTTCTTCGCTGCGATCCGAGGCCCAGGTCGAGCGGCTGCCTCGGGAGGATACTGCCAATGAACCGAAGCCGTTCAGCTCGCGCTCAATGAGATCGCGGCCCTCGCGCCAACCGCCTAGGCCATATCCCGCAGGGTTGTTCTCCACATCGTGGATATCATCGTCTTCTGCGAGACCACATCCGAAGATGTTCTGGATGCGACCGTAGAGGTTGAATAGCGTTGCGCCAATAGGAAGAAGGATAAGGATGGGGAAGATAAAATCGAATCCTTTTCCCAGGGGCGTCAGGTTGATGAGCTTGCCGAGGAACTCGTAGAAAGTGGTGCTTCTGCGGAACTCCTTGGGCAGGAATGTCAAGAAGTTGTAGGCGATTGGCACTGTTAGACGAGCCACAAGACTGGCATACCAGCATGCACTTTCACCGTATGTATTACGTCGGACCAGGGCTCGGTTTCCCCAGACTTTGACATCACTGACACCAACGAGGGCGGCCGAGCACATGTACAACAGCCATGCAGAAGCGGTGAGTTGACCGCCAAAACCGACCGGGCTGGATTTCCAGTTTGGAACGACAGTCAAGCTAACAGCAGATAGTTGGGGGGCCAAAGACTTGATCAGCTCTGACCAAACAATGCACCCAGACGCCACAGCGAAGATTGCTCCAAATGCTAGCCTGACCGCAGGGATTACATTAGAGTAAAGCTGATACCGCATATACGGATTCAGAAATTTGACGCGGGGGAAACATGAAGACCGTCTAGCCGCGGGAGCAAACTCAAGCTTCTTTGAGGCCGCGGAGTTGATGATAGCCTGGAGATCGGCCGCCAACTGGACCGTGCGATCCCACTCATCCACGAAACGAGCCTTCATGTGGCGAGCACGTTGAAGCCGTCTCGTCAGATCGGCCAGATAGCGCTCTGTAATAACAGAGGGAATAGCAGCAGACGTATCCTGAGATTCAAGGATCGGGGCCCGCACATCGGGTTGGCCGTGGCCTTCCCGAAGCTCTTCAATCCAGTCCCGGAAATCGCGGGCAGTACCAGTCTTACGCTGTTGTAGTTGAGAAACTTGTCCATTAAGGTTTTCAAGCTCATTGACCGAGTCCATCAGTCGATCGTGTACCTTTGGCGCATGCGCCTGGATTCTGCGTAGCCGACCGCTGACGTTCGCATTTCGGAGCAGATTGCGTGGAATTGAAACGAGGCCGTGACCCATAAGGTAAATGGCAAGTACCAGACCCCACACATATGCTAGTGCCATGACGAGACCCTTGATTGATGTGAAACGGAAGCCGTTTGAGATGGAGACGTAGACCAACCCCACCAATGCACAGCCCAGGACGATCAATTGGTATTTAGCGTTGGATCGGAGGGAATACATAATGCGGGCTTTAGGTTCGCGGTATCCGGAATCGACGTATTCACCGAGCAATGGAAGGATAGCCCTGGAGGAGAGACGTCAATTAGTTACACTCCACACTCAATCCGAAGAGAGTGAGCGACTTACCAAGTAAGAACAAAGATGAGCCAGTAGGCAATGCGCCAGCAGACCAAAACCATTCGCTCTGGCAGCCAAATTGCCTTGGGACCGGAGCCATCGTGGGAACTTGACGCTAAATCAATGGGAACCAAGAGCACAACACTGGCGGGCAGGGCCAGAGCCAAGAAGATTGGAACAATCAAATAGCCCGGGGTGGCGCGCAATGTTAGGAACCGTCGTAGGAGCAATAGTACGAGAGCTGAAATGAAGAAGAGGGCGAATGCGAAAAAGACGTTTGAACCCACGGAAATGGGCGATACAGAGACGGAAAACATGCTGGACAAACAGCGGAGGTGATAGAACAAGTAGTTCAACCGTTGTTCATAACGAGAACTAGCAGTGTCACGAAATGAAAGGAGAGACCGGATGGCACGCGAGTTGTCGAACGGCAAGCCATATATAGAAACGGGCCCCCGGGCTGACGTTTCCAGGAGAGTGGCTGACTTAAGGTCTGACTAACCGGGTAAGAAGTACCGGGAACATGAGTCTGGGTGACGAGGGCCATAGACAGTGGAGTACCCGTTACCCAGCCATCACCACGCAAGCCCGGATCAGGTCAGGGCCAGAACGCCTTGTCGATCAAGTGTTGCATGTACATATCAATATAGTTGTAGGCATTACTTAGGTATAGAACATAGTAGTTAGTCTTAGTCTACTATTGCATAGTACATAGTTAATTAATACTACCCTTACTCCATATCGACCAACTCCGTACTATGACGAAGCTCAGGCTCTGTAAGTTGCGGCCTGAGTGATCAGCGGTATTATTGATACATGTAATAAACAGCCCTAGATGCAAGTAGTTGTCAGTTTCATCCGCAAGGAGATACACCCCATGACACCGCAATACCAAATACCAGTCTATTGATACACTCTCCCTCCCCTTCACCTTCAACTCCTCTGTTCCTCTATTCCTCTATCGCCCTTCTTTTGACTCTTCTCTTTTCTCTCCTCTCCGTTCATTCATATCTTGTATATCCCGCATCTCGTCTCAATTTGACCCGCCACTCCCTTTTGCCCCCTCCCGCCCGATCTGTGCTCTCATCGCATTGTCTCGGGATTCTTGACTTTCGGTACGTACCTAAGCTCTTTGGCACCTCTGTCGAGAGAGGCAACATGAAAAGAAGCCCAGTGCGACTTGAGCGCTGCAGCATCCCTGTCACGGATCCTATCCATTCTACAACTGCCCTCATTGGTTCCAAGCCACATTCAGGTGTCGGCCAGCGAATGGCATCGCTCTGACGCTGGTGCCCGAACGCCTTGCTTTCTCCGTCGTGTTGGCTCGTTGCGTGCCTCTAGTCCCTCCTGCCCTCCGTTTCGTCCATTTTCATTCCATCCCCACCCTCCCTGATCGACTCGAATCACGGTTCCACATCAGCACCTGCTTGCTTTTTTTTCCCGCTGATCAACCGAATCCCTTGCGTCTTCTCCTGCTGACCTTGCGACTTCTTTCACAGTTGCGCGTGGGATTTAGCTAATGCTGACCTTCAAGAAAGCTTCTCGCGGATTGTTCATTGATCCTCCATTGATGGGGTGTCCGCTATGAATCCGGGAGAGTTCGCCAACCCGGGCGCGGGGCCTGGCCGGCCAGCCCTGCCCGTTGGGATGAGGCCCATGAAGGCGAACATGCAACAGAAGAATGACAATATCCAGGCTGTCATGAACCATGTCGCCTCAGTAATAACAAGTCAGGGTCCTTATGGTGGTTGGAAGGCCACGGTCCAGGTCAAGGACCGCGCCCTGCACATTTACCAAATGTGAGTGTTTCTTCTGCCTGCGCTTAATGCGTGCTTCTGCTTTGTCTGACCTGTGTCTGAACTAGGATCTCTTCCCTCCGTCTTATTCAACCTAGCATCGGTCTCAGCCAAGCAGCCCAGGCGGCCATGAGTTTTGAGTCCAAGGCCTTCTCCAAAGCCAATGAACGAGTTCGTCCCGACCCTGTTTGTTTCACCTGAACCTCATATGCTGACCGAGAGGGGTTTTTAGGACGACTATGACAAGGAATGTACCGAGAAGCTTCTTCACATCAAAGACACAAGAGAGAGACAAGCCGCGGTCGCCTACCAAAGTGGAATGATGCCTCAGACGGGCGCCGTCCCAAATCAGATGCCAGTCGGTTTCCCACAACAAATGAATCAGAACTTGCAAGGCTCCCCTGTCGCTGGCCAGAATCAAATGTCAATGGGGATGAATAATGCTGCCCTTCAACAACAGCAACAGCAGCAACGACAACAGCAGCAGTCTCAGGCGATGCTCCAGCAACAGGCACAGCAACAGGCGCAATCACAGCGCACCCAACAACGTCCTGCCAATGGCATACCTCTTCCCGACGACCTCAATACCTTATCTCCCCAGGATCTTGATCATGTTTCCCGACTGGCAAACGAGATGCTCAGCAAGACTTCCCCCGAAGACATGGAAAAGATCAAGCTGAACTTGTCCAACATGACACCCGAACAGCGTCAATACCTCGCAAGAAAAAATCTTGATCCGATGACCTATTTTTTCCGCTCTCAGGCCCTTGGTCAGATCAGACGTCATCGTCGCGCCCGCGCAGAAATAGGACGTACCCAGAACGCTGGCATAGACCCCAATGGCAATATGATGGGTGATCCCATGATGAATTCACAACAGCAACGACAAGCATTCCAAAATATGCTGAACCTTCAGCGTAACAACGCATTTCCTGGTAACCCGGGTCAGTCTATGGAGCCTCCAAATTTCATGGGCAACGTGGAGAACATTCAAGGACAGCAGGCAGATGGCCTACGCTCACAAGAAGCTGGTCAGCTAGTGGTTCCTGCAAGTTCGTCGCAAATGAACCAGGCACCATTCCCAAATAACAATCACAATAACATGTTCCCGCAACAGATGGGCCAGAATGGCCAGGCCAACATGAATGGCGATAATGTCAATGCCCAGGCCCAGGCCCAGGCTCAATTCCTTGCTCAGCAGCAGCATATGCAAGGTGGCTCCAATGTTCCCCAGGATCGAATGCAATTCCAGGCCCAAGCCCAGGCTCAGGCACGTGCCCAAGCGGCTCAGAAAGCTCAGATGGCAATCTCGGGTCATGGTGGTCAGGCAAACCCCCAAGGACAGTCACAACTCACTGGCCAGAGTCCCGGCATGCCGATGCTGAACCAGCCGATGGCACCCGGCCAGATGTCACCAGTTCAGGTCCATGGTCAAACGCGACCACCCTCTCGCCCCATGTCTCAGCATCCGGGAAGTGTTCCAGGACAGGCTGCAATGCAAGGTCGTCCACCGATGCCCCCCAATATTCCGCAGCACATCCAAGACCAAATTGCCCGTATGACCCCAGAACAGGCCCAGGCGTTCATGTTGACCCAGCAGCGTCGGGCCATGAGCAATATGGCTCGGAATCCCGCCCAACAGCCGGCTTCCCTACAGCAGAACCAACCTCAGCCAGGTCAACCCCAGCAGATGCTCAATAATCAAATGGGCAATCCGATGATGAGAGGCTCGATGAACGTCCCTCAGGAAATGAATCCCGGTGGACTACCCCAAGGCCAGCAGCTGACCCCACAGCAGCGTCAACAACGGCAGAACGAGATGTTCAAGCTTCAACTGCTCCGACAGCAAAACAACGGAGTGGAGATGACCCCTGATCAGAGCAAGCAAATGGACCGTGTGGCTTTCCCACCGTCGATCCTGAATATGAACGGCACCTCAATGCAAGTACCTAAAAACGTTAAGAATTGGGGCCAACTGAAACAATGGGCCGCTTCAAACTCGGGAGGCTCAAGACCTAATGATATGTCTCGCCTTATGGTGCTCCAGAAGCTTCACCTCGGCCAATTGCTTTCATCTGGTACTGGTTTAGTCAAGGACCCCAATGTCCCAGGTCAACAGGCAACCCCCTTCCAGAGCACCCAGAACCAATTTCCGAATCCCCAGGGCTTTCCGGTCGGCCAGCAACAGCCTCCCCCTAACATGGCGGGTATGCGTCCGATTACCGCCCAAGATATCCAAATGGCGCGCCAGAAGCTGGGACCTCAGTCAGCAAACTTCACCGATGAACAGATCCGCGACATTCTGCACCGGAACCGTCAAAGGCAATTGATGCAGGCAGCCCAAAATCGAGCCATGCAAATGGAAGGAAATATGCCCCCTGGGCAGCAAGGCCAACCGACCACGCAACCTCCATTCCCTTCAGGTCAAGCTATTCCTCAACCTAAACCCCAACCCCCTCAGCAGACACAGCCACCTGCGGACCCACAATCACTGGTAAAGGCGCAAGCCGCAGCGAACGCCAAAAGTGCGAAGGCTGTGGCCGGGAAACCGGCCTCGAAGAAGCGACCTAGCACGGATGATACTCCTGACGACAGAAATATGGCTACCCCCCAACAGAATCAGACTGTAATGCCTTCTGGTACAGGGGCTGGCCCCACAAGGTCAGGTATGCCATTCACGCCGGAACAGCTTGCACAGATGACTCCCCAGCAGCGGGCTCAGGTGGATGCGCACATGTGGAGACAACAACAAGCTCAACCCAAGGTTCTTAGCAGAGTTGCCGCCGAGGAAGCGTGGAACAAGAATCTGCCACCTCAAGTCATGGAAGTTTACAATGAGATCTCCAAGGCCGCCCCACCCGCAAAGCCCTTGCCCATCAGCCCAGAGGACAAGGTCTTAATGACAAACCAATTGCGTGATTCTCTGCAAGTTCTCGGCCGGCTAGATACCCTGGTGCAATGGTATGCAAAAGTTCCAGGCCAGGAGAAGAACGTGAGAAATCTTCTCGCCATGCGCATCCAACTCATGAGGCAGTTCAAGCCCTCGCAGGACTGGATTGTTAATGATCAGTTCACCATCACCAATGATTACCTTCACGGCGCTGTCATGTTCATGAAAAGGTTGTTCCAGTTGATGCTTACCCGCATCCAACAACAGAGCCAGCGTTCCAACGCTGCTCAACCTCCTGCCCCCGCCGCACCAAATGCGCAAGGCAATATGCCTGCACTGAATGCCACCAACTTGCAACAGTTGCAGGCACAGGAAGAAGCCCTCCAGCGAGCTCGACGCGCGTCAAGCCAATCAGCTACCGTACCACCTGCGCCTTTCGGTGCTCCATCTCCATCTGGAGTCCCTCATGCATATGGCCCAGGAGGACTTGCCCCCGAAAACCTCAAATTGCCTCCCCCGAAAAGACGGAAGCAGTCTCACGCTGGTATCGCATCATCTCCAATCCAGGCCAATGGGGCTCCCGTGGCCGCGGTGAAGTACAACAAACAAGTCGCGGATGCCAAATCGACAGCTGCAGCGTTGGCGGGAGCTTTCAAGTGCAGTGTGGTCGAATGTCAACACCACTACCAAGGATTCCCCACTCAAGTGGCCTTGGACAAGCATGTTGAAGAAAGCCATCAACCCGAGGAGGAGGAAGTTATCGATGACTACCTCAAATACTACCATGAAAGCATTTCGATTGGATTGGGATTGAATCCTAACGACCCTCAAGTCCCACAAGCTGCGCCTACTGGATTCGCACCACTCTCCAACAAGATCAATGCGGCGGCTTCTCCTGCGAAGCAAAGCATTGCTACCCCTGTGCTTGGCAACATGACTCCCATGGCCCGAGTCACCAGCCACCTCGGAGGCAAGACCGCATCTCCTTCTACATCAACCCAGCTTCTCACCCCGCAGCAGTCTGCCAAGGGAGCGAAGCCTGCTGCCAAGTCTGGTCTGGAGGATAGCGAGCCAAAGGACCCATGGGCGGACTGTCCCACTTCGCTTGACGCCCTCCATGACACCTTCTCGAACCTAGCAAGCAAGGACCTGCCTTACCTGGGCTACGACCCACTTGAAGACTTCAATATCAACGAAGCCACCCCAGAGGATGATTGGCTTGCCCTCGGTACTCTGACACCTCCTGACGAGACCGACCAAGCCGCTTTCATGGATAATTTCTATGAACCCTGGGACGAGGACTCCATTGCACTGGCTGCGGCCACAATCCGCATACCACCCGAGATTCAAGTCAAGGGCGAAGGCCCCATGGGTCAGCTTGAAGTTGATTGGGATGCCGTTGCCCGTTTCGACAAGGAGGGCATTTCCATTCCCATTACTTGATGAGTTTCATGGTTCATATCGGGCTTCTATACCCATTCCTAGCCCTATAGCCATAGGTTGTGTTACAGGTGGACTCACATGACGGTTTGTCTGGTTTCGGTGATTTTTCTCTGGCGCATATAGGGTTCAGGAGCGATGCGTTTGTACACTACCATACGCGGGACTCCTGTTTCATCATTCTATTCTTAATTTCTTGTTGGGCAGTATGTGTTGTCCGTTGTCCTCAGCGATGGCGTTTTGAGGGAGGAAAAATAGGGATTCAATTCTTGAATATGCATTCTTTTATATTCAATACTGTCTCAGTGTAGCTTAAGCTTAGATCGACGTGGATACCGAGTGGGTCCCGGCCGTACAGTCAGCCGTGCCTCGTGACTTGTGCTATCAGTTGCTCTGATAAGCCTATCTCCGCTTTGTCTCCTCACCTATTCAGAGGCCCTCAATAGCCTCTTCATCTCTCTTGCACTTGAGTCTGAGCTCGAGTTTACCAGTCAAATAATACCAGCAAAATGACGAACAATGCTCTCATTCCATTCCTGGTCACGATGATGCTCGTGACCGGGGTGTGCAACACCATTCTCAACAAGTACCAGGCAAGTCCAGGAGTCATAGCTACAGTCAAGGAGACCCGAGCTAATCATCCTCCTTGAACAGGACATGCAATGTGTGCGGAACTGTGATTCCCCCGAACCCGCCTACCGCAAGCTCTTCGAGCAGCCAGTCATCCAAACGTAGGGATCAACCCAAGCTTATCACGAGCTGAAGCTCTAAACCAAGAACAAAAAATACTGACAGCACCTCCAATTCCAACAGAGCCCAAATGTTCATCGGAGAAATGGGTTGCTGGCTCGTCGTCGGCTTTACCTTCCTCTACCGCACTTACATCGGTCCCCGTCTATCAAGCGACCCCTCCCCACTCCTGGCAGGCGGTTACCACCCAGTAAACGGCGAAGACGAGCAGCTAGACAACAACGATGACAATACAATCGACGACAGCAGACACCCCAAGCCTTTCGCCGAGGAAGATGAGCGCATCCCCCTGCGCGGTTGGAAGATCCTCCTTCTCGCCGCGCCGTCCAGCTGTGACATCGCTGGCACAACCCTAATGAACGTAGGCCTCCTCTTCGTGGCGGCAAGTATTTACCAGATGACCCGTGGCGCACTAGTCCTCTTCGTCGGTCTGTTCAGCGTTATTTTCCTCCGCCGCAAGCTGTACCTGTATCAGTGGAGCGCGCTGTTCATCGTCGTTCTCGGTGTCGCGGTTGTCGGTCTTTCGGGCGCTTTATTCAGCGGTGATTCCGGCCATGATATCACTCAGGGTGATGGAGTTGCCGGTGCTGCTTCCCATGCTATGATCAAGGCTCGTGCTGTTGCTGGGACACCTGAGGCTGTGCAGGTTGTTATTGGTGTGTTGCTTATTGCTGCTGCGCAGATTTTCACTGCTTCGCAGTTTGTTCTGGAGGAATGGATTCTCGAGCACTATGCTATGGATCCTATTGAGGTTGTTGGTTGGGAAGGTATTTTCGGCTTCTTGGTCACGCTTATCGGTATGATCGTTATGTACTTCGCCGTGGGGCGGACTGAGGCTGGTCGCTATGGATACTTCGACATGAAGGAGGGATGGCGTCAAATCACTCACAGCCGTGCCATTGCTCTGTCGAGTCTGGCGATCATGGTCAGCATTGGGTATGTTTCTCTAATTTCTCGACTCCGCCTTTTTGACCTCCCATCTAACTTAATCATAGCGGCTTCAACTTCTTCGGTCTGTCAGTGACTCGTACCGTCTCCGCCACCTCCCGTAGCACAATTGACACCTGCCGAACCCTCTTCATCTGGCTCGTCTCTCTGGGCCTGGGCTGGGAGTCCTTCAAGTGGCTCCAGGTTGCTGGCTTCGCCCTCCTGGTCTACGGAACATTCTTGTTCAACGATATTGTTCGCCCTCCTCTCAAGGCCTGTCTCCCTCGCAACCACAGAGAGGGCGAGGTCCTTCTTCCCGAGGACCCTATTGAGCATATCTGAGAAAGATGATATACTTTCAACCTATCTACCATCTCACTATCTATCTCATATCGTCACCATTTAGTATCTGGGTCATTGATTTGACTATCATGAAGCTGAGGGATATGATCTTGGATAGATGATACGATCTTGGATAGATGATACGATCTTGCATTCTTTCGTTGGAGTTAGCTGACTTCCGTCTTTTTATTTGTTTTGGACCATGTATTGAGCTTATATCTCGCGTTTCTTGCTGTAGTGTTCTATTTGCCTCTTCGGCTTAAAGAGCCTGGTTTATTGCATTTCTCGGGTTTGTTTTTGCTTGGAGTTCATTCTTTCGTTCTCTTCTAGAGAGTTATAGCTGCAATATAACAAAACATATAAATATTACCCCATGCCTTCTCAAACCATAGAAAGAATAATATCGAAGCTACTCTCATTTGACATAGTCGGTACTGTTTACTAGGACATGCACCTCAGCTGTAGGTACAGCGCTTGTACTCCCGACTAACGAACCACTAACATTTTGTTCCGATGCAAGCCACTGCACCTACACCTACACCTACACCTATATCTGCACCATGCAGCATTTGCTCATACATGAAGTTCCGTCTGTTAAGCATATACAAGAAAGAACAAGTTCCACCACAAGGATGGAAATCAAGGACAAGGACCAAAACAAAAGTCTAGATACGGACGAAAGCGTAGGCGCAAGAAAGGCAAAAGGCAGAAGAGTACAGATGCTAAGGTGTATAGAAATGAATTTTGAACTGTTCATGGGAAAATTAAAAAATTTCGTTCGGTTGAGATTTTGACATCACTTTCGCCAGTGCCATATATCTATGGCTCGGACCAATCCACCTGGTCGATAACGGGATCGCCGCCGTCTTTGGCGGAGGAGATACGGAGTCGGAGACGGATTTTGGCGGGGAGAGCCTGGGGAATTTGTTAGTTTGATGAATTCGTTAGGTGGAAGGTAGGAAAGCAAAAGCATACTCCGTTCAGAGCGGTCACACGCATCGATTGGGTACCCTCGTCACCGGCTTCGAGATCGGCTTTGCTAATTGCGCTCAGTTGCAGACGTTGACTCTTTGGCACGGCGGCTTGCAGACCGACACTAGTGAACGTGTCGAAGTTGGACTCGTTGCGGAAGCGAGCCATGATCTGGGCGTTGGGGCCGCTACGCTGGACTTGCAAGGTGAGGATGAGGCCATCCTTGCTGAGGGCAGTGTGTGCTGGTGTCGAGGCGGAGACGGGAGCGGGAGAGGCTGAAGGCGAGAGGGCAGAGGCACCCATGCCACCACCCAATAGATCCATGGATGCAGATGCAGGTTGTGTTGGCTGGGGAGATGGCGAAGGACCATTGGAGCCGAACAGGTCCATGATGGCGCTGTTCGGGTTCTTCTGGCTAGCAGGGCCTGGTGAAGGCGATGACAGGCCGGAGTCTCCGCCAAGAATGTCTGCCAGCAGATCGGCGGTGTTCGATCCGTTCGAGGTAGGGCTGGTAACGGGGGCGTCACCGCCGACCAGGTCGAGGAGCAGGTCATGTTCGGCCGGTTTGGCGGCTTTGGTTGACTTGCTACGGAGAACCTTGCTCTGGCGCTTCTTCGCAGTGGGCGCACCCAGCACCCTTTGTTCCTCGCGAATCTCAGGTGGGGGCATCCGCTCGAGCACGCCGCGGCGGATTTGGTCGTAACCGAAGAGGTTGGAATATTCAACAGCACGCTGCTGGATCTCCACACTCAAGTCGGCAGTCCGACCAGAGAGGAAACGGCGCAGACGTTCGATCTGAGCAGGATCCGACATGCGCACTGTAAGCTTCATGGATGCAGTGATGATGTACTCAACTGCAATTTGGGTGGCGTAGGTGCTGTTGAGGATGTTGGTGAAGAGGTCGACAATATCACTTTCCTTTACCTCCTTGACCAATTCCTCTTCCTCATATTGACCACCCTGGAGTAGACTATCGGCGTATTCACCGATCGTCCATGTCGCAGCCAGTGTAAGACCTTCTTGTGAGATATCGTCCTTCAATGAGGAGTAGAGCTTCTGCACTGCATAGGTCTGCAGTTCAGGGGTGGTAGCAATGAGACGGACAAACGAAGAGAGGATCTGTTCCTTGACGTAGTTCCCAGCCAGCTTGAGAACCCGCAATATGGTATCCATGTGCCAGCGCTTGTTGGGCGCGAAACGATCAGCCGCAATGCCAATTTGTGTGGTCATCACAGGCTTGAACTCGTTGTCGGCCACCTCCAGGAAGGCCAGGAGTTCCCGTACCAGCACCCGCACATTACCCTCGTTGATCAACATGAAGCTGAGATCGAGCGCTCGCCGGCGAATGCTAATATCTGGATCCCGCAGACACTCCAAGATCGTGTTACGGTGTCTTTGCACCGCATTAGGCTCGATTGCAACCACCTTGTTCAAGGTGTTCAGTGCAACATAACGGATATTATTGTCCTTGTTAGCCAAGAATTTGCCGAGAATGTTGACGCCCAGCACCCTCAAACCCGAGTCGGCTTCAATATCCAGGATAGTAAGAACGGCCTCGTACAAGATCGAGTTGCCGACGTTCTTTGAGGAATCCGTGTTGGTGGCCACCTGGGCCAAGATATCGTTGATCAACTCGCTAGTGGCCACATCTCCGCGACCCAATACACGCAAGAAACGGAGAATTTTGACCTGAAGGAAAGGGTCTGTGATACCGGACACATCATGCTCGGGTGCATACCCGGAGGTTGTCAGACCCTTCAAAGCACGTACGAGACCTCCAGCCAGCGGCCGGAACATCTCAATCACACCCTCTGGTCCTTCTTCCTCCTCTTCCGCCTCACAAAGATCAATCGCCAGTGTCAAGCCACAAAGCAGTACACCATGGTTTCGGTCTGAGAGAAGGTTCTTGGCTTTCTCGAGGAAGTGCTCGTAAAGGTCTGGAACCTTGCGACAGATGCGCATGGCACAGATGGCTGCTTTCCGGCGAATATATGGGTTGGCGGTCGACATAAGGCCTTCGACTTCGGGGAATAGATCACGGGACATTTCGATGGAGGCAATGTTGCCAAGAGCACAAAGAGCGAGACCGACGATATATTGGTTGGAGTGGTTGAGGTCACTGCAGGCCGGTCAGTATAAGTTCAAGCCATCGAGACTATCGTAGACACCCACTTCTTCAAAGAATTGGTGACCAAGGTTAAAACTTCCTGATTCTCATCCAGTAACAGCATGGTCCCCAGATATCCCAGACGCTTATCGGCGAACCGGTGTGAGGCAAGTAGTTTCAGACATTCGATCTGACCGAAATGAGTGCGCTCTCCAAGAGTGAAGAGGTACAAGAGCTTCGCGACATTGTTCCTCCTATCAGGTCATTAGAGGTAGTTCACAAAGTCCATTGGGAGATTGCTGCAGCTAACCGAATACCGGAGTCATGGCTCTCTTCTCGAAACGAGGCTCGAATAGCGGCGCTCTCCTTTTGAATCACGGCACGTTCATCGGCGATGGTCTTGGCTGATCGGACATTCCGAATGAATTGCTTGACTATAGACAGATCATCTTGCGTGGTTAGTACTGCATCTCAGGGGAGGAGGGGCGGCGGGCAGCACTCACGGGAAGACATGGCCACGGAGACCCCCAACGGGGCGAGAAAAGGGAATATTCAATGGAGGAGAAGAGACAAATTCAGGCCCAGGAAAGCAAACCAAGCACCGCGCTCATGAAACCAATGGAATGAAGAAGCGTCAAGGCAGTGGTCTGAAGGTCTGGACTGCTTTATTATTATTCCTCATGGCAGTCGACCTGGCTTCTTGGCATGGGGCGCTAGTTGAGAATGGGACTAGCGCGACCCTTGGGGTCAGGTGATGAGAGACTGGTATAAAGACTCACCGCCTTGTGGGTACCAAAGATAAAAAAAAGAATGGACTCGCGGGGAATCGAACCCCGGACCACTCCCATGCTAAGGGAGTATTATACCACTAAACCACAAGCCCATTTGATTGGTGGAGATCTTACCTTGATGCGATATAATCCAAAATCAGACGTAATGCCAGACTACCCACATGTATAAGAATGTCAGAACACTTCCTTACTTGAGATTGAAATTAAATGACAACATGAAACGTAGTTACATCTTGGCAAGTAGACCTCCTAACAATTCAACGGACTGTTGTGAATCCATCTGCCTAGTCCCCTATAAACGCTGTGACGTAGTGGTTATTTTGGTTGACTTTCGGAACAAACAAACCCACCAGAGCTCCCCCACATCATATGTGTCTTTCTTACACTTCAGCGTATTCGATGTGCCATCTTTCTGCTTCCACAATTGCATCCATATAGGATGTCTAGCGCCGTCTCCCATGATTCCGCAACTGTACGGCCGCGCGCCGTTCCTCTCCAGTCTGACGAAAAGGACGTGACTAGAGCTCTTCCCCTTCCCCTGGAAAAGCTATCCCAGGACACGAGGTGAGCTGCTGCCTACCCACATAGCTAGATCTTTACATGGATTTGGCTAACATATGTATTGCATTGAAGTGGCCGCTCAACCCCTGTCTCCGAGGATGCGCCCCCGTCGGTGCACTCGATCTCATCTGCGAGGAAGCAGGTTCGGGCCCGAAACCGTCTGTTTTATACGATAGACTATGTCCCACGTGTGTCGCATTTTGATCCGGATAGCGACTATCATAATTTTCGAGGGTTCTTTACTCTCTTTTGGATTGCGCTGGTGATTATGGTCGGAACCAGCGTGCTGCGCAACATCAAATATACAGGATTCCCCTTACAACTGCGCGTCTGGAGTCTCTTGACGGAGAATGTGTGGGTGATGGGACTGAGTGATGTGGCCATGGTCGTAAGCTCGGGACTCGTTCTACCCTTACACCGGATCTGGCGGAGCGGTCCGCAGTGGCTGCGGTGGTCGCGCGGCGGTATGATAGTGCAGAGTCTGGGCGAGGCATTTTGGTTGGTCCTATGGATCAAGTGAGACTCTATCCTTAGTTGAGCGGCGTTATATATCGCTGACAAGCAATAGCTGGCCGTTTATGCTGCAGTGGACCTGGACCGCGCAGGTCTTCTTCACGCTGCATACCCTTACAATCCTCATGAAACTGCATTCCTATGCTTTTTACAATGGTCATCTCAGTGAGACTGAGCGCCGCTTAGCTTCTCTTGACAAGCCCGGTTCGATGTCCTCGAACACTACGTCTGCCGTCCACTACCCGGAAGTCCACCGACGCCGGCCATCCGTGAAAGACCAGAACGAGAAAGACACACCGACAGAACCACTGCTGAAGTTGCGCGAGGAACTAGCCACAGAACTTACCTCACCACTCGGCAATATCTCCTACCCCCAGAACCTTCACGTCGGAAACTACGTCGACTTCCTATTCTGTCCGACTCTCTGCTACGAGCTGGAGTATCCACGTCGAAAGGATCGCCGCTGGGCAGAGATTGGATGGAAGACTGCAGCGGTATTTGGTTGCATCTTCCTGCTGACCCTCGTCAGCGAGGAGTTCATTCTCCCCGTCTTGAACGAGGCCAGCGCTCAGCTCCACGTCGTCTCCAGCATCTCGGACAAGGCATTCATCCTCGCTGAGACTATCAGCATGCTCCTGTTCCCCTTTATGATTACATTCCTGCTTGTCTTCCTGGTCATCTTCGAATACGTGCTAGGCGCATTTGCCGAGCTGACCCGATTTGCTGACCGACACTTTTACGCGGACTGGTGGAATTCGTGCGACTGGTACGTCTTACAGCAGACTCGATATGAACCCACTCACTAGATGTTGATCTAATAATTTTTAGGCTCGAATTCTCCCGCGAGTGGAATGTCCCCGTCCACCACTTCCTCTTCCGCCATGTCTACTTCCCCTCTCGATGCAACTTCTCTCAGCCCGTGGCTATGCTCATTACATTTCTAGTCAGCTCAATATTCCACGAGCTGGTCATGAGCTGTATCACCAAGAAACTCCGTGGATACGGATTCCTGGCTATGATGCTGCAGCTGCCCATTGTTGCAGTTCAGAAGTCCCGCTTCTTCAGAGGACGGACTACCCTCAATGTAAGCTACCTATACCTGGATATGCTGTCATGCAGTGCTGACTCGACTAGAATGTGTTCTTTTGGTTTTCTATGATCTTGGGTCTTTCAATGGTAAGTTCTACAGTGCTCTCTTGGGGTTGGATATATACACAGGTACTTTTTGATTCTAACATGGCTGCTCTAGATGTGTGCGTTCTACGTCTTGGTCTAGGGCTGTACTTTAAGTGTGGTATCCTGGACAAGGCGGAATAGTGCAGTCGATCAACAAAGCGATTTTGTAGCAAGGTGTAGGTTGGATTCAGAGATGGTTTAGCGGCGGGTTTGCTTCTATTTGTACCAAGAGTGTACTCGTTCCTTTGTATATAGCTTCAGTTGTATTTTTGTCTCAACTACGGAGTACTATGTTCTAATGCCCCGGTCATCTACAGTATACCGCCAGTAGATAACAATGATTAAAAGTCTCTTGGGGTGAGCAAAGAGAACTGAAAAGGGACGCTTTTCGTTTCATCGCTCAACACACGTGAGGCTATTTCTTGGTAAATCCAGCTAGATTTAGCCACGATAAATCAAATAGTTATTGACAGACGCCATAGTGTATAGGGGGTACTTTACGGGGCTGGCTTACATGCTCACTTGCAGAATACATGTACCTCAATTACTACAATGTGAATGTTGCTCTTCTGGCCGGTGGTGAAGGAAACTACACCTTCCACCACGCATTCTCAACAGACCATCGAAATGGACTACGGTGCTATGAGCCAGACTGGTCCCAGAAATTCATTTGCCTATGTCCGAAAGATGATATTGCATAGAATCCGATGACTCTATGTCTGAAGAAATTGAGAAAGCTCGTCCGCAGTACAGACTGCAAGGTGGACCAGCCGAGTTGCCTGCTATGAGCTGGAAAGAGTACGAGGACCAAGTTGACCACGACCACTGCCTTCTTTCCATCAATGGAATTATGTACGATATTAAGTAATTCGTGACGAAATATGCCGGCAGCCCAAAGCTTCTCAAGCAATTTGCGGGCAAGGATGCTACAAATGCCTTCTTGAATGGTATGCAGAACTTATACATTCGTCACACGCAGATACTATTCTAGAGAGCCTGAGTGTTGGGATCATCAAGGAACGAGAGGTAAATGGACCACAGCGGGCTGGAACGAAGAGTTGTTCTATCAATATTCCTGCCCCGGTGTATAGTGCAGTCTTTCGGGGTTGCTTACCGTAGACACAACCCAAGAAAAGACGTTTCTGCCTTAACAATATCCAGGCAGACTTTCAGTTACCATGCGTGTGCCAACAGAGTAAAAGAGTCATGTGTTGGGTGACTTCGACAAAGTATTGATGATGTAGCAACTGGAGCGTGCTCAGTCTTACTCTGCGCAAAACGCGGCTGGAGTTGCACTGCACTATGACATGATGAGTTCCTAAACCATGTCGAATACGAATATTCGAGATTGCCTCAAGCCACATGATACAAGCTCAGTAATAATATATGGAATTTTGGATAACACAATTATCGCAACTATGTCAAGTAATTTGTCAACTTCTATATACTATCATTGTTCTATTCAAATCTGTCTCAATCAAGAAGTTTCAATCTTTGAAGTAGATAATCTAAGCCAAACAAAAGGGAACCCATTTTCTCCGCCGTTTTCTGTAATACCAAGTCAAATCCATGCTTCCTACAGTGCAAACCCAAAGCGAAAATGGAAACCAAGAAGAGCAGTCAAATGCAAGAGGAAAAGAAAAAAAAGTCAAAGATCGCAGCATGTCATATCATATTATATCAAGGAGCGTAAATCATGAATTGGTCATCAGGTATCTAGTATCCGGGAGGTAAAAAAGAAAATAAAAAGAAATAAAAGACAATGGAAGAGAAGAACAAAGAAAAAAAGAGGTCAAGATCAAGATAACGATCTCAAATCGGAAAAAAGCATAAGGTAGATCAAAAATACGCCATAGATGTGATGAGGAAATAGTCAAGAGTAAAAGAAAGGCAACACCATTCCATCCACTCCGACCAACCCCACCCATATGCGCCAACAAAGAATAATCCCTCTGTGTCTGACCCTGGTCCTAGCCCTAATCCTCACTCCCCGAACTGGCTGTGCGGGGGAAGAGGAGTGAACCAGACTAGGGTACAGGAACACCGAAAGGAACAAAGAAGCCGAGATCAATACCGAAACTGTCTCAATCTCAATGCATAGAATATGTATGTGACATGAGGCATGCGATATACAATCCGGGCCGTGAAAAAAGCGAGACATACCATGAAAACCCGAGATCGGTTTGGATCGAACCGACCATGTATCAAATCAATCTCGGATTGATAGTGGAGACAGTCTCCATGTTAAAGGACCGCATAGTAGCGGATGTATAGACAAGAAGGAATGAAAATGGAAATGAAAATGCAAAGCAAAGGAATTGAAAACACCCCGAGCTCCATCATGAATATCCGGTAAAAGCAAAAGCTAGCGTGCATAAGCATAAGCTGTCGTAAGCAGTTCATAATCCCATGTTGCAACACAACATAGAACTAGTAAGCGTAAGCAGACTGGCGTCTGCCCACATTAGAAGGACGACTGTCCTCATCATAATAATGGCGACGGGGCGAGTAACTGATGTCTTCGGGCCCATAAGCCCGAGAGTATTTGACATCCTTCTCCTTTGGACGAGGAGAGTAGTCGGTATCGCGATGCGACGCCGGCCTTGAAGGTCGCGAAGGGCGGACTTCAATGCGAGGAGACGATGGCGATCCAGCGGGGTAATTCTGGAACGTACTACTCCGCTTTGGGGGCTGGCGCGCCGAAGAGGATGTTCTTTCGGCGCGGTCTGGGGATGAGGAGCGGTACTTTGACGAGGCAGACTTTGGTTCTACGACGACGCGATCTGGCTCTTCGACGATCTTGTACCGAGTGTGTGTCTTGGGGGAACTGCCCCGCGTCGTCATTTCGGGCGTCGTTGGGCTGGAATATCCGGAATCGTAGCGATCGCGGGGCTTTGAAGAGCGTAAAGAGGGTATGGATTCGTGGGCCATTCCGTAGAGCGTGCTTTCGCGCTTGGGACGACTGAAGCCACTGGAGGTTGCTGCACGATGGTTCAGGAATGAGGGGCGGAGAGAGGACTTGATACTTGGGGAAGTTGTAGCAGTTGGCATCTTTGGCTTCTCACGAGGCGACTCATTGTAGTCGTAGGAAGTGCCGCGGGATATTGATGGGCGTCTTGTTGTCGGGCGGGTGGATCGTCCTGGCCGCGAACCGGACGAGTCTGGTTCCGTTGAATCGTAACCACGGTATGGGCGTGGGGACTTTGAGGTTCGACCCTTGGATGCGATGTAGTCCTCCGCGCTGGTTGTTTTGGTGTTGATCTTGCTTTGCCAATGATCGGAGAAATCTTCGTCATCGTAGCGTTCGCGGCGGGAGGGCTCTGGCCTGGACCAGGATTCGCGCTCTCTGCGCGGGGTTGCTGTTCGTTTGGTAAAGACGGATCTGGGAGCATCAGATTCTGAAGCATCGTCGGATTCAGCATAAGATTCGAATGTGTCGTATTTGGCCGAGGCTTGTCGGCGTCGCTCTTGGTCGCGGGTCTTGGCGCGGTCGGAATGGGTGGCCTTGGTTGATTCCCGCTGCTCCTTCGCGGCGTAGAAAGCACTCATCGGAGTTGATGGAGCCTTCTTCTTCTTTTCCTCCGTGGGCTTGGTCTTAGAACGCATGCCATATTCCTCGTATTTGCGAGACATTGGACGTGGTTCCGCTGTAAATCGCAGTTGTTCATCGAAATACGATTCCAAGGGAGCTCGTTCCTCCACGATCCGACCATTGCGGTATTCTCGGTTGTTGGAACCACTTCCCCGTGGAGAGCCATATGACTCTGTTCGTCTGCGTTCCAACTCGGCCTTCAATTCGGCTAACCTGTTGACTTTGGCGTCATATTTGGTTCGTCGGGACTCATCTGAGAGGAGCTCGTAGGCTTGTTGAACTCTCTGGAATTCATCTTGGGCGGCATTCCGCTGCGACTCATCTTGGATCTTGTCTGGGTGGCATTTCAGCACTCGCTTGCGATGGGCAGCCCGGATCTCGGAGAGAGTCGCATCTTTGGCTATACCAAGTGCAGCATATGGATCTATATCAGGAGCTGAGGACATTGTGAAATTGAATCACAAGAGTATGTGTTGGGGTTGAATTGGAGAAGAGAAGGAGAGGGGGAGAAGAGGCGGTGGAGGTATAATGTATGGAATGTCAACCTGACGTAGTCAAATGCCAACGCCGATGCATCCAGAAAGATCTCGATCAGGAGATTGTAAATCGTCCAAGTAAGGGCATCGGACAATGCCGTGAGAAGTGAGCCGAACGAACCGGCCAGGGGCATCAGGTATTTACATGTAGAACTGCGCCACAGTAACCAGGTGGCGTGCTTAGTTAAGCTCAAAGGAGATGCCCAACTCTGGAAGTAATTTCAATTTCTTTATAATTCTGTTTCTCCCCTATTTATTACAGGTAATATTCTTCCACCTCACCGGTCTTCTATTACCTGAGCCCTGAATCCGACTGGCTGCAGGTCTGCCAATCACCCTAGGTATTTCGTTTGCCTAGGGATGGGGCGATCTAACACGAGGACAAGGCCCCAGTGAGGGGGGCCATCGTCATGGCGCTCATCTTTACTTATTTTCCTGCCGCCGTCTCGATCGAGTAGGTTTGGCATGCACCTAACTTGCCCCGACTTTATGCTTTACGCTATACGCCTAGGTCGCCTCACTGTTGAACATTCTTTAACAGCCACTTTTTAAGGAGAATTTGCCTTGCCTCGCTCTCTGCCCTGTACGCCTAATTGGTAGCCACTTCTCCGAGTGATTCCGTGGCCTTAATTCGTGGAATGCCAACAGCCTATATATAGACACATTTGCAATTCTGTTCCTTTCACTTTCAGGCACTGAGACCTAATCTCTGTCCCACTAGCCCCATCACCAACGTGTCGGACTCCACCTATAGCGACTCCATCTGGTAACTATCGCGGTATCAAATGATTGGAGGAAGTAGGGGTACAATGTACACCGTCTCGACCCATTTCTAAGTCATCTGGACTCTAAACCCGGCCCTGCGGTCCGCGCACATGCTGTATTCCCTTGCGATGAGCCTATCACTGACAACTGTCTACAATAAACACCTCACCTACTCTTTTCTTTCAATTCTACTTCATCATGTCTATGACTTCCCCATCTCCTGCCCAAATAGTATTTTCTCGAATGTAAACCACGAGCCTCCAGTTGCCTGGAATGTCAAAAATGTGTAAAATGTCTAAGTGTCTCATAGAACAACCTAGCCTAGCCTAACCGCCCACCTCTTCCTCCCTCTCCGCTTCGCCTCTTCGGGATCCGGAAACACCCTGACACAGTCAGTTGACAATATCTGTGTGATAGTGATTGCAGTATAACCCCCTCAATCTGGGGATGCCCCCGTGAAACCCAAAAGGCAAAGGAGCACACATCTTTCGATTCAAACCGCATCAGCCGTGTCCATAATCCTCCGATCCCATCAGCGCAACTGGCGATGTCGCACAACTCTTGTGCCGAAACACAGGGTTGTAACCTTATACGCTTAAACTGTGATCTACGGGCCCCTCAATCCAAGTTGTCGACAAGGGTGCTGGGTTTCGGATTGGATGCCGTCTCTAAAGAGTTGACTTGTTTGTAGCCGAACGGGTCGAGACCGGCTGAGCACCGGCGAAACTGACACTAGACCGGGATAATGGTCATTTACCTATAGAGCAGACCGGGACATGATAGTGAGAGGGAGGGGAAGATATCGAATCGAGTGGTCATCGACTCCCTAAGCAAGGTTGTCTCTACAGCAACTACCCCGTACTGTACGTACTTTACTCCATACCCAGGAAACCAAAACAAATGCACATGCAAATGCAATTCTCCTGCAATAACAACATGCGTTCAGCAATAACAGGGCCAAAGTATCTCTGGAAGATAGAAAGGAAAAGACCAATAGCCCATCCTCACCCCCTAACCCGAGCCAGAACACATCTCCACACGCCTCGAAAAGCCTTCTAGAAACCAATCCCCCAATTAAAATCCAAAGCGCATACCTCCTTCCACGCGGGACTAAGCTGCAGTGAGGCGTATCCCTGAGTCCGACATACCTGACAGGAAGCCTAGTCCTAGCTGAAGAAAGACAAAAGCCCATCAGCGCAGCTATCAGCAATTACCTATACATCCACATCCACAAAGTAATCCTCTAACCAAGGCTAATACATGATCGGCCTCGCATGGTCACATCGTATATCAGCAGGGTGGGAGGGGTCCATGCATTAATTGGCTGGGGGTGTGCACTTGTCGCATGCCCAGCCTTTCGGACTTTCAGACGTTTTCCCTTTTCTCACTTGTGCTAGCTGTGCTTTGTCCACTGAGCGAGCGGGAACAAGCGCTGGAGTAGATTTGGGTTTGGGAGATCCCCGTTGCAGATGATGCGGATGACTTGTGTGCCTGAAGAGATGAAACTTGGAACTTGGAACTGGACTGGACTGGAGAGGGAGTGATATCACATATCACATCTGAGTGCGATCTATCAGATGGGGGTTGGGACTGCAAATGCATGCGGGGTATTACTTGAGAGGTGCCCAGTCACCATTTATTCACCATTACGAACATGTTAGAGAGTCATGGGCTGTGCGAAGAACTCTGTACGAGCTATTGAATTTTTTTATTTTTTTTTTTGACGTATTTATTGGATACTTGGCAATACTATGGAAAGCGAGGACATCATCGGCCACGTTAGCCAGTCTTAATGGGCTGACCACCCACCACATGGAATCAATGATGTAAGCGCAAACCTGGCAGATCGAGCCTTCACTCACTTTTTCCATGTATCAAAGCGCGGATGGCCAAAGCTCCCCACTCACGGCGGGTAGGATGTACAGTACCATCTGGCGTCAAGCCACAATGCATGGCAAGAATGGCAAGAAGAGAGGGAGTTTGGTCGGAATCAGAAGATCAAGGCTGCTTAATTCGATATTTCCATATTACCATGTGCCAGATACCGCCCCCGTTCCACGCTAAAGAAGCAACAAAAAAGGAAAGAAAAGTACGCTAGGAAGCAAACTGCCGAGGTGTCAGACGCACTCGCGAACATCACCCGTTGGCGTTAACGTTGGCGTTGGCTGGATCTTGCCACATGGGAAGCTCAAGGTCAATTACGACGGGCGAATTAAAGCGTTTGCCTCCGTGATGCGGGAAACTGGTGGCCACAACGGCCGCATTGACAATGCAAGTCTCCCTTCGGAGCGTTTGCAAGGCGTCGATATGGCCGATCGTGCCGCTGATGCTGGTGCTGATGCCGGTGCTGAGACTGAGATTGGGGTTGGGGCTACCCACGCTCAGGGACGGAGCGTTCGGCGAATTTCGTGGAGTTGTCTTTTCAGGCCCGGCGCCTGCTGATGATTTCGACGAGGCTAATGACATCGTTTCGTCGTTTGATTTTGATGTTTCGTGTGCGGGACGGCTATCACCGTGACCGGGACATGAAAATCCCTCGTTGGCTATTCGTTCGTTCCGTTTGCTGGTTAAGTCGATCAGGCTTTGTTTCTTGCTTCCCATGGGCGGCAACGTGCCCCGGATGACATGGTCAACTGCGTTGATCTGTCTCTCTGCTTCCTTTTTGGACTGGCTATGTCTTTCTGTCTTGATATCTTGTTCTGTGTTTGTAAGCTCGGCCTGCCAGTGAACTCTTTCATATCCTCGTCCTTCATGCACATGGCCGCAAATGGCCAAGTGCGGCCTTAGGAGGCTCAACCTCTTGCGGAGTGCTGAGCACCCAACTGATGTTCCATTTGGTTTCTGGTCGCAGTGAGATTGTGGTGGCGTATGCGTGACGACGACGTCCGTGTCGAGTGGTATCTGACTCCATAGCCTTGTTGCATCACTTGAGTCGTATCCAAATGCCCAGTTTCCTTTGAATTGGGAGTATGGGGAGCCAAAGGCTTTGAAGATCGTGTTTGGACCGCCTGCTCGCGTCAAGCGAATCACGGCTGACTCGTGTTGAAGGAAGAGTACTGAAGGCGACTCCGAGATGAGTTTCAGGCATTGCTGCGGATCTTCGAGGGACTGGCTGTGAAAACTGTGTCCGTGTTCTGCGTAAAATGTTGGGTCCAAGGTAACGTCGTGATTGCCTGTTTATCTGGTTAGGAGTTTTGATGTGACCATTTGGCGTGGACGGAACACTGAGGCAGGCATAGTATTGCTATTTATTGCCTGGGTTCAAGTCATGAATGACTGGATAGGGCGCATAGGCATTGAAGAAACGGACCACCAACTATGATCTTGATTTCAAAGTCGGCTTTGCATATCCAATCCATTGTCTTGCGAAGCTCTCTTAGGCTTCCATTGTTAGTCAAGTCGCCTGCATGGATCAGGATGTCCCCTGCTGGGAGTTTGAAGCCTGCTTCAGAGGGTGTGTAGCCGTGTGTATCAGAAACGCAGACGAATCGTGTCTTTCGAAGCATGCTGATTGATGTAGAGAAAATCCCTGCCTCAATGGTATTTGTTGGCAAAGACAGGCCTAATTGTGGTGATGTTCGTGCCCGGTGCTGCTGCAGGGCGCTCAAGCAATTGGGGGTGACTAGGATTCATGAAGCTCTGACACGCGTCTCTGTATTGGAGATCTCTGATGGAAAGAACTTGCGTAGGAAAAACAATCGGACTATGGTACGGATTAGTCATCGGACCCAATCTTTGATCAACTTAGATCTGATCACTGGAGGCGTGGAGATATAGTAGATGTTCGATGATATAAGACAGTAGCACTTTGCTGAGGGTGTTCGACAGTGTGGAAAGGATCAGTTAGTCTTTTGTAAGTAATCAAGTTCCTACATGTTCATTCAGCCACCAAGCACCAGATCATGATCTTCACTGTACTTCTAGAACGCCCAAGTATCGCCAGCCCTAAGCCAAAGCCCTAACGGCACAAAGAGAAGGAACCTGCGTGGCGCACAGTCGGAATTGAAAGTATTACATAAGCTGGTCACGGGTGGGGCAGAGTCTTCCCATACATAACTGTCACACCGCATGATTGGTCCGGCTTAGGGCTGGGACCCTCGCCACTAACACAAAGTAGGCTTCCCTCGCTTAACCATTCACCTGCGAGCCACCCGACTTCGTTGTGTGCGTTGACCTGACACCAACGACAACAACCGCCGACAACATCCATCCCCCGGGACATTTTACGAGCAGGATGTCCACCTTCGAACCAGTGGTGCGTTTATTACCTCCAAAGCGACAACCTGAGTGCCGCTACAGTCGTCTTGAAAAACTGCATCCGGGAACCGTTATCGCTGACTTCAATCTTGAATTAGGTCGTCATTGACGGCAAGGGACACCTCCTTGGTCGTCTGGCCAGCACTGTCGCCAAGCAGCTGCTCAACGGCCAGAAGATCGTCGTTGTGAGATGTGAGGCCCTCAACATCTCCGGCGAGTTCTTCCGCGCGAAGCGTACGTTCAACTTCCCCTCGAAATCTTTTCTTTGTGTCTTGTGTGGAAGATTGGAATGTGTTTACGAGATCATGTGGAGGCCATACGACAAGCAAACCGAATTGGGAATTTTGGAAGAGCAAATTGCACATTTTGAGGGGATCAGAAATGCTGACCGAATTACGCCCTACAGTCAAGTACCACGCCTACCTTCGCAAGATCACTCGTTTCAACCCCACCCGTGGTGGTCCCTTCCACTTCCGCGCTCCTTCCCGCATCCTCTACAAGGCTGTTCGCGGTATGATTCCCCACAAGACCGCCCGTGGTGCCGCCGCTATGGAGCGCCTCAAGGTCTTCGAGGGTGTTCCCCCTCCCTACGACAAGAAGAAGCGTGTCGTCGTTCCCCAGGCTCTCCGTGTCCTGCGTCTTCGCCCCGGCCGCAAGTACTGCACTGTTGGCCGTCTCAGCCACGAGGTCGGCTGGAAGTACCAGGATGTTGTCTCCAGGTATGTTTATCTCTGTCACCTGGTTCACCAGTGTGGCACCCATTATCTCTATTGGCACCATCTAACTGATTTTCTACAGACTCGAGGAGCGTCGGAAGGTCAAGAGCAAGGCTTACTACGAGCGCAAGAAGGCCGCTCGCCGCAACCTTGCCAAGGCGGAGCAGGGTGCGAACGTGGACAGCAAGACCAAGACCCAGCTTGCTCAGTATGGCTACTAGATACCTTTAGCGCGGCTGGTTGTTGTGTCGAGCGATGGTTCTGGGATGGGATCGCGGACGGTTTACTTTCAGCGAATTTGAACGGCAAGTCGACCGACCTTTTTCTGCGGCCCGGTCCCCTACCATTTCATGAATACCACTGTCTGTGACGCACATGGTGGCCGGGGACAGGGGTTCTTCGGAATTTTCACAAGTCGAAAAAAACGGAGTCGTTTGGGATTAAAGGTTCAATTTAGCTGGCCGTTGAGTCGCGCCGTGGCGGTTTAATCCAAAGAAACAATTTTCAAGAGTTCAACATGATTCTTATGATCAAAATACTTTGACCTATTATATGTTCTCGGTGTCCAGTGTAGCACAGTAGTGTCTTGTAATTGCCTGTACTTAGGTTGTTGACTAAACATCTACTTACCACGCTAACCCCCAGTAGGAACCCAGTGCTGCATCACAAAGCACAAAGTACCATTCTCCAATCTCCAATATGTCTAATATGCTGAGCCAATCCCACGGCAAAGAGTAATCCATTAGACCGAAGATGATCCCCTAAAAATGAGAATCCTCCCGAAGTTAACAAGTTACCCCAGAATTTCCCGAGTCCCCGCCTGTGATCCGCCATAGCCTAGGTTAACCGCTCCAGGGCCTCCCCGCATTTCTCCAACTTGGAGTAGTTGCCCTCTCTCTACTTCTACCTTTGGCTTCTCTTCTCTTCTCTTCCTTCTTTCTTTATCTCACTCTCGAATTCCCCGGGCGTACCCCCAACCCTACTTTTGTCCTCCTCCCGCTGGTATAGCATGTCTGGAGTAAAGGCCCGGCTGTCTGGCGTGCTTGGCCACTTCAGCACAGCATCTTCAACACCTGCACACTTTGAACACCGCATCAATCACCATACACTCTCACCGACTTTCTTCCTACCCCGTGCGGCGGCCATTGAGCCCGAGGTGAGCCTCCCTTCCTGTATTCGTCATTGGCCCAATTCAATTGCATTTATCTAACAAGATATCCTTAGGCTGAGGCAATCTACCACATCACAGCCAACGACAAGGTTCTGCGCAGGACCTACCGCGAGACTGCAGATAGAGCGAGGGGCCTGGCATTCTACCTGAAAAAACACGGGTTCAAGAGAGTTGGAATCCTCTGCCCCAACACACCGGCATTCCTGGAGTCGATCTTTGGAATTGCCGCTGCGGGGGCTGTTAACGTCGGTAAGAACTCCGGGTTGGTCCTTCCTCGAATGTTGGTCTAACGTGTTCATTTTGAAGCTGTCAACTACCGTCTCAAGAAAGAGGATATTGCGTATATCTTCGAACATGGGGATGCAGATGTCATTATTGTTGACGAGGAATTTGTGCCACTTTTGGAGACATATCGCTCGCAACACCCCGATGTTCCCCTCATTGTAGATTCCGATACTGATGCTACTGAGGGTGAATTGACCGGTCCTTTTGATGAAGCTGTTTTGGAGGGTCTGAAATATGACTTTGATAATGGTGCTCAGGGTTGGGAGGGTCTTCAGAGTCAGGCTGCTGATGAAGAGTCCATTATTGCTTTGGCATACACCAGCGGAACAACAGCTAAGCCCAAGGGTGTCGAGTTTACTCATCGGGGCTGCTATCTGGCAGCTTTGGCGAATGTTGTTGAATCGGGGCTGAATTATCACCGTGGACGGGCTCGTTATCTTTGGACATTACCTATGTTCCATGCCATGGGTTCGTTCTCTTTCTCGCTATATAGTATTCGAGCTAACATGGACATATATCACAGGCTGGACATTCCCATGGGCAGTAACAGCAGCACGCGGCACCCATTATTGTCTCAGAAAGATAGATTATCCCGAGATCTGGAGATTGTTGAAAGAAGAGCACATCACGCATTTCAACGCCGCCCCAACTGTGAACACACTACTCTGCAACGCGAAAGAAGCAGAGAAGCTACCGAAACCTGTTCGGGTGACTGTAGCAGCGAGCCCGCCTACAGCTCATCTCTTTGAACAAATGTCAGATCTGAACTTGCATCCTGTGCATGTTTATGGTATGACCGAGACATACGGCCCTATCACCAAGGGTTACTTTTTGCCTGAATGGGATACTCTCCCTCTAAAGGAAAAGTATCAGAAGATGGCCCGACAGGGTCATGGCTTTATTTCTAGTCTTCCTGCACGGGTCATTAAGACAGATGTGTCTGACGGTACTATTACTGACGTCAGCAAAGATGGGCAAGAGATTGGTGAGATCGTCTTTATTGGCAATATCTGCGCGCGTGGGTACTTCAAGGATCCCGAGGCAACCAGGAAGCTATTTGCGGGTGGTGTTCTGCACTCTGGCGATTTGGCTGTCTGGCATCCTGATGGGGCGATTCAAATTCTTGATCGTGCTAAGGATATCATTATCAGCGGTATGTTCTGCGTCGGGTTTCTGGTCTGCTGAAAGAGCGAAAGCTAATAAGCTAATATATTATAAATAGGTGGTGAAAACATATCATCGGTCGCGCTTGAGTCTATGTTAGTCACGCATCCCGACATTCTAGAGGCTGGTGTTGTCTCGGTGCCTGATTCTCATTGGGGCGAACGACCCAAGGCCTTTGTCACGGTCAAGCAAGGCAAGTTCCTGGACGGCCCGGAAGTGATCACCTGGGCTCGGAATGTCAGCGGAATTAGCAAGTTCATGATTCCTCGTGAGGTGGAGGTGGTAGCGGAGCTTCCCAAGACAAGTACTGGTAAGATTCGGAAGAATATCCTGCGAGACTGGGTGAAGGGGCAGAAAGACAACCAGAAAAATATCTAGAAAGACCTCAAAAAAACTCTAGAATGACCACTAGAAAGATCAACATAAAGCTATTTGTGAATAACTTTTTTTTGAAACACACTCTTCTGGAACAGGGAACAGGCAGCTTCCCTACATTCTACATTCCAGAGGTCAGATGTCCCGGTATTCCCGATCGATATGTAGATCACAAGTTACATCAAGCGACTCTGACGACATGACATTTCTCTTTGTCTCCTAATATCCCTCCTGCTGGAATATTTTCTATACTTGGACTCGATCTTATCGCTCGATAAGCAGATGCTTGGCACCTGACTCCGCGTGAAACCCGGCCCCATTGCCTCATCCCCCTCCATTGCCGCCTCTATCCCTTCACAATCGCATTGACCCTAACGAGCGTTCGACGGAAGAGCATGAGCTGGATCATTCGCTCGATTCCACTATCTCCCTTCTAACTCCATTTCTCCCTGCTGTAACTGCGTACGTACGCGCGCTTACCTCACATGCACCCAACTCTCGTGAAGAGTTCCTGAAGTAATGAGACTTCAGCCTCACGAACCCTCGAGCAATATAACCGACCTTACTACAACAGCCGACTCTTTACCGGCTGAGATGGCACCCCGACTACTACAAACTGGCCGGTCTCCAAGCGCTGCCCCTTCCGAAACCTCTGGATCAACGTCACCAGAGCGTGCTGCTGACGATGACACCGACTTCTTCATGGCCCAAGCCAACGATTCACAATCCTCCATCGGTGTCGCCAATTTCCGTGACAGCCACCCCCAAAATGTCCAGCCCATGCCACTTCCGCCCATCGGTCGCCTCCCGCCTGAGATCCTGATTGCGATATTTTCAAAGCTAACTCTACCCTCAGACATGCTCAACTGCATGCTGGTTTGTCGTGGATGGGCAGTGAACTCTGTCGGGATACTGTGGCACCGGCCTTCTTGCAACAGCTGGTCGAACTTGACAAGCGTGACCGCTTCCGTGGGCAAGCAGGACAGCCTTTTCAACTACGCAGACCTGATTAAGAGACTCAACCTCTCCGCTTTGGGTGATGTCAGTGATGGAACAGTTGTTCCGTTTGTTCAGTGCAAGCGTATCGAGCGGCTGACGCTGACAAACTGCTCTCAACTTACGGATACTGGTGTGTCGGACTTGGTCGATGGTAATCGGCACCTGCAGGCGCTGGATGTCTCGGAATTGCGACACCTTACGGATCACACTTTGAATACGGTATCGAGGAACTGTCCCCGTCTTCAGGGTCTGAATATTACGGGATGTTCGAAAATTACCGACGAGTCACTGTTTGTCGTGTCTCAAAACTGTCGCCAGATCAAGAGGGTATGTTTGTTGTTTTATTTTGACTTGAAGAGTGAAGTGCTGACTTTTGTAGTTGAAACTGAACGGAGTATCCAATATCTCAAACCGGTCGATTCAGTCTTTTGCGGAGAATTGCCCATCCATCCTTGAAATCGATCTACACGACTGCAAACTGGTTACAAGTCCTTCGGTGACTGCTTTGATTGTAACTCTGCGACACCTTCGAGAGTTGCGCCTCGCACACTGCATTGAAGTTGACGATTCGGCCTTCTTGAAACTACCGGAATTTGCCACTTATGACAGTCTTCGCATTCTCGATCTCACCGCTTGTGAGAACGTCAAGGATGATGCAGTGGAGCGCATTGTGCATGCAGCTCCTCGTTTACGAAACCTAGTACTAGCAAAGTGCCGCTTTATCACAGATCGATCTGTGATGGCTATTTGCAGGCTAGGAAAGAACCTCCACTATGTTCACTTGGGTCATTGTTCCAACATTACAGACTCGGCTGTTAGCCGTTTGGTCAAGTCCTGTAACCGCATTCGGTACATCGATCTGGCGTGCTGCAACCTATTGACAGACCACAGTGTGCAACAACTAGCTACCCTGCCCAAGCTGCGAAGAATTGGGCTGGTCAAATGCCAGGCTATTACAGATCAGAGTATACTGGCATTGGCACACCCCAAAACGAGCCATCCTTCAGTTAGCAGCCTGGAGCGAGTGCACCTTAGCTACTGCACTCGACTGCACCGAGGGGTAAGCGTTCCACCATGTCATCTCTATGTTTTGACATAACATACTAATTTTACTTTTCAGGGCATTCACGCTTTGCTTAACAATTGCCCTCGTCTCACTCACCTCAGTCTGACTGGCGTCCCACCATTCCTCACCCAAGAGCTCACCAAGTTCTGCCGAGAGGCGCCTAAAGAGTTTACACAACAACAACGGGACGTCTTCTGTGTCTTCAGTGGCGACGGTGTCAATCGACTTCGGGACCACTTGAACCAACATGAATCATCACCGCACGAAGAAACCGAAGCCACGATGTACGATGACGACGAAGAACTCGATGAGGACGAGGGCCAAATGACTGGGTTGATGAATGCAACCGTAATCAACGACGGAGACGATGACTACATCGACGTTGGGCCTATGAATACTTGAAACGATACCCCCCTTTACTGTCGAAAATGAGACACACTCCTTCTTTTCAATTCCCTGTGTCTTACCTGCGGTTCCTCGGGATCAATCAGGTAGTCATATTTCTACTCATATGAACGAAGATTACCCTATCTTATTCGGTATCTGTGTTATTGTGCGAAATGCATCGTGTACTAGCGGTTATGGTCTTGGATGATTCTTGTCACATTGAATTACATAGCATTTAGGCAATCAGTTATTTTAGCCTCACCACAGCAAGTAATGGTCAACTGCGGTGCTTTGGGAATACGACCGCGAGTGAAACACCTAGATATCTGCAAGAGCTATCATAAAGCTAGAGCAATTAAGATTGTAAAGAGAAGCGCAAATTGAGCTGACCCTCAATGGAAGTCCCCAAAGTCCAATCTGATAGAGTAAGTGACAAACATACCGTAATCCCAATACCACCAAGCTCCCCCCGCATCTTTCTCCAACTGCCAACTGCAACTCTCCCATCCAACAGGGCCATGGCTTCCTACAAAGCCAACCCGCTGGCGTTCACGCCGTGGCCAGTAACAATCCTGACTACAGCCGTATACCTCGCCCTGATAATCCCACTACTGGTAATCCAGCACAACGTCCCCGCCGCGCCGCAGACGAACCCCAACGGCCTCAATCTCACGGAAGCATGGCAAGACCTGCAGAGTCTGACAAAAGGCTTCCACCCCTACAACTCTCGCCAGAACGACGAAGTCCGCTCATGGCTACTAGAGCGCATCGACGCGATCAAAGACTCCGCCGCGTCATCCGAGGAATTCGCCGACGCGAGAGAGGAGAAACCAGACGTATTTGTCTTCGACGACCTGATCTCGAACCTCACCTTCATCGATAACAACGTTGGCGTTTACTTCGAGGGCACCAACATCCTCGTCTACATCCGCGGCTGGGAAGATAAGAAAGGGAATTGGTGGGAGACGCCTGGTCGAACGCCCGTCGGCAAAGGTGGCGTGCTGGTCAATGCGCACTACGATAGTGTCTCGACAGGCTACGGTGCTACAGATGATGGCGTCGGAGTCGTGACTTGTCTGCAACTGGTCAAATACTTCCTCACGCCGGGCCATGCGCCGCGCCGCGGTTTGGTCGTTCTTTTCAATAATGGCGAGGAGGACTATTTGAATGGTGCGCGCGCGTACAGCCAGCATCCTATGGCGAAGTTCGCGCATACTTTCCTCAATTTAGAGGGTGCTGGGGCTGGTGGTCGGGCTACTTTGTTCCGCAGCTCTGATACGGAGGTTACGCAGGCGTACGCGAAATCGGAGCATCCGTTCGGCTCGGTGCTAAGTGCTAATGGGTTTGAGAAGGGGCTTATCAGTAGCCAGACGGATTATGTTGTTCTTGATGGTATTTTGGGCTTGCGTGGGCTTGATGTTGCTTTCTTCGAGCCCCGGGCTCGTTATCATACTGACCAGGATGATGCGCGGCATACTAGCTTGGATTCTCTTTGGCATATGCTCTCCGCGGCTACTTCGACTACTGAGGCTCTTGTTTCCGACTCGACTGATCGTTTTGATGGACACCTTAGTGATGATGGGCTTGTTCCTAGTGGTTCGGGCACTCGGGCTGTGTGGTTTGATTTGTTTGGAAGTGCTTTCGCTGTGTTTCGCCTCCATACTCTCTTTGCATTGTCGGTTACTCTGCTCATTGTGGCTCCTTTGACTTTGCTCGTGACCAGTGTGATTCTGTCCAAGGCTGATAAGATGTATCTGTTCCGGTCGTCTGTCTACTCTGAGCTTGGTGATGAGCACATCTCGCTGCGTGGTCTGCGAGGTTTTTTCCGCTTCCCTTTCTTGCTTTCCATTCCTACGGCTGTGACTGTTGGACTGGCTTACATGGTGACAAAGGTCAACCCGTTCATTGCTCACAGCAGCTCATACGCCGTGTGGAGCATGATGATCTCGGCTTGGTTCTTCTTAGCCTGGTTCGTATCTCGTGTTGCAGACTTTGCACGTCCGTCAGCCTTCCACCGTGTCTACACTTGGACCTGGATGTTTGTCCTTACTTGGTCTATGATGGTGGTTGCCACTGTTTATGAACATGAGGAGGGTCTCGCTGGAGGCTACTTTATGTTCTTCTATTTCGCAGGCACCTTTTTGGCCACTTGGATCTCTTACCTGGAGCTATTTGCTCTGCCACCAAAGTCGGAGTATGTTAGTCATTTCATCCAAGGATCACGACGGCCCAGCAGCCATGGAAGTCGTCTTGGTGCCTCGGTCGATGAGAATGAGGACAATGACGTCGAGGAGGAGCCGACTGAGTCAACGTCGCTGTTGCATGGTCGTCACCGCACTACCTTTGCCAACTACGTTCATGTTGCGGGTGACCACACATCTCATGACTATGATGACGAGGGAGAGGAGAAAGACCCCAACGTTTATGGGCATGAACAGTCGTGGAGTGGCCGGATGCCGCGATGGACCTGGCTCTTGCAGTTGCTCTTTACGGCCCCCGTGATCCTGATGCTGATTGTCCCATTGGCTCTTCTAATCACAGCCGCACTTAACCAGACTGGCCAGGATGGAAGCCCCCAGCTCATCGTCTACATCTTCATCGCCAGTCTGACTTCGCTGCTTTTCGCCCCAACGTTACCAGTAATTCACCGGTACACCTACCATATCCCGATTTTCATGCTCTTCGTTTTCATTGGCACGCTAATCTACAACCTCGCTGCCTTCCCATTCGCGGACTCGAACCGTCTCAAGCTCTTCTTCCTCCAGGAAGTCGATCTAGACAATGGAATCTCCACTGCCTCCTTGACCGGCATGCCTCCATTTGTCCAAGACGTAACCTACGGCCTTCCAAGTGCAGCAGGTCAAAACGAGATATGTGAATGGATATACAGAGGCAAAAACCACGTCCAGCGCTGCTCCTGGAACGCTCCAATCCCACACGTCATCCCCGATGCCGCAGCCGTATCCATCGATAACGAGAACACCAATGCTCTCGTTAAAGCCACCGAACTTTCACCCGATTGGATTACCTTTAGCATCTCCCAGTCCTCACCAAACACCCCCACCGCCCGCTTCGAAGTCTCGGGCCAAAACACCCGCGCCTGCCGCATCAACATGGACGGCCCCTTCATCAAGAACTTCAGTGTCGTTGGCTCATCCGCTCCAGACCGCCGTTTCCTGAATCCATCCCGGGACGGCTTGAACAGGATCCAACTCTGGAGCCGCACATGGGGTAACAAGTGGACGGTCGACATCAACTTTACTGAGCATGACTCGACAGAGAACGATGAAGCGTTCGATGATACCCCCATCACGGGCAGGATTACCTGTCTTTGGAGTGATAATAATCAGGTCGGGCTCATTCCTGCTCTTGATGAGGTTCGGCAGTTTAGTCCTGCTTGGGTTGCTGTTACTAAATTTTCTGATGGCTTGATTGAGGGTTCGAGAGGATTTGAGATTCAGCGGTCTACTTTCCGGGTTGTTGCATCTTGATACTAGTTGTGAAGGCATATTTTTATTTTATGCCAGGTCTATTTAATGTATTCATTATGCTATGAATTTCAAGCGCTGTCTATCTTTTACGATGACCATTAGGTATTTACTTAACAGGAAATATTCGGTGTTGTTCATCAATGACCTGAATCTGAGTTCTTTGGGTTATACATCACATTCTGAAGAGCGTAAATGCCAGCTTGACTTTTATTTACTCTCTGGTGGACATAAACTATCGAAAGGAAGCTAATACCGTCTAAATGTGCGTTTTTTTTTGTGTCGCGCAATTACTCATGGTGATGCAAAAGAGGAGACAAACGAAAACGAAATTAGGTGAAAATCTGAGATGGAAGGCGGAAACCCTAATTGCGGACGTCGCTTTGACGATGATCATGTCATAGTACCAGAGTCAAATACGGCTATGGAGTTTACTGATGAAGTATCTGTCTATTGGTCTCATCTTCTGTCTAGTTTCTGTTATTCTTTACCGGCGATGAGTTGTTGTCATCGTCCTCAGAATAGCAATCTCTATGTGATATAACAACTTTTTGAAGCACAGCAAATCTGGCTGAAGTGGCCCATGTGAAGGCAAGTAGCTCGCATGATTCGGCCTGGGGGGGTCGTCCTTTGTGTATTATTGTATGCTTTGGAATTGTACATTCCGGTACGCCAGGATCTCATTAGCTATTGGAACAAAAAGTCGTTCACAACCGCACTCGTGTCTTCCTGAGGGTCAGCCACATGAACAAGGACCTTCCCCCTGGCACGCCCTGAGCGAAGTCTTTCAAATGCCTTCACAGCATTTTCGAACTCATACTTGCTGTCGAAGTTTAATTTTAGAGTTCCTTGTTGAACCAGCTCTCCAAGCTTGACAATGTGCTCCCGGGTATTTTTAAAGAAGAAGATAACGTACTTCCTCTTTCCACCACCCAAGAACGAGGGCCAAGCCACTCTTCCAACAAACGTAGTCAAAGCCGATGCCCCAACCTGCACAAAAACACCACCAGGCCTTAAGAAATGATGACACTGATAGTATAAGTCAGATGGCAACCCAATATGATCAAGAATATGGTCAAAGACAATTCCCTTCTTCTTCAAAGCCCCAACAAGATCCCCAACAGCCGTATAATCAAAAACCTCATCAGCCCCAAGCCGATAACACAGCTCAACATTCCGCGTTGAGCAAGTAACAGCAACAAAACAACCCATAGACTTAGCAAGCTGAATAGCAAATACCCCACAGCCCCCAGAGCCACCATTAATAAACACCTTATCCCCCTCCTTAACATACCCAGTCAAGGCCTGGAACGCCGACTGACCCGCAATCCCCAAACTAGCGGCATCATCCACACTCACACCCTCAGGGAGCGGCGCAATAAGCTTCGACGAGATGGACAGGTACTTGGCAAGCGTGCCAAACTTCACTGGCATACTATGACACCCGTACACAAGCTCGCCGGGCTTGAAAGGGGCGCCAGGGCCGGTCGTCACCACGCGCCCGCAGAAGTCCATTCCGGGCGTTGCTGGCATCCCGATTGCTAGGTAGCGGGCGTGGGGACCCATTTCGGGCACTTTGAAGTCGGCTGGGTTGAGCGCGCTTGAGAGGACTTCCACGAGCACCTCGTCGCCTTTTGGGGCGGGTGGGACGCGCGCTGTTTCGTCTAGGTACATGTTCTTCTCTAGGCCGGAGGATGTGCCACTGTAGAGCCAGGCTTTCATTGTTGTTGGTACTTTGGGTAGGTCCATTGGAGGGCCCGTCGTTGGGTCCATTGTTGGATCCATTGTGGTTGTGGATTGGACGTGCTTTCCTCGGTATGTTTTTGATAGAGCTTGGATGATGCTTGATATGATTTGGTACTCACCGCTTTGCAAGGATCCATGTGATTTATTACCGTGGACCGTTCCCCGGATTAGCGCTAGTAAACTGGCGGCCAAAAAAGCAAAAAGTATGCCCTCGTCCAGGTTCGAACTGGAGACCTTCGGATGTCAATCTTGTTACCAAGAATGTCATAAGAAAGGATATATGAGACCGACGTCATAACCAACTAGACCACGAAGGCTGTGGATGATATCTGTCGCTCCAGCTAGCACTACGAGCCAGAAATTAATATCTAGTTCAGAATTGCCTTTCAATCTCCAGTTTTGCAACATGTTAACATCCCCTCCATATCTCGGAACAGGCTTGTTTTATAAAGATCCCTTACCTTATGGCACTCAAGGGGCTTGTCTAGCCTATCTTACTATTCAAAACACCGTTCTTCGGTATCTGGTGAATTTCATTTTTGTGGTGTTGGGTGAAGTATATATTTCAAAGCTTCCAACATTTGGTATCATTCTCTAGTGATCTTTTTATATGAAGTCCTCTACAGCACTTCCTATCTGCGCCCACAAGTTGCTGATGTGAATATATCGACCTACACAAATATTTTCCAAAGCGCAATGGATTTCATGTTGCTTAGGCCGTACATATCTTTTGCCCTCAACAGCCCAGCTCGAGTCGGATGCCCGACGACATAGTATATACCCCGAATGCATAGGGCGCATATAGCATGGGATTCTGAGAGTCTAGTGTCAATAGAACCAGGCTGCAAAGAATGGCCTCCCTACAAAGTGTCATAACATATTTCTGCCTCAGGTCTCCAGGACATCGCCACACCTAGGCAGTCTCACGCTACACAAGGCACTCATGGGCTTATCCCTACCATCTTAATCATTCTAGGATCCTAGAATCAAAGAGAACCGACTTAAACCACATCAAACCAACAGGCAGACACCCCGCGGAGGCACAATTGTCTGCGATGGCAAAAAAAGTACTCTCCGCCTTATCTGCCTATATGGAACCACCAGGGACATTGACTTGAACACCACCTGTTCTCTTCTCCCCTACAGATTTCCATGACTTTACTGCCCTCGACCCTCGCCCAGTCCACCTTGGGCGAGAAGTGCGCAGTTTACCTGGACCAGGTCGCCGACAACATCCCCGTTCACCTCGAGACTCTCCGCCTTCGAGTTGACCCTATTCTTACCTACCTGTCGACCACGCTCGGACCACTCGCGCAAAAGCTCCCATTCGACATCGACGAACAAACATTCGCTCTCACTGCATCCCTCATCGTCTGTGTGCTTACCATCGTCGCGATGAGCTGGCGCAACATCCTGCGTCGCTCGCCGAGCTACGCTCCCGCATCCTCCCCGCATGTCAGCGACGCGGACTTCTCCTATATCACACCCGGCGAAGTAGACGGACGCGCAGCAAGCCCCGACGCTGGACCCGATATCATTCGTCTCAAACACCGCGGGACCAACTACCCACTGCACTTCGAGCCATACTCAATTGGCGAATCCTTGACTGTGGGAGAGCTCCGAGCCAGGGCTGCCAACACACTAGGTGTCAGCAGCACGGACTACATCAGATTGCTGTACAAGGGGAAGCTATTGAAGGACGATGCACAGAGATGCCGTGAAGAAGGAATCAAGCAGAATTCCGAGATTATGTGTGTGGTCTCGGACTTCGGTCCCGGCAATCCAAGCGATGTCTCCGAAGACAACGGACGACACATCCAAGTACCAGCGCCAAACCCCGCCCGCTACAGCGACGCCGAACAATCGTCATCTCCCCCCACCCCCCGGGGCAAGACTGGAAGAAAGAAGAACAACAAGAAGAAGAACAAGACGGTCACACCCCCCGAGCCTGTTGCTCCACCCCGGCCATCTTCCTCAGGCGGTTCGGGCAACCCCGCACCGCCTCCGAACATCAAGTTGATCCCGTCCCGGCTGGCGCAAGTCAGTGCATTGGCAGGATGGCTGCAAGAAGAGATGATCCCGTTGGTTGATGAATACGTGGCGGACCCGCCGACCGACCCCAAGAAGCGGGACTTTGAATATAAGAAACTGTCCGAGACGATCCTTGCGCAGGTGATGCTGAAAGCGGACGGAATCGAACCAGATGGTGATGTGACGATTCGCAATGCGCGCAAAGCGCTCATCAAGGACGCGCAGGCGGCTCTTAACAAGCTGGACACGATCGCGAAGCTCTAGAGGCCGCCCCTTTCGTTGTGTATACTTTGGAGCATTTGGACGGACATAGATTTATTGTGGTATCTGTTTTAGCGAGTCTCATCTGGGACCTGTCAGCCCCTCGGGATGTTTCTTTGCATGGACAGGATCGGCGCACATGTGAGGTGTCAACTCTTATCATTTTTCCCAAGATAAACCTGTCAGCTTCGGCATATCAGTAATATAAGTTCAAAGTTTCTCTATTGAGTGGGGAGAAGACACGAAGGTACTAAGGCACAGTAGAGTACATCGAGTGAGATCATGGATCTAGTGATCGGCATAGTTCAGTAGTTCAGTAGTTCAGGGGCATCGCACGGCCCAGGGAGACCGATTTTTTTTCTGAATTTTGATACCTGTCGGATGTATAAAGTTATTTGAGACAGGAAGGTTAAACAATTGATTTGATCGCTTTATTGAAATAGTCTCAGAGGCGGAGGAATATATGCATAAACGCACCAGAGTCTCATATATAAGATGTTGGACTCGGTCTAGTCCTTTGCTATTCCCAGTTGGGACGTTAGTTCGAACGGCCTCCTTAGCTCTCTTTCTCTTCTCTGACTTAACCCCTCGACATTCCTTTCCCCTCTGCCCCCGGGGTTATACACTTCGTGTGATCTCTGATCTCTGATCTCGTGACTTGACCTCAATCCCGACCACTTTCTCACCAACCAGCGGACCCTTACTTTCGACCACGGAACCAGCAGTCGGCTATCTCCCCGTGGACCGGAATCACAACCCCTGCGTATTTACAATTTGCCTGATTCGGCCACCCCTTACACCTTCATTTGTCCGCATGTCTTGATCACACAAACAACTCATTGTTGTATTTGATCGCTACCAACCGGGTTTCAGCTGGACTGGCCTCTTTCGATTACAACTTCTGGAATGGCGGGCGTCGCAACCGCGGCATATTCTGCAGATGCGCTACCATCGCCTAGCGGCGTGGACGGTTCGCAATGGGATTTCGCTGTGCCACTGGGAAACGAGGTAAGAATCCCTCATCTGGCAGTGACAATGGCAGGCAAGCTTGGCTTTGCTGTGGGCTGGACTGGCCTGGCAGCCCGCGAATGGAGAGGAAGAAGAAAGAAAAAAAGAAGCGAAAAATGCTGATCCCTTTCCCCCGCAGGAGAACCAACCCCCCTCGAGACCACGCCACTCGAACGACTCAAATTTGATCCGCGCGAAATCTAACCGGAAGCGTCATTCCAACGGTTCACGCAGTTCCTCCGTCTCTCGAAACGTCCACTCACACGAATCGCCCTATCTGGGTTCCGGCAGGGGACGGAGGGACCACAGCGTCGGCCGACGTGGGAGCGAAGTTGGCAGCATGCGAGATGCCCCTGGCTATGATACGTCCAGTCGGAAGGACAACGAGGAGGCCAAGAATGGGCTAAAATTATATTTGGAAGGGGAAACGAGCCAGGAGAAGTGGATCCATCGTGACAAGCTGGCCAAGATTGAGAGCGAGGAGCTTCACCAGGCAGCCATTCTTTTCCAGCGTCGTATGAGAGGAGAAAGCAAATCGAGTGCGGGACGTGGTAGAAGCCATGATTCTCAGCAGAGTGCTCCTAATGGGACTGGTACGGCGACTTCGCCTGCCGCGGAATTCTCTGAGCCCTGGCCGGAAATGCGGGGAGAACCCGGCAAGCGTGGCGTGAACGAATATGTAGATGATGAGCGGAAGCACTGGGATCTTCGTCGACCCGAGGAGATTGCCGCCGACGACGCTGCAACTAGCATCTACAGTAACCCTAGCCTGGGAAAGAGCGCATCCCGAATACCCGTTTCGACAGCTAGTCCTGTGCCTATCCCAGGTATGGGCCGTGATTCTCGTGGACCTCGCAGCCGTGCAGCCACAGACGAAGATGACGATCGCTCGTCACGCGGCCGGAGAGCTAGTGAGCCCATTAACCTTGAGTTAGATGGTTCAACTCCATCTCCAGGAAGCCGACCGGGCAGCCGCGGCTTCGGTACCACCCCGAACACACCAGGCAAGAAGAACCCAAGAGCTGCTTCAGGATCTACCAACCGAAAGACTTCTGCCCCGCCCACGAACAGGAAGACTAGCACCGCCCGGTCTCGTGCTGTGTCGGGCAACACTACACAGCGACCTACCACCCGGGGGAATGAAAGTCGGCCAACAACTGCCGCCAACCGCCCCGAAGGAGATCCGCCATGGCTGGCAACTATGTATAAGCCTGATCCTCGTCTTCCACCAGAGCAGCAGATGCTCCCTACCCTCGCCAAAAAGATGCAGCAGGAGCAATGGGAAAAGGAAGGCCGGACACCCAATACATACGACCGCAACTTTGCGCCCCTCGCAGTTCATCCATTCGATGCACCTCCTGTTCCTTCAAAGACCGAAGCAGAACCGGAACCGGAACAGCAATCCACCGAAAACCTCCAGCTCGAGGAAATCCCTCGACCGTCCAAGAGTTCCGAACCTCCGCGACCAAACACGGGCATGGGATACAGCACCATGCCAAAGGTGCAAGATACACCTCCAATGGGACTGACACCCAACCCCAACCCCAACTGGAACCCACCGGTTGTCACCGCACGCGAGCAACCGAAGAAAGAGAAGAGCTGTGGATGCTGCATTGTGATGTGATGGACACCCACTCTTCCATCCCGGCCACCATATTCCAAATCTCTCATCCATCTACCCAAGATACCTTTGATATTTACACATCTGCTTGATTCCATTCTCTGTTATTTTTTCCCCAGCGTCTCCGGCGGGATGGTGTTCTGTCGGTTCTGTGACTTTATATCCCGTGCTCGAAGGCCCTTTTTGCTTTTGACTTTCGACCCATATTCCACATCTTCAGACTGCTTTGTAATTCGGTGTCACTCTTCACACACACCGGAGCATGGTACCTTTCATTTTCTCCCATGCATCCATTCCCTGACTTTCCCTTCTCTTCACTTGCTCATTTTCTTGCCTTCTCTCCCTGCTATAGCAGAAAGGAGATACCAAAAACTTGCTTCAGACCGCAATGGACAGAAACGGAGACACCTCGCAGAGAGAGAGAAAAGAAAAAAAAAAAAGCATATCGAGGTATCGGGTAATTCATCCACCCTCGTCTCGCCCCCGTCCATACGTCTCTGATTTCTAACACGCTTTCCCTTCCTTTCTCGACCTCTATTTTCTTTAGTTTCGCATTTGCTTGCAGCTACCTTTGCCATATTCCCAAGTCTTTTCTCGCTAGCGCTTTTTATTATTATCCATATTTCTTCTCTACTCTTTGTGTGATTTCGTCCGGTGAGCTGCTCCAGTTCTGGATACACCTGCTTTTGTTGTCAAAACTTCCATCACATCTTAGATAGTTGCTCTTTCCGGCTGCTTATCAATTGTCAGGTTAGTTAAATACACCCCTGTATATGAATTGCTGTTTGCCTTCGATGTCAGATGTAACCATGGCAGATCTGTTCAAACCAAAGCGTTGAATGTGCGTGTTAGATTGCAATTGAATGAAACTGTAAGGAAAATCGTTGTGAATCGACCGTAGAAGATTTTATCTGACAACCACTCTGTGAGAGCCACCAGTAGCTTTAACAGTCACAGTGTCACCAGCATAGCTCAACCCTCTGAACAAGCGGTCCCCATCAATAGTCACCACAGGCTCCCTAGAAGGAGTAACAAAGGGCAGAACAAGACTGCCCACAGTTCCCTTCGGCACCTCAAAAGTTAAAGAATACCCCCCCGACCCTAGTTTCCAAGAAGCCAAAAACTTCCCAAGCTCAGTAACAAAACCAGCCTCAGCAAACTTCAAATCTCCAAACTGAGGCTCAATCTTCCAAGTCGCCCCCAAAGGCGAAGTAACCCGAAGACCAACAACAAACTCAGTCAACGCAGAAGTAGGCCCAGCAGACCAACCATGCGCATGCGAAACATAAGACGGATCATACCCATAACCCCGATCCATGCGATACCCAAACATCCCATTCCGAAGATATCCTTCGATAACAGTACTCTCCGTACCGTTGGGATTATTAATATACCACCCCCAACTCCTCCGAATGAGATCAAGGGCACGCTCAGGCTTGCCCACGACGAAATGGCTTTGGATCTCGAAGGAGGAAATGAATGATGCGATGTTTTCTGGTAGTTCTGGTGCGACGGCGCCGATTGGTGTCCAGTTTGCGAGCAGTTTTTCGGAGATGCTGGATGCGCGCGTTTGGTTTACTACGCCGAAGAGGATTGCCATGCTGTTTGCGTCTTGGGGGTGGAGGGTTGTTTCTGTTGCGTTGTCTTTGAAGGCGCCGTAGCTTGGGTCCCAGCAGTAGGTATTTATTGCTTCTTTCAGTTTTGCGGCGCGGGCCGTCCAGGTTTTTGAGAGATGTTCTGTGTCTCCGGCCCAGGATGCGAGGCATGCTCCTGTCTTTAGGGTATGATATAGGCTAGAGGGCGTTAGATTAGAGATTATAGAGTAGCGGGACTATGGTGAATGGAATCCTCACATCATTTGTGCCTCGGAGTTGTTGTAGCCTTGCTGCCATCTGGCCCAGTCTCGAGTGCCTGTCACATTTAAGAGACCACTAGGGTAGGTCACCTTGCCGTAGATGTATTCCATGGCATGTTGATAATTCTCCCAATTATGAAGCAAGAAGTCGGTATCATTAGTATACAGCACATAGTTGTAGGTCCCAATCATCGACCACATATGATATGTGTCCGAGTTCTTTTGACTGAGCGGTGGCCCCGATTCGTCAAATGCACCTGTTGTTTTGTCCTGGATATGTCAGAGTAAAATGGGAAATAGAACAAAAAAGATGGCAAGCTCACTTGCGTGTTGTACATAATCTGCAACGCATTCTTGACGCTGTCCAGATCCCCCAGGCTCACGAAAGCCGAAGGCACCGCGACCCCCATATCCCCAGGCCAAACCGCACGGTCTCGCTTTGCGCCGTCGACAATAATAGTATTTCCCGGGCCCATAGTCCCGTTGTTAACCCAACCAGAAGTAACACCCTTCGTCACACGACCGGTGTCCACGGGTACCTCATTCGTCTGCAGGGTATAAGCACCGCTATACCAGATACGATTCAGAAGCTCATCACTGCAATGGAAATAACCCTGGTAAGCCCGAAGATTGGACCAAGTAGGCTGAAAGCCAAGTTCCAAGTTCAAATCATCGATCTTCACATTCGTCGAGTCGTCATCAGTGACCAAAAAGACCGTCAAGTATCGGAATCCTCCGCGCAGGTACTTGTCTGGCATGTCATAGTTTCCTTTGCCAGCCGAAGAGAAATTGGCATATAGTGCTCCATCATGGTAAAGCGCATTTGATGAATCTGACCATTCTCCGATCCAGTTCTTCGCTTCTGTGAATGCTAACCCTAATGCTCCGCTTCCGGTGGATGTATACTCCAGGTGAACTATACCGCCTACTTCGATACCGAAGTCAAACACTATTAGTGAGCTGTTGCCTTTTAAGATCACTTTGTATGGGTGGGACGAGTCCGTGATGGCATTTTTCTTCAGTTCCGATAAGGGTTTGGCTGGTCGGACTGTGCGTGAGGCGGGTGCGTAGATGTTCTTTTCCCATGGTCCGGTAAAAGCAGTGTCTGTTGGCCCGGAACAAGAGGTATTACGCCAGCATGTATCTGCCAGGACAGGCAAGAAAAAGAGGAGCGAGCCAAGTGTTACACCTAGCCAATTTAGTTGCACCATGATGATTGCGAGGGAAGTGATGATGATGCAAGAAACGACTAAAGTACATATACCTGAGCCAAGGAGAGGGGGGGGGGGATTATCTAGAGCTACCAAGACAAGCATTCTTCGGCTGTGAATACCACGAGTGGCTTACAAGGGGTTAGTCGATGTCAACATTCGAGATCTGCTGCATAGCAGCCGATTGGTGGGACATTCCTAGAAGGCAATATCGAATTCCCGTACTCTAGGTAAGGATCGACGGAACAAGCACCTAAGTGATTTCACAACTGACATTTTCCATACAGGTTACATCTACCCCGTCTTTTCCCCGCAGACGGCTTTATCCGTAGCTCGATTTGCAATGTCCACTCGGCGCAAAGTTCCCCGAACCCAAAGTGTGAGTATTAAGCTTTCACGATTGTAAGGTTATAAGTGATTGACTCACGCCAGTTGCGAGTATTGCTAAGTTTCAATAGTTCGATTCAAGATCATAATGCGGCTATTCGGGTTGTCTTTATTCGCTCTCCCGATAACCGTGGGACTATCGACGCTAGCATACGCAAATGAGCAAAAAGGGTTAAATGTCTGCACTGTCAAGGCAAGAGGTCACCAGAAAGATGATGTCCCAAACATCCTCGAAGCTTTCCGTCGATGTGGAAAGGGTGGCACGATTGTCTTCCCTGAAGATCAATCATACTGGATTGCAACACGCTTGAACCCGGTGGTCAATGATGTGACAGTTGAATGGCGTGGGAAATGGACGGTAAGTGAGCGTATAAAATATATCAAAAAATAAAAGCTAAACCAGACTAGTTCTCAGATGATCTGGATTATTGGCGCAACAATTCCTACCCCGTCGCATTCCAAAACCACGCCGCAGGGTTCGTTATCACAGGCCAAAATATTAGAATTGATGGATATGGCACTGGTGGCATTGATGGTAATGGGAATACGTGGTACAACGCAGAAAAAGGCAATACAAAGCCTGGAAGACCAATGCCCTTTGTATTTTGGAATGTATCCGATGTCAGTGTTGAGAATTTCTACATCAAGGATCCTCAATTGTGGAGTGTCAACATTATGAATGGGACAAATATGCGCTTCAGTAACATTTACTGCAATGCGACTGCGGTGGATGCACCCTACGGCGAGAATTGGGTACAAAATACCGATGGGTTCGGTAAGTCAATATAGAAGCTTCCATCATCTCTCTTCCTCTATTGGATTGAAGTCACCGTGACTGACGCTTTGACCAGATACAATGGATGTGGAGAACGTCAAACTGACAAACCTCGTCTACCAAGGCGGCGATGACTGCATCGCAATCAAGCCACGCTCATACAACGTCGACATCCACAATGTGACCTGCCGCGGCGGGAACGGTATTGCAATTGGCAGTCTGGGCCAGTACCTGGAAGACTCGAGCGTGAAGAATATTCGCATTGACAATGTAAAGGTGATCCGATATAACGAAGACTTACACAACACAGCCTACATAAAGACATGGGTTGGAGCCCTTGTACCCCAGTCTTCATATGAAAGCGCCGGACTCCCTCGTGGAGGTGGCTGGGGCAGCATTGAGAACGTGTTGTTCTCAAACTTCGAAGTTCACGGCGCTAATGCGGGCCCTGCTATCACGCAGGACAATGGGAATAATGGTTCTTTGTCGGGGACAAGCCTGATGAGCATTTCAAACGTTGCATTCGTAAATTTCACCGGTCATACGAATGGTCCTTCGACGAAAGTTGCTTCTGTTTCCTGTTCTAAACTGCACACGTGCTACAATATCGACTTTGATAATGTTGTGCTTTATCCTGGGGCGAATGCGACCACGCCAGGCGTTGGATCTTGCAAGTATACTGCGGAGGGAGGGGTCCATGGTCTTGATGGATGTTGAATACAAAGATCATACAACCGAGGTCATAATTTTATACAAAGTGCATGAAGTATGTCTATAGAAAAGCCTCGAACATTGGGTCCGCCTTTATTTTGCCCTTTGTTGGATGCTTTTGGGTAAATCAAGTCGTTCATATTAAGATTGGTGTGTGAAAAGACCCTACTGTAGTCACCGGTAATCCGACAAATAATTGATTCTTTACTGTGAAGCAGGATGCAACATAGCGCTCATTTGGGGTTGGGCCCCACCGCCCCAATCTCCATCCCGTTAGGGCTTGCAGACCTGGAGCCTCCACTGGCTTGGCTGCATTTAGGCCAGCAACTTTTGCCGAAAAACTCGCCAATAATAATCGATATGCCCACGACTTGCCCTAAATGAGTCACATGTTTTCTTTCTATCAACATGGATATTCTCTTAGTGTCTTATAGTGGGTGTGTAGCCAAGTTTGAGTGGGCTTTGATATAAGGATCAATTTGGTTGGACTATGCCGGTCTAACCGCACCGCCAAGCAGCTTCAGCCTTTGCGCTATGATAGTCTCTTTCGGGCGGACTCACCTCATGAGCCCATTCGAACCAATCTTGAGCCACGACATCTGTACAGCAGGGGAAACGTAAGCGGTGTGAAGGTCTAAAATTATCAAAGGGGACCATGAAGTTGCGATAGGGGTCTGAGTACTGAGCTAAAAGTTAGCCAACTCACCTGACCAAAGGGTAGCAATGGGACCCTGAAGCCGCTATGGTATCTTGGCCTGCGCCCCGAAATGAGGCAGGGCTGAGTAAATTTTTCAAGGCTAACTGCCCAAAGCACGTTAGTGCTAAAATTGAGGCTCTTAGTATAAATGGACTCCGTGATTTGATTTCTGACTCCTATTTTTCCAGTCCTCGCCTTCACATCTCACCCAACTTGGAGATCAGCCCTTTTGATACCTCATATTATTCAAAATGCGGATGAACTTGTTCCTCACTTCTGCCCTCGCGGCTTTGGCTTCTGCTGCCGACCCCAGCACAACAACTGTCAGCTACTTTGCAATCGACGCCGGTCTGGACTACGCCAGCCTAGGTGATTACACCAGCACTGCTGCCCGCGTCGTCGGAATCGACAAGTACGCCACTACCTACGAGATTGCCTGCATGAGGGGTGCAGACAAGTGCGCAATTCACCACCCTCTGACCATGGTCCAGGGTCCTGAGACCTTCAGCTTCTCTGGCCAAGTGACCGTCACCACTGCTGGTGGTACCGGCGTTGCAACCAACGTCATGGATTGCTCTTTCACCCACACCTCTGAGTCTGTTTCCTGCTCATGGAGTATTGCAATCACCGCCTCTGCTCAAGGCTACACCACTTCCACCTCTGCTTCTGATTCAAGCACCTCTGTCGAGCCTTCGTCTGTCCAGTACAGTGCCTTGACTGTCACTGATGGTATCTACGCTTTCACTGCTAATGCGACGGCTTCTGCTAGTGCTGTTGCCATTACTGCCACTGGAGCCGCTGGTCCTGCTAAGCCTTTGATTACCGCTGCGCCATTGGGAGCTGCTGCCGCCGCTGCTTTTGCAGCTATGTTCTAAGTGTTTGAACTGTTACATATACCCTTTGTTTACTGGACGTTACCCGATTTTGATTTAATTATACGTCCAACGAGTCATGCGACCCAGATTTATTTGTTCTTAAATGTACATGGAATTTGAAAGCTTCTTCTACTAATAATTGAAAATAATCTTCATCATCTGTTGTTGAATAGCCTTTCTTGGAAATTGTAAAAGCGACCGGCTATGCAAGGTTTGAAGTCCACTACAAAGAGCTTATTTGCACCTCTCAACCGGAGAATAAATACTTGAAATTGAATACTAACTACACTATTGCTACTGCAGAGCCGTATTAGTCAAGCTCGTTGATCATGCAAAAAACCAGCTATTTCGAGTGTATTCTAAATTCCTCTTCCTAGCTAGTGACATGCGGGCTGACTTTGATCTCCAAACGCACCATGCTAGTAATACGGAAATTACACCTCCCATAAATAATAGTAATAAGCTCGCGCAATAACCTGCAACTTATACGTACCCTTTCAGCTAAACATTGTATACGTTAGCATTACTCGGCTTTGTAGATCATGCCATATCACGTGCATCCCCACACCCCAGCTCCGTCGGCAGCCGCCAATCCTGCTTTGCCCATTCCTCGTCTATCAAATTGAGTCAAAATGGCTTCTTCGCTTCGACAGAACCCGTGGCGGGCCTGCCAATGTCTGACCCGCCAGCAATCACGCACGACACGCATCAGCTCCCGTCATTTCTCCTCCAGCACCTTGCGATCCAACAATGCCACGAGTAACCCCCTCCGCTCCCGAGCTTCTGCCGCGCAGGCTTCCCAGCAAGCAGCCGAGGCTAAGCGGAGGATTATGATCTCCGGCGCTGGTATTGTGGCTTGCGGAGCCGCTATGTATGGAGTTATCAAGCTGGACTTGTTTGGCCTAGATGAAATAGAGGCCAAGAAGCAGGACAGCAAGTCGGACGCGAACCAAACCCCGCAACAAGAATCCGCACCTAAATCCTCAAATAATGGCGCAATGAGAATGGATGGACCAGCCGGGTTCCCTAACGGCGGACCGTCTGTGATCACAATCCAAGGCCAGGACGGCCTCGAGCAAGTCCCAACCGGAACCAGCACGATACCATATTTCCCCACCGTTATCCGCCTACCTTCACCCGAGCAAACCGAAGGCAAGAAATCAGGCGATGAACTGGCTCCCGCCTCGGGAGATGAATACCAGCTTCTCGGCCTGGGAATCCGCACCGTCTCCTTCCTCTCGATCCAGGTCTACGTAGTGGGCCTATACGTCGCTAAGTCCGACATCACCGAACTGCAACAACGCCTCCTCCGCACGGCCGTCCACCCTCCCTCCGACGATGACCCAGTCGCCATCTCCGGCGCAGGCGCCGACGCTGCAACCTCTCTCGTCCCACCCGAGCGCCAGCAACTCAAGGAGCTCCTCCTTGACGCAGACCGCGGCGATGCCGCCTGGACAGCCATTCTAAAGGAGAACGGTATCCGCACTGCTTTCCGCATCGTGCCCACTCGCAACACGGACTTCATGCACCTGCGCGACGGCTGGGTCCGTGGAATCACAGCGCGCGCACAGTCAAAGAAGCCCGCGCCTGGCTCGACCCAGCCCGGCGAGTTCCAGGACGAGTCCTTTGGTACATCCATGAACGACTTTAAGGCCGTCTTCAGTGGTGGCCAGCAGAAGAACGTTCCCAAGGGCCAGACTCTTGTTCTGCTCCGCAACGCTCAGGGTGGTTTGGATGCGCTCTTCCAGGCTGAACCCGCCAAGCCGGTGCGCTTGATGGGCCGGGTTGCTGATGAGCGCATCAGTCGTCTGGTCTGGTTGAATTACTTGGCTGGTAAGAATGTTTCTAGTGATGGCGCGCGCAAGAGTATCATTGAAGGAATCATGGCTATTGTTGAGCGGCCTCTTGGAACTGTTGTGCAGAAGGTTATCTAAAGCTGATCTTTTATACCTTTTTCTTTATTTTTTGTACTACCATATGCATGTACGTTAGTTGTTGTACTTTTCGTCATCTGGGTCTACTTTATTCCAAGCGAAACGAGACTCCACTCAATGAGAATCCTTTGATGGCAAAGAAAAGCCATCCACAACCCATTTCTAGATCATGAATTTCTCCGTGTAGCTGCAGCGCTGTACAATGAAGGATATTATCCTTGGTCTCAATTGAATCTATGGTATAGAGTGTTCAGAAAGAAGGTGCGCACGATCACAACGCTTAAACGGCACCGGCGGCTTGCAAAAGCTCCTTCAGGTCGGTCTTGGCCTGGAGGTCGGAGTTACCACCGATGTGGTTCTTCTGGATGAAGATGTTGGGGACGGTGCGCTGGCCGGAGATCTCAGCGAGGGCAGCCTGGATAGCAGACCCCTCTTCTATAAAACGAAAAAAAAAGACATTAGCAAGAGTTCGGTATGCAACTAAACTCTGCGGAAAAGAAGCAACAGGAACAGTCTGACTTACCCTCAAGGTCCAGCTCAAGAGTAGTGTACTTGGCGTTCAAGCCATCGAGGAGCTTCTTCGAGGAGTCACAGTAGGGGCAGTAAGACTTGGAGAAGACAACAACAGCGTTGTCGTTGATGAGCTGCTGGGCGCGAGATTTGGCGGCGGACATTGTGGCGGGATTTGGACCGGCGAAGGTGCCGAAGAGTCGAGTGAAGAACGAAATGGTGGGCGAAGGGAAAAGAGACCGGATTTTATACGGACTCTTTGGGGCGGGGCAGGGTGAGAGTTGTGAGATGAGCAAATGGTGTCGATGGCGGCATTGCGATGATGTCAGGTGATATTTGTCAGCTGTTTGATCCGGACTTTGACCTCGGCATTTGATTGTTCATCTATATTTTGTTTTTGATTTCCTCTTGTTTTCTACTAATATAGATTTCTATTATCTTGACCAGCGCCTTTTGCCTCTGTACTGGTTGTGCACTAAAATGTTATACTCATCAACCGTGGAGAGTTTTACTCTATTTGCGTATGTGCAGGAGTATATGGAAACTCAACATATATCATCGAAATATCAACTTGGTACGTGTAGCTTTCGGGGATCCAGCAGCTTCATCCTGGTTGGCGACGGCAGATACTGTTAGGAATTATAGAAAGAGAGGGGTAGTAAGACATGAAACATGGATAACTTTGAATATCGGTGTTGAACTGTATACTACACAACCAATGTAGCTGTCCAAAGATTTACTGGTAAAGCCCTGCACATTAATCATACCTATACTGATTCGTTTTATGAATATCTCATGAGATTTGTAGAAGTAAATTGATATGTTATTGTGTATTATCATCCAAGGGCGATTGGACGCCGGCGTTGTCTTTGTCTACATAAGCGACCAGAGACCCAACCAAAATGAGTGATATTACCCATCCTCCGAAATTTGCACTACAACTCCGTTGATTGCTTTCAACTCGTCAATAGCATCTGCTTCAAGTCTGTATTGTTCATGTCAGAACCCCTTCTCAGAACGCGTAGCACGCACATACTCAACCCCAAATATCATTGGGGGAAAACTTCTGGTGGAAGGATAATCCAAAGTTCCAGTGCGATCCTTCAAGATCCTAGAGGTATGTCAGCAGCGTATTCGTGAAAGGAATACCTTTTAGTCATTTCGTGCTTACTTATTGACGTTGTCTTGTTGTTCCTGCCACTCCTCGGGGCCTTTAAAGCGGATTACTACCTAGAGTATTGTTAATATTGCTTGATTTGGGGACACTCGTGGGCTTAAGGTATATTGAACCTGGTTGGTCATTGTATAGCTTGTACAAGAGTTGAATTATTGGTGATGTGAACTTCAACAGGACGGCAGTTTAGATATCTTTGAGTAAGTGACTGCTGGCATAATATGGCGTGATTATCCCTAGCGAGTCCCTCATGCATGCTTTAAACCCATCGATCAGAGAGTATGCAGTTGCTCTCCACTTTGACCCGGAAGACTTAGATTCGGCAAACTTTGCGACATCCGCGGTAACCGTATTACCGATCTACATTTGTATCATGATTGCCACAAAATTTCACCGGTGGCTTTCCACTGGGAAATATCTATTTTCTACCTGAGCAGTGAACTAGAGAGGACACCTTTCTAGGGAGCCCTTCTCGGTCTTAGACTCACCCAGCTGATTGTTGATCTTCTATATAATGACGTGATGCACGGCATCGTATCTAAACTGAATCGGGTTAAGATGAACACATGTTCTCCGATTCAGCTCGCCACGATCGCATCAAGTATGCAATATAGATCATGATTCGCCCAGATCCAAAATATTATAAAGATCCACACAGGACAATTGAAACTGAAATGGGCATTGGCTGCATTTGCACACTGCATTCTTCGTACTCTGTATGATGATCGCTGTAACTTAACGTAATTCACTAGTGAGCTGGCCACACCCCCGAGCTGGCCACTCTACAACACCATGGTAAATACGACATATTCTACTCTAGCACCTTAGCAACCACGTTACTATTTCATTGCATTATTTGCCGATAGCTGTTGATGAGGCCTTTCAGCACTATATATGAACTTTGAAGAATTCGAAAACCTACATTGTCACGGTATCGAAAATTTCGTTGCTGGGAGTCAGGAATATATGTATGCATCTTGGTTACTAAGTTATAGAAACTCTTTAAACACCTCTTAGAGACTAGATACCAGCTGAAAAAAAATTAATCTAATCTTAAAGGAAAAGTCGCTATAACCTGTCGTGGTTATGATACTATATTATAATTTATCCCATTTACTATGTTATTTTAGAGAACCTTCGTTAACTATATGGCTTAGAAAAGTACTCATACAACCTCGAGGGCTTAGATTAAACTTCCAGGATAGGCTTTTTTGATAGGCGCTTCGTTAGTCCTTTCGGCTTCCTACTGCTTCCCCTCCTAGCTCGGATGCGTGGCCCGCTCGCTTGGCCGCTGCAGACCACTGGTTGATCTGCTCTGCTCACTTCCAATCTCCGCAATTTCTCCTTACAAAGTAGCACTTTTTGGTGTCAAGATCGGCTGCCCTATTTCTAGGCACCGATGTGGGTCTATGCCCAGGTAAAGTTGCGGGTGAACATAACGTCATTCCCACTGGCCCCGAACTCGGAATTGACTTATGACAAAGGCCAAGAGTCCCCCACGGCAAATTTCTGGAATTCGGCGCTTCATGATGATTTTGAAGGCCGAGTCACTTGGCATTGGTTAAGGCAACTACGTTTATGCGACGCTGTTGTCTGTCGCATTTATTTAAAGCGACTTTTCATCCTCACACAACAAGTTGCTCGATTGTCTATCACCAAAACCAAACAAGCAAACACACAGCATGGATAAGACCTATAACCCGACGCAATCGGCGCCTGTCATACGTCTAATGGTCCTCGAGACCGACAAGCCTCACCCAGACACATACTCAGAGCGCGGCTCATTTGGCCGGATTTTACACAATCACTTTGCCAGAGCCGGGCGTGCCCATCATCCGCCTCTAGGCGTGGAGACAGACCAAGTCTTTGTCGTGTCCGAACAAGGCGGCCGGATTCCAACCGTGGAAGATTTCAATCGCTTTCACGGGCTCCTGATCACAGGGAGCGTATACGATGCCCATGGAAACAACCAATGGATCCTGGAGCTGCTGGAGCTTCTCAAGACCCTCTGGATCAAGCGTCCTGACTTTCACTTCCTGGGTGTTTGCTTCGGCCACCAGCTGCTCGCCCGCCTCCTCGGCAGCTCTATTAAACCCGCACCCTCGCAAGACTGGGAACTCGGTCACTGTCGCATCACTCTTACCCCTGTCGGCCAGCACCTCTTCCGTACATCAGACGAACACGTCTATCTACACCAGATGCATCAAGACCAGGTCGTCTCGCCGCCCACGGCTGGGTCTGCGGGACCCGACATGCTCTCCTCGGACACGGAGGTCGCTTGCTGGGGCCGTAGTGAGCATACACCTGTTCAGGGCCTGTATATTGCGAACAGGCTATTTACCACGCAGGCACATTTGGCCTTTGACGAGGACATGGTAAAACGACAAATCCAGATCAGAGTGGACAGTGGCGGGATTCAAGACCTCGAGCATGCGGATCGGGCGGCTGAGACGGCGCATCTGGAGCATGATGGCGTTGAGGTTGCCAAAGCTATACTGCGGTCGTTTGTGTATGACGACGATGAATAGATCACAGCTGGTTATTACTGTCCAAATTAACGGAATATTATTGGCTTTGCACAATAATGAAGGTACAAAAACCCAAGAGAGAACTCTGAACAAAGAGACGGAAGAACCACCGTCGCCAAACAAGAGGGTGAGCCCTTATGGACATGAAATGCAGCTGCGAGCAGCTTGATGTAAAAAAAACCATAGCTGTTGGCGATTGTTGTCCCCACTATGTCAAGTGAGAAGGAAAGAACCAGGGTGTTAGTCCTGGAATGCTCTTCTGTCTGATTAATTTGTAGCTTTAAAAGAGCAACAGACTATAAGACAGGTTTCTCGTCCATACGGTATGCCACTAAATCTTATTCTTCATAGTGAATTCTATAAGTGAATTCTGTTCGTAGAGAGAGATATAGGTGTAGATTCTTATAGACCGATATAAAGAAGACCTTTATCCCATCAAGTTACTAGGAATCTGTTCAAGAAGATAGGTGATTACTAAAATGACTAGGCCGTGATGCATGATAACTAGCACGCATTAAAGATAACCGCAAACCGCAGATGCCGATCTTAAAAAAAAAAAAGGCGCGTGCCTATGCCAGTTATGCGAAATGACAGTATTTCGAATAGCAAAGACCGATTCCGCAAGGGTCAGAAAAAAACCTCATCAGGAAGCTAGAATAGATAATTCGCCGAATATTAATTGAACTTTTATTTGAGATGATACTTGATCTTGATGGTTTCCCCAAATGGATTATGCGTTCATATAACAAGCTACCATTAAACCTCCAATATAATTCTATTCAAGAGGAAGTCAGGTACATACGACCACAGGGTGTGGAGAACAGGGCTTCCCGTCCGCTCAGCCGTACTTAAGCCACACGCCGGTAAGTTAGTAGTTAGGTGGGTGACCACTAGCGAATCCTTACTGTTGTATGTTTTTTTGCCAGCTCTTCGTTGCGAGGACCCGCAGATACGAGAAGTGCCAAGACATCGATTACGGGCCGTAAACTGGGGTTAGCTTACGGCCGAATAGCATCGATTCCCGCGGTGGAAATTTTGGTAATGCCTTCTGGTCTGCCTCATGGGGTGGACATATAAACGTCCTACAGATGCTTCTAAAATCTGGAGCCGAAATCAACGCTGGGAATAGTGAATTCGGTACTGCGCTCAGCATTGCTTCTTTCAGAGGTAATATGGCAGCAGTACAGATGCTACTCGATCATGACGCCAACGTCAATGCCTCCAGCGGAAGACTAGGCAGTGCAGTCCAGGCCGCTTCTCTTGGGGGCCATATTGACCTTGTCAGATACTTGCTTGATAAAAAAGCTAATGTCAATGCTTCTGGTGGGAGGTTTGGTAATGCCCTTCAGGCCGCATCATTTGGCACTCGTGAACATATGACACAAGCTTTGCAACGGCTAGCGAGGAATATGATTTCAAAGGGTATACCAATTCTTGATCAGAGCAGCAATGCTCTAGAGGCTGCTGCCTTGGATGCGTACAAATGGGATGAAAAGGCGCTCAAAGAAGTCAGCGAGGCTGTGCTACCACTTTTATCAAGGCGCTCTTCTGCTGTGGACTCAGGGATTCGCGATCCGCTTATAGATGCATCAGCTACAGACCGTGGGGCATTGGTGCAGCTGTTGCTAGATAGAGCTGCCGATCCTAATGCTCCTAGTGGAGAATATGGCTCTGCACTTCAAGCCGCATCGGCCTAAGGTCATGAAACGGTGGTAAGGATACTACTAAGCGCCAATGCAGATGTTCAAGCTTCAGGTGGACTTCATGGTAGCGCTCTCGAGCTGGCATCCGATCAAAACCATGAGGGAATAGTGAAGATGCTTCAAGAGGCCACGAGTGGCCTCTTGCCCCAAGTTTCCCCTTCCTGATTCATGTGACTGTCATTTCGCTTTTTCAATAATCATCTTCACCCGCTGGAAGCCGATCATTGTCAACCAAAAAAAAAAAAAAAAAGAACACGACAAACTCTGTTATCTACATTAGTCGAACAAGATCAGTATAAAGAGAGATATATATAAGTGGTTTCTGGCTGTAATTCACAGGATAGAGCCTGTCAACTAGGTAAGATCAAAGATATTTCAGAGCAAGTGGTATTGCAGGTTATACAGAGACTGATTCTCGGGGAACTTCTAGGTTCACCAAGAACGACTTATTTAACATGACCAGAAGAGACAGCGAGGAGACGCGAACGACGGCTCGAGACATGCGGATTCGGGTTGGTGCGGGATTTGGCGCACTCTAGTAGAGCTTCATGGCCGCAAGGGCAGTACTTTAGCCGTAACGAAGCGAGAAATGAAAGCACGAATTTGGACATACGCTTCCCTGTTCCGCTAATATCCAGGGCAAACTGGCTTCATATAAGTAGGTCTGTCTCGCACCGGTCGTTTTAAGAGTTAACAGACCAGCAAAAAGCTACTCCTTCGAACGTACATTGTCAATTTTCCTCCTGTATCCAACTATACAAACCTGTATCTCCCGTGACTTTCCGTCCCAACACCGTGGAAACGATGAGTCAATACTGTAAATCTATCTGGAATTTTAGATGGGTTCAATGAACAGAGTGATTTGCTGATGAAAAACGTCTGGCGCAATGAAACCTTTTTCAATCCACCGAATTATCCTGAGAAAAGTGTGCCCCCCTGGTAAATTGAACCTGCTACATGGCTTAGGGTACAACATCCTTGACTTGGTATACATCAGCCAACTCCTCGTATCCTATTGCGGTTTGCGGGATATCAAGATTGAACCTAGTGGGACTCTCATTGTCGCCCCAGTAACTGGCAGATTCGGAGGCGCTGGAGGTTCAAGTTGCCACTGCTCTAGATGCCAGGGTTATTGCGATGGGCCGGAACGAGTAGGAACTGGCAAGATTGAAAAAGAATTGAGACGGAAGGCACGTTCAACGCCAATGTTGATACAGTCATGTTTACCGCAGACGAGGAGAAGAATTTGGATGCACTCCAAGATCTTGGAATCATTGATGCTGTACTGGATCTTTCGCCACCCACTGCAAGCAAATCACCGCATTAAAACAGTGCTATTAATCCTCTGCGACGCAAGGGCGGCCTTATGGGAGGCTTTATGGATGGCCCTATACCAAGTTTCTACCTCATTGCGAAGGATATAACTGTGAAGGCAAGTTCATGTATGAGAGAGAGGACATGTCTCGATTAGTAAAATTCTTAAAATATGGCCTATTTCCACATGGCAAAAATCTTTGTTAACGTGAAACGCTTTCCCTCTAGATTAGTGGAAGACTGCACTTGACGTGGCAGCTGAGTATACCGGGATTGGGAGATCCATGGTCATTGCCCCATAGCTGCGATCTAAAAAGGCAAATCTTCTTACCAGCGGCATTCAAGAAACTATCCTCTGACATGCATGCTTTTACGATTTTCGAAATCTTACTACCGTGGGCTAGAAATGATAAACCAATCTTGATACACGCACTCTTCTCGGGAAGTGATCCATTACTTACAATCTTACTTATATTTTCCACTCACGTTCTTCAAAATATAATGTGGGGTATATTCCACATAAGACCAATTAAATTCAATTCTTTATAATAGCCGTAAAGTGAAAAAAAAAAGGTATACAGTACGGTTAATAGGCTGTACGATAGGGTAAGAGCATAAAGGCGGTAACAAGGGCGGCGAGACAGTTATATAGGGGTAAATGGCCGTAATAGACTGCCGGACGCCACTTCGGGGATATCGGACAGGTCCGAGCCACTTCAATTCGCCTTCACTCTGTCTACCGCGCAAGTTACTATGACTTCAGCGTGAACAGAAGGGGTCATATTTGGGAAGCTTTAAGTGAGGAAACAAGCCTAAAACACATAGCTCGGCTAAAAGTATGGGAAAACGGCGACGCCCCGCCCATTCTTGCGTCGAGTGTCGCCGTCGCAAAGTTCGATGCGATCGAGCCGATCCATGCAGTCAATGTGTCCGCCACCATGAGCCATCGTGCACCTACACTGATAAGCGGCATGTTGCCTCCAACCTGGAATCAATAATCACCGAAAGCAATCAACAGGAGGAGACGAGACGGAGCCTTGATGGCCCTCACTCTGGCAATGTCACTCCACCCGTCTCCGCCCCTTTAGGAAAGATTGTTGGAACGCAATCCAAGACTCGAGTTTTTGGACATGGCCACTGGATGAGTACAATACCGCTGGCAAGTCACTGCCCTTATTTGTACCTCAGCGCTAGCCCCTTTCTGACATTTTGCGTCAGGCCTCCGAATTGTCCATCCTCGGACCAGTTGTGGCGTATCAGAATACTCTGTTTCAGCCAACGGATCATGTCACTGAAGACCCTACTTCGCGCAAAATGGCACGGTGCAAGGTGTTGGCTCGAGAGATCAAGAAGCAGCGTCCTCATAGAAGGAGTCTCCCGGCAGAAATACATCGCTCATTCCCCGAGCGCTACGTCATTGATGAACTAGTCCAGCTTTACTTCGCTACATACGAATCATGCTACCGGATTCTTCATCGACCCTCATTCCAGACTGACTATGCGAGCTATGTGGACCATCTAGAAAATGCAAAAAGCTCTTTCGTGGTAGAACTTCTTCTAATCATGTCCACTGGTGGTGCGCTACACAGCGATACCAATATTCGGCGTGAGATGGCTGAAAAGAGCAATTTTTGGCTTGATGTCGCCCAAAGCTGGCTTTCGGCACCGTTCGAGAAAGATAGATTGACATTAAAGGGTATTCAGATATATTGTCTGTTGCTTCTTGCCCGTCAGATATACCGGAAAGGAGCGGACCTAATATGGATATCCGTGGGCTCACTAATGAGGATGGCAATGCAAATGGGGCTGCATCAAGATCCCAGTAATCTGGAGAATATGAGCTTTTGGCAGACCGAGATTCGAAGAAGATTGTGGTATACCGTTCTAGAGATGAACATTCAGGCAGCCTTGGACTCGGGCATGATCCCAATGATTAATGAGAGCGACTACAACACTCTTCCACCTTGCATGATTGGGGATACAGACCTAGAAGCTGTATCGAACGAGAACTGCACAGACACAGCGTCGGCACGGACCCAAAAGTCGTTCCAGTGCCTCTTGGCCAGATCTTTCTCTCTCAGACTGAGAGCTGCAAGAATCATAAACAGCCTACAGGAAGAGCCATCCTACGATGAAGTTTTAAAGCTGGGCAATGAGCTGGCTGATACTTGTCGTGCGGCTGTGGAAGAGACCGCTCACAGTATTTCCGAAGATCATCCCGCCCTGGAAAGTCAATTTGCGTACAGCTTTTGCAGTCATCTTCTGAACCGATTCCTCCTGTGCCTTCACTTCAAATACGCGATTAAAGCTACACGAAACCCGATATATGCGCACTCACATAAAGTCTGTCTGGATGTCGCCCTAGATCTGGTATCACTCCTCGATGATGATCTCTACGGCCGGCTCCTCGTCAACGGAGGTGGCATGTTTCGGGACATCATCACACGCGGCGCATTGATGATCCACTTGGAACTTAATGCAGGCAAGGAGACAAATATCTCGATTTTGGCTAAGAGAAGAGCTCGCGCTCGAAAAGAGCCGTTATTGAAAGATGCCCATCGAGTGGTTCAATATGCAAAGGACAGGCTGTGCCAGGGAGAAACGAATGTGAAGGGTTATGTATTTCTTAGAATGGCAACGGCTCAAACTGAAGCCATGCTTGACGGCTTACCGGTTGAGCAAGCTATGAAGGGTGCTGCACTCGAGAGTCTGGAAGAATGCGAAACCATTCTGAGTGGTATGTCGGCCGATTTGAATAGAGATGCTGTGAATTACTCCGAGGCTTGGGGGTATGATGGAGACATGTCTACGCCGTCTGTTCTAGACGGTAACTTTGATTTCTTTGCAGACGAGGGGTTCGACTATGAAGTTTCGGATCCTTTTCTTTTCCAGAATTTGGAAGCTTTGTCACGTTTCTAGGAGTTTACATCTCAAGATTCTGTATCATCAAATGCACAAAAATTCCTGCGTATCTCTTGCGTGGCCAAAGTGATATAGACAAAACAGTAAGAATCAACCGAAGCAATTTTCCATTCTAGAGTGGAATCAAAATGGCAGATTCAATTCGGGGTAACTTGGGATACGCTTCCCATGATCGTCCTTTTTTTGTGATGTGGGAAACAATCCGTTCAACTTGGACACAGCCCAGATTAGCTGATGCACAAACCAACTACCAAGCTGCGAAGAGGGAAAAAAAAGACCCAGACCCGTCGAAGAAATTTGCTGGCACTCATCGATCAAGGGTCGCATCTTCTCTTCATATGCATTGAGCGCTCCTGTCACGTCACCATCCTGCCGGGCCAACTCCCCTGCGAGAATGTACGAACCCAAGAGGCAAAGATTGGTACCCAAACCAGTAAAAGGGCTGGTGCAATATCCCGCATCTCCAAGGAGCACTACTCGACCAGTTGAGAGCTGTGTCATCTTGATTTGCCCAAGCTCATGCGCGTAAAAGTCATCAGAATTGGCCAATCCATTGAGCAGCCGCTTTGACTGCCATCCAGCATCCTGGAATATCTCAGAAAAGGCTTCCCTTTGGCTCTCAGTCGATTTCGCATAAGATGCATTCAGCTTCGGCGATTCTCCCATGGTGAAGAACAGCACCCCAGTCACTGGGCGGCCACTAGGTCTTGTAATAATTATCCTCTTTCCTGGAGCAATATAGCCTCTGGCGAGAGTGCCTTCATCTTCAATTCGCGAGATACTGAAATAAGCACCATGGATACCGAGGGTCTTGAAACTAGCGTCACTAGCCTCCCGGCCAAAGGCAAGTCGCCTAGTCCGCGAACTTTGCCCATCTGCAGCAACAACGAGATCGTAGCGCTTTTTGTGTCCATTCACAAAAGTGACATCGACGCCATCGACTCCTTGACTGAGATCCGTGATCGTTTGGCCGAACTCGTATGTCACCCCATTCCCATCTCCTCGCTCATGCTTGAATTCTGCATTTTGCTTGACAGTGGCATCATATAGCACTTGCACTATATCTCCACGCATGATTTCGTGTTCGCTTGTCAGGCCAGGGCGACGTTGGCCGGCAGTGGTGGCAGGAAAAACAGCGATTTGCTCACCCTTGGAGTCTACCATTTCAAGTCCAGTTTCGTCAACGCAACGTGATTTTATCTCGTTCATGAGACCCATCTTCCTCAGTATGTGGGGAGCTTGAGTCTTAAGATCGACTTGCTGCCCTGTCGAGCGCAAAGAGGGAAAGCGCTCCACAATCGTGATCTTGTGTTTGGGGTTAGATCTTTGAAGTAGCATTGCGAAGGCTGGACCACAGATGCCTGCGCCAACGATGAGGATGTTTAGAGGCATTTTTGGCGTTGATACCAGAGTCATGGAGCTTGTATAGGCGAAATTGCGTTTTCGGACGATGGTGACGAGTAACAGACTGCCGGTTCGCAGGTTTCTTTTTCTGAAGACGAGGGTGGGTGCCAAATGAACCTATAATCTTCAGTGGAGTGTAAGTAAGTAAGAGGAAACGACCGAACCCAAGGCCTGGTCAATTAAAGTTGGGGTTTCGCTCATCTCACATACAAGGATGCAGGAGCGTAGACCTGTAAAGATGTGTTGGAATTTGATAAAGATCAAAAACCAGTCCTGGAACCTGAGACTACTTATATTTCACGCCATTCATCGGACGGACAAAGTTTGATTCCATGGCTAGTGGTCAAAACCTATCTCGGCGGGTGTAGTCGGTTCTATCGGACATGTCGGGATATTCAGCCCTACGGCCGAGAGCATCGCTACTTCGAGTTTACTTTAATTATTTTGCACAACATATGATTTTTATCGCTTCAAAATTTTCCGATTTGATCGAAGCTAAGGGATCATCTCAAATTACTCATTGACCGAAGTGTGACCAAGTCAAAGACAAGTATGGCCTCTATTCAATTTAAGCCTTCCAAACTTCACTCATTCCTTGCATTAGACCCCATTTTTGGGCCGTCCATTTTATGCCGTAGGTGAATAATCCAATTTCTACAGCTTAATGACAATCAAGATCATGAAAACAGGACTAACATATTCCACCATCGAGTGGTCCACCCCGCGTCATAATTACTACTATTATCTTTTTCTTAATCCCAACGAGAATTCAATGAAGCGGAAGCTGTTCAGACGTCTCCAAGCATAGGTTTTTGTAAACGGTAACCTTGTGTTTTATCAGGTAGACGTCTTGGCAATCAGGTGAAATATAAAGATGATAAGTGGTTAAGGAATAGCAAGAGAAATCATCTTTCTTACAAGACTAATTTTCTGAGGGGCAGAATGTTTTCTCTAATGACTCCATCTTTTATACCGCACATGAGTAGTAATCATGAGGCAGTATATACAGTAATAATGGAGTAAAAATGATGAATCTGTACAAGGATGATACAATGCATTGATGTTGCCATGATCATAATTCATTTTGACATATAATGATGACCATGATGACAGCAACGATGGGTGTGGTCATGCTGACTACACTTGTTGACGTTTGGTTGACGGATCAGCATTGAAACAAGGTTGTGACGAAGGTAATCCGTTACTACGAGGTGTTACATCGAATTAGTGCGCAACTTCATAAAGAGAGGTAATTTCTTTGTTCTTATAAGCCTCAAATACCAATAAGATCCTACCCTTTTGTTCAATTGAACATCGAGGGAATTAAGTACCAATTGGTGACATGGTAGGTGGTTGAAGAAGGAAGGTTAATTAATTGACGCGTTTCCACGTTCGCCGAGCCCCTTGCTTGTGTGGACCGCTCGCATGTGAATGCATCAAGCTTTGTTGATTGATGATTTTATTAGGCATGAATGAATACTCCAGCCCCCACCGGTAAACGGCAAATTGTTGATCGGCCGACAATTCCTAGTTCGCGAGCACCATCAACAGCTACATTCGAGTTAGCACTCAAAGCACTTGAGCTCTCTCCGAGATAACGACTATGGCTTGGAGTAGTACTGCACTTTTCTTCGATACAGGCGGATTGTAATCAGTTTCACCCAACAATACTTCGATTGTCCGTTCCACCTCCATTACCTTCTCTTCACCTTTCCAAGCTCCTTCGCGGCCTGCCTGTTTTTGAGTACAAAATCAATCTCGGTCATATAGCGATAGTCTCGCTACGTTCGAATAATCAACTAGCATTACCGATAGGGATAGAAATTAACCTAGAAAATATATTCGAACTACTCATGTGCCTTCATCATAGTATTGGCTGTAAGGCACTTTGTATTAATATTGTCGCAGCTCCGCATCAATGGAAAATTCCCCGGGATTAAGTATTGAATATCGCTAGTACCAAAAGCTCAATGTGCTGGCTGAAAGGATACAGAACGTCTCAAATACTGTCATTGTGTAAATCTCTACAAAAAAAAAATGTCTAAAGTGGTGTCATGGTTTAGCAATGACGCACGCTAGGGAAACACGTCCTGCAGTCATCACAGCATCACTTGTGCACCAGCGCTCTGTGCTTCAACCAACCTTTGTGCTCCTCCGTGCACCTGGCTGGTTTTTCTTTTTTTCTCGATTCCGATGAAAGAGTCAATAATACTTCTCTGGCGCTATGACCTCCATCATAAAAAAAATATAACTTATGATCATGTCGTATACCATGTCTGAGCTAAAATTAGGGAGAATTACCAACTGAAAGACTCCTCAACAAACGTCAGCGCCACGGATGGGTTGCTTTTAGCTAGTCTGGCAACGACAACGCGGACTTCATCCGCCATTCTTGGTGGGCCGCTCACAACAACAGTGAGCTCGTGCCCCATAAATCTAGCCACCTCGTCTTCCAGCAACCGGGACACATCCATACGCTGACCATGAAAGACCATGGCATTTAACTGTTCGAATCTGGAATCCCCAAGCGATTCTGATACGGAATCACTCAGTGCCTTGCTTCTGACTGCCCATAGCAGTTTGTGATATCCCCGATGACCCAACAAAATGGGCGTGATAGCAGTAACACCAACTCCGCCGGCGATTGCGATAATATTCGGTGCCTGGGTAATTTCTTTGCCCGAAATCGAAGTTGGATGGTATGTAGACTCCACAAGGACCGGCAGGTATGACTTTCCTCGGAGATGTCGAGTGATGCCTGCCTCAGTTCGGATGTAGATGAGGAGCTTGGACTGACAATGTAGACTATCTTGCTTTGACGCATGTATTGCCTCTGGCTCTAAGTCATCCCCAGTTGCTGTGATATTGATTTTGGCTGTTTCGTCTTTCCCTTCAACCAAGCAATCCCGTGACGTTTTCAAGGTCCTGGTGTCCCCAATTTGCTGAAAATCAGCCATGACAGAGAAAGGATGGTTCTCCCAAATGCGCCAAGTCAAAGTGGGAAAGTACAAGTAAACATGCCCAACGGCTGTAGTGTCTGGAACCTCCAGCTTGATGTATTCATCGTCAATGACAGAAACATGTGCTTCTAGAATACCGTTTCGAATGATTCGCAAGATTCGGAACCCACGCTCAAAGGCCCATATGGCAAATGCAATGTATATCCAGTTCTCATAGCCCCATTGATGAGCGTATCTGTAAATGATGTGCAGGTAGCAGCCGATCAAAGCCAAAAGAGAGAAGAAAATATGCCATGCCAAAAATAGCTCATAGCATCTTCTTCGAATTTGCAGTGCCGATCCTGGAAACAAGATCACCATGGCGAGTGTTGCAATGATTCCCCAGTACCAATATGGGAGCTTGCTTTCATTTGAATGTGTGCCATCTGCGCTGTAAAGTTGAAGATAGATGGCGGAGTGCAGACATGCCTCCAAAGTGCAGATTGCTGCAACCCATCGATGAAGAAGAAGAAAAGTGGAGTGAGACCAGTTGGTCAACCAGAGCAGAACATTGTTGCGACCTGAGTAAAGGAATAAGAGAGGGATATTTGCAAAGCTGAGAACTCCAGCGCGGTTGCTCACATACGTAGCTATTTCGATCGTTTCCGAGCCGTACCAAGAGCTTGGGTGGGCGGATTCATAGCCAACAGCGCAAAGTATGATGTTAATGATAATAAAATAAGCAATTAACAGTGCTTGACCCCGCGTAGGCATGACAAAAGTCTTGAAAAATGGCACATTATGTCGATTGCCGATGAGTGGAGGGTGAATGAAACGTGCTTGAAATTTCGCTTCCCATGTCGCAGGAAATGGGATAAACCTTGTCATTGAGAGTGCAATAGGGATGATTGCGCTGGTCAAAATAAGAACTAGTCTGTGATTCAAGTTAATACACATAGAACATAAAAACAGTTGTTAAATTCTTACCCATATTGCTCGTGTGATGTTTCAACGCGCTCAAAAATAGTCAGAGTGTTATATTCTAGCGCGTAGGTCGTATCGGATACAAGAGATACCGATTTCAAGGCCTCGGTAGATTTGACGGTGGCATTCGGTGTAAACCCGATACTCCAAAGCGCTTGCTGGTATGACTCCTTCGGAGATGGTTGGACTGCATCACTGCCAGCAACGTTCATTTCCCAGTATCTCTGCAACGTAGAATTCGCCTCTGTATGGCAATGGAGGTAGATGCAGTAAGCCAGGGTCTGCAAAAACGCATCATTTTCGGCGTAACAATCGGCATCGGGAGACTCTTCAATCATCCAGGATGTGCTCATGTCACTGGTATTCCTATCTTCCACGGCCCCTGTGCTCATTGAACAGTTTAAAGGATTGGTAATTGATGATCGACAAGCAAAGGCGCAGGGAGGATGATACATAGAAATTCCGTAACCGATTAGTCCATGGCCGGGTCTTCCCATCGTCATTTCCGATGAGATCACTGGAGCGAAACCCAGCAAGAAGCTCGCAGCTACATAGGCCTCACGGCGCATGGTGTCTGGGAGGCGGAAGGAAATGTCCGAAAAGTTTTTGTTTTTTGAAGACGGCCCTACTCAGGAAAAGATATTGGAAAAAACAAAGTGGAAACAAATATAAGTGAACATGAGGGTTCCGAAGCATTCTCGCATCAAGTCAAAATTTCCGAGCTACTCCAGATTAGAGGGGAAGTTTCCGAAGACATAATCCAACCATGATGATAGCTTTTCAAATGGGGAATTAAATTATCCAGCGACGCTACCGGGAAATTTCCGAAATTAAAAAGAGTGAAAATGAGCACATTGTCTCTAAATAGGGCTAGGAGTGGGTCTCTTGGCGAGGCCCAAGTCCAGATTGAAACAGCGTTGTTCTACATTAAAGTCATGGACACCTTCAAACGTGCTTCAAAGGACATGGTAATGGTGATTGCGATATATACCACGCCATCTCTGAAATTTCCATTTAGAACTTGGGAGTCTGTCTGCGTTGGTCCAGCGCTAAATACAATCTGCCGTATCTCCATGACGCCATTTCATAGTTCGAAGAAGGCATTATGGAGTGTTGACCTTTGCTCTTCATGTAATATGAAGAGAAGGAAAGTAACAGTCTATCTCGGAGGGCTCGATCTGTCAGGGAATCCAAATCTTCAAATTCGTATTTGGACCATGACTTGACGAAATCAATTATTCTTTGCGACGGACTGGGAATGCCTACTTTAATCATATTAGCACTATGCATTGTAGGCAAAGTATTGTGATATTTACTTGAAAGTTGAAATCCATCAGTATCAATTTACACCACCGGAGAAAGTGCCTCGAAAAGCATAGACGACAGCAGAGATCCTTTTCGTGCAGATGGCGATAATGCCAAATATACCTCAAGGTATTACAGGGAACATACATGATAGGCGGCCACAGAAGACCGGAGCTGACAAAGTCTGCCGCGCGAAACGCAAGGTCTTGCAGTACGCAAAGAGAAGTACGGAGGACGTGGAGTCGCAAGAGAAGCTTCAATTCTGCGTTCCAGCTACAGAATTCTGTTGTGCTGGAGGTTTCGTCGAGGTCCCCTAGTAGCTCTTGCAAGTTGGAGGAGGCCGATTTCATCTCTTTGGTTATATCTTCATTCTCACCACCGAGGGTATCTTTGAGAAGCTGTACGCGTGGCTTTCCACTCCGGTAAAAAGCCCCTTGTAAGCTACAATCTGATCTTATTATGCAGTTCGTTGCCAACAGTGTAATATCCAAACGCGAACGTAATTGAACATCGTCCAGAACAGAAGGTTGCAACACTTGGTGGTTGATGTGCAATGTCCAAGGCAAGGCGTTTCCGTGATCAAGAGACATTTGAATGTCAATTTCCAAAATGGTTGTCCAAAGTCTCCTTCTTATTTCGGTATCAAACACGGAGATTTCTTTCAATTTGGAAGGAACAACATGAAGCCCTGCTTGCACGGCACATTTCGCAAGACTTTGTACCCAACTTCGAGCTTCATTGCGGTCACTAATTGTGGTCTTGTATAGTGCTAACAAGCATACGGCCTGTAGGGCCATCAAATCTAGGCGTTAATTGTCGACTAGTAAGAAAACAGTAGTTCTCGACACAATCTGTCCATTCTGAAAGGCGTTCAAAATGTGCTTTGGTAGAACCATGGTATTCAATTGAATCACGGTCTATGACTTGCTGTCCTAGGATCAGAATTGCGAGTGGGAGGACTCTCAAACTGAGGACGACTGCTTCTTTTCAACGCATGCATCGTAGTAAGTTTTCCGGAATGAGTATGTATGAACCACTCGATGAACCGGCTCCCATGTATTAAAATAGGCAGTAGCCAATAGCTTGGTAACATCATGTGAGGGTAGAAGACATGCTGCATTAAGAGCCTTGATGGCACTATAAATTGGGTTTCTAGGCTTTGAAGCTTGGACTTTGGCATCAAATCTCCGGCATAACTCGTTCTGGCGGCAAAATGTCTCTGGAGAATACATGCGATTCTGGATGTAGCTTCTGAAATTCGTCCACTGTATGATTTTAGCGCGACTTACTTTATTGTCTTGCACCATGCTGGGGTCAGAATGATTGGTTTTACAGCATTACATTCAATCCCTAGCAATTGACCCAAGAGCGAGAGCTTGATAAAGGTAGTGCTAGTTTTGACGTGCATCGTCATGTTCTATTGGTGCTTCAGTTGAGAGAGTTTGAGATAGATAGGGCATAAATGTATGCTTATCACTTATGGCAGGCAAAGGCTATCACTTGCGATTCAGAAGTGACTACTGGAGGTATGAAATCATTTATGAAAACTTTACTGACGTCCTTTGACGGCAGTCACTGCGTCACCTTAAATGAGCCGCCTTGCATCGGCAAGGGCTATATGCGAGGTTTACAATCTCCAGTGAAGAGTACATTTCTTTGTTATGTATCTACCCATACCATAGGTGAAGGTTGATCAGACGATCCGACTACCAAAACTGTGAGACCCGGAAATGCGATGAGCACATTTGCGCGAAGTCTCCACTGCAACGGTCTCCTCCCATGCCGAGAGCCAACTACATTATGTGGTAGAAAATTGCTATAGCGCGTGCCATGCGATATGATGCGTCATATTGCGCATATTTAAGTCGTAATTGCTTTAGTGCCAAGCAAAAGCTGTACAAAACACGCATTGATCACGTCATCCGTGTGATTTCCGACCATCTCAGGGTGAGCTGATGAATTCCGAAAGTTCATTCACGACACAGTCATTACAAGGCCCCTGCGGCAGAATGAATCATCATGCGAACATAAAGCACGGCGGGCATGTTGAACCCGATCATGCCGAAAATGGGGAACATGGCATGGGGATGGCTATGTTGATGGTCTTCACCGCGAGAGCGAGAGCCAAGATCGCACAAATAAAAACCAAAACAACCAGAATTTTTTCTTCGCACTCCACTATCACCTCATTTACACACTATATCAGTACCTCCGTATCAATCATGGCTGTTGTTACCGCAAAGCACGTTGCCATTGCGGAGTTGATCATTTATATCCAAACAGCCATACTTACCATTTGAGCGGTATTGCGCCATGAATTTCATAAGCAACTTAGGTGGATTTATCTTTGCATTTTTTATGATATCCGAGTTGGCGGCTCCGTCATGAGATCCTCAGTACAAAGAATCGTGACAACGCGAACGACAAGGAGTGGGCTGTGATGTCACAGTCTGTTGGCCTTTGGCCTCTACTACTCTCCACGCTGGGTTTGTTGGAAATAGGGTAAGCTTCACACCTCCTGCATTTCCAGCAAGTGAGGCTATGACCCTATCTATCAGTCGCAGGACCGATCAAGTGTCATCCTATGTCTCAGACTATGCCACGGGCAAGGCCGAAACCCGCGCAGGAATCATCATTTTCTTGACTATGTATGTTCCGAGTTATGTCCTTTGGCCTATTACCCTCCTTGACACCGCACTCATGAATACAAGATAGAGCCGTCTCTTCTTTGCTGTGATAATGGCTCTCCCCTTGCTTGTCGTGCGTCTCTTGTACAGTTTGATTAGCGACTTTGGCAACAACACTCATTTCTCTTTGATCAATGGCAATATTGAAGAACTAATCATTCTCTTGATGTATACTATCCTGGGCGTGATCACAGCCAAGTGTACTGTTGGCACTGCTGCTAAACAGGGAAACTACGCAACCGGGGATGTTGAATATGGTATTCAGCAAAGCAATGGGCGTCCGATCCGACATATGTTCAATCTACACATGCCCAGTCGGCATCTCAGGAAGCATACAGTCAACAGTATGCCCGGCGATCCTTGCAGCCTCCGTTGAGGCAGTAGAAAGTTTTCAACATTGTTCTTTTGTACTTCAGTTCAGAAGTGTCATGATTGGGGTCGCACCTTACCAAAGAAATAGGTTTCTTCTGTTAAACTGAATAGATGATTTAGAATTGAGAATGATATTCTGCTGCATAACCTTTCATGCTCAAGTATTGCTTCAGTTTCAAGCATGAAAACTGACTGTCGAATTATCATGTAGGCCTGACTTAAACTAGATTCCTTTCTATCCATATTGTACAGTCTTCTCATGTCCTCGGAGATAATTACTTAGTTTGCACTCAAATGGAATCAAAATATCTAGACGTAAACTTATTTTTTGCTCGCAATGTCACTGCTTCTAAAGAATCTTTCTCGGCACATCTTTGAGATTGAAAACAGCGCTTTTTAAGTCAATTGTGTTTGCGAGATTATTAAAAAATCTAGAAGGGGAACTAAGGCATACCTATAGAGCTTCAGTCGGAGCAGACTCAGCAGGTGAGCCATCCGGTGTAATCCACGCTCACGTATGCATCCGGTCTCGTAGAAGCTGTGCCATAGCCAATACCTGGTTGCCTGAGTCCTGCAGGCTTGAGGGTGCGATCTAGTGCTGTACGGTAACGCGTGCTTGCAGGAGGGTCTGAATTCATGGGCGGATGAGGGATACCTCGGGGACCAATAGGTATCACTACTTTCACAGATGAAATGAATGTATTCGTATCGGAAGCAGCGCCCTTGACGTCCTCGTAGTGGGCAAAGAGCCGCAACAGCCATTTTCAGAGGTGTGTGCAACAGGGCAGGCTTTTCGGAGATCGTCAAACTGTGCATAAATCTTGTCTGGGTCGTTGTCTTGGATGATTGTAAAATCGTCTATCAAGGGTTGAAAGTGGCGTTTTCTTGTCAATATATGAATAACATAATTCTATAAGAAAGAAAGATGCCGAGGAGTAGATTAAACTTTATAAGCTGAAAATTATGTCCGAGAATGCATCTACAGCATAGTGGTGAGAACATGGAGACATTTTGGTCGGACACAATGAAGAGCTTCCGTAGGTACTTTGTTGTGGAATACGCAGGCTACCAAAAATATAGTGAGTATTCTTTCATGAGTGCTAAGACCGGAAGACCTGTAGCGATATAAAAAATAGGTTATTCACATACTGACAACGAGATCTTGACTATCTATGCCCTCCAAACAGTCGTTGACAAGAGTCGAAATAAACGAAACAAAAATTACTTCACAGGATTGCAGCCTTTCCCTAGCCCTGTGGGCTATGCGAGATTGGTCTGATCAAGCATGACGCTTGTGCTTGCCACACTTGCTCAAGCACTCCTCAACCTTGATCACAACATCTCCCGGAATAGCATGTCTTACTTTATCGATATCCTCTCCAGCAATGCTTTCCCCGAACGAGGCAGAAATAACATCATCACTGAGAGAGAAAACCTGATTTGCGACCAAGCCGATGCCAAAGTCCTCTGCCGAAAGAGCTGCCGTAAAATTGGCTGACTCGCAATCTGGGTTCACCTGCGTGTGGAACGAACCAGCCGGAAAGATAGTCGCCATGCCGGCATGCAGCTCAGTGTGAATGACTCGTGGTCTACCTTCAGAGTCAAGTACACCTACTTCAGGCACCATTTGGGTAAGCACGCGCCCAGAATTAAGCACGAAAACCTCTGTAGCACGAGGGTGAAGGTGGAGATAGGCCATGCTGCAGGCTATTGGGGAAATTGACTTAGCCTCAGGCAAACTCGAGGTATCATATTAGTAACATACCTGGCAGCTCTTTGGAACTGATTGACATTCCAGAGCCAACTAAAGCAGGAAAAGTCTGACGATTGGCGAATGGGGCTTTGCTGTTGGTGAAATCAAATACAAAATCTTCATCCTTTGGGAGAAGCTTGTAACGATCGATGGCACTAAACAGTTAGAACTATCTAATTATATGGTCTGACAAAGACCAGAAGACTTACGTGTCTGCAATTTGCAGCTGAGCTGTCAGGCTGAGGTCGGGAGTTGAGCGTTTCATCATTTGCTTAGGTGCAGCCTGTCCCGGAAGTGCAAAGACGAGGGCAGCCGCGAGAACAGAGCCAAGAGCAGATCCTGAGAACATGATGGCGATGAAAATATCAAGAAATATATGGATTGGATTGCAAGTAGAAGACAATGTTGTAAATGTAAATTGTTACTGAGCTGTTAAGAAACGTTTGATGATGAATGATCAAGAAAACAGTGGACTAGGGTCCTTATATAGCTATAAGTTTGTATCTCAGTACTTCACAGACAACGTAAAATGCCATTTTTAATTCCAAATACTCATCGGTCAGACTATCGCTGCGCCTCAAGAGTTTCCGGTGCTCAAGAGTTTCCGGTGAGAGAACGATGATGAGTAGATATGATACCGGTTCAATAAACTCGGAATAGGCAGTGTTCACAAGTAAATAAAGAAGGACTGCCGTATATGGCGTCTTGGCTCGAGCGTATTCATAATACGACTTGCATGTAGCCTAAAATAGTTAAGTGGTCAGCATGCATTTTGAGCCCTGCGTATCCACTCCGCCATCCGCTCCGAGCGTATTCCCCACATTAGACCCTACATACGGTATTTGTCATTCGGGCAGTGCCCACAAATACGGATGACATGCATTTGAGCGTGCCTAGAGCTTATGGCTCTGGCTTCAAAACAGTCTGAACGCATGATTAGGATTTGGGCGAATATTAAAATATAGCTCCAAAAGCCACCACATGGACACCATCTAATGCTAACATCGTGCACCAGAAAATAGTCTATTTTTATGTAAATCTAGCCAGAAGAATGCATGAAACGGATATTAATATTCCTTCAGATGGGGTGAAAGTTCCACCTTTATACAGTACATGCTTTCTGGCCACCAGGTTTCCGTCGTATTTGTTGACTGGTGAAGAAAGCCCCGAGTTCTCATGCAAGTTACAACTTGCCCCAGTTCCCATTGCCCAATATCGCCGATCCACCACACGCCATCCAACAATATGACAAGGACAAGCCAATGGGCAAAAATTTCCACAGCTAACAGTTGCGTTGAATTAACTAAGAAGACCTCATCGCTCAACGAGTCGGGCGTCATAATATTCCCAGCACCATCCGCTGCGAATGTCGAATCGAGAGTTGACTGAACAAGGGAGAGAAAATCTCCCGGCACCTTGTTCAAAAAAGACATAATTGTCCGTCGTAATGCTCTCGGCGATCTCATTGACGTGACGCTGACCATGTATTCTCCAATCCAGGGCGAGACCTTTTGGATGTGTTTTAATAGCAGAGGCTGTAAATTACAGCCATCATGTTTCTGATCAGACATTTTTGTAGACAAAGCTTCCAATGCGCATGCTTCAAGGATAGACAAACTTTTCAAGCAAGATTTAAGCAATGAATGGCTGCCCAAGGAAGCCACTGTAGACTCAACCTTTTCGCGTAGGACTTTGAGGGCTTGAGTATACGTACTAGCAACCAGGGGAACGAATAGGCGTTTCGTGCATTCGGACGGACCGTCCTGTGGCGACAAGAGGTTTTCGGCATTTATACCCGGGGTCGGCATTCTTTGTGTGTGGATATTCGGGCTTGGAAAATTTGTCTTTGTTTCAACAACCGGTACACTATCCATTATGCCATTCAGTATTGCGGTGGATGCCATGTGAGCTGCGCGAGTAAATGAGATCCACTGCAAGTGTTGTGGAAGGACTTCACTTGGCAGTTTCTGGCCACTTCGTTTTGCTACGGTAGCCAGATGTACTCTGACGGAATGACTAGCAGAGGCGTACAGAACCATCAGGGCGGCATTTGCAAGAATTTTATCAAAACAATCTGAATATGACACAGCGACTTGAATATGCTTGAGCGAGCTCCTGTGGTGGCTGTCTGCAAGTATAAGTAGCTCTCGGACCTTTTTTATCGTCTGCTCATTCAAAGATGAATTGAGCTTAACTAGATCATGACATCTGCATGCTGCAGCCAAGGCTATCAGGGACGACATGACAGGTCTGCTTCTGAAGGCGATATTTGGCATCCCCACAGAAAGCGCGTAGTGATCAAGATGGTCGAAAGGTATTGATTGGCTTGTGTGCATCATGTAGTGACTCAGAAGGTCAAGCTCCGTCGCGTCCAGAGGACCAGGGAAATCCGGATTCAACAATGATGTTTTCGAGTTGATATTGACAGTCGGAGAGAGACATAGTGAAGTAGGAGAAACGTCACGCGAAGAAGAATCACAAGTTGAGATGTGATCCCCCGGACACGCAAATCGAGGACTTCGGTATTCACATGTATACGAGCGGTTGGCACATCTGGAGCAGCTCGGTTGTAACTCATCACACTGATGATATTATGAACATATGTTAGACAAAATTGTGCTTAGAGGGCATACCTTTTTCCGCTGTTGCTTACACCTAAGACAACCGTTCCTGGATTTCCCATGTGTTCGCCGAAGCTTATAGTCTGCCATTTCATCGTTCGCGCCCGTATTATCTATCTCGGAGAGTATCTTGAAGGCAAATATAATAATGCAGAAAGGAGCACTTCATATTATCTGAGAACTTGAAAGGGTGCTGTGGGATCTTTTCAATACATATTTTCTCAGTGTCATCCTCCAAGGTTCCCTTGGGGCTTAGATGAGGCTGAGGTGCTCCGGACCCCACTTCGGGCTGATGATTTGGAATACCTACATAGAGCCAAGAAAAACGTGTCTTTGGATACCACCACAACTCTTTCGATTTACAAAGTCGTCATGAATCATTGAAAGATTATGGAATGATTATCTTGTGCCCTAGGCCGGCGGAAATTGCGCGGTAACCGCATCTTGGTATGTAGGATGCTTTAACCGTAGTAGCCTAATCACCCAACCGTGCACTAATTTCTGGTCGTCTCTAGAAGACATTTTTAGTGAGATAAATAGATTTATAACAATTGGCTTTCAAATACAGACCTCTAGAGTGAATAAATAGGTTAATAGAGTGGAGAGAAACATCTCCTCTCATAGAAGTTCAACAGCGCTTACATCGACAAATTTCCAAGTAGTTTCAAATCCAAACTTCACCAATTACTATTTTTTTTTTTTCATGAAAGCGATTGTTCTCCAAGTTCCTTACAGCATACTTCATCAGCCACCTGCCACCAGATGAAAGGGTGTCAATATCGACAAGCGAATTCTGACTGTTTATTCGCAGTCAGCTCCAGGTCCAAACAATCCCCTTAGTGCATATTGGTTATGCTACGATACGAGATTCCCCCCACATTTCACCCGCGTTGCCAAGGAGCTATTGTCCTCGTTGAAAATCTTCACGAGCCCATTGTAACATACTGGCGATATTTTGGGATTCCCACTTGGCTATAGCCGTTTGCAAAGCCTCGTATTGCCGATGATCCCCATTTTAATGCGACATGTTACTACATTGGGTGCGTAGTAAGGATATGAAATTACTAGGGGATCTTAATAGCAAAGGGCTTGCCGCTGGCTTCATTTAGCTCTAATTCGTTGCTGATGTCTATTTAATGTCTGGAGTCCGCGACATCAACGAGAGAATTGTAAGTCACTATTCAACTATACATAAGAGGCGTAGTCAGAATGCGTTACTCTTCACTTCTTTAATTGACTGTTGCTCTAGCTGCCTTTTCTATATCAGTCTTTGCGGCAGATTCTCGCTACTGCATGAACAAGAATGTCATTAAAGCAAAGGATTTTACTCTTCAAGAATCCGCCGATAGCTCTCATCTTGCCGCACTCGCTAAGCACTTCGAAGGCACTGGAAAGAATCTCAGCGTCTCAGCTGTCCTGGACCCGCCAACCGTGATCTAAGCAAAGGGCATCCTCCCGTCGGTAGTGGATCTCCGTCAGAGGCATGGGCCTGGAAATCTGGGGACTACAAGACTACCAAGTGGAGGCCACAGGGAATCACCAGCTCCGCCGATGCATTCGGAAAAGGTGACTGGAACAACCATAAGGCTTGGATCGTGAGCTGGTACCAAACTGGAGACAGCGTTCGAGTCAGCTTTGTTGATCGCAAAACAAACAAATACCGCCATGCTCTCCTTGTCTACCCGAGCGCCGATGATGACTTCAAATCTATTACTATCCATGCTGGAGGGATTATGTGGTACGGCAACTTGCTGTACGTTGTCGATACCAACAACGGGATCCGCGCTTTCGATCTTGACAATATCTGGGAAGTCGATATTGCGGATGGTGTTGGGAAGAATGAGAAGGGATACTCTGCGGATGGGTATCGATATGTTCTTCCCCAAATCCGGTGAGCAATATCTCCACGTTTTGAAGGCTTGGAAGCAACCTTTTAACAATTCTCTCTAGCTAGTATAAATGGACCCCTGGATCAAACCCTCCTTTCCGCTTCTCTTATATTTCCCTCGACTGCAGCGACTCGCCCGATACTCTCCTAGTTGGTGAATTCGTTCGCGATGGTGAAGTCGACAAGAACAGAGACCCGGTGCCCATTCGATTGGTCAAGTACCAGCTGGACTCGACCACCCGCCGACTGCGCACAGACGATAAGGGTCTGGCTACAGCTAGCTGGGCTCATTGTGTCGATATTCTCAAGGTGCAGGGTGCTGTCTCGTATGATGACAAGTTCTACCTCTCACGCAGCAATGGCCGTAACCCTAAGGCTGGCGACCTGTTTACTTGGAAGGAGGGCAAGACGGCAAAGGAATATCCTGGTTGGTTCATGGCTGGCAATGAGGATCTGAGCTATAACCCAGTGCGAAAGGAGTACTATACAGTCACGGAATACGACGGCGGGCGCTATATCTTGTCTTACAAGGCATAAACGGGCCGTTTTAGTAGAAGATCTTCCTTGAGGTAGTGAAATAAGAAAGTATTTTTGGGCAATCACTGTATGCTCTCCGCCTACAATTGACAATATATACATGCTTTCTGTTGTCAGTTGCTCAGTATAATACTATTGTTGCTGTGGGTATTCGCCTTCAATCACAGGCGCTAGTCGCTTTCGGCTAGTCTCATGTCATCAATAAGGGTCCACGGGTCCATAGATTGATGACAAGTAAACTAGCCAAAGGCGGATAGCGTACCAAGTAAACCCTAAATCGCTCACTTTGCTAACGGGAATTGTAACTTGGTATTCGAAGGTTTTATACAGGAAGAACTTTCTTCTCTGGGTAAAGATGGTTTGGGACTGGGGAACGAGGGCCAGCTCTCGCATATAAATAGTGATCTCGCTCTTCTGTAAGTCATTCGTTTTCCATCATTCAATTTTTCTGGTGCTGAGGCTTTCCTACCCAATGGCTGCGCAAGATCTCGACCAAGCTTCTGGTGCGCAATGTGTTCTTGTCACCGGCGGATCAGGATTTATTGCGTCGCACCTTATCTTGCGACTCCTCCATGCTGGATACAAAGTACGCACTACAATTCGAACCCCATCGCGAGAAAAAGAGCTACGAAATACTTTTCAAAATGCCGGCGTTGACACCGAGAGCCACCTATCCTTTGTTGTGGCTGATTTAACGAAAGATGAGGGTTGGGCCAACGCAATGGAAGGGTGTACGTTTGTCCAACATGTTGCCTCACCGTTCCCTGCAGCAACACCCAGAGACGAAAATGAATTAATTCGTCCAGCACGAGAGGGAACTCTTCGTGTGCTCAAATTCGCACGCGATGCTGAGGTGAAGCGGGTGGTCCTAACATCATCCTTTGCGGCCATCGGGTACGGACATGAACAGATGCCAGTGTTCACTGAGGATCATTGGTCTGTCGTCGATGGCAAGATTTCTGTACCTGCCTACCATAAGAGCAAAACTCTCGCTGAAAAGGCCGCGTGGAATTTTGTACAAAAAGAGGGTGGCAACCTGGAACTTGCTGTCATTAATCCTACCGGTGTTTTTGGGCCTGTTTTGAGCCGGGATTTTTCAACGTCGATCCAAATCATCGAGAGTATGATGAAGGGAGATTTGCCTGCATGCCCGAACATCTCTTTTGGGGCAGTAGATGTGCGCGATCTTGCTGACTTGCACATTCTTGCGATGACAAACCCGGCCGCCATAGGTCAGAGGTTCATTGGAACATGTGACAACGGACCAGTCTCAATGATTGATATTGCGAATGTGCTACGAGAAGAAAAGCCTGATTACGCAACACTAGTGCCCACCAAAGTGCTACCCAATTTTCTAGTCCGCGCTGTTGCACTGTTTCGTTCAGATCTCCGCGTTATTCTCCCAGAGCTTGGAGTTACGAAGCTGATCAACAACGAGAAAGTCAAGACTGTGCTTGGATGGAAGCCCAGACCGATTGAAGAGTGTGTTCTGGATACAGCGGATAGCTTAGTAGAACATAGTATTGTCTGATGCGACGATAGGAGATTATGTTTTGAATAGATCAAAAAATGCCCGCGCTCAGAAGGATGCGCATCTATTTGAGAATTTCCTTGCTAATGTAGGATTTAAGCTTAGATTTTACTGGACTTACCCCCTGCTACTCGACTATCTAGTTACTCTCACTCTAAATCACCTATAGCCCAGACTAAGCTTATCCTAAACTCACCTTCAGCTTAAGTTGAGCTCACCTTAATTTCACCTAGGTCCCACCTACTCAACGAACAGCCACATACAAGCCGTATGGCCAGGACTGATCTATGAAGTCCTATATGATCATTCTTTATATAACATCTGGTACATCCTACCATAGGGTGTAGGAAGCATGGCTTGCCGTCCACTTTGCCGTACTTAAGTTAGTCAGGTGCGTGACCACTGGCGAATTCTTGCCATTGTATATTTTTGGTTTTTACTTTTGTCTTGTGACTTGTCTGTCTATCTTGTCTAATTTCACAGAGGAAATCCAATTAAGGCAATCTCAATTTGCCTTGCGAGAAAGGAAATGATAACATCTAGAAGTAACGTCCCAAAAAATAAGCATCAATAGCATCCCCGCAACAAGTGAGATCCAGACTGGAATTAATACAATCTGAATAGCATGTACCAGTACTAAAATCGGGCTCCACCATACCCTCACGTAGGGATTATTGCGATAAAGGAATCGGTTCCAAAGGGTGAGGGGCACATGGATCTCCGGTACTAAGAAATCACGTATGGCAGCCACCAAGCAACTGCGGATATTCACAATTGAGCTTTCGTCGTTTTTAAGTGCTCCAAGCTCATCCACATAGCTTTCAACATAAGCTTTTATTCGGCGAAAAGGTGCTAGGGAAATCCTCAACCACAAATTTGAATCTTGGGCTCCTAGCAAGATAATTGTTCGAATTCGCGACAAGTTGATTCCTAGGAGAAGTGTAAAGGCAAATGCTATGGCGAGAACCGCGAAGAATGATGCGAAAGTTGCCGAACTTGGGAAAACAGACATGCTGTACAAGGACTGGAATGCGTTTTCGAGTGAGTCATATCGTATCAGGATTAATACCAGAGCACTATATACTTACAGCAATGGTGGTCAAAGGCAAATATAGTATAGTGAGATACGTTAAGGTTTGTATGCGCTCGCCTTGCTTTAAAGCTGAGCGGGCCTCCATGACAGCAGTTGCCCCATGCAGCTGATGGATCAGAAGTATCCGTAAAGTCACTTGGTGGATGTGATACTTACAGCATTCCGCTGAAAGTGTCGGTCAGTAAGTAGACACAGAGCATGAATAAGAGGGATGTACTGACACTCTCTTGTGCTTTCTCTCTAAGCAGTTCTATCTCTGCCTGAAGTCTGCCTAGCTCATTGATTTCATCTTTCAGCTTCTTAGACCAATGTGATAGTCCCAATTTTTCATGAACATGAGCCTTATGGATAAGGCTAGTGACCTCAACATCAAGCACCTTGTCGAAGTGAGCTAGATTCGAAGCCACAGATCCGCTCAGTTCATGACACATCCTAATAGCCCAATGGTACAGTTTTGATTTTGTAAATGCCTCGTCGTCGAAAAGACTATCATCGTCAAGCTCCTGAAGACGATCATTCAATACCCCTACTAAATGTTGCGCATTGGTTCTCTGCATGAATAAGGTGGCTGTTATACCGCGTAGAAACTGGGCACAAGGTGATAAATGCTCGAGTGGCTCATAATCAAGTGCAAATCGTGTAGGACCATTGGCAATTAGTACAGTCCAAAGGGCATGAGGACTTTCTATTAAACCTATTTCTTCCTCCTTTGAAAAAGATTCTTCCGGTACCACGAGGGTGAGCATGACTGAAGAAGAGGTTTTGAAAAGATACACATCTGTCTCTGGATCACTGCTATTGCCAGGTCGAAATTGGCCTAGAACAAGGCGATCTAGGGGAGGTCCTTGTCTATCACTGTGGCTGTGGACGCCCAAGGTCAGATAAACAAGATGGCTAGATAAAGTGACTCGTTTATAACACTTGTTTTCTGACTAGAGTTTCGTAAGTAAGACGAAATTTTAGATTGTAGACAACTTTAGCAATAGGCTTTCTCGGAGAAAACGGAAACTTACAGGGTCTGTCCCTTGGAGATGTAATGTCTGGAGGCGATCAGGTGCTTTGAAAGCAGAGCGCTGAGTAAGATGTCTTTCAATGAATTCTTGAATGAATCCATGGTTTTCATATTGTAGTTGCAGACAGAACGTATGAAGTACCAGCAAAGCGGCCCTTTGTAGTGAAGGTACATGTTCTTTGATATTCCTTCCATGAGACGTTAGGAAAATATTATTTGTATATATGCCTTAGGCTTACACTATACGTCCATAAGCAAGGGGTGGATTTGCGACGGGAGTCTGAGAAGAGCGTCCTGCGGTCCTAGGATCATGTTGAGCTGAAAGACACAAATTTCCGGAGCTTTTAATCTCAAAACACTTTGAAAATCAGCAAAGAACGCTAGTGCAAGCTTAGACTAGTCACATGCCTTGGAGAAGAAGAGATGGTCATAGATATCTTCTGATTCTCGAACAACGGGCCACGCCCTATTGATACCGTTGACGGTGCTAACCTCGTGAACATTTGCATGAGCTAGTAATATATTCATGGAGCTATCGAAACTGGTGGTTAAATAGCGATGAACACTTGCTCGGAGGGCCTTCAAAGGGCTAGTGATTAATTTTTCATCCCAGCTGTGCAACTGTTTATGAGACGACAGATATTCAATAATCTGATGTAAAACTGATCTCACGTTCCGGGCTGAAATGTCAAAGTGAAACTCAAATTCAAGAAGGGGCTTTTCAATATCGTCCTCTGTAAAAACAGAGGAGTCTGAAAAATCGAAATCAAAAGCAGAGAAGTCAGAGGTCTTCAAGGAATCTGGCATTATGCGCTTGGCTTGACACAGCGGAAGGATTAATTTATAATGATGAATCGGGCCTTCGTGAAAGGCCAAATATCTGGAGAGGGCGAGGGATAGTCAAATACTAATCGATAATCCTATTTACTAGGGTTAAATCAATGGGTAACGATTTTAGTTCTGCGGGGGTAGCTCCACGTTATACTTGCAGGCGAGTCATGCCCCGCCACGTCTGATTTTATGCAAAGCCTATCACATTCAAGGTTCCTAGATTGATTCAATCTGGCCGTTTAAATTTAGCATTTAAGCCTCAATTTCCGTTGCTTCGTATTCTAAGTAATTTGACTGGAGTATTTCTCCTCGTGTCTTCGTACCTGGGTCGATACGTAAAGCGACATTCTTAGTCATTACCTTGCGACTTTCCGTTACCTAGGTAGATAGAAGGGACACCACTAAGTATAAATCTAAAAGATCAGAATAGCATGGTTGAGTAGTAAATCTAGCGGCTCTAACTGGTAACTTACTCTTAGGTGATCTTAAACTTCCGTTCAGCCTACCTTCCGCTTATTTTAAACTAACGTAGGTGCCACCTACCGGATTACGAGCTGTACACAAGGTTATGTATAGGGCCTATCTAGACAAACGTCCTTGATGTTTCTCTTTATCTCCCCAACTGATACATACGACCACAGGGTGTGGAGAACAGGGCTTCCCGTCCGCTCAGCCGTACTTAAGCCACACGCCGGTAAGTTAGTAGTTAGGTGGGTGACCACTAGCGAATCCTTACTGTTGTATGTTTTTTTTGAACGTTAATAAATTTCCTTTATTTTTTGAAAACTACTGAGATGGATTTACAATCAATTCAGGCCCAGGTCAGAAGAAGGAAGGCCCTATGCCGGGTTCCCTTTGAGCCAAGGCGAAAATTGCCGGTGTTTCCTGTCCTTTATTCAGTTGACTAAACTGCCCTGGAATGTAGGATTGATAGAGGGAGTAATACCTCTGTAAACATTGACTCATTTGTGGTCGTGCATACGTTTGTGGTTGCTCTGCTTGACTGGAAGCGACCCCCCTTGGTCACGCAGAAATAGGACCCATCATAATAAACCTTCAGTCAAGTCAATGTACCTCTGTATTATCCCTGTCAAGCTAAGTAGCCAAATGCACTAGACCGAGCACCAGTGGTCTCCTGTTGGCCCCTTTGTCTATGCAAGCCTCCTTCCCATCATTCAGTCCTTGTTGTCATTTTAAAGATCCTTCGTTGGATTATTCCGGGTGTATCGGACTCTTCCTTACCGTTTCCTGCCTTTATTCTCAATTTTGATATTCTTCGAAATGTCGGGAAAATCCTCAATACCTCTCGAGGAAGCTAGGACCAGGGCCACTATAACGTAGTTGTAATCTTCCCATTTGTCTCCTTGGGGAAGGCGGCAGCTCCGTAGAAGCCAGAAGTTTTGCTTTGTTTCATTTCAATTAAGCTTCAAAAGATAGGATAGAGCACACAGATCACCTGTGATCTTGTTGAGTATGATATTTGATGCGGTCCCCATGCAAGGCTCAAACCCGCAACCCACAAGCTGCCTGGACCTCGTTAGCTTTCGGTATATATCATATTCAGGATACTTAGTAATAAGCATGTAGGTCGTTTTGAAGTTGTCACGAATAACTTGTCAGCGATCGTAGGGCATGCGGGGCCCAGGCCATCTGCGACATCCTTGGGAGTGGCTGGTTCAGTATGCTCACTTATCTTGTTGATGATCAACCACCTTCCAACAGGATTAATCTTAGTGTCTGAAGAAGTTGGTGTAGTGATTATTCCACCAATAATATTGGGAAGAAGCTGCATTTTGGCGGGATGACACTCCGTTTCGGCCATAGTGAGGGCACCAATCCTCTCGGGAAGAAACTCAATTTTGACTATGGGAAGAGTGCTATAAGGGGCGATGAAGAGGAATCGGAAGGAAAAGAAAGCTGTGAGGTAGACGGAAATGACGACAAAGTTGTCAGGTCAAGTGATTTAGAATTTGAAGGAAAGTTTGAAACTTGCAAATAGAAAAGGTTGGGCAAGCTTCCTCGACATTGAAAGTAATTCCAAGCTCAATTTGGCACATGTACTACTAACTGCAAAGTGTTGCCCATGAGCGCCCAATACTTCGTATATCACCCAACAACGCTCCATACTAATGCTCCATAGTTCGCTCAGCGGCAACGTTCAATACCAGTGGAAGATGGAAGGAAAATACCTCCGAACATTTAGATTCCTATATAGACTATTATTGCGGAGGCATTACTTCCTGATGCTTCGATATATTGCAGGTTTTGTCGTCTAAGGCTGCTTAAATCTCATGGGAATTTGCCGGAAACTTTTCCCGAGTTATGCATAAAAGTATGAAACCCCCGCAGCCCCACTGACTCATGAGATAATCAACACCTTGAATTAACTTGATAACTTGATAATTTTGATTCCTTGCATACATATTCGACGTCTTTCTTGGTCATTTCCGGGAAGCTTCAAGTCTTCTCGAGTCTCAGATCGGGAATTAGCTCATCTCTTCGCCCCTTTGAAGTCGCCCCTCCCCCCACTTTCAAACCTTACAGCATTTGCTCTACCATTTCCCCTACAGCTCATCGTAATGTCTCGAGAAACAGTCAGACCAGCCTTTGAGGGTCGCGAGCGTCCGATCATAGCCCATGGTGTCTCTTTCCCCACAGCTGTAGCTCGCCATATTGAGGACATTTTCAACGCTTCGCGCGTGTATGTCATCTGTTCTGGGACCTTGGCGCGTACCACCGACACATTAGGACGGCTAACTGCTACTATTGGTCCGGATAAGGTAGTTGGTCGTCGAATTGGCATGAAGAGCCATACACTGTGGTCCGAGGTGCTGGAGATTACTGCGGAGGCCAGAGCCGCCCAGGCAGATCTCATCTTGACAATTGGAGCAGGCAGCTTAACCGACGGGGCAAAGATCATTGCTCTAGTGAGTCTCTACCTCTTACCGGTTTTATGTCGACATAGATTCCCAAGTCAAAGGAAAGTTAACACATCCCCAGGCTCTCGCAAATGATATCCGCACCCCTGAAGAACTGGAAACTCTCGCACAAGGTCCAAACAAGCGCGAGAATATAAAAGCACCAACAGTGCCCATTATTTCAGTGCCATCATCTCTCTCTGCTGGCGAGTACTCCAACTTCGCAGGTGGCACGGAGGACAACTCAAAGCGCAAATACAGCTTCCAACCACCAACTCGGGGACCCGAGCTAGTGATCCTCGATCCAGAACTGGCACAAACTACACCAGATTCAGTTTGGCTCAGCACAGGCATACGAGCTGTTGACCACTGCGTAGAGACGTTGTGCGCTGTGGTGGGTACAACAACGTCATCCGATGAGCTGGCCCAGCGGGCATTGAGCTTACTGGTTCCCGGTCTACTGCGTTGCAAAAAAGATCATGCGGATCGTGAAGCATATTTGCAATGCCAACTTGGGTCCGTTGAAGCTATGGCGGCTTGTACGAGCGGGTCAATTGAGTTGGGTGCTAGTCATGGAATTGGCCATCAGGTATGTTGCCTCCTTTTGGAATTTTGTAATCATCATTCTGATGGAAATCATCTTAGCTTGGTCCCCTTGGTGTTGGTCATGGCGAGACCAGCTGTATCCTTTTGCCAGCCGTGTGCAAATATAATTCGAAGTACAACGCCAATCGAACTCAGCAGGAAAAGGTGCGTCAATTCTTGATCAAGGATCCTGTCGTGTCGGAGGTGCTACACGCACGGTCAGTTGATGCCAATGCATCTGATCTTGGTGACATTTTGGATGCCATCATTCGCGAACTGGGAATGCCGCGTTCTCTGAGTGATGTCCGAGTTGGTCGTGACCAATTGGATGGACTAGCAGCGAACAGTTTACACGACCGGTGGTGCAAGTCAAACCCAGTGCCCTTGAAGGAGAAGTCTCAGGTACTGGAGATCTTGGAGATGGTTTTTTAGAGGGAGATACGACCAAATTGCATGAGCTCTTGATTCATATCCCTTAATAATCAATTAATCGACATGATGGGCCTTTCTCACTCGACAACCTTTCTAGACTTCAGCCAAGTCACAATTGTGAAAAGAATCGCAATGATTGAACCCAATCCTGCTAGCCCCACTCCCATGTAAGAAGCTCCCCGATATCCCTTGAGGGTATCCGAGCCGTCAGGGTCTACGTATCTCTCGACTGTGCCCGCGAATCCAAGGCCGAGGGCTATAGAATAGTTAACAACTGTGTTCACCAGCGAGCCTGCCACACCCTGATGCTCTCGAGGCATAGAATTACTGAGAATCAATGTCCCAGAGGGGAACGACATGTCCCTATAATGCGTTAGCCGTGAAAGATTTGCTGCCATGGTATATCAACTCACATCCCCCAAGGAGTGACCAACATGATCAAGAATGCATTGGCCCAATAGGTCTGACCAGGCGGTATAGTAGCTAACAGGGACAAGCCTATCGTGAATGCTAGCATTGCAGCAAGCATAATGAAACTTGGTGGTACTCGGCTCAAAAGAAGACCAGTGATAACTGCCGCTGTTGCACCAGAAGCAGATGCTCCCGCCCACTTTGCCGTAACCAAAAGTCCACTGTTATGCTCGATGTTCTCGAGGAAGTTGTAGTAGTAAAAGACCAAGACACCGAAGCTCGACCATCCCGCCGCAATGCAGCCGAGTACCCAGCCAACCTCGCCCTTGAATACTGAGCTCGGCAGAAGTGGATAAGGAGCTCTTCTCTCGACAATCGTGAATACTACCAGGAATAATATTCCCACAATCAGCAGAGCATAGGTATATGGCACTGTCCACCCAGCTACTGGACCTTGGTTCCACGCGAAATTGATCAAGACAAGACCGCTCACACCAGTTACAGCCCCAAGCCCGTCCAACCGAGCGAAGGTTGAGCCCTCGGTCTTCTCAGACTCTTTGATCTCATCATGAGGAATGAGAACAAATCCCAGCACAGCAAAAAAGAAACAAGCAATCCCCATAATCCAGTACCCCCACGGCCACCAAACACGCTGAGCAAGCAGCGAACAAAAGGTAGCACCAAGCGTGAATCCACCAGGAGCAGTAGCACCAAAAAGACAAAAGACCATATCTTTCTTCAATCCCGGCGGATAAGTCCTTCCAAAGATGGCAACGGCATTAGGCAAAAGCAACGCAGGACCAATCCCCTGAAAGGCACGACAACAATCGAAGAAAATTTGATTGGACCATACGGCAAACCCGCCGAGAAGAGACCATACCCCGAACCAGGTAAATCCAATGATGAAGATGAGCCTGTGTCCGTATGTGTCGCCTAGTCTGCCAGACACAAGGATGAATGTTCCCACTGTTAGACTGTAGGCTGCTGAGGCCCAGGTCAGATCTCGGGGTGTTGTGTTGAAGCTTTTGCCGATGTAGTGGAGCGGGGCTATCGATAGGGAGAGACCGGCTTGGGTCATTAATTGGGCAGCACAGACGACTGCTATGAATGCTGCTTCTTTGGTTGGGGATTGGGGTTTCGTTGGTGTTTCTGGTTTGGTTAGGGGTTCTGGATCGGATGTCGTTGACGGAGGAGTCCCGTTCTCCTTTATCTCTAGCACAGACATGGCTGTAGGCTTCTGTAGTTCTCTTCGTAAAAAGGGTGATGTCAGAGAGTTGAACAAGAGGGAAACGAGATAGAATCGCCTGACATTGTGATGCTTACCAGTCACGGTAATGCTAACAAACACACTCGCTTTTGGTGCCGGGAAACGAGTTAGAAAGCGCACAAAAAAGAGTAGCCGGAAGATAAGTAGAAGGTGAAGTAAAAGTAGATCTCAATATACTGAGACAACGTGAAATGATATGCAAATGTCTGAGCCGGTATGGTCGAAGAGTGATGCCCACCAAATTCCGGACGCTCTTACGACACTTTTTGTGGTTGTTTCTGAAGAACAATAGGTTATAGAAGCATGGCATCTTGAATTACTAAATACTTGCCTCAAACACCCTTAATTGACCCATGAAACTAATTTCAGCATGGATGGCGATCAGCTGTATCATTTTCCTTCCGCAGGGCCCGCGCGGCCCGCGGGCCGATACCTCATCCTCGCTGGCGATTATAGATCATGAGAGACGATCACCTCACTTTTCGGAGACTACAAAAGGACAACCTCCCCACTGAAGTCGTCAATTAATATCAATCGCTATACAAAAATGTCCAAAACAATGAAAGCCCTCCAAATCACCCGGTCAGCCTCATCATCAACCGTATCATTGAACACACTCCCAATCCCAACCCTCAAACCAGGCCACGCATTAGTCAAAATAAACTACACATGCATCCACCCTTCCGACCGCTTAAATGTACAAGGACTCTTCCCATCGATCACCTACCCACGCATCCCAGGCCGAGACTTCTCCGGCACAGTGATAGACATATCCGAATCCGACAGGCTCAGCAAGTCCGAATCCTGGATCGGAAAACAAGTCTACGGCACTAGCGGCTCAAGTCTCGGCTTCACAATTGATGGTCCTCACGCGCAATACTGCCTAATACCACACGAAGCCCTGGTCGAGAAACCATCTTCTCTTTCTGCATTGCAAGCTGCGACAGTTGGTGTACCGTTTACCACTGCACTGGTTTGCCTTCAAAGGGCTCAAGTTAAGCGAGATGATACTGTTCTTGTCCTTGGTGCCACGGGTGCTGTGGGGTCGACTGCTGTGCAGATTGCTCGGGCTATGGGGTGTAAGCGGGTATTGACTGCTGCGCGGAGGGCAGAAGCTAGCCCTGATATCTTGTTATCTAGGGAGAGCTCAGCTGCAGTTCTTACTTCGCGCGTTACTGAGTTGACTGGTGGGGAAGGTGTCGATGTTGTCGTTGATACAGTAGGGGATATTGCTTTGATGGGTGCTGCTGTTGAGTCGTTGGCGCGGAAGGGACGTTATGCATGGATTGCAGCGCCTAGGGGAGATGCCAGCAAAACGATGTCATTTGATATCTTCCAGGCGTATCGAAAGGAGATTTCGCTTGTTGGGTGTAACTCTGTTAGTCCAAGTATTATAGATTCAGCGGAGTTGTTGCGGTCTCTCAATGGGTGGATTGAGCAAGGGTTTTTGCGTGCACAGGATGAAGGGTTTTTTAGGAAAGTGAATATCGAGGATTCGGTGAACATGGGGTATGGAAGGGCTGGGGAACAAGTTGTAATTGAAATGGAATGAGACAAGATCATGGAGCGATCCATTCAAGTGGCGCTACAGATAATGTGAATCAATTAAGAAGGTCCATATTTAACAAGAAATCCAAATCAACGGGATGTTGATAATATGGGAAAGACGTCGAAAAGTCCAAGTTTTGTGGCAGATCAGAATCCGGACCTTCCACTGCATCATCTGAAGCGGTTGATCCAACAATGCTCTCCAGGATCCCAACACCCTTACGTCTTCGATCCAGTGAAGCTCGCACAAGATTTCGGGCAGTGGCTAGAGCTTCAGTGGCGAGGTGCGTTTTCAGTTGGTCCACGATCATCCCCAAAGTATCCATTGCGTCAGGTAGATTGGTGACACTTGCATGGGTATCAATAGCCAAAAGAACGCAGACGAATTGAAATACAGTGCTGATGATATTCCACCACGGCAAGTTTTGACTTGCAAGTGCACGAGCCGCAGGTAAAGCAGACATGCCTGCGCAGATCACCTCATCAAGCAGAATTTGTCGTATATTTGGCTCTAACAAACGCAGACGGCGGTATATGGAGAAGATCAGATCGGCTCGGACGAGAACAAGGAAATTGTGACTGGCAGGTGTGTCTGCGAGTTTATTAATAGCCGATGATAGGTCCTGCATTGTTGCCATAGAGTCTGTACCCATCGGGGTTAATGGCACAGCTTCAACGAGGCTGCATAAGCAAGGAGTGAAATCCCCCGCGCGATCTGATAGGGGCAAAGCCTCCTGGGATGGAAATTCGAGGTTCATAACAGATCGACCGTATTCGTATGCTATTACGATATGCAAAGAATGTGCAACACGTGCAGTTCTTTTCAAAATGTCAGACAATTCCGGCGTAGAGTCCTGAGCGCCCTTGTTAGTTGTCAACATGACGAGTTGTGGTGCCTGGTTCAGCCCTGTGGCCTCCACAAGATGCATTGTAGTGCAACTGCAAATCCAAGCCACATGTGGTCGGGTAGTGGCACGGAGGTAGATTGTCCTCAAAATCCATGCTGCTATTTGATCGATGGATGGAAACCGGCTGACAAAAGGATCCTCTAGGATTTCTTTTGCGTGCAAGATCAACCACATTTCTTCGCCTTGGTCTAGGGATCCATTGAACAACGAAGCAAGTGCAACCACACCGCAGACAATAGCTTCGAAATCAGGGGTCTGCGGTTGACCATGCCAATGTGTTTCACACCGCTCATAAAAACCGTCTTTGTCAAGGAATCCAAATACCGGATGAATAGTGGCGAAGAAATATTCCAGCAACGTTCTAGCCGTATTCCATGGCATTCGCTTAGCAATTCTAAGGCTGGCTGTTGAATCAGGCTCCTTCCGGATGCCAGTGTGATAGCCGAAAGAATGCAGTCGCGGAGGCTTCGCTGCCTGCATCTCTAGTCCCACGCAGAGCGGAAAGGCAACAGAAGAGTATCTGCCGACATATCGAGATTTGGTGGAATCGAGGATTCCCGAAGGAACTGATGATGTTCCCTTGAGGTTGGGCTCAGACGCAGGTGGTTTGGCCTGCGACCTGGATGGGCCTTGGACTGCATTTCTTGAATTGGTAGAGTCATAGTCACAGTCATAGCCATATCCTGTGCATGTGCTGCATGGCAATTTTCCGTCGCATTTTCTCTTTCGTTGGCGACAGGCGAGACATGCTCGGTTTGATCTTTGTCGGACTGGGCGCAATGGAGGCATGTGTAGGTCAAAAGGTTGAGGTTGAGCTCGGCCCCACACGAGAATGAGAGTACACATGAACACCTTGATGTATTTGACGTAATTCTATCATTTGCGTCCTCTAGTTCCTTTTCAATATACATAGTGGATTCTATTCGTTTATAATAGACTTCCATATCATCTTGACGGTCTATCCATAGCATTCCCTGAGACTTCTTACTGCAGTGTGCTAGCAGCATTATAGTAATATGCAGGTACTTGGAACACCCGGTAAAGACCAAGTATCGATCTATATTATATACGCCGCGAGCGCACATGGTCCCCAATGAATACATGAACATATCACTACTTCCTTTAGACACTGACGCAATGCGGATAAAGTCTTTCTTTATATTGATAAGCAACCCCGCGCCCCACTGTATACCTGACGCTCGATTTCTGCTTCCCGAGGTCTATACTGCAATTGCATCTGCATCTACATCTACACAATGTCTCTCGCAAAGAACATCCTTCTCTTCGGAGCCACCGGAACAATCGGCTCATTCATCCTAGATGCCATCCTCCCCGTCCGCGACCAATTTAACCGCGTCGCAATCTTCACTTCCCCGCATACAGCGGAAACAAAAGCTGAGCACCTAGAAAGGCTGAAGAGGAAGAATGTCGAAATTATCATTGGTAACGTAGAGGACGAGGAAGCTATCAAGGCCGCTTACGAAGGCATGAACCTGCCATTGTCCCCAATATACCAATCCCAATCCGAATACCGTATGTACTGACGCCAACAGGAATCGACACCATAATCTCAGCCCTAGGCCGCAACACTCTCGCCCAACAAATCCCCCTAATCCGTCTGGCAGCCGCCAGCCCAAATGTGAAATGGTTCCTCCCCTCCGAATACGGCACAGACATCAAATACGGGGCCGCATCCGCGCACGAGAAGCCGCACCAGCAGAAACTGAAGGTGCGCGCGTTCATCGAGAATGAGATCTCGCGGGATGATCTCTCATACTCGTATGTTGTTACCGGACCGTTTGCGGAAATGTATTTGAATCTTGTGCCTGGGCTTGAGGAGGCCGGTGGTTGGGACGTTAAGAGTCGGAAGGCGGTTTTGCTTGGGGAGCGGGGGAATGAGGAGATTAGTTTGACGACTATGACGGAGTGAGTATTGGGTTCCTTTGTTGTTATGTGGAGGTTGTGTGGTTGGGAGCATTGATTAACCTGGCATTTAGTGTCGGAACTCTCGTGATGAATACCCTTCTCCATGCCACGGCTGAATCGCGTAATTCTGCTCTATGCGTGAACTCGTTTACGACGACACCCGCTAAGATTCTTGCCGAGTTTGAGCGGCAGACGGGGCAGAAGTGGGAGTCTGTTTCGCGGACTTCGTCAGCTCGACTGCGGGAGTTGGAGACACAGGCTTGGGAAGCTGGAAAGCCGGCTGCTACTGTTCTTACATTGCGACGAATCTGGACTGAGGGTGGGACTTTGTATGCGGAGCGGGATAACAAGGCAATTGGGGAGCCAAAGGTTATGGGGTTGGAGGAGGTAGTTGCGAATGAGATTGAGCGGGTGTCGAAGCTGTAGTAGATTAAGTATATTGTGAGTTGTGCAGGTACACAGGGGATACTACAAATGGATTACAAAGTTATGTCTCCGACGTCTAAAGCTCATGGCATTCGTAGGTACGAGACGGGGATTAACGAAGCGTTTCAGGATTCGGGTAACAAGTCAGATTTCACATGATTGGGGAATTGATTCGGGAAAGATGAAAGAAAATTGCGTAGGAAGGTCGGATATAAGTCCGAGCTCTACTGGAAGAACTTGCGCACGCGCTCCTGGCTGGCTGGATCGACAGAGGCCAGGATCTGGTCGGCGTTTGCGCCTGTGGCTGCCACCAGTTGCTTGGCAGCTGTGGCAACCCGCTGAGCAGTCTGACCCTGCAGGGTGGAAGCCTGGAGTGCCTGCACGATGAATCCGAAGACGCGGTCGGCCTTGGCGAAGACAGCGGGGTTTTGCCTGGGATGACGTTAGCTGGTGATTCTGAGAATGGGATGGTAATACATACTGTTCAATCAACTGTAGGATGAAAAGGTATGCGTAAGGAGCGGCCTCCTCATCGAAGGTGATGGGGAGGGTCTCAATCCAGTTGGTGACGACGTCTTGAGGGGCCGCAACCTTGGAGGCGTTGAAGTGGAGGATCTTGGCGATACTGGCGGAAGCGTTCTCAGTAGCGAAGACATTCTCCTCTGTGCGAGATTGGGCGTGCTGCGTCACCTGGAACAGGCTGGGGAGACTGGCAGCAACAAAGTCACTCCAGGCGGGACCACCTTTTTGAGCAGCAACACCGACTCCGTAAGCGGCGGCTTGACGGTTGGCGGCGTTCTCATCCTGCAGACCGGAGGCCAAGGGCTGCATGATGTGGTCCTTGAAGGCCCAGGAATCTTCGCCGCAGAACTCGAGAACATCATCCATTATGCAAAGAGCCCACTGACGTTGTGTGGGGTCCGGGCTTGTGATGAAAGCATCGTAGAATTGGATGAGCTGTTGCCATGTCGGTAGGAAAGAAGTGCCCTGGTTCTTGAAGATGGTGTGGAAAGCCTTGTTCATATCGCTGAGCAAGTTCTGGTCATCCTCGATTGCGTATTCGTAGTCGAGATTCTCCTCGTCGCCTTCTTCAAGCTCGGCTTGCTCCTCCAGACGTTGCTTAACGCGCATCTGGTAGTCCTCAAGAGTGGACTTGGCGGAGTCAATGAAGGCCTGCATGTGCTGGGCGCTGAGGCAGTTTCTACCAACAACCTCCACGGACTCATAGAAGCACTGGTACATCTCGGCCAGAGTGTCAACAGTGGGCTCGGCGCTCAAGACCTCAATGATCTTCTCAGCAACCTTGTTCCACATATCACCAAAGCCTGGTGACTGCTGACCGTGTGCCTTCTTGTAAGAGTTGAGCAGCTGGGGAATGAGCTTGGCGGCCGAAACACGAACGGGGTCGTGGAAGAAGAAAGCAAGACCGGGAACGGCAATCTTCTCCATAGTCTCCATAACATAGGGCTCAAAGTTCTCCTCAAGAATCTGAGCGTAAATGGTGATCAATTCGATGGCGGTGTTCTTATCCTCGAGAGCACTGGTCTTGATTCCAATAATCTTGCCCTTAAGTGGAACCAGTTCCCAGCCTTCGTCCTGCTCAACCTGCTCGATCTGGTCCTCGTCATCGAGAAGCTGGATATCGGCCTTGGCGGCAGCAACGGTCAAGAGAGGAGGCATGACACCGGGCAGGTAAGGGACGAAGTCACGGCCGAGGACACGGCACATGCGGCCCCAGCAGTGAAGAAGGTATTGAGATTGAGGGTCGTCAGCGTCAACTATGTTCTGCTGGATGTTACCCAAGATCTGGACAAGGTTGAGGGCATCCTGGCCCATCTTCTCCTTGCCAACAGCAAGGGCGATCAGAGTAGCACACTCCATGGCCTTGGCACGCAGAAGGCGATATTCCTTGCCCTGCTCCTCCTTGAGGACATTAAGCAGCAATGGCATGAGGGTGGTGTAGTACTGGTCAAAGGCGTTCTCGGCGGAGTCGGCAATAGTAGCTATAGTGGACAGGGCCTGTTCTTGGAGGTAACGCTTGGGGCTGCGCAGAAGTTCGAGCAGGTGGCTGAGAAGGTTGCCGAGGTAAGGCTCCAGAGTGCTGCGCTCGGCCTCTTCGCAGAAGTTAACCAGAGCGGCAGCGGCGTGGGATTGCACACGGGGCTCGGAAGAAGCGAGAACGGGGATGATGTTGGTGAGAACAATCTCGTGGTACTTCTCCTGCATGGTACCAGCAAAGTCGGTACTCATCTGACCGAGAGCATTGCAACCGGCGTAGCGAACTCGGGGGTGGGCATCTTGAAGAGCGGGGACAACAAGGGCCAGAACCTGGTCCAACTCACCGACCATCAGGTCGCGACAGCCTTCTGAGATGGCAGAGATGGCCATCAAGGCAGCGTGGCGGTCACGCCAGGCAGTCGAAGACATCATGCGAGGAATCCAGGAGAAGGCGGGCTGGAGAATGGCTTGTCCACCGAGTTTGTTGGCTAGACGATCCATACACTGCTCACCAGCAATGTGGTTAAGGTCGCTTTCCTCGGGTTCGAGCTAGAACAATTAGTTTGCAATTTATAGACACAAGGGCTGGCATTCTTACATCCTCGGAGGCGTTCCACTCCTCAGCATCGTCGTCGTCAGCACCAACATCGGTCATCAAGCTTAGACACTGAGTAACCATTTCCTGTGCGAATTCCGCCTCCTTCTTGCACATGTTGGGGGCGTAGTCGGCAAAGGTAGCCATGAGCTCAAGAGCATTCTGGCGAACCTGATCACTGAGCTCCTTGTCGGCAATAACGCTGATGCTGAACTTGACAAGATTGTTGAACATAGACTTGAACATCTTGGGGCTGATTTCAGCCAACTCAATCAGTGCGAGCAAGGCCGAAGACAGCTCCTCACTCTCAGAGGATTCCTTGAGAGGAGGCAAGATGTTGAGGAGGTCGGGCATGAGACCAAAGAACTTCGGCTGGGACTTTTTCGAGATCGAGCGGAACAATGAAGCAAAGGCTTCCATGGCAGCAATGCGGACCTGAGAACATTGTCAAACTTGTAGTTCGAAAGTATATATGTGAAATGACATACGGAGATGTTATCATCCTTGAAACCCTTGGTGAAAACCTCCACGACAGCATCTTCGTGCTGTCTCTCAATGATACCGGGGGTGGTAGTGAAGATGCGGTATGCAGTTTCCCGGAGACCGGAATCGGGGTTTTGGCTGGCCTGGAAGAGCACGGCGAGAAGTTCAGGCCATTGCTCACCTATAAGTCAAAATTGTATCGTCAGAAACCAATGTTTACCATGGTCATTTTCACAGCAAGGGTCCAATTCGCATACCATTGTCGGTATATTGCCGAGCCACCTCGGCCAGGGCATCTCCAATCTTCTTGCGCACATCGGTGACGCTCTCGCTGGTCAAGCAGGCAACCAGCTTCTCGCGAATAGCAACACGCTGCTCGTTGGGTAGGCTCGAGAAAACCTCCTTGGCGTCGCCCGATGCGGGATCCTTGCGAGTCTTTGTGGCGATTCTGCGGAAAAGCACAGCGGAGAAAGCACGCGTCTATCCGGTAAGGTTCAGGTTAGCGTCAATTAATCACCCAGATAGGTAATGAGATGGCCTCCGGTCCAGATACGGTCGTTTGCAATGGCCCTCCCTTCAAAGATATCACACCCCTGGAGTCAGGTTGTCCAACTTACAAGGGTCTCTTCGGCGCCACCGAGCTGTTCTGCCAGGCCCATGAGCAGGACATCTGGCCGGTTCTGAACCCAGTCATTGTTGAGTTGGTCCTCCGCCTGGGATCTGACGGTATTATCGGGGGTGCTCAAGGCGCGGAGCAGCTGCGAAAGCGCGGTGTGGACTTCGGCGGGAAGCAAGGACATGGTGGGCGTGTCTGTTCCCAAGTTCCAGACAATCCAAGCAACCCAGTTCTTTCAACCCTCTTGAATGTAGTTTGGTGGGGGTGGAGGGGTGTTAAGAAGGGGAGGAGTTTTGTTTTTGGTGGGGCGGGGAGGAAGGTGAAAAAGCAGAATTTCTGATTAGGAGAGCGATTGATAGCCCTTGGGGAGTGTAGAGAATGGTGCCCACGAAGCATGAAACAACGAGAAAAGTACAAAGACAGTCTAGTTCCATTTTGCCTAGGACTGATCTACAAGGAAAACTACATCTATCTTCTTTCATCTCAAAAATTTAAAAAAAAAGTCCATAGTGACGATGTTCACTGTCGGGCGCTAGGCCCAATACGGCAACTTTCAGGCAATCAGGCCACAATCTCAGTACAAAGAGCCGGGGAAGTTCTTATATTGGCCAAATCAATGGGGAAACGGTGTCTATTCACGCTAAAACTAGATACGGACGGAATTAAAACTAAAATTAGAATGATGGATTATTTATTACACGTTTTTCGAATAAATTATTTGCATTGAAGGCTAAACGAAGGCCGCGACTGGTCATAGCACGAACAGCGGTATCTGAAAGGCGACACAGAATATCAATATTAGAAACAAACGGGTATGCAACAGTCGAGGGTCGGGAATCTATAACTCTGATCTACTTCCAGAGTTCATGGAATCCCGAGATGAGGCAAAACTTGAGAAAGAAAGTATTGAAGGGTAGTTTTAGGGGGGACAATGTGCGAGATTATTTACCGGCCGCTGGGGCGGCTGAGAATAAACACACCCGCAATGACTGCCGCCAATGTGACAATGGCACCGGGGAGCAGCAAGTCATTGGGAACACCCGCAATCAATTCCTTCTCTGGGGCCTGGGAGGGCATAGATTGCGAGCGGGGTGTAGGCGCCGGGGACACTTCTGAGACTTGATCGACAACACTCTGCTCCTGAACCGGGGTCATGACGGGGGCTGGTTGAGGCTCAACAGTGGCAGGGATGGGAGGCTGGGTAGGGTCGTGAACGAACAGGTCGACCTTGTCGCGGTGGGTGCGGCGAGCCAGATCAATAGCATCTGTCATATCCTGATCTGTTGTGATGGAGACGGTATCACCCTCGTTGTCCATGTAGCTGAGAGCATATCCAGTGTTGCTCAAAGTACCCTCCTCAACGGTAGCCTCGCCACCAACAGCCTCGAGTTCCTTGCCAAGCTTCGCTGTGACCTGCGACACAAGGGCGCTAACACCGTCGGTGGTGAGAACGTTGACACGGTGAACTCGGCCGCTGGGAGCCTTAAACTTGAAGGGGAAGGGAGTAGCCTGGTCTGTTGGGTTGTGCTGAGAGACGACTTCGGAGTGCTCATCGCCGTGGTGAGAGGCGGAATCGTTAGGGAGTAGACTATTGTCATAGCCTGAACGGTTAAGATCGGGGCTCATCACTGAGCGGTGTGGGGTATGAGGCTGGTGGCTCTGGCTTCCAGAGACCATAGAGTCCGACTCGTGGTCCATCGACAACCAAAACTTGTTCCAAGCGGGACCCTCATCATCCTGAGTAGACATAGTGTTGATCTAAGCTTAATTAGCAATTACTCCCCTCTCTCATATGGTAGAACATACCTGCTCAAGAGTGGCATATGTGAGCTTCAGCACGTCGACCATTCCGACGATTTCACCACCCTCATTCATCACGGGGAGGTTGAGGTAGTGGCCATCTAGTACAATGTCAATTTCAACGCTCACATAAATGGGACGAACAAACTGACCATGCATCTTGCGAAGAGCGGCTTGAATGCTCATATCCGACGGGGCAAAGTCGGGGTGAGGAGTCATAACGCGGACGACACTACAGGTTGCAGGGTCAAGACCAGGGGCAATGACACGGAGAACGATATCCTTGCTGGTAAAGATACCAGTAATAGAACCCTGATCCTGGACAAGCAGGGCGGTGGTGTGGTGCTCCTTCATGAGAGCCGCGGCATCCTTAACGGTGGTGCGGACAGAGACAGTGACTGGCGGCATACCATCCAAAACAGTCTCAAGGGTAGGACCAGACATTTTCGAGCGCAGAGCCTCAACATATTGGATGACCTGCTGGGGCTGGCTGGAGCCGAGCTCGGTTTGCACACCCTCCAACGCGTCGTACAGCTTGCGAGACGAGCTGTAGGCGCGCTCGAGCTTCTCCATAGCATCGTAAAAGCACTTTGTAATGTCCAAAACACCAGAGATATCCTGGTTCTCGTCCATAACCGGCAAATGTCTGAATCCCTTTCGCACCATGAGATCGAGCGCATCGGTAGCACTGGTATCCGTTCGCGCACACAGAGGGTTCTTGGTCATAATCTCGGCGACAGAAACCTCGCGGGCTTTAAGACCCATTCCAATAACACGGAAAGCCAGATCCTTGGCAGTGAAGATACCAGCGATGCGCTCATTGTCATCGGTGACCAAAACACAGTCCTCTCTCTTCGCAGCCATCAGCTGCGCGGCCTCGGCAATGCTGAGTGAAGGCTTGATCTGAAGGGCCTGGCTGGGCTTCAGGGCGAGAACGGTACCGGGAGGGGCTTTGCGGGAACTTCTTGATTTCGCCGGGGCGTTCCTCTTCTTGTTGAGGTCGGCTTCCATCTTGCGGCGGATAGCCTGGAAAGGTCAGCTTGTTGCTCCCGCTAAACACTAGTTTAGCTCCTGTGCGACATACCTCATCACGCTTCGACTGATTCTGTCTTTGTCTGCTGCTGGCGGCGGACATGGTGCCACTTCCAACGTCGCTGGACGGGGTATGGGTAGTAGCTGAAGATTCTGGACGGGGCCGAGGGATGTGGGAAGCACTGGAATCTCCTCCAAAGTCGGGCAGCCTTCCTCTGCCGATCGTCTTATTGGGTGTTCCCCGAAAAGTCCCCGTGGCCGACATTATAATGCCCAAAGGGGAAAATCGCAACAAAAAAAAAGGAGAGAAGGGGGAGAATGGGGCGAGACAAACAAGACAAGGATGTTAGGCTTGTGAGACCGGTATGAGAAGAAAAGCAAGGAGAATTCCAGGGAAGAGAGGAGGAAAAAAGGGTAGTCAATAGTCGATCCCGACAGGGGTGTTCCGATGCCCACGGGAGTAAACAGTAGTCAATGACCTACGGTACTATTCGGGGGCACTAGTCCAAATAAGGCTAGTTCTAGACACGTTGGTCATGCCCCACGTGATGGTCAATTGTCGGCCTGATCTTGACACCTCACCACCCAGGCTCCAACGCACGTGATCCATCTCGCTTAAGGGCTTAGGGCTACCCGCACAACGCAATCCAATCCATCCCGAACGAGACTTGTGTGTGAGCGAGCTTCGACAACCCACTCCCGACAAGTCAACCGTACGCTACCTCCCCCCTTCACTAAAAGATCTTTACCTGACCGTCCACAGAACAAACCGTCAAAATGGTCAAGAAGAGGGCGAACAAGTAAGACCAACAACCCTCCTCGGCGAAGCAGTATCCCATTCAACATCTCCGCAATGACGAACACGCACATACAATTCAAACATCGAAACCACGACTACCGCACATTGCCGGACGACAAGAATGGGAGACTGGATTCGACCGAGTTGCAACTCAGGGAACAAGAGAACTAATTGATTTCTTAGCGGTCGCAACAAGAATGGCCGCGGCCACGTCAAGCCTGTGCGCTGCTCCAACTGCGCCCGCTGCACCCCCAAGGACAAGGTACGCAACGCATCGTGATGGTCTCCCTGGTCCCTGAATCTATCATGACCACTCGACACTCGATTCTCGACCCCCCGATATCTCAACATTAATACTAACAACATCATAAAAGGCCATCAAGCGGTTCACCATCCGCAACATGGTCGAGTCTGCCGCCATCCGGGATATCTCCGATGCCTCCGTCTTCGCCGAGTACTCCGTCCCCAAGATGTACCTGAAGCTCCAGTACTGCGTTTCTTGCGCCATCCACGGCAAGATTGTCCGGTTGGTGTCCACACAACTCGCCACTTTCCCTTCAACTATATATTAATATCTCACATAGTGTCCGCTCCCGTGACGGCCGCCGCAACCGTGCTCCCCCTCCCCGTATCCGCTACAACAAGGACGGCAAGAAGCTTCAGCCCCCCTCTGCCGCCAAGGCTCTGTAAGGAGGTTTTAGTTTCGTTCAACGAACAAAATAAAATGAAACTAGTTTGAAATGAATTCTTTTATTTTGTCTTCACTCTTCTTGTCGACCGAATTGCAGGGGTGAATGCTCGGTCCCACAACGGCCGGTCATGCTCCTACATTGGCAACGCAAAAAAAGCATGAAAAAGATTGCTCAACCGTTTAGTGAAGACCGTTGAGGTGTCATCTTTATTTGTTCGGTGTGCATGAGCCCGTTGATGACGGCTTGTTATGACTGGGAGGAAGGAAGGTTCATAGTCTGAACAGGACTAAGAAAATATCAAAAATTCCTACAACTCATGTTCTATGACGTAGATGCATGGTAGTTCAGTTATGGGTATCTCTAGTTCACACTTTATGGGTACAAGTATCCTTTCTCGAAATGGTTCCCATACATGTCGACCATCCCAGTCCGCATGTTGGGCTTTGGATTCCGCACAACCTTTACTTCCCCTTTCCAGTGACCTTCAACAAAGGTGTTCAGAGAGATCTGCGGTGTTGATGGAGAAAGGCTGGAAGCATTGTTACCAAACGTGGTCCGCCGTCCTCTCTCACGACGAACCATAGACTCATACTCAGCCTTTTTGCTCCGACGGAAAGCCGCAACCTCCGCAACAAGATCAAGAGTTTGTATCTGCTTATCCTTCGCGAGTTTCCCTGGTGGACTTGGGGTATGGGCACTTCTTTGCGATGGATGACGTCCTAGACGAGGAGATTCAGGCGAACGAGCCGAGTCATCATCCGGCATAAGCGAGACCTTTTCATTCAACGCAGCCATTGGGAAGTATCTGCCTGGATCATTCTCTGGAACTCCGCACTCTTCTTCCCCGAAGAAACTAAAATCATCAACTGCTGCAGACCAGAGATTCTCTGAATCGCGGTCACCAGTGCTTGAATGTCCTGTGGCATTGTATTGGTTTCCAGGTTTCCATGACGTTAGCTTTGTATCGACAGGCGTGATTTCGAGGACCAATCGCCGTAAACCAAAGAGAGATCTTGAACGCTGCTGCTCGGCTCGCATGCGTGCTTGTCCTGGTGGAAGAGAGTAGTCTGATCCGGCTTGTAGAGTTGCCAGCAAGGATTCATTTGAACAGGCAGTGATAAATCGTATGAGAGCAGTAATGATGGATGAGTTGGTTGCCACGTGAGAGGGTACGTCTGTCAGAACTAGGGTTTCCATATGGGGAATGTGCGATGGATGGAGGTAGGGAAAGCGGCTTTCTTTCCCTCCTTGGAGTGGGATTGATTGGTTTCGTGGTCTTCTGGCCAGTAGTTCTTGGATTCTTTGTGCCCTGGGATCATCTGTCGATATTGGAGAGCTACATTGCAATGTCTGAAGAGAGGAACTGGTGGCCAGTGTATACTCTGACATTGAAATCGATGACAAGGTGTCTCCTTCCGTCGTCTCGGGGAATGATATTTCTGTCTCGGAACGGCCTAACATGGCATTGCCATTTGTGTTGCGTATTGGGACTGGGTGCACAACTTCCGGAGCAAAGGCCGATCCACGTCTGGCTGACGGTGGTTCTTCCTCGTGCATTGGCTCTTGAATCTTAGGCAATACTGGGGCCGGGCTTATTGACTCGTCGATAGACGTATCGGCAAGTTCAAAGACAGGTCGTGTGTCTTCTGGTAACTCATGAACCGCTTGCGCTGCATCCAATTCAGCAGCTTCGGTCACTTCGGCGTCATCCCCTTCAATGGAACTTTCCTGGGCTGGAAGCTCCGGTAAAAACTCCGCCACCGATGCAGCATCTTTCGATGGTGGTTCGGCAGTAAGGACTGCATGATGGGCTCGGAAATAGATCAAATTGTCTCCTGCGACTCTACCCAGAAGTGGCACCAATTTTTCCGCTCCTGGGTACTTCTCCCCAAATTCGAGGACCTTGCGTGCCACATCTGGAGTTTTGGGGGTACCAAAATCAAGAGCGTGCAGTCGCGAGGAGGCTAAAATACTTGCCACCCCTTCTATCGAAAGTAGATTCCCTGCGATGTATAGATGAGTGATTCCCGTATGAGGTAAATCCTCAACCCACGGGTGATATGAGACTGGTTGGGCGAGGAGTTTTATGAATTGCTCATCTAGATCTGGGCGTTTGAAAAGGTTTGAGCCAGATCCTTGGAGTATAGACTGGGAAACCGGGTCCGGGGAAGTCCCAGTACGTCTTGGTCTTGGCTGAGTTCTGCTATCTGGAGGAAGGAAAGAGGCCTGCATCAAAGAGCGAACTGCCATATCAGTGAGCATATTGTCCCTCAAATCCAGAAAACGGACCCGGTGCCCAATCGCATTGGCTAGGAATTCGGCGTCGTTGTCCTTTAAACCTATGCCGCGTAGTTTCAACACCTGGAGATATTCAAGTTGAGAGAGCGAACATAGAACGCTACGATCTCGCGCAGATGTGGTGTATGAGAGGTCAAGGTAGACCAGTGCGGGGAACAAGAGAAGAGTCTCCGCAAGGCTTGAGGAAGTTGTGTTTGGTTCACGCTCGGCCAACAATAGACGTATATTGTACTGGTTGGACCTTTGGTGATTTTTCAACGCGATCATTGCATGATGGTCGAAGAATGGCAGCTTTGAAACCATCAAAGATTGAAGGCATGGCAGGTATTCGAGGATGTCCCTCAACCAACCCGGTCGGGGACCACCATAGATTTCTGACAGGGCTGGTGGAAGATGAAGCGTATGTGTCATCGCTCTAACTTCTTGTCTAGCATATTTGAGGGTTCTTCTGAACCGAGTCAGTGCCACTAGTGTGTAATCAGAGGTGGTGTTCCGTTATATATATTCGGTTGACATACCGTAGACTGCGTCATTATCTGTACCGAAATGGGATGCTGGGTTTCCCCATAGAAAAGGCATAAACAGATTATGCCATCGATGGCAGACTAGAGTAGCTGCGCACAAATCGCTGGATGGGATATAACGAGCAATGATTGCCCAAGCATCTCTGTCCGTAGCGGATTCGTAAGAGGGAGGAATGAGGTCCATCTCTGTTTCTTCCCTATGCTCTTGAGATAGCGGCTAGGAGCCTGTCACTGCCATGTCTGCATCATTTAGAAAGCTGAACAAAGATAGATCAAACCAGCACTGGACTCTTGGCCTTGTACCCGACACAGCCACGTCGTTGATGTATGGAAGGTCCGTGCACGGGGCAACACTAAGGGCTCACATGGCACTTGCAGTTATAAGTCTATGTGTCGGGATTATTCACAGCAAGGTTGATTATAATTGTTGTCAATAGGGACCGCGTACATTCATTTCCAATATCTGAATATTCTATCTGTAACCGAACGGGGTGAGCACTATGACGTCACTATATAGACGGGGGCCATTTAGTAGAGCCCAGTGGCCCCATTTCCACCCAGGGCTGGGAAGCCAATTTGCTTAAGTAGAGCCTCTTGGAATGCTTCGTCCTTTGGCACACCAGAGGTAGCGCAGACGCCCTGTTCAACCAGTTCCATTTTGCGCAATTTGGCCTGGAGTACTGCGCAGGTATCGGCCCACGCACAAACATTGCCGGCGAGACCCTCAAACAACGCATACGGGGCATCTGGCATGCGGTAGTCTTTCTCAGGATCGGCAGTAGAGGTGTTGTATGGCCGAGTCTCACGTGCATGCATCATAAATGCAAGTGCACGCGAGAGGAAGGAGTCGCCTGTAAGCCTCTGGGACACGTCTGCATTTGGCAGCGCTAACAGCTGGGCGCGCTGGAGGTATGCCTCTCGGCCGTTATCCAAGTTTTTTGACGAATACTCGAAAGCGTTATGCAGGAGAAGCCATGGCCAGGCATTTCCTGAAATGCCGTGGCAGAGACTGCCTCCTTTGGAAAGCAGTCCTTCTTCCCAGACACGCTCAGTGCCCAAGTAGATGGCCTGGTCCCAGGACGGATCCCAATGGGCACGGGTCAAGGCGGTGTTTTTCAAGGCGGCAGCTAGAAGGATCAATAGGCCGGGGGTCCCGTGGCATAATTGAACTAGCTCAGAGCGTTGTCCGTAGCTGAAAGGAGGCAATGTCATTGGGAGATGGCCATTGGTGGAAATGGATAGCTTGCACAGTGCAGTGATGCTATCACCAATCACGGGAAGATGCTCGGCCAGTTCGTCAGGCTTAGCCGAGAGAATAATGGTCAGGATGCCAGCTAAATCACTCGGGTTAACATCGTAGAAGTAAAAATTTCGATGGCATACTCACTGATTCCATGGACCCTATCAGATATGGTTAGCAAAATATAGATTTGGCTAGAAAGGACAAGAGTCACTCACGCCCCAAAACAATAATGATCTTCCATCCATGCGTACATCAATGGATGTGCCTCTTGATCCCCGTTCTTATTAATGTAACTCTTCGAGCCCTGTCGCCCGGCATCGATAATCACGCGAATAATGTCAGGGATTTTACCCAGAACTGGAGTAAGGGCTGTCTGCGTTTTTTCATCAAAAGTATGAGCCCTAATATTGAGTAAGGTCCAAAGGAGTCCTGCTCGACCAAAAAGAATCTCGTCTCCGCCCATTTTGCGGCCATCATGGGCAACAAGAGGCTCGTTCTTCAATGCTATTTGCACAGCATCGAGAAGACAAGAAATATCTTCCACCGCGATGTTTGCTTTTCCATTTCCCCAATTATCCTTTGCAAGTGCAGCTAGAATACGCAGAGTAATAGCAGTCACAGGCGAAGAAGAGCCAATTGCTGACAACCGGGATGGTAGCAGAGGTGCCTCTGGCAAACCTGACGGAACTTGCTGCAGACCAAGCTGACGGTAGTCTAGAGAGGTCTCCTTTGTGTCTCCTAACACGGATGTCTGATAGTCCAAGCGCAAGAAGGTAAGGGCAATACCTGTATGGCTGGTCAGATCGCCTTTATTATAGAGAGAATGATAGCGTCTAAATACCTGGAAAAGCCCTAAATATGCCATGAGACCCCCAGGATTCAGGGAGAGGTGTGTTTTCTTTTACTTGTTCAGCTCCATTGCGAACAGCAATACGAAGTTCCTCCAGACTCGAGGCCAGAGTTGCCGCGTTTATGGTTGGTGGGGTCAAAGTGTTTGGGAAGAATTGGGGGCGTTCTGCCATGATGCAGGATTAAATAGAGCTGTCTGAAGTTGAACTGCTGGTATATGGCGTTCTTTGAAGCAAGTCAGATTCACTCTGCAGAATTGAAGCTTGTGGCGGGGATCTCGTTCCCCCCAGGAATCCGGGCCTAAGGCATCTTAGTATCTCTTAGCGCAAGATGATCTCTCAGATTGACCAAATGTCGGTGTCGAATTGGATCCACCATTTCTATACTAACCGAAAAAAGAAACATGCGAGATGAAGATGGTTAACTATGACATAGAATGAGGCCTGATTTGCGAGGCAGAACATTCATGCCTGAAGTGTTTGCCTGGGAAATGAATGAGTCAGCACTGAGTCAGTTAGGACCACAACTTCTCGACTCCGGACTCGAGAATACTCACGCGGTCCTCGAAGTGCGATCGAGGACATCCTTCTAGAAGCAGTGCCGAATGTCAGTGAACAGACCCCCCTGTCAAGTCTCTTTTCCTCCCTTGTCTTTTCTCCTATCTTGTCTCTTGTAGTCTTCTTATTCCTCTCGTATTTCACAAGGAATTGTCGGACATGTACTGAGATTTACTAACATGACATGCAGTGAGATCGGTAAACAGAGGCATCATGTCGGAGGTACATGGAGACTCAGAGCTGGTCTCATCAGGCCCTGAGCTTGACTACCCTCTTGCACTGGCTCCGCGACAGGTCACTCTACGAGACAGAGTGACAATTGCCACGCTTGTCCCTTTCGCCTCAGCAGAGGAAATACCCCGGGCCCTGCTGAAGTACCTCTCAGATCAATTCAACAAAGAAATTGAAAAGGGAGATACATATGCCATGACCGAGCCCATTCCACTGGCCCAATTTGGACGGTACTGGTTCTCTAATTTTGGTGTTGTCATGCTTCTGGGTGACATTGAGAGTGCCGAGCAGACACATACCATGGACCGCGCCGGTGCCAACTGGACCAAGCTTTGCCTTGGTGGCTTTCACATTAGGCCTAACTACCCTGGTCGTAGTAGCCATGTCTGCAATGGCACGTTCATTGTCACAGATGCTGCTCGAAACAAGGGTGTAGGAAGACTGATGGGTGAAGCCTATCTGGAATGGGCGCCCCGTTTGGTGAGTACTAATCCCAGCACTTTAATCCACCTTTCTGATTCCTGCAGGGCTACACATATGCTGTCTTTAACTTGGTCTATGAGTCTAACGTTGCATCATGTCGCTTATGGGATTCCCTTGGCTTCAAACGAATTGGACGTGTCCCTGGCGGAGGCAGACTCAAATCACAACCCGGAGAGTTTGTTGATGCGATTATTTATGGAAGAGGATTGAGTCTGGATGGCGAGGACTCCGTGTCTCAGGATCGATTCGAGAAGATTCGCTATTACTTAAAGCATGACAAATATCCCCGTGGTGCTGATCGAGCTGAAAAGAGTCGGCTTCGCAGTGCAGCGACACATTACAAGCTCCTTGGGGGCGAGGACGGCGAGCCCGAGAGATTGATGCTGAAGGACAAAGAGGTCGTATCGGACCCGCAGCAGCAGTACGACATCTCTCAAGAGGTTCATCTCAAGCAGCATGCTGGAATTAACAAAACCACGGCGGCTATTGCAGTCAAGTACCACTGGGTGCGAATCAAAGAGACTGTCAATCGGGTGATTCGTGACTGTCCACAATGCAAAGAAACTGTCAAGGCACCTCCTCTTCCCGGAACCAAGGAAGAAGATTCACCTCCTTCAGAGACTGTGTCGGAGAATGTGTCCAGCACCGAGGCCAGCCCAATGGAACCGCCCCCGACTCAGAATGTCACACCAGCGATAGACCAACAAATGGACCAACAGATGGAAGAAGCACCCGAACAACCTCCAACCCACAACCCTTTCATGCATCAACCCGTCTCAACAGCTGTGCCTGGCACAGTACACCCCATGGCTGGATTCGCTCCCATGCCCGTGGACCCTCAAATGATGCAATTGAACCAATTACGACGTTACCAACAACAAAACCCCATGGGCTCTTTTGCCCCTGGGCCGCACAATATGAACATGAACTTTGACGATGCAATGCGCTATCATACGGCCAGCAATGCCTATCAGATGATGGTAGACGATGGTTCAGATCCCTTCCGGGAAGATGTGCTTGGACTGGTGAATCCATCTGCACACGACATGCAGCATGATGCGGACTTACTCGCCAAGTACGAGTATGGGAGTCCATCAGAGGGAAATTATGACTTTACGTGAATAATCTACTATTACTTTCGGGAAGACCTTTGTAATCATTATCTTCTTATCCTTTCATTTCGGTATTTCGGTATTTCCTTTGGCGTCAAGACCTGGTCTGGGATATTGATATAATATTCCACCAGTTGGCCGTGGGCAGTGAATGTCTTATGCTAAACTCTGGGCATCATACTTCTTCCCGAAAAAAATGTGATCAAATCATTCATACAATATAATTTTTTTCGAGTAGTTTGTGTACTAACTTATACCTTTGATGCGTAGGGTTGAGCCTGATTGGTCACCGCCTTGCGCGACTGGGGGGTTTTGGGGGAACAGCTCTGGGAAATTTTGGCAGATCAACCCCTCCGACGCTCCAACTCAACATACCCCTTTTCTTATTTCTTTTCTTGTCGTTGAACGGTAATATCCGATTTCATAATGGCCTTTGCCGGCCAAACCCCCACGATTGTGGTGCTGAAGGAGGGTATGTGTCGTTCAGTGCGGGCAGTTTTGGTGGGATTCAGAGTGCTAACTGCTTTTTCGACATATAGGCACAGATGCTTCTCAGGGAAAGGGCCAGATCATCTCCAACATCAATGCTTGTGTCGCTGTGCAGGCAACAGTTAAGAGCACCCTCGGTCCCTACGGTGGTGATCTCCTGCTTGTCGATGCCAATGGCCGACAGACCATTACGAACGATGGAGCTACAGTTATGAAGGTGCGTCGAAATTATCGAACATCATACACCGGGCATAATGAAAGATAATTCTAACATTCGTCTGATAGCTTTTGGATATTGTGCACCCCGCCGCCCGCATCCTCACGGATATCGCCCGGTCTCAAGACGCCGAAGTCGGTGACGGAACAACCTCTGTCGTGGTCCTCGCTGGTGAGATTCTCAAGGAGGTCCGTGATCTCGTTGAGCAGGGTGTCAGCTCGCAGACTATCATCAAGGGTCTGCGCAGGGCAAGCGCCATGGCGGTCAACAAGGTTAAGGAGATTGCGGTGGACATGATGGACTCTTCGGTCACCCACGAGAAGAAGGTCGAGACACTAAGACGGTTAGCCGCCACAGCCATGAACAGCAAGCTCATCAAGCGGAATTCGGACTTTTTCACAAAGAGTGAGAGCCCCTATCCAGACCCCCCGAAGAGCTGCAAACGCTAACAGCAGTTGTGTTATAGTGGTTGTCGATGCCGTGCTTTCTCTCGACCAGGACGATCTCAACGAGAAGTTGATCGGTGTTAAGAAGATTACCGGTGGTGGTCTCCAGGACTCCATTTTCGTCGACGGTGTCGCTTTCAAGAAAACCTTCTCCTACGCCGGTTTCGAGCAGCAGCCTAAGCACTTCAAGAACCCCGGCATTGTGTGCTTGAACGTCGAACTTGAGTTGAAGAGCGAGAAGGATAACGCCGAGGTCCGTGTTGAACAGGTTTCAGAGTACCAGGCTATCGTCGATGCCGAGTGGCAGATTATCTACAACAAGCTCGAGGCTATTCACAAGACTGGAGCCAAGGTTGTTCTCAGCAAGCTGCCCATTGGTGATCTTGCTACACAGTACTTCGCGGACCGTGACATCTTCTGTGCTGGCCGTGTTGCTTCCGACGACATGGACCGTGTCTGCCAGGCTACCGGAGCCGCTACCCAGTCCACCTGCAGTGACATCCAGGAGCGCCACCTCGGAACCTGTGGTGTCTTTGAGGAGCGCCAGATTGGTGGTGAGCGTTTCAACCTCTTCTCCGACTGCCCTCTCGCCAAGACCTGCACACTCGTCCTGCGTGGTGGTGCTGAGCAATTCATTGCCGAGGTGGAGCGCAGTCTGCACGATGCTATCATGATCGTCAAGCGCGCTCTGCGCAACACAACCATTGTCGCCGGTGGTGGTGCTACCGAGATGGAATTGTCCAGCTACATGCACGGCTTTGCCGACCGCAACGTCCCCCACAAGCAGCAGGCTGTTGTCAAGGCCTTCGCCAAGGCTCTCGAGGTGATTCCTCGCCAGCTGTGTGACAACGCCGGCTTCGACGCTACAGACATCCTGAACCGCCTGCGTGTGGAGCACCGCAAGGGCAATGTCTGGGCCGGTGTGGACTTCGATAACGAGGGTGTCCGTGACAACATGGTCGCCTTTGTTTGGGAACCCAGTCTGGTCAAGGTCAACGCCATCCAGGCCGCTGTTGAAGCTTCTTGCCTGATCCTGAGTGTGGATGAGACGATAAGTAAGTGACCCGAGTGATCTTAACGTTTTTTAACAGAATTAACAATCCCACAGAGAACGAGGAATCCGCCCAACCTGGCCAACAGCGTGGTATGCCACCTGGTGCTGCCCAGCGGGCCCTCCGTGGCCGTGGCCGTGGTATGCCCCGACGCGGTTAAACGAGGCCGGGTACCCGGATGATGTTCGATGATATTTCTAAAAAAGATCCTAAGCGATGAATTCTCATGGCTTGTGTGTCACCAGAGTACAGGGAGAAGAGTTTGTAGACATAATCGGACTTATAGTCTTCCGTACATAGATCTACATGCAGATGATTTATCCAATGCATCTCAGGGCCAAGCCGATCCGCGCTCAGCCAGACAGTATTTGGAATAATTCCGTTATAGTTCATGTGTTATAACTTATCCCAAGTACGATCTATTAAATCTTGCATAGATCTAATGACAGCTGTCTCGCGAGCTGTAGACGTAATGAGTAGTTCCCAGTACGAGCCTAATAAGCGGCCACGACAGGGATTACTCGGGGTTGCCGATGCAGGTCAGATATAAAACCATTGCCTTCTCCTTCTCTTTTTATTTTAGTTTCTTGATAGAGATTCGTCTTTTGCCATTCATAAGCCTTATAGAGCCCTAACACGCGAACCTAGTAAGTGGCGAGTGTGACGATCTTTCGCAAACTTGCCTCGGCATTTCCCGTCCTCTCTTGTTTGATCTGTTCAAATCTCTTAAACGTGTGTGAACTGCTTTGTGCATTGTGAACCGTTCAAGGCTTGGCGCCCGTATTATCCGATCTGTTTTGCTTCGGATCTCCCTTACTCCACATCGCGTTCTCTCTTAATCAATCTTCCTGAATCCTCTCTCTACTCTCCTCCCCAAGGCGTCTGGACACAGAGAAATCCTGAAGTGATGTCCTACTATCCGCCTTACTCGGGCGCGCCGGGTTACCCCCCGCAGCAGTCTTATCCCCCGCAGCAGCAACAGTACCCGTACGATGGCTTCTATCTGATTTCGGCGCTGAACGTTCGAATAACTGACGTGGATTGAATCGCAGACCAATGCATCATCAACAGCAACCCTCTTATGGCGGGTATCCCGGCCAGTCTTATCACCAGGCGCCGCCGCCGCAGCAGCAGTCCAACCCGTACGGATACAGCCATTCACCCCAACCACCTCAGCAGCCATACGGAGCGCCGCCCCCGCAGCATGGATACAATGTATGTGATGAGATATAGACCAAGAAAACAGGCTTGGATCTGCGATATTGACGCCGACTTCTAGCAGGGTCCGCCGTCGGGTTACAGTCAGCACGCACCCTCAGGGCCACCAATGCAACAAGGAAGACCAGGTTCGTCGGGGTTTCGGGAATAATTACACGGTACAGACTAACGTATATATTATATCTCTAGCTTACGGACACCAAAGCGGTGGTCCCCGTCCCCCTCCCAGCAACCCCGTCGCCTTCGGCCACGGCGCTCCGCAAAATTATAGCTTCCAATACTCCACCTGCCGAGGCAAGCGAAAGGCGCTGTTGATTGGTATTAACTATTTTGGTCAAAAAGGCCAGCTGCGCGGATGTATCAACGACGTCAAGAACATGTCGACCTATCTGAACCAGACCTTCGGCTATGCTCGTGAGGACATGGTTCTCTTGACCGACGACCAGCAAAATCCAATGAGCCAGCCGACCAAGGCTAACATCTTGCGGGCTATGCACTGGCTCGTTAAGGATGCCCAGCCGAATGACTCTCTTTTCTTCCACTACTCCGGTAAGCACAATCCACAGATCGACCCGCCGCTAATAAACTGACAAATATATACAGGCCACGGCGGCCAGACACCCGATCTGGACGGCGACGAAGAAGACGGATGCGACGAAGTGATCTACCCAGTAGATTTCCGCGCAGCCGGCCATATAGTCGACGACGAGATGCACCGAATCATGGTGCAATCCCTCCGCCCAGGTGTCCGCCTCACAGCAATCTTCGACTCCTGCCACTCCGGCTCCGCCCTGGACCTGCCCTACATCTACTCCACCTCGGGAGTTCTCAAAGAGCCCAACCTGGCCAAGGAAGCCGGACAGGGCCTGCTCGGCGTTGTATCCGCATACGCGCGTGGTGATATGGGCAGCATGATGTCCACCGCCATGGGCTTCATCAAGAAGGCCACCAAGGGTGACGAAGTCTACGAGCGTAACAAGCAGACTAAGACTTCCCCCGCCGATGTCATCATGTGGTCTGGTAGTAAGGACGATCAGACTAGTCAGGATGCGCAGATTGCCGGCCAGGCTACTGGTGCTATGTCTTGGGCTTTCATTGCTGCTCTGAAGAAGAACCCTCAGCAGAGCTATGTTCAGCTGCTCAATAGTATTCGTGATGAGCTTTCGACCAAATATACCCAGAAGCCTCAGCTGAGCTGTAGCCACCCTCTTGGTAAGTTTTCTTTTTCTATCTGTGGAAGGCATGGGTTTAACTGACTTTTGAATCGCAGATACCGACATTCTTTATGTGATGTAATTTGGGGTAGCTGTATCTCTGAAGGAATTCTCTTTTTTTGTAATATCGTTGACTACCGCTTCGAGTTGCGGTTGATTCTAAAGCACAAACTGGCCTGTAATCCATTTATTCGTGCTTTTGTACATTGATAGCCTTGCACTTTCATATGCGCTACTTAACAAAACACTGTCAATTGTTCAACAAACAAGTTCAAAGTATATAATAGCCCCATCCTGCTAAAATAAGAAGCCAGAGAGCTTCGCAATATCACTGGCGATGATAGACTCTGAGCACCCCTGGATTTCAAACGAGTCTCCTGCCTACACCATCTACACAACTCATTGTACCGATCAGTTCTTATTATGACAGAGCCAATCATCAGCGTCCACGCATTGTACCTGGCGGTCGAGTTTATCATTCTCTACACATCTATTTGCAGAATATGTCTCTATCTACAAGAAAAAGTATCACTGGAGCCCAGGCTTGACAGCAATGACCTTCCTAGGTATCGGAGTTGGGGCTCTCCTTGCTGCACCAGCTGTCCCGATGGTAATGTACTTTCTCCACCATAAAATCATTCGCAGTCGCTTTTGAGGCCAAGACCGCCCAGATCCCGGAACAAGTCTGTACATGGGTTTGTTTGGCGCGCCAACCATTCCAACCTCTATTTCTGGATGGGCCGGACTGCCAGAGAGTCCATCAGTGTCTGGAGCCCGCTTGCCTTGTCGGTGCTTTTGGGCCTTGGGGTACTGTGTATCTTTGTTTCATCGTACAAATATGTTGCTGATTCGTTTGAGCTGCATGCTGCTAGTCCTCTCTCGAGTCTGCAGGTCCTGCGTCTTATTGCTGCGGGGGTGATGGCAATTATTTCGGAAATCATTCACCAAAACTTGGGTATTGCTTGGAATTTAACTGTTCTTGGCTATATTTCTTTAGATTTTATGCCTGTGCTGTTCGTATTGTACTGGGAAGGAGCGCAGGTGCGCGTTTGGAGTTGATATGCGCGAAGAATTGAAGGCCAGTAACAGTACATCCACGATGACAGTCAACCAGCGGTGTCTTGGTTGTATTTACTCCGTACAAATATACGAGACATTTATCAGAAATCGATAGAAAAATATGTTGACAGAAAAGATCTTGGAGTTTCTATCTGCAATATGTTTGGTCACGTGTATTGTGTCTATATCGCAACCGACGCGTTTCCGCCGCTTCAACTACGCGTCATATTTCACAATTTTTGCTTTTCCCTCAAATAAGCCACACCAGCTAGTACCAATGGGTGCTTTTTACAGGATAGAGAATAAAAATTACTGAAAACGGCCAACTGAATCCCCCGAATCCTTCAATCATGATCCATAATGTCCGTCATCTTTCGAGACAACCAGCCCCAGGCTATTTACCCCGGGGTGAGAATTGGTTTCATGAAATTCCTTTTTTGCCCCACGGATGGGAAACCACCAATGACCATGGCTCCGGGACCCTTAAACATGCCGCAATGAAAGCTCTGCTGAAAGACCAGTCGCAACTGAAGCCAGAGCTGTTCGAAATTGTTCCATGGCATCTAGCAAAATATCTCTGGGAATCTCTAGGCAAATGGTGGGTTATTGCTCTCACAAAGCTACCTACAGCCGATTTAACCATTCCTGTAGCAACAAGCAGACACTATACATGTGGAAACTGATGGCGACAATGTACCCTGCAGAATTTCCTCAAACCAGTCCCTATTACTGTCTAGGCACTGGTAGTCCCAGGGAGCCGCTCAAAGCATATATGGGAATGCTTAACAACAAAGACTTCCGCTGGCGAGCAGTCTTGACACTTGCATCCACATATTGCTCTCTGACAGATCTTTCGGGAATCCCAAATATCAAGAACCTAGTCGCTCTGGAGATTTGCTTGTCCCGAGGTAATCGGAGCCAAATGGACCAGGAGAATGTCACTAAAGAGCAAGTCTCTTTGCAAGATGGATCCGTGCGTGGTTGGGTCGAAATGTGGCAGTTCACCAGAGCTCTACAGCATCTCCGGGTCCTCCGAATCTACCACCAGCACGGATTGACCACTGCAGCTTTGAGATCTCTTTGCGAACTACCAGGGCTCCAGCTTGTGGTTGCGTACGCATGCGATAAGATTACACAAGAGATCTCAAGCCACCGGAAACCTTCAAACAACATACTCCCCATTGAAGGATGGTCGGCTAGCAGGCTTGACTGGCTACCAAAGGAGAAGGCACTGACAGATCTAGGGCCACTGCTAGATGTGTACAAAGCTAGTCTTGGAACAGATCCAGATGCGGATGGGCAACAAAAACAACCCTCGACATTGGTTACCAATCTCCCGATTTTGGAATTCCAACTTCCAACAGCCAATCACAACAATCCGGAGCGGGTGGCACAGCGTGCTATGTATAGGCCTAGGTCGATTGTGTTCTTCACTAGGGACCCTGCCATGCAGAAACTTGATCAGGAGAAAAAGCAGCGTGAGAGGGGAAAGAAGCGGTCTGAGCCAGTGGAGGGACCTAATCCCCGTGCCAGGAAGGCTGTTATGAAGGATAGAGGGAGAGATATCTCTACGACATTGAATGCATTTTTTTAATCCATCTTCCAATATAATTTGCAATTGAACTTTTTCTTCATTCACTCATTGGTGGTTCTATACAAAGTAGACCAAAGAACACGCTAAACCATTCTAGGCAACCCTTTGTGATGACATAAGTGAATGATGTCAGGTGCAATTGACAAATATTGACGCTGATTGGCTACGAACCAAACCCCGCTTAATCTGATCAACATCACCTGATGACCTCAATCAGTCAAGCAACGACTTGCATTTCGCAACTTTTTAATGATCCCTGCCTTTCGATAATCCCTCCAAGTAGGAGACATCATAACTCCATGGCTGACAACCAAATCCCAACCGAAGGGTCCGACGCCTCCTTGAACAACAATGACTCGGCCATTGCATCCTCGCGCTCCAGCACCGATTCCCGAACCTCCACACGAAATCTCCGCGTTTCACACATGCCCGCCCCGAACCACCAGCACAGACAAAGCTTGAGTGAATCCCTTCGCGGACCACCCGGATCTCCCCGAGCACGCCGGCAGCCATCCCTCACCCAATCAGCCATTCAGAGCCTCATCGACAATCCCCCGCCACCCAAGCCGAGTGACCCTGCGTTTATCGGCCGGGATTGGCGAGAGATCTCAATTGGAGAGTTGGTCAGCCCGGATGACCTTAAGTTTGTGGAGCTTGATACGGGCATTGAAGATGCTACAAACGTGAGTACATCAATGCCGATATGGTTGACTCATACTAACTAGTTCACTAGATCTTGATTGATTCCGGTGCGGCCGTGCTTTTGATCCGCGAAACTCCTGAAGCCACCTCTGCTGTCGGCACATTTGATTATGCAGATCTGAATTCATATCTCCTGCTAGCGGCAGGATTGACCTCCCCCGATGCAGCACACCTAGCATCTTACGAAGAGCTTGCCAAGAAGGCCCACGATGGTGTGCCTATTCCGCTACGAGATGTCAAGAAATTTGGCATGGAGAAAGAGCCACTGATCAATCTGCCTGCGTCGGCAAATGTGTTGACGGCTGTTGAGACCTTTGGTGGGGGTGTTCACCGCGTCGTTGTGGTCAATGAGTCCAACCCCCAAGAGGTGGTTGGAATCTTTAGTCAGTTCCGACTTGTTAAATTCCTTTGGGAGAATGGCCGGAGCTTCCCTGTCATTGAGGAACTCTACACCCAAGCTTTGCGCGAGCTGCGCATTGGATCTCAAGAAGTGATCTCTATCAAGTAAGTTGTTCACTATAACTATGCTTGCAGCCAGACTAACATCTATTTCTGCAGCGGCGACAAACCTCTTCGTGAAGCTCTACATGTCATGAATAATGAAGGCGTATCATCCATCGTCGTGGTTGATAGCCACATGAATGTCCTCGGCAACATTTCGACAGCAGACGTCAAGCTTCTGACTCGGTCATCTTCATTGCCGCTTCTTCACAATACCTGCACCCATTTCATTTCGGTCATCCTGTCTACACGAGGACTGATTGAAGGCAAAGACTCATTTCCTGTCTTCCACGTCAATCCAGGGTCGACACTGGCCCATACAGTTGCGAAGATTGTGGCAACTAAATCACATCGGTAATTCATATAACCCCAAACATCAACAGTATGAATATCTATACTAATTGTACTAGACTCTGGATCACTGATCCAATGTCCCCATCCTCCTCAGGACCACCAACCCCATCGCATTCTGCTGCCCACGTCCCTCTTCCCTCTAGCATAAGCCAGCCAGCTGCAGGATCGCACATCACAAACTCACCTCCAGCATCTCCTCTCCCTCCACCATTGACCCCTACAGCACAGCCCTCTCAATACATAGCACCACACCACCCTGCGCCTCCTCTAGCCTTCGCATCCACAACCCTAGGCTCTCATTCTACTGCAGGGGTGACCGCGCCGCCACCACTCACCCATTCAATTCCCGCTTCAGCACTAGATGGAGCCCGACTTTCTGGACGCCTAGTTGGAGTCGTGAGCTTGACTGATATTTTGAATCTACACGCCCGAGCTAGCGGACTGAGTCCAGCTGATCCAGCCGAGACTCGTAACCGCCGTCGACGCAGTAGCTCGTCGAGTTTAAGTGTTCGCCGCAGTGGTGATATTGGCCGGGAGCTATTCAGCCGCGGTGGTATGTAACGAAACATTCCAAACTTGTTTGAACAATTGTTCTCGTGTATGCTGCAGAGAGAAGTCCACTCGTTATGTTCTATGTTAAATTTTACTATGGACCACACGCCCGCATCAGTCATGAATCGTTGTCACAGATTATGAAATTGCGTTTCGTGGGAATCCTTCGTTTTTCAATTTTACCAGCGGACATGATTTCCTTGTGAATTAGCATTACGAAATACTCTTTCAGATCCCTTTCTCTATATGTGCTACATGCACTTTGTTCTCTTTCGATTAGAACTCCCCAATTTTGAGTCTTCAATTTGCCGAGCATCAAACTCAAGAGGTACAATTATGCACTTCCAGCGAAGATCGACGCACCGGACAAAGCCGAAACCAAACCATGTCTTCACAGAGATCAGATGCCGATCCCATGACTAGCCAACCCCCACGCTTCAACACGGACATGAAATGGCATTTTCCCAAATTTCACTGTCCAAGTTAGATTCACAGTTTACGCAAGGCATACCAAATCCGGCCTCGGCCTTCGGGCTTAGGAAACTACAAGAAAGCTACCCGGAAAACTTTTCCCTGGGATCGAATCCAATACAATTTAGAACCTCACTGTTCTATCTGTCCCATCCAGATCATTCCAACGGCACCCTAAGCACCACACACGCAACACTATCCACCACATCCACCCTACACAAGCACAGACCACACCAGTGGACTACACTAATCGCAGATCATTGCATTTACCAGTAATTATCCTGAGAATCCCAGCTAAACCTTGTGATTCCCGATCTCCGAGATTAAAGTGTCAGATTGGCTTCAATTGTGAGTTCGATCGGGGCGATCATTTGTTGATCTTCCTTGGCGGATGACGTTGCTCGTTTGCGTTTGACTTTGGCTTAGTGATTAATTATTCAACTGCTACATGTGATTTGCAATGTACCGGCATTGTTACATTTTTGGTTGTGGGATTTGACTCGCTCGTCAGATTTGGAGGGCTTCACAGTCGGCTTCGCCGGATTAGGAAATTCGTTTCGTTCCGAGTTTGCCTGATGTGTCGATCTGGGAGTGAGGTATGGAAATGGTTATTGATTATTCTGCTTAGTGTTTTCTTTGGAAATTGTTTTGTAAGAGTAGTCAGTTCAAGGTATCTTTAAGCACGAAGGATGATGATGGTACTTGAGGCTTGGAGCATTTACTGACTCATATCTGAGCTTTTTCTACTTGGCGAGAAATTCCACGTGTATTCAATTTCATCCACATATTGCAATGTAGGCAAAGAGAACAAAGAAATACGAGTTTTTGCTAACAAAAACATCAGTTGTTGGATCCCTTGGACGCAGGGTGTATTTCCGGGGAGAATGACTAGTTCCTGAGTCAAGATTTGTATAGTCTAGGATTTTCTCCCCGAGCCCAATGTTCAGACACCGTCACGATCTGGTAGGAATTCCAAATACAATGCCTGACTTTGATGGAGTCTACCAAACATAGTTCAATCCGATCTCAAATATCAATCGACTCTGATGTCAACGCCGACTGTACGCGAACTATCTCCTCTCCCAGCATCTTTCATCATGTGCTTTCCAGTCGTACGTATCAAATCCCGAAAGGAGCGCAATTCCCGCGAGTGATATCACCCAGTACAAACATCCCTTTACAACGTCTTTGCCACAAACATGGCGAATCCCACAAGCCCTCATCTAGATACAGCAGATAAGAAAAGACCAAATGAGAATATCCACTCACATTCCCTGCTAAGATCAAACCAGCGGTTCACAAAGTCCCTATCGCCAACACAAATCTGATAGGCAAAACCAAACTCCCAAAAATACGAACGCGAAACCAAAGCCCCAAAAACGCCAGCCAAGCCTAGGCCTACATCTGCATACCAGAAATCCGGGGAAACCAGCTGACCTTCCACGTAAACTAGCACAGCTACCTCGCCTCCCACGAATCTGGTTCTCGCAAGCCACGTCCCACACTTCATGGACCAGTCGGAGGGCCCGCCCAGACTGGTGGGAACGTACGCCCTGGGATATCTGACTTGAATGTTGATGTGATTGGGTGATCTATTACAGGAATTTATCCCAGTCATGGTCGTGAGAGGGGGTGAGCAGTTTTCTCTTGTCTGGTTTCTGCTCGTTTTTGTGGATCTTGAGTCAGGATTTAGAGGGGCTGGCGGGAAATGTGATATGATATGACATGACATGATATGAATGTGAGATGATGGGGTCTAGATGGATTTCCAGGACCTTGGTGCTAAGGCTGTCTTTACTACTGTGCTTGTCTTTGGCAGAAGAGTAAAACCAAGTATTGTTTGGTCGAGACGTATGTCTAACAGTGTACAGTGGATATCTTGTAATGAACTGCTTTCCCCCTCCGATCATTGCTGTCTTTATGAGATCATATTGTCAGGTTATTCTTCGAACAAGATATCTAGTCTTCGAGGCTGTGAATTACCTTTCGGTGGGTAGATATCTAGAACAAAGAGCATCATCCGAATCTCAATACTCTAGGGCTTACAGAAGATATATGCCTCCGAATAGTCTGTCCTGACTAGGAGGAGGCGATATGGTGCCCTATTCCAGCAAATGTGCCATTGGTTTCGTCGCTTGGCCTTGATGCCAAGAAACTGGAGGAAACTGACAAGTGGCGCCACCTGAAGTGGATCCTCCCGTCGCCTTGGCGAACCTTTTCAATAGAGCCGCGGGGCTTCACAGTTCGGCTAAATGTACACCAATTCCAGCGTCCTGACATGAGCGATGCTCAAAATCGGGATATCGCTTATGAGATCCATATTCAGATACTGTTAGACTTGGCAACTCACAAAGTGAATATTCGATCTTCCTATACTTTTTTTTTTTTTTTCATGGAGCTGCGACATCATTGAACTGTTTCTCTGGAGAGATGAAATGAAAATATTTTATTTACATTACCCGGACCAAGGAATGCATTCCCACAGGAAGGAAACCTCGGTATTGCTTTACAAATGTAGCAGCAAGCAACGTGTCTTTTGTGGAAGACTTGGCTATGTCTATGTCGCTTCTCAAGCAGAGGATGATATCTTGTTTGGTAGCGAGATGCATTCTTGAGCCACCAGACCTAAGTAATCTCAATGCCCAGGTAGGTATGCAGTACAAGGAGCACTGAAAGCACTGGGCGAACAGTATTCGTAGGATTTTTACACTGGATATTGCGTGGTGTTCAGCTATCACAGTTCACCCTACGTTCCCTTGACACAGCACCTGGTAGACCCATGTGTTGACAGAGCATGGCACAATGTAAGATTAAAAATCTACCGTCATTGCACATCACGCCATTTCCACTTATGAAGCCTGTGGCAGTAAGAACGACAGCAGTCCAATAATCTAGTTTCACATGTTCATATTTAGCAACCACATAATCAGAAATATGGAAATCCAAAACTATGCAGCAAACTATAATGATCACGTGTGAGCTGATTCGAGCCAGACTGAGAATTACCCAGACCATGGCACCCCAAAGCGGCAATTCAAACCTACCTGGCAAGTCAGTCGAGCTATCTAGCTCTATACGACCGCCTAGACAACAGCAACCACCAAATAAAGCCAATCCAACAAAACCACCTCAAATCCGACCATTCTAGCCTCACAGCGCAAAAATATCCCACATTAGGAAGATGGATCGTAAGCCCCAACACCAACAAAACGCAGGTACGCAAAACCGACAGGCAGGCCCAGGTCCAAGCCAGAACCTACGAATAATAAGCCCCATCCACCAACGACAACTGCACCCTGCACGAATCGCCGATCAGGAAAACCAGGGTGTAGAACGTGATACCCAATCACCAGCTCGAACCACGACACTCCCAAATCCAATGCCCGTTTGACGTGCCCGTGTAGGACCAACGGCTCGTGCGGCAACCCCCACGCCACAAAACCAAAACCGCCAAACCAGTCGTTGGATATCTCCCGACGAGGAAACTGCCCAAAGCCCGACAACCAGATCCACAGTTCTGGTTCCAATCAGGCTGTTGCATCGGTGCACGGGGTCTGGATGTGCAAGACTGGATCGGACCCGAGTGGGGAACCGTGGCTTAGGCCGGTGGGGATTGTGGGTCGGTGAGGGTTCAGGCGAGACTGGACTGGATTGGACTGGTACTGGGTATTGAGTACGGGGAGGTTTTTGTATAGTAGAGTATTCTACTCGGGGCTTCGTTTCTTGTTTCTCTGTAGTCCTCGATTGAGTTGGGTGATTCTCGATACAGCATGCACGCCTGGTATAGGTTATCGGGCCAATCGGGGCACCTGGTGGATTCCAAAGCTGCAACCTTAACCCCGCAATCTGGGATCTTCTCTGCAGCTCGCCCGATTCGGCCTTTTTGGCTTTTTAATTTTCCTTTTTCCTTTTTTTTTTTTTTTTTTTTTCCCGCCCTGGGTCACTTTGGGGTTTGTCTCTTTATTCTGGTTACTGGCCTGTCAATGCGATGGTTTACTGCATTGCCTCATTTGGTATACTTTTTGCTAATTTCTGCCTTTCCACAGGTCGTAGACTACTAGCCTTGTACTACAGGCGAAAATGAAGGAGATATAGCTTTGAATGTGGAAAAGGAATCATCGATCCTATCCTGCACGATCACCGTTGATCCAGGATGCCGGGAACGCCTCATCACTCATACCCCCCAGGAGCTAGGCTAGCTACCCAGCAACGTCATCACGATCCTTGTAATCCTGCAAGTCCAACCTACACCTTAGATCATTTTTTACATATCACATCAACTCCAACCCCAATTCATCATTCCACAGCAATGAATTAATAATAGAAACAAGAACCGCCCTCAGCTTCCAAAACCTAGTACGCAACCATAGAACCCAAGAATAAAGCACAAGACCACTTACCACGAAAACAATAATCAAAAGCCAGGGGAGGCAAAACGCAAGGCGCAAAGTTCACCTCCCCTCCCGCCAAGAAAGGGTTCAAAAGTGCCTTTTTTCCACACTGCCCATCTGCTGGTCTGGAAACATAAGATCCTGGATGACATATGCGTGACAAATAAAATAAACGGGTCTATTCCACGGTCTGTCTAGTTCTAGAGTAGAGAAGCTCTGGTTTGATTTGTGATGTATGGATGAAATATACCTCATACAATCTCCAAGGCAACATTGTGTTCTTTCTCACAGTAACTTAACGTGTGAAACACATTTCACGGGTGTGAGTGGGTATCCCTAGCTCAAAGCGGCGCGAACGTCTCTCGTCAGACTTACATGTCGATGTCCATATCCAGTGCACGTCCACGTTAAAGCAAGAGTTAATTATTAAAGGAGACAAACGACCAACTCTTATTGGAAAATAGAAGGGAAAGTAAATCAAATCACTCAATAAGAGTGGGGAAGAAACCCGCTCCAGCTACAGCTGGAGCTGGAGCTGGCTACGAGCTACCTGGCACGGCCCGACAAGATAGAAATCCGGGAACGAGACTGAGACCGAGAGTAAACTACCCACCGAATGATCGCGCTGGGTTTTACCCAGCGAGCATACAGTTGCGTCGATCTTGTGGAGAAGATCACCGGATTAGGGTGTGGACTTGATGTTTGCGGGAGGGTCGATGTAACGTCGATCATTGTGGGACGGGGATAGACCAGGGCGAGAACTTCATTCTTTGGATGTACTGATTTCATTTGTGGGCTCATGTCACTGTGCATAGAGGACATTCATGGCAGAGGACGAAAAAAAAAAAAAGAAAAATTCAAAGAAAGCAAGAAGGAAAGGGAAAGAATAATCTGGGTCGATCGAGTACCCCATGGCAGTTGTTTAGATTCATAGAAAGCAAGTTCGAATATTAAATGAGAGATAAAATTGAAAGTATGATACAGGAGCGAATATACAAAGCCACAAAAGTATCAAGCCGATATACAAAGAAGGAAATCAAGTATGTTAAAGAGAAAATAACTACCTGGGTATATCAGGTATCACAGATCGTAATGGGCGTAAGAAAAAGGAAATGGGGAAGAATCAACAAGAAACGCTGGTAAACTCGTCAACAGCGATAAAATCGTCAAAACCAAAGGGCTCGCGATCAGAAAGCGGCACATTCGAGTTCCCCAAGTGTAGCGCAAATTGACTGAAGTCCGAATAATCCGCGTCCATGCCCTCATTAGAAACCATAATACCATCGCTGTTTCCATCTCCATCCATCTTGACAGGGGCAGGCATGGATGGCATCGTCATCTGAGTAGTAACAGCAGTCGGCGACATGGGGCTGTGAGGGGTAGGACAGAAATCAGGAGTAGAATGTGTCTCTGCAGAGAGGGCCTCGATCCTCGGGGAGCTGGCGCTCGACGCTGGTATGGCCAGGTGCGTACTTTGGGTGAGGAGGTGGAGGTTGTGGAAGTTATTGCTGGGCTGTGACTGGCCGCGCGAGTGGCCCAGGGTTGGGCCGTGGCCGTGGGCACCGGCACTTGGGGTGGGGCCAGAGATCGACGCCGAGGGCGCGACCCGCGGAGCTTGGTGCAGAGGCAATTCGGGCGCGGAGGCTAGTCGGTCTCTGAATTGGCGCTGCATTTGGATGTCTGGCACTGTTTGCTGCATCATGCTTTGCTGCCACATTTGCACTTGGTCTGTGGGGGTTTGGCCTGGGGTGGGGACTTGCTGTTGCATGGCCCAGTTTGGCATTTGAGTGTTCCATGCTGGGGTGGTGGCTTGCTGGTTCACGTACTCCGGGATTTGGGCGGAGTTGGGGCCTGAGGGAGCCACAGAGTATGGGGCCTCCGAGCCGGGCATGCAGGCCATGTAGGAGTTGGCGCTGTTGTCGAAGGATGCTGTTGGTGAGAGGATGTAACCATCACTTGTTGCCATGGGACTGGCCATGGAGCTTGAATTTTGCGAGAAGGACGAGCGGATGTTGCTCAGGTCTAGGCTCATTTTGCGGGGGCCGCCATCTGCGGATGGGCGGGGAGTATAAGTGCTCGCTCGTCGATTGGCGATTGACCCATTGGGAGTACGACCAAAGGCTGCGATCAGATGGCGGTGGAACTGTTGTTCGATCTGCATGTTCTGGGCTTGCAGCATACGGATACGCTTCTCTGCATAGCGCTCGTCGACCTCTTCATACATGGCTTCTCTCTCGACAATCTCCTTGGTGATGTGAAAGCCCTTGCCTGTACGCTTCTTGTGCAGCATAGAGGCCCTGTTGGCCGATTCTAGCCGTGCATCCAGACTGCGATCTTTTCGCCGCGATGCAGCGATAAAGGCTCTGGGACATGGTTAGCGAGGCTATCAATTGGATAGTATAGTACATACCTCTCCTGATTCTCCTCCCGTGAGCGGGGAATAGGGGTAATGTCGGCGTCCATGTCGAAAGGCAAGTATAGAGGTGCAGGAAAGAACATACGGGGGGGGAACACCTTAAATATAGAGGGGCAGGTGTCAGGCCCTCTCCAAGCTTAGGGCCAGAACCACGGATCCCAGACGATCATAGTTTGGGTACTAAAAAACCTTCGGCCTCCGCGATCCATGGTTGGCTTATTTCCCTTGACTTGCGTTCCCATAAATCCCCCCCAATACGAGTACCATTCACGGGCCTCCCTGACCCGGATACCTCTTCCCGTGCAGGTAAGCTACAGACATACACCCGTTTTACCTGCTTTGGGTCTAGACTTCATTTTTTATCATATGGACTTGGAAGTGGGGGGGTTACTCCAGTCTCCAGATCTTTCATGTTACGTACGCCCAAAGCCCTGCAGATCAAGCGTTAACCGTTGATCCCTGCCCGTTCTCACTTTTCCGTTACTTTTTTTTTCTCTTTTCCCCTGTACACTCACTTATTACTTTTTCTCCAGAGACAACCAGTGCTACTGTCGAGAGGGTGTTCTGGCACACGTGATGGCCGGATCAGGCATTCACCTGGGGCCGCACCTTTCACGCAATGTTCAATAACCTGAGGCATTCTCCGTATCGTTTGGACCTGCGTCATCTCCGATCTGATCTGTAGTTTATTCTGCCGGAGATATGCATCGATCGACGATCTTCGGCGGACAGCGTTCGGCCATTTACTTTACGACCGTCACCTGCCTAGAAGAGTAGTGAGCGCGAGTCTGAAGTAACGGATCCATTCTCATATTCTGTCTCACGGCATTGCCGAGGGTTCTATCTCCGTACTTCCTACTGGTGAAATCTCGGGGTATCTTCCAAGGCAACGGCCATTCGGCAAGGTTCTCCACTTGCACCGCCACTGGCATCAGGAGATGTTGGACCTGCAGTATTGACGCCCGGTCTACCCGAAGGTTTAGGCCTGGAGTATGTGCTCGGGGGTCGATTCAACTCTATGTACGAGCACGGAGTCTGTTCTACAAGTCAAGATCGGGTATCCCGGTGGTAATTTGGCAGCCCTGTCAGATAGAGCTATACCTCGGGTTTAATAAGCCCACTCATCTCAACTGCCTAATACAGCCCCATAGCCAGAGAACAACAACGCCATATGGAAGTCAAACAGCCTTTCTCCAAGTCTCTCGACTCGCCACCGGTCTAGCCCTCTTATCGCTTATCGACCGGCCGAAACTAAGCCCCTTTGGGCAGTTGCCACTTGCCCTTCACATACAATTGTGTAGTCCTAACAGTTCGAAACCCTTGATGTTCTAGATCTACTCGTTAAAGAAACCTTTACTACTTTATGAACCTCAATTAACTAGTGGGGGCTCGGCAAACAACCAGATCGACCCCATCGGTCTTACAACGCTCATAGTTCTCGGACTCGATGCATGCACTACGCCGCCGTAGACGGTTAATAGGTCGAATGTGGCTCCATCTGTCTCAAATCTGTTGAGCATATCGCTTGACAAATACCTTCGTAATAATCCAGCCACATGCTTAGGCCATGTGAAAATAGACAGCGCTGTTTTCATTGGCTCATCCTATCTATACAGGTCTCCAGTATCTCAGCTGAACTAAATACAGGAACTGGGCTATCATCCAGCAACACCCTCGGGATCGAAGATAGTGGACTGTCAAAGCAGCGACAGCCTCTCGTGATGTGCCGTGTCGACAACAAACCATACACCACATTTCACACCGCTCTGTCCAAGCCCAGGTCTCACCCGCACCAACTAACCAACTAACCTCCAACAGGACAATCCCCCATCGAAACCCTCTACCATACTGCTACTCCATGTTCTAATCCCTAGGAACCTCAAAAACCCCCCTCACAAGCCGATCAATCTCCCCGATCCCAAGCCCCCCCAAAGCCCCAAGAATCCCATCAACAACCTCATCCCCCAACCCCTCTCCCCGTCTCGAATAAACATCAATACCAGCAGGCGTGAAAAGCGTCTTCGCAAAATACGTCACAACCCACTCATTCCCATCATCAACCCTTCCAAACCCAAGAACCTCCCAGTGCGAACTGGCAATAACCAACCACCCTTTCCCACGCCAATCCCACGCACCAGGATCGCCGGGCGTGGGCGTATCAATCCCATGCACGGATTTGATTTTTGGGGAGTTGACTGCTTGGTACTCGACTAGGTCGTCGATTTTTGGTACTCCCCCTGGGGAGGATGGGGGCAGGGGTTTGTAGCTTATTTTCACGTTGCGTTTGTTTTTCCAGAGGGGGAGGCTGGTGTGTGTTACGTGCCAGGTGCCTGTTAGGAAGGCGTTTGTTGGTGGGGTGCATTTTTGATGGGTAGGGGTTGTTAGGGCTTTGGGGGGGGCCGATTGTTATGTTTGTCATTTGGGAGTGGTATCCTTGGTGTACTGGTGTGAGTGTGAACGCGAATGTGAATGCGATGGTGATGGTTGGTGGTTGATAGGGGTTCGTGATAAGGTACGCGCTGGATGATCACTACCCGATGTGGGGTGTCAACAATATCTTGTCAAGGATATTGGGGATTGACTACTAATCTATGGGTATGTTTTTTAGTTGTTTTAGTTGTTCTTATATTGCATGAGATTGTTCGGTGGTGGTAGATGTAAGTCTCAAGTAGATAATAGAGGGGCAAAATAATTTATACAGAAGCTTATGCATATCTGAAACAAAATGAGGGGGGGATATGGTGCAAGCTCCATCATCCCTGTTATTATGCGTTGGCACTATGCTATTTAGTTGCATACATAGCGTGCCAGGGCCCCGCGCCATCGAGGTCCACGGAAGTATACAGGACATCGGGAGCCGTGCGAGGTACAACAGGGCCATTAATTAATTCACAGTGCCATGAGCATCGAGACAAATGTACTTTTTGATGCGTTATCTATGCCTTGAACTTGATCCCTCTTTTTTTGGCCATTTTTGAGTGCTTTGAATTGATCATACATGAGACGTGAGGGCTGTGAAAGGACTCATGGCCAAAGATATTGACTAGGAGGCTTGGAGGTCAGCCGTCTTGATATGGAAGTACATGGATGACATGAGACTCCATTGCTTTTCACATGGCTTTGAGATAAACAGGCGCGAGTGTGACCCCACTGACGAGGTCTCAGTATGAATCATAATCACTGCCAAGGGTATGTTAATACACACATCGTTAACGAACCAAGAAATGGGCAATCAAAAGAATCTGAAGATTCTGAACTTATGAGAGGGGTGTTCCAATGCTGGACAAATCAAGAAACAAAGCGATACTATACCATGCATGATGTGCAGTATAAACACACGTACGGTACAGCCACAGCCACAATCCCAACCCCAGACCCACCACATCAACCCGACCCACAACCATGATACCCAAGTCCGGAGAAAAATCGGAATTACAATGTTCTTCTCCTCGGGCTCGGCAAGCAAAAGGTATACCCGGCCGATCAATCCGATCAAATCAATCAATCCGTGTCCCTTTTGTCCCGCCGCCATAGTATTCGCCCGATGGCTGAGTCGGAATACCGAAAATGTGATTTGATCGTCATGGTCGCATGCCTAGAAGGAACTAAGTTTTTTCTGGGGAGGCGATGGTGGCGAGACATTCATCTTTCTCCGCGGATTTGATCTGATTTCTAATCTTTTGGGTTTGGGGTGATATCGGTGATATGGATGCTGTGGAATCTTCTTTGCCATGTTTTGTGGGGTGTTTGTACCGGGTTACTTGGGTAGGAAGGTGGTGTGGTAGGAATGGGTCGGGTTTGGAGTAGATGAGGCCTTATGTTGGGGTTCAATAGGACCGGTACTTACTGACTTTTTAGCGATATTGGCGTTTGAATGTCGATATGGAGCATCTAGCAGAGCATTTAATGTAACGAAATCACTCAACATTTCCCTTCACTTTCCTCGAATGAGTAAGTAGTGCAGGGAATGAAATCTTAATCTTCTTTATAAACAGCATGAATAACGGACGCTAAAGTCTCAATGGGTGGGAAGCCAAATGGGGGAAAACACATCAAGAGCAGGGGGAGATCGCCGAGAGGCTAATGAAGCGCAGCCCGTTTCAACGCAGGAACCAGAGAGAATCACACAGCAATGCAGCATCTAAGCATGATGCTGTCTTCTCGGAATCTCCGAGCTTACTTCGGACCGCTCTGGTCCTGAAAGGCGGATCTAGCTAGAGCAAGAGACTAGAGAAAGACCTGATTTTGGGTCTTCATTTTTTTTGTCTAAGCGATGCCCAGAGGTGGTACCATGCCCTGTTCCTCGCGGGCCTCGCCTCCAAGCTTGTAAGATACCTTGAATCGGATTTTCACCGAGTTGCCCTTTCCTGCATCGATGCCGTCCATGAGCATTTCTTGCTGGACACCGTTCTGCTGTCCAGGCGCAATGTCTCGACCGGATTGCGGGCGGAGTTGTAGAGTGTAAGACTATTCATGGTTAGCAATCCACTATGAGAAATGACAAAGACATGAGCCACAGCATACCTTCTCCACAGCAACCTGGAAATGGAGTTCTCCAATGGGTTGGCTGCTTGGGTTTGAGAAAACAGCCACAACGTGAACTTGCCGTGGCTGATTTGGCACTCTGCGCGCAGCAAAGTCAACGCGAAGCTCAGAGTTGAGAACCTGGATCTTGTTTGTTGTAGGGAGTGCATTGCTGGCTGGCAGCGAAGATGCGAAATCCCACTCATCATCAACTTCTGCCTTCGCGGCCTGCCGCGCCGGCTGTGGTGACGTACTGGGACCTCCGATTAGGTCAAGCAAGGACGATGAGGCCAGAGCTGGGCGGCTTTGCGCGGAGGGCGGTTGGAATGGACTTGATCCAGTTCGAGGACTGGCAGAGACGAGCGATGCAAATGGATCGCCTGATGGTGGAGTTGCCGTGGATTGAGCTTGGGGTGAGGCCCCCATGGCGGGTGTTGGGGATTGAGAGACAGGTCGCGAACTGTTCATGGAAGCAAGGATATCATAATTAGGTTTGAATGATGCTGGTGTCTGCTGAGGCTGAGGCTGTGATGGAATAGGCGGCGTTGAGCCTGCCGACATGGAAGGGTAGTTGTCTGCAGTCCGGTTAGTGGCAGACTTTGATTTGAGATACGCATTGCTTACTGGAAGATCCAAGTGTGATACCACCGCCAGGAGAGGGACCTTGTTCACCTAATGAAAGGCCAAGCAGATCATTCTCCAAAGAGCTACCACCCTGAGATGGACCGGCCTCGATATCGTTCGAGCTTGGTTGAGGCTCTGGGTCAAAGTCGATAAGAGAGAGCTCATTGTTGGCATTTGTAGAGACTCCAGTCGTGGTACCGAGTGTTCCCTTGGGAATCTTAGATGCGGCATCCAAGTCGCCCTTCTTGACGAGCTTGTACCGCTCAATTGTGCGGTGTATGCTGTCGTTAATCTCCAACAACTTGTGAACGGCCTCGGGGTCATCCGATTCCTCTTCGCACATCTTCTGGATCTTGGGATGAGCACTTTGCAGAGCATTTGCAAGTTCCTAAACAAGATAGGGATGTTAGTGTCAATACAATTGAGCAATGGCTTGAATTCACGACATCACGCACCTCGAAGACGTCGCCTTCCGGAAGAGCTTCACCCGGCTGTTGGTTTTGTAGCATCTCTTCCAGAATTTTAGCCTTTTGCTGCACCTTAGATACTTCTTCGGCAGCCTTTGCCCGATAATCAGTCTTGTGCCGATTGTCGAAACCAGCCATGACCTTCATTAGCCGGTTGGCTTCCTGAAGATCGGCAGGAGTGCCCCTGCGAATCAGCTCTTGGAGCTTGGCAGATTGCGCCTCCTTCTCTTCCTCCTCCATCTCATCAGCCGAGCGGAGATTCTAAAGCTATTAGCTCAATGTTGACATCACAACAAGATTTGGGACATACATCACTCGGGTTCAAGACAGCAGCATCCTCTCGGCGTACCTCCGGGAACATGTAACCCTTGTACAACAAGAGACGATGCATATCCCGGATAAATCCCAAGTCTTCCTTGTAGCGCGATGTTTGGCAGATCGTCTGTCGCCACTCCTCGATCGATTCCAGGATGCGGTGCTGGACGCGGGAGGGTCGCATAGGCGGCCGCTCGGGGAACCTGCGAACCAATTCATTCAGGAATTCCTTTGTACTGATCTGTAAATGGAACGGGTATCCGCAGTTCTTGACGCAAATGTCGAGTAGCTATTGCCGGTCAGTCTCCTTGCGCCAGCTGTCATTTGAGCTCCCCACGTACCGCCAAGGCCAACAACGCGACGTTCTGGTTTCGGGAATTGATAAGATGGACGATGTCAAATGCGGATTCTCGAGGTCTAGGAGAGAGGTTATGAGTATGCGCATCCCTGCCAACGCGGATGTCCAACTCACGCATTGCCTTTCTTGGAGTTGATTAAGTCCGCAACTTCAAGGTTCAGGGCCAAGTTGGGCTCGTAGTTCTGGGGATCGCATGCATTGCCTGTGAGAGATCAATATTAGCTTATATCCTGCTGTCTTCCATCCATTTCCTGGTCAACACTCACGAATTGCCCGCTGCAGCGGCGAAAACGCCGGCTCAGGGTAGGCCCCGAAGCGGTCCCTAGCCGCCATTCGTGCTGAGGCAGCCTCCAGGATGCCGGTGGAATAGGAGATAAGAAAAAAGATTGAAGAGAGAGACGACGTGGGGGAATGTAATCGAGCAATGCGAGATGTGTACAATGATGGGGGGGGGGGGGGGGCTGAGGCGGGCGGAGAACCCATTAGTTTGCACGTGTGGCTCTTGTGCTTGGCCTTGATCTTTTTCATTTCTCGCGACGCTCGACAGATTGTTTCAATATAAGTCGATTGACACTTACTCCTCACATACAATGGTCCGCCACAAGAAAGACAACTTCTCGCGAGGAGGCAAGAAATTCAACAACCCCCGCCCAAAGTCTGTGCCCCGCGGCAATGAAGACGCTGAGGGCGCCATCTCGTCGCGGCCAGCATACAAGGCTGCTTGCTGGGATATGGGACACTGTGACCCCAAGCGATGCTCTGGCAAGCGATTGATGAAGCTGGGATTGATGCGAGATCTCCATATTGGCCAGCGCCACCCCGGCGTAATCATCTCGTATGTTTCGCATCGCATTTTTTGCTTGGCTCACATACTAACGGGCCACGGCCAGTCCAAATGCCAAGCGGATAGTTTCTCCTGCAGACAAGGAGCTTATGGAACAACACGGTGCTGCAGTGGTCGAATGCTCCTGGGTGCGCGTCCAGGAAGTGCCTTGGTCGCGGATTGGCGGAAAGTGCGAAAGACTTCGTATGTGATACAGTCGGACAATTACAGGGTTTTTGGAAGCTAACCATTCTGATGCATAGTTCCTTACCTCATCGCAGCCAATACGGTCAACTACGGCAAGCCATGGCGTTTGAACTGTGTCGAGGCACTGGCCGCCTGCTTCGCTATTTGCGGTCGTCTAGAGTGGGCTGAGGATCTTCTCAGACATTTCAGCTACGGCCAGGCTTTCTTGGATATCAACGAGGAGCTTCTTAAGCGCTACGCTACTTGTGAAACTGAGGAAGATGTCAAAAACACAGAGACAGAATGGCTTGCCAAGATCGAACAAGAATACGAAGACAACCGCGCAGAGGGTGGCGACGATATCTGGACTACTGGAAACACCAACCGGCTACCGGCACGAAAATCAAACGAAGACGAGGAAGATGAAAGCGGAGAAGAGGGAAGCGAAAACGAAGAAACCGACGAGGAAGAGGAAGACAAGGATCCATTTGCGATTTCCGATGACTCCGAAGACGAAGAACAAATGGCAGAAATTCGTCGCAAGATTCTTAGCTCGAAGTCCTTCCAGAACCCAGAATCCGAGGAGAAACAGCAACCCGAGAAAATCGCTCGTCCGGAGCAACTGTACGTTGATTCGGATGCTGAGTCTGGCTCTGCGGGAAGCGAGGATGAAGCATTTGACAACATCATCAATGCGACCACGGTCACTGACCGCACTGGGATCAAAGCAATCCAGCAGCGCAAAGGAAAGGAAACTGTTACCGCCTCCTTCTCCAGGACCGAACTTTCTGCGCCCAAGAGATGGTGAGGGGAAATCATTTACCAACCTGGAGTCATCCATGTTGGTTGAAATTCCATGATCAGGCACAGTATTGGGGGCAAGACATCCAGACAGTCGACCCAGGACACACCCATATCAGATACGCTGGGTCCGCTTATTTTGAGACCGGACGCCAGGCCCATGGCGCAAGTCTACTCTAGTATCAAAAATTTGTCTCCGCACGAAGGCACTCCCAGTCAGGCAATTTGAGCATTTGTTACAATTGCCCACTTGCAAGTGCATCACTCTGATCATCCGCACATGCACACTTGCAGGTTAGCATCGCTGTATGAACCCCCAAATTCAAGATTTTATGATTGATGTCTTCAACCCTTTTCCAAGGCTCTATGATGTATGAAAAAATTACCTGGGAAATAAACTAAAGAGCTGATCGGTTCATTTCATCTAATGGGAATTCCTTTTAACTCATTTGCTACTTATAGTTTGATATGCGATACCAAAACGGTGCAGTTTCCCCACGTAGGAATCGGAGCAGCACCATGGATCTAGAAACTCAGCTTTTGCTGAACACATTCCCCCAAGTGACTCAGTCATGTACTTCACGTTGCCTTAGATACCTCTCATTTCTTCTTTTTTTCTTTCTTCTCACTTCACCCTCTCCCACCTGTGTCTTTCATTAGATTTATCTCGAAACTAACGCACTACAACACAAAATGCGTACTAATATCTTGCCTTGCGATACTGTCAAAATGGCAGCTGACCTTCAAGAGCAAGAAGTCGAGGCTGTTCTCCAGCTGAGAAAGCAGCAAGCCAACCTTGAATGCGAACTTGAGAAACAAGGGAAATGTATGCCTGCTCTGCGAGACCGACATGGTGAAACACTAGACTCAGTCTACACCTATATCGAATGGCTGAGCGATGCGCTGTATGAGACCTATTGCCATGAAATCCATGGACCACGCCTGCGAGTGTATCGAGACCATACAAGACGAGATGGAACACAAAGTGCCAGCTTTGGTTGAGGAGCTGGAGGAAGAGAACAGAGTCTTTTCTGGATTGCGATTTCAGAGAATCTTTCTCTTGTAGTCCACGAACATAGTGAGACAATGTTCTCTCTGCTCGACCGTCGGGACCATTTGCGTGAGGAGATTCTTGTGATTTGCTTGTCGTCAGTATATAGTGCTACAGAGGTACAGTTTCAGGGATATCAGCACCCCATGCAAGGGATACAGCGACGATCTCTATGCATCAACCTCTGACTTAGACTTGTAAGGTATAACTACATTTGAATCTATTCAAACCAATTCAAAACAGATTAACCAGTGTCAAGTCTTGACATCCATTCACTTATTTCATATGCATATCTATACCTCCACAATCCTGTGTGAATGGTGTATCTTGCCCCTTTGAGTCACATGGTATTCCGATCTCATGTCCAAATCATGCGTATTCCTCTCTGTGTAACTCGCCTTGGCTACTTGGCTCTAAAGTCATGTTTTACAGAATATCAAGTTTCAAAACGTTCATCCAAGAACCATGACGATCATTTACGTGGATGTATCAGGTGGGGACTGCAAGGGTGGACACGAGGGTCATATAGGGGTTCATGCAGGATTTTACCACGAACTGGAACATATCCTGGGTATCGATGCATGTTTGTTCTGGAAGAGTTCATAGGATGCATGGAATATAGGAGATTGATAGTCCAACGTGTTCGGTTCTAATACTGCTAGTATTCTCTCAGGTCGGCTATTTCCTTACTTTTCAATGGATTTGAGTTCATTATTATTACTCGGCTTGGCCCGTTAGCAGCTGCATCTGAAGAAAGAAAACAGATGATAAACTTCCCAGTTGCCCGAGCTGAGAGGCAGTGTTCAGGGCAAACTCAGCCCTACTGCCAAGTACCCCGCAGGTGACCCCATCGAGTGAGAAGTCACCAGGGCGCTTCGTGTTGTTACTAACGTCATGTTCACTGCCTCAATACGAAACTTGTATTGAATCCTCGCTTATGATTATGAGTTTATGAGATCAGGCGGGATAGGGCCCTGGAGGCTCCGACCACTTGGACTACGGATCGTCGGCGAACGGGGCTATATGATCAGCGTTCTCCCCTGATGAATTCCTGACGCCTATCACTTCGCTCTAGCATGTGCTGTTTAGCTCTCAGGGTTATTCCTCGGGGTTTTCGTCTTTGAAATTCTCTATTTGCATATAAATTGCTTGCACCCGACCAACTCTTATTTGGAGACAACAGCATCTACTCTCATTACCACCAACAAACCCAGGATGGCGCACGACCAAGACCTCTCGGTCGCCTACAGCCATCACCATGGGCATAGCCGCAAAGACAGCCATGAACATGAACATACTTCCCAACACTCCTCCCCGAGCTCCTCCTCAAGCTCGTCCCCAGACCGACCAACCCCAGAACGCCGCAGCTCAACAATAATAAACTACCTCTCCTCCTTCCTAGGCTCAAAGAACCCACTTTCTCAACCGGCGAATCCCAAAAAAAACACCGTCTGGCTCTTCGACAACACAGCCTACCAAGTCAAAACCTACAACAAACACAACGAACTCGTCTCCCGAACCTGGGAAGCAGAAGTAGTAGCCTGCATATTCGAAAAAGGCCACCGAAAAGACGCCGGCAAATTCATCGCCGCAATAGCAGACTACATCGGCCTAGATGGCGAGCTAGGCGGGACACACGAAGCAGAAGTCCGCCGCCGAATCGAAGACCGCGTCCAGCCATTCCTGGATCCGGTTTCGCCGTCTAGGATGGTTAGTTTGCATGTTCCCATCAGTCGGCGCGGACAGGTCCATGACCTGGGACCATCGGATCGGAATGGGATTGTCAGTCAGAATATTTGCATTGGGGAGGTGGGTGGTATTCATCATATCCACGACGGAACGGTTATCAAACCACGCCTGTATGATTTCGCAGGCGAGAAAGTAGCCATGAATACGACATTTGCGCGGGCGCATGGGTGGCTTGTTATAAGCGACATTGACGACACGGTCAAGCGAACGATGACGCTTGAGCCGACGGGGATTATCCGGTCGACGTTTGTTGAAGAGGCCGAGGTGATAGCCGGTATGCCTGAGTTTTACCGGTGGGTTGATAGGGAGCTGGGGGCACCTGGTTGGTTTTATTTATCTGCGTCGCCTTATAACCTCTATCCGTTCCTGCGTGCATTCCTGCGTGAGCATTATTGTCCTGGGACGTTGGTTTTGAGAGATTATTCTTGGATGGACATTACTGGGTTGATTCGGTCTTTTACAGAGAAGACGCAGGAGTATAAGGTTGATCGGATGGAGAAGATTCAGGGTTGGTTCCCGCGTAGGCGAGTGCTTTGTATTGGGGATTCTACGCAGAAGGATCCGGAGGCTTACGCTGAGATGTACGAGAGGCATCCGAGGTGGATTCAGGCTATTGCTATTCGGAAGGTTACCGATGTTGCTCATATGGGGGAGAAGAATGACCGTGAGAGGTTTGAGAAGGCTTTTGAGAATGTGCCTGATCATGTTTGGACGGTCTTTGAGGACCCGAGGGAGTTGTATGAGTTTGTTGATGGGCTTGGGATGGAGGAACAGGAATTTTGATTTGTTTCTGTTTTGATTTAGAGGGTGCTCTAACTAGCAGGTTGTTTCTGCAATGATTCAAATTTGGTTATCAAATATCATAAAGTGACAAATCTCAACTTAGCCCTAAGTGACATACGAGACGCCACCCATTTCCTTATTTCTACTCAATCTGACCCAATTAGACCTAGAATATACTACATATAAAATATTATACGCCTCGCATTGATCGGAAGTATCACAAAGTGGCAACGCTGAGCTAAGCCCAACATACGTCAAGATTAGGAAATAGCCCTGGATCTATAGAAAAGGCAAACCCTCAAAATCAAACCATCAAACCACCAATACATTCAATTCAATCCAAATCAAATCAAAAATCTTCAAAATGCACGAACAAGCCAGAGACTCCATAAGTCTACATCCAGACATCCCACCAGACCTAAGCCCAGCAAAGCGCACCTCAACGGCAATGCCAAACGACAACCCAATAGCACCCCTAACAATGCGAGCCCTATACTACACACCAGAAGTAACAACAAACGACCTCCCAGACAGCCTCCAAGGCGACGGAAAATCCCTTGACGAAACCAAAACAACCATCCGCAAACAGGGATCCGGTCTAGTCCTCGACAGAAGCTTCTCAACACCACAACCCTCACCACACCAATACCTCCTTAAAGTCCAAACGGCAGCATTCTGCCACGACGAAATAAGACTCGCCTCGGCATTGAATCCGCACAAAACCACGCCCCAGATCCCACTGCATAGTCTCTGTGGTACGGTGATCAGTACGCCTGCCAAAGACGATGACCGGGATGGCGGTCCGCGGTTCCGGATTGGAGATACCGTCTTTGGATTGTTGAGTTATACGCGGGACGGGGGTGCTGCTGATTATGCTGTTGCGTGTGAGATGGAGTTGGCGCTTAAACCGGGGAATATTACTACTGCTGAGGCGGCGGCGTTGGCTTTGCCCGCGCTCACAGCTTGGCAAGCGCTTTTTCGCTATGCGGGGCTTGATCCGGATGTTCCTGGGGGTCTTGATGAGGACGGGGACGCTGGGGGAATTGGAACTGGGCGGTGGACTTGGCACGAGTCCAGGCGGAATACTCTGGCCAGTGATCCTGCTTATGGATTTGGGAAGTATACTGGGCATGGGAGTGGGGTTAGGGCCGGGAATGCTGTTGGTGGAGATGGGAGGAATGAGTTTCATGGGAGTATTTTTAATAATAACTTTGATCAGCGCCGGAGTTTGGGGAATGATTTGGCTAGTGGTGGTGCGAGTGGGAGTGCCAGTGGTGGTGGGACAGGAGGTGAGAATGGACGCTGGGTTTGGCAATGGAATCGTCGTGGTACGATCCTCGCTGGCAATGGGGGCAAGAATGATCATCCCATGTCTCCTGCTTCTAGCTCTGCCTCTGGTGCTGGTTCTGGCAGAGTGGGCGGCACTCAAACCTCGAACCCAGATATGCAACGCCGCAACACGCTCCAGAACCTGGCAAGTAGCAATGCACGTCGTGGCAGTCTGTTCAGTCTGATCAATGGACACCGTGAGAGTCAATCCAACGCCAATCAGAATGGCAACGGCAATGAACGCCGCAATTCCCTACTCAATCTGGTCAACGGAAGCCGAAACAATCAGCCCAGAGGCAGTATTGCTGGGAGTATCAGTGATAGTATCAGCGGCAGTATCAATGCAACCAGAAAACATCGGGACCCATCGATCAGGATATTGGTCACAAATGCCCGAGACAGCGAAGTCGGCCGCATTGCAGTGCAACTCCTAAGAGCAGAAACCCTATTCCCCGCCACAGTCAGGCCCTGGATCTGCGTGACCTGCACCAAAGCCGAAGAAGGAATCATCACGCAAGAGTGGGATGTTGACGGGGTTATTGTGATTCCGCATCTACCTCACCCAGCCGAATGTGATATCGGTGGTACATTCAAGCGCCAGCGCTGGCCGCCTGTCGATATTGTGCTGGACTGTACTGGCGGCGAGGTATTCCGGCAAGCGCATGCTCCCCGTGTCATTAAGAACAACGGGGCTGTGATGACGGTTGTAGAGGCGCGGTCTGCGGACCAGCCTCTCCATCGTGCTGAGCGGGATGTTCTTGGACATCGGAAGAGAGGGATCAAGACTCGGTTTGTTCCTCCTAACCCGGATGGGGAGGCTATGGCGCGGATTGTGAATTTGGTGGAGAATAATCTTGTTCGGGGGAAAGAGGATACTGTTGTTGATCTTGATGGGGCAATGGATCTCTTAGCTGGAAAAGCTGCTGGGACTGCTGGCAGTCGGAAGGGGAGGATGATGGTTGTTAGACTTAATGCCGGTTCGTCTGGAAAGACTCCTGTTGGACAGACTCCTATGCGGTCCCCTTCTGTACGGACTCCTGTTGGACGGAAGAGATCTTCTGGAAAGTCTCCCTCTGGACAGATTCCTGCTGATCTTTGAGAGGTTTGTGTTCAATCTTTTGGGTATGACTTGTGTTTTGGTATATTGAGATATCGAGAGCAATTGAGAATACAGAAAAGCAAGTTGAAAGTAATGGTTCTGAAGAAACGCGTCAAATCAAGCTGGGGTTGTGCATCAATCTGGAACGTCGAACAAGTTCGTTGCGGGCTACTTACTTGACGAGACCTGTAGAGGATCGTTAGAAGGCTGTTCCACAGTGCCTTTTGGTCCAAAGTCTCGAGTAAGAGGCTAATCCAAGAAAAGAAAAGAATAAAACAGGAGAAGAAGTAAACCAAAGTGGTGAGATATCCCATCCAAGGATGAATTTTGACTCGAAAGGATCTTTAAAAACGACGCTCTGCCCAAGTTCCAACCCATAGGATGACAAACTACATGAATAGAAAAGAAACCGAATCCCTGAGCAGCGTGCGAACCTCAGTTGGGACGGTAGAAGAAAAGCCGCGAAAAGACAGTGTATTAGGGACAACGCAGTACATCCGGTTAAAGTAAAGAATCAAGTCTGGTAAATACGCTCAAGCATGCGGCGACAATCTAGCAGTTGTCAGTATATTGTGCAAGAATTGGAGAGGGGATATCTTACCTCCAACTGAAGCTCTCTATCCTTGTTCCGGTTGATTTCGTCGTTGACGGCCTGAGCCAGGTTGGCTCCAATCGCCTGGGAGCCACCGGTCCTCCGGCCAAATGGCCATTGCGAGTACTCGGCCAGCAGCTCATCCACCTGCGCAAAGGCTCTCTCGCGAGCCTCATGGCTCATGGTCACCAAGGCATTCTCGAGCACATTGGCAGCATAGGCGGCACAGACCATTGTAATCGAACGAAGGTAGCGGTATTCAGCGTCCTCGGGGAGCCACGGGCTGGGGGGAATAATCACTGTGCGGTTACTGCAGATGTTGCGCACGCGTCTGTGGAGTTCGTCTTTGGCGCCGCCATCGGCCACGGGATGTGTGGCCATATCGAAAAGGAGGAAATTGCGCTTTTCGGTCCGGAGAATACCTTTGTCCACAAGACCCTTTGCCAGTCGTTCGCGGACTTGCTTCAATTGGTATCCGATCTTCATCAAGTTCCAGGTTTCGCCTAATCGCAAACGCGCAGGTCAGCAGGTAGCTCGCATCGCTTCTCGACGATTGAGATATCATACCACTTAGCAGGTCAATCCAGGAGTTTACGCTCATCTTCTCACTCGACTTCATCATCTTCAGCGTCTCGTCCAGCAAGACCTCCCCAGTCAATGTATCGTCGATGACCTCGATGACGCGGTCGGCCAGGGGGAAGCGTCGCCGCGAGGAATCCTTTTGCATGCTTATACGACCTCGGAGCGCGAGTTCGATGACGATGCACCCTCGCAGGGCGTAAGAGATGTTTTCGTTCCAGAAGGACAAATAGCCCTGTTGCGTAGGCGCGAGGTCAGCAGCTGCACACCACGGTCGGGCGGACAAGGATCCCATCCAGTTATCATCACTCACCTGCTTATCCTTCAGTCCGAGCAGTAGCACATCCTCCATCAGGGTCAATTTTGGCTGCTTGCCCCGTTCCTCGTTCTCACTGATGTCGCGGGGGTCGAACGCGATCTTGTGGCCATTCTCTGCGCTGGTGAAAGACGTCTCCGGTCCACGGTTGTCCATTGCAGAGCCGTTTCTGGAGATTGGGGATGACACTCGACTGTCATCTTGTTCGTCTGCGCCAGCGACTCGACCGGCGCCTCGTCGGCGAGTCAAGCCCCCGGCTGCTGAGGCCATGAGGATATCGGGATCGGGGGGGTGGTGGGGGTGAGGAAGAGATTAAAGTAGCGTAGTGTTTAGAGGCCGATCTGTATGCCGGTGGGGAGCATTGATGGAGTGAGGTGTTAGAGGGACCGTGTCGAGAGTGTCCAAAGTGGGACTCGGTGTCAGGGGAAACCAGGGACCGAGTGGGTTGGCCAGAACGAGTTGAACGAGTTGAAGAGTTGCAATCAATGTCTTTCAGGGGAAGTCCACAAAAGATGGAAGTTTTGGTGAAGTGGCTCTTCGAATGCAGCAGTCCGTCCGTCCACGGAAGCACTTGACCTCCCCGTGACAAAGAACACTTACCACCTTGCTAAGTACCGTAGATGTCTATACTCACAATTAAATTGTCTTCCTATATGCAGCTGATTCTAAGCCAATGGTCACATCTTCTCTCTTCGCTTTTTCTTTCTTCCCTCTCCCCTTCCCCATTCTTTGACTTTTTCCGGCAGTTCTACTTTTCGCCTATCTCTGGATATTCTCGCAAGACATGCATCATCCCAACCCCAGACACTCCACATAAGATCTGATAACCTAGATATTTTGAAGCTGAAATTAGCTCCATTTACAAAAATGAAACAGACTGATCTATTTCTTGAATAACTCAGTCACGTCTCCCACAATGCGGTGCAAAATTGCATAAATTGCATTCAAATGATATACACGATATGAAGGACGAAAAAAGGCCAGCATGGGTTCAGCATACATAGTAGCATCTCAATGGGTCACTGTGTTCTGTGTTCAGCGACTCCCGATGCCATCCCGATTCTTTTTCTATCCGAAACTCTCCAATCTCCGAAGTTCAATTAAGTATTTAGTGAGCTGGAAATAAGTTAGCATCTGCCAAACACATATATAATAGGATAGATATAACATACCATCGGGCTGGGCGAGGATGTACTCAACAGCCTTTTCAACTGTGCGGGGATTCATGTTAGCTGTCTATCCACACAACATCCATCAGTAAAACTTACCGCTGTGGATCTGGTCGGCCTCCTTATCGGGGATCTCAATGCTGAACTCCTGTAGAAGCTGTTAGATATCCATCGCACAATATGGCCAATATGGCGGGTTTAGGCTTTCCCGAGGGAAACCGGGCGCGTACCTCCTCAATGGCCATGACGACCTCAACAGTGTCCAAGCTGTCCAGACCGAGGTCGTTGGAGAAGTGGGAAGCGCCGTTAATCTGCAAGTCGATCAGGTTTAGTAGTTGAATCTTTCGTGGTCGCCTCTCCCTGGCTCGTAGCTACGTAGAGGTCACAACAACTGTGTCGGATTCACTAACCTTGCTAGAGTCGGAGACCTGATAGCAAAACAAATTCAGTCAGCGATATGCTTTTCCCAGAGAAGCCAATGGACGAAAACCCCCGGCAAAACAATATGACGCACCTTGTCGAAGTTCTTGAGCAGGTTGACTATCCGGCCCTCGGCCTCGTTCTTGGAGAGACCAGCAGGGGCAGAGTAGAGACGAGCACCCTGGAAGATGGAGGGAGTGAATTGAGGAACAGCGATGGGGGAGCTGCGAATCTGGAAGGGAGCCGGGGTCTTGACAGCACGGGGGGCGGAGGCCCGGAGCGAGCGAACAATGGCGGAGCGGAACATGGTGGGAAGATTCGGAGAAGCGCGAAGGCTAAAGATCTAGAATAAAGAAGACAGAGACGTGGGGGGAGAAAGGTGATGGGAGGGAAGAAGCAGAAGAAGGCGAGATGAGGAAGGTCGCGCTCCAGCAAAATCCTGCGGGCCAATCAGCAACCAACAGAAAGGAATGACCTAAGCCCGAAACCTGCAAACTACCACAACCTCACCTCTGGCTCCCCTTCCCCCCCCCTCAAGTAACCTACAATTGCTTCGGCTCTCCCTCCACTTTCATCCCTCTCCGCTCCAACAATGGCCACCCGTTCGGTCGCGAGGCTCGTCGCCTACCGCCGGCCGACCCCCTTCGGCTTGCTGGGCTCAACCGCAAACTTCTCTTCCTCGGCGTCCCGCGCAGCAACCCCAGCCGGGACCCCCCAGGCCGGTTTCCGCCTGCCCGCTCCCAAGCGCTGGGACCAGGATTCCGAGTCCTCCTTGGACAAGGCCAGCAAATATTTCCTCCTGGCTGAGATCTTCCGCGGCATGTACGTGGTGCTGGAGCAGTTTTTCAGACCACCGTAAGTCCCACACTCGACATGGATACGGATCGCAATCTGCGTGATCAATCCAATTATTGGAGAAGGTCCAAGTTCACTCGAACTAACTAATCGTTCTTCCTTTGTACAGTTACACCATCTTTTACCCGTTCGAGAAGGGACCCATCTCTCCCCGTTTCCGTGGTGAACACGCCCTCCGTCGCTATCCCACCGGTGAGGAGCGCTGCATTGCTTGCAAGCTCTGTGAGGCTATCTGCCCCGCCCAGGCCATCACTATTGAGGCTGAGGAGCGTGAAGATGGCAGCCGCCGGACGACCCGTTACGATATTGATATGACCAAGTGCATTTACTGTGGCTACTGCCAGGAGAGTTGCCCTGTGGATGCCATCGTTGAGAGTGAGTCATCATCTTCAATTGACTTATCCAATTGGCCCAATTGACTAATGTACCTTTATATAGCCTCCAACGCTGAGTACGCCACTGAGACCCGTGAGGAGCTGCTCTACAACAAGGAGAAGCTCCTCTCCAACGGTGACAAGTGGGAGCCCGAGATTGCCGCTTCTGCCCGTGCGGATGCTCCCTACCGATAATTCAATCGCCTCGATTTTCATCTGATTGGCGTGTCTCCGTCCAGTTTACGCATTTTTCCTTAGAGAGTGGATTTGTGCGGATTGGAAGACATGCCACTCGCAATACCCATTGAAGAAGGACGAGTTTTCGTGCTTCGAAAATAAGAAAGAATTTTTTTCTTTCTTTTTCTGAACCCCATCACATCACACTGTACATAAATGCCCTCGATCTGTGTTCTCATCTTGTACTAGTCAATTTCTACCCCCAGGGAATCTTGACTCCTTTGTCTCTTTATTTCCTATGTTTTGGAATCCAGCAGGTTTCTTTGATTTGGTTGAGATCGTATTTATAATATAAATTTGGTCGATCCCGTTTCAGTATCTGATCCTCAAGCAATATATTTCCGACACCATGTCTATACCTACTCTACCATCAGTGTAACTTAAAATTTAACTTGATGTTTGGACATTATGTATGTTGTTCCTAATAATCTACAGTATATTCTCAATACCAGAAAACACATTCAGCCAAATGGAAGGAAATGATATTTGTATTCACAGATATAAATCAAATCGCTACCGATGCTGTCATGCATAGACATAAAAGATTTGACGAGTCCAAGCCGCGACACAAAACATAAAAACACCAGGCACCTTGATCTCCGGACGAATATTTCCCAGTTCAAAGTCTCAAAACACTTTTTTTTGTAGCTCGAGGGGGTGGGTCTATGTGCGTTCCGAGTGGGATGTTGGTCCCGACAGAATAGCCCGCGTAGAGGATGGGAAAAAGGGTATGCAAGAAGAAGAAATAGAGGAAAGGGAAGAATAACAAGACAAAAGAATAGAAGAGTTCGACCATAGATAAGCCAGAATAATATCAAGGCTTAGATCCTAACGGGTTGACTTGGATTTCTTTGACTCATTTCTTCTTGCCGCCGCCGGACTTGGCCTTGAAGCTGCCGCCTTCAAAGCCAGGACGGGCGGCCTTCTTCTTGCCGCCGCTGCTGGGCTTCTTCTTGTTGCCCTTGTTGCCCTTCTCGTCGCGGCGCTTGCGGAGGTTGTCATCGCGCTTGGTCTGGCGTTGCTCCTTGGAGCGGGCGACGGTGTCAAGGCGGTCCCTCCACTCACGCTCGGACTTCTTCTTTGCGGTCTCCTTGCGCTTGAGGGCCTTCTTGAGGAGGGAGGTGTCGTCGCGGACACGCTCGCCGTGGGCACGCTTCTTGGCGTTCAACCAGCGGTCCTTTTCTTCGACGTCGGCACGCTTGGTAGGGTCCATTTCGGCGAGACGGGCGCTCTTGGCCTCGGCGGCCTTCAGTTGGGCAGCGGGATCACGGGCACCGTGGGTCTTGGGCTTGTCGCGCACATCGGTGCCGGTGGCGTCTGTGGCCTGGCCATCTGTGAAGATCATGCGACCGAATGAGAAGTTGTTGCTGGAGGAGCCGACAGACTCGGCTGGGGAGCGGGGAGAGGCCAAGAGGGAGCCGGAGCCACCAGGGGAGAAGCGACGGGCCATGGCTTCGTCGGACTTGAGCTGTTCCTCATCTTTGGCCTTTTGGCGCAATTCCTTCTTGTGGGCTTTTCTTTGCTCGGCTTTTTGGCGACGGGCTTCGATGAGCTCTTGACGGTTACGGGCAGGCTTGCCGTTGAGTCCATCTGCGTGGCGCTTGGCCCGGAGCTCGTCGAGACGCTTCTGTAGGCGCTGCTTCAGCTCTTCGGGTGTGTGCTTGAGGGGTTTGGGCTCTGAGGATTTGGCTTCGGTGGAGGCGGAGGGAGGGACAATGGAGGAGATAGAGGAGCTGCCGGATTGGGGATTTGAGGCATTGGGAGAGTGAGGGGTGGACGAGGCTGAGGAGTTTTCGGGCTGGTCATTAAATTCGAGAGAGAATCCTTCCTCAACAACGCCATCTTCCTCTTCGTTGTCATCGTCCTCTTCGTCGTCAGATGCCTCGGCTTTCTTGGAGGCATCACCGTTAGGCTTTGATGCATTAGGCTTTGGTGCAGATTTTTCCGAATCATCAGTTGTAGTAGTCGCCTGCTTCTTGCTCTGCTGAAGCTTCTCCTTCCGGGCAGTATCCTTGGCCTTCTTCTTCTCCTTTTGTTCGGCCTTCTTTGCGGCCTTCTTCTCAGCGTTTTGCTTTTTCCGGGCCTCGGCCTCGGCAGCCTTGATGGCATCTTTCTCGCCATTCTCGACCGACTTCTGCTTCTTGGGCTTGGCGTTTCCGCGGTTCAGTCCCTCCTTGGGGTTCTCGGTGCCCATCTCTCCATCAGAGGAGTCGGACTGGATGGTCCCATCCTCGCGCTTGCGCTTGCGTGCGTTTTCGTCCATCACGTCTTTGGCGGTCTTGGCGGCTTCAGGGTCAAGCTTTGCTCGCTTCGCTTCACGAGCTTGTTCTTTCGTCTGCTTCTTGCGTTGCCATTGATCCTATGAGAGAGGACGGTCAGACAGAGTCTTCATGTGATGGATAGCGGCAATGGGCGGCAGAAATAAAACCTCTTTCGAGATGAAGCAGCAGAGAGGTCTGATAGGACGGGCCAACATACACTTGTGTTCTCTTCACCGTAGTAATATTTGGCGGGGATCAAGGACAGTAAACCGTCAAATGCCTGTGCATGGCTGCGGAGCCGATCCTGGGGAACAGTCAGCGCACAGTCCTGGAGTAAAATCCAAGATCACATACCTCGATATCATCCATGATCCCGTAGACTGAAATTGCAATCTGGAGGGGGAAAGCTGGTCAAGCGCAACGAAAAATTTGGGGTGAGGAAATCTTGGCGCTACAATTGTCTCCGCTCGGCTTCACCGCCTGAGAATTTTGCTGGTGGCCCGTGCAGTAGTCTCTACTTGTGTTGAAGGTTATTCCCAAACTTATACCAAGTAGTATTGTGCTTTATTGCTATTGTTCCATTTGCTCCCCTATGCAATTATCCAATCATATCCAATAAACGACCAGTCCCGATGCTAATCCAAACAAACACTCCAAATCAAGATTGCTCCACCAGACGACCTATGTCCAATCCGGGACAACCTTCGCTCTCAATCTGCGTCACATTGCCATAGGGCCAAGGGTCTGTCCAAATGAGATCGAAGCTGAGACAGTCAGTGCTGGACAATACAAAACACCAAAGACAACCCCTAAAGATACTCCAAAAAATCAAACAGACAAGAGCTTCAAGAGGACTCGGAGATAACCATTATCAACTCCGACACATCTGGACCAACTGATAACAAACACAAAAGAGCAGAACCACTCACCGGTCATCCGGATACTCGATAGGATCAGAAGCACCAAGCGCCTTCTCAATCCCACCCATATTTGTGTGTCGCCATGCAATCAGAATATTGCCCGGTCCATCATAGGACCGAACCGTCTTTGCAACACATTCTACCCGTGTGCGCTTGCAGTGTGTATCAACGGTAAGACCAAGATCAGTGGCGAGAGGAAGGACAGTCAGGAACGCACGGCGGTGCGCGCCATCTATACATGGAAAGTCAGCCAGCCACGTTGAATGGCACTGTGCGGCGCCTCGGCACTTGACACTGCAGTATCCACGGGGTATACTCTGGTCTTACCGTCTTTAACATGAGGCGCCATAATATGCCCAATATTATATCCTGATCCCTCGCCGAACACACTGCGTAGACATTGCGCCCGCTTGATCCCATCCAAGGTGAGGCCATGATCATCCTTATTCTTGGGCTTCTCGCCATGGCGAATGATATAAACAGTCGGGTTCTGAGCCGACGCAATCCCAGGAACGAGGCACAGAGCCGTGAAAACCCAGTGCAGCAACATCTTGGCCCGTAGATCTACAAAAGTAGATCGGATTGATATACACAAGCAGAACAAATGACACCAAAGGTAGCTTGCATGAAACAGGAGCAAAGAGTAAATTTGAAGTCAAAAGTAAACTTTTACATGCCAATGCCGGTGTTAATTGGGACGGCCCATAGCTCTAGTCTTTATAGGGCATAGCAAATAAGAAAAGACAAAAAAAGGGATCCCGGTATGGAATCTATCACCGAGGAAAAAGATGGGAAACACAGAGAAGAGAAAGAGTGACGGTGGATCAGCAGAGTCCGTTTCCAATGATCATCCGGTAAAAATGCGTCAGGGCTAAATGCGACTTAAGGTGTTGGAGCGCTGGACGAACTGTTAGAGTGTTCGGTTGATGTGCCCCCCTTAGGCTGTTTAATTGGTTGGAAGTTGTGCTGCATGTCCACTGCACTGTGTTGATCGGCTGAACTTTGTCGGGGTTTTGGATGTGAGTGTGAGTGTGAGTGTGATCATTGGAGTGGTTGTACATACATCTGCTACATCTGTGCAAGACCAAAGAGGCTATTTTAGATATATAGACTGGAAAATTAGTGAATGAGACGGGTTCGAGACTGACTATAATGAGACATGATCCTCAGCCAGTATATACCAACGTTAGTACAACCAGTTGTAACATGAGGACCTTGGGGAAAGATTAGACTACAGTCGTGAAGCCGAATCATGGTTCATTTTCGAGTCATGAGCCAAAGATAAGAATCCAAAGACGCTGAATGCAAAGATCAACGAATGGCCCGAGTCAGAAGATAGGGCTGAAAGAGGTGAGTTTGTTCATACGGTGGTCGGATGACGATCTTCCTCTTTGTATCTGTCAGCGCATGGCCTTGATCGCATGCTCATTCTCGGACGGGCTGCTCAATGATATATTTGGTTTGACTGGGACAAAAGCCAAACTCCTACATCTGATCTACATAGTTATGGGTTTTCGATTTGCCTGCATGTGAAGGTTGTATGTTATCACTATGATCTCAATACAGGAGATGTGATCGGATCGGACAGAGATGTGGAGTGCCGGAGAAACAATGTTGGGATACGGTCTTGGCTTCGGGTTTGGCGTTGGGCGTACGCGGTCTTCCAGATTATAGTCGAAGATAATTGCCTCAGTGCCTAAAGACTAGAGTTTCTATATTCCCGTGACATCAAGCGGTTCAGGTCATAGGGATATATTCTTAGATCGGGTGATTCATGCGCCACTGTTGATGTGTAATGAATGTAATAATGTCGGGTATTCACTGAGTATTCTCTCAGGGGCTCGGACAGACCGGATGCATGAGGGGCTTAATATTACTAGGCAGCCAAATAAGACGACGGGGCAATACTGTACGCCGAGAATGACGCGGAGAAGAAAGTCTCGGCGCTCGCAGGCCACGTATGGAGTTCTGGAAGAATCGTGGAAGCCGATAGAGCCGTGTAATCTGATCTATTTCCGGACAGTAATGCTGTATCTCCTAGCATAGCCACAAATGAACACAGAATCATGTCGCGCTGTGTGGCTGAGTCTGCAGTACGATGTAAGTAAACGTGTAACTGTACTAGTAATGATGTGCGCAAGGCTGAGAGGAATTACTGCGCCTCCGGTAATATTTCGCTTGGCCATGTGGGGTTACATGTATCAGCCCTGTGGCTACTTGCGTGACTTCCTATAAAGAGGTGCCCCTCCTTGACTTGCTTCATTCATCCTCCACACTTCCACTTCCACTTTCAGTTTACTCACACTTACTTGACAATGTCCGGCTACGATCAGTACAACCAGGGTGGCTACGGCCAGCAGGGTTACGGCCAACAGCAGCAGGGCTACCCCCCTCAGCAGGGTTACGGCCAACAGGGCTACGGTCAGCAGCAGGGTTACCCTCAGCAGGGCTACGGCCAGCAGGGTGGCTCTGGCGATTACTACGGCCAGCAGCAACAGCACCAGCAGCACCAGGGTTACGGCCAGCAGCAGGGTGGCGCATCTGACTACTACGGTGGCCAGCAGCAGGGCGAGCACCAGTATGGCCAGCAGCACGACCAGTACCGCCAGGGGTATGTCACTTCTCCCACTTCTCCTTCTGAACTTGAACTGACAGGCAACAGTGGTTATGACCAGCAGCAGCAAGGTGCCCCCGGTGAAGCCCAGGAGGGCGAGCGTGGTCTCGCCGGTGCCCTCGCTGGAGGTGCCGCGGGTGGCTTCGCCGGCCACAAGGCCAACCACGGATTCCTCGGAACAATTGGTGGTGCTATCATCGGTTCCATCGCTGAAGACGCTGTCAAGAAGCACCGCCAGAACAGCCACTCTCCCAACAACCAGGGTCCTCCCCCTGGTGGCCCTTACGGCGGTCCCCCTCCTTCCCACAATGGTAGCTCCAACTCCATGATGGACCAGCTCGGTGGCTTCTTCAAGAAGTAGAGGGTTCTAGACTCGCTTTCCTTGACGACACGTCCTTGATGAATTTCCTTATTTCTGCTCTTTTTGTTTTTGCAACGGGCTGGCATGCATTTTTTCGCCTGATCGCTTCAGATTTTTTTTGGGGTTTTGTTTCGCCCAAGAGTGGCTTTTGTATCATGAACCAACTGCATTGAGATCGAGATTCACCTTTGTGTGATCTCATGAATCATAATTCCCAGAATTGCAACGTGATGAACCGATGGTTTCGAAAAGTAAAGAGTTTCCGTAGACAACTTTAGTAAGATCTGTAGAGTCGAGAACATGCAGGCGGAGAGATCCAAGCAAACCCCAAGTGGAATAGTTGGTGGCCTGAGGCACCAACTGCCAAGCCCGACAAAAGTTCGAGCGGCAGACCTCAACCTTCCTGCCAGACCCATCTACAATTCAGCATTCCCAAAATGATTGTACGGAAGTTCGGTATGCGGCAGAGTGAGTGTGGTATAATTGCAACCAATTCAAAACCCAACACAGCTAACAGCGCAATTCCCAGGCCGCCAGCTCCTGGCCATGAGCCGACGAGCCCCGATCTCAGCTCGTTTCAATTCGGCAATCCCGACAGGCGAGCCCGTCGTCCCAGTCATGCCAACCCAGGAACCAGAGCCAATTATCCAGGCAGATCCCGTTCCCCGGGTGGAAAACCCCCTGGTTGAGATGATGAGCGCGCAATCACAGGCAAAGACACCCGCGCAGCAAGAAGAATCACGAAGTGAGCTTGCTCTCAGTTCCAGATCCCCAGAAACCACACCCTAACCTACCCTCCCTTTTCCTTAGGATCCAAATTCCACAAACTTGGAACCTCCGTGAAAGCCTCCTACGACCCCGAAAATATCCTCCGCAACCCTCCCAAGCCCTCGCAGGTAACCCTCGAAATGCTCCTGGCAGCAGGGACACATCTGGGCCACTCGACCTCGCGCTGGAACCCCCAGAACTCCCGCTACATCTACGGTATCCGCGAAGGAGTGCACATAATCTCACTAGACGTGACAGCAGCCTACCTGCGTCGCGCCGCGAAGGTAGTAGAAGAAGTCGCCGCACGCGGCGGACTAATCCTATTTGCCGGCACACGCAAGGGCCAAAAGCGGGCTGTCGTCAAAGCCGCGGAGCTGGCAAAGGGCTACCACATTTTCGAGCGGTGGATTCCGGGCAGTTTGACAAACGGCGAGCAGATTCTTGGACACTGCGAGACGCGCGTTGTTAATGCGCTTGATGAGGTGCTTTCGGAGTTCAAGGCTGATCTTGCCGATCGGCCTAGTCTGAAGCCTGATCTTGTTGTTTGTTTGAATCCGCTTGAGAATGTTGTGCTGCTGCATGAGTGTGGTTTAAACAATGTTCCTACTATTGGTGTTGTTGATACCGATGCTGATCCTACTCGCGTGACTTACCCGATTCCGGCGAACGATGATAGTCTCCGGGCCACTTGTTTGATTGCTGGTATTCTTGGACGGGCTGGTGAGGCTGGTCAGGTTAGACGGTTGAAGATGGCTGCTGAGGGTCAGACGACTTATAAGCCTATTTCTGCTGCTGAGTTGCGTCTTGATCCCTTTACTGGGTTGCCGCCTGGTGGTGAGGCTCAGAAGAAGTAGGGTCTCGGCTTGTGGTGCTGGTTGCATTTCTTTTGCATTTCTCTCTTGTTTCCTGTCGATTGCATACGACGGGACTCGTGTATTGTATAGATGATTCCAGGTCTTGTTGGTGTTGACTACATATGTATTAACAAGTCTTTTTTTGGTTATTTCATTTGAATCATTTAGCCTGAATCTCTTTATATGTATCTCCATGTGCCCAGGTAAGGATGTTGGGCCATTTCTATGTTCTCTCGCCCACATGGGAAGAACTTCCGCGCTGTGTAGCAACTTCATTCAATTTATATTCACCGAAAGTTTCTTCGATAGACTCTATGTGTCCTACTCTGTGTCAGTATTGGCGAGCAAGTGATTATAGAGTAGGTCAGCACTCACCAAGCAAATCTCTCAGAGCAAAATACCTGTGTCATTCACGAGCGATGATTTGGCCCGTTCCCTTTCGGGGAGTATGTCTGGCTCGAAAAGGCTGACCAACCTGTAGTCCCAGAAACCGTGGTTACAAAGTGTGTTTTCCTGGATGAAGATGAAAAGGGGCGCTCCTACTCTCATGGTCTTCACATCGGAAGTAATAGAAGAAGACATTGTCGGCTGGATTTCCTTGGTCTGATGTGACCTCCCCTGCCAACTCTGTTCTCCCATTGAAATTCAGGCTGCAGTGTCGAAATTTGATGTACTCAAGGGCGACTAGTAATGAACTGAACGAGGAAATCATCATCAAAAGCCATCCGTGGGAAACCCTTTAAGATGCAAGCTGTTGCCAATGGTCCGCTATTGAACTGAGGCCTGAATGGCAATTCCCATAAATTTGGTCCATCGTACATGTCCCGCTGGTTGTTCAATTCTTGTGAGTTCTCCAAGGAGGCATTCAGATTACTGAGCATCGGCATATGAAGTAGTGTCTTACCAGAGTAGGAAGAAGCAAAAGTATCTGTAGAATGATATCAAATTCATATCAAGGGCAAAAGCCCAGCCCAGCTCACCGGCATTCTTCAGAGCTCGAATCTCGTTAATGTCCGGTTGTCCTCGTCGCTTTAAGCAAGCGTTGAGTAGCGCAAAAAACCCCAGAAACAGCTATGCTCCAGACATTCTGTTATCTTATTTTGGCAGCCAAGACTGTCTGCTCATATCATCTCTTTATTATGAAAACTAGTCTGAGCCTCGTTTGTGTTATATCAGTCCACGCCATAGAGAATGACCCCCCTTGTGATATTCCAGCCGTCCTCACAACTTGGCTGTTTTTTTCTTATATTTGATCCAAGTTCCACCTTCCCAAAAATGATATACCAAAGAGTGAAACCCCTCATACTAGAATGTCAGATACTTCATTAAAAGTCATATCAAATTCATCTATCCACAAACGAACAATCTATGATCATCCCACATGCAAATGCGAGTCTATACCAAAAGGCCATTCCAGGCCAATGTCATAATGCAACCATATCCCCTCCAATTCAAGCCTTGAGGGTATAAATAACACGACCACGAGAGTCAGTACCCTTAAGCACAATCTCATCACCAGTACTAGAAACAACACGGCGCTGGTCCCCATTATGCAAAACAATATCCAGCTCCTTCCATGCAGGAACGAAGCCAGACTTTTCATCCCGCTCGAACTTGACAAGAACTTTCTCCTCGGTAGAGCTGTAGCTAACAGTGTAACTGGATGTCTTGGGCTTGACGGAGATACCATCGTCCTCATACCAGGTCTTCGAGAAGACGTTGCCGTGAGAAGTGCCCTTGGGCGGGAAGATCTCAACACCACGGTAATCGTCAATTTCATCAACGGCCATTGAAGCAGCGGTGTCATCGCCAGGAACGCGGGTGTGAACGTTCTTTCCGACAGGTATGGCACCGCCGATGCGGGCAATGAGTGGGATGCTGCTTTGCCACTCGGACGAGATCTCAGCCCATTGACCGGAAGCGATGTACTGGTATGGAGCGTTCATGTTGACGTAGCCGTAGTCGAAGGCGTTGCCTGACTTGCGGGGCAGGTAGACGTTGGCGGTGTTCACGCCGGCTGTGTAGACTCCGCCGACGATCATGCTGTCGCCGAACCAGAACTGGGACTCGCCAGCCTTGATCTCCTTGGTCCATACTTCTGGGTCGGACTCGTAGCCCCAGCCTGTCCAGCGCTGTGGTGGTGCGGCAAACATGTGGCTTTCTAGTCCGAGGGAGTAGATGTAGGGCAGCATCTCGTAGCGGCGCTTGATCGTATCGCGGACTTGTGGGGTGATTTCTGGATACATGAAGGGCTCAATGACGTCTCCGACGGAGGAGTCCTTGGGGGAGGTCTTGAAGCAGTTGATGGCGAAGCGAGGTGCATGGCAGCCCAGTTGGATCCAGCGGAGGAGAAGCTCAGGTGAAGGCTGGGGGCCCTCAAATCCGCCAATGTCGTGTCCCTCGCACTGAAGCAGGGACATACCTGCGTTGAGGGATAGGGCGTTGGCTCCCTTCATGTTCTCCCAACTAGTGACGTTGTCACCACTCCAAGAGCTGGCAGCGTAACGGTTTGTACCAGGTGTCGAACTGCGGGTCAGGACGAAGGGACGATACTTGGGCTCCATGTCGAGGAGGGCATCGTGCGAGGACTTGCCCATGAGCTCGGTGTGGAGGGCACGACCCCAGAGACCGACGGAGTTCTTCACATTCTTTGCGGCGGCGTCGGCGACAGTGGGCTCGTTGAGAGACATTGTCCAGTCGTCATCGGGCAGGGTGTATTCGTTGTTGTCATTCCACATGCCATCAATGCCAACCTTCTTCAGGCTCTGCACGCCGTCATACCAGAACTTGAATGCCTCCTTGGAGGTGAAATCAATGTGAGCACCATCACCGCCAGTGGCACCACCAGCACTCCACAGACGCATGTAACCGGCCTCTTTGTCAGAGTCCTTGAAAAATCCGCCTGCATCAACAAGCCGCTGGAAGTCGGGGTGAGACTCCAACAGGAAAGGCTTGATGTTGGTCAAAAGACGGATACCATATTCGTGCATCTTTTTAATCCAGTCCTCTGGATCGGGGAAACGGCTTCGGTTCCAAGTGAAGACATTGCGAACCTTGGGCTCCGTCTCAGCAATAGAGTAGCCGGAACTCATCTGGTGAGCCGAGCAGGGAATACCATGCTGCTTCAGCTTCTCGGCAAACTCAAGAAGAGCCAAGTGAGCCCGAGGCTCATCCAGCATGGTGTACTTGTAGCCACCAGAGATGTAACCATAAGCCCAGCGGGGCACAAGGATCGGGAAGCCGACCAACTCGGCATAGGACCGGACAACATCCGGGATAGTCTTTCCGACAATGTAGTACTGCTCAAGACCACCATAATCCTGGCGGTACACTTTGAAATGACCCCAGAGACCATCGATCTCAGCACCAACGGACCACAGACCACGACCGTGGGTGGTGGAGAAAATGGCCACGCAACCCTCGGCTGAGGCCTTGATCAGGAGTGGAATGTGCTTATACAGAGGGTCGGTGTTGTAGACATCGTAACCAAAGCAGTCGGTGGCGGAGAGCTGGAAGCTACGGCCGCTCAGGTCCATTGGAGCTGCCTTCTCACCCAGACCGACGTGAAGACATTCCCGGTCATGGATAGAATAGTTGGCGACGCCCTCAGAGTCTGCGACATAAGATCGAAGAGGCAGATCACTGTGAAGAGGCTTGTCGGAGCCGGTCCACGAAATGTTGACCACGGGGGTGTGCTCCCACTCTACCTTGGCAGTGACGCCAGCGACATCCATAGTCTTGGAGGTAGCATCCTCCTTGGCAAAGACATTGACACCCTGAAGGTTGGTCTCGGGCTTGGTAACACTGGGATAGGGAGGAATAGGGTGCTCCGCGGAGGCGAAGGTGGCACGGAAGAGGTTAGGGCGAATGGCCTCGAAGGTGAAGTCGAATGGAGTCTTGCTCTTAGTGCTGCTGCGAACTTGAACGGAAGCTTCAGAGCTCGTGGCCTGGGGCACTTGCTGGTAGCCCCGTGGGCAGACTTCTTTTTGAGGCATAATGAGGATGTGATTGATTCCAGGAATCTGAATAGACCAGAATATGCCCTGGCATGGTGTTGTATTTGAATGTCATCTATTGATCTTCTTGAATTTGCATGCCCCGCGCTGGTCCCATTGCTGATGCAGGAAGTGTGGGGTATACTGTCGGAAATCGGTGTTGATGGCCGATGTTGAATATCGCGCATTTCAACTTACCCCGTGATCCCCACAATATCCCCAGATCCGCCAAGACAACCTCGGGTTTGTTCACCGAAAGCCGATGTTTTCCCTGGCTTGGTCAAACTTTGCTTCGTTCTCCTCCCACGACCCCAGAACTAATCAATTGATAGGACTGGAAGTTGTGCGGGTCAAGTGCGGGCTGCCGTGTCTCCCCAGACCTGACGTGGCCAGATTAGACTCAAGACACACTAGAGGCACTAAAAAGACTAGACACAGAAAACGGAAACTGTAATTCAAACGCCGTGGTATAACCCTCGGGTTTTGAAGTGTTTCGTCCGGGGTATGTAATATACTTGTCTTCCCCACGGGGTACTGTGCAAATCGTGCTATATCCAGCCCTAATCCCCGGTCTTTCCCCCCTGAGAAGTCACCCTCATTTTATTGCTCATATTCATACCAAGATCTTGCAGCCTCTGCAAGTAAACAATCATGTCGCAGGAGGCACACGTTTCTCAGTCAAAGGGCCAGCAGGAAGAGTTCGTGGAGACTATTGAACCCTCCCAACCATCTGCAGCCCCTCACTCCGACGATGGCAGAAAGAATCAGACTCAAGGAGATCAGGCTCTTCAACTTATTCAGGAGATAGGCCACTCGACTATCCTTACCCCAGAGAACAATGCGAAAGTCCTTCGAAAGATCGACCTGCGCCTGCTCCCTATTCTCCTGGGAATCTACTTCCTTCAACAACTCGATAAGTCAACCATCTCATATGCTTCAATCTTTGGTATTGTTGAGAAAGCCAACCTACATGGCCAACAGTACTCCTGGCTAGGAGCCTCGATTTACCTGGCCCAGCTGGTGTTCCAGCCCCTTGTCGCTTACCTTTTGGTCAAGGTGCCCCTGGCAAAGTTCCTAGCTGTGTCATGTCTTCTCTGGGGCATCTCTTTATCTTGCATGACGGCAGCAACCAACTTTGGAGGTCTTCTTGGTTGCCGAATCTTCCTTGGTATCTTTGAGGCCGGTATTGGTAAGTTTTGGACTGATTATGCAAGCTTGACATAGCTAACGAAGGGTACAATTAGCCCCGGCTTTCATTGCAGTTACTCAGATGTGGTATCGGCGTCGTGAACAGCCCGTGAGATTGAGTTCTTGGTATGCTATGAATGGAGTTGTGAACATGGTGGGTCCCTTTTGTCTGGTGTACTTTGGCATACGTTGAAGTTGTATAGTTTGGAAGTTTGATTGCCTACGGGCTGGGACACATCCACTCTTCTATCTTTGCCTCCTACCAGGTGAGCTATCGGTTACGGACTGTTTTACTCGTTTCTGAATCTAACGATGCTTAGATCATTTTCCTTTTCTTTGGTCTGGTTACGGTGGCCTTCTCAGCTGTCATTCTGTGAGATTGATCTTTCCCTACCATGTTCATGAACATTATACTGATGCAATCATTTAAAACAGTGTATTCATGCCTGACTCCCCCATCTCGGCTAAATTCCTCCACGAGGAAGACAAGCTTCTTGCAATCGAAAGGTACTTGCTCCGGTGCTCAATTACGGCACATCTGCTAACGAGCCTGTAGACAACGGATGAACCAGCAGGGTGTGGAAAGTCAAGAATGGAAATGGGACCATGTGAAGGAAGCATGCCTCGACCCCAAGTCATGGTTCTGGTTTGCATTGATGTTCTCCATCTCGTATGTCATCCTACTCTCTTGAGATGGAGACAATATCACAATTACTAACAAACCACCATTCTAGTGTTCCAAGTGGTGGTATCACCACCTTCGGTCCCTTGATCATCAAGTCCTTCGGCCTCAGTGAATATGATACCATGCTGTTTAACATTCCATTTGGAGCAGTTCAGCTTGTCGCAACAATGGGAGGTGCATGGCTAGCGACCGTTTGGAAGATGAAAGGCCCGGTGCTGGCCTTGCTATGCCTTCCTCCTATCGCTGGATGTGTCATGCTCTTGCAGATTACGCATGATGCTGCCCACAAGGGACCTTTGCTTGCGGGATACTACATAGTAAGTGGGAAACAACGATCACAACGATATCTACAAAGGGCTAATTTATATGAATTAGATTTCTGTCTACCCAGCTATCAGTGAGTGATTGCTTGGTATTAATCAGAAGCAAAACTAACCATACCTAGCTCCATTGATTTACTCATGGTCGGCGGGAAACACTGCCGGAGAGACTAAGAAGAAGGTTACCACCGGCATTCTTTACGTTGGACAGTGCGCTGGTAATGTAAGAGGTTCTCAGTAGAGCAAGCACCTCCATTTCAGATACTGACATTCCTCGACCACAGGTTCTCGGTCCTAATCTCTACACCACGAATGATGCACCACTTTATCGCCGTGGACTTCTATCTAAGTAAGTCTGCAGATATATGATCAGGCTCATAATCACTAACAATTCACTAGCCTTGCGATGTTCTGTGTGTTGATACTGCTGATCGGGTAAGTTCTCTACGCCAGTACGTATTTATATGTTTCTTAACACCGGCTATAGGGCAAACATGGCATACCTCTACTTCCTGAACAAGAAGCATGAACAGAGACGTGTGGCTGTTGGAAAGAGTGCCAAGGTTGTCGACCAGTCAATGCAGACCGTCCAGGTTGCTACGGACGACAAAGAAGCTCTTCCTGCTCAACAGATGGTAGACAATGCCTGGAAAGATTTGACTGACTGGCAGAATGAGGATTTTGTTTATGTATTCTAGGCTTTGTTTGATTCAGAAATTGTTCGGATGTTAGTGTTTAGTTAGTTGGGAGGATTTCAGCACTTGTTTTTAGTCTATACACGTCGTCTACATTAACGAAAGAGGAACTCGGGCCCCTACTCCACCTTGTAAAGCCACTGAAACTGAGACAGGAGACTTAAAAAGCCGATAGCCGGCGGAATATATCCCAACTGGTTAATCGAATAGCCGGTTCGGAGCTACAGCCGAACCCCGCGTTTCTCCAGGTTTTCCCCTTTCCGCCATCTCCGAACCTTCGGTGTAACCGGAACACGACTCAGTCATGGCTGATCATGCAGGTTGTAGTCCATACAGCCCGGGGCTGGATGCTGAGGATTCCTTGCACCTTGCTCCCGCGCCCACTGGGAAGAAGCGTATTCCGGTACGTATCATGTCCGTTTCTGGCCAATTGGACCCCTGTGTTTCATGGGCTTGATGGGATCTAACTTACTATGGTGTTTGCATGCATAGAAAGCGTGTAGTGCTTGTCGACAGTCGAAGGTCTGTGCTCAATTTGAAGGATCCACGGTGTTGAGGCTGATCTCTACAGGTGAAATGCGATGGGGAAAGACCATGCACGAGGTAAGTCAAAAAGCCGGCTGTATCATCATCCAATTGACCTCTATGGCACTAATCCCGTGACTCCAGATGCCAGAAACTAGAGAAACAATGTATCTTCTTCGAAATACCAAAAGACCCCGTCTCAACGTGAGCTGCTTACATTGGCCAGATATAAACAAGTCAATCACTGATACCCTACAGAAGAATTGAGGGTGTCGAGTCCGAGGTTCAGTATCTCAGACGACAGTTAGATGAGATGCGCGAGCTGCTTCAACAAAGCCGCGCTCACACAACGCCGAAATCCCAAGTAACACACTCCCCAAATCAACCCCGTGATCGGCAAGCACAAGTACGCCGTGAGAGCTTCTGCGGCTCTTCATGCTCCCAATATACTCACTCACAGGATCATGTCCAAGATGGTCTTCCTACTATTCCAGTCCCAGGGTCCGGTGGATACATGAATGGTCATCAGTATCAACGATCCATGCCGTCTATACCAACCCTCTCTCCCAATGAGATTGCCACTCAGCCTATCTATGGAGTTTCGAATCAGATTATTACTCGTCCACTAAAGAGGAAACGGTCCGGCTTCGAGATTCGGGATGAACCTATTGCCGATTTTATTGATAAAGGTCTCATTACACCGGAGTATGCTGTTTCTTATTTCAACACGTATGTTTTCCTGCAAGATCTACCACCAAGGCTTTAATTGACATGGCATTGACACTGCTCTAGATTCTTTGGAGGATGCGTACGTGCCATGCTTCGTACTGGCACATTTCAGATACTGATATATGGAAACCATACAGGACAGATACATCCCTATCTTCGATCCGGAATACGATACGTTCGACTCTGTTCGGTCGAGAAGTAGCATTCTTCTCAATGCTATATGCACGATTGGCTGCATGGTTGAGACAAGTAAAAGCCCCTCACTCACCCTATTATCTCCCATCTCCGACACTAAAAAACAACCTCACCAGGATCTGGCGGCCCAATGTCCGACATGTTACATGCAGAACTAAAAAAATGGATAAACGTGATTGTCCAAAACAAACAACTAAATTGCCTCGAGTCCGTGCAAGCGATGCTCGTCGTCGCGTGCTACTCATCCGAACGCTCATTGATCTTATCATTCGCTACTCGCATGGCCCTAGATCTAGAGTTACACGAAGCCTTTGATGAATTGACCCAGCGTCTTGCCATCAAGAATGATGATATGGCATATGCCTTGCCGCATCAGATGTTCGAGGAGGAGAGGGCTTTGATGTGGAAGGCGAGGACTTGGTTTGGACTCTTGGTTTTGGAGCATATGTGAGATCCATTTCTTCTTTATTTTGACTTGGTTGTATACTGATAAATTTCGGTTTAGTTTTCGTGTTGATGGTGGTAAACCACCTGGTATTCGATTGAAAGGGAATGCTCGGCGCTGTCGTGTTCTGCTTTCTCATCCTTCTTCGACTATTTTGGATTTAAGATTGTTTTCTCAGGTTGAGGTATGATCAATGGGTGCTATCTACTTTTAAAACGCGCTTTGAGGAGATGCTTACTTTTATTGACAGTTGAATATTCTTAGAGGTAATTGATTCTATCTCATGTTTCCAGCAGCACTGCTAACTAGTTTCTGAAGCCAATGTGGGTGATACCTTGGGAGGAGGCACGACACTTGATGGACAAAGTATAACCGACTATGTTCATGATATCAAGATTGAACTTGATCTATGGTTTGAGTGAGTTCTTTGCTCGTCATACACACCCTCATTTGCTAACTCTTAAAAGTGACTGGCTACGCATCATCGGTATGAAACATCTATATTTCAACCACGCTTTTAGTACTGGAGTGTGACTGACCTGCCCAAGAAAGCTGCATTGCCGCCGAGGAAGAAAAACCATCCCTGCTCGTCGCCTTGCGAGTCCAAAAATGCTGGGCTGAGATGATGCTCAACTGCAAAGCACTACGAGCCATGGGGGTCGAAAACGTTGCGTAAGTCAGCCTTAGCTTGTGTGTACTGTTCACTAGCTGACTCCCACAGTGCCATGTCCACCACCGAACGAACAATCCTCCTAACGGCAAAAGCAAGTGCCCGCCGCCATCTCCGACTAATAATAGTGGAACCAGATTTCTACCTCGCGAAGCTAAAATATGCGATGGACTTTGTCTGGGCGAAATGTGCTTTCTCCTTCCTGCTACTATTAAAATTATCCCGTCTACTACCTGAACGAGACGAGGAATATCAAGAGCTTCTAGACCACGGCAACCAACTGGTGTCTGAATTAAGCAAAGCAGGCTCCAACGGGAACCAGTCTGGTGCTGGAAATATCTACCTGCAGATTTTGAAGGTCAGTATCGAGAAATATGGACGTGCATTGCGGGAAACGCAGCAGCCGAGCTCAGATGGACAAATCGCGACATCGCCGTTCTGGGAACTATTCGATGCGCAGGCAGATCTCCAGTGGTTCGTACCTGAGTAGTTTGTCTCAGAGTGGGATTTCCCGGGGCTGAATCTGTTTTATTTTCCCACTGCCTGGCAGGACTTTTTTGGGGATTTTTCGTTGGCTATGTAGAGATATAGGGAGCTTTATATTGGAAATCCCGAATGTGTGTTTCTATCTCACAGATGATTCGATGCCAAATGTAAACATAAAGACATGCTTCTAAGCTTGAAATGCCGTTCACTTTTGGTAATCCTCTATCTAACTCTTAGGAAATGGACGAGCCCTGGATATCAAGAAATTCAAGTGAAAATAGTCCAGACAAACAAAAACAGAATGCGTCAACTTTCATCATTGTACAATCTGTACTTAGGCGAGGGCCTTCATAGCCAGCTCGACACTAAATCGATAGGTTAGCAGAGGCATTTTCTCAATAAATTAACGGAAAGGAAACATACGTAAGGAAAGTTCCAGCAGAGACAGGCATAGCTCTCAGCAAAGTAGGGCCGATACCCTTCCAGAAGCCACCAAGACCCTCAATAGCATAGGTCTTCTTAAAGCAATCACGCATGCTGCTGAACTTCTGATTGGCACCGAATCCATCGGTCTGCATCTTACTCTTGACAACATCGAAGGGGTAACTGGAGAGCCAGAGAGCCTCACCAGCCAGACCACCATAAGTAGCAACCTTGACGCTAGACAGATCCTCGCGCTTCATGTTGTTGCGCTTTGCGTCCTGGTTCATCATAAACTCGAACGCCATGAACCAAGTACCGTAAGCCTGCGCCTCACGAATGACAGTGACGGCCTGGCCGCGGTACAGACCGCGGAGCATACCGCCCTGAGCGGACAGCTTGCTCACGCAGTCGAGAGGGCCAGAGTAGAGACGACCGGCGCCGTGGGGCTGGGCCTGCAGGCGGATACGTACGTGCTCGATTGGGCCGGACAGCACGGAGTTAGTCACACCGGCGAATGAACCGGCCATGAAGAACTGGGTGTACGAGAGAGCAGAATCGGCGTACTTCTTCTTGTTCAGCTCTTCGAGGCGGCGGCGGGCCTCGTGGTATGCACCGAACTGGACACTCACCTGTATTGCTGGGTTAGGGGTTTGCTATGTTGCCATCCGTGCTTGGAGTCACTTACGCAGGCTCCGATACCGATGAGAGGGGTCAGAGTTCCCTTGTAGAAGGCTGTGGGACCTTCATTCTTGAAGATCTGGGTTGCACACTCCAGAGCACTCTTGTATTGAGTGGTGGTTTGCAATCGCACCTTGACGATATCTGGATTTTGTTAATTAATGCTGCATTTGTGCTTTATCGCATCACATACCAAAGGGTTGACCTATTTGTTTGTTAGCAATGTTCAGATTTACATGTCACAGAATGGATTTTGCATAGTCCGAGGCTCAGTTTTCACGTTGTGAGGTCCCTGGCGCTTCCCCGGAATCCACTCAATTTAGGGTGCACACATACCGAGCAGCACCTGGGCCATTCCACCAGCTGCACCCGCAGCAAGATCCTTGATGGTGCGGAGGGCACCACCACCCTTCTCAATATCTTCAAAGGCCTCAGACTCCATGATTGATATTCAATTGCAAAAAAAATACGAAGTAGAGAGGGAGACGACTTTATAACTTCTTATCGCGATGTCGCCATCTGCCCGCTGATTCGAGGGGGTCGCCGATTCACGTGACTTTACCGGCGGAGAAGTTACGTAAGCGGAGAACGGATGACATAAGCTGGTCGTCTCGAACTTCTGCATGGGGAAAAAAGTGTTGGATCAGTTGTGGAGAGAGCAATTATGCATCGTCGCCCAATCTTGAAGGTGAGTTTCAAGCTATTGTGGTGTATGACCTTCTTACTCATGGTTATAGCTCTCACATCGGGCTGGATGGTCGGGTTCAACCGGCCTAAAACCCTCATTAACAGCTTTATCCATTCGACGGACGTTAAGACTATCCGCGAGCTGTTTAAAAACGTCAGATTCGTCGAACGGAAACGATAACGATGCTACTTCAAGTTCCGCGCCAGCGAAGCCAAAGTTTGGGAGCCGATGGGCTCCCAAAGCAGCTACTAAGCCCGCGGGTTTAAGTGCCGCAGAGCAAGCTATGCGCAATAGTATCGTCGCCAACAATCCACCGCCATCATCGCAGCCCGAACAACAAACGGAACCTCACTTGCGGCGCCGACAAAACGATCGATCAAACCGGACTCAGAATTCGAGGTCGAGACGCGATGGAGACACCCCGCGCCTGCGATCAAGTCCGAAGTCATCAGGATTAAACGCGGAGGAGCAAAAAGTGCGCGATGTTTTTGGCACCAGTAACGAAACACCTCAGCAGCGAGACCCTCCTCGATCTAATGTCTTTGGGGCTCCCCGATTTGGCCCTCGGACGACTTCGAAGCCAGCAGGCTTGAGTACCGCAGAGCAGGCTATGCGTAATGCTCTAGTAAAGGAGCACACTAGACCACCACCGCCATCTCCGGAGTCCCGACAACCGCGACGATTCGATCGATCAAACCCATCCCAGAACTCTAGGTCAAGACGTGATCGCGATGCGGATATCTGGGGCAATCGGCCTTCTACGGACGTCTCAGGCTCACAGCCCTCGGAAGCAATGCCATTTGGACGAGAGCGGTGGCATGATGGAGCCCTGGGTAGGACTAATAGGAGCAAGCCTGCTCTTGACTGGAACTGTCCTAGTTGTATGGCGCATGTCCATGGCACGAAGATGACATGTCCATTCTGCCATGTGCCTCGCCCGGGTGGCCTTAAAGAAAGATTCCCATCCACTAGAAACTACGATATTTCCACTCGGTCTCAGGGAAGACAGTCTGGCCAAGCACGCTCCGAGGATACAAGAAAGCTCAAAGATCTGAGCAAGTCATTTTTGCCTGAAAATGATCAGTTCCAGTCAGCGCAGCCAGAGGCGGCTGACCTGCAAGGCTCCACCAACACAGCATCAGGACCGAAGGACAAAGAGACCATCAAGACAGAGAAAGAACAGAAGGAAAGGGCCAAAAAAAATGATTGGACCTGGGATATGTCTGCACTCGAACAATTGGAAAACCTAGAGTCACAAGAGCAGGAGCAGTCACAGAAGCCGACCAAGCGCCGCGATGGGCGCAAGGGACGTCAAGCGGCACCCGAAGCAGCAGAAGAGTTCGACTCGGAAGAACGCCAACGTCTTCGTGAAGAGCGGAGACGGCAGCAAAAAGAAAAGGCCGCCAAAAAGGCTGCGAAGAAAGCTGCTAAGGATGCCCCAGCGCCTCTTTATCTGCCTGAGTTCATCAGCGTCAGCAACTTGGCTGATGTTATTGGTGTACGGCCGGCGCAGTTTGTTGCGCGCATGGAAGACATGGGATTCGAGGATATTACATACAAAGATGTCCTTGACGCAGAGACCGCTGGGCTGGTGGCTGCTGAGTTTAACTTCGAGGCCATCTTTGATACCGGCTCAGATGATCTCAAGGCTGCGCCTCTGCCAGAGGATACATCTGATTTGCCAACTCGTCCTCCTGTGGTTACCATCATGGGCCATGTTGATCATGGTAAAACCACTATCTTGGATTGGCTGCGCAAGTCATCCGTGGCAGCATCTGAGCATGGTGGTATTACGCAACATATTGGTGCATTCTCTGTTATGATGCCTTCCGGAAAGGCCATCACCTTCCTAGATACCCCTGGTCACTCTGCGTTCTTGGAGATGCGCCGCCGTGGTGCTGATGTCACTGATATTGTAGTACTTGTCGTGGCCGCAGACGACAGCGTCAAGCCCCAAACCATTGAGGCCATCAAGCACGCCACCCAGGCTAATGTGCCCATCATTGTCGCCATGAGCAAGATTGACAAGGAGGGCAAGAATACCGACCGAGTCAAGGGTGATCTCTCCGCCAATGGTGTCCACGTGGAAGACTATGGTGGTGACGTTCAGGCTATTGGTGTCAGCGGTAGGACCGGAGAAGGAATGGTTGAGCTCGAAGAAGCCATTGTGGCACTTTCGGAAATGCTCGACCACCGTGCAGACATTAATGGCAATGCTGAGGGCTGGGTTCTCGAAGCCACAACTAAGAGTCATGGTCGTGTAGCCTCCGTTCTCATTCGCCGTGGAACTTTACGACCCGGAGATGTCATTGTTGCCGGTACCACATGGGCACGCGTTCGCACTCTCCGTAACGAAGCCGATGTACCCATCAGTGAAGCCACACCCGGAATGCCGGTTGAGGTCGACGGCTGGAGAGACCAGCCAGGCGCTGGTACCGAGCTCATCCAGGCTGACACCGAACAAAAAGCCAAGGATGTCGTGAATCACCGGTTGAACAAATCCGATACCCAGAAGATGGGTGAGGATATGGTTGCCATCAACGAGAGCCGAAAGGCACTTCTTGAGAAGCGCAGACTCGAGGACGAAGATGAGGAATCAACTTCCAGGCCCGAGGAACCAACCGGCCCCAAAGCTGTGCATTTCATTCTGAAGGCCGACGTGGATGGCTCAGCGGAAGCTGTGATGAACTCCATTGCGGCAATTGGCAACAATGAAGTCTACGCCAACATTCTTCGGTCGGGTGTGGGCCCTATCAGTGAATTCGATATCGAACATGCTGCCAGTGCTAAGGGCAAGCTCATTTGCTTCAACCAGCCCATTGATCCCAACATAATGCGCATTGCAGAGAACGAGGGAGTTGAGATCATGGACCACAACATCATCTACAAGTTGATTGATGATGTGAAGGCCACTCTCAGCGAGCAGCTACCTCCATCGGTTACTACCCGTGTGACTGGAGAGGCTGAGGTTCAGCAAATCTTCCAAATCACTGTCAAGGGACGCGACAAGGCAGCTATTGCTGGAACTCGTGTTCGTAACGGTTTGATTAACCGAGCCCGCAAGGTCAGGGTTCTCCGCGGTGATGAGACCGTTTATGATGGTAAGTGCCCCACAGGAGCCACAATTCACATGTTTCGGAAATCACTAACTCTTATAGGCACCATTGTTTCCCTCAAGCACGCCAAGAAGGACGTCACCGAGATGCGCAAGGATACAGAGTGCGGTATCGGATTCGAAGACTGGTCTGACTTCCAAGTGGGTGACCACGTCCAATGCTATGAAGAGATCTTCGAGAAGAGATATCTGTGAGATATCGTGAGTTCAACATCTATGCGGTGAGCATCGCAATCACCGCTTGTACTATTTGTCTGTATTTCTGGCGCTCTCCATTTCCATCGATTTTGGAGGATCTTGTATCATATTTTTCTTTCCTCGGCATGATTGACTTGCATCCATGGTTTGGGCGTTGTTGTATCCCTCGGGGATTAGAGGAAGGCATACAATCAATGTAATTAAGGAGATTCATGGCAGAGCAAGTGTATATTTTCAAACAATGCTGTCTATCCATATACCTTCTAACTTGTACATCCTCTGTCCTCCAGCCATCTCCCTGCTCTATGCATACACTTCTATAAAAATTACCTAGCCTTCCACCTCACCCTAGAAACCCACCCCGCCCAATCCTGCACATCCTTCCTCTCGAGAATCCTCTCAATAGTAAACCACTCTCTCGCAAGCTCCTCATTACTAGCCATACGATGCACAAAGCTATGACAAGCACGACAAAGCCAAGCAACGCTATTCAACATCCACTCCTCATGCCACCCCTTCTTGACAACCTTTGCATGCACCCCTCTTGGAATAAGATGATGATAAGAAAGCGGAATCCAATCCCTCTCGCAGATCTCGCACGCGTCTGTCCGCGTATCCGCCCACACAGGCGGTCCGGCTGTCACGCTTGTTGTGTATTCTGATAGAATTGGCGAGAGGAAGTCTGGGAGATCCGCTGCGTCGGGGATTATACCGTAGACTGCTAGGCTATCTGTTACTGAGAGGGGAATTGGAGTGCATATTTTTTCGAGGATGGCTCGATCTAAAGGAGTTTCAGCGTCGGGGGGGACGTAGAGGGTGCTGAGGGTTGGATCATGTTGGGTTGCTGCATAGGTGAGATTCTGGAGGGGTTCGGGGAAGGAGGTGAAGGATTCTGAGGCGAGGAACTGGGGTTTTTTTTGTGAGATTCATGAACTTTTAGGTATAGACTGCTGATTGAGGGTGTATATTTACGTCGACGAATTCGGCGAGCTCTTCTGGGTTTGCCCGTTCTGTTGAGATGTCTTCTGTCACGTCTTTGCGCGCATTGCGTTTGCCTTTGGATTTTCGTTTTGTTCTTGATTTACCCTCCGAGCGGGCGACGATGGCGTTTGAGAGACATTCGCGGAATACCGCGTAGTTTTCTGAGGTCATTGGGGGTTTTGAGCTTTGGGGCTGTGAGGGGAGCTGGTTGGCCCCACGGGATGTTGACATCATTTGCCCGCATATTTACGAGGAGCTGAGATGCTGCTTTTTCACCTTTAACCTCACAGCCATTATGACAGAGACGACTGTTGTTGCTTTTGATCTTTACGGTACATTGCTCTCGACAGAGTCGATTGTCAAGCAGCTGGAGAAGCATTTTGGCCATGCCAAGGCGCAGTCCATCTCCGCTCTTTGGAGACGGTATCAACTCGAATATACATGGCGGTTGAACAGCATGGGTGCGCCAGTCACTCTTGATCCATATGCATTACTAACATCTTGCAGATCGATATGAAGATTTTTCCATCGTCACATTCAACTCGCTTCGGCATGCACTGGCCGATAATGGCGAGCAACTTGGCGACGACGATATCGATGAACTGATGGCAGCTTACGACAGTCTCTCTACCTTCGCCGACGTGAATCCAGCCTTAACTAGAGTAGCAGCAGACCCATCTCTCGAGGCTGTGATCTTCTCCAATGGCACCAAGACCATGGTCTCCAGCTCGGTGCTGCGATCGAAGGACCTTTCACCGCACGCAAGCGCGTTCAAAGGCCTCGTCACAATGGATGAAATCCGGCGCTACAAGCCATCACGGGCAAGCTACGAGCACCTAGCAACTCAAATGGGCAAAGATCCAATCGAGATGAGCAAGTTATGGCTGATCAGCGGAAACCCATTCGACATCGTCGGGGCGCGCAGTACGGGCATGCAAGCTATCTGGGTTGATCGCGCAAACACTGGTTGGAAGGATGCCGCAGCTCCTGATCTACGACCAACAGCGATTGTACACAGTCTGGAGCATATTGTGGAAGAAATCCAGGCTCGGCTTTAAGCCACGACTAAAAGCTTCAGCATGTTGAAGCGGAAGAGAGGAAATGTACAGCTGAATATATTTCCAAACGCTCCACGCTTGAGTAGAAGAATTTGGGGTAAGCCAGCAGACTCGGTCTATCCTCCCATTTCCCCTCCAGGATTTTCCATTGTAGGGAAGTCCAGAGTGAATAGGGAGGAAAATAGTTTTATGTGAAGAAGAAAAGGAAAAGAGCTCTCGGCGAAAAAATCTCGAGCAAAATAGGCAGTGCTTAGTCATGATCCAGTCATGATAGTAATTTAAGTCACGTGGAGCTTATCGATAAGAGCAGGCTTCCTTTTTCTGTTGCGGACTTCAGACAGGGAGAGTCGAGAGTCTGCAAGCTATGTCGAGACTGTGGGATCCCAGCCGGGCAGCTTGGCTGTACCCTCTTCGAGTATGTGTCCTCGATCCAAACGCAAGTTCAATACTGATCTCCTATTAGGGCATCTTCTACTTTGCGTCGAACCGGTTCCTATGGCCTCTGTTCAAAACCCGCCTTTTGCCTATTGTTCTCCTCTCCTCATTTATTTACTTCATTCTTTTCTTCTTCACCTATCTCCCCCAGGTCGCATTCCTTGCAATCTTCCAGGGAGCTTCCTCATGGGTTAGCGGTGCATTCCTGGTCCTCGGTGAAGGTGCTGCGATCGTCGCGGCCCTCTTTGAGGCATTCTTCGTGGATGAGACCCTGGTAGATATCTTTGATGCAGTCTTGGTCAACGAAGGTCAAGAGGAGCTTGTCACTACATCCCGAGTCATTTACCCGGAACCCGGCGATCCTGCCAAACGCCTCGGCACGCCGACCACCAGTGCCGTCTATTCTCCCTTCTCGTTGCGGCAAATCGTCGAGTTCGTTGTTTTGCTCCCGCTCATCTTCATCCCTGTGGCTGGAACTCCCATGTTCCTCATTCTGACTGGCTACCGTGCTGGTCCCTTCCATCACTGGCGCTACTTCCACCTGCTTGATATGAGCAAGCAGCAGAGGAAGGAAAGCATCAGTCGACGCCAGTTGCAGTATACCACGTAAGTGACAAACCACGTCATTACCAGATCGATTAGAATCTGATATCACATCTAGGTTTGGAACGGTCGCTCTGATCCTACAGCTGATTCCCCCCTTCTCTATGCTCTTTTTGATGACCACTGCCGCTGGCTCTGCACTCTGGGTAACGGACATTGAACGCAAGCGCCGAGCTGCTAACCAGCAGGCTAGTCGGCTGGGTGAACAATATCGCGATGACATTATGCCATGACCTGTTAACGATGTCATATGTGCAGACCGACCAAGCAAGGTCGATCTCATTCCCACTGGACCCTGTGGCAGGACCCCTTCCCCCCTCCCCTAGTTTGAGCCACTAAAATCGGGCCGGTCGTAGCTTTCATAAATCCAATCGTAATTCTCAAGTTTCAGTTCATTTGTAGTTCTTAACTTTCGGTATCGCACGTGACTCACATCCGAGGTCATTTCTCATCGCATCGTGTTCATTCAGTTCATCTTTGGCGGCTCGGCTTCAGTTCCACCCCGCTTAGCGACTTCCGGTCTTTAGTCTTCCCCGGACTTCCATTGAAACGCGTTTTTGTCTTTCGGAGTTTCTGATATATTCTGACCGGGACTTCAATCTGCTCGGCGGATATACAAAGGGTTTTCCGGCCCTGAATTGCACGCGCTTGTGCCGTTCCTGGTTTAATCATGACCTGACAGCTTGAGGCATGGTCAATCCGAGCGCGTAAAAAGCTCACCGATGGACCTGAAAACCAGGCTGCGCAAGGCCTGCGATGCCTGCAGTATTCGAAAAGTGAAGGTATGTCCGCTTTGATCCGCGGCCAACCGTGGAGATAACTGATCTTGCATGCAAGTGTGATACCGGTGGGCCGCCTTGTCGGTCATGCGCTAGCTTGGAGATTCCCTGCACCTACGAGAGACCCAGCAGACGCCGTGGGCCTCCTAACCGCCATGCAGAGGCGCTTAAGAAGCAAAAGCGGGAACCGCTGCTTGACGACGAAGCATCCCTAAGTCCGGCAGACTATCCGCCAGTGACGACTCCACAGGCTACCTTCGCCAACCCTCCATCGGGGCAGTTTCCCCTTTCGGCGGAATCAATTTGCTCTTTGCATACGGTTCAGCTATTGCTTGATGACTTTTTTACTTATATTCATCCTTTGGTTCCGGTTCCTCATGAGCCTACTTTCAGAGCGGCGTTTGAGAGAAGGGAAGATGTGACCAATCACACCTTTTTGGCCCTTTTGGCGTCCATGATTGGATTTCTTGTGGCTTCATTTCCTCGACGACCTAAATTACGGCTCAACACTGAAGCGGAACGCCATGCGTTCCCTAACTCTATAGCTTTGGTCAAGCGCTGTCTCGATGTTGCTATTCAAGCCAGAGGCGCCGGGTATCTCGACCGCAATGCCACAGTATACGATGCGGCAATCAGTTATTTCCTTGCCGTTTGTGCTGGCTATATTTATAACATGCGCAGATGCCGCGTGTATCTTTCGGAATGCCGAGCTATGCTCTCGGTTTATGATTTATGCCGGTCCCCGCCACTTACCACCCGATCATCAACTTTGGGACCCAACAGCCCGTTATCATCGGCCTCCATGATGCAAGATCAGCCTGTTCATAGTTTTATGGACACACAAGGGGTCGATCTCATCACCCAAGAGCTCGGCCGACGTTTGTTCTATGTCACCCTTGTTGGGTATCAGACATTGCACCAAATGGGCTCTGTTGATATCAAAGTTCATGTCCCCCCAGAGACTCCAACGGACCCATACCCACCACTACCGATGGAGATTGATGACGAATTCTTGTTCCCAACGCACTTTGAACCACAGCCACCAAGTCGGATTTCCCGACTAGTTGGGTTCAACGCAAATGTTCGTGTCTATAGCTCATACACAGATTTGCTATGTTGGGAAATAGCATTTGGCAGTGGACAAATCTTCGACTGGGAGCATCAACGATCCAGTCTCTGGGGCTGTCTCCAGAAAGCAAAGTCAGCACTACTCAATGTCCCCGTTGAGCTGTCGCTAGATCACCCGAAACATTTATCCCCAGCCCGCTTGTCTGGTCTCGGCGAAGATGGCACAGTTTTCAGCTATGCAGATGACCACATCCACCAGGAACGACGTGCCATTCAGTATGAAATTCAAAAAGCCAACATATACGCCAGTCAGCTGTGCACAAGATCTTTTCTAGTCGAAAAGTACTGGAGTCTCTTTGAGACATTCTCAAAATATGGAAAGTCATCTAAATTCACTGGGCCGGGAGCCACAACGCCACAAATCAAGGTCGAAGGCATGCCAGATACGACGAAAACTGCCACAGGTAGTGCCACCACTCCATCAGAAACCAATACCAACACTCAGGCCCAAACTCATGCCCAGGACGACTACATCGGCCGTATGATGGCCGAAGAACGCCAATCAGTCATAAAAGACCTGTTCGTACTATTACGAACAGTGAACGAAGTAAACATGGAGCCAAACGGCGCAAGCATCGTAAGTTCCTACCAACCCACCCACAAATCACAAGTAGCACAAACCGAACCAACTAACCACTCATTCTATCCACACAGACAGGCAAAATCCGCCAAGTAGCGTCAACCCTCCTCAACCTCTCCCCACGCACAAAACAAAGCCCCCCAACCCTAATCCCAAGTCTCACACTGCACCATCCCCTAGAACCAACCGCCTCATCCCCAACACCCACACCGGGCCTGCCAGGCCTCCACGTCCTCACAGCCGCAGAGGCAGAATCCTACCTACACGCCTTTATCGAGACTCTCGTTCGACTAGAATGTCACTCGTCGATGGCTGACTCGGCTAGTAATGCCGATGGACTTAGTCCGCCGGTCAATGGTCGTTCTATGAGCTATCTTTCGGATTATCAGCGTGATCAAGAGGAACTTGGGCAGTGGGCTAGTCTCAAGGAATATCAACAGAAATTTGCTGAGGCTGGGGGTGTCTTGTATCAGTTGTAATTCCGTCTTGGGCTTTGCTTCGTTTCGGGGTTTTCTGGTTTCTTGTATGATGGTTTGGTAGAAAGGACTTGTGCAGCTTGGCTTGGGGGTCGTTCGTTAATATCGGGATTGGTTCGTGCACTGATTGCTGGTTTGCAATCTTTCCTGGAACTCACCAGGGTACTTAGCTATTATTCAACCTATGTAAATCTATATTATTCTCATGATTTCTGTCTTGGTGAAGGCTTCCTCGCTGATATGAACGAAAATGAAGCAGGTAGCGGGCCACCTAATTGGTCAGCTTTCGTAGGGGCTAGTTATATAAACCATCGGTGCATGGTTTATTTCAACCATTAGGTATTTTGAGAACTCAGCCAGCGATTTGAGTAAGAGGCTTGCAAATATTCGTCCTCACTTTAGTGTTATTGAGCTCGTACCTTTCGTATAGCCCCGCGCGGCTTCTATCTACTTTCATCCCAAGACATTCGATATTGCCTACAAAGTTTCCGGTGAAAGAATGTCTGTCGCCACTTTGTCTGTCCAAATTTCCCGCAGTGGGTCGCCCTTGATTTACAACTCACACCGAATCTTTGAGGCAATATCGTGAGTGGATCAATCTCTCTTTCGTGCGACCCTCAGGCTACAATTTGTGGAAGTTTCAGGATGATATTTTCACAGGTGTTAAGATTTGATATGAAGATTACCTGTGGCAGGTACTGCTTCTGCAGGGATATCACGTTACCCTGTAGATGTACATGTAGTGAAGCTAAAGCTAGTTTGGTAGGAAAAGACGAGCCCAATCTTAACCATTGGCGCCCTACTTTATATTGCACATGTAGGCTGCCATGTAAACTCGCCCCTGCACGAATCATTCATGAACACGTCGATGAAAAGTGGCTGAACGCATAGACCAGTTGGCTTGAGAAAAATTGGGTATTGTGGGTCTATCTGTCTACATCAAATAGCCATTGCAGGGTCTCAATGGCCTTCATGAAGAAAACAAACACTCTGCCGTAGAAAATGGGTTGCTCTTGCTCATACAATCAAACTCAAGATTGATTCTGGGATTACTCAGAACTGTGTATTGGACTATAAACAGAGGCAATTGTCCTGTTAGAGCAATTGCTTGCAAACATGGTATTGACCGCCAGATGCAAGCCATTGGAGCTCCTAAAAAGAAAAGAATTAGTCAATTTCTTGGAAACAAAAGACTTCTCTTACACTGCTGATACACCAACCGACCGTTCTCATTGCTGATCCGATCATTCAGGTCGATACCCTGTCTTTCTCTGTGGCCACCGTCTCTCATGGGCAGCTCCGCTGTCAGCATTGAGCCATCGAGCTCAACATTGTGGGCACTCTGGCCGGCATTCACTCCATCCCACATGAACCAGCCTAGTACTTGTTGTTAGTGGTTGCGATGATGGGACGGGGGATTGGGAAGAATAGCATACCATCTTCATTGCCAATAAAGTCATCGAGTCTCAAGGAGGCAGATTGGGATTCACCATCCTCATTGCGGGCATCACAGTGCAGGTAGATTGCGTCGTCATTGATCTCAATGCGAACGTTTTCGCAGCTTTCGTAAAAGGACATGTTGTTGAATTGAGGAATTGAAGATTGAATGAGGAGGGTGGTAGAGTAGAAAGGCTTGGAGAAGGTCTCAATTGAGGATCGGACTTATTTATACCTACGCGGGGCCAGGGGAAGTCGGCTTTAGTCACCTACATGTCTTAGCTTGGTGGAATGATGCCAAGAAGATGCAACAAAAGATATGACGTGTGGAGCGCAGACCGACAAATGATCAAAGAGAAAGGTTGGGCGCGTATGTATGATTTAGCTATATTTGAAATCATCGTCGCTCATTCTAGGTAGACAGATATATCGGGGATCGATACATAACCTCTACCGGAGTGGCGTACTTGTCACAAACATCTTGTCTTTGTCCGTGACATATATACACGGATTTCAGGTTCAAATCTCTGCGACTTGGGATCTAAGTGTAGGAAAAGTGTAAAATTGACTATAGCTTAGGAAACATACACGGCATTAGAGAGTATAGCTAAACTCCATAATCCACAGATTGAAAAAAAGTGACAAATTGCCTCCATTTAGAAGAAGAAATAAAAACGCAATTAAGAGATACAATCCAACTATACATCCCTAGTAACAGTAGCAGTGACAGTAGCAGTGACAGTCTCAGTAACCTTATCTGTAACAACCTCCGTCACTGTCTCAGTAACATGAATAAACCCAGCTGGCGTCACAGGAATGACACTGAGCAAGCCTTGTCCTGAATCTGACGTTGTCGTGCTCGTAGGTACCGGTGCAGTGGATTGAGTGGTTGCTAAGGCAGCAGGAGTCCCTGCTGTGTCTGCCGTTGATTCTGCTGCTGCCGGTGGAATGGCGCTGTTCTCGCCTGAAGTGGATAAAGTACTGGAAGTGGATGATGTCGAAGACAGAGATGACGTAGCTGGGTAAATTGTCACGACAAGCGTTTCCGTTGCTGTTGCGAGGATGTGAACTGTGCTCTGTTCACTTGAAGAAATTGTCACAGAAGATGCAGCCGAGGAACTGGTTGCCGGCCAGACTGTTATATGGACGGTCTCTGTCTTGGTTGCGATGACTGTCACGGGCTCAGTAGCGAGCGGTGTGGCGGACGTGGTAGGCGTTGCAGCTTGGTTGATAGAACCGAGAGAGCTAACTTCTAAGATAGATGATAGAGATGTCATTGTGGGTGGAACAGATGCACCGGCTGGCTGTATAGATATGACTGCAGGTGGAACAGTAGTTGTGCTTGGGGGAACAGATGCATCGGCTGGCTGTATAGATATGACTGCAGGTGGAACAGAAGTAGTAGTTGGTGGGATGGCTGGCGGTATAGATGTCGTTGTTGGTTTGATAGAGGTAGCTATGGGCTTGGTGGGTGTAGTTGTGGTATGTGAAGATGTAGTCGTGTGTTTGAAAGACGTAGTTTTCGAACCAACAGGAGCCATAGTGACAGTCGAGGAAGGCCCTAAACCTGTTCCACTAAGCCAGACAATAACATGGCCTGTTTGCGTTACCATCGGTACTTTTGAAGTGGAAGACTTTGACGTTGACAAGCTTGTGGTAGTGGAAGACCTGGGTGTGGAAGTCCTGGGCGGCGCAGAGGTCGTCGTAGTTGAAGGAGATGTAGTCATATGTACATATGTTATCACATCAACTCCATCTGGATCAACACTGCTAATGCTAGTCCTAGCCAAGGATGAAGTTGATGGAGTTGAGGGGTGAGATGTTGTAGTGGGAGCATGTGTTGTTGTAGGTAGATGCGTGGTAGTAGGCTTCTTTGAAGTTGAACTACTTGTAGATACAGACGCAGGATCCTCGGTATAGTTTGAGACGTCAATCGTAAAGGGATTCTGCCAGCTGTAGCTAGTGGGCTCGGACGTATCCGATAAAACAGAGGTAGAGACAGTGGTCGGCAAAGAAGTGACTGAATCAGGTAATACCGATGCGAGGGGAGTAGTCTCGAATGCCGGTGCATTTGTCGAACTCCCAACTGCATGCGTTGGACTGGGAACAGGAATTACTGTCAGACCAATATGGGTCTCATTCTCATCACGTCGAAAAAGATCCTCGGAGGAAGAAGTCGGCAAAGGTTCCGAATCAGTAAGAACAGGAACAGACTCTCCAGTAAGTAGCCAGAGAGAGATCGGACCAGCCGAAACAGTCCATGCCAAAAGAGCCAATAACAAAATGAGCTGAGCGCAGAACATCCTGGCAAGAAACAGCGAGGGTGGGAACGATCGACAAGGTAAGATTTCAGAGAGTGTGGGTAGCAGAGAAAGAAGTAATATCAGGCAGAGATATAAGAAAGAGATGTAGTACAGTAGCTATCACACGCAGAAAAAAGCATGGCCAAAGAGAAAAGATATTCTTGTTCTAGTATTGGGCAACGGAAAAGGCGTTCTGCTGGCTTGCAGATGAAAGAATGGATTGATCAAGGTGATCAGGAAGAAACAGAAGAAAAAGAAACAAAAAGAATGAGGCGACAGCTACGCACTCCGATACCAGGCAGGAGAGATGATTTTCTTTGAGAGACTCGCTGTCGAGGATCCCAGCACGTATATCTGCAGACTAAGAGCCGGGTTAGGCTAGGTTTAGAGCTCCTGTCAGCCGTTCATTGTTGCAGGTAGAAAGGCATTAGCATCTTCAGAAGCCGCCATTGCAAGGGGCTCTTTGTGGGACGTTTCACTTGAAATAGATCTGCGAACAAAGAGACGTTGCAGTACGCGCCGGGGTCAATGGCGCGTGGTGATTGGCCCGCTGCAGGCGCAGCAACACCTTTTATTTTAATTTCAAGCTAATTCGAGGATATGGAGTTTGTTTATACATTGATTTGTCTCAATTCTTGAGTAGCACGGGCGCTTAATTGGTAGAGTTTGATTTTGTTCCGGCATACTTCAAAAATTAAGGATATAGTGCTATTGCACGGATCGGCCACCATCTTGACTCAATATCTGCAGACAAATGAGTCAGGCTAAGCCTGGACTGTAAATGTCCCGCCAATGCCCTCAAATGACGAAATTTGGCCAAAGGCATTCTTTGAGTCTCCATAGTAGTGCATCCGATAGGTCCCATCCTGCAGGGGGGTCGGGTCGCCGACACTATAATAATCATCCTCAATCTGCCATTGAATAGTCACTACACTGTAGCCAAGCAAGCTATTGGTTCGTGTCCAAAGAAACACGACATTCCAGTCGCGGTCATTGCGCACCACCTCCCAGTCACCGGAATCGTTCTTTCTTTCGACTGCCGCATAGGTCGACTCCTGACGCAAGTTGTTCCTCGGATTGGCGCCCACGAAGGTTGTATTGACAACGTTACCTGGGCCAAAGGGTCCACTCCCCGGGTTTGAAAGCACGTCCCCGAATGACTTGCCGAATGGTGCACCGTCGTATACAACCCCTGCAATGAAGCTCAATGAGTGATTGGTGTTGACCGGTGGATTGGGCCCAGGCTTGATGTCTGGGAGGTTCAAAGCAACTGAAGGCTTGTCCAAGTATGGCAGGTATGTGAGAGTCAGGTTGATGTAGGCTGCCAGGGTGTTTGGGCCGAAGAGCGTGGACGCGCCCTCGTAGCGCTGAGCGCTGTACTCCTCCTCGGTTGCCACATAGTGTGCATAGCTATTTGACGGGGCGCCTAGCACCACTTGAGGGTCTGGAACAGAGAGTTTCTCCCTGGCTCCTTTGGCTATTGCTTCCTTCCAGCGTCGCCCAGACATGGTGGTAGCCTCGCTGGTGGAAATAATGATAAACAGCTGGCCCACTCGCAACAACTGAATGTCGACAATGTCTGCCGCCCAAGCATACGGCTCTATGAGAGTGCCGACATCCAAAAGCACTTCCTTGGCGCCTTGACACTTCTGTTGTTCTTCAGTCGGTTGGTGAATGAATGCTCGCGCAACTTGCCACAAAGGATTGCTTGAAGCTGGACCGGTAGCGTTTTGTGTAAAATCAAAGGCCCCGGGCCCGTCTGTAGTTCCAGCGGCAAACGAGTAACCTAAAGCTGCGGGACAAGTCTTGAGAATACTCGAGTTGAATGGCGATTGGAAAGTGTAACCATTCATATCCTGATACACATGGAAAGACCTGACAGCGGAGCTCCCAGTGAGTTTGATAGGGTTCGTATTCATCTGCTCCCAAAGTTTCTTTGCTGCTGAATATTGGCGACGTCCAATTTCGAAGCAGCTCTTTGCGCCATTATCTTTTTCACGGAAGAAGGGTCCTCGACCGTGACATGGCTCGTTTTCTCCGCCGCAGGTACTGTCAGTATACCGACACATCTCATTCGAGCCGTCTTCACACCAAGCACCCAGAACATTAGGGCTTGTATCCCCAACATTAGCCTGTGAGAATCCAATAACAGCATCATCGGCAAATCTTGCATCGTCAGTGATACTCCGCTCGAATAGGTAGGCGGCAACACCCTTGTTGTCACCAGTCACCAGGGTGTTATTGTTGTACATAGATGTGCCATGGACGGGGAACCAAGTCAAAACCGCGGCCGTTTTGTTATCAGATTTCCGGTCAAACCGAAGGAGAGTCAAGGTCTTTTCCACATTGGCTGAATACTTTGCTTTTTCTTCTTCGGGGTTGTGGTCGTACGAAAAAGGGCTGCGGTTGGTATTGGCATCCTCCAAATCAATCGACCCAAAAGACAGCCGTCCCAATGTCAAACTTTCATGGGCACGCTTGATAGAAAGAATAGTTCCATCGACAATAGCTTGGTAGCTCTGCTTGTCAAAGCCTCGCGTCGGAATCTGAGGGAGTAGGTAATTCATCCACGCGCCGGGTCCGGAGTGCGAATGTGTCCCTGTCAATGCGACGTTGTGTTCGCCGTACCGTGCATAATCAGTACCAAGTGCAGCGAGACCCTGCAGGACTCCATGTCGTACGGCAGTGTCACCAGCGAGAGTGTCGAGTACAAGATACACAAAGGTATCCTCTGGTTTGTTTGGGTCTGCAAAAATGAAGGCGCGGGAATATAGTCTTTGCTTCAGACCGGTACCAAGCTGGTCTAGACTAGCATAGCCATTAAAATCGACTTCCACCACGGGTCTGATTGATATTAGCATTTTTCAGGCGTGTGCAGAACAAATAGAATGGTCGTACCCTGTTACATCGGCTTTGCCAGCTCCCACCAGAAATGTCCCGTCGTCAGTAGCTTCACTCGCCCTACTTTTCCACTGATTGAGGTTCCTGCTGAAATGAGGCGAGGGTGATTGCTCTTCATGTTTGAACACCGCGACTAGCTGTAAACAAACCAGCGCTGCAAGCATCACCGCAGCGAATATAACGCCCAATCGAACGTTAGCCATTTTTAAGCGCTTGGCGATGTACTGAATAGTAATATAAGCTATGAGCTCAGCACGTATAGCTCTCCGAGTTAGTTTGCTCCTCTGAAGAGACTGGCCGTCCTAGGACGACACACGAGTCTTATACAAGCCCGTCACGGAGGGTTTGGCCGCAAGTCAAGCTGGGATCAACATGCAAGCTTGGCGAAAGAGGTAAGCACCACGCTAGTAGACCCTGCAAAAGGTGACATCGCTTAGCTGATGTGTGATAGCGACCTCCTAGATCGTCATTCCTCTGCATTCCGAATCCCATTTGGGATTAGACTTTCAGCTTTCCCCCGCACGGAAGATGATATATGCCCGTAATATATGCATATTGTTAGGACCAGTCAAGGAACTAGGAACTGATATTAGAGGAAATGTGGTAGGTGTCAGGTCAACCTTGAGGGAACCTGAGCAATCAGAAGTAATCATGTAGATGGTGGCGGGGACCTCCTTGAGGGCTTCTGACAATGTTCCAGGTACTTTTACATTTGGACCCTGGTTTCCCCATTAGCTCCATGGCTCGTATGTAGCTAGAAGCATCCAAAATTAGACAGATCACTTGAATAATATCAATTGCACACAATACGAAGATGGTTATAGTCTTTTTTTTGCTGTATACTTCTCGATCACATGACATGCTGAGTCAGAAATAACTGACCGCCCTGAAGCATCCAAAGATTAATCGACCGCGACACTCTCGCTGTAACCAGCATATCACTCAAAATGCCTCTCATCAACGAATCTCACGACTCACTTCCCTGTAAGCCAAATGCAGCACCCACATATAAATACCATTGAACCCAATTGTCCTAACATATCGACCAGACGTCGACGCGGCGCCCTCAGCCTCCGCGCAAGCACGAGCCCAGCAACTCATTAACGCAGAGCTCTACCCCGAGCACGCCACAACTCTGCACCCATGGATCCCAGAAGCTCCAGAACCAAAGTTCACTGAATTCATGCAACAAGAGCTCGCGCGCAAAGCAAAAGGCACACCACTCACAGGCGGAATCGACCTCTCGCGCTACGAAGCACCCGAAGCCCCAACCCGCGCCTCAGACAACGAAGCGCCCAACCTAGAAGAATGGCGCAAGACCCTACAGAAAGCATACGCATCAAGCTCACACCTCGCCAAGCGCCATGAGAACCTGGCGCTGCTCGAGGAGCATGGCAAGAATGCTTGGTTGATTGGTAACTCGCAGCTAGAGGAGATCCTTGGTCAGTTGGAAAAGGAGTTGGCGGAAACGAAGGAGGCTTCTGAGGAAACCAATAAGCAGAGAAAGATTGCGCAGGAGGCTAGCCAGGGTGAATTGGTCAGCCTGGAGGAGACGTGGAAGCGCGGCGTTGGTGCTATCCTTGATGTTGAGGTTGCGTCGGAGGGTCTGCGCATGCAAATTCTTGAGCATCGGAGACAGTTTGCACAGCAACAAGCGCGTTAAGGGATCCAGCTCCTTATCCTGTCTGAACTATCTTTGACAGCGAAAGCTTGTTTTGGGCAAGACTGGCGGCTTTGTGTTGGATATGATCACTTCTTGGTTGCACCGTTTGCATGCTGGTGGGACACTTGCATGTCTTAGTGTCCTACGTATGACTCCAATGCCCCCCGTGGTAGGTCCCTTTGCCTGTGGACACACCCTTTCGTTGGTTAATAGTCTCGCAATTTGCGCGGTGGTGTTCGTGCCGAGGCCTCCATCTCCCAACGCTGTGAATGCGGGACATTCGATGTTTCCTGGCCGAAGCTATTGCTCCAGCACGCAGCAACCTCCAACTATGCCCGTCCTATTATTTCATCGGAACAACACCAACACCACTACCGCTCCAACAAAAGCCCTTGCAACCGGGCGAGAATCGGGGGAGGAAGTACCCAGTGTGGCTGGGCAGTGCAGGTCAGCCCCAGCTACAGCACTAGATTCAATGAACAACAGAGCCCTGGCTTATCTCATGTAGTCAATCCCGACCCATAAACACACTTAATATCGTATGCGAAATTTAATTTCATTTTACTCGCTCAAAGATACCCCAGAGTCCTACCTACACCTTCACTGGCGCAACAACATTAACATCAATCCTCTCTTCCACAACCTCAACCTTCAGCCTCTGCACAACCCCCTTAACCCTAACCCCCTCCCTCTCAGCCAAGGTATTCCAATCAACAAGTCTCCGACACATCCCATCAAGCGTAGAAATAACAGGCTGATATCCCAACCCCCCATCTTCAGGACTCAGTCTAGCCCTCCGATCATCGCCAAAAACATGAATATTCAAAATCCCAAAAAGTGCCGGCTGGATCTGTTCCAAATCCTTGGGGATCGCGGGTAACAGCCAGTGCAGGTAATTGTAGCGCAGGAAGGCATATGCCTCCACAATGTAGGAGAGTAGTAAGAATGGCGCGGGTTGTAGCTCTGGGAATGAAACCGGTGTTTTGGATAGGGTTGTTAAGAGCTTGTACAGATCCCCGAAGGCAATTGCTGGGTTTGGGTCTGTTACTACGTATGCTTGGCCGCTTGTTTTGGGGTTCTTGTTGGTTAGGTTGCTTTGCTCGATTAGGCGTTGTTCGTAGAGCAGGTGGGCTAATGAGACGTTTTCGGCGTGGATAAAGCTTTGGAGGACGGGGGTGGCCCAGCTTTTTGTTTGATGTTAGCTTTTTTGAGCCTATGGTTAGTGTGTTAAATTTTGGGGTGTTGACTTACGTTGGACTGCCACCGTTGCGGAGGTAGATATCTGTGATAGCCGTGCTGTTCTCGCCGCCTGTGCCGTAGATTCCATTTACTGGGCGGATACATCCAGTGCAGAAATTTTGTTCTGGGTCGTCGGCTCTCCGAACTATACGCTCTGCTTCGGCTTTGGATGCGGCGTAATTTCCAAAGAATTCTCCGTGCGTCTGTGGTAGCTTGCCTTCATCGTGGAGGACTTGGACTACACGCTTGGGTTCAGTAGCCCATGGCTTGATCCAGAAATTTGGTCGATGAATGCCGATTGATCCAGAGGATGTCCAGATGAAGCACGAGGCACCTGCTTTCTTTGCTGCGCTTAGGACGTTGCGTGTGCCGTCGATGTTGACTTTGCTGCATAGTGAGAGCATGCTCTGCAAGCGATCTGAAGGCCGGATCACGGCTGCCGTGTGGTAGATTGTCAGAGGGAGATTAGAAGCTGCAGCTGGCCATGGCTCCTCAAACGCTGTTTCCACTGCGAGCGAGTCGGTGATGTCGACTTTTGTGTAGCCTACGCCTTGGGCGAGGAGCTCTTGGGCTGGTGGGACTATGTCTAGCACACGCATGGCTTTAGGGTCTTCTCCACGGGCTAGAAGATGGTTGGCAATCCATGCTCCAACGAGCCCTGTCACTTGTTAGTCCATCTCTCCTGCCATGGTTGAAACTGGGAGTTTATTGAATGATCTAGGTCATACCTGTTCCGCCGACGATGACATATCGGCGAGACTGTTTCGGTGGCAGGTGCTTGGTCATATTGATGGGATTTTCCATGTTCTTCTTGTAGGCTGCTTTAATTTCCTCGGCTGTCCAGCGATGTGGTGATAGTTGTCGTGCTTCGTCTGGCACTGCCTTCATGGCGCAGTTGACCCGCCACATGAACAGGACGCCAAGCGTCAAGATGCCTATGAGTAACAACATGATTGATTATTCTGTAGACGTTTGGGCAAGGAAGTTTTGAAGGTTTTAGGAGGGTTACAAGGGCGGGGGATTGCGGCGTAAAGGGCTAATAAGAAGCTCCAATCGTTGACGACCCGGCCCGGTGAAAAACTTGCAGTTAAAAAGTCTTGAGTCTGTTCAAATTCCTCATTTATTTGACATCAGATTGGATCGAAAATGGCAGGTCGCTTAGATCTCGGTTATTTTAAACGAGCGACCTGAGACCCTCCCATTGCTCCAAGCGAGGGTCTTGACATCGTCACACAGGTTCATTTGTTCAAAGACATAATTCAGGCAATCCAGGCTATACCCACCCGAGACATGAATATGCGACTGTCAATAGTGACAAAAAGGGAAAGCCAGATCCAAACGTGAAACCGGGTGGCTCTTATAGATGCATAGATCAAACTAACGTTAATGCGCGAGCGGAATGTTCCGCTAAGTTTCGCCCCTTTTCAAATTTGATTTCAAGTTTCACATTGCAAATTCGGCTCGGTCCCACTTTCAACTAGCGGTCGGGAAGTATTCCCTTCTGTCGCTTTATCTTTTGCATGAATATACGCATGCTGTACATGTAGATGCAATGTGTAGACATGGATATAGACACAGAACATGTGTCTCCAATGTCCATATATTACCCCGCTACAGTCTCGGCATAGACTCATAGGCCAAACGTACTGGAGACATTCAGTGTATTCGGCAAACCGGCACGCTAAGCTGCCCGAGAGAATCCACTTCCGGCCTGATAGACCCATACGGAGAGTTGAAACATCTATCTACACTCCGTACGAGGAGTCTCTGTCCCATGGGGAAGGGGAAGTCTCCATATTACTGCGTATTCAGATCTATAGGATGCGAAGCTTGCACAGAAAAATTGCGCCATCTGATACAATTTGATACAGCCAGATATACGCCAACATGGCAATTCTTGGCCCTCGGTTTTCATTCCGAGATGCTCAGCTCACTCGGCATCTAGTTCATGAAAGAAGATGCTTATCACTGCATTGGCCCCACTACTTGAAAAATTTCCAGCTTTACGTTTGATATTCCTTAAGTTTACTTGATATGTAAATCTGACTCTTGCTCTTGTTCTCAAATTCCGCTCTCAAGTCTTAGCTTTTTGTTTGACCTTTGCTCTTAAGATCTCTGTAAGGAAGGTTCCATCCAGAACCTTTTTTTATTGTCCGTCAAAGCTTCTCGGGATGTCTCAACATCCCAATTCGGAAGCCGAGAAACGGCCCCAAAATACCGATACTGATTCCATCGGCGAGTCTATCTCCTCGGTTGAAACTCACGATGATCACGATGCGCTGGGAAAGACGTTGACGGCTCGCGCCTCGCGAACCTCGCACATGTCCTTGTCGGAACGAGTCACTACTATCGCTACTAATGCCACTGCCGACCCTAACTATGAGGTTGACTGGGAGGGTGAAGATGACCCTGAGAACCCCAAAAACTGGACTATGAAATATAAAGCCATGGGCATCTTTTTCCTCGCATGGAACACTCTCATCGTGTGAGTTCCCTGGAAGATCATATCGGAATATCAAACTAATCACCATGGCAGCGTGTTGTATTCAACCTCTTATACATCGGGTACTACCCTGATTGCCGAGGAATTCGGTCAATCTGAGACCATCGTTACTCTCGGATTGACCTTCTATCTCATCGGTCTCGCCATCGGATCTATGTTCATGGCTCCGCTCAGCGAAGTTTATGGACGTAAACCCGTCTGCGTGATCTGTCTATCCGTCTTCACGGTCCTGATCATTCCTTGTGCGCTCGCCAAATCCGTAACGACATTGATCGTCGTTCGTTTCATCGGTGCTTTCTTTGGCAGTGTCATGATATCCACTGCTCCTGGTATGGTCGCTGATCTGGTAGATGACGAGCACCGTGCACTGGCCATCTCCATCTGGAGTATTGGCCCATTGAATGGACCAGGTGTGTACAATCTAATCCCCACGCTCGAAGACAAACAAGTGCTAACACAGAATAGTCATTGGTCCCGTCATTGGAGGATTCGTGACTCAATATCTAGGCTGGCGCTGGATGGACTGGATCGCGCTCATCCTGTCCGCCATCGCCTTGGTCTTTGCCATCCTCCTCAAGGAAACATATGCACCAACCCTTCTCCAAAAGAAAGCAGCCCGACTCCGCAAAGAGAGCGGCGAATCTCGCTGGTGGTGTCGCTACGACCAAAAGGCAGGACTATATGAGATCCTAAAGCTGAACCTCAGCCGTCCATTCGTGATGGCCGTCACCGAGCCAATCTGGTAAGCCCTAACCACTCTCCCTCTCACTAATAGACTACCGTTAACCAAAAATAGCATTTTCTGGGACATCTACATCGCAATCATCTACGGAATCCTCTACCTCTGCTTCGTAGCTTACCCAATTGTCTTCCAAGAAATCCGCGGCTGGGACCTGGGTCTATCAGGCCTCGCCTTCATAGGAATAGGAATCGGCGTCGTGCTCACAATCGCCTGCGAACCCCTAATCCGCCGCCTAATCAACAGCCACGCCGTCGACCCCGAAACCGGCAAACCACCACCAGAAGCCATGGTCTCCTTCATCTGCATTTGCGCCGTCCTAATTCCAATCGGCGAGCTTTGGTTCGCCTGGACCTGCTCCCCAGCTTCGATTCACTGGATCGCACCCCTGCTCGCAGGTATTCCCTTCGGCGCGGGAAACACCGGTGTCTTCATCTATGCGTCGAATTACCTGACGGGTAGTTATGGCATGTATGCCGCCTCTGCTTTGGCGGGTAACTCTGTTATTCGCAGTATCCTGGGCGGCGTACTCCCGCTGGCGGGCTCGTATATGTATGCTAGTCTGGGTCCGAATTGGTCTGGGACGCTGCTGGGTTTGTTGGAGGTTGTCATTGTGCCGATTCCGTTTGTGTTTTATAAGTATGGGCATAAGATTCGGGAGCGCAGTACGCTGATTATGCGTATGCAGGAGGATAAGAAGAAGCTTGAGGGGAAGAGGGCTAAGAGGTTGGCTCAGATGGCTCCGCAAAATGATGAGGAGAAACAGGCTGGGGTTGCTTAGTCTGAGTCTTTGGTCTTTCGGTCTTTGATTTGTGTCTTATACCCCCGAGTCTTGCATCTGAGGAGTTGTAAAAGTGCTTTTCATCTTACGAATTTTTAATAGATTAGTGGCCTGTGGACTTATCGGGTGAATAATATTGTCGTTTTTGGTTTATGCTGGCTTCCTGGGTATCTCAATTCGTAACTCGTATCATACGCTCGACATCCTGCGAATTGCGGAGGATCCGTTCATATTCTCCGAGTGCAATTGCACCAGCTGGGAATACCATAATGGCCTCGACATGCACCGGGCGAGAGGGAACTGTAACAGGTCCGGTGGGTGTATCACTGGACTGCGATGACCCAGGTGCAGAAGAGAAAGAATAAGACGGAGGTAGTGACTCTCGAATGTAGCCCAGCACATTTAACCACGTCCCCACATGTAGTTCTTCGGCAGTCAGGGTCTCAAGTACAGCATTGATATCGACAGGCACAAAGCTGATCTCCGCTTTGCTGCGTGGATAGTTGTGTTCGAGAACCAGATAGCCAGTGGTTATAGTATAATGCCTCACACTATAGGGACGCAATACATAATCACCGTTAGTACTTAATTGCAATTCCATACATAAAATCCGTTGCTAGGCCGGACGCACCAGCCAAGAAAGCGGACCTTCGAGTCCGCCTGTAGAGAAGAGAGATCAGAGAGGAACACGCGGGTAGAGGGGCGCGGCCCGTTCATTCCAGCATTAAAGGCTGAAGGCCATCGACATCACAAAAGCACAAAAGTGAACAAAAGCAACGTGAAAGAAGATCACCACATCAACGGGTCTGCTAGCGCACGTGACCGATCTTACCGTGTATGTCATAGGCCCGAGGGGAAGACGGATCTCCCCCTCCCCATCAAATTATCCTGACATTCTGCGACCAGACTGCTGATCAACTTCCTGGTCATTTGGTGTCTTACAGTCCACATCTTACTACTATCACCTGTGTCAAGCCTTAACTGAGTTTGCCTGGAGCCTACCGCACCTCCACCTGACTTGCAGCAACCCACTAGCGCGACACAACTCCACGCCTCTCTTGATTTCCTCGTGGCTGCCTGACTTCTTTGGACATAATTTCGAAAACAAGTCCAACATTTAATACTATTTCTCGACTTTCACTTCTAGTTACACCGATCCAATATGTGGTCTTGGTTTGGCGGCGGCGCGGCCGCTCAAAGGCGCAAGGAAACGCCTAAGAATGCTATCCTCGCGCTGCGGGGACAGCTGGATATGCTTCAGAAGCGGGAGAAACATCTGGAGAACTTAATTTCAGAGCAGGATACCATCGCGCGGAAGAACATCAACACGGATAAAAATGGTGGGTTTTCTGAGCTTGTATGGGACGGTGCGGAACCGGGGCTAACGTCTTAAAACTATAGCTGCTAAGAATGCCCTCCGACGGAAAAAGGTGCACGAAAAGAACCTCGAGCAGACAACGGCGCAGGCCATGCAACTCGAGCAGCAGGTCTACTCGATCGAGGCGGCGAATATCAACCACGAGACTCTACAAGCTATGAAGCAGGCCGGTGCGGCTATGAAGGATATCCATAATGGAATGAAGATCGACGATGTCGACAAGACAATGTATGTGTTTTTCGCGCTATTCAGCGACCCGCTTGGGTACTTGCGGGTTCTTGAGTATGGCATTGATACTGATGTTTATGCAGGGAGGATCTCCAGGACCAGCATGCTCTCCACACGGAAATCGGAAACGCTATTACCAGTGTCCCGCTTGGCGAACAGCCCGACGAGGAAGATCTCGAGGCCGAATTGGAGGGTCTCGAGCAGGAGGCTATGGATGCGAAGATGCTCAATACTGGCTCTGTACCTGTTGGTGCTCAACTGGATCGGTTACCAGCTGCCGGGAATACAGAACGTATGTTGGACCTGGCTATCTATAGCATTTACATTAATTGCTAACCACGTATGTAGTCAAACAACCCGCCCAGGCACAAGAGGAAGACAACGATGAAGCCGAGCTGGCAAAGCTGCGCGCGGAAATGGCCATTTGAAATCACCTCTCCTTCAGCCACGCGACCCATGCAGCCCCAGCATTGTTTTCTTCTATTTCTCCATGCTTGATCCTTGTCCCACCCTCGCATGCATGATCGGCCATTTTCTCAAGCAAGTCCCTCGGCCGGCTGTCCTGTTCTTTCTTCTTGCCTTTTGTCCCGGCGCTGACCAGGCCTGCTTTCTGTTGTTCTTTTCTCCTTTCTTGTTTCCCTCTCTATTCTCATCACATTACCCCGAGCCAATTTAGTAGGGGTTTCTCTCCGTCTTCTGTCTCTCTGCTTTATCACTTTTCTATCTGGCTGTTCCACTCAACACCCTTCGGTACAAACTCAATCGAATTCTCGATTCCCGTTTCAGTTTTTGCTTGTTCTTTTAATGAAGTTTGTTTAGATCATTTTGGTTCTGTTTTATGTAAGCTAAGATCTTAACTTAATCACAGCTCGGGATTGCATTATACCATCGTTAGTTTGTAGCTGTCATGTATACTATAGCCACTACTGAACCTATTCTAAATACCATGAAACCTCTACAGCTTATAATCCGAAGTTTTCTTTTTTTAAAAAAAAATGTTTCATTATTATCCTACTCATATCTGTATCCAATCGAATGCAAGCACAAAGGCAGCATCGAAAAGAAATAGATAGTCAAGTGCATCATTGAGATAGAAATAGATCTCATGTTGATCATAAAAACCGCACTCTCGAAAAAGAAAACTCCCACGACGAGTAATTCGTCAACCAAATCCATCCAACCCAACTCCAGCATTCGCCGATGCACAAGCAAAAATGAAAATCCCAGAAAAAGCCTAATAACCATGCCGAACCGAAAACGTCAATCGAAAATGAGGGTTCGAATTTGAAGATCAAATCAAGAAATCAAGGGAACCAGGCATAGCTCTTCGTAGGCTTAGCACGCTGACCATTCTCAGACTCTGTGCCCCACTTAGACTTCCACTCAACCTCTGCAGTAGCAGCGTCGAGAAGAGCCTCCTTGCACTCTGACGGGAGAAGGGCGATGATCTCAGGGGTCATAAATTCCGGGTTGGCGGGGTTGGCAATGCTGATCATACCGTTGTAGCCGATATCTTGTAGATCGCCGTCCGGGCCAGGAATTCCCATGTTGGAATACTGGGGCGATTCGTAGACGATATCTTGGACAACGTAGCGGTCTGTGACGGAGCGGGGGACCGGGGGGAACATTGTTGCGGGGTTTGTTTTTTTGGGGTCTGTGGGTTGTTGGTCGTTGGAGTTTTCGATGGTAAGTTCGTTTGTGTCTTCGGGACTGTTTGCGTTGGCGATGTTAAGCGAGGACATGTTGCTTGCTAGCCCGGCTTGAGCGTCTGATTCCAAAGGCACGGCTTCCCAGCGTACGTGAGTTGGCTGCATGATCTTGGGGTATTGCATTGTATTTGTGTGCACTTCGTAGACACCCTTGAGGTTGGCGCGGCGCATGTCGGCAAGTTTGTGGTTGTAGTTGCTGGAGAGTGGGTTAATTTTAGGATTTTGCTTTGCATGAATTGTGACTTACCTTGCAGCACGGGCATGCTCCAACATCCAGTTATCATCAGTCACGGGGACACGGCGCTTCTTTGTATCAACGGGCTTACCGCCGGCGAGAGGCACAGTAGGGGCATTTGTGTGGTAAACACTGCTGGCACCGTGCCAGGCAACATACTGGTTGCGGTTGTACTCCTCACCTGGGGCGGGAAGTCTGTCTTCCGGGACAGCCAGCTCCCCTTCAACATCTCCACGCTCACGGGCAGCTTGCTCGTCGTAGTCGTCGATGATCTTCTTTCCTCCAACGATGATCTTGGCGCCGAACTCACGGAACACAGAGCGAGCAGTGACAACACCGATTGCACGACCCTTGTAGGAGTGAGGGATTAAATCGCGTTCAATCAGGTCACGCTTCGCATCGTCATCAATGATGATCTTGTAGAGCATCTTGTGCTTCTGGAAGAAGAGGTAGGAGTCACGGAAACCAATGCAACGAGCGGGTTCGGTCGACAACATGTAGAGGCGGTTGCCACGGCCAAGAATCGAAAAAGTACGCACGCGATACTCACGGCCTCCCTGAAGGTGACCGTCCTGGTCGACCTTGGTCGCACCAATGGGATCAGGAGGGATCGAGACTTCGTCGTTGATGACATCCATCATGTTTCCTTCTTTGTCGACGGGAACTTGGGTGAGATGTGAAGGACCGCGATTGCGAGCCCAGCGTCCTCCGCTGGCAGCAGGGCGACCTCGGCGTCTTCTCACTGGAGTAGTGACGCGGATGTGGCCGTCGGCGTCCAGAGTATCTTCAGGGCGGGGGTTCTTTGGTGGACGTCCGATGCGACGCTTCTTGGGGACAACGGATGGGCGGCCAGGTCCGTACTTGGGGTCATCGCCAACCTGAAGTTGGGGTACATTGGATCCGGGGGTTGCGACGCTGGTCTCATCCTCTGCCTGAGGTTCGGCGGGGGTCTGATTCTCAGTGTCTACACCTTCTCCTTCAACTTGAGGTTCGGCTGAAGGTTCGACTGGAGCTTCGGCTTCACCTTCAGCCTCGGTCGCGGTTTCGCCTTCAACATTGGATTCAGCCTCAGGTTCGACATCGTGATCCTGTTCGGGGGATTCCGCGGTAGGTTCCTCGGGCTCGGCTACGGGGGAAGATGCTTGGGATGAAGGAACATCTACCATTTCGTCGTCGGAGGCCTCAGGAAGTACAGGTACATTTTCTAGTATAGTGTTAATCGCGAACGCGTCCTAAAGGATAGGTGGAGTAGAGTGGGGGGGGGGGGGGTTGTGTTGAGGCATTGGAGTGTTTTGGTGTTGCGACCGACTTACTAATTGACTCCGCTGCCGCTTGGGCAGCTGCCCTCAGCTTGCGTGGCATTTTGGCGATGATGGTTCAACACGTTTAGCGCAAATGGATCGATAGGCGTAGCTGTTTTGCCGGTTGAATGATGTTCCGTGTCACGTGTGTGGGCGGAGAGACCGCTGACAGAGAAATCAGTCATCCATGCATTGCTCACCTTCGATCACATAATCTGATCGTATCACATGATCTCATTGCAACGTCTTCTTAATGACGTCATAGCGCCCAGTTCTTCACCGCGGAGCACGTCGGGCACTTTCCTGAATTCAATTCTAGGCCTTGAACCGCCATTGCCGTCTCAAATTCCTCTTGATATCATAGGTGTGACTCGATAATCTGGATGTATGAGTTCATATAGATCTTCATCCAATATGTCTCACCGGTACCGTTCTCGCCTGAAACCTACACTCCAGATGACTTCCACAGCTTCCACCTGAGCCTAGATTGACGGAGAATGAGTGGTGTAACCTGTGACCTCTCTGAACTGAAATCTGGATATCTTCAGCTTCACATGTCAAGAGGCTTGAGCTCCCAGATTAGCATGTTCCGCTTGGGCCTCCATTTCTAGGCATCTTAAATTGGCGCAACTGGCGGCCCCAAGAACGTGTCAAGGCTTCGGTTCACCTACCGAGGAAACCCGAATTGCAATCGTAGAAGCCTTGACAAAGTGAATGGAAAATATTGCTGACAGGGCCGCAGATTGTGACACCGTGCAGATGACCCTCTGCGCCTCGGGCTCGGTCTGATGCATAACGGATAATGCCTTGCGAATCCTGCATGATTCTATCCTGCAGCAAAGCCCGAAATCGAAGCATCCAAAATGTATATTTTAACTCTCCCAAAGCTACAAGGATGAGAATAATTAGATCTCTTTACCCGGTCCAACGTGGCCAGGATATCCTTTTCCATGTCATTCCATTCGTTCTACTTCTACAATCAAGAGGGGGAGGCGAACGCCGATCCTCCCCACCAAATTCGGAGATGTGGAAAGAAAGCGATCTACTACTTCATGTAGTAGCGCTTGAAGCTCGCATTTGTGGCACAATTAACGCACTGGTAGTGAGCTCCACCGAACCGTGTTGGTGCTAGTGTCGCAGTGAGGGACCGATGACGCATGTGGAGGGTAGCCTTGGAGCATTGAGTGACCACAGCATATTTGCAGATGCAAGGGGAGCTGAGAGGGCCGGGCCATATTAGAAGCTCAAAGCTGAAAGGCTGCACCACGATCGCGATCGGCTTGTGTAGATCGTATTCAATCCATGGTTTCACAGTAGGAAGGAGGCGCGATATACGAGTTATAAGTCAAGTGCAGTGTGCAGAGTACATTGTACAGAGTACAACACTAGTAAGAAGGAAGTATACGGAAAACACTACTCCGGATATAAAGAAGCGGTCTCTGTCACCAGATGATGAAATCGCACAGTACCCCGCCCCTCGGAGAATGCATTCGAGCGCGATAAGAGACAAAATTCGAAAATTCCAGTGGAATTTCGACATATTGAGATCCAAATGCCCTTGTATCAGCCTCTAAATTCCAACCCTGGATCCTACGTGGACCATGTGCCTTGGGAAATGAATCTAATCTGCCATACATGAATGAAATTAAATCCTTAAAGTGTACGAAAATGGTAGACGCTCCTAATTAGGCAATCGAGAACAAGATCCCGAGTCTTTCTCTTGATATTACTTTGGTCTCCACCAACCCTTTCCTTTGGGCTTCCCCCCCAAAATGATTTGCCTCTTCTAAATAGGAAATAGACTGCATAGAAAAATACAAAAGCGTTCAAAGCCCCGGGGGTTCAGGCTTTCTTATAATCTCACGGCTTATGATCAGCTCCTTTCAGCTGGTCATTCGGGCAAGGGACATTTAGCGCGGAGACATGGGTGAATGAACATCTAAAGAGTGGATTATCGAAGAATTCCTCTTCCAATTCCAATAGTTCCAACAGTGCCAACATTTCCAACATTTCCCCACCAATACTCCAATACTTGACTCTCAATACTCGATTTCGCCGAATCCAGTTGGGGCTCGGGTTCAACCCGCAAACTTCCTTAGTCAACCTCCAATTTTTGCCTTCCTCAATTTTCAACCCAACCCCGCCCCCTCCGATAATCTTTGAATGGAATCACAATGGCGAGCGGAACCGAGTTGCACGATGCAATGAAGTCAATCCCGTATGTTCTTTTTCTCTTTCTTGTGTGGGGAGGTCTCCCTTACACTGCATGGCATTGCAGACGTTCTGGGTTTCAACCTGCATGAAACACGTTTCGAGGCCTTTTCTGCCGCTCCCTCGATCCTCGTCGGACTTTGCCTACGACATTTGATGAGGACTTCTCACAAGATCAAGATAAGCAGATGGCTAACCTTCCATCCCATTAGTTCTACATCGGAGGACGAGAATCAAGACCAGATCGGCTCAAATGGGTCAACCCCTACGCCGACTGGAATCGCTACACCGGAACCCGATCCTGCGGACAAGCGTCTGCCTTCCATAATGCACAACTACTTCCAGGTTGGTTCTATCTCCGGTGATAAAGCGAGTTTGCCGCGCTTTTGGTCGTGCCTGTCGAAATCCTCTGAGGACCCTCAATCAAATGCGCTCCCACACTCCGATTCCTCCGAGTCCTTTGTCATGATGGAACATGAAGATGGGTCTGATAAGATGATGGAAACTGTACCTGCTGGCCTGCCCACTCCTCCTCATTCGCTGTTGCAACATGACTCAGATGAGATGGAACTTGGGACGAGTCCAGGCACCTCATCTATCTTTAATACCCTGAAGAGTTACCTCATTCCACCCGCAACCCCCGATGATGCTTCCCGCCGTCAAACTTCCCTCCCAGTCTCCAGCATTTCTGATGACCCCGTCCTTGCCACCCACTTCTCCAATCCCTCTCTCCCCTCAGATGCATTCTCCCTGACCGAAGCTCCCCTCCACGACCATGAGAAGCCCCGTGTTTCAGTATCTTCCGAGAACCTTGCCAAGCTAACTGGAAACGCGCCCGATGGGTCGCGTCTTAAGAACACCCCGCCCCTCACCCCCAGGGCCATGTCCAACGAGGTCCCAACCTCTCAGCCGAAGGAGGTCACACCAGTCACGCCAGCTGAGCCAGCTCCGCAAGAGCCCGAACCGGAATCCACCACGGAAGACATGGAAAGCTCCACCGATGAGATCACTATGAAGCTTGACGAGGCATTCCCCTCCCAGCCTGCGACATCCTCATCCCCTGCCAACGGTGCGCCCACAGGGCCAATCAACGGTAAATTGTTCGTGAAGATCACCGATGGTCGAGGATTACGCCCCAGTTTTGACCCGTACGTGGTGTGCGTTTTTGAATGGAATGAGTACATCTCCAAGGGTGCTCGTGATGGTGAAGAGGAAACAAAGAGACGCCAGCAGGAGTCCGATGCCGAAGAGGCTGCTGCCGGCCGACCGATGGCCATTCCCATGAAAAGCCGACAGAGCAGTCACAACAGTGCTGTGGACGGTGACCACATGGGCCGGACTCCTGTCACGGACCCCCACTGGGATCACGAGGCAACCTTGTAAGTTCTATATCAAACTGAGTTTTAACTGAATCGCTGGCTAATTTGTGATTTAGCGATGTTATGGGAGACCAGTCCGAGCTTGATGTTACAGTTTACGACCGCAACAACCAAGAAGCTTTCCTGGGTCATGTACGACTCTGCATCAACCTGAAAGAAGACCACAGCCGCTTAGAAGGCTGGTTCCCTCTGGTCGCCCGCGGCGCTGGAGACAATCAAGTGTCAGGTGAAATCCACCTCGAGATGAACTTCGAAAAGACGGATCGCAAGCAGGTTGGGCCGAATGATTTCCTTATCCTCAAGCTTATCGGAAAGGGAACTTTCGGTCAGGTTTATCAGGTCAAGAAGAAGGATACTCAGCGTATCTATGCCATGAAGGTCTTGCAGAAGAAGGTCATAATTCAGAAGAAGGAAGTGGCACATACCCTTGGAGAGCGCAATATTCTTGTGCGTACTGCTATGACAGCATCTCCGTTCATTGTCGGCCTCAAGTTCTCTTTCCAGACTCCGACAGATCTCTACCTTGTCACGGATTACATGTCCGGTGGTGAACTGTTCTGGCATTTGCAGCGTGAAGGCCGATTCCAGGAGGCCCGGGCGAAGTTCTACATTGCTGAGTTGATTCTGGCTTTGCAACATCTCCACGACCATGACATTGTGTACCGTGATCTCAAGCCAGAGAACATTCTGCTAGATGCCAACGGTCACATTGCACTTTGTGACTTCGGTTTGTCCAAGGCCAACCTGACACAAAACGACACAACCAACACCTTCTGTGGTACCACTGAATATCTGGCCCCCGAGGTCCTGCTTGACGAACAAGGATACACAAAGATGGTCGACTTCTGGTCTCTGGGAGTGTTGGTCTTTGAGATGTGCTGCGGATGGAGTCCATTCTACGCCGAGGACACCCAACAGATGTACAAGAACATTGCCTTTGGCAAGGTCCGATTCCCCAGAGATGCTCTTAGCACCGAGGGTCGAAACTTCGTCAAGGGTTTGCTGAACCGGAACCCCAAGCACCGCCTGGGCGCCAACGGCGATGCTAAGGAGCTGATGGCCCACCCATTCTTCCACGACATCAATTGGGAATCACTGTGCCGCAAGCAGGTGATCCCTCCATTCAAGCCCCAATTGCAGTCCGACACCGACACCTCCAACTTCGACCCAGAGTTTACAAACGCGTTGGAGACCAACAATTCGCTGAACCTCCGTGCAGCCGCCCTGGCCAACGGCCTCATGCCCGGCTCTACCCCTCTTTCCCCCGGAATGCAAGCCAACTTCAAGGGATTCACCTTTGTCAACGAGAGTTCCATCGACCACCACCTGAAAGACGACGATTTGAGCGACCACATGGAAGAAGACGCGATGCATGACCATGCCGACGGGTACCGGCGCTCTCACCGGTCCGGTAACTCAGTCGACCAGCGCATGACAGGCGTTCAGAAGACGCACGATGGCACAGAGCCCGGAATTTTCAATGTTGACGATACCTTTGACATGTGATTACGTTTTTCATTCATCTCCTACTGCATGATCATGGAGTCTTGATCTGGCATACATTTTCCTACTTGTCTTGTACATGCCCTCTCGGATGCATCACTTCAGCCCGCAAATATGGGTTCCTCTTTCCATCTGCGTTTCCCTACCTTCATGTCTCAATCTTCATGTCTGATGTCTGTCATGTCCATTTTCTACTTCGGCTATCCGTCAGGTTCTCTCAAGCTGGTGTTTGCCCCAATGTCCCTTTCCCTCTCAGTCTAGTTTCTATCCTGGCAGTTAGTCGTGCGATCGCATCACATCACATCGATCATGTCTCTTAGACTTGATCTGTGGGCTGTGATTTGTGATTCCGATTTCACTACCAGCTAGCAACCAGTCACATACCCCGTTCTCCCGGGTTTCCTTTTTTCATTATCACATCTAAACAATGTCTCCCGGTTGAATTTGCGTGTTTGGATTTGGAGTTAGGTTTTGGGTATTTTCATGTGCCTATTGAATCGACATGTCGTGCTGGCCCTAGTTTCACGCCTTTGCTTCTGATGTCTTTTCTGTCTTCGGTCTCCAGTCTCCAGCGCAGTTATGATAGCTTACTTCTTGTTATCTCTCTATTTCTATCGTTATCCCTATCTCTATTTTTCTCTGGACTCGTTGCCGCGTTTCCTCAGTCCAAATTCTGATACCAGCTCTTTTGCTTGCTCTTTGATTCTTCCTCTCTTCTTCTTCTTTTTCTTCTTCTTCTTCTTCTTCTTCTCGCGCTGGTATTGGTAGTATTTTCTTCTTCTTGCCTGTGGTCTGATTGGGTTGTTCTCTTGGTAGTGGTTGGTTGTGGATGAGCATTGGTAGCTAGGTTTGTTACCTAGAGTCATTTTTGTGGCGTTTGGGCATAGTTTGGCTCGGGTTGGTTGTGCATCTGCTGGTAGCTCTGTGCTTTTCATGGATTCTATAGTAAGTTGTTAGATTTTTGATGCTCCTCCGTGGGATGTCTACTTCTACAAGGCATGCATGGGCGTGCATATTGCCCATTCATGGCTTTTTTGGGAGGACACGTCTTACCTCAATTAGCAGCCTGAGAGACCATTTCATGTGCTGTTTTCGGTTCAGCTCTGTCACACAATATCAACTGAGATCTAGATATGGTTTTTTGGCACTTCACTAAAACAAGGAGCATGAAGTCATAAGTACATACGAAGAGACATTATACAAGGTGAAACTCCATTTCATCACAGGATGATCGAGGAGAAAGTCAGTAAAGACAAAAGGACCAAATACACTGACACTCTTGAAATGGTAGCACTACTAGCCCTCTCAAAGGTAACCAGTGACTCGTTATGACTCGCCGCACCCGTCAACACCACCTGCGTCGAATTCGCAGCGTCCAAAATTCCCTCGAAAGCAATCTCAAAAGTCACATTGACCTTCGTCTGACTCGAATCATGAATGCTGGTACTCTCGAATCCCGCAACCATCGAGCCAGACAAGTTCAACTGCAGAGTCTCATTGGTCAAGGACCCCTTAACAGACGTTCCATTCCATCTCATCATCACTTTACCCAAGCTGCTCCCTTCGGAGCATGTACCCTTCGGAAGGTAAAGCATTTGATCAGAAAGACCGCTGTTGTCGTACTTTTGTGGCTCCAGCTTGCTCCGTGCACTGTCAGCCCAATCTTTCAAATCATAAACACCGTCAAACAGAATCATATCGCTGTCCTCAGAGGCCTGCGTAATATTTAGGTCCACGGCATCCATCGCAGTAATATTGTCGTAACTGTCATGGATCAAATCCACTGTCGTGCCAAAGCGCAGAAGATCCACCTTTTCACATACACTATACGAATAGTCGATATCCGACAGCCGTATGTTGCTCTTCCACGCCTTGAATCCAATCGCAATGGGGTTCTCCGGCCCGGCCGGCCTGGGAGGTCTGCCAGCAACCCATGCAGCGCCAAGCATGCGGATATACTGTTCGCCAGTGGGACATTCGATTGAACCGACTTTAGGCTTCCCCAATTCGGTGATGTTTGGTGGCGGCGTTGTGATTGTGTACTTGTATTTTGCTACGCCTTTGAAGAACACGCCGTCAAAGTCGCTGTAGGCACTGGCGTGACCTGCGCGTGGGTCCCGGTTGTATTGCCCGTAGTGGTAAGGTTGCATATCCTCTAGGCTGAGGCGGTGGCTGTCTGTGCAGCTGAGGCCTCCACCGGATGATGGAGACGTTGAAGAGGTGTCGTCGCTACCACTGGAACCGCTATCGTCATAGCTGCCGCTGCTGCCACTGCTGCTCCCACTGCCACTGTCGCTGCTAGAGCCACCATGGCCGCCTCGTGATAGTACCCCCCTTGGAACGGCGAGCAAGGCGAGAACAGTGAGAAACCGAGGACGGAGGAGCATTTTCGTCAAGACCGTTAATATTCTGCAAGAGACTGTACCAGATCACTACTCTACAACGGCGCGAGCGAAGACTTTAAAAGCTTGTTGATCTGCTATGTTGTGCCCTAATTTGGTGATAACACGGGATCTACGGTTGATGGACCCTGAAAGCCAAGATGCCAAGGGGCTGAAAACGAGGCCAGATCTCGTATTCGTGACAACATGGGCAGCTATTGGTTATAGAGTCTAAGCGAACCATTTTCGAGAGTTTGGAGTGTAGTGTGTGGGCCACAGTGATCGAAATTAGAGTCACGATTGAGATATACATCAGGAGTCATGAGTCTTTCTTCCCCTTCTGTGTGGTCCACGTACCGTTCACAAATAAAAGCCGAGGTACTTGAATATCAGTAAAACAGAGGCCAAAAAGAGGCATCAAAAGAGGCTAAGAACAATGCATGAACCATTCATTCCACTGGCTATGAGGGTTTTGTCAAGAAAATTCAATATTTTATAAATGGCCTGTGTACAAACTTATGCTCACGGGATAATGGAACAACTAGAACGCAATGATGAGATCAGCCAGGTGTTCCCTGAATTCTGTCATTTTGAAATAGCCTTCGTCGAGAATTCAACCGAAAAGCCGACACGATTCAGGAGATGTAGGTAGAGGAGCTGCGTTGAAACCTCAGCCTGCCAGTTCGGCTTCTGATGTGACGTGAAAGACGACGTTTCTGGCCCTCGAAAATGTCTCAGCGTCCCACCCATTTTGAGGTGGGAACTCCTGTCACGGGGCTCCCCACTTTGGATGCTTGGTCAAAAAGTATCGATTCGAAATCTACCACGTCCATAGATTGATCTACGTTCGGATGGTAAGCCTAACGCCACTTGATGACAGTTGATGAGCAATGTTTCGTAGCAAGCTGTCGACCCCCTTGGACTGGAGAACATAGATGGAATGCTATGTTTCGAAACTGCACTTGCAATTGAAGACTTGGACCCCGCCAGACGGCATTTCCTCCTCTAGTGGATATCAAAAGGCGTTGATGATGTCTTCGGGCAAGGAATGTCTTCCCAGGGCAATAATAGGATCTAGGCCATCCCACTCTTTCGCAATCTCCCATAAGGACGCTAGATAGCCTCGAATATTTTCTAACCTGGCAAAATACCTTGCGAGATTGACAACAGCTGAGTAGACAGCAATGTCATCACAAGTGGAATTGCATCCATAATCTTGGTCGGGTCGATGGCAGCCGTAGCAGCAACATGCTATTCCCATCTGGGTTGGCTGGTGCAATAATCACTCCTCATTTCTGCTCGGACCATCTATTGAATTCTCATTCCCAACCATATCGCAGCGTGCCGGGAGGTCTTTCCATATTCTTAGAAGATGACAGAAATAAGAATGATTAGCTTGCTCTGGTTCTCGTCGGTTAGGCAAATCGGCCGTAATCGCCCGTGGCTTGTAGTTGCTGCACAGGGCTCTGTGTGTAGGAGCCGCATGGGTGACAGGAGGCATGGGGGGTGGAAATAGGGAAAGAAGAGGGGACCCCCCCTTTGTATAGAAACTTCCCTTCTCGATCTTTCTTCCGAATGGGGATCCCTTGTGTTAGAAACGGGGAGGGCAGAATGAAGCTGAAGCAGCTACACGTCGCCTACTACGGAGCGTATGTCTGACAACAAGTTCCCTGTGAGTATCGGTTGCCAGCTAGACAAAGTTGTTCTGTTTGCATTGGGACGATGAATCCTGGGAAAACACCCGTCGTCAAGACCAGCGAGGTGTGTGACACTCGCACTCCACTGACTGATTAATGCAATGAGTTCGTGGCTACGTCCAAAACAGTGCCAGGTGTATTCCACAGGACAGCTCACTCTGAAGGGGTCCGCATTCTATAATCAGATAATATTTCCCAGGCCCCACGTCACAACAGGATGAAGTAACGTCATATAAAGCAGTCTTTCGCATACTAATCACAGTAGTCGGTACAACCTCTTCCTCACTATAGAACAATGTCACCAACAATCCTCCGAGCAAGGTACACAGAAACCACCCCTTCAGAAACCTTTCCCGCGCCATCAAACAACAATGTATCTTGGCACACCCTAATCTCAGCCCCGCAAACAGATACAACAGATTTAAGTGCAGGGATAGCGATCTGCCCACCCCAAACAGGTCGTCTGTGTCCGCATCGCCACGACCAAGCCGAGATTTATCATATTCTCGAGGGGGAAGGCGATATGACTGTTGACGGCGTGACCACCAAGGTGCAAGCCGGGTGCACTGTCTTCATTCCACGAAATGCCGAGCATGGGATTGTCAATACCGGTGACGAGGTGTTAAGATGGTTCTATGTCTTTGCTGTGGGGTCGTTTGGGGAGATTGTTTATCGGTTTTCGGGGGAGGCGGGGGGGAAGGCCAAGTTGTGAGAGTGGCCCGCACGATACCGTATCTGGGCATTAGGTCCTCTCGCAGGAATACCATGTATAAAGCTGAAAGGCTTTCTCAAGAATTCAACGTCTTGTTATTCATCATCTTCTCTCTAGCCATCGGTCCAGCTAACCTGCTTTTCTTGCTATCATGCATGCAGTATGTGCCTTGCACGATTCACAGACAAGGGGAGAAAAGCATCGCAAAACTGCTCATTACCACTCGGAACCCCTCTCCATGAGGACCCGGGGGTATAGCTGATCATCTAGCCATCATGCATACTCAATCAAAGGGGTAGCATTCAAGTCAGCAAATTGACGCACTATGGCTCATATAAGACTACTGCGACGCAGCCACTCGAAGCAGACAGCCTCTGTTGACTATGTATCGCGTTGCATCGATTCGATCTCTAAAATTGATCTCAAAATCAACACACTTCCCTCACACAACCTCTGATGTCTCAAAATGTAAGCGCAATTGTACTTCTTGCGCTCCCTGGCCATCGACGAATGCCCTGACACCGTATGATATACTCGGTACTCGAAGAGGCCAAAAATATCAGAAGGCAAGATACTATGACCTGGTGAAAGCCTACCACCCAGACCTGAGCATGGCCACCATATCTCAAGGCTTGTCCAAAGATGAACGGGTAGAGCGGTACCGCCTCATTGTCGCTGCACACGAAATCCTTTCGGATCCTCAAAAGCGCACTGCATATGATGTATATGGAATTGGCTGGGGAGTACAGCCCGATCGCTATCAATGGAGCGATACATCGCCAAGTCCATTCATGAACCGACGTCGCACTTATAACTGGCAATATGAAGACCACACATCTCCCGAGTTCGATATATGGGACTTTCTGTCTACGCATAAACACGTCATCCGTCTGGTAGCAGTGATTCTCATATTTGGTGACGTCTGTCTTTTCCTGGTTACTTTGTTAAAGGCAGAGGTTGAATTGGAGCGGTTAAACATCGAGCTCAGAAAGCTTATGCTTCATCGTCAACAGCGGTCGCTTGATGCTCCCTCGAAATTGTTGCAGCTAGAGCGCTTTTTTCTAAGAAGAGATCCCTCTGGAATGGGGCTTTTTCCTGGAGAAGAGTCTTCTTACCGTGAGGTTCTTCCGTTGTGTATGCATTGATCTGGAAATGGATTGTCTTTTGACCAATATTTGACTGCGTCATACTCAGACTCGTAATACTTGTGTATACGAAAGGTGAAGGTGATATTGAAGTCTCTGGAATCTATGTCCGTCAACGTGCTCCGGGTTGATCAAGAATGAGGGCATTTGCGGGCTTTTGAGAATACCACACAAAGATGCGTGGTCACGGTCGGGAATGTGACCTTGGAATGACAGTTATGAGAGAAGAGGCTGGTCAATCCGGATCTTTGAGTATCATTCTATCCTTTATGCTCGATCTGATACGATTGATCCTTGTAGTGCGTCGGTTTGGACATGCAAACCGGGAAATACGTAGCTCTAACCAAAGTAACGTAATAGAAATTTCTACCTCTAGTATTCTCAAAGGCTTCACACAATGTACCAAAACAATAGAATAACTCAAACTAATTGACAGATTCAGGTTCAATCACTTTAGGAGACCGTGTTCTTTCTCGTGATATGATCAACGTGGGAAGCATAGTCACATAGATTGAGGGTCTGGTTCAGAGCCTTCCGTGATGGGTGATGAAAACTCTTGGTGGAAGTATGGTTTGCAAAGCGGCGAACCTATAGAAATATATCTCAGTCTATGTTATGGAGTCAATCTAGAAGACCGATACGATATACCTGGAGCAAGCGGAACCATAATCGCCCAAACCTCTCGACAATGACAATTTGCTCCATTAACATGGGTACAATGTGTGAGCGGGCGCCCCGCCTTGGGTATCCGCTTCATGGGGCGATCAAAGTGTGCACATTTAGAGGATCGATGGCCTCTTATACATGATTCACTTCCTCGGGGTCAGTATAGGGTCAAATTGGAAAAGCGACTTGCTTACCAAGACCATTTGTCGCCCTCGGAGTCAAAAGGCATGATATCCAAGGGGTGGGCAAAAGTTGTCCCAAGTTCAAGATCCGCTTTAGAGATTTAGCTGCTTGGCTAAATTGTATAAGATATAATCTGCGCAAATGTGCTCAACTTGGCACCTGAGTGCATTGTTGACGATGATGCATCATTTTTCCTGTTCTCTTTTTAGCTCATGTAACTATCACATATGCCCTCAGATGGGGTTTGCATATAACTGTCTTTCCTAATCGAAAGTTCTTGCGTGAGGGAGATTAAGACGGTCCTGGGTAGTCTTGTCCTTGCGGTTGCTATTCCTGTGCAGGAAATGATCCGGTACAAATGTTCAAGGTAACTCGTAGGGCAATTCAGCAGATTTTGCCCTGATTCAAGATCCTCCGATTGCCCTTAAACGGGCGGCATCAAAATTTAGAGTATCCAATATTTCGGAACCTTTCTCAGTCAGCCTCACTCAATCTGGTCATGTAGGTCTACTCAATGCCGTCCACCTTTCATTTGACGTGAAGAAAGCTGCCGCTTGCCATTTCCAATGTTGATTAAAATGGCTTCGGGGAATTGGGTTGGGATGAAAGCTGAACAGAACTTGGCACAATGTGCTTGGCCTCATTGCTTTAGCCATTGTTTTGGAAATCACTGAAACCATAGCATTAGATTTGTTCATACAGGTGGCGGTCAGCACTGTACTGTTTCTTGGCTGTCTGTAGCTCGAGTCAAGGGGCGCTCTAGGATACAGTATTAGAGCAACGAGAGGCGTAGAAGTTTCAGCAAGGTACCCGCCCGCACAGGCTGGCTTTGCATTGATAAGTAGCTTAGATCACCGAAGTATTGGTCCGAGGCAGGCTTTAATACATGGGTTCTGCAGAATTGAATTCCCATTCGGCTCTTCGAGGTGCATCAACATATATTGCTCAAATTACCTCTGCTCCACCTTGGCAAATTTAGCTGAATATACTCTATAGAATCTTTCCAAGTGAATTGGCTAATGGCTTGGTTCTGATTGCCTGGGGTGATTTACTTCGGTTCTGAGGTCCGCGATAACGTTAGACGTAGTGGTACATGTAGTAGGGGTCAGTGTGTATCCCTTGCAGAGACTATCGGACTTTAGCGCCCCGATGAAAGCCCCCAAAAAAAAGCCGACATTGTCAAAATGTCCCAGGAAGTAATTTCAATTCCAATAGGAAAGGAAAAAAAGAAAAGTAATAAAAAAGTAAATTTGAGGGTAACCCGTCTCGATCAGATAACCTTGTGAACTGGAGTCACACGCGCTGCCAATTGCGCCATACCCCCGAATTTGTTGAAGGGAAGGCCCCACTATAGGTTACCACCATTCCTTCCAAGGGCCACTTTAGGAGAAGATTGTTGCACACTACTAGATAATTTTAACAATTTAATACTAGTTTCTTAGTTGATTGAAATGAAGGACTTGTTCAAAGACCTATTTACAGATGAATTTACAATTGATTTGGTTGGATTAGGTACAGATAGGCATATATTCACGTGGCGTTGTATTGTGAGGTGTCCGGTGCTATTATATATCATGGCCTACTAAGGTATTCCGAAATTGACACAGCCAGAAAACGTTGTTAAGATACTTGTAACTAAAAATAAAGGTATGGAAAGAGCACACTTATAGCCATGAAGGTCAGGGCTATCTTAATGAGATTAGGTGTATCTCGGCATATGCAGCAGCAATATGAGCCTGTGTGTGGAGGGAAAATAGGGTATCATGGAGCGTAGACAGTGGACTCTGCTGAATTCGTAGCAGCTCGATTAGATAACAGCCATACAGATATATAAAGAAAGTAAAGACCTTACTGTAAATGTTGCGGCTGCATGTTCTCTCGTGATTTGCCCATTATAGATGACTTCTGTCCCAATCTGCAGGAAACTTCATTCCCAAGAGATTCACATTCCAATAAATGTAGCTAGACCGCTCCTATGCACTAGCTAGAAGTAGAGTGTTGTACCTCACCCTGCAAGTGTACAACCCGGTGCTACTGTACACGGAATTGCACGGGTAAGTACATCAACCCCAGGGGTTGGTGATCAATAAGCATAAATAAAAGCACGGTAATCAAAACCGAACCAGCTATAGCAAACCACTTCATCTCAATGCCCCACTGTATAATCTATTTAAATCTTCGAGCAATAGACAAAAGATCAAACATCAAAGTTTGGCATATCACTTCATCCAAAACAAAGCACGTCTAGGGACGGTATCACAACACGACACATAGGGACAAAACTCGAGTACTTCCAGACACCCCATAAATAGCATCCAGCCCCGAGCCGATCTGTATTATCTGCATCTGCATGCAAGACCATCAAATTAGCCAAGCCCCGTACATCACATACATACCCAGACGAGCAAATGAAAGCAGTCTAGTGGATCAATTAGGCAAATGTATTCCAAATCCCGCAATCACACACACCGAGCAAGTGGCACATTCCCCATCGCTCGCCAGATCCAATGGTTCCATTGGCCCCAATGGGGAACTGTATGGAGCTGGCCCCCACCGAGATCGGGTTTCAGCTCTGATTCTTTCCCACGTTCTCGGATATTTCTTCTGCATATATAGTCAAAGGGACTATAGTGCCGAGCATTGGCTCCCGAGATTCCCGTGTTTTTCCGTGAATCCAGTAATGAGTGATATATGGTGTGTTGCTCACTACCCCTATCTGGGTGGCGTGGAGAGTTTCCGAAAAGTGGAAAGTGTGGCTCTGCAGATCGTGATCGATCTCGGGAGATTGTTGCTAGGGCTCTGAATTGACTAGTTTTTGGGATTTAGCATTTGACATTTTAATAAACGCCATTAGTGTACCATACATTGAGGCATGGAATGACGACTCTAGTGTACTCCGTATACATGTACCCCGTAATGCAGAATGAAGTTAAGATTAGGCGATTGCCTTTTTTGATGGCTTGCATAGTGCGCATGGGCCCCGGTTCGTTTTGCACTTGGGTATATGCAGTTAGGTGACAACTGTATACTCGGGCTTGTACGGATTGGGGTCACAAAAAGAGTCTGCTCGGACCTTGTATAAGATGAAACATCCCAAGGTCTGTGATATAGCACTAAGTATTAATGTCAAGAGCAAAAGCAACGAAAAGAGAAGAGGAAAAGGGGTAAACCGCCCTATGACCCACAATATTAAGCCCGAACAGGTGATAGTGCAGAACCCTCAGACCTTTCCATAGATGCCACATTTTATATTCAAACTTGTTTGTGATATGATAGATGCTACAAGTTAGATGTCTAGATAGATCAGGACAATAGTATATGTCCCTCACATATGAGTAACTATAACATACAGTAGACTTTGTGCTGTAGAAAGCTGGGTGTTCGGATGGATCAACCCCTGAACCGCCCCTGTCAAGCCGTCTCCGCTGTACATGCACGGCTCAGCAACTCCAGTGGGGGGAGATCTTCCTTTTCTTTACGAAAATCCGTAAAAACGTGGCGTCCCTGGGAGAAAGCCAAGAGTTTGGTTCAACGGGCTTCGTACTCCGCTCGTTTGGATATCCTTCTTACTCCTTCATCCTTGCAGACGTGCCTGGCATTCGCCCTCTATACTTCATTACGCCCAGCTACGCCATCCTGTATCCCTACATTCCACACATCCCTCTTCTATATTGCAATTAACTTTGCTTTTCCCCGTGTGTCGCATCGCTCCGATGCTAGAGCACATTCACAATGAGTGTTGTTGCTACTAGACCGGAGAACCCGGGGTTCTACAGCTCAATCCCTGAGGACCATATTGCCGACTATGCTGCGCCTGTTCAACCAATTGCCTCGCGAACCTCGTCCGTATCCTCCTATAGAACCAACTACAGCGCCTCAACCGCGCCGACTGCATACTCCCCCCTCCTCGCCCGCGTCGTCCTATCGCCAATTCGACTCCCAGGGCTCTATCCCCAAGATCACAGAACCTATTCAACGTCGTATACCCCAGGAGGTGTATGAGGTGATCATTCATCACCTGGAGGAACTACACAAAGGCCAGCACCAGACAGGATGCACGACGTGTTTCCAACGCGATCTTCATGCCTTGTCCTTGACGTGTCGGTCGTGGGAAAAGGCCGTCAGAGCGCCTCTGTGAGTACCCGTGCGGCCCGTCTTGATTGCAGGGATTTGCAGGAAGATGTCCGGTTTGCTAATTTTGCCATAGCTATCACCATATTCACATTGTTGGAAATGACTCCCCGGCTCAATTGAAGAAATACCGTTTGAAGCGCGGAAGCCGCCTGAAACTCCTGAGACGGACCCTGCGCGAACGAAAGTTGTTGGCCAATCTTGTTTACGAATTGCGCGTGCCACAGTTGGACTTGATCTTTACCACTACAAGACAAAGTGTCCAATGGCAGGAATACCGCGACCTTGTTGCTTCGGTGGTCATGGTATGCCCGAACTTGGAGCGTCTTTTGGGCTTGTCTATCCCCTATCATCACGAATTCGACCGTCTGACCCATGCTCTGTCGACTCGCAAGAAGCTAAAAGAGCACACTTGGGTTTTAGGCGAGGCTGCAGAAGTATCAGAGGTATCCCCTCGCGACGACTTTTGCCCTGGAAGTTTGGGTCCTTCGCAGATGTTTGAATTCCTAGACTACCACACCTCTTGGTCAAGCTTGGAAACTTTGATGCTTTATGGGTTGAACGGAAATGGCGCGTTAGAGCCTAGCATCTTCCTACGAATGTTCGACCTTCTCCCCTCCTTGCGAAATCTGTGCATCTCCTCTTTCAACGAGGACGCCTTCGCCGATAGTACCTTGCTGTGTCTACCACCATTGGAGTCATTACGACTAGAGAACTTACCCGGCATCACAGACGCCGGTCTCACACAGTATACGTCGCGACCCGAGTCGAATTCCCTCAAGACATTTGTTTTGGTCGAGCAGAACATCGAGTCCATTCTTGTCATTTCCAAGATACTCTCATCACTACGACAGCTCGAGCGATTCAAGATCGTTCAGACAGAAAAATGCCCAACTCTCCCAAAAGAAGATATGATCTTCCAGCCTATCCTTGCCTCGTCTACTTTGAAATACCTTCACTGGGACGTGGCCTGCCCAGACCCAGGCACAGCTCTCACTCAACTTGACACCCTTCCCTTCCAGAAATCTACCAAAACCTCCAATACCCCCAACTCCCACCTTGCCCAAAGCATTCTCTCCGCCGGATTCCCCGAACTGGAATCTCTCCGCGCACCCAATGATGTGGAACCCCCTGGTGCGCTCCAGGCTGCTTGCCGACCCATCTTAAAGGGAAAGGCCTTGCTCCGACCCGACCGATACAGTCTCCCCCGAAGCTCATATGGGTCTGTGAATACCCGCCCGCTCGCCCTACCAGCCGGCAACAACCTAACTTCTGCTCGAATTCGCGCTCAAACATTCATCGACATGGCCGCGAAGGACACGGAGGCAGGAATGCCAGTGCTGATCCAGGATTACTCGGACAGCTTTGTGCCTGACAATGCGCAAGCCACACAGTTCGAGGACGAGCCCGAACAGGAAATGGACGATTACGGTATTTGGGCCGCTTGTGAAAGATACAAACACCAGGAAAACAACCACGATGGACCGAAGACGGTGTATGAGTTCCATATGCCAGCCTTTATGGGCCGTAGCGGCGTCAGAGATCCCGCGACCGGTGCATCAATCCCTCAATTCATTCTCCGCCCTGATATCACAGGCCAGGAGGCTGACGGTGGTTTGATCGGTTGGAAGCAGCTTCTTGCTTCCAACCAGTCCCTCTCATTCGCCGCCGGAGTGGGCGTTAACTGCTTCGAGAAGGGCTCGAGTCCTCCCATCCCACCCCCTGAAGAGGTTGCCTCGCCTTCTTCTAGCACATCTCGCTTTGGCTGGGGCAGCTTGAGTGGTCGGTCGGTTATGGGCACTTCTCCTTCCACCCCAGTTACTCCTATCACACCCATGAGCAGTATGTCTAGCCAGGCATTGCCATGGGAAAAAGACACCTGCACCGGCTCCTGGAATCACAAAACAGGCCGGGAGTGGTGGTTCCATATGGAGCGTGATCGTCCGAGTAACACAGAGCTCATTGATACCAAGCAACTCTTTTGATTGCTCCAAACTTCTCTTCTTCTTCTTCTTCTTCTTCCCTCTCTTCCATTTCTTGTCCACACTTTCATCCGCCATATACCCCCGCACTTGTTCAATCTCTTTCTTCCACCTCTTTCCTTTCCTACTTCTATCTGGGTACCCATTTTTTATATTGTACATGTTTTATGATGCATGCGCTGTGTCATGTCGGGGCGTTGCATAATGGTTCAGTGCGCATGATACGGGTCTATTTTTATTTCATTGGGTCTGTATTGGCATTCCGGTGGAGGGCTAATAGGCGGCATTTGTGTTTTCCGTTGGAGTCTGCGACTCTCTGTATCATATTGTATAGCAATAATTGAATGTATAGCTTTACATGCACGCGATCTATCAAATTGAACTATCAAACACCGCGCTCACGTGCCCAATGACTCATCCGGGGCAGAATCGGACCGATAAGTGGGACTGATAAGCATATACAAAGAGCCCCTCGTTGAGAAAAAATATCCCCCACATTTGTCCCTACACTCATTCGTCGCAATGGATCCCGGAAAGCCTGTTGATCTGCCCGAGAGGCCCAAGGAGGTCGCTGAGCCTACAGACCCCAACAAGAAGTCCAAGAGCCAGCTTAAGAAGGAGGCCAAGGAGCAGGCCAAGAAGGACCGCAAGGACCAGCCCAAGCCTGTCAAGGAGAAGGCTCCCAAGGCTCCCAAGGCCAATGCAAAGGAGGCTGCTCCCCCCCGGGATCCTGATGCCATGTTCAAGGTCGGTTTCCTGTCGGAAGTCTACCAGGAAAAGCCCCTCTCCGAGACTGTCCCCAAGATCCGCACACGATTTCCGCCCGAGCCCAACGGATTCCTCCATATCGGTCACAGCAAGGCCATTGCCATCAACTTTGGATTCGCCAAGCACCACGGCGGCGAGTGCATCCTGCGCTTTGACGACACCAACCCCGAAGGTGAGGAGGAGCGCTACTACAATGCCATCCGCGATATCGTGACCTGGCTTGGATTCAAGCCTGTGCGTGAGACCTGCGCCAGTGACAACTTCGACCGTCTCTACGAGCTTGCTGAGGATCTCATCAAGCGTGATGGCGCATACATGTGCCACTGCACCAAGGCCGAGATCAAGGTTCAGCGTGGAGAGGGTGAGGGCGGCCAGCGCGGCGGAGAACGTTTCGCTTGTAGCCACCGCACCCGTCCCATTGAGGAGTCCATGGCTGAGTTCCGTGCTATGCGTGATGGCAAGTATAAGGCCGGTGAGGCTGCTCTGCGTATGAAGCAAGATCTCACAGACCCTAACCCCCAGATGTGGGATCTGTTTGCCTGGCGTATCATGGACAGCGAGGAGAAGCAGCACCATCGTACCGGTGGCAAGTGGAAGATCTACCCCACCTACGACTTCGCCCATTGTCTGTGTGATAGCATTGAGGAGATCTCGCACTCGCTCTGTACCACAGAGTTCGAGCTTTCCCGTGTCTCGTATGATTGGCTCTGCGATAAGCTGGAGGTCTACCGCCCTAACCAGCGTGAATATGGTCGTCTCAACATCACCGGAACTGTCCTCTCCAAGCGCAAGATTATCCAGCTTGTGAAGGAGGGCCATGTCCGCGACTGGGATGATCCCCGCTTGTACACCCTCATTGCTCTTCGTCGCCGTGGTGTTCCCCCCGGTGCAATCCTCTCCTTCGTCAACGAGCTCGGCGTAACAAAGAACACAACCAACGTCCAAGTCGCCAAGTTCGAACAGGCCATCCGCCAGTACCTGGAGACCACAGTGCCCCGTCTAATGGTCGTTCTCGAGCCATTGAAGGTCATCATCGACGACCTCCCCGACGGCCACGTCGAACTAGTCGACTCCCCCTTCTCACCCAAGGATCCCTCCTTTGGCACCCACAACATCCCCTTCACAAAGACAATCTACATCGAGCGCTCCGACTTCCGCGCCGTTGACTCGCCGGACTACTTCCGCCTCGCCCCAGGCAAGACAGTCGGTCTCCTCAAAGCCCCCTACCCCATCACCGCAACCTCCTTCGAGACCGATCCAGCAACCGGCGAAGTCACAGTCGTCCACGCCAAATACGAGAAACCCGCTGAAGGCGAAACCCCCAAGAAGCCCAAGTCCTTCATCCACTGGGTCGGCGAGTCCGCCGAACACAACAGCCCTATCCGTGCTGAGGTCCGCGCTTTCAACCAGCTCTTCAAGTCCGAGGATCCGTCCGCCCACCCTAAGGGTTTCCTCGCTGATATCAACCCCGATTCCGAGGAAATCTACAAGGATGCCATGGTCGAGACTGGTATCACGGATATCTCCAAGTCTGCGCCTTGGCCCAAGGCGGCTGCTGAGGATGATGTCGAGAATAACAAGCACTGTGTCCGTTTCCAGGCTATGCGTAACTTCTATGTTTGCGTTGATCGTGAATCCACCCCTGAGAAGCTTGTGCTTAACCGCATTGTCACGCTTAAGGATAACCAGGGTAAGAACTAGATTTGTGGACCCTTCTCTTTGTTTTTGAATGTGCATCTGGCCTTTTCTCTTTTTAAAATACCATGTTGTGGTGTGAGTGGGTGTGGGTGTGGCGGTGTGTTTCGGGGATGAATGGTTGTTATGGATTTATGACTCTTGCATTTTTGTTTTAGCTTGTAGGTTTTTGAATATGAAAATCATATACAACTATCATATCCTAGATCGCTGAAACCCTCATCCCCACTGTTCCCCGGTCAACATCATCATTGATAAGCCGCTCAATGATGTTGTGGAGCCTTAAGTATATTCTCAGACACCGCACTAGTGATATGCTCGGCTCTCTACAGTGACCGAAGTACAACCACTGAATCAGGCAATCAGCAATCCTCTGTTTTACATTATCTCCAACATCGGACTACCGGCAGCTATCTTCTCGATGCCTTGCATCGGAGAAATGTGCGTTAGATTACATGTACTACGACACTTAACTTATACACCGGATGTGGGAGCCTTACTTTGTAGCCAGTTGACTTCAAGTGAAATACTATGAATACACTTGGATCACACGAGACAGAACAATCTATATGAGATTCGTCATTTAAAATGCATCTCTCCCTACTTTCCTAGGTTCGCTCAAATTCATACTCATTTTTCGATGTTCTCTTCTCCCACTACAACAGCAACCTGTCATTTCAGCTTGAAACACATATCGCTTCGACATGCAAATCCCATAACCCTTCTTGGGCGCCGTGGAAAGCTCATTTCAGCTCTTGTGTCTTGCAAACATGAGTCTGGACTCATAGCTGTAACCCGACTCTATATCGGTTCCTGCCTATCTTGTTCTCCCGGTGGATTGTCGGGGTTGTCGCCTTCCTCGCTGGAATGCACAGGCGAGTACTTGCGGCCTCTGCCATGTTCAGAGAATAGAGTATCGCCGACTCCGAGAAGCTTTGATCTGACTCTTCGCATGGACATTTGTTTTACAGCGATTTCGTGACTATACTTCAAGTCCCTAGAATATAATTCATTGGGGGTATGACATGGCATTATGCATAGCGAATTACCGACCTCATCAAGCCGAGGAGCATACATACATGACATGACACAAAAGAAAGGAGGAAACAAGCAAAGAGAAAGGTAAGCACGAGAGGACATCCAAGAGCACACTGCTGTCTAGTCTAAACTAAACATAGATGCCCATGTTGGTATCCTTCTTCTTAGCCTGGACCTCAGCAATGGCATCGACGTAGTTCTCGTGTCCGATCTTGCTAAGACCCTTCCTCAACGCAATCATACCAGCTTCAACACAGACAGCCTTGAGTTGGGCACCACCGAACTCGTCTGTGCTGCGAGCCAACTCGGCCCAGTTGACGCTGTCCTCGACGGACATCTTGCGAGAGTGAATTTGCAGGATGTTGGCACGGGCTTCCTCGTTGGGCAGGGGGAACTCGATCTTACGGTCCAGACGACCGGAACGGAGGAGGGCAGGGTCCAGGACGTCAACACGGTTGGTTGCGGCTAGGACCTTGATACGGTCGTCGGAGGCGAAACCGTCCAGCTGGTTCAGGAGTTCCAGCATAGTACGCTGCACTTCACGATCACCAGACTTCTCAGAGTCGAATCGCTTGGTTCCCACGGCGTCCAGTTCGTCAATGAAGATAATCGAGGGGGCCTTCTCCTTGGCTAGGGCGAAGCAGTCGCGAACGAGCTTGGCACCGTCACCGATGAACATCTGCACCAGTTGGGGACCTGCGAGCTTGAGGAATGTGGCGTTTGTCTCGGCAGCACAGGCTCGGGCGAGAAGGGTTTTACCGGTACCTGGGGGTCCGTACATCAGAGCACCTGAATATGTGGTTAGCATTAAATGTATACTCTGGAACAGAGGACGACACACCCTTGGGGGCCTTGATGCCGATTTTCTTAAAGCGCTCTGCCTCCTTCATCGGCCATACGATAGCTTCCACGATTTCTTCAATCTGCTTATCCAGACCACCGATATCCGTGTACTTCTCCGTGGGCTTCTCGTCAACCTCCATTGCCTTAACGCGGTTGTCATACTCGGCCGGTAGTGTGTCCAGAATGAGATATGAGTCCTTGTTGACACCAATGAGGTCACCGGGCTTGAGCTTTTCGTGGTCGACGAGACCGATGAGGGGAAGGAAGATAGTCTGGCGGGTGGAGGTCTTGATGACGGCGGATTTGCCTACGCGGGTGGCATCCAGGTCGATATTGGCCCCTTCCTCTGCTGCCTCTGCCTCCACATCGAGATCCAATAGCTCAACAACGTTTCCAACGAGGTATGGTAGTTGTCTAAATAAGGGACAAAAAGTCAGTCAAGATCAAAAGAAAGGAGGTTTCGCAGCTTCCGTGGGATATGAAGCTCCGCGAGCCCGCGGAACCGCGAAGAAGACATTCGACACCGTACCTGTTGTTCTCGATCTTCTCTTGGTTGTCCTTCACCTTCTCCCTCATTGTACTTTGCTCGTGTGTCAAACGCTGGAATTCGCTTTTCATGATGCGCATCTCGTTCTCCAGCATCCGCCGCCGCTTGACAATGTCTGCCGTGCTTGAAGTCAAGATCTCCTCATCCAGAAGCTCTTCTTCATCTTCCTTGTTGTCGGCATCTCTCATCTCGGCATCGCCGTCGCCTCCGGGCTTGCGACCATCGTCATCGTTCTGGTCTTGCTTCTTGTCTCTCTGATCGCGCTCAAGGTCGTCGAGGTCCTCAAGAGTCGACATTGTGGGATCGAGAAAATGGGAATTGTAGAATCACAGGAAATCAAAGCCCCGAAACGCAGAGATGGGACGTCAATAAATTGGAAAGGGATGGGGAAAGATGAGTAACGGAGGTTGCTAGAAGGAAGAGCTGTCGGTGACAGAGCTCCGTTCAACGTCAGCGCCGCTCGTCACGTGACGTATACAGTGTTTATAATCATGGAGGCAGTTGACTTTCCTGGCTAAATTGGTATCAAGATGTTGCTTAAAGTATGTGATATTGCTAAATACAGTATATATGCAGCCCGCGATCTCACTTTATACAATGCTATTCGGGTTCTCGGGATCGTGGCCTGTAGGGATGTTGCCAAGGTTGTTCAACACAGCTTCACGGCCATATTTTAGCAACCGAAGTCGAGAAATGAAGTCATCGTTGTTGACTGGATGTAATTAGCATCGTGTATCGCAATAATTAGATTGATACATACCGTAACCCCCACACATCCGTCTTTTTCCAGTAAATTGAGAGCGACCATGCATCATTCTCCAGTTATCAAAGACTAAGTAGAACAATTAGTGAAATAAACTTCCACCGCAATACCCATAAAGACTCACTTAGTGCTGTTCCGGGTTCAAGCTGTGTCCAGATCTCCCTGTTTTGCAAAATCTCATTATACCGACGTGCCGCGCTGTACCAATCCTGTTGCTCCGCCGCCGACCAGTCGACTTTCGGCGCACGGTCATAATTGTTCCAGCGAATCTGATATACCTGGTTGAGATCTGGGTGAACAGAGAAGACTGGAGCTTGAGCAGATGGTTGGATGCAGGTATCCTCGTTTCCACTGGTGTGCCACGGGTGCCTATACTTGATCAGGGCTTCAAAGTATGAAGGATTCTCCGCACGCAATATGTTAGCTGCTTCAAATCCATCAACGAGCAGGCTACCACCACCTTGTCCTTCGGTGTGGGATAGTAGGTGGAATAGTTGAAGCCTTGCTGGATCCGTGAAATATGTGTTATCTGTATGGGCACCCAGGAATTCATTGGTATAAGCAGTGTCCTTGAAGGTCAAGTCAGCTGTGAAGTCCCAGAAGCCACCTAGAATATCTTGATTAGTATATTAAAACACAAGTCAGGAGTCCTGGATATTTACCATAATGAGTGTGTCTGATAAACGCAATCCGCTCGATGAGACCCTGAGTCGCTTCTGGGGTGACAGGGACACCTGATACGAAACAATATCCTTTCTCCCACTTCACAGAGGTAAGCACGACATTTCATCTATATATCTGGAAATCGGCAGAGCGAATTTAGGGTCACTCACAATAAGCTCCACCCATTGTCGGAGATGAGACTCGTCCGACATGATCCCCTCGTACGAGACTGTCGGATACTCTTTCGTAGTCAGAGAAGTTGAGACAAATGTCCTTCCTGGGCGTCAGCATGCTTATGGATACTTTTCTTTGATAGGACGGTAAATTTACCTGACAGGCGGTGGGCTGTACTTAGGGTCTGCCGTTGCAGGCGAAACCGTAGCATGGGCTTTACTATTTTGCTTATGCGGACGAAGCCATTTCCATGGATAGATACCCAGGTGCTCATCGGACCCTGTTATTATGTCAATACTGATATCTCCAGTGGTAAAGCAATGCGTCCTTACATTTAACTTCAAGAGCTTCGCCCTTGGACTCAAATGACAATGCATGAACATCTTCCGAAACCTGTAGAAACCATACCAGGGACGATTAGCATGAACATTTGAGGGTTGGGTTCAAATACCTTACCGCAAAGGTGTCTGCTGCTCTTTGCTTCGTATCTGGATGGATACACCCTGAACATTGGCAATTTTCTCTAATGACAACATTAAACTTCATATTGCAAGATCAAATTCAGAGATGTATACAGTCACTTACCTGAGGAAGAATTGACCACTGCGACTAGTTAGTATATAGCCAAGTCTTCCAAAGGGCAAAAGACAGCGATCAACTCACAACTCTAGCTTGTGTTTCTGACCTACAGCATCGGCAACATCTTGGAATTTCACAGTAGCTGGCGTTGAGCCAGCCATAGCGGAATATGGCCGTCGCTCAATTTTAGGATTGCTGTCATGTTGAGCCTTGAAGCTCATCAATCTCACGGACCCAGGAGCGAAATTTCGGCATCTAAGCATCTGGAAGACCAAACGAACACGTTGAATTAGTTTTCCAGTGCACAACTCGAGTTGTCAATGAGAGTGTCAAGAGCATACAAGACTACCAGTCGGGGCAAAGCAGAGTCTTATTCCGACAATGTTAGCTCTCTATACTGAATGGCCGGATATAGATCCTCTTACCTGGCCTGTTTCCACAACCCAGTTGACCTGAGTGCTGTACGCCAGCTTAAACTCATGGCTGTTATAGAATGAGTGGAAATTCGAAGTTTTTGGGGGGGGGGGGGGGTAGTCAATTGAAGGTCGCTGATCGGATCCAGGGTAGCATTTATGAAGCCTAAGCGGAGCATCAGCCGAGGCGATGAAGTGGTCACGTGCGAGGTTAAAAGGAACTACACCAGCCTCAAGAATGAAGCGGTTCAAAAGAGAAGAATAAGATCTTTACAGACAAATGCTTTATTTATTGTTCATGCCTGGAAACTATATGCTAAAATATGCACCACAATATAAACTCACAGCTTACTCTTAACAGGACCAACAACCTTCAACAAACAACGACCATTGCTGAGAACAACCTTACCCTTGTCATTCTTAGTAACAAAGCGAACCTCCTCGAAGCCATCCTGAACATTTCCCATCTTCCACATCTCAGTGGTGAGCTTATCACCAGGCCGAACGGGCGAGGCAAAGCGGGCCTGGAACTCCTTCATATTGGCAGGATCGCTGCCGCCCAATTCGCGCAGAATACCGTGCGCAGCGGAGTTCCAGCTGAAGAGACCGTGGATAATAATGCCGCCGAAGCCCATCTTCTGACCGGGCTCTGGGGTGGCGTGGAGGGGGTTATAGTCGCCGTTGAGACTGATAGGTGTTAGTATCCAATGATTCATTAATTATTTCTTTCATGCAAGGAGGCTGAATACACCCTTGCTGTAGCTTCAACTTACCGGTATAAGTGGGCTGTCTCCATGCTGCTCTGAATAACATGAGTAGCATCGGGAGCCTTGCCCTTGGGAGGGGCAAAGTTCACAGTGCTGGGTCCTATTCAAATAGATCAGTATACACCATGTACCACCTTCTAAGAATAGTAATCTTACCCTTGGGGCCACCCCAGCCTCCTTGGCCAACAAGGAAGCCGCTGGACACGACCTTGGAGTACACCTCACCGGACTCCTTGTCAACAATAGCCTGCTCGGTCTCAATAACAGTACCTGGCTTGCCCTTATCATAAACACCAATAACAGTGTTGCGCAGCTCGAACTTACGTCCGGCGCTTGTGGCAGGGAGCGGCTTCAGGACGGTGAGCTTGCGCTGGCCATCGACTCCAAAGCGGTGGTCGAGGTCGGGCACTCCGGGTATATGGACAGCCTTTTGGCGGCCGTAGAAATCGGTCACTTCTTGGTCGGTGAGCTTGAAGGCTGGTGAATGGGACCTATGTTAGTGCGAAACAACAGAGCCGAAATCGGGGATAGTTGACATACGGAGGATGAGGGAGTATGTAGGGAAGACGGCGAAGTTCGGGTGAAGTTCCTAGACACCAATTAGACTTGATATCTGGACTAGGAGCCAGGAAGCTTACATAGAGGAAGTGAAGCTCGTCGGCCTTGACGCCAATGCTGTTGGCGAACAACAGCACATCGCGCTTCTGCCAAGAGACGTCTTGACGGGGGAATTCGTGACCAGCTCCTGGTGCTGACATTGTATATATTGAAGAAGATAGAGAGAGATATGTAAAATATGTCAAGGGGTAGAAAAAAGAAAAAAGACAAGCTAAAGTATCTCCGACAATTGCGGGGGCTATAAGCAGCCGAGGATCTGATAATTCTGGGATGATTTGTTGCCGTTGGTTAGCCGACGCGGCATCTTCTTGGCACAATTTCCCAGTGCAGATCAATGCTCTTTTTACTTGAATACTACGGATTACTGGGAAAATTGAAAAAGTATTCACTGTCCAGAAGAAGAGCGTCGGAGTTTGCTAGACTAAGCATCGACTCGGGGTATCAATCTACCTGGAAATTCGAGGAGCTTCACAATCATATCTCCGTTCGCGCCGCAAAATGCCTTTTCCTGCCTCCCATGTACTAACGCCGAAAGAAACAATGGCGAAATTCGCCGTGGGCAATTCCAACATGCCCATGCCTGAATGCATTGGTGATGAAAGTATTTCCCGTGGATCGTGCAAACGTGCAGTTATAAACCCAATATCACGTAAAAAAAGCAAAGAAAATTAACACCTGCAGCGTGTTAGTCAATTGAAACATGGAAACCAGGAGCAGATGATCAACTTACATGCGGTAGAAGCAACCACCCTCGGCAGCGCGGGTAGGGTCAGCAGTCTCGAACTTGTAGGAGATGCCAATGTCAAGATCACGCTTGTTCTTCTCGTTAGGGCGGTTTTCGATCCAGCCGGTGACACCCTCCTCCTCCTCAACGGTGAGAACATCGCGGAGGTAGAAGACAGTCTGCTTCCAGTGAGTGTACTTGGCGTGGGGGCCGGTGGAGAAGTGGATGGGCTTGTGGCAGGCGCTGAAGTCAATATCGAACCAAGCGATGAGAGCGTGAATGAAGTCGCTGCGTTTGGCAGTGAGGGAGTAGGGGACCTTGAAGGCAAGATCGGCGGCGGTGACGGTGTTCAGGTCGAAAGTGATGATCGGGCAAGGGTCAGTCACGAGAGCCTTCATCTCGACGGTGTCAACGAGGGGCTCGTTGAGAGCGATCTCCTTCATGGGGCTGTAATCAAAGCCATAAACATTGTCCCAGACTATAAAGGTCAGTAACTTGACAGAGCGGTACTGGATACCGTAGATTTGCTTACATCCAATCTTGTCGTCCTTATAGTCACCGTCCTCAATACCAGCAACGTACATGGTGGCCTTGTCGGGGAAGATCAGACCACCGGGGTTGAGGTAGGTGTCACGGGCGTAGAGAACAGTGTCCAACATGGACTCGTAGAGAAGGAAGTAACCCATCCACTCGGAGATGATGATATCAACCTTGGGAAAAGGAAGGTTAACCTCCTCCATCTTGCCCTGGAGAAGGGTGATCTTGTCAGACAAGCCGTTGACGTGAACAATCTCACGGGCCTTCTCGATGATCGAGGACATGTCGACACCAATGACGTGCTTGGCACCAGCACGAGCAGCGAACCTGTGTGGAACAATGGTCAACGGAAGGCTCGAGGGTTTGCAGATATCCCAATACGTACATGCTCAGGATACCGGTTCCACAGCCGACGTCAAGAACAACCTTGTCCTTGAAGATGTGGCGGTTTTGGTAGATCGAGTCGCGGTAAGAGCGGGTGCGGACATCATCCTTCTGTAAACACGAGACCGATTAGAAAATGGGAATAGCGCTATTCGGCCAGTCAATTTGCACTTACCAGCATCTCCTCGTGGATACCTGTATTCGAAAAAAGCAATTGTCAGTAAAAGCGAACCTGGCATTTGCAATTCATAGGAATAAATTACCGTGGTGATCGTAGCTATAGACTGGTTAGCATCTGATTTCCGAGAGAAGTGCCAGAACATCGTACCTAGTGAAGTAGCGAACTTCAGAGTGCTCCATGCCGACCATGCGGTCAGCACTGCTGGTAATAGCAGTAGGGGTCTCGGATCCGTTGTTGTTCATCTTGGTAGTAAGAAGAACGATAATGTGGAAGGGGAAGAAAAATGGAAGGTGATAAAAGTCCAAGAAGTCTCTCTAACTTTTTTTTTTCTCTGATTATTCGCCCGCCCGCCAAGCTTAACTCCAATCCCCGCCCGCACTAGCTTTATTGGGACATCACGTGGTTACTACCACGTGATCCTTAGGGCTAGGAGTTTGAACTTATCTACATCTTCATTTTTGGGAAATTTGAATGTGATAGAACGAAAATTGTATCGTAAAATGAGCCAAGACCTCGATTAATTGAATGGTACTTTCATGGCTAGAGCGGACTAGTACGATACCTGGTACAATACCTGCCGCACCTTTTAGAGCGTGAGGTAAGTTAACTGGATTGATACGTGATAATCAGGGGGTTAGAACCTAGAATTACTCCCTAGAATTACCTTGTTGAATAGCATTAATCACATAGATCAATGGCTGTGGGGTAAATGAGCACTGTTTTGATGCCAAGACTACCGAGGGAGGCTCTTTGATGCCGCCGGAAGCTCCGCCCAACTGTCATCTATTCAAAGCTTACGCGTTTTATGCCAGACACCATGCATCTGGTCGGACGAGCCAACCTCTACACTCTATTTGCTTTTGTTCTCTTTGCCTCGCTCATTGGCCGGTCCAACGCGTCACTGGGTGACCATCTCCCCGACTTCAAAGAATGTGTTCAGGTACGTCGTACGCCCTCGAATAAGTCACCCTGTACCGGCAATTAACAACGCCAGATCTGTAAAACGGAAAACTGCCAGAATGGCAACTCGGTGCTACGTATGTCTCTTCCACACTCACTCATCGCCCGTGATCCCCCTGTCTGACCTTGCCAGCTCTGCACCACCGCTTGCTATTATGGACCTGCCCTGCCGAATGTGATTACACCTGCCAACATGTCGTTACCGACCGTCGAGTCTCGCGTGACCCCCCGATGATCAACCCAGTCGTTCAATTCCATGGCAAATGGCCTTTTCGTCGACTGTTGGGCATGCAGGAGCCTTTTTCAGTGCTCTTCTCCTTCCTAAACTTTGCCGCGCACTGGCACGGTATGTCTCGCATCCAGGAGTCAATACCTGCCTGGCACTCTTTGCGCCAATACTACATGATGTTTGGATATATCGGACTTGCTAGCTGGAGTTTCAGCATGATCTTCCACATGCGTGACTTCCCCTTGACCGAGAAACTAGACTACTGGGGAGCGGGCGCCAATGTTCTGTTCGGTCTCTATCTGGCCGTGGTTCGGATCTTCCGCCTGGATCTCGAAAACAGCCAGTACCGCCCCACGTTGCGTCGCTTCTGGACTGCCATTTGTCTTGTTCTGTACACATTGCATGTTGCATACCTCAGCTTCTGGTCGTGGAACTACACTTACAACATGGCAGCGAACGTGGTGGTTGGAATCATTCAGAACCTCATGTGGACTGGGTTCAGTATCTTCCGTTACCAGAAGTATCTGAAGTCCTGGACTGCTTGGCCTGGTATGATTGTCGCGTGGATCATCCTGGCCATGAGCTTGGAGTTGCTCGACTTCCCCCCTTGGAACGGATTGATCGATGCCCACAGCCTGTGGCATCTTGGCACCGTGATACCCACTGCTTGGTGGTACTCGTGAGTAATTCCCACCTGATTTCTGATATTTCCATGACTAATGCATCGGTTGCTACCGACAGGTTCCTGATCAGGGACACCCAAGATGATATTGCGGCGCATAGACTGAAGGCATAGAAGGGATGGGCAGCATTTCAGTTATATATAGAAGCAAACATACGCCAAAATAGTCACGGTGGCATTCCAGATAATCCCCACCGCACGTACTCTGTAGTCAAAGGCCAATGTTTCTCTTAATGCCACGCATTCTGCCCGTGTGGTGCCTGGCTTCCCCGCCATTGGCTCACCGCTAGGGCCGTCGCAATAGCCCGTCTCGCCCCTCTTCAAGCCATTTTTTGTTTCAACCCTTCACATCTTTCTTGACAGCTTCAAAGCACCTCTCTTTTTGCTTCATATTCCCCCGGTGCTTCGCTTGATCATCACATATTGCACCATGGCTTCTCCGGCTGTCAAGAAAGCGATCACCGAGGCCGCACTCCAGTACACAAAGCCTGAAGGCAAGGTGTTTGAGTATGGAACCGCAGGAGTAAGTCGCATTGGGGAGCTTTCTAAAGAGCTGATTAGCTGACCTCCTTTTTCCGGATTACAGTTTCGCATGAAAGCGTAAGTTTCTTCACTGATCCGCCCCGCCTCCACATCCTCTAGAACCCCGCGATCGTCCTTTTGTTGACATCGACGTATTCTGACCGACTCGCCGCAGGGATCTCCTCAACACTGTTGTTTTCGCCGTGGGCTTGCTTGCAAGCTTGCGCTCTAAAAAGCTCAGTGGACAATGGATTGGTGTTATGGTCACTGCCAGCCACAACCCCGCAGAGGACAATGGTGTTAAGTTGGTTGACCCGATGGTATGATTCCGTTCATCAACGCTTTTATTGCGATACATCTGACTAATTGGTGTCATAGGGAGAGATGCTCGAGGTAATTCTAGTATTTTTTCGAAATTGGGGGAAATTGCTTACCATGAACAGGCCGAGTGGGAGGCTTATGCGACAAGGCTCGCCAATGCTCCTTTGGAATCGATCGCCGATGTCTACGATGAGCTCGTGAAAGAGATCGATGTGAAGATTGCCAACCCTGCCCGTGTGGTCTTTGCCCGTGATACCCGTGCTTCTGGTTCCCGTCTGGTTGGCGTGTTGAGCGCCGCCCTTACCGCAACTGAGGTCGAATTCATCGACTTCAAGTTCATGACCACCCCTCAGCTCCACTACGTCGTCCGCTGCAAGAACACCCTTGGAACACAGTACGAATATGGTGAGCCTACTGAGCAGGGATACTACGAAAAGCTCGCAAACTCCTTCAAGAAGGTTATGCGGGGCGTCAAAGTTCAGGGTGGCTTGACCGTTGACTGCGCCAACGGCGTAGGTGGTCCCAAGCTGCGGGAGCTTATGAAGTTCCTTTCTGGAATCGATATTAAGGTTGTCAACGACGATGTGATCAATCCCGACAGCTTGAACTTTGATGTATGCCCTACCTGGTCAACAACCCACCCCCACATTCAACTAATCGAATCCATCTAGTGCGGTGCCGACTACGTTAAGACTAAGCAGCGTGCTCCTCCTTCATCCAAGGCTGCCCAGCTTGACCGATGTGCTTCGCTTGATGGTGACGCCGATCGCCTGGTCTACTACTTCCAGGACGAGAGCAACGTCTTCCGTCTTCTCGACGGTGACCGCATCGCCACTCTTGCGGCCTCCTTCATTGGTGACCTCGCTCGCAGTGCCGGTATTGCTTCCAAGATGAAGATTGGTGTCGTCCAGACTGCCTACGCCAACGGCTCCAGCACAGACTACATTGAAAAGGTCCTGAAGCTCCCCATCATCTGCACCAACACTGGTGTCAAGCACCTCCACCACGCCGCCCTCCGCTTCGATGTTGGCGTCTACTTCGAGGCTAATGGCCACGGAACCGTTACATTCTCCGAGAATGCTCTGAAGGTCATCAAGAACACTGAGCCCCAGTCGCCGGCGCAGCAGCACGCCCTGGAGAGCCTCCAGGCACTGACCGACCTGATCAACCAGGCTGTCGGCGATGCTCTTTCTGACATGCTCCTTGTCGAAGCCATCCTTGCCCACAAGGGCTGGTCTCCCAAAGAGTGGCTCGGCACTTACACCGACCTCCCCTCGCGCCTGGTGCGTGTCGAGGTCAACGACCGCTCTATTTTCAAGGCTTACGATGCTGAGCGTAAGCTCGAGTCCCCTGTTGGCCTGCAGGGTACCATTGAGTCTTTGCAGTCTCGCTACAACAAGGGCCGCAGCTTTGCCCGTGCCAGTGGCACTGAGGATGCTGTCCGTGTCTACGCTGAGGCTGCTAGCCGATCTGAGGCGGATGACCTGGCCACTCGCGTGGCCAACGCCGTCAGTGAGGCAGGCAGTGCCTAAGCGATTGATTTAGCCTTCACAAATAAGGTACAGACCACAGTTTATCCTGACCAGTGTGGCTAGCACTAGGCTTGGAAAACAGGCAGCGAAAAACTCGCGACCCGAGGGACAGGAAATAAGGTCCAGAAAATATTCGAGGTCATTTTGATGCAGTAATGAAATCTATGGGTTCTTTTAAACACTAGAAGCACTTTATACTCTTCGTAGGACATTTATTCATATACAACACACTCTTACATACTTTAAGATTTTAGCCCTGCTCCTGGTCCATGGCATCACGGGCACGTTTGGCACCGTGCCCAAACTTGCCTTTGCCTTTGCTACCCTTCTTCTCATCATAGGTCTTCATCGCCTGGATAGCCAGACGCTGAGACTCACCAACGCTGTCAGCAAGAAGCATAACCTCATCCTTCGCAGCGTCGTATTCAGGCAACTGCTTGCCAAGTGCACCCTCAATTCGCTGCCAGATCTCCACATCATATTGCGACACAAAGCTAATAGCAACACCACTCTTACCCGCACGGGCCGTACGACCAACACGGTGAATGTAGGTCTTACTATCAGTGGGCAGATCGTAGTTCAGCACAACATCCACAGAGGGAATATCCAGACCACGTGCAGCAACATCCGTAGCAACGAGGATATCCCGACTGCGAGAGCGGAACTTGCCCAGCGCACCGAGACGGGCAGATTGTGAGAGCTGTCCGTGCAGCGGAATGGCGCCGAGTCCGAGCCCACGGAGGAGGTAGGCAATACGCTGTGTCTCGTGGACAGTGCGCATAAAGATAATGGCAGACTGGCCGGTGAACTTCTCGAGAAGGTAGGCAAGGTAGACATCCTTGTGTTTATGAGGGCGGAGGAGGAAATATTGCTGAAGTGTCGAGACGGTCTGGTACTTGCTAGAGGAGATAGAGACGCGCTGCGGGTTTGAAAGGGAAGCGCGCTGGAGCGACTCGACCTTTGAGCTGAGGGTTGCGGAGAAGAGGAAGGTGCGGCGCTCGCGCGGGAGCACCTTGAGGATTTTGTCGAGGATCGGACCGAAGTCCATGTCTAGCAGTCTGTCGGCTTCGTCCATTACTAGGTACTTCATGCTGCGGAGGGAGAAGCCCTTTGTGTTCTCGAGGTGGTCGAGGAGTCGACCCGGTGTGGCGACGATGATGTGAGGCTTCTTGCCTAGTGCGATGGACTGTGGGACCATGTCCATTCCTCCGACGATTGTGGCGCATCGTACTGCAATAGTTGAGCCGAGGTTTTCGAATGACTGGGCGATCTGGTAGGCCAGTTCACGGGTTGGTGCCAGTACCAGGCCGAAGAATGGTTGGGGCTTTTCCATGAGAGCTTTTGGAGTTTTTAGTTTGGTTCTTGATATAAACTAAGCCTATGGATGATACATACCCTGTAGAATAGGAAGCGCAAAAGCTGCCGTCTTTCCAGAACCGGTTTCCGCAAGACCGATCATATCACGGCCTTGCAAAGCCAGAGGAATTGACTCGGCCTGAATTGGTGTTGGGGCCTTGTATCCGAGGTTTGTACAAGCTTCGCATAGTGCGTCAATGATACCCAGTTCCTTGAATGTCTTCGGCGCACTGGCGGCGGCCTCAGTCTCGGAGGTAGCATCTTCGACATCGGGGTCCTCGTTGGCGGACTCGTTGGTAGACTCATTGGTGGGCTCGGGGCTGGAAGCGCTCGCATTTGAAGGGGCGCTTTCTTGAACAGGCGCCTCGTGGGCAATCTTGCGTTTCTTGGTGATCGGCATCTTTAATATCTTGTCTAACAAAAAAGTCGAGGATGTCCATGTCAAAAGAAATAATTTAATGTGGAGCCGCAAGATCATTGATCCGGTTCTGCCGCGGAACTTAATTTTTGGAAAAAAAACCTCCAGCTGTTGGACATTGACATCCATTGATTTCCCTCCCCATTAAATTTTGTTTTTCAGGTTCAAAATGGCCAAGCAGCGTGTTAAGAAGCGCACACATCAGAAGCCGCAGAATGCGTCGGCTGCTGTCAAGGGTGGCGCTGCCTCAATGGCTAAGACTCCAAAGTCTATGGTCATTCGAGTAGGCGCCTCTCAGGTCGGTACCAGTGTCACTCAGCTGGTAAAGGATGTTCGCCGTATGATGGAGCCCGATACTGCTGTGCGACTCAAGGTAAGCTTGAAAATACGCTCGTATATTGCTTGTATCTAACAAGATATACAGGAGCGCAAATCCAACAGACTGCGAGATTATACCGTCATGACTGGACCTCTCGGTGTTACCCATCTTATGCTGTTCTCCAAGTCCGCAACCGGCAACACAAATATGCGATTGGCAGTTACCCCCCGTGGACCCACGCTTCACTTCAAGGTCGAGAACTATTCTCTGTGCAAGGATGTTGAGAGGGCAATGAAGCGCCCAAGAAGTGGTGGCCAGGACCACAAGACCCCACCTTTGCTAGTCATGAACAACTTCACTACCCCAGATGCCACTGAAGAGTCCAAGGTGCCGAAGCGCCTCGAGACCCTCACCACCACGATCTTCCAATCCCTTTTCCCTCCCATCAATCCCCAAAGCCAGCCTCTGCATTCCATTAAACGTGTTATGTTGCTCAACCGAGAGCCCTCCGAGAAGGACGACGACTCATATATCCTGACTCTGCGTCACTACGCGATTGCCACAAAGAAGACCGGGGTGTCGAAACGGATCCGCCGCTTGGACCCCAAGGAGATCCGGAACAGAGACAAGAAGGGACATGCCGTTCCCAATCTCGGAAAGTTAGAAGATGCCGCCGATTACCTCCTCGACCCATCTGCTGCAGGCTACACATCAGCCAGTGAGACCGAGCTAGACACCGATGCCGAGGTGGAGGTTGCGGAGAGCACGACACGCCGAGTTCTGAACAAGAGAGAGCAACAGCGCCAAAAGGCCGCCGAGAAGGGTCAGGAGAAGCCCCCCAGCACTCCCGGCGTTGAAAAGCGAGCTGTGAAGCTAGTGGAACTTGGTCCTCGTCTGCGTCTTCGTTTGATGAAGGTTGAGGATGGTGTTTGCGACGGCAAGATCATGTGGCACGACTTTATCACGAAATCCGAGAAGGAGGTACGCAAGATGGACCAGAACTGGGACGTTAAGAGGAAGGAGAAGGAGCAGAGAAAGAAGCTCCAAAAGGAGAACATTGAGCGCAAGAAGAAGGAGAAGGCCAGTGCCAAGGCTAATGGCCAGCAAGTTGCCGACGATGATGAAGACGTTGATATGGATGATGAGGATGCCTGGCTCAGTGATGATGATTATGACCAGGAGGGAGAAGTTGAGGGTGCCGAGTCTGAGGAATCTGAAGCCGACTCAGATGACTCTATGGAGGAGTGAGTGGTTTGAAACCGCGCCATTCCCTGACAGAAGCTACTGCTCGATCATTACGCACTTGATGGAACTCAGACCCAATCACAGGTCGTCTATCAAGCGGTATCGTGGGCTCTCGTCAATCAGAGCCTGCCTTTACATCCCAGGTCTTTGTTTACAACACCAGGACCATCCTCACCGTCACATACCCGATAGGCATCCAGGCGTCATTCAGGGTTTTCCACACATGTAATCGCGAATGTTTGGTTATCTATACTTGTACATGGAGTAAAGCGACAAAAGTTATAGGGCATGAAAATATCTTGTATGGACTACAATTGTGAACCGGATCTTCGTTGTTAGCGTAAATCATGAACCTCCTAGTCTATTTCTTCAGCTTCTCATCAACAATGCGAGAAACCATCTTCTCCAGAATAGCGAAATCCCCACTGGCGGTGCCAGCAAAGTATCCCTGCACACTCTTCTCGACATACTTGCCGACAATATCAATCTCAACATTGACGAGGTCACCGGCCTTCTTAGACGCAGTGACCACCTTCTCCTGTGTGTATGCAATAAGCATAACCTCCCAGTATCCATCCTGACCATCAACAACCTTGGTAACAGTCAAGCTAGCACCGTCAAGAGTGACGTAGCCCTTTTCAACGACATAGCGCAGGATATCCCGGTCCCGTGGCTGCAGCCGGAACACCAACGAGTTTCCATCTGGTATCACAGACAGGACTTCCGCAACAGTGTCGACATGGCCCTGTACGAAGTGCCCTCCCATCCTGGTATCAGCCGAGACTGCCCGCTCAAGGTTCACGTAGGAGCCCTTCTCCAATGAGCCCAGGTTTGTGCGGCGCAGCGTCTCTGGCGCGACGCCGACCTTGAACCAGGTTTTATCGAATGCTGTCACCGTGAGGCATGTTCCTAAAAGAACGGCACTTAGTCGGCATTCAGATAGATGTATAGGTGGGTCTCAAATACCATTCACGGCGATGCTGTCGCCCAAGTGCGCGTCGGAGAGGATCTCCTCACAGTCGGAGATGGTGAGCGACGTACCCCCGCCCCCGCTCGACGAGGTATCGAGGGGCTCTAGGGCCGTAACGGCTAAGAGGAATATATTAGTCCTGGGGAGATCTCACGATAAATATGAGACTTACTGCCAATTGTTTCAACGAGACCTGTGAACATAGTTGTTTGTGATGTGATCTGCAGAGAAAATACCCGCGGGGTTGACACACCTCGGCATCGGCCGCCGCTCCGAGCGGTGTCGGTGTCGGCGTTTTGGCGGAGATTCACACTTCCCCATACTACATTTAACGTGTCTTTCGAGCTTTGAGTCTTTTGTGCTTTCTTTGTTTTGTAGTTTACATATTTGAAGATGACTATCGCGCTTAAGCTCCAGGCTGTTGCTCGTCGATCAGGATCGTGTTGGGGTAGCAATGCCTTGCGGCGCACAGTGCCCTTGAGGAGCTATTCTAGTGCTGCTTCGGTCGATGGGTCGTTGCCTTTGGCTGGTATTCGTGTGCTTGATATGACCCGTGTTCTTGCTGGGGTGAGTATGCTCTTGGGTATACTGTATCCCTGGAATCTAAGCTAAATTGATTTAGCCTTATTGTACTCAGATCCTGGGCGACTTGGGGTACGTTGGGAGCTTTTATAGCTTCAATTGATCAATTCTATTATATACTGACTGGGTTGCGTATAGTGCGGACGTTATCAAGGTTGAACATCCTGTTCGTGGTGATGATACTCGAGCTTGGGGCCCACCATATGCGAAATATGAAGATGCGTCCAAGAAGGGTCCTGGCGAGAGTGCCTATTACCTAGCTGTATGTTTTGTTCGAGCAAAATTAGACATAATTGTACTAATCAAATCCTCAGGTCAATCGAAATAAGAAATCTCTCGGTCTATCCTTCCAACACAAGTCGGGCGTCGAAATCCTACACAAGCTCGCGAAGGAATGTGATATTCTAGTCGAGAACTATCTCCCCGGTGGCCTGAAGAAATATGGCATGGACTATGAAACTATGCGAGAGATCAACCCCAAGTTGATTTATGCTAGCATCACCGGCTACGGCCAAACAGGTCCGTACAGCAACCGAGCCGGTTACGACGTCATGGTCGAAGCTGAGATGGGACTGATGCATATAACCGGAGCTCGGGACGGTGCGCCAGTGAAGGTCGGTGTGGCTGTCACCGATCTAACCACCGGATTATACACATCAAACGCGATTATGGCGGCGTTGATTGCTCGGGGTCGGACGGGTAAGGGTCAACATATCGATGCCTGTCTGAGCGATTGTCAAGTCGCTACACTATCAAACTTGGCTAGCTCTGCACTTATTAGTGGACAGAAAGATTCTGGACGATGGGGTACAGCGCATCGTAAGTGGTGAAAAATCTTCTGTTTCTACATTATACTAATACTTTCACAGCCTCTATTGTACCATACCGCAGCTACAAAACCAGCGATGGAGATATCCTCTTTGGCGGTGGCAATGATAGGCTATTCGGTGTGCTGTGTGATCGATTGGGTTTCCCGGAGTGGAAGACAGATGCCCGTTTCGTCACTAACAGTGACCGAGTGCAGCACCGGACTGAGATCGACGGCATGATCGAGAGTACTACTGCTCAAAAGTCTACACAAGAGTGGCTGGATATCTTTGAAGGCAGTGGGATGCCATATGCTGCTGTCAACGATATCCAGGGAACGTTGAACCACAAGCATGGTAAGTTCGGATCTTTTCTGTGGGCTACAAAATTGAATACTAACTGTTTAACAGTGCTAGCACGAGGCATGGTTACCGAGGTTGAGCACCCTGCATGTGGCCCTATCAAGCTGGTTAATACGCCTATCAAGTACTCCGAGGCGACGCCGGGTGTCCGCACACCTCCTCCTACTTTGGGCCAGCATACAGATGAGATCCTGGGCGGCGTTCTTGACTATGGAGAGGCAGATATTGCTCGACTCAAAGACGAGGGCGTTATCTCTTGAATACTTCATGCTTATGAGACATGAATGCCATTTTTTCTGTACATAGGGAGTCGGTTGCAAACTGTATATATCTCATGAAATGCTTCCTAGCTACCCTCAATATGGTACAATGACTACGTAGGTTAGTACTTTAGACATTTTCTAGTTCTGCATACACATGGAAGAACTAGAGTCATACTGAAGTAATCAATAAATGCCGTGAAGCTGATTGTACATTGGACATGCACACGCTCGTGGTTAGTATTAGTCTAAAAACTCGACATGAAAAAACGCCAGCGCAGATCCCTTTGATCAATTTCATTAACTCTTTGACCAAAGAATGAGTGAGAGAAAGCTATTTTAAGGTTGCATTGAGCATCACGTGACACTATACAAATGTCTTCCCGACGACATCATTTTATTCAAAGGGACCAATTGAAAGGAACCTGAGAATGTTTGCCTCTAAAAGACGCCAAAGTCCATTATAACCCTCGAGTCTTGAAGACCGCAAAGAAATATTAATATCGTGTTGTTCTACTTGTCACTTTCTTTCCTTTCACTTTACCTCACCTTCTTCTCGGACCTTTTCTTCAATCCATTTTCAAAACTATTCTCAACGTCTCAGCGAGAATGCGGGTCTCAGCAACGTTCAGAAACCTTCCCGCCCCCGATGTCCACACGGGGGTTCCCAAAAACGTCCTTGAGGGCGAAATATTTAACCACGAGGATGTTGCTGTAGAAGCAACCCCCCTCCTTCCCTTCCGTGGGAGCGCTTGGCCACCGGCGACAGCACACTGAGTGACAAAGGGACACCATCTCCAGCCTTACAGCCAGTTTCACAGCAGCACAATATGACCAATGGCGTTGTACTTCTCGACGGCCAAAATGTTAATGTCGTCGCCACTCCGTCTTCTAACCGAACCCGGTCTGGCCGCTCTGTACAAAAGCCATCCCCACATACTATTGAGAAGGCAGTGATGAAACAACCTTCTACATCGGCTAAATCATCAACAAAAAAAAGGCAGCGCACGAAAGGCCAGGTAAATATCCTTTGCATCAAGTGCAACCGAGGAAACAGCCCTTCAAACAACTTGATTGTTCTCTGTGACGAGTGTGACACTCCGTGGCATCAGAAGTGCCATGAACCGAAGATTGGCAATGAAGTCATTGAGACTGTGGAAGCCGAGTGGGCTTGCAGCGAGTGCAGGCCTGAGCAACGTCCAGCAAAACGCCAAAAGCAAACCTCAGCTCGCGGTCGTAAGCCAGCAACGAAGCGGTCTCCTCGGACCACATCTGGTACTCAGACGCCTTCTCGGTCAAATAATTTGGACCGCCAGCAGCTGGTTCTCCCCACGGCAGGTGCTGCTAGAGCCAAGTCTCGAGTTGGCGGAGAAGCCTTGTCGGAACAGGAGCGACGGACATACTTGACATCTCTTTCACACGGGGAACTAGTTGATCTCCTCTTGGTTGTCTCAAACGATTTCCCTCGATTCCCTATCTTTCCTTCCAATGTACAGCAAGACACCCAGGAATCTAGTAAATATTCTCGACCTACGACTGCTCCCGATCCCCCATCAAAGACGACCAAAGCCAGCCCGGAAAATGCAGCTCGCGCTGTCTCTGTCACTTTCGGAAACCCAGCTACTGAGAGCCTTTCAAATCAAACACCCTTACTGAGGCATATCACCCCAGGCAGGCGAGCTCGTTCAACCACAACTTCCCCAGAAATGTCCTCTGACCCCGCCTTAAGAGCTGTTGAGGCTGTCAGAGCTACAAATTTTTACCCAATTCACACTTATGACGATGAAGATAGAACTCCGCGGCAGTCTGCTTCTCTGTTCGGGGGATCTATTTTTGGAGGATCTCTGTCTAGAGCACCCTCGATGCGTGTGCAAAATGCTTCAGATCCCGCGCAGAAGACTTATTCTCGATCAATTCCTTCTATGGAATTGATGCGCCCACCGTCGCCGGTGTCATTCTCGGAAAATGAGTCTGAGGTTGATTCAGAGGATTATCGTTCTTATGCTGATGCTGGCGAGGGCTTTAGTGCTTCTTCGGATGCGAATGATCGGCATATCATGGCTGAGGCTGAGGATTATCCTACTTTCAGCCATTCGCTCCGTGGGAAGAAGGGACAGGCTTGGAATCTTGTTAAGACTTAGCAGTGACGGGTTGGCCTCTAATCTGTCTTGTATCATAGAGAGGCTCATGGATTGTCGGGTTTCTTTTGTTTAACGAGAATCATGGGAGCTTGGTGGGTTTACGTCGGTTTTGTTTTTGTTATATTTTTATCTATTGGTTCTTTTTAGATCTGTTTTGTCTTTCTATTGGCGAGGTACTCTGCTATGGTCTACCGGTGTTGAAGAGGTCTGGTTAAAATGCCTTTTATTACCCAGGTGTTTTATCAATTGAATAAATCGATTTCGTTTGCCCTCTGAACTGGTATTCTATATGCATCCGCCCTAAATAGCTACACTTCGTAATCACCTTACAATAAATTTCTACTATATTTAGCCCTGATCACGTCGGATCTTATCGGCCCCCGCAACCAAGCGCGTGTCAGATTCACGTTCAATCGTCAATTAATCGACGACTCATCCTATACTGCGGTGATATAATATGATCTGATGATAGCATCCATATACAAAACCGACCTGCACTAGCCTCGGCGGGAACAGCCCCTAAAACAGCCAGCGCATCGCAAACCGAACCAACCTCACGCCATCGCATCTCCAACGCGAAACGCAACGCCTGAGATATACTATTCGAAAGGAAAAGACCAAGGCACGAGAAGATGTCTCAAATCCAACCCCTAAAAACAATCGCAAAACCCCAATCGCAATTGCAATCGCAAATCCAACCAACCTCAACGCTCTTCACAATCGACACCTGCCTAAGCATCCTGCAAAAGTCTCTCCTCAACCCCTTTATCGCGTGGATTCTCGTCCTCTGCCTACGTGCCCAGGTCACGCCTCTGTCTCATCCATCCTGGATCCTAACGGTCACATATGCAACCTCGCTAACTATCCTATGGGTTCTGCGAACGGTTAACCAGCGCGTCGCGCATGGGGTGCCGCGCACGGTCGATTTCGAAAATGAGGTTGTGGTTATTACTGGGGGCGCTAGTGGACTGGGCTTGTTGATTGCGCAGAATTATGGGATGCGCGGGGCTAGTGTTGCTGTTCTTGATGTTCAAAATCTGGAAGAGTGTGCTGAGGATGTTTTTGGGATTGGGGTCTTGTATATTCGTTGTGATGTTGGCGATAGGGTCGAGGTTGAGAGTGCGAAGGGGAGAATTGTTGATGAGGTATGTGTTATTCCTTTAATTGCTGTTTGTTGCTTTCTTGGGTTTAGGGGGTTTGTTTTGTTGGGACTATGGGTTCTAGGGAATTGCTTTTTCTTTGCTTGATGGATTCTGATTTGCTAATTTTCTTGCAGTTGGGGACGCCGACTATTGTTATCAACTGTGCCGCTGCCAGGATTAATGGCCTTCCACTGCTGGAGTTGGCGGCGGATGCGTTTGAAAAGACTATCCGGACTAATCTCCTGGCTGCGTTCCATCTCTACCAAGTGTTCCTGCCTGGAATTCTGAAATCGGAAACTGGAGGCACACTCGTCACGGTCAGCTCAGTACTCGGTCAATTGACGGCTGCGGGGTTATCGGACTATGCAGCAAGCAAAGCAGGACTCAGTGCGCTGCACAAGACCATCGAAGCCGAAAACCGCGGCAATCCGCTAGTCAAGACTTTGCTAGTGGAGATGGGGCAAATGTCAACACCGCTATTTGGCTGGGTCCGCGCACCTAACCATTTCTTTGCGCCTGTCTTGGAACCGGTTCAAGTTGTCCGCGAGATGGTAGCTGCGATTGATAGCGGTCGAGGTGGTGTCATCAGGTTGCCTTTGTATGCGACGCTCGTGGAATGGTATGCTGTGCTACCAGCTGCACTGCAGCGGATTGCGAGGTATCTGAGTGGAATTGATGCTGCCGTGATTCAAAGCCGGGAGGATTGTCGGAAGACAAATTGATCGGTAGCTTAGGGGCCCAGCGATGTATATATGCGTGGCTGGCCGGGGCTTGCTCAACATGTAGTATAGAGCGATGAAAGAAATACCTCCGTTGCAAGTCTCAGCGCCGAGTCTAGTCGATGGACATGGTATCACTGGTACGGTCTATTGCTCGCGAGCCAGGATCATCTTCTCACGCTCATGACTCCTAGGAGCGAGATTGCTCTTCTTGGTGTGCTTGCGCACATTCTCCTCACGCCTCTTGATAGCATTGATCTCCTCGCGCTTAATCTCGCCAGCCTTCTTGATAGGCTTGGGCACATGACGCTGGCGCTTGATGCGGCGGATATCGGGCATGTGTGAGTAGCGCTTGATCAAAGCCTGGTCGTATTCCAGCTTGGAACGTTGGCGAGCACTCTTGATACCACTGCGGTCTGAAGCCTTGGCACGCCAGAGACGGACGTTACCATCATCTGATCCAGACAGGACGTACTTGCTGTCGGACGTGAAGCATGCGGTGAACACACTATGAAGAAATTAGCAATGAATGTCATTATGGATAGCTGAAACACATACCGTTGCATCCGCTGAGTGTGGTAGATATCGCGCGAGTGACCAGTTGCTCTGTTCCACAAGCGAATTGTTCGGTCGTAAGAGGCAGTGACCAGCTCTTCACCAGTTGGGCTGAACTCCACGTCCATGACAGCAGCCACATGGTCCTTCAGAACGTTAAGAGCACGATCCATCTTTCTCATGTCGAAGATGTAGGCATTGTGATCTTCGTTTGCCACGGCAAAGTTGAATGCTTCCATAGGATTCCAAGAAATGGCATTAGAGGCCAGACGCAGCGTCGTCTTATGGACCGGCGAGGAAGTCCGCAGGTCATACATGATAATGGAGCGGTCGATGGCAGTCGAAGCAAGAATAGACGTCTCAGTCTGGTTGAATGCAACAGACGAGATGGTGTCGACGCTTGTCGGCCAGTGCAAGGTTTGCGACGGAGTCGAGGAAGGCCGTGAGAGATCATAAATGGAGATGACACCGGAAGCGGCAGCAAATGAAGGGTGATCACGATGGTGTGATACACTGGTGAAGGCACTGTTACCCAGATATGTTGCCATCGGGGGTGCGTCGGGGCTCGAGTTGTAAGGGTCCCAGAGTTTGACGGTCTTGTCGGTGGCGCAAGACAATAGTTTTCGCTCTGGTGTCCAGCACAGTCCCTTGACCATGTTTTCATGGCCTTGAGTGTGCCACACCTCACCTTGGGTCGGCAGATCCCACACCTTCACGACACCATCGCCACTGCCACTAGCCAAGCGCTCGAGCGAACCGGGATCCTTTGCCATAGAGTAAACACCGTCCACGTGACCGTTGCCCATCTGGGCCAGGAAAGGAGCAGCAAACATGCGCTCCATCTTGATCGCATTTAGAGCGCGAGTGTATTCACGGGCCCGCTCAAAAGGATGCTGGGTTGGGTCGAGATTTCGGGACTGGCGAACAGTCGAGGACCCGGGGGCCTGCTGCGACGCCGTAGGGCGAGAAAGGGCTTTGATTTTCTGTAAAGTATGAGCATGGCTATCTGGCAGGCAAAATTTTAAGCAAAAATACTAACCATAATGCTGTTGTGAAAACAATGTAGAGAGGGAAAGAAAAACGCCGATGGAACTTTTTTTCTGTTTGATTTGCTAAGCGGGCGGTGAGTGGCCGATGAGCTGCCAGCTTCGAGCTCCCCGTCTCTCTTGACCTGATTATCAACCTCCCTTCAATCTACCATCTCCTCTTGTTCTCTTTCTTTGAATCTCTCTCTTTCGTTCGCTCGCAATTTGCCGTCCTCCATCATGTCCTCCAAAGTTTCGCCGCGGATACAAGAAGTCCGCGATCTGGTGAAGCAGGATCCCTCGAAAGCAGCGGCCAGTTACCAGAAGATCCTCTCCGAGGGCCCAGGATCCACAGAAGCCTCTTCGCGAGACTATGAACATGCTTTGATTGGGTTGGGTCAGTTGCACCGGGATGCGAAGAAGCCGCAGGCCATCGCAGAACTCATCAAGACCAGCCGGGACACCTTTTCGTCATTTGCCAAAGCCAAGACGGCCAAGTTGGGTGAGAAGCGCTTCGAGACATTGAAAGAATACCTAGCTAATTATTCTAGTCCGACAACTCTTGGACCTGATTAGCGAAATCCCCAATACCCTCGAACTCCAAGGCAACGTCATCCAATCATGCATAGAATGGGCTATCGCCGAGCGAAGATCGTTCCTTCGACAGAACCTCCAGGCACGTCTGGTTGCCATCTATATGCAGAAGCAATCCTACTATGATGCTCTCACCCTGATCAATTCTCTTCTGAAGGAGCTGAAGCGCCTGGATGATAAGCTTATGTTGGTGGAGGTACAACTGCTTGAATCGCGTGTTTACCATGCCCTCGGTAACCAGGCCAAGGCCCGCGCTGCTCTCACAGCAGCACGGACGTCAGCCGCTTCTGTTTACACGCCACCCAACCTCCAGGCCGGTCTGGATATGCAGAGTGGTATGCTACACGCTGAGGACAAGGACTTCACCACTTCATTCTCCTACTTCATTGAGGCCCTTGAGGGATATAATTCGCTCGATGAGAACGACCTGGCCACGGCAGCTCTGCAGTACATGCTGCTCTGCAAGATCATGTTGAACCTGGTGGATGATGTCACACAGTTGCTTGGCTCCAAACAAGCGCAAAAGTATGCCAGCCCACGCCTGGAGGCCATCAAGGCCGTTGGACGCGCACACGCCAACCGGTCTCTGGAGGAGTACGAGAAGGCTCTGTCGGACTACCGGTACGAGTTGGGCAGTGATGTCTTCATTCGGAACCATCTGCGCCGCCTTTACGATGCCATGTTGGAGCAGAACTTGATCAAGGTCATTGAGCCCTTCAGCCGGGTTGAGCTGGAACACATTGCCAAGATGGTGGGTCTGGACACACAGCAGGTTGAGCGCAAGCTGTCCCAGATGATCCTCGATAAGGTGATCATTGGTGTGTTGGACCAGGGCTCTGGGTGTCTGATTGTGTACGACGAGACGGAACGTGACCAGGCGTACGATGCCGCCTTGGAAACGATTGAGAAGCTCGGCAATGTGGTGGAAGGCCTATACACTAATCAGGCATCTCTTCTGGAGTAGAAGAGTGACGTTAGATGATGGCCTCCATAGGAAATAATCCAGACTATGTATTGCATGATTAAACTCAATGTTCACTGAAAATAGTAATGCAAAAGTAAAAATAGTAAATATTTGTTTGTGGAAAGTCGTCACAAGTGAGAATCGTTCAAATGTGCAGGACAGAGTGTTGTTCGCGCTCCGCCGAAAAGGGTAAAGCGCGACGGCAAAAGAATCGCGACTTCGCCATCTCCAACATCTCGCATCTTCCCCCCATCGCATATTCCCCCACCACCGTTTCGGTGTCCTTTTTTACCGAAAATGCAAGCTCCTATGCAGCCCAATTACGCTCGGGGCTTCCCCCAACAAGCGCAGCGGTCTCCCGCCGCGCCCCGTCGCCCTCCAGTACCGGGTTCGTCCCCTTTCATCGGTCTCCACCCTAGACTCTAACCTCATATCTCGATAGGCGGCGCATTGCCCGTTCCAATGCCTCAACAGGCTGTCAACCCACAGTATATGCATGCGCAACGCGCCATGCCTCACCCTAACGATGCTGCTCTTCGTCGCAGCCGCAAGCCGACAGACAGGAATCTCCCCGACGGCATTGAAGACGTGATCATCGGCGAAGGTGTACAGCAATATAAGAACCTCCGCGATTTGGAAAAGCGCCTGGACGCTGCCGTTGTACGGAAGAGATTGGATATCCAAGACTCTATCAACAAGACTGTCAAAAAGTACCGGACTATGCGCATCTGGATCTCTAATTCCGTCGAGAGTCAGCCGTGGCAAGGTGCCGGCAGCAACCCTGGCTCTGGTCGGTACAAGGTCCGCATTGAGGGACGCTTGCTGGATGATGATACCGACCCTACGGTCCCCGACGAAGAGGAGAAGGACGAGGATGCGATGGATCACGACGCCTCTGAGGAGGAGCAAGCGAAGAAGGCCGATGCCAAGGCCCAATCCCAACGCTTCTCTCACTTCTTCAAGGCTATCACCATCGACTTTGACAAGCCCGTCACTGCAATCCCCGAAGAGGTCAAGCCCGTCAACTGGTCCAAACCAATGCTGCCTCCCAACACTACAACACCACCCCCGAACGCTGAGTTTGATAGCATACAATTCTCGCGTGCCTCCCAGGACAACTTGAATGTCACAATCAGCCTTGTCCGTGACGAAATCCCAGAACGATACAAGCTGAGCAAGGAGCTCGCCGAGGTTCTAGATGTCGAAGAGGAGACTCGCAGTGGAATCGTGCTCGGAATCTGGGACTACATCCGCGCTATGGAGCTGCAGGAAGATGAGGAGAAGCGTCAAGTGCGCTGTGACCACCGTTTGCGCTCGGTATGTTCTTTCAATTTTCATTTTAACCAGTGTCACTAACAGCTCTGTAGATCTTCGGTCGAGACCAGATGTTCTTCCCTCAGATCCCCGAAAGTGTCGGTCCTCACACTAGCCCAATGGAGCCCATCAAGCTTCCCTACACTATTCGAGTCGACGAAGAATTCCACAACGACCCCACACCCACCGTCTACGATATCCAGGTCGCGGTTGAAGACCCCCTGCGTACCAAGATGATGGCTCTCACCCAAAATCCTCAGTATACAGCTGGCATGCGCCAGATTTCGTCGCTGGACGATCAAGTTGCTCTGATCGTTCAGGCTCTTACACACTCCCGCGCTCGCCACTCCTTCTACACTGCCCTGAGCAAGGATCCCGTCAACTTCGTTCGTCGTTGGGTCAACTCCCAACGCCGTGATCTGGAGACGATCCTTGGCGAGGCTACTCGCGGCGGAGGTGAAGATGGCAGTGGACCTGAGTTCCGCTACGGTGGTACCGAAGGACCTTGGGATACGGTTGTTGCCAAAGAAGCTGTGCGGTACATGCTGGCTAAGCCCGAAGCTGCCGGTGTTCGGTAAATTCGGAATGATATGTTCTTTTAAACCTCATCTCTAGGCTGCTATCTATGCAGATAAGATCTGGTCGTGTACTTTTGTTCATCTTTGATCTCGGGCGCTTACGTGGTGTTTGGACTGGTGTAGCTGGGATGACAGGCAGGATTAATACTTCCAAAATCCGTACTTCAATATGATACGATGCAATATGATTCTGCTTATTTATGCAAAATGAAAGTAAATTAATGAAATGGCCAAGAAGCCAGGAAAAAGATTTGGCAACTGCTGTCTACGTTCACCCCATGGCTCATAACCCGTAAGAAGTGAGAGGCAAGTGTCAGCATAGAACATGCCCAATACGCCAAATTTTGAACCATTTCTCTACAGCAAGTATAGATGAGTAGATCCAAAATCAATATGCATCAAAGCAAGCCCGCAAAACTCCAAGGGGAGGCATACTGTAGCATCCCCATGATAGAGACATTACTCATCCAACCAACGAGCAAAATGCACGGAACAGGGCGAGGCTAAGAGCCTCCAATCTCTTAGGGCAAGATTCTAGTCATGAAAGAGTGATCCAAAACTCAAGACGTTTAAGCCCCAGGTAGAGGAACCTTAGCAACAAGCTCCGCTCTCCGCTTGCGCAACTCCTCACCAAGACCAGAGTCCACAGCCGAAGAAACCTGTTCCTGCAATGAGGAAAGATCCCCCTTCAAGATAGCGCTCTCCTCCTGCTCAAGTTTGGATGCAGCTTCAAGAACGACATCATGGATGATATCCTCCTTTAGCTGGGCAGCCTTCTTCTCATCCACCTGCTTCTCTCCCTTAACAGCATCCTGAGAAGGCCCACGGAACCGCTTAAGAACAGTTTCAACCATCTTGGAGAACCAAAAGTAATTCAAGAAGTTGAGGACCAAGTTCGAGCCCACATACGTGACAACCAGCCAAGTTGGCACGCCGCCAGCAGTGTACTCTTTAAAGCGGGTGATTTCAGCGTTGGCGCGGGCACAGGTCTCGTCAATGCACATGCTGCCATCACGGGCAGGATAGAAGACGAGAGCGTTGACGCTGACGGGTTCTGAGAGCGGCGATGATGATGCCGACCAGGTGTGCTGCAGGGCGTTCCACATGTCACTGTAGACGATAATTGATTGCCAGGTTCCCCAGACTAGGCGACAGCCGAAGAATGTTCCGAGCAGGGCCATGCCGTTGTACCACTGGGCGCGGCTGCCAGTCATGTTGACCTTGTCGAGGAACCAGTGGATATTGAGGAATGGGCTCGAGAGCTCGTAGAGGATGAAAGTTGGAGCGTAGTAGTTTAGGAATGGTCTCTGTTTGGTTGTTTTGTTAGATATATGTTGGAAGTAGTGATCGACCTTTTTATATTCAGGATGTAGATCATTCCTGTATAGATCAACTTACAAAGCCGAGACTGAATACCCATAAGGCGCTAACGGCGTGGAAGAGTAATCCAATTCCGAACATTTGCACATGTCTGATGCTGACAATTAGGTCGTAGACGAAGTAGCCTACGGCTAAGGCTTGGACGAAGCCGCAGGCACCTGTGTATCCGAAGACCCGCTCTCCGGAGGTCATGGAGTTTCGTTCTTGGTCAACGATCATGATCCATAGAGCGGCGACGTTGATAGCGATACTCTGGATTAGGGAGACAACATGGATATCCCAGTTCAGTTTGGTTCTCGGTGTGAGCTTGTTGTAAGACTCTGGGAAGAGAATCGGAGAAAGCCATGGCGAGACGACGGCGTGGATGAATAGGTAGAAGGCAAAGGCCAGGATCACCTCGTGGATGTGTTCGGAAAGCGTCGGACTGTTAAGCCAGAGAGCATAGGGCTCAGTAAAGCTCCGTAGCCATTCCGGGGCGGGTGGAAAGGGGTCCAACATTGTCGGAGTCCCCTCAGCTACTTCGTATCACGCGATGTGGGGGAAAGCTCTCAATAGTTCGGGGTTGTCGGGAGAACGTAGTTCTATGTGCAGTTGAGATAACTATTCCCGTCTAACATGGAGACAAAAGGAAAGCTGGAGACAAAGGAAACCCAGAAACCCAGGAATAGGAGAAAAGAGCTCCCATGGGGAAAACCGAGTGATAAGATGACGGGGAGGCCGAGGTCCGGCCTGAGGCACGAATTGTTGGGACGTCACATGATCACATACCCCAGTCATGCATACTTCCAAAAGAGGCATGGAAGGTGTATATTCATAGAGTGAAATTGAGTAATTACAGAGAGGGGAAGTTCAAAATGGACAGTTAAAGATACGAAACTACAAAGTTGGTACTCATGATCAAATATAAGGATCTGCTGATCTGGGCCACATGAACCTATACAATTTCACTAACATCACATGAGGGGATCAGAAAAAGCCCAAAAACAATAAGAGAATCATTAAACAATACACATTCCAAAAATCACAAACGAAAGTCATCCAAAGTCATCCAAACCAGAAACACAACAAGAGTGGTATATGAAAAGAATAAAAGGAAAATGAAAGGAAACCCAACTCCGTTAAACACAACTGCCATTAAACGGCGACATCAGTACCAAGACCGCTGTCGCTAGGTGGGGCCAATAGCTTCAAGACTTCTGCCTCCGCAGCCAAATTAGCCTCCCTGATTTGCCGGGAGACATCCTCTTCGTGGTCTCCATTCACAGAATGTTCATCCCCATGCGCAGTCTGCGCATCGTCTTCTGACTCTGACCCATCGATGGAAATATCATCATCCCGGTCCTCCTGGTCATGCTGGATAACCGAGCTCTCCGCGTCGTCGTAGTCATTGTTGGAGGTCACACCACTGACACGACGGGGATCGGTAGCATCGGTCACTACACTCTCAACAATGCTGCCGGCATAGCTTGGCTTTCTCTCCGCACCGGCATTGCTCTCTGCGTAGACTGTATCCTGTTCAGTGCCGGCATTGCTTTCCGCATAGCTGGTCTTCCGGTCCGAAGGAGCATTGCTAGGGGCATAGCTTGATTTCCGGTCGGTGAGAGCGTTGCTCTCGGCATAACTGGTCCTCCGTTCGCTTCCAGCATAGCTCGTCTTGCGCTGAGAGTCAGCATCGTTCTCAGCTTCACTGGCAAGCTCATCCTCCTCATGGAAAGGCTCGTTCTCTTTGTTGGTAACAGAGGATCGACCAGCCCAGGAAGTGTTGCGAAGGGCGTTTGACTTGACCGAATGGCTGCGCTTCAGGTTTGTAATGCCGGTGTTGGAACTGACCTGGCGGTCCGCCCCACGGTTGCCTGTGACATGACTCAAGCTGAGAATGCGACGTTCCTTTCCAATGTTGGGCTGGACAGCAACTGTTCCTGCCTGGAGGGAAGTGGGCATTCTGCGCTTCAGAGCAATGCCAACACCATTTCCAAGGAGACTGCGGGTTTCCTTGTTATCCTTGGCGGTACTGGCGGTGCTAGTGGCACTGGGGCTGCGGGCACCTGAGCGAGAAGTACGGTTGCTGCGAGTGCTTCGGTTCCTCTTCAGATTCATGGCCTGCAAGCTGTTGGATCGGCTGAGAAGGACTGTGCGGGCATGGTCGAGGACACCTTCCAAAATGCGCTTCTCGAGGCCGTCGGCACGATCCTCCATCTGTCGCATTTCTTCATGGCGAATCTCGAGAGCTGTCTCAAGACCAGCCAGATCCTTGCTCATTTTGTTGCTCTGCTTGATCATATCTTCCTTCTCCGCTCTCAAACGGTGGATCATATTTAGCATAGAATCTTTTTCTTCGCTCAAGCCAACAATCTCGGCTTCAACTTGCTCGCGCTGTGCAACTCTCCGCTCCAAAGCGATACCAGCCTCCTCGGCTTCACGACGCTTTCTCTCGGTATCTTCAGCGACAATTACTGACTGAGCTGCGAACATCTCGTTCATCCGACGAGCGTTCTCCATAATGTCCTTGTGCATCTCATCAAGCTTCATCATCTGTGTAACTGATTGTTCGGGATCCGCTGCGGCAGTCGTGGGACGGCTGAGAAGAGCATCCAGCTTTTCGTGCACAGGGCCAGAGCCATTCGTGGCATGATCTAAAAGCTGGTTGAGCTTTTCATATATTTGATCATTAGACTCCGACCCTTGATTCAGAGCACGGTCAAGCTTTTCGTGGAGCTCATCATTCTTGGAGCTATCGGACAAAGCCCGATCAAGTTTCTCATGCAGCTCGTCGTCCTTTGTCGGCTGAAGCAAGGCCCGGTCGAGTTTCTCATGGAGCTCATCATCCTTTGAGGGCTGAAGCAGAGCCCTGTCCAACTTTTCATGAACATCTTCATTCTTGGAGTGCTCGAGCAAAGTCTTCAGGATATCATGAACCTGGCTATTTCTAGCATGCTCCAAAAGATCGTCTAGCTTGCTATGGACAGGAGTATCCTCAATGGCAAGCGTACGGCTTGCCTCCTCTGGCTCAGGCTCAGGCTCGGCCGGGGGAAGCGCAGGGAGCATCTGGGGGATGTTGGCAGGCAGAGCCGACAGCTCTGACTTGAACTCTTCGGCCGACTTCTGCGAGTGCTCGTAGTGCTGGTTGACAATTGACAGGATCTCCTGCACACTCTCCAGAATTTGGGGGTGGAACTCGAGAAGCTTACTCTCCACTCGGTCGGTGGCAGCAACAGCCTTCTCAGAATCAGCCTGAGACTGCTCGCGGTGAGATTTAACGTCGTTGTGCATCTCCTCCATTTGCTGGCGAGATTCATCAACACGCTCAAGGAGGGTTTTGGTTTCCTCACTCATGCGCTCGCAGGTCTCATTGACAGTGTCACCCATAGAACCGATGACCAGCCTAATGTCCTCAGCGAGGCTCTTGGTGCTCGTCAATGATTCAGTGTGTGCTAGGTCTCGCTCCTCGGTTTCAGAGAACTTGGAATGGAGCGAGGTGTGAGCATCTTCGTATTTGGCCAACACTTCTGTAATCTTCTCATCGATCTTGGCTCCAAGTTCGACAATGATAGCTGCCCGTGTCTCGTCATGTTTCACGAGGGCAGCAGCGTCGCGCTCCTCCTTGTCAAGTTTGCCTGCGTCCTCTTCACCGCGAGCACGTTCGAATTCACGGTTTATGAGCTCGTTCAGTTCCTTAATGTTGTCGACGGTGCTGAAATTCTCGGCAGTGACTGCGAGCCCCTCGAGCAGTTGCTTGAGTTCACCCAGGCCTTCGCTGCTGCCGTCAAGCTTGCTTCTGAGCTCATCTCCAAGCTCGCCGACAACAAATTTAGCCTCCTCGATCTTGTCATCGATCTTCTCGGCAAGGCCACCATGCTCGATCTTGCGAGCATCGAATCCTTGGGCAGTCAACTCGTTGTTTGCCTCCATCTTCTCGCGGAAGTCGTAAACAATAGTTGAAAGCTCCTGGATTTCAGCTTTGGTAGGAAGGGTCTCGACATCGGGGAGCTTCAGCTCGTCAACCTGGGTCTTGACCTCGAAGATCATAGCTTCGACTGTTTGGAGATCCGACTTCATTAGCTTTTCGGGATTCTCCTCTTCTTCCCCGTCCTTAGTCTTGCTTTTGAGCTCGTCCAGGACGACCCAGACATCCTTTATGAGACCCTCTAGAGTACCAATCTCAGTCTTGGTGGGTGCTTCGGCTTCCACGCGTCCAGAGAACTCGGCGATGGAGTCCTTGGCTTCTCGAATCATGGTCTCTAGAGTGCCGATCTGCTCGGAAGTTGCGACTTCGTCCAGCGAGGGGAACACCAGCTCATCAATCTGGGCCTTAGTGCTCATGAGCAACTGCTCAAGGGCTTCGGTGTCTTGCTTCTTGGCTGTATTGTCGTCCTCTGGGTTCCTTTGAGCACCCATCTCACCAATAGCAAGCTGAACCTCTTGAAGAGCCATGAGAACTTCGTCCAGATGCGATCTCTTCAGGGCATCCTCGACGGGCTCTGCAGCACGAGGAGTCGATTCAATGGCCTCAATCTTGTCTTGAAGCTGGGTGATCAGCGCTTTGAGACCATCAATATCCGGAACAAGGGTATTCTCCGGTTCAGCAGAGGGAGTCTCGTTCGCGAGCATGAGTTCCCCGCCGCGGGTACCCTCTTCGGGCTCCTTCTGGGACTCGCGGAGGTTCTCCATGTCGAGTTTCAGATCAGCAAGGCCATCTTTGATGGTCTCCAGAATTTCAGAGCTGTCGAACTCAGCCGGCTTCTCGAGCAGCTTCTTTAAGTCATCCCGGATTGAGTCAACGCCGTCGGTAAATGCGTCAAGGAGTTCGCTGGTGGTGGACAATGTGCTTTCATTACCATTGCGCGAGGTCTCTTCGCGTAGGTTATCGAAGTGCTCACGGAGGGCCGAAATAATCTCGTCCTTTTCAGCGCCTGGCTCAGCCCGAATGACACTGGAGTCCATGCGCTCTCGAAGGCTCTCAAATTCTTGCTTGATGGTGTTAACCACTTCATCATCGCCGGAGCTGCCCTTGTTATGTTCAGAGGCTTCCTTGATAGCGTCGATGATCTCGTCTTTGTCTGCAGTGGCGTTTTCACGTAGGAGCAGTGTAGTAATTGTGCCTCGCAAATGTTCGAACTCTTTCTCCATGGCATCCAAAAGCTCAGGTGTGTCAGGGTTACCTTTTGAACCATTGGAAAGAGAAGTGTCGGTGATTGTCTTCTCCATATCTGCCTGGAGAAGGCGGAACCCTTCCTTGACCGTGTCGATGACTTCGTCTTTGCCTGAAAGTTCGGCAGCTGTAACGACATACGACTCGATTTCCCTGCGGACGACGTCGAGGCCATCCTTGACGGCATCAAGGACTTGTTCTGTATCTCTTCCGTTGGCAGCAGAGTACTGCTTGAACTCCTCCTTCATGCCTTCGAGTAGTTCCTGGAGACGTTCCATCACCTCGCCGCCAACATTGCTGGTTGCGGAGCTGTTTGCCTCCTGGAGACCAGCAGTGATCGCATCCATAAGATCATCCTTGTTCAATTCGATCTCTCGGGTGACTGAGTTGCCGTTTTGGATACCTTCGGCGATTGCGCTCAAGATTTCTTCGCGCGAGATAGGCGGTTCAGGGACAGTGGCCAGAGCAGACTGTTGGCTGGTGTTCGAACTCTCAATACCTTCTGCGATGGCACTGATAATATCCTCACGTGAAATGCTTGACTGTTGAAGACTAGAAGAGTGCTCGATGCCTTCTACAATTGCATTGAGGATATCACTGCGAGAGATATTGGGCTCGACACTCTTGTTAAGAGAGGATTGGGAATGTTCAATGCCATCGATAATTGCATTGAAAATCTCCTCGCGAGAGATGGGAGCAGGCTTCTCATCCTCGTGCTCAGAACCAGCCAAGGTAAGAGCTCGTTCAGTGCCACCGTTGGAGTTTTGGATCCCATCGGCAATGGCGTTCAGAATCTCGTCTCGGGAAATGCTCGGTTCCTTGGAGGTTGCCGAATGTTCCATGCCATCCACAATGGCTCCTAGGATGTCATCTCTGGTGATGCCAGGCTGACCATTGTTGCTGGCAGAGGCTTGCGAGTGCTCGATGGCATCCACGATAGCGGTGAAAATCTCCTCACGAGAGACGGTTTGCTGCACATTGGTGCTAAGGGCTGACTGCTGGGCGTTGATTGAAGCCTCAATCCCCTCTGCAATGGCGTTCATGATTTCTTCGCGAGAGACATTCACTTGAGGAGCAACACTCAGGGCAGACTGCTGCGCATCGAAGGCTTCATTGACGGCATTCATGACATCGTGTCTGGAAATATGTGGCTCATCCATCTCCTTGGCTGCAGTGAAGTGGGCCTCAAGACCATCAGAGACGGCGCTGACAATCTCATCACGGCCAAGTCCAGAATCAAGAGAATCCTTGCTAAGTGTGCTTTGAGCCATTGAACCAGCCAACGCTCCAAGGATTTCATCACGAATGGAATTCAGATGTCCAATATGGTCCTGGTCCTCGTTGACAGACCGAGGGGACTCATTGTGAAGAGCCATGGCGCCATTAACTGCTTCAAGGATTTCATCACGAAGGGAAGTCAGATGGTTGACATGTTCCTCGTCCATAGATCGATAACTTGTGTTCTGGGCAGTCATCACTCCAGTAACAGCGTCAATGATCTCATCACGGATAGAGTGGAGGTGTGTCTCGTCCAGCGACTTGGAGCCTTCGTTGAGTCCAGTCACAGCGTCCATAATCTCGTCACGAATGGCGTACAGGTGGTTAACATCATCTTCACCCAGGCCCCTGGCGTTTGCGCTGTGGGTAGCCAAGCTGCTAGCCACCGACTCGAGAATCTGATCACGCATGGAATTGAGGTGGTTGACATGTTGTTCCTCATCGAGACCACGAGAAGTAGGCTCCGGCTGGTTCTCCAGACATTCCCGAATGGCCAGGATGACTTCGTCTCGGGAGATACCAGGTGCCTGTTCAATTTGTGGCGGGATAAACTTTTGCATGCCGTCTTCAACGGCTGCAAGGACTTGATCGTAGGTAACAGATTCGTGCTGAGGCTGATGAGACTTGAAACCTTCTTCCAGACAAGTGAGAATTTCGTCACGCTCCAAGCCAAAATTGTTGAATTCGATCTCTGGCTTGTATGTTTCCCATGCCTCACGCACTGTCTCGAGAATGTCTTCTCTGTCCATTTCGGCACCTCGGGGCTCGGCATGGGGCTGGGGTAGTTCAAGCTCGTCGAGAGCTTTCTTCACAACAGAGTAGATAGCGGCGCTGTTCATGGTTGATCTGAACTCGGACAGGTCAGAGGATTGTTGGCGACTCTCGTTGATAGTGGCAGCCAGCTGCTCTTTGAGATCGTCAAGACTGCGGTTGACAATAGCCGAGATTTCTTCTGGTCCAGCAGGTCGCGGTTGGTCCTCAGCTTGATCGTTGGCACGAGTAGATTCGATATCGTCGAGGCGTCGACCAAGTTCTCGACCCATGCCTAGAACCTCACCTCGTAATTCACGGACAAGGCTCTTGACGCCGTTGGTCATACCACCTCCTTCGACGACGCTGTTCTTGACACTGTGGAGGATTGCCAAAACTTCGTCGGGGTTGGGTGTAGAGCCATCGACCTTATCAGTCTTAGAAAGATCGAGTGCACGTACAACATCCGGATTCATAGATCCCATTGACCGAGAACGTGTGCCCTCGGGGTGGGCATCTTCAGGTTCGAGGCTATCGAGGTTATCCGTGATGCCTCTAGATCGCACAAGGGCTTTACCCGAAGGGTCTTCCTTAACGAGGTTAAGAATCTCCTCGAGCATGGCGGTAACTTTGGTATCGGCATCCTTGTCCGAGGGGCTTGCAGCGGGGCGGGATTTGATTTCTTCCACAAGCTCTAAAAGTCGTTCCTCACCTTCTTTGGTTGCCATTTCACGCAATACCTTCTCGAGCAAGGCCAGGGCAGCGGAGCCATCGGAGATCGGTGAAGGTGACACGCATGAGTCACGATCAAAGGCGAAGGGGTTAGGGCTAGGCATGCGAGGCACAGAGTAGCTTCTCTTGGACTGGGGAGAACTATCCGCATCCTTAGGGTTAGACCCATCTCCAGACTTGAAGAGAGTACTGAAATCAAACCTTGCAGCATCGGTATCCAAATACTTGGTTTTTAGATGAGAGGACAGATCTTTGAGACTTTTGCGAATGTCCTCATCTCGGGCGTTGGTTGCGGCCTTGAGGCTTACCAGGTCGGTAGCGTTGTCCTTGCTACGCCGGCTCAGGTTCATCATTTCACGTTGCAAGCTGCTTGCAATATCGGTCAGACTGTGAATTTGGGTCGAAAGGGAGTCCATGCTCGCAGTCTTGGGGCTCGAAGGTCGGGGTTCCATTGGTGCTGTAATCATTTTCGGGGGTTTAGAAGGAGAAGGTGGGTCGGCGTCTATAGGAATTTGCATGTTCTGAAGAGCTAACATGGTAGCTGATGGCGGAGTGCTTTCTCCTAAGATGGGTTTGGAGAGATATCGACTCGATAACGAGTAGCTCATGTCGCGCTCTGTATCTTGACGGAGCGCAGGCGAGCTGGTAGACTTGCTTGGATCCCGTGATTTCGTTGGGTCGACAATTGTTGCGCGAAGAGGCCTTTCTGGTGACCGATTCTCGAGATAGTTCATGAACTCGGATCGCGCGTCTTGTCGGGTATCTTCAGGCTGGAGTGATTGCATGCGTTTGTGCTGGCCCTTCACCAACGATCTCTCGGGCGATGAAGCCTTGGGTGGCATAGGATTTGTTGTATAAGAGCTGGGCGCATTTTCGCTGGGCCGCTCTGTGAATTTTGCGGCAACCGCTTGAATATTGGGAGAAACATTGGATCTTGTTGCGCCAGGGCTCATCGGGCTCATTGAACGAGGATTCATTGGCAGCGGTGGCGGTGCGCGCTCAGGATCCGAACTGTCCCACCTGCGTAGACCGCGTTTTAGCATTTGTTTGAGGTCGCCCATGGGACCTGTCAAGGGCAGGTGTGATGCGTCTTTTGCCCTAACCTACATTGGAACTTTGGAATCGGACATTGTCATCGGGTGCCTGACCAATTCCCGATCACGGGGAACGTCCCTGTCTTGGGATGGCATGATGTAGTTGTGAATGGATTGTCAAGGTGTCTCAGACTGGTATTGACAATATTGATAGATGGAATGTAGGAGTATGCGTTCAAAGTCAAAATAGAAGCAAGGTCATCAAGGCATATCAACACAAGGGAGAAACGCTGGAAGAACAAAGTAAATGCAGAACTCTCGATGAACAATGGGGAAACACCGGGAGATTAGCTTGATAAAAGCAGGTGGAGAGTAACAGGGAAGCTGCGCGGACTTGTACACATCACTTGCGGCCCATAGCAACGGGCTACGACAATGTAAACAAACTGACTCAGCAGTTGGGCAGCATGGACCCGGCGGTGAGGCCCCGCGTTACCTAATCATAATTGATCCGGACCCAATGGGGAAACTAGCCCCAAAGAGGCTAGTTGTCATCTGTCGGTAAGTCGGCCAATCAATGACCAGCACACAAATCGCTACTGTGCCCTGAAACCCTCTACCTCACACCCGAAAAAACGAACACTTCGATCGTGACCGTTCCGTATCTCGACAACCACCCAACCTCGCCGCCCCGGGACCTTCAAAATGAAGTGTACGTCTCTACCATACTACCCTCGATCTATATGCTGATGGAATTACAGTCATGAAAGTCGGCCGTGTCGCCATCATCACCCGTGGCCGTTACGCCGGTAAGAAGGTACGACAAAGATCCTGATCCCCGAATTGAATGCGCATGGAAAAGAGAAACAACGTGCAAGCGATGGGCTCGAGAAGAAGCGAGCACGATGCAACGTGGTGGAAAAGAAACGCGCGACAGAAGAAAAAATTCAGAATGCTAATCAGGCATTTTTCGAATTTACAGGTCGTCATTGTCCAGCCTAACGACTCTGGCTCCAAGGCCCACCCCTTCTCCTATGCCATCGTCGCCGGTATCGAGCGCTACCCCTTGAAGGTTACCCGCGGTATGGGCAAGAAGCTTGTCGACCGCCGCAGCCGCATCAAGCCCTTCATCAAGGTCGTCAACTACAACCACTTGATGCCCACCCGTTACACTCTCGAGCTCGAGGGTCTCAAGGGTACCGTCTCCAACGACACCTTCAAGGAGGTCTCCCAGCGCGAGGACGCCAAGAAGACCATCAAGAAGGCTCTTGAGGACCGGTACACCAGCGGAAAGAACCGTTGGTTCTTCACTCCCCTGCGTACGTTTACTCTGGATACACAACCGCATACTATTCTGGACGACTGCTAATACTCAACAGGTTTCTAAACGGTTTACTTGGGCGTTTTGTCGTTTTGAGCGCACGGGTCTAGGTGAAGGCGAGGTCGAAAAACCATCGAGCACATTCGGTCCCTGCGAGCATGGGATGGGAAAACATACACCATAGCTGGAAACAGATTCGGGAATGTATCGATGAATTCCAGATTTAACGAGGGATGCCACTACAATACCTGGTGTCTGTCCGAATGAAATGGAAAATATGAACAATTATTTTCAAAATCAACGTTGTCTATTGCCTGTGAATTTGGTCGACTTGGTTTTGGTTGGATGATGTAGGGGGAGGCTCTGCAGCTGCCTCCTCGCCCTTGCGGTGGATCTTTCGTATTCCGTCTGCCGGCGTAATTTTCTTCACCACCCCAGCGCCTCAATCGTTGTCATAGTCCTAATATATTTGGTTTGACCCCAGTCAACTTTCCCGACTTAAGACCGATGAAAGTCGAATTTTGATCATCTGGCTATTATTAGACTCAATTTAGGGCATGAATCCAAAGGTCTAGGTCCGTCAGCTCCATACTCGATGCAATTGCTACCCATCCTCCACAGTTCATTCACGCATATCAACCCCACCCCGCCAAGATATTGTTTATCATCCTACAGCCCTTCGATCAACCTACACATGATGTTCCATATGTTTTAATTCTATCTTGACAAGTATTTCCATTCGAATCTACTCTCCAATTCCGGTTGCAATGAAACAATGAGCCCTTTCATTCTTTCGCCAGCAAGTAAGAGTCACAACGCCATTCTCATGAAGACCTGAAAGGTCAATAAGGACCTTTTTCTCCATTGTCTTCTTGTTCTCATCCAACTTCAGTATCTAAAGGAGATGTATAAAAAGAACCTCAACCCCATCGAACAGAAAATCACCAGTACATTCTATCGGAAATCCTCAACCACTTTCAATCCCTATTTGGCAAGTATTGCCTTCTCATTCGTCTATGCAATTGCAAAACAATGGCAACGGGCCACTCAGCCCGAGGCCTGTCCCTGATCAGCGAGTCCTGTCAGGAAAACTGGGGAAACGACATCGACCCGCAAACTAACCTCCCTGGCGCTATTGTCCAAATGCCCTCGCGTAAGCTCATGCATTGCGAAATCATAAAAGAAGGCTCTAATGACCGCGGCCCAATCGTTAAAATATCTCGATGGGCAAGTCCAGCCTATTTCAGGCAATGAGTGCTGTACAAGCTGACCATGACATTGACACTGAATGAAGCGGGCACTTTGAGCTGCATCATCTTGCTGACTGGACTCGCATCCAGGCAGACCTAGCTGCCCTTGAAGATGGGCCCGAACGACTCAACTACGTTTCCCCGGAGGCGCTTACCCTCGTGCCACTGTGAGCATGCCGTTCTTGAGCCTGATAGGGGGAGTGGGCGTCATCTTCCGAATTTGTGCCGTTGCAGTTGATCTGTACATTGACCGGAGCTTCTGGGACATGTGGAATTTTGTTGTCAATGTTGGTCCTACCCGTAGTGTTCACTGGTGTTGGGATGTTGTCCTTCGCGATGATGTTGCTTCGCCTGTCATCGGTTCTGACCCTGTACCTCCTGCTCAATTAAGTAGTGTCACCCTTGAGACAGGTAACTTCGAGCACACCGCCGAGGCGCCTGAGGCTGAGGCTTCTGCCTCTGATGGTGCTGGAGACGATTCTAGCCCTCTCGCCGTCGCCGGACCCGTGATGCTTTTGCCAATTTGTCTCATCGTCTGCGAAACAATCCTGTGCGCCGCCGCATCTCTCGTAAGTAGATTGGTATTGTTTATGCAGACTTGTGTGATTGTATGTACAATCCATTGCGCCGCTGCTTTCCTCATGAGTAGGCTTTGTATCGTTCGACTTTAGCAATGCTGATGTTTGTTAAAAGTAAGAAAGCCTCCTAAATTGTCCATGGCTTAAATTTCCCAGGATTCCCTAGTGTGATATGCATTGCTGCGTTCAAAAAGGTGAAAAAAAAGGCGAAAATCCCCAAAAAGAACTTGAAAGGAAGAGAAAGGATAGATAGGCTGATAAAGTTTCATTCGTTCCGGCTCCAATCCAGTCCAGCCCATCGTAAGCCGTAGACGTTACCGTGAACCTCTAATTTGATATGCATAAAATAATGCACCCCAACATATCAAAGTAAGACAATAACCCAACTGTATAACCAGAATCACATGATAAAGAAAGAACATAAGACAGACAAACACAAGGTTCGGCCATCATCCCGTCCTGTGGCGTGGTCTAGACAACCCCAACGAAAACCCCAAACATAGCCTGCAACACCTAATGCAAACGCGCATACCCCGAAAAGCGCCTCCCTTGGCAAACGTGTTGACGTGTAAGTTCACCCATCACCGGAGGCGAAAAAGAGAAACCAGTTTAAGCGCAAGTGCAAAAAACTATCATAGGCACGCCAATTGGCTTACCGCCTCTCCCATTGGCCAAGCATACCCTGTCGATATGATGAGTTAGAGAGCGACGGTAAACCGGGAGTGTAACCTCTTGCGCCCCCAGTTCATGTGATTCTGAGTTGGCAATCGAGGCAACACAATTTCATGGCATATCTCATATCCCATGTTGTCTCTCGTATCAGGTGCGTTTGCGCGTTAATTTCCCATAAGTATCTAGGTGAGCTCGCATGTGAAACACAATGCGTTGGTATTTTTCTATTGGTATGTAGAATGTACGGATCACGAGCTTCCGGGATGTTCGTAAAGCTGTCCCTTTTCCCTGTCTATATAAGTTACTGTATGTACATGTACAAGATATCGATAGCCGAGTTCATCTTCCCCACTTTCACCTGTCAGAGGGGACCGTAGAGGGGCATCTCAGGAGTACGATTGTGCCATTGACCAATAACGAGGGGAATGTCATGCTATGTCTATGGTATGAACATGGATTTGAATGTATCAGGATTTACATCCATAACCATCCAGCATATAAGTTCGCCACATCTATGCCGATGATCCACTACATCACATTCTGCATATCACAGCGGCTCCAGGGTGACAAGGTTATTGGTCCAGCTCAGTGAGATTGACCAGAAAGCGAAGGTGGAAAGACCAAGAATGACGGTGAGAGGGTGTAGAATCACAGGTTCAGGGTGAGAAGAAAGACCCACGATGGAAGATCTGCATAGTAGCTTAATCGAGTGGATTGCCCGCCGGGATCCCGTTTTGCTTCTGATTTTCCTTCGGCTTCACTATATGCCATGGGCTGCTATGCCGAGTCACATTTTATGATTGTGCCTGTGCTTGCGCTTCTTCATGTGCTTCTGCACGTCCGCTGGGGAAACTTGGAAATCCCTGGTCTCCCCTGGTTGCACAGGATATCCTTGTCAATTGCTGTTGCTATTGCCAACCTTGACTGAGGGAATGCTTGGAAACACAACACCATATAGAGATTTCAGACATGCCCAGACAATTATGCTCATACCCATACATTGATAGGATTGAATGCGACCGCGACGGGTATAAGCGCCGAAGATCGGATGAAACTGCGAATCAACCGGGTGTTCAGTCGCACGTCCCCGGGCTGCCGGAAGAACAATCTCAAATCCGGCCAGGACCTTGCTAAAGTTTACGTACTTTCGGGAAAGAGAAAGAGAGAGAGAAGGGGGGTTCGAATAGCGCTCAGACCGATGTGGGTACCTCACTAATGTAGGTGTTTGACTGCCCAGGCCTTGAGAGAGAGTCCAAACTCAACATGGGGTCTAGAGATAAGCGGGAACAAGGTTTGCCTTGTCGGTCACCCAAGGTTATGAGCACAAGTGACGTTAGTACAATAGAACACGAACAGAGTGATATCAAGATAATATCAATATCATATCAATATCATATCAATATCAATAGACATAGCCGCATCCGTCAAGTGGGACCAAATGCGTCAATGTTGGACCCGCAATCACATGTGAAACAGTGATAGAGAGAGGATTCACAATGGTGCAATACAGCACAGTAGATTATGAGAGGTTAATACAAACCAGAAACAAAAGCTAAGCTACCAGAAAAAAAGAATTAAAAAAAAATTACAAAAACGAGACTTGGCGTGGGCAACGAGACCAGATCGCACAGCGCTAAGGCCTATCACATGTGAAAATCCTATTTCTTCTCTCTATACTCCCATTTCTTTCAGTTCCTCCCTCTCTTCTCTTCCTCTTTCCCTCTGAATTCCTCTCTCTCTCCCATTTCCACCTACCATCTTCATGCCGCACGCAGAAACAATGGGTGAACCCACCATCAACGGCGAGAAGCACAACTCCCAATTCCTCGACGTAAGTATACACCTCTATCCCCCATATCTCCCATACAAGTCAGCCCACCAACACATCATAGCACCTCATCTCCTACCCCCTCATCTCGGACTCTATCAACCTGTACAAGGGCAACCCCTACGGGGCCAAGTCCATCCAGTACGCCGACCAGGGCTACACTCGCCTGGCCAAGCCCGTCCTGCCCTACTTCTCCACCCCATACAGCTATGTTGCTCCCTACCTGGCCCGCGCCGACTCCCTCGGCGACAAGGGTCTGACCGAGATTGATACTCGCTTCCCCATCATCAAGGAGGATACGCAGAAGCTGCGTGGCTCCATCTACAACGGCGCTTCAATGCCTGTTCGTCTTGCTGGAGAAGCTAAACACCATGTCTTTGATATCTATGGATCGGAGTACAAGAAGTGTGGTGGTGATGGTGTCTTTGCTTCTGGTAAGGCTGTGGTTACTACCAGTCTGGTCCTGTCCCAGGAGTCCTTGGCTTGGATCAGCACCTTCTTGCAGACTAAGAAGGAGGAGGTGAAAGAGGTGGTCAACGAGAAGAACAGCCATTGATTTTAGAACTGTTTTCATATTCTATCTTTCATCTTTTTGAAGCGTTTTTGTTTTCTTTTGGACTTTAGAGAAAATAATACCTCATCGTTGATCGTTTACATGTGTTCTGTTATCTATTGTCAGTTTCAGCTTTTACTTTTTCAATGTCGGGAACTTCCAGATTCAGATTTCTAATAATGACCCTATTGAATTGTACCATTGCCTGACTACATCGTAAATATCTCAAAGAAAAGGAAAAAGCAAGGTGATACTTCGTAACTTCGTACAACATCCCAAACCACCCGAGATAAGCGCACAGACCACCCTCCCGATGGGGTAAAATCAACTCGCGTCGCGTCTCATCTTCACCACAACCATGCCACGCAAAAGAGTAAGCACCTACCACCATCAATCCAAACTTCTCCTCCTGAATATACCCAGACTAAATGAAAAAAAAAGGCAAACCCCGAATCCCCAGCGGGTCTCCCAACCCCCCGCCGCCAAAGACAAAGCACATCCCCCTCCGCAACCGACAGCGAAGATGGCGGACCAAGCGCGCCCTCCAGCACAGATGCAATGGTTAAAAAGATGGTCCGGCTAGCCATGGCAAGCGAATACTCCCGCCTCCCAATCCGACGAACAGACATCAGCGCGAAAGTCCTGGGCGAGCAAGGCTCGCGCCAATTCAAGCTCGTATTCGAGCAGGCGCAGAACGAGCTACGGCATCGGCTTGGCATGGAGCTATCTGAATTGCCGGCTAGAGAGAAGGTTACTGTTTCGCAGCGACGGGGTGAGTATCCAATTCTGATTGAAATTCGGTCATCACTTTCAAATTCTTTTTGGTTCATTCTACTGACCGGGTTTTCCTTCAATAGCCGCTCAAAAATCTGAAAAAGTTTCCAGTGCCAATAAATCTTGGATCGTTACTAGCACTCTACCACCTGCCTATCGCACACCTGCCATCCTGCATCCACCCAAGGCACCTTCCACCTGGACTGAGAGTACATACACTGGTCTTTACAGTTTCATTATTGCGGTGATTACGTTAAATGGGGGGACACTTGCAGAGCAGAAACTGGATCGGTATCTAGCACGTGTGAACGCGGATGTCGGGACGCCCATTGACCGGACGGAGAAACTGCTGCAGCGGCTGTGTAAGGAGGGATACTTGATTCGCACCCGGGAAATGGATGGGGGGGAGGAGATTATTGAGTATATCGTCGGGCCACGGGGCAAGGTTGAGGTTGGGAGTGGATCTGTTGCTGGGCTTGTTCGGGCTGTTTATGGGCAAGAGGGTGATGGGGATGGGGATGAAGGGGAGATTGAGAGGATGGAGCGGGAGGGCTTTGAGGGGAGGTTGGGGAGGACGCTTGGGGCTCATGTTGTGAGGGAGAGTGAGCATGGGGATGGGCAGGAGGGTGCCTCTCAGGTTCATGGGAATGGACCTGTTGAGGAAAGGGGTGGGAGACGGTCTACGAGGCATGCTCGAGAAGAAGAGGAGGAGCAGGAGGAGGAAGAACAAGAGAATGACTCCTCTGAGGAGAGTGATTGATAGTTCCCCTCCCTTACTCCATTGCTGCTCTTGGCTGCGCTGTGATAATATGGGATAGATACAGTACTATCCGCAACGTGATACCCATGATACATATCAATCAAAGCATTTGACCCATTTTTTGAATTCCAAAATAAGGATCTACTCTATAAGTTTCTCCATCTTCAGTAGGTGGAATGCCAATCACCCTAATATTTGACTTGGGAGTCGGCTCGATAGTGAGGATCGTAATGCCTATGAGTAATTGGAACTTTTCAATTTCCCGGTCGAAGATAGAAGAGAAATGACGATAATAATGAAGCAATTGGCATAGACATCTCAAAATTAACGTTCCGTCAATATAACGTTAACCAAGCCGAGGGCTCCACTAGCCCTAAGTAGCTCGAATGTAACCTCAATCCAAACTCAATCCCGACCACTTCATAAATCTTAAAGTTGCCCTGTCGAGATTGAGTTCTACCAGGAAAAATAGATCTAGAAGTCTACCTAGACTAAATAATAGGAACTACCCTTTAATCCCTCTCACATTTCGCTCTACAAGTTATCACCGGCACAATGGGCCACTTCGCGATAAAAGAGAACCAAGGCCGTCCAAACCGACAGAATAGAGTCATCAGTACGTAACTCATTCTGCTCGCCTTTTCTATGTGGCTCTGTTATAAACCTATTATGGGGTGGAATGGTGAGTTGAATGTTTACCTTGAAACCCCGAGTAAAGGAGGGAATCAAGATCTATAAAACTTGCAAGATAATCAAAACCAGCCACTGCAAGCACACCTCACCAAGACGCAGCTCCTCAACCAATTTCAATACGAACGCTTCGCCTAATCGAACTCCCATCCCGAATAGTCTACCTCCTCCCAAGAAGAAACAAAAGCCCTCCTCGCCCCAATCCAATCAACAGGCGAACAAAGACTACACGACTACGCCGTCCGAACCCGACAATAAAAGATCCTCCTAAAAGCCTGGGAAGATCTACACATAGCGACCTCAACAGAAGATCAAAAGATAACCACCAACCTCCCGCATACCCTTCAAACAACCCCCCAGATCTAACAACCCTTCCAATTCCCCGCTGCGACCCTCCTCCACACCTACGAATCCTACCACTCAACCCTAACCCGCCTTCAAACCCACCTCTTCCCCTGAAAAAGACTCTACTACCCAAACCACCTCCGCCACCGCCAAACCCTGCACTCCCCACCCAGTCGCCGAGTCCTAGTTTTCAGCGCAGGAACCCACCAAGTAAAGTACCTCCTAACAACAATCTCCGCATTTCGAGCATTGTGCTGCACCCTACCCATAGAAATAATGTACCTCGGTTCCAGCGACCTCTCCCCAAAAGCAGGCGCAAGACTCGAAGCTCTGCCAGACGTACTGACGCGCGATAGCCGGCTTCTCGTTTCAGATGACGGGTGGGGTGGGAATTGAACGGCTAGGGTGGGAAGCCGTGTGCTGTTCTCTTGTCGTCATTTCGGGAGGTTATTTTCGTTGATGCTGATGCAGTTCTTTTGCTTGATCTGGCTGTGTTAGTTGAGGATGGGGATCATTCTGGCAGAGCTCTTGGGCTTAATTGGTGGTTGTTGCAGAATAAGTTTGCTGAGGCTGGGAGTGAACAGCCGGGCAAGTTTGAGGCTTTTGCGCTTGAAGAGCATGGTGTGATGAAAGATGTGTCTTCGTGGGAGATTTATCCTGCTAAAATTTATTGCCTGACGGCGAAGAAGGTGTCGAAGTTTTGATGATGGTTGTTGGGTTGCGAGGATGGTTGGTGCTTTTGGTAGGAGCTAGATGTTTTCGATGCTGTTTTCTTGTTTCTATAGATGAGTTCATGATGTATTGTATCATATATGTTCATCATGTGCAGATTGGTTGCTATAGTCCGCGCTTGATGGAGTACGTTATGTTGACACGCTTGACTAATATATATCCACTGCGGAATAACAGCATATAGAACAGCAAGTGCTAGAGAGAAGGAAAGCCCAACACCTCGAACACTTGGCTAGCAGAGCCAAGCTCATACAAACCGAGAACATGTAATAGATCAGTACTAATAGAGGCCTATATCACAACCTTGCCATATACGATAAGTAGATCAACCACACATCTAACCTCCAAGTACGACACCCTCGCAAGCCAAAATGCAACACCACAAAAGCAGATTCAAAACTCCAGTATGTACCTGTAGCCCAGAACAAGATTCCAAATAAACCCACCAGACTGGACTGCAGTGAAATTGAACATCGAAGGTGGTAGCCGGATTTACTGCTATGTCGTGTCACATCGGGTTCAGTATGTTACCCCTCTTCAGGCCTAATACTGTCTGCAAGATGAAATAGATTGATCAAAAGTAATAGATACATAAGTGTGACATGCATATTTGATTGATGTATATGAAACAAGAGGTGCTTCGATTATTTTGGGATGGTGTGGTGCAGGTGGCTGACGGAAGGAAATGGTGCGGGGCAATCGCACACAAATGTGCGCGAGGGAAATCTACCAAAAGAATCCCCTCTCATCTGCGGCGTCTTCGGCCTCATGTACGTGGGGAAAAGGAAACTACAGGGACTGCTATGATCTACTAAAAATGAACTGAGAAAATATTGGAGACGAAAATGTATGTAGTCATTTAGCTAAACTACACGACGTCTAGCGATCCATAAAAAATGTTTTTGAAAGAAAATAAAATCATCACGGCATCTCTTGAATCATCCGAGAATCATTTATTTCTTACCAGCCTTGGCAGCGGCCTTGGTGACCTTACCGGCACCGCCAGCGGACTTCTCGACGGACTTGATGACACCGACAGCAACGGTCTGACGCATGTCACGGACGGCGAAACGACCGAGAGGGGGGTAGTCGGTGAAGGCCTCAACACACATGGGCTTGGAGGGAACCATCTTGACGATGGCGGCGTCACCAGACTTGATGAACTTGGGGTTGGCCTCAGTAGCCTTACCGGTACGGCGGTCAATCTTCTCGAGGAGCTCGGAGAACTTGCAGGCAATGTGGGCAGTGTGGCAATCCAGAACGGGAGCGTATCCAGCGCCGACCTGACCGGGGTGGTTCAGGACGATGACCTGGGCGTTGAAGGAGTCACAGCCCATGGCGGGGTCGTTCTTGGAGTCGGAAGCGACGTTACCACGGCGAACCTCCTTGACGGAAACGTTCTTGACGTTGAAGCCGACGTTGTCACCGGGGTTACCGGCCTTGAGCTGCTGGTGGTGCATCTCGACGGACTTGACTTCAGTGGTCACGTTGGCGGGAGCGAAGGTGACGACCATGCCGGGGGTAATGATACCAGTCTCGACACGGCCGACGGGAACTGTGCCAATACCGGAGATCTTGTACACATCCTGGAGGGGAAGACGGAGGGGCTTGTTGGAGGGACGGACGGGGGTGTCGATGGCGTCAATAGCCTCGAGGAGGGTCTTTCCGGAGGACTTGCCGGACTTGGTCTCCTTCTCCCAACCCTTGTACCAGGGGCAGTTGGGGGAGGCCTCGAGCATGTTGTCGCCGTTGAAGCCGGAGATGGGGACGAAGGGAACGGACTTGGGGTTGTAGCCGACCTTCTTGATGAAGTTGGAGGTCTCCTTGACAATCTCGTTGTAACGCTCCTCGGACCACTTGCAGGTGTCCATCTTGTTGAGGGCAACGATGAGCTGCTTAACACCGAGGGTGAAGGCAAGCAGAGCGTGCTCACGGGTCTGGCCATCCTTGGAGATACCAGCCTCGAACTCACCGGTACCGGAGGCAATGATGAGAATGGCGCAATCAGCCTGGGAAGTACCAGTGATCATGTTCTTGATGAAGTCACGGTGACCGGGGGCATCTGTGAGTGGTAGGTTAGCATCATGTTGGGATGAGTCAAGCCCTCCGACCTTGAGGGTAGGAGGCACAGGAGGGGTAGTAGATTCTTACCAATGACGGTGACCTCATACTTGGCGGTCTGGAACTTCCAGAGGGCGATATCGATGGTGATACCACGCTCACGCTCGGCCTTGAGCTTGTCAAGAACCCAAGCGTACTTGAAGGAACCCTTACCGAGCTCGGCGGCTTCCTGTGATGGGGGGTCAGCATGGATGTGGATGGATTTGTGGGATGGGCGAAAATTACCTTCTCGAACTTCTCGATGGTACGCTGGTCAATACCACCGCACTTGTAGATCAAGTGACCAGTGGTGGTAGACTTGCCGGAATCGACGTGGCCGATAACGACGATGTTGATGTGGGAACGCTCTTCCTTACCCATTTTGGCGGTTGAAACTTTTGTAGTTCTTTGGAAGATACTAGAAAGAGTCTGTAAAGATTGCTCAGAGACTACGGCAGAACGCGTAGAGGTACTGAGCACAGATGATTAGAGAGATGAAAGAGGAAGAAGAGAAAAGCAGTAGGGGGTGCAAGAAATACTCACTGTAGCAGACGGGGGAAAGAAAAAAGTCTGTGGGAGGGGGAGGGGAAATCCTTATATGGAGGGGCAAGCGAGAGAGGCGAGTCAGCGGGGTTCAAGCCCTCTGTGGTTGAGTCGTCTGATTGGCTGCCACAGTCAGCCGTGGACGCAGATTCTGCAAAGTGGGCTAATCTGAGAGGTACCGCTACCTCTTTACCAATACTAATCTATATTGCTGCTAATGTACCTGTACTTCTACCCATTCGTTCCCTGGTTCTTTGCTCCACTCTGAGAATTTTTCAACTCCCAATCCACTATCCATATTTACTGGGCAGCAACGCAGATTTGGGTGAGAATCTCATGGTTTGCATTGTTTACTTTGCGCTTTTTTTTTCTGGCCTTGGTGGCTGGTTACCTGCCGTATGATCGTTTTTATTTTTTCTTTGACCCCGCGATGAGGGGCACATTGTTTCACCGCCAACCTGTCCCGCCATGTTATGCAGATGGGACTTTTGTATCTTTTCTTTTTTTTCGCCACAGTTGATTCATAGAAATTGATATCGGCTCTATGAACTACTACCTATCCGTATTAAACACTAGGGGCAATTCCTACTAAACCCTCGGGTGTGCTGTGTGAGGCTAAAGCGCCGAGAAATGATAAGAAAAGTTAAAAAAAGCTATCCCAAAAGGGTTCCCGCAATCTGGGCGTTGGATAGTGACGTCGATCAATTTGGGTATCTGGATATCTTTTTCCATATGCGCCATTTGCTCCAAATGCGTAAGAAAAGAAAAACCAAAAACAGAAAATAGAAAATAGAAAATAGAAACACACAGTGTCCCGGGTTGATGCCCAACTCTAATTTTCTCTCCACCGAGCACCGCAGGATGTACACTGAGCTGTCAGAACGGGTACCTCACGCAAGCAAGGAGTAGACTTACCTTCAAGAATGTAGTCATAGGTTCATCTGCACTGCGAATCTGCAGCTGGAAGAAGTATGCACGTTCCCCGTTGCAGTTCTCTGCGGGGCATTGAGCTGTGAAAGAGTTCCGTTAGCTTCTGTCCTGGGTGTTCGTTTTGGGTTCATCTTGGGCCTTGCTGGGTCTGGTAGAAAGCCTCCAAGATCCCTTCTTGACTTACTGGCCACACTGTCAGCGTTGGCAAACTCCTCCTTGCCTCCAAAGACATCATCCACCTCCTTCTGCTTCATATCCGTCTTCTCAAACCATTGTTTGTCCAGCGGGGCTTCGTAGGGACAGGATCGGCACTCGAAGCGGTTGACACCCATCGGGAAGGCATTGCTCGAGTCAGCACGGGAAATGGTTAGCGCATTGCTGCAGTTGGGGCAGACTAGAGAGAAATGTCAGTTTCTGCAGCCTCGCTGAATAGCACTCAAGACTCGGCGTGGGAGAGGAGGAAAACGTACAGATCAACATCTTGCCAGCAGCTGGAGTCTGTAATATGTAGTAGCAAGATCTCACTTAAGAACTGCACGCAGCAAAGGCTCACAAGCTGTAGACCCAAGCGCAAAAGCATCACCGTCGATGCCGAATCTAAACGCGCGGCTAATCAGAGCGGGACGCGGAAAATCTCTTGATCCGTTCGGGCCGCGCGTGGGATGTTGTCCCTGGGGAACAAACTCCGGGAGTGTAGATGATACACCACGAATGACTCTTTGATCCGACTATCCTGCTTGTATATATACCATCTGCTTGTTTGCAGACCACCTAAGCACCAGCCATTCAGAACGTTTCGCGATCCACGCTACAACTAGCTCCCGCGTCCCTTACAGCCCCCCTACTGCTTGCATTTATTCCGGGGCATTCCGGACCAAATCACAGACACTATGGCTGACGAAGTGAGTACCACCATATAGCCACAGTCTCGAACTATGACTAACTTTTACACTATAGGGCGCATCACCCCGCGAGCTGATCGTGGAAGCCTGCCGCCGTGACCAACCCCACCTAATTGAGCAAGTCCTGCATGACATGGAAGAACAAACAAACGAGCAAGTCGCAGAATTTTTCAACAGAGTCACAGACACAATGGGCAACTATGCATTGCACATCTGTGCCCAATACGGCAGCGGTACGTTCTCCCATGGACATGGATATACACGTGGTACCGTTCGTGTTTGGAACTCTATATATCTATATCCCCACCATATGAAAGCCAGCAAGAGCTAATACCCCATAGGAGAGACAATGGACCACCTATTTGACATTCAAGGCTTCGAATGCGACCCCAAAAACCGCCTAGATGAAGACACGCCACTGCACGTCGCAGTACGCTACGCAATGGAAAAAGACCTCTCGGTTGGCACCGAGATTATCGAGATGATGTGTGAGGCTGGTTGTGATCCTCGCGTGCGCAATAAGCATAATCAATTGCCTAGTGAGTTAGCCAGGGGCAACAAGGAAATTATGGCCATTTTGCAGAAGGCTGCGTATATCATGGCTGAGGGTCTACAGAATAATGGTGATGGTGCTGAATCGGATGGTGGGTCGGCCAGTGATATGGAGGAATAAAGGCATATGAGGGGACCTGATGCCCGTTTCATTCTGAGCATTTTCTCTTTTTTATCCCGGTGGATGGTGTCTTGAGCTTTAGAGTTGGCCATATTCAGTTCTACGTTACGATTATCACGAATACAGTTCAGTTTCTAAGGAAAATGTTGGTCTATTGATTCCGTGGGTTGGCATGGACATGTATCGAGTTGTATAACTTCTACAAAGAGCGAAGTATTCCAAAGCTAAGCTATGTGATTCATCTATAGCCGGGATATCTAGACTACCGCATACTAACAAGCTTCTTCACCTGTTCCAGCCATTTACGAGAGAATTCCTCCTCAGTGAACCGGCGTGCCGAACGACGAGCCCGCTGGCGCATAGCAATTTTCTCCGCCTCTGGAAGAGCAAGAGCAGCCTCAAAGGAAGCAGCAAACTGCTCCTCTGTTTCAGCCCGGAAACCCGTAGCACCGTCGCCGAGGTCAATGACGATGTCTTCGCGGGGACCGCCCGAGTCGTGGGTTACGCAGATAAGACCTGCGGCTTGGTACTCGACGACACAGATACCGAAATGCTCATTCCACATGGCGTTGACGCCGACGGAGGAGGTGCCGAGGTGGGATAACACGGCTGGCCAGGGGGCATCACATAAGAATGTGGTTTGGTCGCGGATGCGGAGTTCGTGCGCTAGCAGCCGCAGGTTATAGATGTGTGTTTCGTCCGGGCTGGCGTGGCGGACTGATCCGATCAGTACGAGGCGTGGTTCAGGTTGACCCGCGCAGGCTGGATTGTTGGCTCGTTCTTGTAAGAATCGTGCAAAAGAGCGCAGGACCAGGGGGTGGTTCTTCTCTGGCCGGAATTGCGCAATGTAGAGTAGAACGGGCTGGCGGGTTTTCTCGCTCTCTGCGTCGACGGCAATGGTGGATTCCAGTTCTGCCACTGCGGTTGGGGGGAACACCACCGCCGGCGACGATGCTGTGCCCTCGCCGTTGCTAGTGTTCTCGTTTCCGGTGCCCCAGAGTGAGCGGATATGCGCTGCTGTCCAGGACGAGTTGCACATGACCACATCGATCTGCTGGCCTACCCAGCCATACAGTCTTGCGAACAGCTGCCAGTATCGACGCTTGATCTTGCCCTTCCAGCCCTTTCCAGCGCCAGAGTTGATACCCTGCACTCCACTCTGGTCGTCGAGCGAGGCAAGCATATCGGTTGAAATGGTCGGATAGTGGACGTATGCGCCAACAGGCACTGTGGGGAAGAGCCACTTGCACAGCGCAAGGGTAAACGCATAGCCCATAGTATCGATAAATACATCTGGTACAAGGAGTGTGAAGGCATCATAGGCAACAATCAGTGATCCGAGCGACTGTCCGAGCAGTGTCATATACGGATATGAGCTGCTCACAACGTACTTGCGAGTTGTCAAGTATAGAAGCACAACTGTCGGCGCATGAAGCTGAATGTTGAACCGGTTCTCTACCTTCTCAAGCATAGTAGCCTTGTTGACTTCATGGTCACCTGTATAGATGGCGCAAATGGCCTTTGGCCAGCGCTTCTGTGTTGCGCGCACTGCTTCCCAAAGTACTCGTTCTCCACCGCCACCGGCATTACTGTCATTCGATCAGCACTTGCATTTACATGTGTGGAGAGTGGACATACCAGAATGGGTGGAAGAACCCAATAATCCCATCCCAGTCATCCGAGTTCTTATTTCCTCCAGCACTACCACTGCTCTCACTGCTAGTCGCAGTCTGTATGCCGCCAGGGCCTAAGCTGTCCACCTTCTCCCAGTCCTCGTCTTCTGCGCCGTTCCGCGACAGTGAGCTTGTTGACACATTTGGCTGCGGGACGCGGGACTCCTGCTCTTCAGATCGCGCCCGCGCGATCACGTATTCACGGCGAGACCGCGTTCGCCTCAAGATCAGCCATCCCACTCCCCGAAAGACCAGACCGAGCACAGCACCTGTTAGCTTCGGAAGCAGGATGGCCGTGGCGGTGAGGATCAGGACAGCGAGAATGGCGTTGGATATGAGGGCCATGATGTAAAGGCGATAGATGAAAGGATCTCACCAGAGATCACACATAGTAAAAGGTTGACAGGCCAGAAATCTGATCAGAAATGCTTCCCCCTCTCATGTCGACAAGTTGATCAGTCGGGCGGCGTTAACTTAGATGCGCGTCACATGACAAACGTTTGATCTCCAACTCACGCCCCAAAAGCTTCAACATTCTTTGTATTGGCTGCGCAGCCCGCCATGTTTTGCCTTCGCTCAGCCTCGTCTCTGCACTCGGTCCGGCGAGCTGTTCAATTGCCTCGTCCACCTTCTCCACAGATTCGACACTTCCACCCCACGAAACCAGCGTCCTTCTCCGTGATCAATCTTGCGCTAGACACCTCCAGCGCATTCATTCACGGTGTCCACACCGTAACCTTCCTACCCTGGGTGCTCTCAATTCCCCTCACGGCCGTGATTGTCCGTACATTGGTAGCATTTCCTCTCCAAATATTCACAAAATTCCATGCAACCCGAGAAAAGCGCCTACAACCACTTTTACAATCATGGGCTGTCTTATACCAAGAACGGTCGCGCCGGATACCCAATATCGTGGAAGCAAAAAAAGCTTTGGAAACCGCTATGAAGGATCGAACAAAGGAGCTCCACCGACGCTGGGGGGTCAACACAACCTACCGACCCGTCACTCTCTTACAGCTCCCCGTCTTCTTAACGCTGATGGAGAGTTTGCGCGGCATGTGTGGCAATAACAACGGTATCCTCCTCTGGCTTCTCTCGTGCTGGGAGGGCTCCATGGATCCTGCCCAAGCATCTGAGTCTCTGCATCTTACCCTCGAGCCCAGTTTCGCGGCCGAAGGCGCGCTCTGGTTCCCGGATTTGTTGGCTGGTGACCAAACAGGTATCCTGCCGGTCATTCTGACAGCTTCAATTCTGCATAATGTTACGGCTAATTGGAAGAAGAAGTCTTTCGAGTCTGTTTCTGATCTGCCCAGTTTGCAGATGTACAGAGAGTCTTCTTTCATTGGTCTGCGGTACTTTATTCAGGTTATGGCTGTTTATGTTGGTGCTGCGAGCTTTTTCTCCCAGATGCCGGTTGCTCTTATGCTGTACTGGATTACGAGTACCAATACTGCTACGTTGCAATCTTGGTATCTGGAGAATCGGGTCTTCAATGAGAGGAAGCTCAAACAGTTTGAGAAGAAGTACATTACGTTCGAGAAGAAGGGTGTCGAGGATCCTTTCCACTTGAAGAACTTGCGCTGATTCAGTGGCGTTATCAAAAATTGGTGAACCTTCGCGCTGTGCTCTGTAGTATCATCCAAAGCCTCATACCCTTTCTTCAACGGCTCAATTTCCTGACCGCACCATTTCGACAAAAGCTAATGCTTCGATGCGGGCATCCAGCCCAGACTGGCTGGTCCAACGCGGACTGGATACGCACGAATTCCTTTCAAAAGCGCAATATACATGTGGACATTATGCATTGATCTGTTTGAAAGTCTACATCAACACGGGCAATGCTTGAAATTCTAGATTCCCATTCATTCTTCTACTTTCATGTACAATATTCTAGTTATCTCAAGATATCATACGCAAATGGCATCGATTCAACCTCAAAGCTGTGAAACAAAAGTATTTGGTATGTGAGACAAAAAATTGATTCCTGATATCTATCGGCCTGTTGCAAGTTCAGTAATACCACGCCAAATACAGCCTAGAGCTGTTGTAGATTGCAAAGCATATTGAAAAGCCCACCACCATCCATGATAGAATGCCCGAAAAAGAGAAGTTTTTTTTTTAAAAAAAAAAACTCCTAAAGCTTAGACTTGACGGGTTCTTCTGGAGCAGTCGCCTCCTGGTTGACTTCAACTGTATGCGAGTCAGGGCCTTGGCCGAAGAAGATAACCTCGACGGTGACGTCGTCACTAAGAATAAATGTTAGCAAAGCTTCCAGGGGGAACTAAATGAGGGTGCGATATTGCTTACCGGTATCGGCGAGAGTAGGGACTGGGTAGCGTCAACAGAGCACAAACCATGTCCTTATCCTTTCCACCCATGGCGTTCCGCACAAGATGTGTGGCTGCATTCTTGTCCTCGACAACGAAACGGCTAGCGGCGCCAGAGATATCGTATTGCTGTTGACGGATAGGACGGCGCTGGCCTTCACCAGATGCATCAGTTGCGGATTCAACCGGCAGTTGCTTCTGGCTGTCAAATCCGAACCAACTCTGCAGCCAGGCTTTGCTGGTACCAGTGCTGGCAACATTAGATTGTTGCTGTTCAACCCACTGGCCAACAAGACCGACAACTTCTTCATTGCTCAACATCTCCCATAGACCATCAGTTGCCATGACGATAAAGTCACCCTTAGAGGGATCGACCTTGGTGGTAGTGATGATAGGCTCGGCAGTAACGTAGGGAGGGGTCTTCAGGAGAGGACTAGGAGTACGTCCGAAGAACTTTCCCTTGATTTGATCTTGGATTTCCCTGGTCCACTTGTAGGTAGCGTCACCGAAGGAACGGCTAGGCTCAAGCTGGCCGAGAATGCGGCCGTTCTTGGTGGAATATGGCTCGCCGGGGTGCTCTTCCCGGATTCGCTTAATCTCTGATGGTGTTCCACCAGTCTGGTCCTCGGAAAGAGCTGTGGCAGTCCACTTACCGCTCGGGCCACGACGACCGAGAACTGCACGCGAGTCACCTGCAACAGCAACCTTGAGATCCTTGGACTGGGAGTCGTAGAAACTGAGAAGAGCACATGAGCCAGACAGAGCAGGAGCAAGGAGCTCAGCGGCAACTCGTCGCGACTTGGCCTTGAAGACTTCCTTGACACTTTCGTTCACAATGTCATTGTCGAGACGAACAAAGCCTTGCTTGATAGCAGCATCGATAGCCTCGGACGAGGGAACCAACAGTGAGGAGTCTGCTGCAGCAGCCTTATATGTAGTGTTCAATTCGCGGGCAACGTATGAGATCAAAACATTTCGCAGCTTTGCGGAAGTTGTCCAGCCTCTGGTTCATAATTAGTTTAACGGCATTTGATAAATCATAGACATAACATACGAGTGTCCATCAAATACTGCCCAGAACATCCAATCACTGCTTGGCTCGCCATCCTTGACAGCAGCCACGGAAGCTGGAATCTCGACGATCTTCTCCGCATGGTCATCCTCAATGGGCGAGTTGCTAGGAACCTGAACGATATCGTAGCGAACAACACCCTTGCCTCGGTTGACCAGGTAAGATTCTTCATTCTTACGAAGCTTCTGGGTTGCTTGCTCCGGTGTCAACATCTCGAGGACTCCGCGATCTGAATCGTCGGTAGTCTTGGCAAGCGGCTGGTCCCCGGAAAGTGTAGCAGTGTAGAATTGATCGTTGCTGACCAGCAGCGCACGGCGCGCAGGTTCGGCTGGCTTTTCAGCGTAGGCGGAATTTATAGCACTCGAGGCGAATCCTCGGAACTGAGATGCTGCCGACTTAACAGTCTCACCCTGATACGCATACCATGCCCCGGAGGCAACAACGGTTGAGATAACGGCGAGGGAGAGATTGCGGCGATGCATCGATGGCTGGATTGCTGCCGGAGAGGTTGAGCGCTTGCTGCCAGAGTATGACCGAAGACCTCGCAGCTGGTTTTGAGTGAAGGACAATGGGGACGGCCGCTTAACGGCTACGTTCCATACCGGGGCACGCCGAGCAGTACGGCAAGCCTGAACAGTCGCCTGACGCATTGAGTTGGCGGGTATTCTTGCAGCTGAAGAATCTCCTTGCCCTCTGCAAAGGAAATAACAGCTCTGAAACTGTATGCACAGAAAGCTTCTCAAGGAGCTGGACTGCTTAAGATGGTGTCACGTGTGAATGTTATCCAGGTACTGCGCTAGTCCCGATGAAGATGTGTCGTCATTCCCCGCGGATTTGCTGCGCTTTGCGTTCACCTCGAAATTTTTACTTTTCAAAGTCTACAGGCCTTGGCCTCAGCGCGCAAGGATGTCTTCACGCGCCATTCGGAAACTGCAAAAATTGCGCGATCTAGAACAACAGCAAGATTCCGAGAATCAAGATGAGTCAAGCGAAGATGAAGCCCCGCGCCCCGCGAAGCCCAAGTTCAATGCTTTCGATCTGTTGAACGCCGAAGATGAGAACGAAGATGAGGAGGAAGAGGAAGAAGAACAAAAAGAGGAGGAGCCTGTTGAAGAATCAAAGCCCGAGCCCGCCCCTACGAAGTCCAAAAAGGCCAACAAGAAAAAGAAGAAGAAGAAGGCAGCCAAACCCTCCGAACCGGTCGACACTCCACCCAAATCCAAGGAAGCAGATTTGGATGAAATTGATCGTGCTCTTAAGGAGCTGTCAACAGGTGGACAATCGTCAGTTGGTGCAGATCTGTCAAATGCTTCCAGTGCCGTCCGCGGACCCTCATTCCCTAAGACCACCAATAAATTACTCGGTATCGAACCCAAATTCCTCAATGCGACAAATGAGATGCGCCGCCTCTTTGGAAATGTTGTTCTGGAGAACTTCGATTCGCCAGCCGATAGTGGATCAGGTCGCCGCCGGGATCGCAATCGAGAAATGGTCGATCTCGCTCAGGCCTTGACGGGAAGATACAGTCCAGCCAGTCGAGGTCAGAGTCTAGGTGGGGTCACACTGCGGCGAAACGTTCTCATGCAGGGCAAAGACGAATGGCCTCGTGCGCCGAGTGGAGGACTCGGCATGGAGACAGTAGAGAAACTTCCTGCGGGAGAGACACTCTACCGACTTGTGCATAATACCGCCTATCAAGATGTACAAAGGCAGTTTGAGCTCTGTGTTGAGTCAATGGACCCCCAGAGACTCATTGGACACCTTCAATACAACCCATATCACATTTCCACACTTCTCCAGGTGTCGGAGATTGCCAAACACCAAGGCGATCACGCTGTGTCTGCTGACCTGATGGAACGAGCACTCTTCAATATCGGACGATCAGTTCACTCTTCTTTTGCCAATCGCCTCAAGGAGGGTGAAGCCAGACTAGACTTTATTCATGCCGAGAACCGAGAGCTCTGGCTTGTGGGTTGGAGGTACATCTCCAACCTCGGAATGAAGGGAACGTGGAGAACTGCCTTCGAATGGGCTAAGCTGCTCCTGAGTCTCGATGACAGCGATCCATATTGTATGAAGCTACTCATTGACCACCTCGCCCTCAGAGGCAGAGAGTACGCATATTTCGTGGATCTATGCACGCAGACACGTTTCAGTCGAGACTGGGCCGACCTTCCCAACATTCAGTGCTCGCTGGTTGTGGCATACCTACGGCTCAACAAGCCCCAGGACTGTCGCCGACAGCTATCACTTGCCATGTCCCGCTACCCATGGGTATTTAATAGACTGGCACAAGAACTTGATATCCAGCATATCCCTAAGCAAATCTGGGGCAAGATGCCCCCCACAGGGTCACATGAGCTGCTCACTGAACTCTACATTGCCCGTGCAAAGGATCTCTGGAACACACCAGAGGCTGTCTCTCTCATCATGGAAGTGGCAGACACCATCTCCGATAACGATGAACCCATCGAACCACCAGAGATTACCCTTGACATTGCTCGTCATGTAGTCCTCTCTGATCTTCCCAAGGTGACGACCCACCTTCCAAACCACTTTGTGGCCGGTCGACTTTCAGCCTCCGACCCTCTTCCCCCGTATGAGTCTGAAGCCTACCGTCAGCAATCCGAGCCTGCTCCCGTCTATGCAGCTCCTGCTGGCGGTGGCGAGAATTGGTTACAAGACCTCCTGGGACAGATTAATGGCGCTGGTCTCCGTCTCCCACCAGAAGAGGAGCTAGCCCCGAACCAAGGCCTTGATGATGAGCCGGAAGAAGAGCTTGATATGCCACGCTCTCGCCCTCCACTTGGTGATCCCTCGGCTCTTGAGCTCTGGCTCTCGCGTGAAGGCTTCCAGTCTCTTCGCATCTTCTTGAACCAGTATGGTGTTGACCGTGGCAATTGGAGTGAAAATGTCGTCGACTATGCACCCTTGACCAACTATCTGGAAGCAATGGTGATGATTTCGGCGACAGCTCGCCAGCAGTTGTTGGATGGCATCATCAAGGATTCTCTTGGTGATTTCGTTGTCAGTATGCTTGAAGATGAAATCGCAATGATGCTAGATGGGGACTCGGATTCATAAAATCATATCTCAGGAGCAAGATACATTAGAGAACAATGCCTATAGCAGTGTATCAATCATATATTTCTTTCAATTCTTGTTTCCAGCTGCTTCTAGGCATCTAAACATGTAATAGTGACCTTTTTGACACTCGTTTCGGACCTTAGGTGATGGTATATGGAATATATATATCTAGCTATAAAAGTCTGGCGGCAAGCTCCGAACATTGAGAAATTACATACCAAAACTGCCAATAGAGTGCTCTGAGCCTCGTAATAATACAGCTTCTATGCATAAACACCAGAACAAGCACTTCACGTGGGATTGTAAAATCAGCTGCATGATGCCATTGGAGTTTATCCCATTGGCAGACACGCCCGAGTCGCGCATGGTTCATGCGCATCATCCCGCACTGACAGGCTGACTCAGCTGGTATCGTTTCAAATTCTTGCAAGGTTTTTATTCGAGTTTCTCTGCATAGAATGAAAGATCACTTGATTTTTGATCCTCTATAGCTCTGAAACTATTTGCGACCTCCAAATCTCACACATCTCCCCCTATATATGTGCAGTGCTGGGACTACCCCGGGAGTGGCCCAGATTGTGTCAATTGTGTCATAGTCTTATCTCTCCCGCGCAGATTTCTCTCCTTCAACCCCCCGGTCACACAAAATGGTCACCATGGGACACGAATCTATACCCCTGACAGCCCGCGAAGCTGCTTCCGGCCTTTTGGGATCAGTGTCCATGACCTGCTGGATTTTCCTCCTGGTATGTGCGATCCGCGCGGAGCATGCGATAAAGCAGATTCGCACCTGAGATCTAAACAGCAACGAACATAAGACCTAACAAAATGAATCTAGGTCCCGCAGCTAATAGAAAACTATCGCAATGGCAACGCCGAAGCTATCTCCCTCCTCTTCGTCTTCGTCTGGTTCGTCGGTGACGTCGCAAACCTCGTCGGTGGCCTCCTAGCAGGTCTTGTGCCCGTGATCGTCGCTATCGCAGTCTACTTCTGCATCGCAGACGGCGTTCTCATCGCTCAGTGCCTGTACTACAAGGCGCGCAACTCCCGCCGCCACATTGTCCACCGCCGACGCTCGTCCACTGAGACTCCCGACCCTACTACCCCGCTCTTGGGTCGTCGTTTCAGTGATTCACTTGGTCCTAATGAGTCGCGGCGTCGGTCCTCTGGATCGCTGCGTGGTCATCAGGGTATTGGCCGACGCGAGAGCCAGGTTGAGGATACCTTGGCGAAGATTGTCGAGGAGAATGACTATGGCCGCAAGGCTTGGACCAAGAACTTTGCCAGTGTTATAGGTATTTTCCTTGTTGGTATGGCTGGCTGGACCATGGCCTGGCAGACAGGCATGTGGGCGCCAGCGCCCCAGGAGAATCACAGTGGTTCTGAGGAGGCTACTAGTGGTTTGGTGTTAGGTTACTTCAGCGCTGTTTGTTATCTGGGGTGAGTATATCTGTTATATTTGGTAGTGAAAGATTGAAACTGACTTCCTTGCAGAGCGAGATTGCCTCAGATCTACAAGAATTACAGCGAAAAGTCTTGTGAAGGTATAAACTTCGTTTCTTGAACTATATGGAACAGATATTGACATAAATTTCAGGTCTCTCACTTTTGTTCTTCATTCTCTCACTTCTCGGCAACTTGACATATGGTGCAGGCGTAAGTCATACCCTAAATTTGTCTTGCCCACTGGAACTCAGCCGCTAACAAGGCATATAGATCCTCTGCCATTCCACGGAGAAGGAGTACTTCCTCACTAACCTTCCATGGCTGATTGGTTCCTTGGGAACAATGGTTGAAGATGTGGTCATTTTCATTCAATTCCGCATCTACGCCCCCCAGGAACAGCGTCAGTCGGCGCTTTCATAATTCTGGACCTTTGTATGTTGGGTCTGTTTACATCCATAGCGACTTTGTTGTTTGTATACTGTCGACTGCGAAATTGATTCTGTGCCATGTAGCTTTGAATGTGAAGGTCTGCCTGGATTTAGTGGTGTTAGGCTGAGATGGCAATGACATGGCGTTTTTGTTACCGGTAAACGGCTGTTGTTTTAAAAGTATATATGATTTGTGTTTGTGTGAAAGTAAACAGTAATCTATCAGTTTGAAGACTATCAAAAACTTTCATGAGCTTTGGAGATGTAAACACAAACGATTCCACAACCAAAAATCCACTAAGAATGGACGTGGACACCAGGACAAACAACCAAGTATGAAGCTACAAAGTGTATGTACTTACTTACCTGGCCGAGGACCTGAGAACCGTGCCTCGGGATCCGCTGCCCCCAGTATCAGTGCACAAGCTCCACATCGAAGCCTGGCGCCACAAGTCTACAACTACACAAGCAATCCATATAAGAATCAGACGGCATTCGTTGGTTCATGGTCGCATGACAGACATAGCATGAGAGCCGAGCAGAACTAAGCTAGATCCGTGGAGGACGAGAAAACGCATACATCTACCCAGACCAAACCGTACGAGATGGTCATGGACAAATCCGAAAGTGTGCCAAACGTCTTTCTTCAATTCCCCTATAATCCTGGAAGCAACAATAGTTTCGGAGTCGCAGCGGTATCCGATCGAGTCTACCTCGGTCACATTATTATGACACAGAGGCACACCGAGCACCCAGTCTCCATTGAATGTCCTTGTCCGTTTGAATTCTTTTGCTAATTTTCTTTTTTTCTTCCCCGGGTTCTAGGTCTTCGTAGCGGGGGTCGTGGAGTATCGAGTACAAGAGAGAATCGTCGAGGGAGCCGGCAAGCGGCAGCGGGAAAAGAGGCGTGGGATAGAGAAAAAAGGAAACGAGTTCAAATTCGATACGGATATGATACGCTTAGTCAAAGAGACCGAAGCCCATGTCCTCATCGGACTCCTCCTTCTCTGTAATGGGGTTAGCATCTGTGACTTTGAAAATGGGCTGCATTGTGTATGCTTACCCTCTTCCTTCTCCTCCTTCTTCTCCTCAGCGGGGGCGGCAGCACCACCGGCAGCGGCGGGGGCAGCGGAGGCGGGGCCAGCGGAGCCGACGTTGGTCAGGAGCTCCTTGATGTCCTTGCCCTCGAGAGCCTATAGATCCCAAACCGCGTTAGTCAACGCATTTCAAATTGTCGCGCGTGGCCATCGGTTGTTGCGATACTGGCGCAGATGATGATGTAGGTTCAGGTATTTACCTTGGCGAAGATGGAGGCCCAGATGGGCTCAACCTCGGGAACCTTGGCGGCACCAATGAGGGTCTGGATCTTGTCGGCCTGGATGAAGATTCGAGGTCAGTTACTGCTGTTGATGTATTGACCCTAATGCAGCTGTGCTGCAGCTTTCTGTGTTCCTCCATGGCTCATTTTCACACACAAAATCAAGTTTCATGTGTAATCTTGAACCCTTCAATGTTCCAACGAGATCATGGAATTTTGGATACGTACGGAGACCTCAATACCGTCATCGGCCAGGATGAGGGCGGCGTAAGAGCAGGCGAGCTCGGCGGTAGACATTTTGTCGACGGGTGGTGTTGACCGGACTGGGTGTCTTGAAGAGAGTTGGGGATGAGAAAGAAGAAGAGAGGAGAACGCCAATGATAGACACCCGAACAGGGCAAACGCGCCGTGTGTGGGAAAAAGCCCTCGCTTAGGGCTTGGACTAATCGGGACTAGCATATTCCCCTCCTCGTGACTTGACGCTAAACCGCAAACGGCACCAGATCTAGGATGGTCAAGTCACGTGCCAGACAGAAGAGGCTCCTTTTCTTGATTTAAAACACTGTTGTAGAAGTACACTACTGAATTGTATACACCAGTCTCGCTTTTAATTATACTCTCCTCTGGTCGAAGCATTGAATTGTAATATCTATAGTCATTCGATTTCTCACCTTTTCACAAGCTTAATGACTTTCTAAGTGGGGAAAACTCCCATATTTAGGAATTCATCAAATGACAGACTTCAACAATCACGCTCCATGAGTTGAAATATAAAATAAATTACGACCAAGTTGAGGAGATCGATGCCGAAGGGTTTCATGCACCTGAGCGCCGCTGACATAATCCCGTGTCTCCGCCCCGGCGTATCTGCTATCAGTCCATTCATCAATTGACATCACATCTCGGTGGGGTTTGAACATACTATTCTTCTCATTTGTCTTTACTTTCAAAGCCATATTGCTCGTCGATCTACCTCCGTGCTTCCACTGCTATTCCGAACCTTCCTACTCACGTATTCATCTCCATGGAGTCCCCCGCTATCCCGGTCCCGCTGGATCCGCGGGAGCAGCCCATCCTCGAACGCTTGCTCCGAACCCGCGATGCGCTCCTGCTCATCAAGCAGGACAAGTCTTCTTACATCAAGTCTCGTGACGTCCTGCCGCTTTACGAGGAGGTGATTGCGGAGGTTGAGAAGCTCAATGCTGCCCGTAAAGAACCCGAGCGCCGCTTGGTACACAACCGTCGTGAGTTTTGGTATGCGCGCACTCACTTTGGAGGGTAACTGACATGTGATGACAGTGGACTATGTCTTGGATGATTGTTTCCAGTTGATCTCGCTCCTGTTCTTGACAGTTGGACGGAACAATGAAGCTCCCGCAGTGTAAGATCTAGAGCCTTCTACCCCGCCATATTCAAATGACTGACCTCTGGCTAGGTACTCCTTGGCGACTACGATTCAGGTATGTAAACATACGTTTTCATCGGCTTTGAGTTATATTACGATCTAAATACTGACTTGCCCCAGCGTTTACTTGACCACCTCAAAGAGGCTGGATTCTACAGCTCCAAAGACTTGAACTCGATCACCAAGACCCTGGAGTCTACCCGCGAAACTCTCGAACGTGGCCGCGATACCTACTCTCCAGCTCTCCTCACACTTTTGGAGAGCCGACTGGAACAATGTGAAGCTTCTCTAGAGAAGTTGCAGAAAGGCCTTGCCGTTCTGGCTCCTCCTTTGGCACAGACACACGAGACCCTGGTCTCAATTTTGCGGTCAACATCCGCTGTCAACACTCGAACAAAGGTTTGTTCTCGAATGCACATATTTCAAAAATCGACATTGACTGATATTTGGACTGTTTTAGTTCTCATCATCCGAGGTGAATGGTCTTCGCGAACAGCTGAAGAAGATCGAAAAGGGAACAAAAGATGGCAACTTTGTAGATGCCGAGGGAAATATCCTCGCAGGACAAGACGATCTCAAGTCTTTGATCCAGCGCTGTTGGCGGTGGACTGAAATCGTCTTGGAGCGGTATGTTGGAGTTGTTATCAGGATGACCGGACAGTCGCTAATTTGGAGCAGAGAGGGAAAGATTGATGAGCGTTTCCGCGATCAGTACGAGCGTTTGCTGGAGATCCGCAACCAATTGGATCGCTTGTCCGTGACCCAGGCTTGGTCATTGCGCGAGACAGATCTATTCGGATACCAACGCAAACTAGACCGAATTGACGAAGCACGGGTTAACGGAAACTTCGTCGATGCGGAGGGCCAGCCTGCCGACCTTCATGCGCAGCGGGTAGGAACCCCCATACTTCGATTATTCTTTGGACTGATCTGGCTAACCATGATAATAGACATTGCTGTACCTCATTCGTCGCAGCTATGCATACATTTATGCGCTTCTCATTTCATCCGAGCCTGTATCGGAAGCTCTTCTTCCTGTTTACAACCAACTCCAGACCCTTCGTCGATGCTTAATTGAGGTCAAGGAGTCTGGCGGCGTCGCCAATTCCCGCGAACTATATCCATACAGCATGAAGGTACATACCCACACATGGACTTTTTCTACATGTGCTAATCAAAACAGCTCAACTCAATTGACAACATGCGCGTTGATGGTAAATTCTACGTGGGACCCGATATCCCAGAAGGCCAGGGCAGTGTGAACAACCTGCTTGCCGAATGTTACGATTATGTCTGGGAACTCCGCGCTGCGGTGGTCGATGAGGAAGAACAATCCTAGTTTTCACATGCCTTCCAGCTGATTTTTTTCTCTTTCTATCCATCTGTTTTACTTTTTCCAGTATCTCATGAATGATTGGCCATGGATTCTCTTGGCATACAGTGGTCTTTGATTGTACGATCAGAGTCGCAGTCCTTCTCTTCTTGTTATGTTACGATAGGCGTTTGAGATGGAGGCTGTTTGGGCCGATATGGCATTGGCATTGTCTTGGGGATGGGGATACTCTGTGTCCTTGTGTTTCTACTTCGAGCTTAATGTATCCTGTTAATGATGCTTTACTTGAATTTTGATTCATTTCTTTTAGGGCAGTACGAATAAGCTAGAAGAGGTAGACACGATAAGCAACACACAGCAGCATACGGACAAAGCAATGATCTTGGTTCAGGCAAGATTTTCAGTTCGTCGTTTACTCCATTCCAGGCCAACAAAAAAACGTAGCCCTTGAGCAATCGCAGACTATGGTATCTATACCTTCGTCTGCCGTGGATTCAAAGCAAATCTCGTGCAAATCTTGGATATCCTCGCCATCTTCCAACTCACCGGCAATCATGGCACCTTTCATGTGATTTGCCTTTAGACAGCAATAACATGATTTAATGCAGTGTCCCTTGCTACGAAGCTGATCAAGGTTAGATCCATCGATTAGTCGTGACTTTTCACAGCATCCGCAACTCCGTCCACAACAGCCTTCTCGTCCTGCACAATCCTCTCGTAACATTTCCTGTTACCCCCGACTGGTGGACTTATATGAAAGGTATAGGTCACCAACTGAGCGAGCCCATATTGGCCGTGAGCTTCGAATTCAGCTTCAAGATTTAGTATGTCTGCTTCAGTGCCTCAGCCACCAGAATGCGATATTCTCCCCAAATCGAGTCGCCAAAGAACTTTTGGTATACTTGCAGTCGAGACATCATTCCTGCATAATATTCCCGTCATTTAAATGCCCCCCGTATTCGGAAGATTCAAATACAAACCACTGTATGAATCAAAGTATGTTGATGCTCAGATCGACAACATAGATCTGGATTGGTCCGAAATCGGCGCAACCACGGGCCAATCAGGTCACGGGCAAATAACCAGAACAAACCGGAGAAAAAAAGGGCTCAACATCACTTCTTCCCCAGTTCACCATCCCAACTTGAATCATGGTGAGCCAGCTTGTTTGGCAGCGGGCTTCTGCCTCTCGTGGGGTAAGTTGAATTTGACCCTCCCAAATGTCTCAATTGACTAATTCCCCATAGCTAGCCACACGGCTGTCCCCGCAACGGCTCTTCGCCCGTGGCCTGGCCACCGAGGCCTCGTCCTCCCGCATGCCCCCATATCCCAAGCTCGTCCGCAACCTCGAGCAAGTCCGCCGAGTACTAGGCTCCGAGCGCGCCCTCACCCTCGCCGAGAAGATCCTCTACGCCCACTTGGACAATGCCGAGGAGTCATTGCTCACTGGCACCAACAACGGCCGCGATGTCCGGGGTAAGGCTAACCTGAAGCTGAAGCCCGATCGTGTGGCCATGCAGGATGCTTCCGCGCAGATGGCTCTTTTGCAGTTCATGTCTTGCGGTCTGCCCTCCACGGCCGTCCCGGCCAGTATTCACTGTGACCACATGATTGTTGGTGAGCGCGGTGCCGATACCGATTTGCCCGCTTCGATCAAGGGTAACAGCGAGGTCTTCGACTTCCTCGAGAGTGCCGCTAAGCGCTACGGTATCGAGTTCTGGCCCCCTGGTGCCGGTATTATCCACCAGAGCGTGCTGGAGAACTACGCTGCCCCTGGTTTGATGATGCTCGGTACTGACAGCCACACTCCTAACGGAGGTGGTCTGGGTGCCATTGCTATTGGTGTCGGTGGTGCCGATGCCGTTGATGCTCTGGTTGATGCTCCTTGGGAGCTCAAGGCCCCTAAGGTTCTGGGTGTGCGCCTCGAGGGTCAGCTCAGCGGTTGGGCTTCTCCCAAGGACATTATCCTGCACCTGGCTGGTAAGTTGACCGTCCGCGGTGGTACTGGCTTCGTTGTTGAGTACCACGGCCCTGGAGTCGAGACTCTCAGCTGCACGGGTATGGCTACCTGCTGTAACATGGGTGCCGAGGTCGGTGCTACCACCTCCATCTTCCCCTTCTCGCCCAGCATGGTGCCCTACCTGCAGTCCACCCACCGTGGTCACGTCGCAGAGGCCGCCGCTGAGGTTGCCGCCGCTGGCCCTTCGAGTCTGCTCCGCGCCGATACCAAGGCCGAGTACGACCAGTTGGTCACCATCAACCTTTCCGAGCTCGAGCCTCACATCAACGGACCCTTCACCCCCGACCTGTCGGTTCCTCTCTCCAAGTTCGCCGACACCGTCCGCGAGAAGAAGTGGCCCGAGACCTTTGGGGCCGGTCTGATCGGTTCCTGCACTAACTCCTCGTACGAGGACATGACCCGTGCCGAGAACCTGGTCAAGCAAGCCTCCGCCGCAGGCCTCAAGCCTAAGGCCGACTTCTTCATCACCCCTGGTAGTGAACAGATCCGCGCCACTCTCGACCGCGACCAGACCCTGAACACCTTCTCCGAAGCCGGCGGTGTCGTCCTGGCCAACGCTTGCGGTCCCTGCATCGGCCAGTGGAAGCGTACCGACGGCGTCCCCAAGGGCGAAGACAACGCAATCTTCACCTCGTACAACCGCAATTTCCCCGGCCGCAACGACGGCAACCGCCAGACAATGAACTTCCTCGCCTCGCCCGAGCTCGTCACGGCGCTCGCCTACTCCGGCAGCACAACCTTCAACCCAATGACCGACTCCCTGACCACCCCCTCAGGCGAGACCTTCAAGTTCCAACCACCAAGCGGCTTCGACCTCCCCAGCGCCGGCTTCGAAGAAGGAAACCCCAACTTCCTTCCAACAGCCGCGGTCCCCGACGCCAGCGCCGAGGTCATCGTCTCCCCAACCTCCGACCGCCTCGCCCTCCTCGAGCCCTTCGCCCCCTTTCCCAAGGGCGATCTCTCCGGCCTCCAGGTCCTCTACAAGGTCAAGGGCCAGTGCACAACAGACACCATCTCTGCCGCCGGCCCCTGGCTCAAATACAAGGGCCACCTGCCCAACATCTCCGCCAATACCCTCATCGGCGCCGTCAACGCCGCAACCGGCGAGACAAACGTCGCCTATGACGAGGCCGGCAAGTCCTACGGTATTCCCGAGCTCGCAGAGCAATGGAAGGACCGCGGCATCGAGTGGCTCGTCGTCGCAGAGGATAACTACGGCGAAGGTTCAGCCCGTGAGCACGCAGCCCTGCAGCCCCGCTACCTCGGCGGCCGTGTCATCGTTTCCAAGTCCTTTGCCCGTATCCACGAGACAAACCTTAAGAAGCAAGGTGTTGTCCCTCTGACCTTTGCTAACCGCGAGGACTATGACCGCATTGATGCCTGTGATAAGGTCGATACTGTTGGTCTTTATGATGTACTCCAGGCTGGTGGCCAGGGGGAGGCCCAGCTCCGTGTTACCAAGCAGAAGACCGGCGAGCAGTTCGTTGTCTCTGTTAACCACACTCTGTCTAAGGATCAGTGTGCTTTCATTCTGGCTGGTTCTGCTTTGAACTTGTTGGCTAAGAAGGCTAACGCCCAGTAAGGGATTGAGTCGAGTGTTGCATATAGGTGATAGGTGGAAAAGAGAGAGCTTCAGACTGTTTGTTACACTATTAAAAAGTGGCTTCGATTGGAGTTGATGATCTGCGTGGATTGGATGTTTGTTTTACTTTTCTATAGCAGCAGTTGTTTGCCTGTTAGCTTGTATATGGTGATTTTTAGATTTTCTTTTATGTTTGCCCTAGATGATATCCAATGTGATCTGTGTTATACTATTTTGGATAGAGACAGTAAATAAAAGATATGGAGTATTCAATCATGAGAAGGGTAATTTAGACCGTCAAATTCATTCGATTGATCATTGTATGCCATGTCATAGGTTTAAAGCAGCTGGTGGCATAAGCGAAAGAGGATATGAGGTGAGATAGATATATGAGAAGAGGTTCAAGAGAAAGAGTAAAAGAGTAAGCAACGCAAACAGACGGGTATGAACAGGGGTAAATAAATCATCAAAAACATCACATCACGATGAATAATTCTTTCATAAGAGCATCAAGGTGGTTAAGCAGGAGCCACCTCGAGAAACAGGTTAGTCAAGAGACCAAGAGAAGAAAATCAAATCAGCAGGAATAAAGATGAAAGCGCAAGTCATCAAAAGGGAAAGAAAACGAAATGAAGCGAGAGAGATAGAGCAGTGGTATGATAAATATGTACCAAATACCAATGTCTGGAGAAAGATCAGAAGAAAGCAAAAGCCGAACCAACTATATCCAAACCCGATTGCCAGATTTGGCGGAATTCTCGGATATCTCCCATCCTGTATATGAACGCCAAAAAGAAGCCTTCTATACAGGCGTGAATTGAAAAGGAAAAGCAAAGACCAAAAGAAACCGAGATAATGCAGACGAGAGAATCTCGAGCAAGACCGTTTTTGAGCTCCGAGACAGAAAGAAAAATGGGCAAGGTGAGCGAAGATGAGATCGAGAGAGAAAATAGTGTCAACAAAGAGCAGCCAGAGAGAAGGTCATGGTCATCCACTCCACTTCTGATCATACCCCTGTTCACCAAGCATCTGTCCAGGGTTGTTAACCCTATACATATTGCCGTGGTTATTACCATAACCACCACCCATCCCCGAATCATCTTCATCAAATCCAAACTCACCCCCAGAGCTAGCATCAAAGCTACTCCGCCCACCAATGTCCCCAGGCTCATCACCAGCAGCAGGGATCTGATCCCACTGCAGGTTCTGCAGAGCGGGATACTGAGCCAAGAGGGCAGCAGGAAGTACGAAGTTACCCGTGGACTGCCCGTCCATGCCAGGCATGTTGGGCATAACGAGTGGCTGAGGGACAGGCTGCAAATGGCCAGATGGCTGCTGAGCCTGCTGCTGGTGTTCCAGCATGACACGGTCTCGCTCTTGTGATTCCTCATCGAGCAATGGCTTGATGCAGACTCGACCGGCTTCGGATCTAAAATGCCGGCCTAAAGCATCTGCACGGGCAAAGCGCCGGCCGCAGCCCCATTGTCCGCTGCGCGAGAGCTCGCCTCGACAGACGAATTTCTTTTCACCGGAGTGGAGGCCTTCATGGCGCTTGCGGTCGTGTTGTCGTGCAAAAGCTTTGCCGCAGACTGTGCATACAAATGGTCTTTCGTCTGTGTGGGTACGGAGATGGGAGCGGAGGTTATAGGCGCGGGTGAATCGTTTCGGGCATAGATTGCACTGAAAAGTTGCAGGGTGCTTTTGGATCCGTTTTGGTTCTCCAGGTGCTGCGCCGGGTCGTTGTGGATCTGCCAGGTCTAGGATGTAGTTTCGATTCTCAATTGATGATGTAGACAGACGTCGGTTGGATCGAGAGGGTGATGCATCTCGCGAGCTGGGGCTACTCCGTGAGTGTGAGCCAATTGAACCAACCGGCGACAGGGATCGCGGGGTGTTAGGAGCGTGCGGCTCCAAGCTTGTTACTGAAGCTGCAGGAGAGCGTGAACGAGTTGCAGGGTGGTATGGATCAGATTTGCTACGAACGCGAGACCCTGGTTTTGGTTAGCATATTGAATTACTATATTGATGGAGCCGGCACTTACGCATAGCAGGAGGACTCAAAGAATCATAATCAGCCGTCGATTTGGACGGATCAAAGTTGGGATTCCGCAACGGCGGAGCAAACTCGACATTGATAGACGGAGGTGCCATCTGCGAAGCCTGACCGATGTCACCGGGAACATTGTTCAACTGGCCCATATTCATCATGTCATCTGAAGGCATGCCATACATATCTGTCGGCGCAGAAGGGAACTGAGAGTTCGGTCCCAGATAAGCGTTATTGGGAACCATCTCCCCACCCTGCTGTGGCATTAACCGCGGCGAGATATATGGACTGTGAAGCGGGCTGATTCCTTGTTGTTGCTGCTCTGACAGAGTGAATGATTCAATGCCCAGAGCATTTTCATACAAAGCAGGGTCATTCTGAGGTGCCAACGAAGGCGACGCATTGCTCTCAATACCGTCAAATTCATGCTGGGACACATAGGGGGAGTGGTTGGCCGAGGACACTTCAGACACCTCAGATGGCGCACGTCGATGGCCCCGGAAAGAGGCATTGTTCATAATATGTCCCCAGTCTGGACCTGATTGAGCGCTGAGGTAGGCCGCAGTCGCCGGGTCTAGCGAGGTGTGCCGTGAATGCTGAGGAGTGTAGTATGTGCCCGGAGTAGATCCCGGAGGGGACATAGGACCCGGTGAAGAATGCTGCTGATCCTGCGATGAGGGATGCGAAGAGGCGGAGGGATTGGAGATGGGGCTGACCAGATCGGCAGGGTTAATGGCCTGGTTCACAGTCTGGCGTTGGTGCATCTGCGGATCCAGCAACAAAGAGGAGTCATACTCCGACGCGGTGGTGCTGTTCGGACTATGGTTCTGGTAGACCGAAAAGTCCATTTCTGCCGGGTTTGTATTGAGCATGTTGGAAAAGTTGTCGTCCTGCATCGGTCTGAGTCCTGTCGACGAGTGTTCGAGCTGATTGACCAGGCTCGCCTCGAACGACTGCGCCATCGGCATGTTTGTATTGATAGCTGGGGGATAGCTCTGGTCGGCCGGTGGAGATAATGTCTGTGCCGGAGGCGCCTGGGAGAGATAGTCTGGGTACCCATATTGCTCAGCGCCCATGCTTCCGTCGGGGTTGTGGAAGGAGGGGGTCGTATAGGCGGTCATGGAGGGGTCGACGCCCATTCCGGAGTTTGGATCATGATATTGGAGGTGTGGCGACGGGCTCACACTGCGATGCTTCATATCCGATTGACCATGACCCGGGCCTTGGTTCTGGTCATGCGAGGCCATGATTGCGAATGCGCGCCGATAAGGCTCTGTGGTGAGCGCCAAGCTGGGGTTGCGGTCAGGAGAAGAGGAGCGGAGCGGAATCGGAGGCACGGATAGCGCAGGATTTCGGCGAAAGACAACGAGATAACGAGTCGCTTTGTCAGGGACCTAGACACCGGTTGGCGATGTAGGGGTAGATGCTGATGGGGTGGGATGTCATTCGCAAGGGTCCAGTTTGAGTAGGCGCCGGTACGCGAATGATCCACTGGCCAGTGTCAGTGGAAGAGTGCATCCAGAATAAGGGCAATGATACCTTTTAATGCGAGGTTGACAATGGGAGAGAGGGAGGAGTTGAAGATTGGGCGATGATTTCACGTGCGCAAGGCGGTCTGGTGGACACGCCTATACGTCTTTAAGATATATGGAGCTGGTTACAGGAGATTATTTTATATCATGTTTGCCCTGTGCCCTAAGCGCAGAGTCTCTCTTCTATAAGTTCCCCAATGGGTCTCCCCACATTGTGTTAGTGCCGATAACAGATCAGATCACTGCTTTACTATTTTTATACGCTCTACCTGCCACAAGATGTCATTCTACAGAAAACGGCTGCCTGTTCCTGACATGCTGAAGAACACACTCAAATATTCTCTCCAGTCCTTCGGTGGAGGGGTTGTCAAGCGCTAGGCATTCTTAGCTTTGCACAGCCACGCAGCTGAATCATATACACGCTAAACCCCATTGGGAGCTATATCAGTCTGCCTTGCCTCGACATCTATGACTGCATAAACACAGACCCATTGACACGTAGCTTATATTCCAGGGATACATGTAAGATAGGTCCAAAGCTCTAAGGCGTCCAATCTCCACCCTAAACAGTACCCAACGTATTCAAACTAGCCCTGGCCTTATCACCAGACCAAGCAAACAACAGATTATCCGAACAACTGCTCCCAAGCCCAGCATTATCAACCCAAGCAGGCTCCCAATAATAGATTCCCAGTGAGCCCGAGACCCCAGAAACAACAGCAGCAAGTCTCTGCAAGAAAGTCTGCTGCCCAGCAACAGAGAACGGAATATCGCTTAGATCAGACGGAAACGCATAAGCCGGGCTGGGACAAGCATACGGCCAATTCGTCTCAACAACAACAGTCTGCTTCCCATATGTCGAGTACAAATTCGCCAAACTAGTCTTCAGCGATGCGAGTGTGGCACTCGCGCTGTAGAAGGGGTAGTAGGAAACGCCCATGTAGTCAAAGTCCGAAGACATCAGGGCCGAGCCAGATGCGAGGACTTTGTTGTAGAAGTAGGATTGGTCAGACCAGCTCCAGCCATTGTCAAGATGTATCATGATTTTAGGGGTGGTGGTCAGGTCGGAGTCTTTGACGCCCCAGGCACCGGAGTGTAGGAGTCGTGCGATGTTGCTGTAGCTGCTTGTTGTGCCTAGGGGCCAGAGGAGACCACTGCGGATTTCATTTCCGATTGAGACGATTGCCACGTCTAGATTGTTGGCCGCGAAGGTGTTGCATACTTCGAGGGTGTAGTTGTAGACTTGCCAGGCGAGGGTGTCGATGTCGGTTGTTGACCAGCCGGAGGGGGTAGCCTATAAAGTAAGTCAGGCATCCTCAACATGGAAGGATCAGATGGACCAGTCAATGCTTCTCCAAAAAAAAAAAAAAAAAAAAAAAAACGTACTTGATGACTCGGATCAGCCCATGTATCACTATAATGCAAATCAAGATACGTAGTCATCCCCTGTGCCTGCACCCTCTTCGCCAACTTGACATTGTAGTCAAGATCGTAAGACCCATCACTGGGATTAACCCAGACACGCTGGCGGATTGAATTGAGGCCAGCAGCTTTCACAATAGCCTCCAGTTTCCCCGTTGTCCCAGCAGAATTCTTATACGAGATCCCGGAATTTTCTTCAACAAGAAGAGAAGAGATATCAGCACCGTGGATACTCAACGCAGCCGATACCGGCGAAAAGAGCTGCGATGCAGCTAGAAGCAGACAAGGAAGCATATACATTTTGTAAAGACCAATCCGGGATCAACTACAAGAAAGAATGAGAACAAAGGAAGAGAGAAAGAGAGAGAGAGAGTAGAGTCTCTTTACCAAAACACAACCGTACTAAACCTATAGCTCTCCGCGCTTTCCACCAAGGATCCAAATTCTCCGACCAGTCTAACCAATACCTCCAATAAACCCGCGCAGATCAAACAGAAGCCATAACTACAAGTCTCCAAATCCCCCCGGGAGATATCCCATCCGGGTCTAGTTCCCGCCGTGAAACACATCCTGAGACAGGCACGGCAGAGACAATAGGCGGAGAATTTCATGCTAATACATCATAGCCGATTGTTTAGCTTGGTGGAGAATATAAATGGCTCACTCATGTCATCTGTCATCGGTTGGACGTGCATTCCCGTGACGATTTAGATTGATGTACTGTGTACAAGGGTAAGTCTTGTAACGTATGGGGTAAGCATAGTAATGTGTGAAAGCACTAATGTACAGGAACTAGGGGGAATTGTTCGGTGTTATGCCGGAGGTGGCGGTCAATAGTGACCTGTTTCCTTGCTTGGCTTGCTTGTATCATTGGTGGAAGTAGAATCTATATTCGTGCATGTTATTCAGGCTTGAAATTGCGATGTGGGACGAGGGGTTTATAAGCTTCTTGTGTTTTTTTTTTTACTCCACCGGAGAATATGATGGTTTCACCTCTATCTGGAACGGGTGGATGTGGATGTGCTCATATGATGTGAAGGTGTTTGAGATGTCAACGTGTATTGCTACGATGGGGTTTAGTTTTAGGCCCGGGCCGAGAACTCTACTCGTTTACTGTATATTGAGCTGTTTTTTTAAAGCTAGGTGTGGGATAATTATCTCGAATTCCCAGTACACCCAAATGTTCATTTCATCGTTCGCTTCGCGCTAGACGCCCACGCCTCCCAGCATCATGTATCATGTCAGGATTCTTCGAGGTCACAGACACCAGAAAGCGAACAGCAGACCAAACCGCACTCATGACACTAATCCGATCAGTCTGGTCTCTGCAACCTCTCAAGAATCCGAATTTGCCTCAGACCTCCACCAGGTTTGTCAGGTCAACATTACATACAAGATAAATTGAAAAGAGGAAAAGAAAGGGAAAAAAACCAGACGATTGGATAAAGAGACGCGAATCGCCCTTTATCCCATGCGAACAAACCCAGACGGAAGAAGGAAGAAGAAAGAGGAAAAGAACTGCGACACCTGTCCATGTTTTGTCCAAACATTAAACAATCAATCAGAACGAATATGTAGGGCAGCCGGTCGGAGGGCACCGGGGGGCATTTGAAGGCTTCTCTCTCAATATGGGAACGGTAGATGTGCGCGGGCATGGGTGTATATGTACAGACAATGTAGATGTATGTCAACAATTTCTAGGACGTCACAATTTCCAGACGGCAGAACTGGAAAGAAATCAAAGCAGAAGCAAACGTGACGGGGTGATATACACGACTTCGTAGTATAGGGAAGCGTCGAAGTGGTGGGAAATTATGGGGGGAGGAGAAAGTAGTCCATAGAGATAGAGGGTGTGATAGATGAGGTGGTAATGGTGGTAGATCGAATTAGTTTGAGGGTTGTGGAGGGTTAGCAAGCTTTGATGCTGGTGCCGGTTTCTTTTTCCCAATGACGAGACCTTCATCTTCCGACTCCTCTTCATCCTCGTCATCGCAGTAGTACCTCGACTCGTCTTCTTCAGACGGCCGGGGTGAGCCAGAGCGAATGGGTTTGACGGTTTCACCTGTGCGGAGTATCGAGGGGACTTCCTCGAGATCCTTGTCCCTTGAGTAGAGCCCATCGCCTGAGAGCGAAGAAGCATTCGACACAACGGACGGGATGCTGGGGTGTGAAGCACTCTGCGACATGCCGCTGGTGAAGTCATCGGCCGAAGACGAAGATATCGTAGCCGGATTAGAGTTTGGATGTCGATTGTTGGGATTATCTGCAGGGCATCCAGAGTCCGCGGGCGGCGCCATGGGAGGCAGGAGGAGAGACTCGGTGGAGTACATCGCGTAGTCAACTCGTAGTGTACCACCCTCAGTTGCGTCGATATCGCTTCTCCTGCGGCGCAGGAGTGCGTCTCTCGTGAGATGGAATGATTCTGCAGACGACTTACCCGCAAGCTGCTGAGATCGGTTGCGTCGGTGTGCAGACCCAGGATTCAGCTTCTCTGGAGTGGGATGATCTTCATCATGCCACAGACCGGTTGTCCGAACTTGGCCCTGAGCTGATGCATTGCTGACAGCGATGCTAGGCTCAGAGCGTTGCTCTTCATTGTGACATCCTGACTCGCCAGACGGGGATGTGCGTCGACTGCGACTACCGCGTGATGCCCGTCGGGTTGCGCCACTGAAAAGACTGCCGAAGTTGGTCGATCCTAGTGCTTCGATGATGGAAGAGCGTGCATCCCCCCTTTCCGAACCGGCAAGGGGATATCGAGAGTGGATGGTTTGACAGTCTTGGTGGATTCCGCTGTAGACATGGAAGACTTTGCGCGTCGAGGAGGGGCAGGTCGTGGTGTCACAGCTGGGGGCGGGGCAGCCTTGAGCGCAGGTGTTTGCACAGTATCGAAGTAAGACGCCCAATCACCTTCATCCACTGGGCTAGCAGTAACGCTTTGAGCAAGAGGATGTCCTTGGCTGCCAAACTTGAGCGGCCGGAAGAAATCCTCATCTCCTCGCAGACTGGTTGGGCGACTGTCACGAGAGCCTTTACCGAATGTGCTACTCGAGGCGGAGGAGAGGGTTTCAGTTGAGGGCGTTGTGCTCGACGTGCGCTTGCGAGGTTCCTTGTCCTTTGATCGGCCCCCAAACCATTTGGCGACATTGGATCGAACGCGTTGAATGAATGGAACCTTGCTGACGGCACTGGTGACTTCCTCGTTCGAAACCTCGATTCGCTTACCCTTGCTTTGGAAACCAGGATCAGTTTCCTCAATCCAGATTCGGGGATTGGGAAGACCGTGAAGGGTCCAAGGGTGGTGCTTGATTTCCTTAAGCGTTATCCGCTTGACTGGATCCTTGGTCAACAGGCGTCTGAGTAAATCGTATAGCTCGTCCTCGATGTCCTCATACAGAAGCTCATCGCTGTTCCTCAAGTTCCATTGATTGGAGTCAGAAGAGTCGTCAATTACGGGCACAAGGCGCTTCCGTGGAATGAACACTTCGTTCTTCACAATGGTCTGGAACATACTGTACTCGTCGTCCGAGACGAACGGTAGACGGCCAAAGATCATTCCATATAGCGTGACACCCAAAGACCAAACGTCTATGGCGCCGGTGATCTTGGGGATCGACCCGATGGTCTCAACGAAGTCATCGCCGGTATAACACAACTCAGGTGCGTAGAAGGCAGGTGTGCCGACAGTCTTGGAGAGCTCACGGGCATCATCCAATTCCGCGGCATCAGTTTCACCGACCTGCTCTTCTTCTTCGTCACGCATTGGACGACCCAAGTACGAAACGCCAAAATCGGAGATCTTCACCCGATGATTACTGGTAACGAGTAGATTGGCCGGCTTGATGTCACGGTGAATGATACCTTGGTAATGAAGATATTCCAAGCCAAGAACTGAGTCACGGAAGGCACTGCGAGTTTCAGCGATGGTCAGGCATGGGACGTATGCCATGTCATCACCCTCAGCAGACCATTCAGGTTCAGAAGGAGCGTAACCAAAGCTACTCGAGGCTGTGCTGAAACGGCGCTCGAATGGGTAATCCGAGTATGCACCATACATGGTGCCCTCGACTGCATTTAAAGATGCATCCTGGGCAGAGGATGGACTTGAGTCATCAGTTACTGCGACAGAACGACGACTGATTGATCTGATCATCAAGCCACCGTCCTCATCTTCCTCCTCGTCCGAGGACTCCACACCATGCTCCAGACTCCACGCAGGAATCGGCCCTTGTTGAGCATCGGCAGCCTGGGCCTCAACTCGCTCGCGAGCCCGTTCACGCTGTCGCCGCAGATGCTGTGCAGTTCGAATAAATTGGTGACTCTCTTCCAGGAAGGCGGGAGTGTCAGGGATTCCATTTTTCTCCCGCTCGAGACGTAGCTTGTCGACGTGGACGATCTCTCGTAGACCCTTCTTGCGCCATAAGATCTCACCATTCTCGACATATTCCAGCACAATGTACACTTTTTGTCGGTTCGGATCGTCGATGACCTCGAGCAGACTGACCACATTCGGGTGCCGCGCCTTCTTCAGAATAGCCACCTCCTTTTTCACTTTGTCTTCTGGGTTACCAAGCTTGCCTAATCGACGACGAGTGGAGTAGCGCTGAACAATCTTGATGGCAACCTTCTGCTTAGTCGTAACATGCTGGCCTAGTTTCACTTTGCCGTGTTCACCTCGTCCCAGCTCCTCGAGAATCTCGTATTGATTGATGGTTTTGTTTCCAGTGATAATATCGCGATCCACTTCAGCGGTGTGGGTTTCTTTGGGCGGATTAAGATGTGTTGGGTGGAGGTATGTGCTACTCAAACTTTCGTCGTCAGAGCCAGAGGGTGTCTTCAAATGAGGATGTCTCATAGAGAACAGCCCAGGGCTCGAAATCGGAGTGTTACCCGCGGTACGTATACCACGGGCGTACGAATGGCGTGGCAGCGGATCGGGTTGGAAGAGGTGAGGTGCCCGCCAGTTCGGGTGTATCTGAGACTGAAGCGAGGCATACGATTGATCGGGGTATACCGGTAATTCATGGTCGGATTGTCGAGAAGCCCGGCGGGGGCTGCGTCCAATGCTTCCATTTTCCGATCGGACATCGACAACCGTGTCTTCGTTGAGGGCTTGTAGCGAACTCGAGGAGGAGCGATTCGACGGGGTTCGAGCACCATAGATGCTGGGAAAGGCCTGGCGAAAGGTCGCCTGTGCCTCTGATACATCGGTGATTATGGATGGTTTGGCGATGTTCTTGGACGGGGTCTGGCGAGATTCAGGTTCGCCTAACGCAGATGGTGCTTGTAAGGACTCCTCGGACTGCCTCCTGTCCCGCTTGGGATCTCCCGAGACATTTCCATTCCGAGCACGAGCTGGATCCTCCAGACCAGCTTGCGAGGACCTAATTTCCGTCATGTTCTATTTTTGGGAGTTTCGTGTAATCCGAAAGAACTAGGAAATCGAGCCAACTGTGCCGAGAGTGCAGTTGAGCATCCTAGTTCAGCATCCTCCAGTGTCACGCTTGGTCAAATTGGTTCAAGGCGAGCTGACGAGAAGCTCTGTTGGCACGCCCGAATGGACCGGCATTACTTGCACAGGGATGGCGACAACTAGAGACGGTGTACCGGACGGTTGTTGTCGCCGGGGAAAAAAAAAGGAGGACACGAGGTAGACCGGCTACTACACGAGGACTCGGATCACATCCACACGTGGATCAGAAAAGGAGTGCGATGCTATAAATATTTCGAGGGGGGGGGGCGCGTTCGTGGGGAGGGTCGGAGAGAGGGGAGCGAGATCGGAGAGGATCCGAAAGGAATGTCCAAGGTCAAAGGAAAGAAAAAAATAACAGAAAGAAAAGGTCGAAGGTAAAGACACCGAGACCAAGGAGGGGGAGAAGTGAAGAGACGAAGGGGAGAGGTTGGGTGGGTAATAGGGCAGAGAGCGATGATCGGATGCCAAGGGGAAAATTATGACAAGGCAATGTACTCTGTACAGAGCAGACAGACCTCTTTCTTTCTTTTTTTATTATTTAATTATGATTTATAGAGGGTTTCAAGTGTCCGTTAGTATTAACTGATTTCTATTAACAAAACCCCTCCCTCATGTCTTCTTCTAGACGAGTACATATAACCCTCGAGCCCTGTCATCTCTCTAGTGGCGGATTGCCACAGGGAATTACGTCGGCGACTCGAGCACAGCCATCCCCGGCTATAGTGAAACTTCCATGGATCAATTCGTTTGTGGGAACTCTCATGACAGGTGGATAACCAGCCGTCCTCCAGTCCAGTCTGGCGACAGTTGGATAGCTCTGAAGCTGAATATGGTCAACGGTCACTTCGGCCGACCATGGTTGCCCAACCCATATTTCATATCGGCTCCGAGAGTTGAATGATCCGTACATATCACTATCTCAGGCCCAAACCTAACTTCTGCCACCCGAACTACCCTGAGGGGATCCTACACAGCTGAGGTAGACTATGATAGGCTGGAAGGGGCTGCACTAAGTTTTTGCCTGGGCATGGCAGGCAAGCCAGGGGTGAGCAAGTATGTAACCGAGGCATACTTGGATACCAGATTTGCTGCCATCATATATACCCAAGTATACTTACTACTGTATGAATATCATCATCATCATCTCTCTATAGAGATAGAAAAGGAAAGGTGTCTGGAAGCAACCGTGCACGGTCCACTACGTCATGTCGGGTCTGGCCCCTAATTAGCCATCGTTCCGTTTTGGGCTTAGTGTCCCAAGCACTTGGCGCTTTCTCTCCGAATGAGGGAGTTGATTGGCAGAGTTGGGATAATCGGGAGGAAATTAAGGTGATATCCATGGTATAGACATCTATACTCCGTACTTGCGGGGAAGAGAGGCCTGAGTATTCCTCTAAACTAGCGTAATACGAGAACTACTACTTATTCTGTGGCAGTCTAGATATCCCCCGCAGTGGAAATTCGGCCCTCCATCCGACACACCAAACCCCAGGCCAATCCAAGCAAACAAAAGAAAGAAACAGTCTTGGCTGGCCACAAAACATCAATAGCAACTCTACTAATCCCAATCCAGTCAATTCATTCCATATATCCGTATACTGTCAAGACGCATGCACCCTCACCCGAGCGCCTCCTGCGCAAGAGCAAGAGATCAAAGCACACGAACCGTGGCCTATCCCAAAACACGCAGTCTGCTCCCATCCCACGCTAATAAAAATCCCCATCTGTACCCATACTCTTCGAGGAACATGCCCGTGTTAATCCTGCAATGTGACACAAGCGGCGAGTTGTTCCCTCCAGGGCGTTGGCTGTCCTCCCGTTCCGGTTCGTTGGGCGCGTGCCACGCCCTAGTTCCTTATTACTCTGTGTTAACGTCGAGTTCGGTTTCAAATGCCCTAGTGCAGGTGCCCGGTGCTTGTGTGCAGGCAACGTGCTGAGATGCTTGACCGGGTAGTGTGTAGAATGAGGGATTTCCAATGTGGTTTACTCTATCCCGCGCTTGTTGATTTTTTTTTTGTGAATCTCACGATCTACTAATCTAGTCGAGGGATTTATGCGCATGCAGGGGTTGTTTTCCACATGTGATTGGTGTCCAGTTCCTGTGGCAATCCTTTGCGATGCCATTGTACCTGTACAGTAGATCGTGAACAGTAGAAGAACTGCTGCTAATTACTACCCCAGGCTAAGTTTGCCTGTCATCGATCTCGTCTAACATTACTATAGGAAGAAGAGTGGCTGTAAAGGCGATAAAGTTTTCATTTGCACATTGCTTTTTTTTTTTTTGGCCTTGTGCTGCTTGCTTATTCGGTAGCCCCATCCGAAAGCCAACTTCTGTATATTGGATGGGCTCATAATAGCAGGTAGTCAGGCTGAAAAACTTTCCTCTATGCAGCTAAGACACTGTGCCGTGCTGGTGCATCAGCTCACGGAACAACTAGGCATACTGCATTGTTGACAGTACTGCACCAGGACGATTAGGGGTAAGCGCCGGATCTGACATGCATAGTCAGGTACCTCAAATACTTTAGAGATATATGGGATGTGACTTGGACTGTAAAAGTGGCGGAGGCAACCGGCATACGGGAGAGGAGCTGAAGCTATCTTTTTGAAGCGATTGGTCAGTTGGTATGGTGGCTTCGGATCCTTTGAGGCATTGAATGTCGAATGTTGAATTGAAGTGATGAAGGTGATTGGTCCGGATTGCTGGAAAAATCTCCATGTCGTTTCATTTATTTGACTCCTAATAGGGGATCTTGCAGTGCCGTCTATCAACTTGCCTAGTCTACCAGCCGTGCCATCTACAGTAGGAATCAACCCCAATCCATGCTCTCCTGAATAACCCCTTTGGCAATTCCATCGCTATATTGTACCTCGATCTTGACTTGCTATGTTCGATCTCTTTATCTGGTTTTCCGATGCCCCAAAGCAAGGATGGTACTACTAACAGCCATCTAAATCTAAGAGACCATATCATAGTAGAGAAGATGGCAAGGAATATCAATTACTTAAGAACCCTTGCTGATAGTAATATCTCTTAAATGAGGCATAAAAATGATATACGTATAGTTTTCCCTAGTCTCTGACGATGTAAGTGAAAGCTCGGCTGACATACTAGACGTAAAAGATATCTACAAAGCTTTTCCAAATAAAATTTACTTGCTTTACATTTCAACTCATCTGAGATCCCTTATCTCAATACCATGCCAGGCGAGCATAGCTTTTTTGGAAAGTGTGTGTGCTTTAATCTTTAATCCTTCTCACCACCTGTCACTTTCTTCCCTGATATCATATGAGACGAACAGTCACTTTGACATAGACAGGATTCCCTATACAAATTCTACATGCTTTCTGTACTCTCTCTCACCCCCTTAATCGTGACTTCACGCGCGACAAACTATCGCTTCATCACCCCCTCAAGTCGGACGCAAAAGGTCGCCCCAGGAACTGTCAGGTGTGGTTACATTTTTCTCTCACTGCCGCATATATTGCGCCATAGTAACATCCACTTGTTTTCTCCGCATACCTCTCCTAGATATAACCAGTCGTAACATCTCTGCACCTAGAGAATTCAAGTCGGCATTAGAAACGTCAAGAAGAGGTCACAATGTAACCTCATGCAATTAGTTATCAGATGGCGTTGGTCTAGCCGTTCAAGCGTCTATGCACAGTAGAAAATACAGTGGTGGGAGAGTCTTGGTTAGGTTGTCCGGCCAACTTATTTAGGGGCGTAAACGTCCATGGTTCGTGATATGTAGAGGTTCCACTGAGAGTGATCTTCAAGGGGACGGGATGTTGGATGTAAGGGAGGTAGAACATAGGTAATATATGGGGGATGGAAGTGAAGATATTCACAGTTGGACGGAACAAGGTGAAACAAATCGAACACCCAAGCCCACTGATTGTGCAGGTCAACGGCCACTAAACAGGGAAACAGGATGCACATATTACAAAGAGGCGGGCAACACGCAATGTCACCCGCCCAGCGTCACAGGCTGACTCGTTGCCCAGCAACCAAGTGTTGATCCGGCGAGCTAACTCTCGGCAATACATTAGGCTTCCTCTTTCTTTGTTTAGCGCGATCGAATAAAGTAGGCAATTTCTGTGAATCGTAGTGATTGGTTCAGCAATTTATACTGTAATGGCGAGGCCCGGATCGGCAGTTGTTTACTGGGCATTTGGTGCCAACACTTGTCTTCACTTTCTCTCTCCTTGGAATACAATTGTGGTTTCTTGAATTCTCCGATCATTTGGAATAGATACCTGCTCACATCTGCTCCTTCTATGTCAATCGCGTGGCGTGCCATGCTCGCCGATCCTGACATGTATCCCTATCTCTAAGTGTCTCAGATCGCAAACGACGGCGTCATGGAGAGCTTTGGGAGCTATCCACTCGCACTAGGTGTGCTGTTCGCCCTCTTCAGCCCCTCCATTGCTACATACCTTCCATCCTCTGTACTCCTCTCCCCACAAAGCGACTCCCTCGCGTATATCCTCCGACCCAGCTCCACTGGCGAAACCGAATTCCTGTCCTTGAACCTGTCCACCAGTATCAATGCCGATGACCTATCCTATCATACTCTGCTCAGCAGTACACCATTCCATAATCCAGGCCAGAACTCGACGTTCATCCCCGCCATCAACAATGAGGGGTCCATAACCGTCTATGCCGGGAATTGTCACAACACATCCGATAGCCCGACACTATGGCAGTTTCACCCAAACAGCAACAGCTCAGTCGGCAACGGGACATGGGATAAGTTGGGCGTTCTCTCAAACGACATCCAAACCGCCCCAAACTACCTCGCAGCGGGGTTTACATACTCATCATCCGGCCAGCCAAATGAGACCGCCATGTACGCCTTTGGAGGAATGTGTCCATTCGCAAACAGCACGGACCAGACGTGGGTATCGGCAGCAAATTACTCTCAGTCGATGGTAGCTCTAGGTCCGAGTCCCTACTACAGCAACAAGTACACCGCGGAGACCACGGGGAAGCGCGCACCACCAGTCGCTGAAGCGGGCATGGCTGTCGTGGCCCTTCAGGCCACTTATTCCGCCGATTCAACTGGGAAACAGCAGGACTTCCTTTTCGTTGGTGGTCATACCAGACATGCGTTCCTCAACATGTCGACGCTTGCTATTTTCTCGCTGCCGCAGCAGAGTTGGAGCTTCGTTTCGACCTCGGACAACATACCAAAGACCGAGCTGGCTATTCGCGATACGGCCTCCGTGGAACCCCGTTCTGGCCATACAGCAACTCTCTCCGAAGATGGAAAGAAAGTGTTTGTGGTTGGTGGTTGGGTGGGCGATACAACTGTCCCTGCCGATCCGCAATTTGCAGTTCTAGAAATCAAGGAAGGGTTCGGCGGCGCTACGGAGTGGATCTGGACGACACCATCTTCGGAAGGAGTGGGTATCACCAAGGGTGCTGGCATCTTTGGACATGGAGCCGCAATGCTCCCAGGAGATGTGATGATGATTTCAGGAGGCTATACCATTCCGAAACAATCGGCGAAACGGGCAGTATCGACTGCCAATTCGCAATTTTACCTCTATAACACGACATCAAATAGCTGGGTTACGTCCTACAACAACCCTGCGGCCAATTCCTCCACATCATCGTCCAGTCACAGTGCCAATCTTTCGAAGGGTCAAAAAGCTGGCCTTGGAGTTGGTCTGGGTATTGGATGCCCAGCTGCTCTGGCTCTTGTATTATTTGCATGGAACCTTCATCGCAAGCGACGTGTACGGGGAAAGCGAGACTCACAGCTTCGCGAGTTGGCTCTCGGGGCCGAACGAGCTCATTTCTGGGGTCGAGAGGACCCTAACCAGGCCAGCAGTATCCGAAGCTCTGGAATGAGCGAGAAAAGAGACTCTTCTGTTTACCCTTGGTCGGCAAATCGCAATGGAGGAGCTCGACCCAACTGGAATGACCAGGGTGAAGGCACGGCAGAGAGAACTGGGCTACTCATGGATCCTCCCAGCCCAGTCAAGAACAACCGAGTCCCTGTACCGAAGAATACAAGACCATGGTCATGTCGTATGTCAGGACACAGTGATTTCAGACGCAGTGATGCTACCAGCGAAATCCACCCTATCGATGAGCGCGAGGAGGACGAGGCTATTTTCAGAGAGCGCTTGATGGCAACCATTCCCGCTGGAAATGGGACTGCAAAGACTGCAGAGCCAGAGGCTGAAGATCCATTCTCAGATACTCCCTACGCAACCCCACGAAGCACCATCTTCGGCGTTGGCTTGGGTCCATTTTACAGCCGACGGAAAGACATTGGATCAGTTGATCCGGAGTCTCCCACCAAGAGTGAACGAACACAAACCAGTCTATCCGATGCCTCAGCCTTCTCCTTTGACTCTTCTCAGCCAGTCGGCAAAGTCGCAACAGCCCGAGCTATGGTCATTGACAGACCTGTAAGCTGGGCAAGCAGTGGCCGTCAATCACTCGAAAATATCGCCGCAGCCTCAACACATAGCGACCCTGGCAACATTGCTCCGTCTGAGAACTCAGTCTCAGCAGACTCTTACTCAACAGCACAGACAACCATCTCTCAACGCCAAGCAGAGAACGACTCCCTCCTCTTCGACGCCCTCGAGCCAATCAACCACTTTGAATCATCCTCTCCCTCGAAACTCCGCCGAGATTCTAGACCCAGAGCCTCAGAATGGGTTATGCAAACAATGCGCCGAGCCCTAACCATGACCCGCGGCGGCTCCCAATCCCAGCGAGACCCCCACGAAACAGCCCCACTAGCATCAGGAATTGACCGCCGCAGCACAGTCATTGGCGCAGGCCAACTATCCCCAATACCAGGTTCCTCAGGAGCAGGCACACCCCGCCGAGCAGTCAGCGCCTCAGCCGAACTCTTCCGCCGCAAACAAGGCGCCAAAGACTGGAACGCCCGGAAACGCGTCTCGGACGATGTCTTCAATACAGTTCGCTCTACACGCGATGATCTCTTCGTCGGTGCACCAGGTTATCTCGGTAACGAAGATGCTTTCGTGGATGATGAGGCTGATATGCATGATTGGGATGTTGAAGGTGCTGCCGAGGGTAGGCGTGTGCAGATGACTTATACTGTCCCCCGAGAAAAGTTGCGTGTTGTTAATGCTACCGCTGGTGATATGGATACTATCTCCGAGCGGTCCATTAATCGTGCCACTGGGAATCGGAGGGTGAGCACTTAGTTTGGTCGGCGTGTCCTTGATTTTGACCTTTTATTCTTGGCTTGTACTTTTGTATACACATTTGAATGATGATGGTGATGGTGATGACGATAAGAATGAAGATTATACGAATGCTTGGCATGGTGATATCAGGAGAAGGGCACAAGAGGAGCCTGTGCTCACAACGCTCTATTGTGTCTTCGGGGATTCGATCGAGTTATGTCTATGTCCATTTCCGTGCTGTTCTGATAATCCAAATTCTGTACAGACTGGAAAGCCTACGTTCGACCCCTCGCGTGGAATTGAGCCGCGCATTTTGGGAGGGATGTTGCTGTTTTCTGTCGTTTTGATATCCACAGCGTGTTTTGATGTTGCGTTCTGACTATGAACGACTGATGAATCCATGTCCCTGGCGCTTTGTTAGATTGTTTATTAGCTGAGCGAGTTAACAATTGATTCTTGTTTTCTGTTTCTACTTCTTCCCTTTTACTCCAAATCAGTATGTAGATGTATCAACCATATGTAATTCTGCGAGCCAATCTTATCCCTTTGGAACGAGTCAATTCCCAACACTTTTTAGCCTATCTACTTGGCCCTTGCGAGACGGGTCATTATGCAGCACAGTCGATATAAAGTTTGTTGGGCTGAAAAATCTGCCCTCTGTTTAGACTCTCCACTATAGATCTATAGTGGGGCGCACAAATGAACTCATATTTAGATTTGATATTGGCGTCTAGAGTACAGTATATCTAGTCCAAATTATAGGTCAAGAAAGATGTTGAAATCTCATTTTCGCACGTAAACATGTTCTGCAATTCCCGAAACTAGTCGAACCGAGAAATATCTATCAAACTTCGTAGCTCCATGATACATCATCTGAGACAAGACCCCTATGACGTTGGTATAACTTTTCCTTTATATAATTGTTCACTTTTATCCCCACTTAAGAAGAAGGAGCAGTCTTAGGGTCGCTGGCAGGTCTGGTGGGGATAGTGCTAGGAAGCTGCGGGAGCAGGTTCTTCGCGCTCTCACGGGCGTACTGGGCCATGAGGGCATCAATGATAACAAGGGAAGACATAGCCTCGACGATGGGGACGGCACGGGGAGTAACGCAGGGGTCGTGGCGACCCTTGGCCTCGAGGGTACCCTCCTCCAGACCGTAGGAGGCGGTAGTCTGGGCCTGGCCGATGGTAGCGGCAGGCTTGAAAGCAACGCGGAAGTAGATGTTGGCACCGTTGGAGATACCACCCTGGATACCGCCAGAGTTGTTGGTCTTGGTGGTCAGCTTGGGGGCACCAGCTGAAGCCTGCGACACGACGAAGGGGTCGTTGTGGACGGAGCCGGGGACCTCGCAGCCGCCGAAGCCGGAGCCGATCTCGAAGCCCTTGGTGGCGGGGATGCTGAGCATGGCGTGGCCGAGCTTGGCTTCCAGCTTGTCGAAGCAGGGCTCGCCGAGGCCGACGGGGACATTACGGATCACACATGTTACTGTTCCGCCGATGCTGTCGTGGTTGTCGCGGTACTTCTCGATGACCTTGGTCATGCGCTCCGCGGCGGCTTCGTTCGGGCAGCGGGTGGGAGCGAACGAGTCCACGGTCTTGCGGTCGATTGTCTCAATCATCTTGAGGAACTCGGGGTTGGTGGAGGCGGAGGGGTGTTCGGGGGTAGGGGGGAAGAGGTGCTCGTTGCCGACGGAGGAGACGAAGGCGACGATTTCGACATTATGCGACAGGCTGAGATACTTCTCGGCGATGGCGCCGGCAGCGACACGGCCTGGACATTGGTGTTAGTGACATTGGTTGTATGTAGTGTGTGAGTCTGACATACCAATGGTCTCACGGGCACTGCTGCGACCACCACCGCTGCTGGCCTTGACACCGTACTTCTCGAGGTAGGTGAAGTCAGCGTGGCTGGGGCGCGGGAACAGGTCCATTGTGCTGCCACCGTAGTCCTTGGGGCGCTGGTCCTCATTGCGGACCATCATTCCAATTGGTGTGCCCAGAGTGACTCCGAACTCTGTGCCTGACTGAATCTCGACTCGGTCCTTCTCGTCCCGCGGGGTAGTGAGGGCGCTCTGACCGGGACGACGGCGGGTCATCTGGGGCTGGATATCGGCCTCGGTGAGTTCCATGCCAGGAGGGCATCCGTCGACGATACAGCCGACAGAGCGGCAGTGAGACTCGCCATAACTAAGGGGCATTAGCAACTGGTGTTCATTAGGAGAGCGGGGAGACCTGGGAGACCTACGTAGTGACACGGAAATGTTCACCCCACGTCGACATGATGATGTTGATCAAGGGAAAAGAGAAAAGGGATTAGAAGGATATAGCAAATAAAGAGATGCGAAAGGGAAAAGGAGTGATCCGCGGAGGAACCAAGACGAGCTGAGTGTCGATCCCAAAAAAAGCGAACACAATTCGACTCATCTTTCCGATCCGGGACTAGCGCAACCGACTATCGGCCTGGCGCTTCGGGTGATAAACACTCATCCACCGACATGTTTCTGCGCTCGCGGTTGGGCGGCTTGAAATATGCCTGGGTTCGCCATAATCATTCGGTCCCTGATCGATTCACCGAGCTGGTCCGTCGTCCTTCGTCTCTACACCAGATCTACCAATCGCTATCGACGGACCCCTACGTGAACCTCTCCATCGAGCATTTCCTCCTTGAGAATGCCCCGGCAGAATCAAGCATCCTGTTCCTATACGCCAATCGACCCTGTGTAGTCATAGGTCGCAACCAGAACCCGTGGCTCGAGACGGATCTCCGCGCCCTTCACAATGACCGCTGGAACGGCGCGGCCGGAGACGAAGAAGCTGCAATCTTCGTACGGAGACGCTCGGGCGGTGGGGCCGTGTTTCATGACGCAGGTAATCTAAACTACAGCGTCATATCTCCGCGTATATCCTTCACTCGCGATAAACATGCGGAGATGGTGGTGCGCGCACTCCATCGTGTCGGAGCCACCAATACCCGTGTCAATGAGCGACACGATATTGTCATGGCCCGAGCGGAAGGCATGGAAAATGACTCTAATGAGCCTTTGGCCCGTAAAATCTCGGGGTCAGCATTCAAGCTGACTCGACATCGAGCTCTTCATCATGGTACTTGCCTGCTCGATTCCCCGAATATTCATGATCTCGGCCGGTACCTGCGGTCATCAGCGCGTGGTTATATCCAGGCCAAGGGTGTCGAAAGTGTTCGGTCTCCTGTGGGAAATGTTTCGGCTGCTTTTGCCGATTCTTTCTTTTCCATGCAGGGGGTGATTCAAAGTGTAATTGAGGAATTTGCTCGGTTGTACGAGGTTCACCCTGACGCTGTACGACGCGCGCAACGTGCTCATGCTAATGATCCCGAGATCTTCGCTGGAGATGGCTGGGTTGCGGGTACAGTTGGTGAAGTGCAGGGTGAACAGGAGCCTGCCATTGGGAAGGGAATTGACGAATTGCGGGTGAGTAGTCATGCCAAAGATAATCAGAGAACTGGTATTAACATTGAAATAGTCGTTGGATTGGAAGTATACCCAAACGCCACAGTTCACATTCTCGACATACCCCATCGAAGAGGACCCTCGCGAACGGCCACCATTGCCCCCCTCACTTCCTTCAAGTGTAAGTCTACAAGACAAGTCTTCGATTCAAATCTGACCCTAGAACTAGACTCGCGCATTCCTCCGTCTAAAACATGGTGCAGTCATCGAAAGCCACATCTCCGTCTCACCTGACGAGATCGCTGCATCTGACCAAGCCAGTCGCATCCATACATTACTGGACGGACAAAAATTACACGAAATGACTTTGGCGCGGTGGTCCGAGATTCTTCAAGAGGGTCTTGGTGAGACAGAAACAGATGAGGCCCTGGTGAAGGAGCTATCCCAGTTCCTGGGTGGCCTGTTAGGTGGTTAATCATTGTATAGATATACCCATGTACATTACACTCATCCCATGTTCTACACCAAGCGCCAAGTATTGCCTTTCAATTGGTGGATTATATTTTTCCACTTGTGGGATCGCCAGTCCAAGCCCAAGCCCAAGCTGCATTTACTTGTTAATCTCCCCGCGGTACGGCTAAATACATTCACCCCACGCCCCCAAGTCGAACCTAGTTATGCACGTCGTCTGCAAATTGGCTGAATCGGCATTCCGTGCGAAAGCCCAGCTCGACTAGCACCAAGATACTCGATCATATAGAATGCAACCCGTTCATTAATCGGACATCTGCCTATTTGACATACAAGCATCGGAGACTTGTCCGATACAAATCCCTATATAACTCCAGAGATCCAATAACGAACCCAAATTAGCACAATCAGCACAGCAATACACCACCTGACACAAACCAAAACCCCGATAACGATGTCAGTCCACGCCAACGGCCACACCCCACCCCAACCCTTCACAAAAAACCCCTTCAAAACAAAAACAGACCTCCGATCCGCCTGCCACGCAATCCTAAACCCCCTCCTCCCCCTCTTCACCCCAGGCAAAAGTCGCATAAAAATAGGAACATCAACAACCCGCTTCGACGAAGGCGGCGCCCAGATAGAGGGGTATGCGCGCCCACTCTGGGGTTTGGCGTCGCTACTCGCAGGCGGACATGAATCCGAATACCCCGAGGCAGAGCGCTGGCGCCAGGGTCTGATTAACGGGACGGACCCTGAGAGTCCAGAGTTCTGGGGGAAGATTGAGGATTTGGATCAGCGGATGGTTGAGATGTGTCCTATTGGGTTTGCGCTTGCTGTTGCGCCTGATACCTTTTGGGGGCCTTTGACTGAGGGGCAGAGGGGAAATGTTGGGGCTTGGCTGGCTAGTATTAATGCCCGGGAGATGCCGAATACTAACTGGTATGTTCTTCTTTGTTGGGTGTGGTTTCGAATGTGGAGGGATTGCTGATGATTTTAGGTTGTGGTTTCGAGTCTTTGCAAATTTAGGATTGAGGAAGAATGGAGCTGAATATTCTCTTTCCCGGATCGAAGCTGATATGGATCATCTTGATTCATTCCATGTTGGTGGGGGATGGAGTAATGATGGACCTAAGAGTCATCACCAGATGGATTATTACTCAGGTTCATTTGCCATTCAGTTCTTGCAACTTCTTTACTCGAAGTTGGCTGGAGATTTTGATCTGGAGCGTGCTGAACGCTATCGTCAGCGGGCGAAGGAGTTTGCGAAGGATTTCGTGTACTACTTTGATCCTGATGGTATGTTTACTGTGATCCTCGGTCCAATTAGCAGGTACTGACCCCTTCTTCTATCGAATAGGTAGCTCTATCCCCTTTGGCCGCTCAATGACATACCGTTTCGCCATGGTCGGGTTTTGGGGAGCGCTAGGTTTCGCAGACGTCGAGCTCCCAGCACCATTAACCTGGGGTGTCGTGAGAGGAATCCTCCTCCGTCATTTCCGATGGTGGTCGACACAGGAAGACATGTTCAACAATGACGGCACACTCAGCCTCGGATACTCATACGCCAACATGTATCTGACAGAGAACTACAACTCTCCGGGATCGCCATACTGGTGTTGTCTGTCATTCATCCCACTGGCATTACCAGAGACACACCCGTTTTGGTCCGCGAAAGAAGAGCCATATCCCCGCTCCTCTCTTCCAGAAGTGGTAGCCCTCAAATACCCCAAACACATCGCGATCCGCCGTGGCGGACACTCGTTTCTGCTTTCGTCTGGCCAGGCATGCCACTACCCTCTCAAAGCAACGCAGGCCAAGTATGGCAAGTTCGCATACAGTTCTGCATTTGGATACTCTGTTCCAACGGGGGGCTATCAGCTCGAGCAGCACGCGCCGGATAGTATGCTCGCCCTATCCGATGACAGCGGCGATATTTGGCAGACGAGAAGGCTAGCGCTGGATGCACGATTCGAGGAACCTGAAGGGAATAGCATCCCAATCCTGGTATCTAGCTGGAAACCATGGCCAGACGTCGAGGTTGAAACGATTCTCATTCCGCCGACAGCAGAAAATGAGAATTGGCATCTGCGCGCTCATCGCGTGCGCACTGGTCGCGCATTGCAGACTTCCGAGGGTGCATTTGCTATTTATGGATGTCGTAGTGACAACGGACGGATTCTGGGCTCTATGATTGAAGGTGAATCCGAGGGGACGATGCATGAGGACCGGAGCAGCCTGGTGGTTTCATCGGCAGGGGCTGTCGGCATTGTTGAGCTACACTCGGACATTGGACGTGCTGGTCGGATTGTGCTGGCAGATCCAAATTCGAATATTATCCATGGGCGCACACTTTTGCCGTCGCTTACGGTGGACATGGTGCCTGGCCAGGCCTGTTGGTTCGTGTCGGCAATCTGTGCTGTACCCGATCATGGGCGGGATTGGAAGGCGGCCTGGGAGCAAAAGCCGATTATCCCTGGGTGGCTGAGGAAGCGGATGGAGAGTGGGTGAGTAGGCTGATCCTTGTCAATCTCGGTTTGATAGAACAAAGCGTGGACTCGTAGTCACATTTCCTTATTGGGAGACCAGGTTAGCCCTAATTTGGGGGTTCCCCGCATTCCGGGGTAGGCCAACTCTAACTCTCTCACCCTTACATTGTACAAGTAACTATGTAACTCGCTTCTCTCGGCTAAACATCTCCTATTAGCCAATATCGCTTCCCCGTGGGGGTACTTCAACTCATACGACCTTAAAACCTTACCCCACCATTTCTCCGCCTATCTAAAAGCTGCCAGGGAAAGCCAGGGATGTCTTGGACCTTACCCCAGCTCCAAGTACTGGAGAACTTGTGAGCAGATAAGATGCAGCCCGTGCCATCCTGACCTCGGATTCGTGGATGTTTTCTTCCATTCTTGCTCGCGTTGTTTGGCGCCATTGTTCCCGTCTCATAGGTCGCTCGGTGGGTTGGCCAAGATTTTGGGCTTGGGATGACACCCTGACATCGTCTCTTTTCTTTTCTTGATGTTTATATATTTATATCAGTTGCCGACGATATCGTGTATTTAGTCGTCGGTGGTGTCCTGGAAATATCTTCAGTTGGTTGCTTCGCCATACGATACCGACTTGATCTTGCTTGCTCTTCACGATGTCGTGGCTCCTGAAGAAGGTTGTTCATAATGAGGCGATGAAAGAGGATCCCAAGGAGATTTATGGCTGGAGGGTTTTCATGCTTGCTTGCTCGGTTAGTGTCGCAAGTCCTATATACTGATGCCATACTGACGTTTGGGAAGGCCTGTTGTGGAGGAATGCTGTTCGGCATGGACTCTGGTATCATTGGAGGCGTCCTTACCATGCCAGGGTTCAAGAAGTAAGCACTTGTCTATTGTATCTCACATCTATTCATCTAACAATCGTTGTTGCAGAACATACGGATTGCAAGATACTTCACCAGTTGCTCAAGCAAATCTATCAGCCAACATCGTTTCAACCCTCCAAGCAGGATGTTTCTTCGGCGCACTTGGTGCTTCCTGGGTATCCGATAAATTCGGCCGGAAAAGAGCACTTATCGGCGCAGCGATAGTATCCATCCTCGGAATTGTCATGCAAACCGCAGCCAGCGGCCGTCTCGAGGCCATGTACATCGGACGGTAAAACAAACCCGCAGTCAGCAACCATACTCATACTAATATTTTCACCAGACTAGTCACAGGCTTTGGAGTCGGCGCCGCTTCAATGATAAACCCCCTCTATGTCGCCGAGAATGCGCCGCGAGCAATCCGCGGCGGTCTAACAGGTCTATACCAACTCTTCATCACCATGGGCATCATGCTGGCATTCTGGATCAACTACGGTTCGCTCCTCCACATCAAGGGTCCAGCAATGTACCTCGTCCCACTAGCAATGCAAGGCCTCCCAGCAGTCCTTCTTCTCATCGGCATGTCACTGTGTAATGAATCCCCCCGCTGGCTTGCTAGACAAGATAGGTGGGAGGAAGCACGCGCAACACTCTGCAAAGTGCGCAACTTGCCTGCTGAACACCCCTACCTGGAAGAAGAGTTCCAAGCCATTGCCACCCAGCTTGAGCAGGAGCGCGCTCTTGTTGGTGGATCCGGCTTTTGGGATCTCATGAAGGAGATGTGGCTCATTCCTGGAAATAGGAAGCGGGCTATTATTTCTATCATTTTGATGATTTGCCAGCAGATGACTGGTACTAATGCTATTAACTACTACGCGCCTCAGATTTGTAAGTTACTTCTTCTTTTCCTTGTCGCTGATTCAACAGTCCAGCTAACAAACATCTACAGTCGAGAACGTGAGTGTCTATATACTACCACCCCAAATCCCCCAAATCGACACTATAATCTAACCCATCCCAGCTCGGCGTAACAGGAAACGCAACAAACCTCTTCGCAACAGGCGTCTACGGCATCGTGAAAATGATCAGCTGCGGCGTCTTCCTAGTCTTCGTAGCGGACTCCCTGGGCCGGCGTCGCTCCCTCCTCTGGACCTCAATCGCACAGGGTCTAGCAATGCTCTACATCGGGCTCTACGTTCGCATCGCACCACCTGTCGAAGGCGCACCGGTCATTCCAGCCGGCTACGTGGCTCTCGTGTGCATTTTCCTGTTTGCGGCTTTCTTCCAATTCGGATGGGGGCCTGTTTGTTGGATTTATGTTTCCGAGATTCCGACTGCGAGGTTGCGGTCGTTGAATGTTGCTTTTGGGGCTGCTACGCAGTGGTTGTTTAATTTTGTTGTTGCAAGGGCTGTGCCTAATATGTTGGCTACTGTTGGGGATAATGGTTATGGGTGAGCGTTTATTGATCCTGGTTTTTGGTGAGATGGGATTTATGCTGACTTTTGTGGGATTGTAGCACTTATTTGATCTTTGCTTGCTTCTGTTTCTCCATGTGTGTCTTCGTTTGGTTCTTCATTCCTGAGACCAAAGGTTGGTTTGAATCTATGACTAGTGATGTGGATTGTCTTTACTGATTGTGTTATAGGAATGTCTCTTGAGAAGATGGATGAGCTCTTTGGCGTCACTCAGCTCTTTGATAGTAAGACTGCCGATCCGGAGCAGGCCCCTGCTGCAGATGATGTGGGCAAATCGACACAGACGCACGTTGAGAGAGTGGCTTAATGAGTTACCAGCAATTTAGGAAGGATCAAGCCAAGAATGATTGAAGAAGAATTGAATTAATTTGATTCTCTGAAGAGTATTCACATTGGTCATCATTATTTCATAAATATCATCAAAGTAACTCCGAAAAAAATATGTGCGGCGTCCCTCCAAGAGACCGCTTGGTCAATCAATACATGACCACGAAAATGCTCGCCTGCGCTATGAAATCACTTTATCTGCTCGAATCGAGACAGATGACCAGAAATGAAAGAAAAATGGAAAGAAGCCAGTGCTGTGACAAAATATGAGGGTAAAACAAAACAATAATGAAAGATGCAAGAAAGGATAGACAATATCAAAGAAGCAATTTTACCGAATGTAGTTGGGCTGAGCCCGGCCAAGGAGCCCATGCTGGGTCTGGCTGCGAGTCATGCGGCGAGGAGTTGGGTTATCATCCAAGCTCAACCCGCCCATTCCTGAACCCAGTACATTGCGCCGGGGCGAGAACATGGAGCTGTGACCCAAGCTAGGATTGTAACCATACCGAATGTTGCGGTTGGTCATATTTGTACCACTGGTTGTGGCTGTAGCGACAGTCTCGCTGTCTGAATCCTGGTCATAATCAGACGGAGGGTCGCTCATCTTCAAAGACTCCATGGTGAAGCTATGAGGGTTTCGTTTCGGAGTCTGAGCGGAGGAGAAAGAAGGGACAGTCTGAGACGAAGAAAGCCCATAGTTTGGCACAGAAGGTAGTGCTGACGAGAAACTAGAGCTTGGTTCGGTAGTACAAAAGGAAAGCGGAGGCGCGGAGGACTGTGACTCGAACGATCGATGAGTTGGCAATGGGGGACTGCTGACTCGAGATTCCGACGGGGACACGGGTGGCGATCTATTAGAGGGCCATTCGATTGCACCCGGCTGGTTCAGTTGCGGTGTCCCCGACTGCGACGATGCTGGTTCTGATGATGTGTTTCGACTTTCCATCATGGCCGCAGTGTAGAAAGAGCCCACACGCATAGCTTCCTGTATAGCCATGAACATCAAAAGAAGCTTGCCGTAACGATCAAAGTAATCTCGGTCAAACGAAGCAGTCGGGAGATGGGCCCCCATATGGACGGCCGCAACAAGCTCAGTGATGGAAATCAATATTTCCATCCCATTCCACTGCACAAGAGGCCTTTTGACCATGCTTATGAGAGCGAATCCAGCAACAAGACTCGCAGCCCCTAGAGCAGCGATCTCCACGTAGTTTCCGGGAATAAACACCTGGCGGTTTTGAGAAAAGGTCCAGGCGCTGATGAATCCGACCAATAGAACAAGTCGCAGCCATCCATAGAACAGATGTCTCGGTGTCTGAATGCGACTGGCAAAGTTCTTTTGACTTTCCTGGGGCCATCCAGGCCCAGGGACCTCGGATTGGAAATTGAAGGCCCTGTCGAACAGCGTTTCCAGTCCAGTAGAAGTGTCGAGATCCCCTGGAGCGAAGAACTTAGGTGGCTTGAAGACTGGTTCGGCGTCGGCAGACGGTTGTCGGCTTGGAGCTTGCACTTGTGCTTGTGCTTGGGAAGGGATGCGGTGGAACGGGTTAGGCTGTACCACTTGCTCAATAGGCTTTGTTGAAGGCTGAGCGCGAAGCTTCCATGATGGAGCCATTGGAGCCGCTGGAACCTGCCCGTGAAAGGGATGGGGACCATTGAGCACAGATTGCTTGCTCCGCTGTTGGATCGTTGGACGGAGGTTATGGGTAGTAGACGGAGTCCAATCCATGCTATCCTTCTCCATAACAGGAACAATCTCTCGCGGCTTCTCTACGGGTGCCGGAGCTGTGGCCAACGTTTCAATTGGGAAACGTTGACTGACTCCGCCGTTCGCAGTGAAGGCGTTGAGATTGGTGGCTTGGGACGGCACAGCCGGTGACTCAGGCAATTCAGAGGACGACGTGGTGCCTTGAAGTTGAGTTTCCCAGCTATTGTCGGACCAATTGACAAGTGGACGACTAGAATATTGCACGACGTATCGAGAGTACGAAAGTGACTACTGAATTAGCCCAAGGAAAGCAAAGTTGTAGCTGTCAAGGCACTTACCAAAAGAGTGAAAGCCATCATTAGACCATGCAAGGCCGGAGACATACTAGAATCCAAGCCACTAGCAACAGGGTCCTTGAGAACTGCCCAGAATGCACACCGTGCTACCAGAACAATCAGTTGAGCTTGATAGTACTCTGCAAGGCCCTTGAATTTGCCTGGCATCCCGTCTATCTTCAAGCGCAACTTGGGATTCCACCAGAGTGAGAGAGCACCTGCGATCAATGCCAGGCCTGCAGCCGGTGCTAGATCAACCACACAGTTACTGGGAATACGCCACATAGAAAATGTCTGCTTGGTACACTGTGAAAAGGTAGCTGCCAAAGACGATTCTGTGGAAATTGGCGATTCATCGAGGCTCTCCGGTGTCTGGTGGAGTGTCATTGCACTGATCAAATCCCATGCAACCTGACCAGAAATACTGGTCCAGTGTGCAAGCGCACCGGCATAAAGAAGCAAACTCCTCCAGCTCCGGTTCCTGATCTGTCGCGCTTCACGGTTCGCGCGGCTTTGATCCATCATGCGTCTCAGATGATCTGACTTGGCTTCATATCCGGCTCTTCGAATGCGTTCTTTCACGCGAGGTTCGCAGGACTCGCAAATCTGGGGATAGCGGTCCTCGAGGCGTTTGCGAAAGTCTGCATACCCACGTTCGTACTCGGCGTCTGTCGGATCGTCGGATGGAGGAAAGTACGATGCCAATGAGCTTGTAAATAGGTGCTGGTTGCGAGTACACTTGGAGCAAAATAACGGGGACTCTTTCAGATCGGCGGCCTCGGAGGGTTGGCTTGATGTACCAGGCACATCACTGTCGGCGTTGGTGACAGCAGCTGGCGGATCGGTGATTTCGCCTTTCTATATTCATCAAGATGCGGTGTTCAGTATTGATTGAGCAACTTCGGAGGCTAGACACGGAACTAACCTCGTCAAGAAAGTTGTCGGCCTCGCAGTGTTCACAGCGGAAATTGCGAGCAGGCCACTGGGAGGCAGACCGCCGCCCACAATAAAAGCAGGTCAGACGCTTGGTGAATAAAGACGCCATGACATAGTCTGAAAGTGAACGTGAAGTGTGAACGTAAACAAGGGAGAGAGTCGAGATGCCAAAGAGGCTAAGAAAATCAACGGTCGAGCTTGCACGTGCGGGGACGTGTACCGCGACTCCAATTTGGCCCATTCGGTGATTTTGTTTTGTTGTCTTCCATACTTCAATGGGTCATTGTCGCAAGTCGCATTGCTTATTTTCACTCTTTTTGGTCTTCAGGCCGCTTGCTGTCCGATAATGCATTAGCCTCAAGCTCCCGAGCTAGCAGTCCTTACCACAACAACGATGCAGTTCCCTCTTGCATCTGTGTCCTTCTGGGACCTAGCCCTGTGTCTGTCTGTCGCGATAGCTGTATTCGGATCTCTCATTGGTCTCGTGAGTATCCCGCAAGAATACTATTACATTGATCTAACCTAATACTCTCAGGTCATATTCCTTTCCCTTGAAATCGCCCACAACAGCCCTGTACCCAAATGGCGCCCAAGAGGCTCGCCTATCCACCTTCTGCTCGTCCTTGGAAGTGGTGGCCATACAGCTGAAATGTTCTACATGCTCGAGAAAACGTATATGAAGGAGTTCACATATCGGACGTACGTCGTGAGCTCCGGAGATAACTTCAGCGCTGGCAAGGCCAAGGCGTTCGAGACGCAGAGAGCTTGTCCGGACGACAACTACAACATTGTGACAGTGCCTCGGGCCCGAAGAGTTCATCAATCATACCTGACAGCACCTTTCACCACGCTCCAATGCTTCTGGGCTTGTCTTAATGTCCTCTGTGGGCTTCATCCAGACCAGCGACTCCCCAAACAATACGTCACGCCTTACCCTGACTTGATTCTGACAAACGGTCCAGCTACAGCTGTTTGTATGGCCCTAGCGGCGAAGCTCATCCGCCTTTTTCAGTATGTATCTGGCTTCAACTCCTTGTTGCGAAGCTCCGCAACACCGCGTGCGTCCCGGCTGCGCATCATTCATTTTGAATCTTGGGCTCGGGTCAAGAAATTGAGTATGTCTGGCGTCCTTCTCTTGCCACTGGCCGACACGTTCCTTGTTCAATGGCCAGCTCTAGGAGGGCTGCGAGCCTGGTGGGGAATGAAGAGAACCAAATACGCAGGGTGGCTTGTGATTTAGGGTCCGCTTCATCATCTTGATGCCTGTAATGTCTCTCTCCTTACTTACTTTAAATGCAAAGTCTGTATGAACAACCATGTCTACCCTATAAATTGTACAAGCAGAATTGAGCTCCGCAACGGTTTTCTCTCCACATACCGAGCGTAGAGAAATTGTGCACTGTTTTCTACAAATCTATGGCTCTGAATGATGGCTAATTTGCATAAATCTATTAGAATAATATGTGTTGTATGTGTAGAATTGAAGATGAATGTATTGAGAAATCTAGCCAATCAATATCCTTATGTCCAAAGTGAAAACAGAGCCGATTGTTAGAAACCGAATCGTGAGTGATACCTCGCAGAGTGCGTCGCGCATGAGCTTCTGCTGTTTCGTAAGCGTCGTTGTAGTCGAGTTCATAGCCAGGGCCCTAGAGGACAGGCAACGATATGTACCATGCGTAGCCGCAGTGGTGGTTGTAGTCAGTTATGATGGCTTCTCTTTGCTGAATCATGTTAATTGCGGTCTGAATTAGCTCTTTATCACTAAGGAAGAGCATCTAATTCGTCAAACTGTGCATTAACATATTGGGTCTTTGCGCATAGATTGATCAGACGATAGTTTTCGAGGCAAATCTGTCCGTCACGGATGAATGTGCGTCTTTGGCTGCACTGCTTCGGGGCCATTTCAATCATGTCGTTGGAAAACATTCTGATGGCTTAGTTATAGATGAAAAATATGGTAGGTATCTTACTATGTTTGCTGTACCGAGTTAGCTTGCTACAAGTTGATGGTAGTTATTGACTGTTGGTGGTTGTCTGGGTTGTCGGGGTTGTTGATGATATATTGATACAGGGCAAAGAAGTTGCTCAAATACTTCGAGGACTTAAAGGATGAATGGCAATGTCACTTCAATCTAGTTTGACCAGCTCCTTTATGAACAAAGGTCTTTTGTAAAATTGCATTGTGACATAGAGTTGCATATAGACAGGATAATATCTGGCAAGTCTTGGCTTCTGCTTTCGGTTTCAGTGCTTACCTGTTGCCGCTTTTTGCTCACCGAGTAATACTGACCACGCCCTGAGTATCACCTGAATCATTTAATAAGCTGGATGCCACGCCCACTAAGCAGTCTGATCCAGCTTTACCGCGTTTATTTTTCAGACACCCATATCGCTGCGCGGAGCTGTTGTTATTCGAAGATATATATCTCTCCCGATCGAGCTTATTGCAAGCGGATATCTTCCTACTCTAGTATACAGCACTTACGTTCTGAAGTGCCTTCAAATTATAAGCACTGAATAACTAAAACTAGTAGAAATTCGTGGGCATACCCAGTACATTCTCGAACCATTGGTCATTCCCCAAATCCATAGACTGCATCCAGACCATCTGATCTAGATCAGGGATATGGTTACTGTGACCTTCACTCTGACACGGCCTGGTATCACCGTTCTGCATCGGAGAAGACAGGTTCCACCGATATTCAGCCCAAACCCGGCATCTGGATAAAAGTTTGGATAGAAACTTCAGGAGATGGTCACTGCTGCACTGAAGCTCCGGCTCCTTACTGCTCATATCGAGCTTGTTAAGCATGGAATCCATCGTCGATATGAGGTTAACTCTGTTTCGTACCGCTTGGAAATCCCAATCTGGGTCTTTAAGTGTTGAAAGATATTTCAAGAGTGTGATACTCAGAATCATCTGTGACCAAAAATGAAAGGGTTGACCGACAAGCTTTGAGGAAGGAATTTCATAAAAGTTGTCCAGCCACGATTTGATGTTCTCGACGGACTGCCATAAACAATGGAGGCGTTCAAATCCCAGTAGAATCCCGCCGTCACCCCGTCTTCCAGCTAGATCTAGAGGAGGCGCATCTTGACTGACTGAATACGCTAGCTGATTGATGTATAATTCGACGTATTGCGCATGTGTGTTGAGAATATCTGCATGTCAAGCCCGGGGTTCACCCCAGGTCAAGGTATTAGCCATCTTGTAGTAGAGGCAAATTACAACATTGTTCACCCGAGAAATGACTTACCAATCTGTTGGAGATCTGCACGAAATGAAGACTTTAACTCATGCAGCTGCCTTCGTAAAGTCTTCAGATACAATATGCGAGGAGCTGAGGCTGCAGAAGCCATTCCTGTGCGAGTGCAATTTGTCTCGTCCTGCTGTCGGACGTCGTTGGCTCTCTGCTTCAACAGTTGCAAGCGTACTTGGGCGACAAATAATTCATCGGCGGCGCATGCCTTGCTTATTGTGATAAATTGAAGTGCCTCTTCCATCTGTGAAGTCCATCGTATAGCATCTTGACGCCCAAGATGTGACGAAACACTACAGAGCCATGTGTCAGTATGGATTGCTCCTTGGATTTACCAGAGTTTTTAAGTTTGACAGAAGGTAAGGAGGGTTATACGCACTTCGAGCTCAAAATAAAACATGCCAGTACTGCCCGCTGCCTTTCCAATAAGTCATAGGGTGTTTCGTCGCCGGGGATGTGACCCTCTTCATCCCGCCCCTGGGTAATAGTCATCATGACTTGCACATCTGGCGAGGATGGCTTAAACAACCGCAGATCGTATATCATTGAGATGGCGAGCATCATGAGACGAGAGATCAGATCTGCCCTGCCGAGAAAGGCGTCGGTACTCCATGCTAGATAAGTTAGTAGTCCAAGCAGCAGATCGATATTTGACTCGACTTTGATGAAAGCAGATGTGAACAGAAGACGCTTCAGTTCCTCAGATTGAACAAATCTTTCCTGTGTCGAGAAAGTGGTAACGGTGTGAATGGCTTGGAGCAAGAATGGCCTGTTTTGACGCAGATACCAGCTCGTCATATCTGGGGTAAGGTTGAGAAAAGGGAAAGATGGCAGCATGCGAGATCGGAAGAAATTGAGCCGCTCGTCTGGTTGATTTGCCGATGGAATAGAAGGCGACAGAGAATAAGGATTAGACACAAACAGCGGATTTGAATTTGACGTTACGGTGTTCATCGATTTCGCCGAAAAAGCAGGCCCCTCATTGAAGCCCAGAGTCGTGCTCGTGGGGGTTATCAGAGCGCTATTTGAGTAAGAGGTGGCTGACGAAATGCTGTCTCCTTGGAGGGAAGGGGTCTGCAGAATGTTGATTGAAGACCCAGAACCCCCTGGAGTACCGATAAAAGCTGTCATTGCAGAAAGCAAGCTCTCCATCTTGTCTTCTAGCCGAGCGATGCGCGTATCGGACACATCGGCTGGGTTTGTTGAAGTGTTACGCTTGCGAACCGACTCTGATGCCTCACACCTTTTGCCAAGGCGAACACATCTAGGAAAAAAATGAGCTTAATGTCAAACATCATCAAATATTCTATATCAACAACCTTTCGCAATTGTCGCCATTTGCAGTACGCACACACCGGCACTTTGCCTTGTAGCAAGGGGTGCAGGCCTGGCCATAGGTGCTGCTTGAGCTGGGGGTTGGTTTCGATCTCTCCATAGTCATAGTGATTGGTAGGGCAGGCTATGCTGAATGCTCAGGATATCTCTGTCGATTGTAGGTGCCCAGGTGGGGGGCTGCAGATACACCTCTTTGTTCTTTGCTTATGGAACGGAGGCCGCCCCGGGGCCGCCGGGTTTACTGATCCGTATCATGTCATTTCGTCTTTATGGGTATATACATGTAATTACATATATCCCACCCATTTATGTATTTGGATATGCTGTAATGATGACCCTGTTACACCGTATAAAACCCTTGCAAGAGATCTTCGGATTTGCCCCTCCGAACTCCGTTTATGACATTGTCTACCTACATTCGGTATATGTATCAATAAAATTCATCTCATCGTATCTTCACTTGGCTTCGTGATTTTTCAAACTACTCAACGCACAAAAGACCCCGGTCCCGATGGCAGGTATAGCGGACTTGGGATCAGAATCTTTGCCGCTTCAAATCATTGAACCCGAAGAATAGGTGGTAAGGTTATCACACAATCATCAATACTATTGGAACATGTGCTAAATAATCAAACATCAATAGGTAAATTGAAAGAAGCAGGTTCAAAAACCGAGATGTCCACTGAAACAACTATAGTAGGTTCTATCTAAAGTCCCCCCTTTCATTTTGTCTACCCTTTTGTATATTGTATTCTTAGGGTCGGTAAAGAATCTCGCGCTAAACTGTGGGTGACTTGCAACTCTCCTAATACTTGGAGCAGATGCTGGACCCCATCGTACTTTTGGTTATGACAGCTGAGAGCGGTGAGGATGAGTAGTAGACAAGGCATCAGTTTCAGGCATTCAAAGTCTTCACTTTTAGACGGGTGGATTCACCGCCTTGTGTTCCTCCAGATTCCAAGGATATCGACGGCAGAAGAAAGATTATCCAGGAACTGACTTGCTTTTAAGCTGCACATGATCTGACATTGCCTGGCCTTACCTGCAGGCCTGGGCTTATTCAGAAAATCCAGCTATCCATGCCCTCGCAACGATGAACCTTTCACTCGTCGACCCATTTGTCCTGGCCCAGGAATACCCGGATACATTGACCGAAAAGCTGAGTATGTGTGTTGACTTTGTTCAGTGAACAATACTTATATGTTCACTAGGCAGCGGCCATGCGACATGTCTCAGCTTCAACAACAAGGGCGATTACCTTGCCTCCGGACGAGTTCGTGACACAATGAAGACTACAAGGAGGAAGCTAAGACTTGTTATAGGTGGACGGCACAGTGGTGATCTTCGACATTGAAACCAATGGTGTGGCGCGCAAACTGCAAGGCCATACACGACAGATCCAGTCTCTCAGGCAAGTCCATAAGTATACTGGAATGAGCCAGGCTAACTCAGATCCAGCTGGTCTCGCGACGGTCGATACCTCCTCACCTCCTCACAAGACTGGAAATGTATTCTATGGGATCTCCAAGATGGCTCACGAGTCCGTACAGTACGATTCGAAGCACCGGTCTATATTGCCCAACTACACCCATTTAACCAGTACGCCTTCAACCCACCACGCTACTACCGCAAACTAACAAGATTATAGCCTCCTCTTTGTCGCCTCCCTCTTCGAAGATCAACCTGTCCTAGTGGACGTCTCCTCCCCAAAACCAATCAAGCGCATCCTCCCCAGCGCCCCGCTCCGACCCCAACCAACAAACGGCGAAGAAGTCGACCCAGCAGTAGCAGCCAAGCAAGCAGCCCAAGACGCAAAGCACTCAACCTGCGTGACAATCTTCACGGCCTTCGGAAACCACATAATAGCAGGAACATCCAAAGGCTGGATAAACATAATCGAAACGCAAACCTGCACAACAATCCACTCAATGCGCCTCTGCAACGGCGTAGTAATCCTCCTCCGACTCGCTAGCAACGGCCGCGACCTGCTAGTCAACAGCTCAGACCGAGTAATCCGCACAGTCCTCATGCCAGACCTCTCCCAACTAGGAATCGACCTAGAAGCATCCGCGATAAAACTACACGTGGAACACAAATTCCAAGACGTGGTCAACCGCTTAAGCTGGAACCACGTAACATTCTCGTCGACGGGCGAATTCGTCACAGCAACGACCTTCATGAACCCAGACATCTACGTCTGGGAGCGGAGCCACGGGTCCCTGGTCAAGATCCTGGAAGGGCCACGCGAAGAATTAGGCGTCGTGGAATGGCACCCATCAAGACCAATGGTCGTCGCCTGCGGACTAGAAACAGGCTGCATATATACATGGTCAATCGTCTCACCGCAGAAATGGTCAGCCCTGGCACCAGATTTCGGCGAGGTAGAAGAGAATGTGGAATACATGGAAGCAGAGGATGAATTCGACGTTCATCCAGCTGAACAGGTCCACCAGCGACGATTAGATCAGGAGGATGAAGAGCCAGACGTTGTGACTATCGATTCGGTAAAAGGTGATGTCGAAGCTGACGGCGTAGAGCCGTTCAATGTGCCTATCCTGCTTGATGTTGAAGATAGTGATAGTGGCGAGGACGTTATTGCCGTTGGACCTGGAACTATGAGGAGGCGGACGCCTGGTGCTGGGCGGGAGGGGGTGAATGGGACTGCAAATGGGGATGTTGAGAAGGAGGGTGCTAGCGGGAGGGCTGCCAGGAGTCGGCGGCGATGATGTTCTCTATCTGTCTGGTTTCTTTATTTTTTCTTTTGTCTTTGCATTGAGGTTTTGGCTGGGGCTATTCAAAATTTTGCATAGGCGGCGTTTTTAGGCTCAGTTTGGATTTTATTGCTGTTAGGCGTTGGAGGATTTCTCTACTATGATTCTTGATTTCAATGAAATGGACGGATATTTAAATATTTCTAGTTGGGTCTCGATGTATATACTCGATGGTTGGAATGTGTATGTCCTGAACAAGATGTTGAACGCAACCGGGGAGGTGCACACTGGATATATCTGAGACCACAATATATCTACCTTAGGGGTCAAAATATAGATTCCGAATCTAAACATCGTAGGAGGATCTCAGACATATCCATGCAGAGCTCAACCAATCCTAAGTAATACATAGGTACAAATAACGAAGTTATAAATACCCGAAAGGGTTGATATCAGAATCTATGGTAGCAAATCAGAAGACTGAGAATACAAGAAAATCGATTCCAAAAAGCGATGACGACCCATCTGGCGAGCAAACCGAAACATCAGAGACTAACTAAAAGGGTAATCTGGGTATATATCATAAGCCGAAAATCAAGCCTACCCTACCTTCATGGGTAGGCTAGGGGATTCGGCAGACAACCAAACGCCAAGAGATGCAAAGACCAGCATGCAAGAATAGAAGAACAAAGGAAGTACTTAAGAGTGCAAGGTCATGCCCGAGTCGACTGGAACCGTCGGGGCGTGGGGTGTGGGCATGGAAAGCAATCCCATACATCGTGTCATCAATAATCACCAATCCTCCCTGGGACGTTGAGACAGCCTGAGACCATCTCAATTCCAAAATCAAATCGTAGCCTGTTCTGTCGGCTGGATCCAAACGCCAATATTTTTGACAGAGGGGTTTCTCTGTATAGACCGAAATCATACATCTTCCGTTCGCCTTGCAAGCGGTGGCTGGGCAACGTCTAATGACATCACCTGCAACAGAACCACGTGCAACATGAGTATACACACTCTGGGCCAGCCAAAGTCCAAGCCGGCTGGTCTAGTCAAGACCACGAAGCCGGTTCAGGTAGTCGACTGCCAACAGCCGACTATCATGCCGATATATCTGCAATGCGAAACACAACTCAAGGCACAACTGGTTTTCTCGCCTGGTAAATGTGCAAAATATTATAGCTGTGAATATTCTTGTCAAAAGCATCCCGCTTGACATTGGCGGCGAGTAGATCAATCTTTTCCTTGGAATACCCCAAAACCCGACTGAAAGGCGCCAAGCTGAGAGGCTGGACGCTTTCCGAGATGGCAAGGTTATACCAACGTGCAACCTTCTGCTCATGTTCATCGTTGTGCCATGGGTTCAAGGGTAAGCCGACCTGCTGGTGGTCGATCTCGGTGAAACCCGCTTCCTGTAGATTGCGGATGGTCTCTTGTGAGCTGTGTGCCAGGGGACGCTGCGTGGCTTCGGTAGCCTCCTTCAACTTGTTGTACCAGTGCGCGAGATGTGTATCGTTGATAGAAGGGCCGTCGCAGCGTGGCTTGAAATCAATCTCTACTTGTTCGAACCAGGCCCCTGGTCGAAGGTGGTCGAATACTCTTCTATAGAGACTAGGCCAGCTCGCAACACTCCCACATCCCATCTGCATGTGAATGATATCCCAGGAATCCTCACCCATAGTCCAGGGAGCCTCAAAGTCGAACGGGGCATAGAAATCGCAATTCTTCGGGAAATTGGTGGGCTGGATAGGAGCAATGTCGACTCCAACAACAAATGAGTCAGGGTACTTGTTGGCGACATCGATGCTCCAGATACCAGTGCCACAGCCCAGGTCAAGCACCCTGGACTGTTTCGGGAATGGTGCGTAGATCAAGCCATCCGAAGCTCGGGCCACGGTCACCACTTTGTGGACGATATCGAGCCGGTCCTGTTCCTCGTCATCGCACGGTAGCGGGTAGATCCCTTTGCGGTATCCATGATAGCTCCGACCGTTCTCCTTGTGGCTGGGGTATTTTTCAGGGATCCTGTCACGAGGTCAGTCATCAGCCACCACCACACTGCCATTGACAAGAGTAACGTACAGGCGATTCGAGATCACCACAGGGGATGAACGAGACTGCTGCGACGTATTGGATGTCACCGAAGCCTGTGTCGCAACCGAGCCATTACTGGTAAAGCGAAAGTTCCTGCGCGGGTCATTTTCGACGGGGTCCCGATCGACCAAGGTATACAGATCCATAGCTGTAGACGTTTGCCGAGAACGGGCTCGCTCACTCGGGACAGAGTGCGAATAATAGCGACCGTGGCCTGTGTCGCTGGGAGTATCAGACTTGTATCTCTTGGGCGGAGGCGGCGAGGTCATCATGGGCGGCAGGTGTCGCATTTGGGCGTCCCCTTTCATATACATAGTTTTGGGGTCACGGTCAGGGGTTGGGAGTAATCGGGGGTCTCTTCTGTAGGCCATGGCAGATATCTGCGATCAATGATCGCGCAAGATATCTGGGAAAGTTGTAAGGCAGCGAGCGATCATCTCATGAAATGAGGTCGGGGTGTCGAGGCCGAGGTCGACAAGCGAGTTCAACTGAAGAACTGTCGATGGTGGAGATGCAATGGTCGGTGGGAATGGAGAAAGTTCCATACGTGGGAGACGGGAGGGGTTGAGAGAGGCTGGGGAGGTCGAGGTGAAGCAGTTCCCCGGAGGTGGGGGGTGGGGAGCCAACAAGACAGGAAAGAGGGAGGGGAGATGAAGAGAGAGAAGAGGTGACGAGAAAAAAGAGGAGAGGAGAAGGGGCAAGTACAAAGTACGCAAAGTCATGGGTAAAAGGTATGTATCAGTTATCTTACCAGAGTGTCGGGCCCCAGGGATGGCAATTCCCAGTTCTGAGGATAACCAGGCTAAACCAGTCAGCTACCAGCAAAACCAAGTTAAGTTAAAGCCCAAAAACCGACGTGTTTCCGGGTTTTGGGTCGGGCGCGGACCGTCTGGGCTCTCCACGTCTTAGCGTCAAGTCACTCCAACCAGTCGGTATTCAGTACAGGTGTACAGAGTAGTCAATTCTCATATGCTCATCTATATACTTGCGCAATAATTATACCTTGTTTAGAGTATAATTCAGCATATAACTGACTCCGTGGTATAAGATGGAGACTGTACGTTCAAGACAACTAAAGCAAATCGGGACTGCACTGATTTAGCGGCCCCAGGATCCTGGTTCCACCCGAAGCCGTCGGGGAATCATTGGTAACTGAAAGCCCAAGTCCTCGTTTGCTCGCTCTTTTTCATTCGTCCCAATTTGATGGGCTCACCCTCGGACTCCGGCCGCTCCCTTACTTTTCTCTCCACTGGGGCCCGGGCTTTGCTGATCGTTTACTCGTCATTTCCATACTGCAGTACTAGTGTTAGGGTATTATATGTGTCTAACTTGTCTGTCTGTCTTTCTGCTAACCCTCGGATACACCCTAACAAACCCAGACTAAGCTAAACCTAAATACAAATCGCACTCATATACTCTCACACTTACAGTCTTACAGTACTGTATACGGTGTATGCACGTATACGGAAGTAGTCTCCAGCCCCATCATTTCTTGGCACACAACCCTTCAAATCTGCGCCTCGCATCAGCCACACCCCAACCAGTCATGCATAACCTTCAAGCCGTTGCCTCTTCGTCGCTATCCCTGCCGGCGGATAGCTACATTTACGGTCTCACCGCAGCAGGCCCAGGCACCTTTGCTGCCATCTCCTCGGATGATTCGCTGCGTGTGTTTGACGCCGCCGATCTCAACCGCGGGGCTGTCGTCTCATCGCATACCCACGATGGTGTGACGTCGCTGCGGAGCTATGTGGGCGAGTCGCAGCTACTGGTGACAGGCGGCCGAGATGGTAAGGTCAGGATTTGGGATGTCCGGGCTGGTGGGCCAGTCGTGGAGATGGAGACGAGTGAGTTTATATTTTTTTGTCTCAGTTCTATTTCTATTCACAGTACAATGGTATACCCCAGTTGCATGGTTTCAATTCTGTCTCTATTCATACTTCGGGTACCTTTGAGTATTTGTCGGAGAATTTCCGCAAGGATGTTCCCGTCTCGATTGAGTTTTGACGCTCTATCAGATGCATCTTGACTAATGCATGTCTAGCGAAACAATCACCTGTGCTGTCTGTAGCCTGCAATCCCGAGACCAATACCGTTGTTGCGGGGACCGAGCTTGTCTCTTCACAGGCTGTTGTTGAATTCTGGTATGTTTCTTACTTGTCCTATCTAGATATTGATACTAACTCCAACAGGGACATCCGATCTCCCAAGGAGTTCAGCTTGCAATACGTGGAAAGTCACAACGATGATATCACCGAGGTAAGTCATCCTATCACGATCACTACCCCTACTACTACAATGCAAACCAGAAACACCCGGGACTAACGTTCCACAGCTCCAATACCACCCGACACGCAGCAATATCTTACTCTCCGGCAGCACAGACGGCCTAGTAAACATCTACAACACAAATATAACCGACGAAGACGAAGCCCTCGTGCAAGTAATCAACCACGGCTCCGTACATCATGCAGGCTTCCTCTCGGAACGCGAGATCTTCGCCCTGAGCCACGACGAGCTCTTCTCCGTGCACCCGGCCACAGACCCAGACGATGACGCGCAGATGCCCGACCCCGTACAGTTCGGTGACATTCGCGAGAAGCTAGCTTGTGAGTATGTCGCGCAGCTATGCATCGGTGGTCAGGGGGCGTTTATTGCTGCTGGTAACAAGATGTATGTATTGCATAATTCGTTCCGTCTAGATCCAGACCCTCTCGCCTCGCACAGCGGATCGTGTTTGTGTTTCCGTCTTTTTTTTTCTAATAGTCATTCTTTTACAGGGACCACCGCCTCGATCTCGTCCCACTCGTTTCCGGTCCCGAGTGGAAATTCGACCAGGAGAATCTGTGGCGTCTACCCGGTGCTCATGGCGAGGAAGTTGTGCGCTCGGTGTGTTTGGATGAACAGGTATGTCTCTGTTCCACTCTGCTTCCCATTCCCTGTTCCCTGTTCAAATGCTATCTGCTTCTTAATTTCCAATCCACCCACATGGACATCCACATCTTCACGCATTCTATATATCCCATTTGAGACAGTCACTAACCACCTCGCTACAGAGTCAATCCGTCTTCACATGTGGCGAAGATGGGTTCGTGCGAGCATGGAAGCTCGGCGAAGAAGGTGCTTCAGTCCAGGCTGGGTCTGCGAGGTCCCGGCCAAAGAAGGAGAAGAAGGATCGCTTTAAGCCGTACTAGGTACTAGCTGAATGTAATACATTTGATTCTGTCGTATCTGGTGGCTTTGGGTAAAAATAGCTACATGAAAATATTAAATTCTTTATAATTCGAAATACTTTAAGAAAAGATGTCTAGGTACGCGGTGTGTGTCAAGATATATTCGGGTGAAGCTGGATAAGTTCCTGACCAACTTTGCAAATTTGGCAAACTGATTAGTTAGCCTTCGTCACAAGACATACTGTTGAAATAGATATCTACTGAATTGGGATGCATCAATGTCAAGGCCAACGAGATTCTTTAAGTCTGTTCTTTCTCTGTATGAGTGTAAGACCCTATATAAATGAGAACTCTTCTCCTGAACCATACTCTACGTGGTAGGTCTAATGCTGATCACTAGATTCATGCCTGATATGTCAGGTATCTAGCCTGGATGTGCCATGAATCTCAACACATATCCCTAAATAAAAAATAAATAGAAGGAAGGAAAAGAAACCGTCAAGTAGCCCTGATAGAAATTAGTTAAGTTCGGATGTTGGCCTTGATGCCTGAACCCTTATCGAACTTTTCTTATCCAACTTTTTTTTCATCCAGGCACTCCCTTCCACCACCCTCTTTACTATATACCCGAGTCGACCAAACCACCTAAGACTCACACCCCTCCCAACAAAGCGAACCAGCGCAATATCTCGGCGCCGTTTCTCCCTTCAACCTAAGTCCAACCTCCCAACACCTCACCGCATCACCCCCAATCAAACCACCACTCTCGCCCTCACCATACCAAAATGGACGCCCAAGCCTACCTCATGCGCCACGGCTGGGGAGGACCCGGAAACCCACTCCAACCAAACACAAGACCAGGACCACACGGCGGCCTAGGCCTAACACGGCCAATCCTAGTAGCCCGCAAAGCCAACAATCACGGCGTAGGCAAGAAAACAACCAAAGACCCAACAAATCAATGGTGGCTACGCGGCTTCGAAGACGCACTCAAGGGCGTCGGTGATGAAAGCCACGAGGGAGTTTCCGCGCGCGCAGGAAACGCACTTACCAGTGAGCTTTATCGTAATTTTGTGCGTGGGGATGGATTGGCTGGGACGTTGAATTCCAAGGATGGAGAGAAAACAGAGGCGGGGACTGGGGAGAAGAGGAAGACAGGGGACGAGGAGAAGGCCAAAGAGACGAAGGAGGAGAGGAGGGCGAGGAAGGCAGCTAAGAAGGAGAGGAAGGAGAAGAGGGCTGTTGCGCGTGTTGCGAAGAAGGAGAGGAAAGATAAGAGGGCTGTTGCTAGGACTGAGAGGAGGAAAAAGAAGGAGGAGAAGAGGGCTGCTAGGAAGGCTAAGGAGAAGGATGTTGCTGGTGGGGAGGATTATCCTACGCCTATGTCTATTGATTCTGGGTCTGGATCTGGATCTGAGAAGACCGAGGCGGAAGCAGAGACTGTTTCTGCGATAAAGGAGAAGAAAGTGAAGAAGGCGAAGAGCGACGACGGCTCGAAAAAATCCAAAAAGGACAAGAAGGCGAAGAAGTCGGAGTCCAAGGCATGATCTGATCATACTGTAAACCCTATTATCATTGCATCTCAGGGTCCATGCATTCAAAGGCCATGTATAAAACATTCGCATGCTATTTTCTACGCCATATAGAAACCAAGATACCCTTTTGTTTGGCGAGCGGCGAGTATGACCTGAAACAACACTGCATTTACTTTCGCAATAGACCTACTTAGGTGCTGTATATAGTTTAATCTAAACCGGCAATTTCCCAGGATTACCCGAAAGAATCCAAGGCCTCCTCTCCCAAAACTCATCCTTGATAATATCAACGTGATCAACAACGACCTCGGCCTTCCTCCGCAATTTCTTGATCTTATCCTGCTGAGACCTGGACTGCGTCTGCACTGTGAGGGGGGTGTCATTGTCCACGGGTGATTGAGTAGATGTAGGTTCTTCAAGTTCGAACTGGTATAGATGTTAGCATGTACCGCAAGGTATATATAGTGTAGTGTATGTTGAGCTCATACCTTGCGATAGACAACACTGCCCTTTTTATAAATCTCTTCTTCATTATTGTAGTTAATTCCGAAGCGCCCGAACAGGATTTCGTTTTTGTCTGCTGATACCGTGCCCTAGAGTATAGCAAGTCAGTATATGGCTGTAGTGGGACTGTGACAGTCAAGGCAGACGAGGGGATACCTTTAACTCTAGTTCCGCATCTGTGTTGTTCATTCCACCCTGGAGAACCATAGTCCAGAAGGTAGTATTGTAGAGGTTATTGATATGACCTATATACTGCGATTAGCAAGGTTCATACCGGAATATGGCTGGACGTAAGTCACTCGCGCTGGAAGAATTTAACTCACAATCAACCTGTCTCCAACTCATATAATCGCGCAAAATCCGACTATTCGGATAGATAACAGCACGACCATCAAAAGAAGGTAAATACGGAGGCTGCAAAGGCGTAGCAGGGAAAAACTCGTTCCACTTGAAGATGTAGTGTGCAGTGAACGTAGAGACGATGGTTGTTACCAGTTTCCTGAGGAGACAATTAATAACTGTCCTGCCATCGAGACTGAATAGTCACTGATTCAGAGTGAAGGAGGACTACTCACCCGTTTCGTCGTTCGAAGAGTTGGCAATTGGGATGGAAGACAAAGCTAAGCCATTTGGTGAGTAAAGATAGTGAAGATTATACTTTGATGAAGTAGTCTTGGACGAGGGTAACATACCTGAACTCGTCACTTACTCCATAGCCAATACATAGATCTGGGAGTTCTTTCATGACCTCGACGGCTGCAGCATTCATCAGGTCGAGTGCGCGGCGGTCATTTGGTTTCTTGAAGGCATAGTGATCGGAGAGCCTGGTAAAGTCAGATTGGCTCAGAGTAGACATGTTCGAACCGAGCATGTATTGCGAGATCCATGCAAATGAGAGATATGGAAATGTTTCTCTTCTTTACGTAGAGCGTCGAGCTTAGAATAAGCATCGAGTGCGGGAGACTCACTTGTGAAATCCTCGTCCATCAATGCGGACCACAATCCACGTATTGGGGAGCAGCACATCTGGCTGCTCGAAGGACTTGACGTATTCAAATCTGTTTAATTTTTAATATTTATATTTATCCAGGAGTTTCGTTTTTTTTCTTTTACCTTGAGTTCGCCATGGTTGATTGGGTGAAGTCTGAGATAGAAGTTCAGAGTCAATTTGTGCAATTTCTGCCCGCCCGCTCTGCCCAATTCAACCAGTGTTTGAGATAGCCCTACTTGACGGTGTAATTGTTGTAAATACACGCTTAACCATTCAAACTCATGGCGAAATTTCTACAGGTTACAAACTGGGAAATATTATAGACATGGCTATGAACCAAGGAAAACCGTTTGGGTGTATAATACTCAGAATGTAAGAAATAAACAGTGGACAGGACGCTGGCTCATAGAACTTGAATCACAATGCTTCGACCTCCTCCGGGATCTCCTCATCACCAGTCTCACTAGCGCGCTCGCTAGTCTCGCTGGCCTTGTCAGATCTGCGGGACTTGCGAGAGAAGAAACCCAGACTGCTGCGGGCCGAGCGGTCAGCAGAGGGCACACTCGAGACAGTGCTATCGATGCTCTTGCCGAGCTGAGCCTCGCTAGCCGCGTCTTCGTCGATATCACCCTGCGCAGAGTCGGCCTTCTTGGAGAAGAGCCCTGAGCGATCTTTCCAAGAGCTGAACTTGCTGGAACTACCCTTGCGCGTGATCTTGCGGATGAATGACTCCTTGGACCCGTTGTCGACGGAAGCTCCCGAATGCATGCGCTCCAAAGACTCGTATGATTCACCGGTGAAGTGTGAGAGGGAGCGAGATGTGCGAGGCTCGGAAGGAGAGCGATCAAACTCGTTGAAGCTGAATGGGCTGTCAGGGGCCTTCGGATTTTTCTGTTCGTTGGGATTCTCGCCCGCGAACACTGCAGTGAACGCTGGAGCAGCAGGGTTCAGCTTTGGTGTAAGTGGCCGATGGGAGGACGAAGGACGAGTGCCAATAGGCGCCTGAAGTGGTCGGTGGTGACGTTCAAAGGTGTCTTCCACAAAGTCAGGTTCACCAGTCAAGCCCAATGGGAGATGACCTGACGATCCATATTGGATTGAAGGTCGCCGAGAAGGAGCACGAGACCAGGTTGATGGCGACGCCCAGTCGAAACCAAGGGGGCTGTTGCGGTGTCCAGTGTTCTCGGTTGAGGGCCATCCGAAATGGCGGTTATCAGTAGAAGGATGAGGGAACTGACTCTGGTTGTCGAAGGAGACAGACGAGGGTCTTGGGGACAAGGATCCCCGTCGAACACCGCCGAGAAGCGAAGACGGATCAATAGGATCATGGCGAGGACTGAACTGATTATACCCAGTGCTGAGATCAGAGTTCCCACGGGTGCCAGCACCGCCAAAGCCAAACTTGCTGGATGAGAAGATGCTCGAGAAAGCAGCTCGCCGAGAAGGCGCATGATCAGATGAACTGTCCATAGTAACGCCAGTGGTGTTGCTTCGAGGGAACAACGACATTGGGTTTGCCCAATTTCCAGTATAGCTCGATCTGCGTCGCCGTGAACCAATTGGGTCCAGCTCGTCGACGTTGCGAGGGAAGGATTGACTTTGACCCGGCTTCAATGTGCCAAGCATAGGTGATTCATCTGCCAACGTCTTACCACGAGGCCGATGAAAGCCAAACAGCCCAGAGAGTCTTCGGGATGCACTTTTCGGAGCTTCTCCAGCAGCAGACAAATGGACAGCTTGCGCTTCTTCTTGTCGTGTTTGAGTTTCCAATGGACTGGCAAATATACTACCCGCTCGACTGTCCGAAGAAACGGGAGATGCAGGACCATGACCGAAGCCATCCAAAGGAGGACCAGGTGTTTCCAGAGTTGAGAATCTTGGACGAGTGATAGATCGTGGGAATTCCGGCGATTCCTCATCACCAAGGAGATCAGATGGCAAAAGCGCATCTGCCCGAGGACTCATTTGCGGGTTATTAAAAGCAAGCTCTGCATCTGAACGCATGATTTCTGGGGGATCGGACAGACTGGGAAGGGCCATGCCATTGTTAATGTTGAAGAATGCAGAGCTGGGAGCGAAGGTAGGCGAGTGACTTGTGGGTGGATTGTAGCCGAGGCCACCTGGGAACGACGTCTCAATGCCTGGGAAGTTCACCGGGGAAGAGACATTGCTGACAAGTGAGCTGCGGTGGCGACGGGGTCGAATGGTGGCAGTGTTCGACATATCAAGATCGAGACTCGGCAAGGAAAAGGGCCCTGAGCTGCCGGGTCGTTGGGCTGTAAGCCACTTCAAGCGCTCTTGGGCTTCCTGGTATTGTTGCTGTGCTTGGGCGTGAAGATTTACCAGAGTGGTATACCGTGCATGTAGGTTGCCCAACTTGAGCTCCCATTGCCGAGCCCGCTCATTGTCGATGCGGTCCAATTCCTTGCCATCCTCACCGTCACCTTCTTGCATTCCCATTCTCTCTTCTTCGAGCTTTTTGACTCGTCCTCCTTTGTCTTGAATCTCATCATCGATCGTCTTCATCTCGGCTTGCTCTTTGGCAATCTTCGTTCGAACCTCCTCTGCGCGCGCTGCCGCTTCCTCTTCAATTCGAGCTTTATCCTCCTTGGCTTGGGTGGCATCAGTTTCCATGCGCGCAATCTTCTCCTGCCATCGCAGGATGTCGTTCTTGCGCTTCTTTCGCTCTGCCTCTTTCTGCTGAAGAAGTCTCAAGCGCTTGGACTTTTCACCTTGCACTGTCCGATTGACACTTTCTAGCTTGTAGACGTGTTTCTTCAGATCGCCGCTTGCCTCGTCCTTCTCGCGAACACGTTTCCTCAGTTCACTGCGTTGCTTTTCCAGATCTTTCAACAATGCGATATGTTCATCTTCCTCCTCTATCCCTTGTTTCTCCACGTTTTCGTTTTCTTGTTGTAACGACTTCAAACGGTCCGCCAGCTGTTCCAGAGTCTCTTCTTTGGCGCTCTTTGCTTTGCTCTTATGGGTTTCGTCGAGATTGCTATGGGATGCGTCCAGTCCAACAGCAGGAGAGATTTTGCGCCCAGCAGAGGGTCGTTTGCCAGGCAGTTGACCCGCACTGTGTTCGCGCGACATGATAGGGGCAGATGGCGTGGGTAGACCGACTGTTGACCTCGGAATGGAGGCGCGAATAATCGGAGCACCAACATTGCCGTTTTGTTGGGCCTGGGACAGCGGAAGAGATTTCGTTCGGACATGGAGGATCGCACTGGGTGTTTGAAAGTTCGCGGCGCTGAGAGAAAGAACGCAAATGTGGTAAATGTTTCCAGGTATGAGATTCGAGATTTCCACCGCAGTTTCCGCTCGCTTGGATTCTCCCACTAGAAGGTATTAGTACCTGACTGAGCAATGAAAATTAGTCCCTCTTACCTTTGACATTGTTCACTTGAATGATATGCTTGTGTATAGAGTTATGAAAGTCTGGTTGTTTCCAGGCAAGGCGGATTTCACGGGCTGTGATCTCCTCCAGGGTCACCTCTGGTGGCGGAGGAATATCGAGACCCAACTTCTCTACCAGAACCTCATTGGAGGTCTGGCAGACCTGCCATGCACGGTAGAGCAGCCTTCAACCGTCAGCCAAGCACGGAAGGATCACGGGGCGTAACTCACCAGATCAATGCCCATAGGATTGAGCCAGCCAGGAAGAGAGCCATGACGCCTCGAACCCTCACTCGGGGAACCGCAGCAGGGTAGGCGTCAAACGCAAGGTATAGCGGCTCATACATCCCGTCAATGACCGGAGGAGAGTCCAACGCAAAGAGACCTCAAACCAGTGGGATAGCGGGTCCACGTGATAAAGATCGTCCGCTTACCATATCGGGCCTAGCGCTTTTCTTGACAAGACACGTGATCTCGGGCCGGGGCCTCGGCTCAAAGCGTTGGGAAGTTGTAGAGAGGTTGAATTGTTGATGAAACCCAAAGTGGTTTGATTTTACCCATCTGCTCTATTGCATATACTCTTTTGAGACCCCTTGTATACTCCTTACTGATTTTGAGGGCATTCTGCCGCTGTTATTCCTTGTTCGCTGAAGTGTCACATGGGCCGGCCGTTTGGAAGCGGCGGGCTTTACTACACTTCCGATTCTCTCCCACCTGTCTCACTCCTCTTTGATCACCCACTGTCTTCTGCCTTTGCATTTTCAATAATCTCCTTGTATTGAAACTCCCTTCCAATCACATTCCAAAGGTGCTTGACACCATTTGGCGGCATGCAATACGTTCGGAGCATCAGCGGTTCCGTCTCCAAGACATGGAATTCGATCAACCCAGCCACCCTTAGCGGTGCTATTGATGTTATTGTCATAGAACAAGAAGATGGTGAGTATAGATGACTGAAGTATTGTTTGACTGTACTGATTTCGACCCTAAGGCACCCTCGCCTGTTCGCCCTTTCACGTCCGTTTTGGCAAGTTTTCGCTCTTGCGTCCCTTCGAGAAGAAAGTCGAGTTCAAGGTCAACGGGGTCAAACAAAATTATGCTATGAAGCTGGGAGAAGGAGGCGAAGCATTCTTTGTATTTGAAACGACCGACGATATCCCCGCATCATTGCAGACTTCGCCGTTGGTCTCTCCAGCGGCCAGCCCTCGGGCCCAAAGTGAACCCGATATCCCGCCTTCACTGCAGGAACCCGAGTTCCTGGACCTGGATAAATCGAATGCAGATGCATTGTCAGAAGGCGCAAAGACTCCGCCGACCATCCCCATTGCGAACAAGGCGCGGGCCCACACCGATTTAGGTAAAAGACATGCCACATTTCTCATAAACGCATCGTTGCTGACGCTTTACCAGGGACAATCACACCGCTATCGCGATCACCTGACGAATCCGATCTTCACCCGCATAACTCGTTGAGTGGCAAACCACCACTTGACCATACCACCTCGGACAATGTGCTTCCAAAAAGCTCACCTCGGCACTCTTTGACCGCCCCGCCTGAGAGCAGCGGCCTTGAAGAGGCTGAGCATGAGGATGAAGCAGCACGTTCTCGTAGTCCCCCTCTCATGTCTCCCCAGGAGGCGGTGTCTCGTGCCATCTCGCTTTCAAAGAAGCTGTCAGGCTCCAATATTCCATCGCATGTTACAGAAAAAGGAGATTTAATGTTGGATATGACCGGCTACAAGAGCAATGAAGAAGATGCGCTTCGTGCAGAGGTTGTGGCGCGCAAGATTCTTGCTGAGGAACTGGAAGGGAGCTATGACATTGGTGCTCTCATTGGAGCCGATGAACACGGCAATTTATGGATCTACAGCAGCGAAGAAGCAAAGGACTTAGCTGACCGCAGAGCAACCCTCAATTCAATGCGCCCAGAGACGGCATTGAGCGATGATGCACTGTCAGACCCGGGATATCACAGCGAGGGTGACCATGCTATCTCGGAGCCATCTTTGACAGCACGCCACCACAGAACCAAATCAGATGTTCAACCTGGATTCCCCACACCCCCAGACTCGCCGTTGCATGAGGGCTTCGCAGTGGAAACCCGCAACTACGCCAAGACCCTCCGGCTAACGAGCGATCAACTCAAAGAGCTGCAACTGAAGCCAGGCCCCAACACAATGTCTTTCAGCGTCAACAGAGCCATCTGCAGTGCAAACATGTATCTCTGGAATGGCAACACTCCTATCGTGATTTCTGACATTGACGGAACTATCACCAAGTCTGATGCGCTGGGTCATGTCCTCAACATGATCGGACGCGACTGGACACATGCGGGTGTTGCTAAGCTTTACACCGATATCGTGAACAACGGGTACAACATTATGTATCTCACAAGTCGATCTGTTGGCCAAACGGACACCACGCGAGCCTATTTGCATGGCATCAATCAAGATGGATACAAACTCCCGAGAGGACCAGTGATCTGCAGCCCTGATCGCACAATGGCGGCCTTGCGGCGAGAAATTTATTTGAGAAAGCCGGAAGTTTTCAAGATGGCTTGCTTGCGGGACATTCTCAACCTATTTTGTGGCAAGGAGAACCCCTTCTACGCTGGTTTTGGCAACCGATTGACAGATGCATTAAGTTACCGCTCTGTGAACATTCCGTCTACTCGGATTTTCACCATCAATTCCAACGCGGAGGTTTCGCTGGATCTACTGAGTCTTAACAAGTACAAGAGCAGCTACGTGACTATGCAAGAGCTACTCGACCACTTCTTCCCACCAGTCACACTCCTTGTGCATTCTGGAGGCGAAGAATACACGGACTTTACCTACTGGAGAGATACACCGCAAGAGCTTGAAGACTTTTCTACTACCGACAGTGAAAACGAAGATGAGGATGTTGCTGAAGAAGATGAAGACGGAGATGACGAAGAATACGACGACGAGCTGAGCGAGGGTGAAGGCAGCGAATACCTTGATGACGCTGAAGCCGTCGAGGAAGATCTTGGGGCAAGCTATATGTCACAGGATTCTGCTGTCATGTCCAACCCGGCAGGCTCAATCCTGGAGTCAGTGGAAGGTGATTTGGACGTCGAAGAGGCTATTGGTGAAGAGGAGTTGATTCCTGTGGTCGAAAACACCCAGGACCCTGTCGACGCCCCCGCCATTTCTCTTCCAATCCGATCCAAGTCCCCCAAGACCCCTTGAACATAATCCATCGCTATCCCTTGGTACGATCTGATCGATTCCTGGGCATTGTTTCTGCGTCATTGATACCCGTCTTGCGATTGCTTTACCAAGTCAGATTCTGCATTAGACTGCTCTGACAGCGATATACCATGTTCAACACTATTGCATGCAGACCTGGAGTCGGAGACTGCATTACACAGCCATATTTGGCGACTGTTCTAATGATGGGCATTAATGGCGTTTCTGTTTTAGTTTTTGTATATTCATGGCGCATATAGTTGGGAGGAATTTTAATGTATGGTATGAAATTAAATATTACCTGAAATCAATGTGAATACATTCATTGATAATAGCTTCGATATAATCAATCTATTCAATCTATAGTGCACCTCATATTGAGGTCGGGGAACTTGATTACTTAATGCGGTTAGCGCACTATCAGAGCTCCTACGCTTCTTTTCGGCCTCACCAAGATGTCACTTTCCACCTCCATCTCCACACTCACCGTTGCTCGCAAATTTCTTGTTCCTAGCCTGTGAGCACTTAATTGTGCTAGGAATGGTTATTGCGTACCTGTTTCTGACCTGATTGTATTGCCACTAGACACAGTCTAAACATCGCTTTCGCATCACCGCAATACCTCGTGATCTTTGATCACCAAGTCCAATCATAATGGCATCTCCCAGCCAAGCGCAAGGCTCCGCGCCTCCAACACAACCAGTCTCACCCCCGGCGGACTCCGCAACAAATGGAGTCTCCGCACCCACCGCGACCCAAACCCAGGTCAACGTCCCATCAGGACCCCCTACAACTTCAACAAACCCCCAACCCCCACAAGTGCCAGGTACATCCGCCCAAGACAGCGGCAAATCACGACGTCCCCGCGACGTACGACTAGTGCACATGCTCCTTGCCTCACTAGGCGTAACCTCCTACCAAGACCGCGTCCCCCTCCAACTCCTCGACTTCGCATACCGCTACACAGCCAATGTCCTCCAAGACTCCGTACACCTCGCGACAGAAGGCTACGCGGCTGCAACGGATGGCAGCTCCGGTGCAAAGGGTAGCTCGGAAGTGAACAGCGTTTCCCTGCCGGCATTGCGGCTGAGCATTGCGTCGCGCCTGCATTTCCAATTCCAGACCGGACTGCCGAAGGAATTTCTTATGGATGTCGCGTCTGAACGGAACCGGATTGCTTTGCCTGGTGTTTCAAGGGGGTTTGATCCTGCTGTTGGGCCTGCGAATGGGGCTACTGGTACTGCGAACCAGAGTATTATGATGGGTGGTATGCGCTTGCCTCCTGAGCGCTTCTGTCTTACTGGTATGGGATGGAATATGAAGGATGAGTGGGATAGTGAGGGCGAGGAAGAGGAGATGCCTGATGCTGCGCAGCAGGGGCCTGGGAAAGGTATTGGTGGTGGTGATGGGGCTGAGGATGGTGAAGATGGCGGCGAGGATGAAGAAGATGATGGGAAGATGGAGGATATCTTCGGCGAGGATACGGCCATGGGCGAGGCGGATGACGAGGATCGCAAGATGACTGATGTTTAAGGGCATACATTCCGGTACAGGGTCTCATTTGCGTTGGCCGGGGTGTGGTGTTTCTGGCGCTTGGAGTTGATTCTTTTGATTTAAACCGAACGGGGGCGTTCGGGGCTTACATGGAGAAGATTCACTCATGTCTTCTACAATCTCGATATTTTACAGATAAAGTGCCCTGCCCTATCCTGCAAATCAGGATGGGGTAAAGGAAATAATGAAAAGACATCTTTCTGGTCAATTGAACCAGGATATGCAATGGTCTGTGTATATTGTACATAATTCAAGTCCATCCCATCGCTCCGCATTCGGGATGATCATGCAATGTAATCGAGATGCCCAGCAGAAACGCCTGCTTGTCTGCCCTGTGCGCCGTGAGGAGAGAAGATATAAGTTCGAGTCCGCTTGACCACGGAGAATACCAGAGCCAGCCGTCCGGCAGGACGATTCTGATATCGACCAGTGGAGGTGAGAGGGGAGAGTATCAGCATTGCTAATACTGGACCCAAAAATCCGGCGCTATCCGACTGGACAGTATCAACGGGTGAGGAAGCCAGTTAAGTCCTAGTCAAAGATCATCCCCTGCAACCACCCTTATCCAAGAAGAAGCTCTCACTCCGCGGAGAAAGGCAAAAAGCGAAAGGCCCAAAACGCCTAAACCCATATAGACAAGAAAAGGAAAAGACAGATGAAGAGAGGAGTCAAGATTCGGAACGAAAGAAGCAATCATTTCGTCTCATCTTGTCTCCTCCGCGCCTCATCATTGCGCATCATACTAATAACCTCAGCACGTCGCGTCTCAACACGAGCAAGCTCTTCCTCTTTCGCACGACGGCGCTCCTCGAACGAAGCGAACCACTCCTCGCGCGCGCGATCCTCTTCTTCCGGCTTGGCGTGGGCAACCATGCATGAATTCATAGCGAGACGCTGCTGGCGGCATATCCATGTAGCAGTGACAGTGCGGTTAACGGCACACTCGGCGAATGCTGGATTGAAGTGATTTAGTGGAATGATTGATAAAGAGGTGGGAGGGAAAGTGGATTGGGGTCACGAGGGCGGAGTTGATCTTCGTTGACAGCCAGACTTAGGACCATTTTGGGCAATTGAAGGTTGCAGTATGGTTTTTTGAAGAGGCTGGTGCTTTTGAAAAACTATGTAGAGTACATACCCTTAATCTCGGGGGCGCAAAGGGCCCGTACTCGCTTGTAGTACAGCAGCTTGACTTCTTGTTCTTGAGGGGCTGAGAGCGGAAGCGGATTGCGGAGGTTATATTTCTTGGGTGTCTGTGCTGAGGAGGCATCGGGAGATGTGGATTGTTCGGCCATTGGGACTGGGGAGCTCGATCTCAAAGATCGAGGTTATTCGGCTTGAGGAGAGTATGGGATGATCAATGCGTCAGAGAGTTTGCTGTGGAGAGGGGTCAATCCCAGCAGTCCAGAGACAATGAATGAGACTTGTAGGTAAAACAAGACCCAGGAATAAGAATTGAGAAGAAAACTTCGTATTTCAACGCGGTGTCGTTGCTGAATCGTGGATTGCAGAGAAGATCAGCCGAGTGGCTTAGTGTTGATGGCGGACCGCGAGACCTCGGGCGGAGATGGCTTGCAGAAAAAAAAGTTCTCCAACTCTTTGGACGATTGTTCTGTCTACATCAACTTGATCGGATTGGAGTCTTTGTATATTTTACAAGGCTGACAAATTTATTTTTGTCTCCTTGAAACATTTTTCTTTCCACACAAGGTTCTCAACACAAAAACCCAGTATGTCGAGCATGCGTAACGCCGTCCAACGGCGGAACCACAAAGAGCGTGGCCAGGTCTCAGGCCGGGAGAAATGGGGTCTTCTCGAAAAGCACAAGGTCAGTTATGTCAGGGTTTTTTTTGGAAGAGATTTCAATGCCTCAGTCTTGCCTCTACTTGTTCGAGGACTACATTCTAACTTCAACAGGATTACTCGCTTCGCGCAAAAGACTACAACGCCAAGAAGGCTAAGCTGAAGCGCCTTGAAGAGAAGGCGCGCGATCGCAATGTCGACGAGTTCAATTTCGGTATGATGGGAGGCAAGAACCGGACCCAGGGCAAGCACGGAGGTGGAGTAGGCACTGCTCGCGACTCTGCCGCAGCACAAGGACTCAGTCACGATGCGATTAAGCTTCTGAAGACACAAGATAAGGGATATCTCCGGACGGTTGGAGAGCGAGTGCGCCGTGAGATCGAGCGCCTCGAGCGGGAAGTCGAGTTGCAAGAAGGAATGGACGAGTCACTGGGCAAGAAAAAAGATGATGAGAGCCTGGACGAAGATGAATTCGATGACGATGACTTCAATTTTGGAGCTCCTCCGTCTCAATCCAAGCCACGCAAGACTGTGTTTGCCGACGATCGAAAGGACCAGTTGGCTATGAAGAAGCGGAGACTACAAAAAGACGAATCTGAGTCAGAGAAAGAAGAGCAAACAACAACCAAGGGCCGCAAGACTCCGAAGCAACTCGAGGCTGAGCGACAAGCACTTGTGGAAGCTCGACGGGCTCGCAAGCTTCGCAAACGTGCCACAGAGGCCCGTCAGAACAAGCTGACCGCACTCCATAAGCAATTTGCAGAGATTCAGACTGCAGAGAAAGAACTCGACTGGCAGCGAGCTAAGATGGAGAATTCAGTTGGAGGCACAAACAAGGACGGCCTCAAGTGGAAGATCCGTGAGCGGAAGCGCTGATTTCATGTTTCGGAGTTTATGAGTAATGACTCGCCATCTTTTTGTACATATTGATACCAAGGGAGTCTACATTTACAGTACCTATTCGAGAAAAGTAACCCGCCGTAGTGCTGCGAACGCGGAGTCGGAACAAGGCCGGTCAAGAGTCCAATAGTGTGCCATTCATAGAGCCACAATTGATAATCAGCCCCTCCAAAGAGTCAGACTCTCCGAAATCGCAGCCTAAGCCACCAAGTCACTGTAACTAAAAGTAGAGTAACAACCCGATCTCCGCGGATCTAATACATCGCCGCTGATAGGACCTGGAGAGGATCGCCGCTTATTAATGATGGGATTACTAAGGTTATCTTTTCTATATCGCCACCCCTCACCTCTCTTTTTCCTTTCTCCCCTCGTTACTCACATATCCTCTCACAATGGCGCCCTCTTTCATGACCATTGACACCAACGATATGGACCTGGCACCCTCAAAGCCAGTGTCTAACATGAAGCGCACTCTTGTCCTCGCTCCCCCCTCCATCGCCACCCAAGAGGACAAACTCCGAGGCCTCTTCACCACCTTCGACCGCTCCACCACAGACCTGCAAATGCTCGACCGTCTCTCAGCCGGCTTCGTCTCCCTCCCCGAATCCACGTACGACCTCGTCCTCATTCTCACCGACACAGACGGCACACGACGCACTGAGGCTTTGAAACTCCTTACCCGCGATGTATACACCACGCTGGTCCCCGCCATGAAGCCAGGCGCCAAGCTCCAAACCCAAGATTCTACCCTCAATGCCTCAGACGCAATGGAAGCCGTCCTGGCCGGCCTAGTCCAATCCGACAATGGATTCGAGAAGCCTAATTTCGAGCCCTCGGCGGCAGTCCCATTAAAGTTCGGTTTGAAAAAGAAGAATAAGACAACCGCGGCACCAGCACCCACACCCGCCCCCACAGGCATTTCAACTCTTCCCACTGGATTTGGCTTCGACGGGCCAGGCATGGACCACGACCGCGATGACGAAGACGAACTCATTAACGAAGATACCCTCCTCACCGAGGAAGATTTAACAAGACCCATAATGCCTCGTGCGTACCCGCTACACACCCACATATTTAACATAACCACTAACGTCCATCCAGCCCCAGAATGCCAACCCAAAACCGGCCGCCGCAGACGCGCCTGCAAGGACTGCACTTGCGGTCTAGCAGACCGCTTGGAAGCAGAAGATAAAGAGCGCCGCGCAAACGCAGACAAAGAATTGAACGTGATGAAGTTGGACACGGGCGACTTGAACGAACTAGACTTCACCGTCGAGGGCAAGACAGGCTCGTGTGGCAGCTGCGCGCTTGGCGATGCGTTCCGCTGCGACGGATGTCCCTACATGGGTCTTCCTGCCTTTAAGCCTGGCCAGGAGGTCCAGATTTTGAATGATACTGCCCAGTTCTAGAGTCTACGTCTACGGCTATGTGGGCTTGCATACGCGGCGATGTTCGCGCCTGACATGAAATATTTCGATGTACCTTGCGATAACGGAAGTGGGGTTGCATTTGGAGTTTTGTTTCTTTTTGTTCTGGTTACTTTTCATTACCTATGGCTATGGATGACAAAACTATGGGGGAGTTGGACATTTTATGATATCATTTACTTTTTTTTTTTGTGACTCATGTCCTCAGTACTCCGTTAAATGTCCCGTATAAGATGTTGCGTGCTCAGGAAAAAAAAAATCTCGAGTGGATCTCAACGTCATTGGGCACTCCGCTAGAGGGAATCAAGTGGTGATCTTCACTTGCCCTACGATATCGGCAGTTGGATATACATGTGCCCCTCTATACTCTACTATAGTTCCAATGTTTAGGTCCGAAAAGACGTGGTTACTTTTGGCTATGGTTCTTCATGGCACATCCCATCATGATAAAAACACAAAAAAAAGCGCAAACAAGAAAATGGTAAATGAAGTGGAGAAATATGAAAGGCCTATGACCGGTCCTTCTTCATCTGGGCAACACGAATGCTCACAGCGCGCTTGTGAGCCTCAAGACCCTCCACGGCAGCGAGGGTCTCGACGGTCTTGGCAAGACCGAGGAGGCCGTCTGCGGTGAGGTTCGAGCTGGTGATGTGCTTCAGGAAGGAGCCGAGGTTGACGCCGGAGTACTGCTTGGCGTAACCGTAGGTAGCTGGAAGCAATGTTAGCTTGGAGACTTTCAAAATAGAAGGGAAGATGACTTACGCAGGGAGTGGTTGACACCAGCTGAGTAGTCGCCAACACTCTCGGGAGTCCAGGGGCCGATGAAGACACTGCCAGCGTTCTGGACCTGCTCGACGACAGACTCGGGGTTCTGGACTTGCAGGATCAGGTGCTCGGGAGCGTAGTCGTTGCTGAGGACCATGGCCTCGTTGATGTCGCGCACGACGAAAGTGACCGAGTGTTCCAGGGAGCCACGAACAATGTCCATGCGGGGGAGGGCCTTGGCCTGGGCATCGACCTCGTCCTCGATAGCGCGCAGCTCAGCCTCGGAGAGGTCGATGGCGATGAGGATGACTTGGGAGTCGACACCGTGCTCGGCCTGACTGAGCAAGTCGGACGCAACAAATGCCGGGTTGGCGGTCTTGTCGGCGATGACGAGGACCTCACTGGGACCGGCGGGCATATCGATGCTCACACCTGCGGAAGTGTCGTTGGACACGAACATCTTGGCAGCGGTCACGAACTGGTTTCCAGGACCAAGGATCTTGTCGACCTTGCTGATGCTCTGGGTACCGTAGGCCATGGCAGCAACGGCCTGGGCACCACCGGCGAGGACGATGCTCTCAGCGCCGACCTTATGGGCGACATAGACGATCTCGGGGGAGATGCTGCCGTCGGAGCGGGGAGGAGAAGCCAGGACGATCTTATTGCAGCCTGCCACCATGGCGGGCACACCCAGCATCATGGCAGTGGACGGCAGGACAGCGGTACCACCGGGAATGTACAAACCGACGCGCTCGATCGCGCGAGAGAAGCGGGAGCAGACAACACCGGGCATGGTCTCCATCTGGAGAGCGTCGTTGCTGCCCTTCTGAGCAGAGTGGAAGCGCTGGATGTTACCGATACTGATATCGATGGCTTCCTGGACATCGGGGGTAAGCTTCATCAGTTCGGCAGGGAAGGGTGCTTTGATGACGGGGGAGGTGAGTGATGTGGCATTCTCGAACTTGTGAGTGTACTTGAGGACAGCGGCGTCGCCACCGGTACGGACATCCTGGATGATAGGCTTGACCAGGCTGACAATGGCTTCGTTGGACTTCTGAGAGGGGCGCTTGAGGTAGTCGGAGACAACCTGGGGAGTAGTAGAGGAGGTAATGACACGCTTCATCTCAATGCGAGATTCGCGGTCCTCAACTGGTGCAGGAGCAGGAGCGGGAGCGGGAGCAGGCTTCGACTCGGGTTGAGCGAGGCCAGCCTTCTCAGCCCAAGGTCCCTTGGCGTCACCCTTTCTCCGCTTGACCTTCAAGCTCTTCAGGTCAAGGTTACGCTCAATGTCCTCTAAGCTAACACCAGCAGCAGTGCACTTGGTCAGAGCGAAGTAAAAGAGATCGGCAGCCTCGAAAGCAATCTCCTCCTTGGTAGCCGCACGGCACAATTCATCAGCCTCTTCCATGATCTTGGCACCAACGAGCTTGGGGTCGTTGAACAGACGCGCGGTGTACGATCCCGCGGGAGCATCGGCCTTGCGGGAATCCAAAGTCTTCTGAAGGCGCGACAGACCGGCCGATGCGCCGAAGCAGGTCTCAGTCCCGAGGTGGCAGAAGCCTATCATTAAGTCAGTATACAAATATCAATATACGCGGAGATGGTCCTTACCACGTCCAATTTGCTTGACAACAAAGACCAAGCAGTCAGCATCGCAGTCAAATCCAATGCGGATCAACTCCTGAACATCACCACTCGACTGGCCCTTGTACCAAAGACCGCGCTTGCGGCTCTGGTAAACGCCGGTACCGGTGCGCAGTGCCTCAGCAATGCTCTCGTCGCTGCTCCACACAAAACCAAGACAGGCACCACGCTCATCAGTGACAGAGGTAGCATAAAGACCGTTAGCCTGGTCAGTGACGGCGTACGACGCAAGAAGGCTCGCAGCAGAGATCTTGTCAGACACATCCCGCTCAACGGTCAATGCTGCGGCGGAGACGATGGAAATGGCACCCTGCTTTGTAGCCTGTCTGATCGCATCCTCTGTCACCTGGCCACCGTAGGAAGTGAAAAGGCGCGGGGAATCGGAGCTGATCTTCAATTTGTCGGCGGCGGCGGGGATGTTGGCGGGGTTGGTGCAGACGCTAGCCTCGCTGCGCTCGGCATTGGCGGCAACCCATTGCTGGAGGGTGTCCAGCTGGGAGTCTGAGGGGGCAGAGACGAGCAGGCGGGAGGAGGGAACGGATTGCTCTTCGGTGAGGGTGGTCAATTGGTCCAAGGTGATCAGGATCTTGGAGGCACCGGCGTTGAGAATATCGACGAGATCACCAGCGGAGGAGACCTCGGTCGCATCAACGTAGACATCGAGAGTGCGGAAGTTCTGGCGCAGGAATTGCTCTGCCTGGGCGAGAGTTGAGACCTTGACCAGCGCGCGGCCGAAGTAGGCGATCTGCTTGAGGGAGAGTCCGGAGGTGGGGGTAGAGGGGTCGAACGAGATGAGCAACGGAGTCGCCATGATGAATGAAGGGATGCAAATATGCAAAAGGCAAAGAAGGGAATATTGTATCCCCTAAGAAAACCCGTTGGGGAGAGGAAGAAGTATGACTCCTTGTCCTACAAAGTACCCGCCTTTTTTTCTCCCGCTATCGCTGGGCATTCGCTGATTCATCGAATCGCCTCATCCTGATTACTTGGTCTGCCTAAATGCATACTTGTTTTTTCTTCTTCCTTGCTTCTTTCTCTCAATTAGACATGCTATGCAGTACTTAACTTACATCTCACCGCTCTTTCTACCCTAGTCTACTCGCACCCTGTATGGACTATGTTCTATGGCTATTCATACTTCCGCTATACTGTACTCCACCACTCCCAACTCACAACAATTATATAGACTGGAATGCTCCCATCTCGGTGCTCATGAAGCCCCCAAACACAGAATCTATCCCATGAAATGCCATGACTTAGTCTGATTTGATCCTATTCAATTCATCAAAGCTTCGTTCATTTTGTCAAATGGCCTCTGGAGCCATTCGTCCTCAATGATCTCATTTGCTGTTGCCCTTGCTTCTGGATTCCAGGCTAAAACCTTTCGTCAAGACTTGGAAAAAAAAATTTTGTCTTCGCCTGGGGGTATCGGTGTTACAAACTCGAGGGACGTTTCGAGAATTGGAGCCTCGGATAGTGTCCAGTTGCCTATTGAATGTTGAATATACCGACAAAGAGACGGAAACAGTACATTACTTGCCTTTCTCATCAAAATAAGTCGAGAAGAGAAGGCTATCCTGACCATGTGCAGCGGTGGCGGCCCAAGATACCCAACATACTGAGGCAATGCTAATGGAAGAACGTATTGATGGTTGGCATGATCGATAGGTTCAAAAAGATTCCTTCCTTCTAGAAGCTCTAGTGTCTAGCAAACAGGCCGGAGAAATTGTCGGAAAGTTTTCGCCAATTCTTAACTTACCATCACACCAACAGACCACATATCAACCTGAAACGTCCACGAAATCAGCAGGAGCACCTCCAGAGCTCGGGATCGATATAAATCAAGGATGATCCAGTCTTTATCATGCGGCCGTCATCATCCCGTAACTGGCCAAAATCTGTAAGCATCGGGATGCCGCCAAGCTCTAAAAAGTGTTACATTAGATGGCGAAGTGTTCCATTTCTCTACCTGCAACACTATCAATTTTGTCAATGTTTGCCACAACAGGCATCGCCTAATCATCCAGTAGCACACCACAGCGGGGAGATTATACTAGCTTAACTCATCAAACTAAACCAGAAACGATGTCACCCTTGGTGGGTTTAGCGGTTTCATTTTCCAGTCGCACCCAAGGGGTGCCCCGTCGCGGAAGGGATTGGTGTCGAAGTGTTAGACTGCCAAGTATGAAACTGAATGACCCAGTGTAGTATCAATATCCTGATATACCATCTGGACTCCGTGTCACACGCGACACTGATTTGTGCCGGGTTAGCACTGGGTATGGACAGGCGGTGTTGTTCTTCAACTAGTTTGAGCAGTCAGTTAAAATAAAAGACAACATGACTAGAGATGTATTATAGTCATGGTATATGAGTATCCATGGTTGTGTAGTCAACGTGTATGATCTGGTGATATACTTCTGATCGCACGGACTGCAGATGACCTGGGGAAAGCGCTCAGGGGAGTCCATAACCCAACGTCTTGGCTTGAGCACTTTCTTATGTGGCTGAACTCATTATGTGAAAGATGTCTGCTTTTGAGAAAGTTCAAAGGTGGCACAAATTCAAGCCAGGAAGCATGCCGAAATAGGGCCCCAACCAGCAACAGGAAGGGAACAGGAACACAAGATGCAGGTACTGTCATACTTTGGCTTGAGTATACATTTCTAGCTAATGTGGCTGTCGGCTTCTATACACCCCGTGACAAGAATGCATGCTTGTTGAACCCGAAGGCTTCTATTCTTCCGAAGTCACAGATTGAAACCGGAATTCAACATCCCAAACGAGGTTAAGATTGAATTTTGGGCTCCTTAAAGGGACTTTTCGAGGCTTTGCGATAGTCAAAACGGTTACTTGATCTGGAATTTGACAGGTAGCGTGGCACGCGACGCGTCCACGAGTATGTTCAGATATATGGTGGAACGAGGTCTAAGGAAACCCTTGTCTGCAAAATCCTTCAATGTGATATTGGTCCAAGTCAGTCTGTTCCACCCGGTGATAACAAGAGGGGTATGTTGCATATTCAACTCCTAGCGCGAGGTGAAGCCAAGCCCGAACTACCGAAAGCACATCCTAGACTGAACTTTCAACATACAAAAATATATGAAGATCGTACCTCAGTCACGCCAGAGAGTCGGCTGTTTTAATCATCTGGGGCATGATCTGGGGTAGATCGAAGAGGAGATGTTAAAAACGGTGAGATCATCGATCTGTTGATCGGTAAACAAGTCATAGTTCAGGCCAGGGGCACATATCCCGATCATATCCCTTGCAGATCACCCCTGAAAGTCTGAGATGAACGTCAATATTCAAGACAAACATGCTATTCAATGTAAAATGCGACGGGGTCTCGTGCGACTCTCCTTCCCCCTTTGTCCCTTCCCTACTCTGTCTTCTTTTCTCTTCATTCCATACATAATGAATCGCATTGACCCATTGGGTGTCCCTTCGTTCGCGATTCTCCAAATCTTTCAATCCTAAATATTGTATATTCTTGTACGTCCATCGCGTAATCATGCGCATTCCCTCTCTGTCACTCCCTTTGGCACTGGGCCTCGTGGGCACTGTCGCCGCCTACCCTCATCCTGAACAAGCCTCAATTTTGCGTCGTGAATCCGACAATAAAGTCAAGGCCGATGCTGTCAAGGAAGCCTTCCAACATGCCTGGGATGGTTATGTCAAATATGCTTTCCCGCACGACGAGCTGCACCCAGTGAGCAATGGTTATGGTGACTCCAGGTGAGTTTGATCTGGGACTACATCGCGTCATGACTGACACATACAGAAATGGATGGGGTGCTTCGGCTGTCGACGCGCTCTCCACTGCCATTGTCATGGGCAATCAGGATGCTGTGAGCAAGATTTTGGATCATATCACCACCATCGACTTTTCAAAGACCAACGATGAGGTCAGCCTTTTCGAGACAACCATCCGGTATTTGGGTGGTATGTTGTCTGGCTATGATTTGCTCAAAGGCCCTGCATCAAATCTCGCTTCTTCATCTGACCATGTGGATGCCTTGCTTTTCCAGTCCAAGAAGCTAGGCGATGTTCTCAAGTACGCTTTCAACACCCCATCTGGTGTTCCATACAACAATCTCAACATTTCTACCAAAAGCAACGACGGCTCAAGCACCAATGGTCTTGCAGTGACAGGAACTTTGGTTCTGGAGTGGACGCGCTTGTCCGATCTGACAGGCGACGATGAATATGCCAAACTGAGCCAAAAAGCCCAGTCATATCTGATCAACCCTCAGCCATCGAGTGGAGAGCCATTCCCCGGTCTAGTGGGAAGTAGCATCAACATTTCCAACGGCCATTTCACCGACGGTGCTGTCTCCTGGAATGGCGGTGATGACTCGTTCTACGAGTACCTAATGAAGATGTACGTATATGACCCCAAGCGGTTCGAGTCCTACAAGGACCGATGGGTCTTGGCAGCCGAGTCGACCATCAAGCACCTTACATCGCACCCTAAGAACCGCCCAGAATTGACCTGGTTGGCTTCCTACTACAACGGTCAATACGATCTTAGCTCGCAGCACTTGACCTGCTTCGATGGCGGCAGCTTCATCCTGGGTGGCACCGTTTTGGACCGTCAAGACTTCATCGACTTTGGTTTGGAGCTCGTGAACGGTTGTGAGGCAACCTATAACCAGACCATGACTGGAATTGGACCGGAGTCATGGGGCTGGGACCCGAAGAAGGTACCAAACGACCAGAAAGACTTTTACGAGAAGGCCGGTTTCTACATCAGCAATGGATCATATGATTTGCGTCCCGAAGCCATCGAGAGCTTCTACTACGCGTACCGTATCACTGGAAATGAGATCGTAAGGTTTCCCCATAAGGAGGCCGAAGCTATACTAACAAGAAATAGTACCGCGACTGGGTTTGGAACGGGTTCAAGGCAATCAACGCCACATGTCGTACCGATTCCGGCTTTGCTGCCGTGAGCAACATTAACACCTCGGGTGGTGGTTCTAAATACGATAACCAAGAGAGTTTCCTTTACGCTGAGGTCATGAAATACGCGTACCTCGTGCATGCAGAAGGTGAGTAAAACTCGGCTATTATGCCAATACAGATGCTGATCGTCTTAGATTCTCCCTGGCAAGTTCAGAAGGGCAACAAGAACACCTTTGTGTTCAACACCGAGGCCCATCCTATCAGTGTCGCACACACCTAGTTTCTTGCACAGTTCTCCTACTGCTGCACATTGGTAGATAGTTTATGTATCAAGACTATTACTTTTCTTACTGCGGTTGACATAGATGACCTGCATGTGAAACGTAAATCTACTTGACCCATTCTAGCCCTACAGGGAGTGTACCCACAAGGAACAAGTTCATTAAGCGACATTTCGTATTAGACATTAAGGTAATATGACACAGTAAGAGCCAGAATTAAACATTAATCAATTCCGTTGAACATGAGTTCGTAAGAGTATTCCGCTGCCAGATATTCTCCCAGATAGAGCCTCTTTAGAGTTTTCAGCCTTTTACATGAGTTCTGAGCACAATGTACCTCAAATCAAGCATCAAAAGAGGGCTTTGTCTCTGTTTCACCGACCTTGCGCTCGAGGTGACAAGCCCTAGAAGCCCAAACAACAAGGACTAGGTAAAAGAACCTATCAAACCACACAGTCAGCATCGTCAAATCAAAGCCACCCTAAATCGGAATATACTCACATCCCAAGCAACATAACCGAACACCCAAAACACTCAACACCATATAGCACATCATCATCAGAAGTCCTCGAAACTCCATAACCACCCCCATTCCAATAAACAAGCTCATTTAAATCAAGACTAACGCCACTCATCTGTGCAATAAACGCAATACAGTCGAGTGTTATGCTCGCGGCGGGTGGCACGATACAGTTGCAGAATATGACGACGAGGTAGGCTGTTGACCAGATGAAGCCGTATGCAGACTTGATAGAGAAGATCCAGAATTAGCATGCATAGGTAATATCTGGATTGGATATGTGACCCACAACACCAATGTTAATACTAGACCAAGCAGACCCTAACCCATCCGTCGAAACAATCCCCCCATCGTGCTGGACCATAGCCCAGGAAAAACATATAACAGCTGTCATGGTGCAGAGTACTGTTCCGAAGCGCAGAGATAAAAAGGAGAGCCATTTTTTCTGGTGTCGGGGTATCGCCTCGATACACCAGGATGGGGTGGTTTGGTCGTAGATCGTTGAAGGCATTTTACCACTTTGTAACAAGATTAAATATTAAGATAGTGCTAAAGCGCAGTTCATACTAAAGAAAAAATAATCTGAAGGAGCTTTTCTCATCTTTATGAAAGAACCCCAAATCCTCGTGTCGCGCTAATCATTTCCGCTTACATTCGACACAGCCATCATTTCAACCGCAGTGACGATGCCAAGGGCACAGCGGACCCTGCGATACCCGAATAACCAATCCATTGGGTTGAAGTTTAGCGCAAAGTTTGTGTTTGGTTAATCTACTGGTGGCCCCCAAAGTGAAGTATTCAGAATGGCTGTTTTGGGTAGCTTAGAGGCCGAATCTGGGGATGGGTTTCGTCTTGGCGGTTATTGGCTTGGCACTTTTGGGTTTGGGTTGGAGTTGGGGGCCTGAAGGAATGATTTCGCTGGTCTATTTATATAGTACTGGGTTGTATGGGAAGCTGGGTTGTAGTTGAAGTCTGGAGTGGATTAGTGACTTCAGTCAGATAACCGAGCTATATATGTTGGCCTACAGCATAATTGAGATGTAATGAGAAGTCAAATTTACTCATTCAATGAAAGAGGAGAGAAGAATAATTTTGGCTTGTATGAAGACGCTCTAGAAAGACCACGAAAAAGAATATTTCATCTGATAAGCTAGATCCGTCTTCAAATAATAAAGAAATCAATCCAAACCCCTGGCCCCATCAAAAGCATAACAGTCTCCCTCGACTCACGCAAGATCTGTTGATACTCAGGATTGACGCAAGCATCAAAAACCGCAAGACACGAGCACACGGCTCATTACTATGGCCCTTGGTGCGTCTAACTTCGCTGATGCTCCCCTCGCATATGGGTTCGAAGGAACGACCAATAATTGTCAAAACGGGCACCCAGGCTTGGTTTTCTGTGCCCAATCTGTCTCGGCCCACGCTCTCGCGATTCATGTTATACCGGCTCACGATGAGTGACTGGAATCGTCTCCTCGCTCTGAACACTCTCACACTCGCTGGATTCACCCTCACTGTATCCATCCTCGCTATACCCACACCCTCGATACGTAGATGTGAATGAAGTCTCTATATGTATCCTCGTAGTGGACACTTTCGGTATCCCATTCCTCCCTGAATTGATCCTCGATGAATTTAATCTCTCCAGACTCAAGTCCGTGACGACGAGTGTGTGGCGGCAGTTGTGCATCACTATTAAAGCTATGAGCCCGCACAAGTTTGCTGTGGAGTGAATAGGTTAGCCTTTGATATGTAAGTGGCTGGATCTTGATATACCTGAAGTGTCGATGAGCAACAGGGCGAGAAATGTCTTGATGTTCGACTGGCCTGCTCGAATGGATTTTAGCTGTTTGCAACGAAGAAGGATGGATGGATGGGAAATGGCATTTCATATTCGAAAGACTAGCCATTTGAGGGACCATAGACTTTATGGGAAGGTATATAGCAATTTGCTCAGCCAAAAAAAGGATCGTATAGATGATGAAGTATACCGCTGTTCGATTATTGCCGCCGAATCACAAATGTTTCTCGCGAAGAAATCTCCCTATATATCACAGAGGTATTCACGATACAAGTCTCAATAAAACGAAAGAGGAAGTACTGCCTTTATCATTCGACCCAGAGCCTCCACACCAACTAACACTTCCTTGATAGCGTATAGATAATCCAGATACTGGATCCCCGTCCCAGCTACCTGAACCTTTTTTCAAAATCTATTTACACAACTCACAATAAGATTCATGCTCAAAGCAGAAACACAAGGATGTCTAATCTAGTGGTTAACAGCATGCAAATCGGAACCGTATAATATGCTAGATAAACCCAAGACACTGCGCCATCAATCACCAGAACAAAGGAAAAGCATTATCAAGCAGTCTCAAGCCGACAAAAGCAAGAAGACTTGATAGGCACATCTGCCCTAGCCAACTGAATCTTCAACTGAGACGCAAAAACCCTCGCCTCAGTCTTCCGACCCAGCTTAACCAAACACTCATGATACCCATGTGAAGCCCAAACATTATTGGGATGACGCAGAGCCCGAGGTAACGTAGGTTCAATACCCAAATCCGCAGCATAGACTGCTACCGCCTCGTCCACGCGCCCCTGTTCAAGTAACAACGCACCAAGCGCATGTCTGGTCGGCTGCATCCAGCCCCAAGGTTCATCATATGGCAGCGAATCATCTCGATCAACCGCCGTGCGCAGGTGCTTGAACGCTGTCTCATGTTCACCGCGTCGATATGCTATCTCGCCATCCAGCATCGCCTCCCCGACGCCGAGGATATCAATGCAGCGGTTGTTAAAGAGCATGCGCGAGTCGGGCACTACTTTCTTTGATTGCTGGAATAGTGTGCGCTCTTTTTCTGCTTCTGGGACTTTTCCGGTGGCTGCGAATGCGACACCTTTGGCGTAGTGCATCATGGCTGTGGTGACGCAGTAGAGGCTTGGATCAGTTGGTAGCCCCAGAGCAATTATATCTTCCCAGCGACCGAAACGAATCAAGCCATGCATTTGCATTGCCACGAATCCTTCCAACCAGTCCGCCATGGGTGGTAGCTCAATGCGCAAAATTTGCTCAGTCAAAACCCCCGCCAGCTCAGCGCCCGTCTCGAGCGCAATCTTCGATTGTCCACCCAACATAGCAGCATACATCCTAAAATGATAATCATGGGCGCGATAAAGGTTATAAAAATGACTCGTCGGCTGCCTCGCGAGGTATTTCTCATCAGCACGAATAGCCGAAGAATTAGACACGATAGCACGACGATAATCACCACACAAGATATCAATGTGCGTAGGCATATGTTCCAAATGGCCAGCATCAGGAACAAGCCCCCGCAAACAATCGGCAATAGGCAGCGCAATCTCCGGCGTCCCAGACATCTCCATGAGATGAATGTACAAATGCAACAAACCAGGATGATTAAGCGCATCATCTTGAGCCAGAACGCGATCTAGCGCTCTCTTCACCTGCATCGTCTTCGCTTCTGGTGCCGGCTGGCCCGTTTTCAAATCCCACAAACTCCATGGCGTCAGATTCATCAGCGCGTCGCAGTACAATGCCGTAACATCATAGTCGTCCGGATACTCATTATAAACAACAGTAATAGCATCGGCATACGCCGCATTCCAAACGGAACAATCCTCAACAGGCAATTCCTGCGGATACCGACAAAGCAACGCATCAATGAGCGCACCCTCCAAAGCCGACGCGGCGGGAGCATATTTCTTCGCGTCGAGGACAGCACGATGCGCGCGCGTTGTCGTAGCAGCCAGATCTTCCCCGTCGAAGAGTTGCCAGGGCTTGTTGTAATTAGGACCTAGGGCGAAGGCTAGACCCCAGTATCCCATTGCGCATGTTGGGTCGGCGGTGATGACATTCTCGAAGCAGCGGGCAGACTCTTCGTGGTTGAAGGCGTAGGCCCAGATTAGACCGCGGCTGAACCAAGTTTGGGCATCTTCGTTGGCGGTTGTTACCTCGCGACGGTAGTCTCCCAGGTCGTAGTCGGACATGGTGTGGTGGGGGAGAGTGGGGTTGAGGTGCGGAACTGATGTGTACTAGCCATTTTGGTGTGATAAGGATAAGCATTACATGAGTACTGTATCGTAGCTGATTTTCTACTTTGTATATTGCATCTTGTCGTTGAACGAAGTCGTCATTCATATGTGTTATCCATGTTCATCTCTGTGGATTGAGTGAATTGATGCCTCAGGCTCCACCGCAAATGTGCTCACTTGTGCTCGATCCCGCTCACCTTGGTGGCCAACCTTGGGGGGTATATATTCTTCATTCTTGATCACTTATTCTCTCCTTATACATTCAATCAGTATCTGATATCAGCTACTCATACATATATCTTCCATCTCATACCCATCTCATACCCATTTCCTCCGATATCCACTCTATACAATGTGTGGAGAAAGCAACCGTCCAACCATGGGAGGCACCATCGCCGTCCTCTTCCCCCAGGAAAATCGCACGAATCCAAGTTCATCAGAAGGATCCCGATCATCGTCTCCAGAATCAATCTCATCATTTTCGTCTACATCATCAACAGCCTCAATGTCTTCCTATTCCCTCTTCTTCCGCGACACAGACCCTTACCAGAAAACCAAAGCAATCTTCCGAATGGATGATGCAGATACATATCAGGCAATCCGGGGCTGTGGACGTGTCGATGTGCGGATTGAGTAAGACTCCCCTTGTGATATGGAATATATCTTAACTGGCACAAACTTATACCATTAACAGGAAATACGGCGATATCTCCAACACATCAATAAACAATAGCCCACTTCACCAATTCAGATTAGAGATGACACAAGATGGAAACTCCAGATCAGCCAGTCAAACTGAGATGGAGTTTGACCTGCCTCAGCGGTTGGATCTGGGTGTTTCGGAGAAAGGGGTGATTGGCAGACAGATTACGGTCAGAGAGGAAGGTGGTTCAATCCTGGGAATCGGTATTGTGGGATACAATTAGTTTGTCTCATGGTTGATATCTTGAACATGCATCATGGGTATAATTGGAAAGGAGTAACTTTTGCTCATAATGCGTTCTTATTTCATGTGTAGAATTAAACTAACTTGACCGGTGAATACCGTTTCTTTCATCGGCCCCGCTTGGTTCATTACTACTCATTTAAAGTTTCAAAGGGTTCTCCACGCCAGCAGTGTATCGCTTCTCGGCTTCAGCCCAGTGAATAATCTTCCAGATACCCTCAACATAACCAGCCTTGTTGTTCAGGTACTAAACAATGCAATCAGCATACAATCAACTACCAAAAAGACAGTCAACTCACCTGCAGGTAGTAAGCATGCTCCCACATATCAACACCGAAAACCGGAACATCAGGCCCATTGACAGGATCCTGATCCTTAGTCGTAGTAATCTCAAGCCGTCCCTTAGGACCACCCTTACTAACGAGCCAACCCCAGCCACTACCCTGCAGACCAAGAAGCTCAGCACCGAAGGCTTTAACAAATGCCTCGTGCGAGCCCCAGCGAGAAACAATAGCTTCACGGAGGGTGGGTGCACCGGCGATATCATTACCGGGTGTTCCGGGTGGAGTGAGATTCTTCCAGAAGAGAGAGTGGTTGATGTGGCCACCGCCGTTGAAGCGGATCTTCTGTTGTAGGGCGATTAGGGAGGGAACATCGTTTGACTGGGTTGCTGTGACTTGGGCTGTGAGTGCGGCGTTGAGGTTGTTCACATATGTTTGGTGGTGCTTTTGGTGGTGGAGTTCCATTATCTGCTTTGAGATGATGGGTTCCAGGGCCTGGAGGGGGTTAGTGATTCAAGATCTGGGATTGGGATTTGTTGTGGCTTACATCGTAGCCGTATGGCAGGGGAGGGAGGGTATGAGTCTGTGAGGCCATGATTATGATTGTGAAGTTGTTGGGAATAGAATCAAAAGAGAGAGAAGGAGACGAGAGGGGAGAAGAAGAGAGAGAGGAATTGAGAGGATCAACAGGAAGGGCCACAAGGTCCCTTGCCCCTCCAAGCACGCAAGTTGAGGCCACCAAGGTATTTCCCGTTTGGGCGAGTGGGATTGAGCACATTTGCTCTTATTTACTTTGATTGGCAGATTAGGGTGCTTGACCTATCAAGGTGAGTGTTTGCTTTCCAAATGATGGATAAGAGCTATTCCCGCCATTTCCGATGCTATGCTGTTGATGTCACTACTATGTGCTTTATACCTACTCCGCAGGAGACGAGTGAAAACCAGAGCTTCGAGGTAGGTCCGGAGGAACCATACAGTGAACACTCCGGACACGTAAGAGCTTCTGGATCAAAAAATACTAATCAATTACAATGTCCCTGACGAAAAGTCTCCATCTTTTATGATAATTTCTTCATTCCTCGGTGTATTGTCTATATGCATGTACTGCATGGTTGTTCTTGGCACTCAATCCAGGTCCCGCCCCATTTGACTGGCGATACGTGATCCACATATAAACATGTGCCCCCGAACAGTCCAATTACATAGTGCAAGTTCGATTACAATGGACATCTACTGTGCACACATTACATACCCCAAACATTTGCACCGTTTGTATCGATTACTAATGCCCCAGATTTGCGGGGTCAACAGCCGCGAGCCTCGGTCGAATCGGCGCCAAACAGCTAACCGGCAAACTATTTGAAGCTCCATCCTCCCCCAATTAACCCCCAACAACCAAAATGTCCGCCGAAGACCAAGTCAAGCTGAACAATTTCTCCGACATCTTCTCCCTCGAGGGGAAAGTCGCCGTCGTAACCGGCGGGTCCAGAGGCCTAGGACTACACGCAGCATCAGGGTAAGCCACTCCCCAAAAGCAACCACAATTCGTCAACTAGAACCAAAATAGCCTCCTCCAAGCCGGCTGCTCAAAAGTCTACATAACCTCCCGCAAGAAGGCAGCCTGCGATGAAGCCGTCACAGCCCTGAACGCCCTACCAAACAAGCGGCCAGGCGCGCAAGCCATTTCCGTCCCAGCCGACAGCGCAAAGATGGAAGAACTGGACCGCCTAGTTGCAGAAGTGAACAAGACAACCGACCACGTCGACATCCTATTTGCGAACGCGGGCGCAACATGGGGTGAGAAATTCGACACACACCCCGAGAAGATGTTCTCCAAGGTGATGGATCTGAATGTGAAGAGTGTTTTCTATACGATTCAGAAGTAAGTACCACCGAAAAAAAAGGTATCCAATGTATATTTTATGAAAAAGTATCTAACAACACCAGATTCACACCCCTGCTCACCAAAACCGCCACAATTACCGATCCCTCACGGGTAATTATAACCGCCTCAGTCGCGGGAATCGGCATAGGAACAGTCGGCGAAAACGCAACGCCGTCCTACTCAGCCTCGAAAGCGGCGGCAATCCACATCGCCAAGAACCTGGCGGTCGAACTTGGTCCAAGACATGTACTGACAAACGCCATCGCGCCGGGCTTTTATCCGTCCAAGATGGCTAGTGGACTTATTGAGGCTAAGGGGGGTATGAAGGAGATGGAGGAGTATTCCCCTAATGGACGTCTTGGCAAGCCCGAGGATATTGCGGGCCTTGTTGTTTTCTTGGGGTCTAGGGCTTCGAGTCATTTGAATGGGGCTGTCATTGCTACGGATGGTGGAGCTGTTCTCAAAGGGCGGCTTTAGGATGTAGGTCAGTTGCCTGTATGCTTGATATAAGTAGATATTGGAACGGGAATACAGTTGAACGTATTATTGGATCTCATACATGTGTCACTTCGCCTATGCTATTGCTATGTATATTATAGACTAATTGATTAAAGCTTTGCAATGGTTGACCCAACGCGTCCTTGTACAGCTCGGTCGATGACCTCCATTGCCTGGAAGAGCTCGTAATCGTGCTGCTTGGGGGTGACGACTTGGACACTGAGAGGGGATCCAAGGTATACGCGACGATCGATTGTTTTCTCATTCCCTAGTTTGAAAAAAAAAGTTAGTGAGCTTACCCTCGAAATTTGATCATTGGTATGGACTTACACAGTTGCCGATTAGCCTTGTCCCAACTACCCAGCACAGGCACATCCATTTCCCGTCCAATATCCAGATCTGAATCTACGAATGGGCGAACAGGAATAACGCCCGCTGGATAATCCAGTAGGACAAACGTAGAAGTATAACCAACGGCATTGTAACGATCGAGCTGCGGCACCGGGTGAGGAGCAATTGGGCAAATAATAGCGTCGACGCGTCTAGCCTTAGACAACCCATTTGATAGAGTCCACATCTTCAGCATTTCCTTTTCAACTTCAGCCCGCTGGGCTTGTAATCCTGCAAGCTGAGGAATGGTCAGATCCTTGCCGCGTTTCATACGGCCCTGCAGCCAGGGGGTGAGTTCTTCGTCCATGCTCTCGATCAGATTAAGCATGTGGGAGCCATCATCTATACCCATGAGTCGGCCAGCTAGGGCTTGACATTTGGACAAGACTGAAGGAAGTGGGATCTCGACGACCTCAACACCGGGGGTATGGCGAAGTGTTTGGGCGACTTCATCCAAGATACGGGTGATAGGTGGGAGAGGAGTGACAAGACCATCAGTCTTCAGCACGCCGATAGTGAGACCGCGAGGAGAAGAGAGAGATTTTGGTAAAGAATGTGATGACCATGAGCCTGGGATACCATCCTCCCCGAACAACTCGGCGCGTGGGACGATCTCCGCCATGATGGCATTGATATCAGCCACGGAGCGGGCCAACGGCCCTGCCACAGCTTGGAGTCCAATCCGACCCTTTCCTTCAATCTGACCATTTTCCTGACCTCCAAATGGTACACGTCCGGAACTGGGTTTGAAGCCGTAGATACCATGGCACATGGCCGGAACACGGATGCTACCACCGATATCCGTGCCAAAGCCGACCATTGATCCACGCATAGCGATCAACGCACCCTCACCTCCCGTACTACCACCAGCAGTCCACTGCCTATTTAAAGGGTTCAAAGTGCGCCCGAAGAGGTGGTTGCAGCTATCCAGTGTCGCGAGTGTTTGGGGGATGTTGGTCTTGGCGATGATGATCACGCCGAGGGATTCAAGAAGGTCGACTAACGAGGCATTCTCTTTGGCGGGCTTGAACGCCAATGCGGCTAGTCCAACACTCGAGTCCACTCCTTGTACATTGAATGTATCCTTCACTGAGACAGGCAGACCGTGGAGGGGGCCGACCGGGGTGCCCGTGCGCTGGAGGTGGGCATCTAGCTCCTGGGCTCGTTTCAATGCACGGTCAAAAAGGGGCTCGGTAAGACAGCGAGTCAATTGGTGAGCAATAGCTGCCCTCTGCATTTGTTCGTGGTGGTTAGCCGATGAGCAAGAAGCAAGAAGCAAGGAGTAGCAGATGAACGTATGCATACCTTACAAAACCCGCGCACCACATCTTCGGCCTTGAGTCTTCCCTCCGACATCTCAGCAACAAGTCCTCGGATATCATACTTCTCAGTTATATCCAACTCCTTGGCAGAAAGAAGACCACAAGTGCGTGGAATATCCATCACACTCACGCGCTCATATTTCTTCGGGCCCTCGGTAATCGACTCGGCGATAGAAAGCATACCCTCCGGAATGGCGTGAGCGGGTAGACGCCACTCCGCAGGGATAGCAGCAGAAAGCTCTGCCTGCTTGCGCTGGGTAATTGCAATATATCGTGGCTGGGAAGACATGATGCGTGAAGAAGCGAAGTGGAGTGGAGGTGGTTTTAATGCGGGGAGTGCGGAGACAGCCTCGGTTCCTGGGCCGATTGCCGAAATACAACGATATACATTCGTAGTCCATTTTTTAGACATGCATGTCTAGGCTTTCAGGCCTTTGTTAGTTAGCTGACAGTCTGCTAGCCGCAGGCCAGGGGCTGTTTAGTCCGCCGTTTTCCATAGAGAATCCATCATCCTTAGAGATCTCTCTCTATCATTCCCTACAGGAAAACAAGATAGTGAAATGCGATAGCAATAGCGTAGATATAGATTTCAACAATATCTTTCACACTACATCTCATCCCTTCGGTGAGTTCAGACCCCGTTCACCTAGAAAAAAAAAAGAACCATAAATAAATGTACTGATAATTTGTAGATGTCGGTTCTGCCGATTGATTGTCATTTGGAAGTGATATGATTAGAGATTGGCAAAGAGACAAGAATGTCAGTTAAATCCGCCATGTTGTATTATTTCAACCGACGGAGGTAAGTAAAAGGGCCCGTTCATGGGTCACACTACTTATAATTTAAAGTTACATATTAGAGTAGAATGAGTCGCATGGTTGCATTTTCGGGACCAATCCTAAGAAAGCTGCTGTTACACTTCTAGAAGCCTTGGCTGAATCCGTTAGATCTATGTGTCTTGATTTAGGAACATGACGTGACTCATTACAATGATCGAGACTCAAATGGTACATGCAGTCTCCAGACAAGTTAATAACTTGCATGATACATACAATAACCATGTGAGACTACTACATCGAAGGATTGCCTCAAGGGGTCCATGCTCAATGCCAAGGAATCCCGCCCTGGCATCGGCTTGTTTGGAGTGTTTGGCTTGATGGCAGTAAGCTTACCATTTCTTATTAGGCTAAGCCTTAGGGTAAACTTTGGACTGTCAGCCAATGGCAACAGTTGATCAGACGGCCCGGGAGTAGAAAGTGCCCAGATTCCCGGGATGACCGATAACCAGATACGCGATTTGACCAATTATGGCGCCATCACTGTCATTTTGATCACTTCAACTTGACCAATTGGGCTTAGCTGCTTTTATTGGGAAATGGAGGAACGAGGCAGAAAAAACCCACGTGCATTTAAATACTGCAGGGATCGCCGATCTCATCTTTTCTTTACATGCGTCTCACCGTGCCTCACTATGAATGACATTGAGAAGAAAGAGCCTGGCTACGCCCTGGGCGTGGACGTTGATGGCTCCGACTCCTTTGACACCATCACTGCCCTGGTGGCTGAAGGTTTGATGCTGTGCTTGTAGATCCTGTATCATGAGCTGACAGCCCCAGATCACCAGCATGAGATCAAACTTCGGACCATGTCATGGCACAAGACCGCCTGTTTGCTCGCCGGTGAACAGGTCTGCCTGGCCATTATGGCTCAGTCGTGGTCCCTCTCGTGTGTTATCATCTATGCTTGTCCAATGGGAAACTGACCAATTCTAGCGTGCTGGGATGGGTACCAGGAATCATCACCATGGTCCTGTGTGCTTTGATCTTCTGGTATACCTCAATGACGATGCACAAGTATATCATGAAGTACCCTCAAATCAAAGATATCTGTGAGTGGATGCGGCTCGGCACGCTTGACTCGACGCTAACATTGGATGGGCAGGTGATTTCGGTTACTACATCTTTGGAAAGAGCAAGGCCGCATGGTATTTCTCGGCTTTCATGTTGCTGGCAAACAACATCTTGCTCATTGGCTTCCACATCTTAACCGGCGCCAAGGTCCTGAATACCTTGTCTGACCACTCGCTGTGCACAGCCGTGTTCTCTGTCATTACCACCATCATGGGAATTATCATGTCCATGCCTCGGACACTGCATCATGTCAGCTTTATGTCAATGTTCTCATGTAAGTGGTAAATCCGATCAACCTGACCACTACTAATCATCCCCAGCTGCTTGCATGGGTATCGCAATCATCCTATTCCTCGTCTTTGCAGGCATAGAACCCGCGCCCCTCTACGGCTACAAGGGCAACTACCCAACTGATGGACTCGTCGCGACCTACGCGTTCCCTCGCCCGGGCACAACATGGGTAGCGTGCATGAATGCCGTATTGAACATAACATTCATTTGGGTCCCACAGATCCTCTTCCCGACATTTATCTCGGAAATGGAAAAGCCTCAAGACTTCCCCAAGGCCCTAGCCGTTCTCACTGGAATCTCCTGCATACTCTTCATCGTTCCGCCTGCCATTGGCTTCCGCTATTTGGGTCAATACTCCACAGCGCCAGCATTTGGCAGTCTCGGCTCAATCGCATACAAGAAGGCATCCTTTGGCTTCGTCATCGTACCCACACTGATCATCGGCGTAATCTACGCAAACGTGACTGCAAAGCTGGTCTACACTAAGATCATGGGTACATCCCGACACGCACACAGCAACACTACCATCGGATGGGGAGTCTGGGCATCGATCATGGTGGGAGTGTGGCTGCTAGGCTTTGTCTTTGCAGAGATCATCCCAAGCATGGGCGATTTCCTCTCCCTGCTCAGTGCGGCATTCGACTCCTTCTTCGGATTCATTTACTTCGCCATTGCATACTGGCAGCTAAATCGGGGGTCATTATTTGCAGGTCTGGGCAAGACAGCCTTGACCGTGCTCAATGTTTTCATCTTCTGTGTTGGGCTGTTCATCCTGGGCCCAGGATTTTATGCAGCCGTTGAGGCTATTATTGACGATTACTCGTCAGCTGTAACGCCTGCTTTTACTTGCGCTAATATGGCTATCTAAGTGTCGTGTTCTTCGCTTGATGTGGAAATATGATTGTGCTTTAAGAGCCTGCTGCTCTTGCTGGAATGAAGGAGACGGAGGCGTGTTATGGAAGTTAGATCCAAATTGCTCCATCTGCTTGGAGTGGCACAATTTGCTAGGACTGGTCATCATTTCGTACTGTGTAGACCACTATTTTCACTATACTAATGTTGCTAGGTCAGCCCCGATTGAGATGAGTTAGCGTCCATGTATCGTTTTGAAAAGGCCAGATCAAAAGGAAATTCCGTTCTTGTTACAATTGAAAATCAATGCAACCGAAGGACTAAAGAGCCCAGCTGATTTATATAATTGGTTAAAATCTTCTAGATTTTCATCAAATAATACCTTTGTGATTTTATCCTCCGCCTCACACGGCACACACACTCGCTGGTCATACTGAAAATGCCCAAACGACAGTTTTCACGAGTCTTCATAGTTCAAAATGGCACTTGACTCTGCATGGAAATCAAAAGACGGGAAAGCAACACACAAGACCTCTCTCATATCTCTCTCCAGCCTGTACATGTAAGTTCCATATCCCAGTTGATCAAACCCGCCACTAGTCGTGCCACAACAACCACCTTCATCTTCAACTCCCGAGCCTTTACTCACCACTAAGTCACCATAATCTATAGTATCAATGGCATTGAGCCCTTCAAAACACCATAATGATTATAAAGCAGCTCCCGAATCGGACAAATATCCCCTCAACTACTGTTACTAAGGACAGTCTGAGTGACATCTCTGTTAGTATAAGTCGTATGAGGAACCTTATATCTCATAACCAAGATTGCATTTCGCACAGTGTTCAGCCCTGTAATGTGATCGGTCGACACGAATCATGGACCAGAAGAAAAAAAAGGATCAAAGAACTCACCCGGTCAAAATAAGAGTATCAGCATACTAATACGAATCGTCCCCCTGATTATACGCCATCTGCCCAATAACGCCAAGAAGCACAAAATCTTGAGCATTTCGTGACGCTGACGCGTTGGAGATTTCAGTTGATTTCTCACCTGACCAAGATAAAAACATAAGATTATGTGGCTCTTGGCCATTTTCGGCGCTCTTGGTATTGCTAGGCTTTGGCGGTATTGATGATGGTCAACCCCCGATCGTGATAGGATTCAGCGACAACGTACAGCGAGAGACACTCTATTTCTAGGGCTCCTATGTTGAAGTGAAGACTTATCATGGTAGGAGACGGAACGACCAGCCCCCGCCCCTCCAGGAACCACGAAATCTCGGCTGAAAGTGAATTCGTGGGGAAATTAAGCTTGTTTTCCCCACGCGTCGCCAATAATTGTTGACAAAGAGCGGATAGGCGGAAAAATGGCCGGAGTCACTCCGGTAAGGGGTATTGCCATATCTGGACTAGCATGTTCTACAACTAAAGAATAGAATACTTCATCGTGCTAACCTCGCGCTGCCCCTTGGAATTGGCTTGACTCCAGGGTGATAGTAAACAAGAAATTACAATGCAATGCATTTGGGTAAAAGAACATCGCGAGACCTCTTTGCTATATCTTCGAGTCCGAAAAATATAGTGGAGGAAGAATAGTCTTATCGAAGTCGAAGTTGAGACTATTCATCTTTACAATGCTTGGTGCACATTATTTCTATAAATACTATTTACCACCGCGCAGGTTAGCGGGTACCACTTCCTGGTACTTTCTTCGTCGACCACCCTCCAAATCTGTCTCTTCATCACTCTCCACGGATATCTCTTGTGTTTGCCAGATACCCTGCTGACTATCATTGCTCTCGGCATCGAATGCCTGTTGCTTTGGCCTTCCAAACGGAATTTCCGATTCCGCACTAATGGGTTTGGCGGCGCTGTGCGAAGGGTGGGAGGAAAGTTTGAATCCTAACCCTGAGTTTGAGTTTCCAGTTCCCGAATGAGGGACCTTTGACTCAAATGTCTTGCGGAAGAACGGACGGAGCGTGGGAATACAGGCAGCGACAATGACGACATTTTGTTCGACACTAGAAGAGACTTAGTAGCTGTAACTGTATAGATAGACACTCGAATACTCACAGTCCCCAAAGTACTAGCGGAACAACATTGAACACTATCCCAGTATGAGCAAAGATCACGCTCAACACACTGCCACTGAGACTCACAAGGATCTGTGCGATCAGTGAAGAGATGCAAATAAGTCGCCTTGACAACCGTGACAATGGCGGAGAGCAAAGTCAGCCCCATCATGATACAAATTCCTAACTTGGTCGAGAACCGCATCTGCAGATTCCAAAAAGCCCGAATAGGAACAACAGCCAGCACGATATCTGTAACAGTCGTATATGCGCTGACCCAGTATGAGTAGTCATTGAAGACTTTTGTGCTCCAACATGTTCCTTTCACAGAAGGATCCCAGAGGGCGGCTGTGGGCGTGCATTGGAAAAAGATGACGAAAATGGAGATCAGAGCGAGTACCACTTGAAGAATTGTCATTGCGTAAAGACATCCTGTTCGCCGCGGGTTTCGATCAAGAAGATTGCTAATTAGGATTGCGATTGAGATGTTTGGGAAGCTGAAGGATCCTGAATTGGCGGGTGTGGTTAGCACTACATTTCTCATTTGAAAATTTTGAGTCAAAATAAGAATAAACAAACCGATGTTAAACGCTGATTGTGCAAATTAGCCTTCAATCGCTTCCGTCTTAGTTATTTGAACATACGGTATCCCAAAATCTGCCAATAAGCCGTCAATGCTAGCCTTTCTTGTCCGTGTTCTGCAACGACAGCAGCAGTATGACGCCCCAGTCCCAATGTAACAGAGTATGAAACAAATGCGGCAGCAATAATGCTCAAAGCCTGTAGCGAACAACAGGTGACGTTAGCTCTACTTTATGCATGGCGCCAACCATCGCCCCTTACCAGCGAAAGGAAAATAAAAAAGTCATCCCAACCCAGCTTCTTCACTTGTGCCCGAGTTGTAAGTTTTAGAGAGACAGTTCCAATCGCGATCCCCGTGAAAACCCAAGCGCAGATATTAATTTCCTTTGCTTTAGTTTCGTTGAAGTCCACATCGGTGATTATGGTACTCATTGTAGAATGATCCAATAAAGCCAGGAATGCATGGGGCTGACGTTCCCCCTAGACAAACGCTCACGCTTGGAGCAGGGATTGGGGAAGGGTCATTTATACGTGAAGAAAAATATGTGACTGGATATCGGAATAATATGGAAAAAGGGACCGGAAAATAAAAACATCAGCCGTAGGACCGGGAGCCTTGTCAATGGGATTATTGTCAGAGTGTCCATGAACATGTATTGAACTAGTATGGACCCGCATGAATCCTTCGAATCGCAGCCCTAACTACATTGGGCAAATATCTGCCGAGCACCTGATACATGAGCCTCGAATGTGATGAACTCCTAATCTTGCATATGTACAATGTCCACTTCTTGTGTTCTCGAAGTCTAAGCCAATTCTGCTTCAATCAGGCTCTCCGCGACACCAGGATATGTGTAAATCGCCACAACCTTCAAACCAGCGCTTTCCAAGATGCTCTTCCACTCGGCCTCAGTCCTCTCCCGTACAGCAAAATGTGCCAACATCATCATATCCATACTTGTCGCTGCGAGGGTAGGGTGCTCCTGGCTAACGACAATCTCATTCAACAGAACGCGCGAATACCCCTTCTTCAGTGCCGGAACGAGATTCTCCAAAATCTTCACTCCGTCCTCATCACTCCAATCGTGCAATATAGAATGCAGAGAATAAGCGCGGGCACCAACAACAGGCTGGGGTGTAAAGAAATCATGTGCCTGAGCCTCAAATCCTAACTTTTCCACGCCACTACCGACTACACTCTCAATAACGGGCTCGCGATCCTGCAAGATAACTTTGCCAACTTTGTCCTGGAGACCTTCCACGAAGGCAGCAGCGTCATGACCACGACCTCCACCAACATCAACAAGCAAAACACCACTATCCTCGCTCTTCTTGAACCCATTCACCAATCTCTCAGCGACAGGATAGAATCCCTCATCGTACCAATTCTTCTTACCAGCCCGGTAAGCCGACATGAAAGAATCAAAGTGTCTCAAATGCGGCGGCGTAGCAACAAGCCAATCAAAGAAACTCAATTCCGTCCCATGAGCAGCTTGGAATGGTCCATCTGTGCCCCCAAGCGTGGGCGCCCGATATCCATTTTCCTGAAAGTATGCGGGGAATCCGTTAAACGAAGGTCGTGCAGCGTCATAGCAGAATGAGATACTATGCTGGTACCGCTCTTCGGAGAGGCCGTTGCTTAGCTCTGTGGCGTGGAAAGCATTTTCGTAGAAAGTGAGCAAGTTTGCTGCGACTAGATGGCGGGTGAGGCGCTGAAGGAGGGATTTCTCAATCCCTGTCTTTTCCGATAGGGCTGTGGCGTTCAGACCAGTGGCGCCTGCATCACGGAGATGTTGGAAGAGGTTCGTATCTACAGCTAGGCGGATTGTTGCTGATTGGGCGGGCTTTGGATGAAGGGTGTTAGTATCCCACACTTGTACTTGAGGGGGTCAACATGATTGCTTTTGGTATTGAGTATCTCACCTCTGCCCAGAATGTCCTTTGGATAAATTCACTGGGAATTTCCAACGCAGCGACAAGCGCGCGGCTGTGCGCGATCAGAGCCTCTCGTGAACCAGGCTCATCCTGCTTGAATGCTTTGCCTGCTTTGGCGAGCTGGTCCAAAATGGAAGAGGCTTGAGCGGAGGCCATTTGATCCGATCCGTAGCCTTTTGTTTGCTTTTTCTGGGGCGTTGTGATGGATAGCTAGGGTATGAAATATGCAATATGCACAGCAGCCAGGACCAGAACAAGGATGTTTTTCTATCTGCGATTAGAAGAGGGCAGGGGCCTCGTCTTTTGGGGGCCGTTTAGAAGCCCGTGCCGCGTCGGCATTCATCTTGACGAGTTCATCTTCCGAGACCTAGTGGGAAGTTAGGGCGTGCGCTAGGATTGATAGCTCTTACGCCGTTGAAGTTGGCATTGCTAGAAAGACAAGTAGCGTTGAAAATGTAAGTTATTTTGAATAGGACGTAACTTATTTGCATTTGCATTGGACTTGAATTGTCTCCACTTGTCCCTCGGTTGCGATCCGTACCGCCGGACTGGATTCGGTTCATTTGGTACTTTTGATAGCCCCACAGATTCGGGCTCAGACCTGATCGAAGGGGCGAATTTTGCACTTATCGTTCCGGCCCCCATGTCTCGTATTTTTTTGCTTGTTCATGTTGATCTGCCCCTGGAAACGCGAGTCATTTTATTAAATATACTGAACTCGGTTTTTATTCGTATCGCCCGGAGTTGGATTTAATTCTTACTGAGCAAGTGACACAGTAGTTCAGCCTATCATACATGGGAAATCGCCAAACATATATCCGAACACATGGACAAACTTTCATCCAGCCGATGGTTTTCTTACTCAGTTAATACGCAGCCCGGAAAATTTCGTCTTTCTTGAAGAGGAGGTCGTGGAAAGCTTTCTACTCTGTGTTCACTCTGTCGAGTGCCTAATTTACAACCAACGCCAAGGTCGATCCCTGGATTTCTACAGCCAATTTGGTGCTTCCATGAATTGAATCTAGAGGAACTTCTTCGGCGCCAGGTAAGGATCTACTGATCGACATGAAAGTGTATTGTATCTAAAAGCCAAGTCGTATTCGCGATGCTTCGCTGACAAACCATCAACACTGTGAGGATGGATGTTAGTCAAACCCTTGCTTCAAGGTAAAAAATAGACTAATTTCAATATGTCAGATACGTGGAGGCTTGGTGGTCTACCCCGGATTTATTTTTAGGTCACCCCGTATTTCGTGCATTCTCAGTGGACGCTGCAGAAGTATAAATGCAGGAACACGAACTTACGAGGGAAGATCCCCCAAAGCTTCAATAAGGGGCTGCCAAGCCTCTAGATATGGATTTTGCGATGGGAGATCTTCCTGATGTTGGCTGCATCTCGCGAAATTACTAACCACAAGTCGTATTTGCGGCTGGAATACGGATGAAGGGTTGCATTCTTGATGTGAATCTCCAAGGGCTCTATGAAGATTAGAATCAAAGGCATCGATCATCAGAATGCTTGCTCAGACGATGTAGATTGGCTTTCTATAAAGCCCTCGATGTGCCACGCCCTTGGGATAGATATCCATCAACGCAATCTGTCCGAAAGACACAAGCAAAGCGACAACTTCAAACCCAATCTTCTATCAATATCTCATTCTGTTCACCAACCATGCATTTTATTTCTTTCATTGCTTTCTCCTTGGTGACCGCTATTCCAGCAGTCAGTGCCTATCCCATCACTGGGGACAGCGTCAACTGCCGTTCTGGCCCCGGAACAAGTCATTCTATTGCGAGGACCTACAGAAAGGGCGACGAAATCAAAGTCAGCTGCCAAGCCACCGGCACCAATGTCAAGGGGGATGAGCTCTGGGATAAGACAGCAGACGGCTGCTATGTTGCCGACTACTACGTCAAAACCGGCAGCTCGAGCTACGTCACTAAGAAATGTCAAAGCAGCGGCAGCGGCGGCGGCAGCCCTGGCTCTGCAAATGGCAAAGCCATAGTGGCTGCAGCCGAGAAAGAAAAGGGCCTTCCCTACAAATGGGGCGGCGGTGGCTGCAACGGTCCAACCGGTGGCGGCTTCGACTGCTCCGGCCTGACGCAGTATGCTCTCTGTCAGGCATTGGACAAGAAAATCCCTCGGGTGGCTCAGGATCAATACGACACCAGTATGGGCAAGAGATATCCTCGCTCGGAAGCTAAGGAGGGTGACTTGCTATTCTGGGCTACTGGTGGTGATTGCAAGAAGGGTGTTTCTCATGTTGGGATTTTCATCAAGGATGGGTTGATGATAAATGCTGCTCATACTGGAACACCCGTTCGTGAGCAGGCTATTTGGACTTCTTATGGGAGTGAGAGTATTTGCCCATATGTTATGAGGTATGTGGTTCCATCCCTGAGTTTGGGGAATGATCAAGCTAACTGGATTGCAGATTTGTTTGAATTGAGTTGGGTTTACTATATTCTAGCCATTGTCAACTGATTGTGTAATTGGCATAAGGTTACTTATTTAGTTGATAAGATGTTTGCCTTCCGACATAGAAGTCGAATTCGTTCTTTGCACGCTTCCAATGCTCTAGACCATACAATATAAAGATGATAGCCGGGAATTTAAATTGGTAACAAATTACAGGGGAAGATTACGGTAAGACTCAATCCGAACAATATTCTTACCGCACTTCTATCCGAGATTAGAGAAATTGAGGTAAGCGTCCTGTTAGACAACGCCACTAGTGCAAGCCTCACTATTACCCCCGTGGGTATACACCGGAGGTATGCCCCCTCCCCCAAGTGTACAAACAAATTAGTAATTATTAGCGTCAAAACAAATACGGAATTGGTTTAATGGACCTTGGAAATCATGCGAGACACGAGTGGGTAGTAATATTCCGGTGCCCTTTTGCAATTGAGCCGTACCTGGGCCGATTTTGCAGGTTTAGGGGTTTTTATAGCACCAGCATTAAATTTGACGGTCATTCAGTTTGGGGAAGCTCGCCCCAAAGTCTGGCTAGGCCATGAGACTTCGCCTTTCATGTAGAGACCAAAAAGAAAAGGCTTTGCCATATTGAATTCATCGATAAAAATCTAAAGGACTAGTCATATTCATATTGAAAAAGGTGGCCTTTATTTGACGAGATGATTTGCAGTTACATTTCAGACTTGGCTTTCACGCGTCTTCATCTTCCGCTATCCCGCGGCCGCGGTTCCTGTTAAACTCTCGAGCAGCGGAAAAAATATGGTTTGAAGCCATCAATTTTTGATCTGCGGTACCGCTTCGGGATTTTGAGCATAGCACTTGTTGAAAAACAGACATGACCACCGCTCGATCGTTAAAGAGCACGTGCTTGTCTGAAGATGAGCGGGCTGGTCTTTTCTGCCCAAATAGCGTGAATCGACGTAGTGAATTGCTGCCAGGTTCTCCGAGCAGGGAAAAACACCGTCTCGGTGTTGCCATTTCGAGAATCAAAGGGTCCGTTGTTCGATGAATAAACAGTGCTAAAGGCCCACAATGCCGGCAAAGAGGGGTACAGACAAGCGGGATTGAACCGAGTGAGCGAGCTCGGGTCGATGAACTTCGCAGTTCGCAGAACCTAGCCAGCATGCCAACTAGCCTATTTCAAATTGGGACTAGATACATCTTTCAAGCTGCTTGCTAGAACAAGGGAGCAGGCGATGTTTCAAGCATTTCTTGGAGATGTATGTTTTCCCACTCCGCGGCGGATTTAGCGTCCCAGAGTTGGCGGGAGAAATTGGGAAGAGGGGATCGAACTCTATATGTGAGATGATAGGATCAGTAGACCGCACAGTCGACACTGAAACATAGCGAATGAATATATGATGAACAAGTCCCTTTGGTATAAGTGAGTATATCTGAAAACACAACTCAAAAGCAAATTGATTACCTTTTAAACGACTCCTGTTCAACCCATTCATGCCATCTGCGTTTGATTGTCACATCATTATCAGTTGAAAAAGGTACTGTATTAGGATAACTCTCGTATTTGAAGCGCGAGGCTCGCTGCAGAATCTTTTGCGAACTTAGGATCGAGAGGTAAGAGCCTGTATTGATAGCCACAATAGTCTGGCCGGAAAACTCCGCAATCTCGATGCGCCGTTTGTCCCGAGATAGCCTATTTACAACTACAATGACTGCTTCGTTTCGAGGTTCGCAACCTTTTAGTGCGGGGCGTTGTCTAGTCCCTGCCTACATTGAAAAATGAGTGGATACACCAAGGCATCGCTTACTCACTGCTTATAACTAGACGCGCCTTTATGTAGGGATCGTTTTCTAGTGTTGATTTGGCGTAGATATGGGTGCAGTCGGTACTAGCGTTATAATGTTTACAATAGACAATAGCAAGCGCGACGTTTCAATTCAGCCCATGATGTATAATTCGAAGGCCCCGAAATAGAACCACACGGTCTTTGAGGTGGAGTCAGTGGAAATTTTCTGAACAGACAGCATAATAAAAAGTTTCTCCTCTTAAAGCACTGCAACAGCCGCAAAGAGGCAGTTGCTAGGACAGTTCACACAGTATCACAACCCAAGCATAGAATTCGAACATTCAGTGAAAGTACTCGTGCCATGAGGGCCATCACACTTGGATCATGAAAAAAGTACTTTATATAAGATAAGCCATAATCCAACAGTATATTCTTCACGATATTGATCCCATCTTGGTCGCCTTTGAAGACGAGGCGAAGAAGGCCAATAGCTATCAACATTAACTTGTGAGACATGCAGGCCGTCTGAACAAAACTGGTCCATCTCAAGTATGTACATGATGAAAGTACGCTAAAAGGCCAATGAGTCGCTAGGGAGTACTGTGCACCATCATCCTTCTCATTTCCAGTCCATCTCTCCATCCCCAATCATTTCCCATCAGATTAACCTGGCCATGCCACGACGCTCAAGCATTGAACTCTTGACAATGGTCGTAATTTTCGCACGTGGGGCCGGTTTGGGTGTTTCGCACTGTCATACTCGCCTTGTCTTGGGAAGCAGAAAGACCCTGACTGGAGCATTGCTTATCATTGGCGGATAGTTTGTCCAAACAGAATTGGTTCGCTTCATTGGCCGACCAGGTCGTTCCAGTAACACCAGTTATCAGAACAACTGTCTTGCATGCAACGGCTGCGCCTGAGGTTGCTTCGTTACACTGGCGTGAGTTTACAATCATGGCTATGGCTCCAGCAGGGATTGCTGCAAAAGCCGAGACAAAGTTGCAAATATGCTTTTGGTTGCCCGGGCTGATTTTGTCTTCAACGGCGTTGTGGGAGCAGCGAAGTTGATCAACTGTGTCCCTGCCGCTGATGGAGGTAGACGGTGTGACATGCGCGGCGGGCAGAATGGTGGCGCTTGTAGGGAGCTGCTCTTCGTCTTCTTCGGCGAAGTACTCCATCAGGGTCATACCGGTGACACCAAGTTCCTTTGCAAGGAAATCGGAGCCATTCTGACTCTGGAGGTCCTTGGAGAAAAACATAGAGTCGTATTGAAGCTCATCCTCAAGGATCTCGTACAAATGTTGCAAATGGCTGGTGCCAATGTGTGCCGGAGTGGCATGGCCATAGAACCTTACTGCGCTAACAGAGCACACAAGAAGGGCAAATGGAACAAGCTTCAACATATCTACTTAGTTGGTCGGAATGATTGTAGGGAGAAGTAATTATATATTGAAGCGATGATTGGAGAATTGATACTCGACAGCCGGGCAGGTCCTTTTATATGTCGAATATCTCAACGAGCAACTTTTGCTTCGTTGAGGCTATGGCAGGATTGGCGCCAATGTACCTGGCTATCAAATAATATTATCACAGAGCAGAAGTAATACCCATGAATGGAAAGGAGCCAAGATCATCATAGTGGATACGGAAAGATCACCGGGCGTTTACGAGTGATCGACGTCAATGTAATGGCCCCTAATCACAGGCTATCAAAAAGACATTAACAGGTGTCATTGGGCTTATCGTGCATGGAAAAATGTGCAAGCCATCTAAGTGGATGTGAAAGGGCCACTTCGGACTTTGGAAGGAATGAAAATAGCTTACGAAGTCCCAGTGCCAGGCTTGCCTCAGGTGAGATCACTGTATCATGTCTTTCTATGTTGCCTACATTCCTTGGCTATGCAACGTACATGAATGATGATATCATATTGAGATGAAAGACATTTGATACAGCAGCGGCTTCCAAATTCACAAGACGGCCGAGAGGCGATAACACGGTCTGTGGATATTCATTGAGTGTAGCATGGTGCTTGTTCACTTGTATACTCAAGTGCTACTTCACCTGCACTGTAGTTCAAATGTTGATGCAAACCGACATGTATGACCAGTCATCTAATCGGGGACTATTGGAGTCGTTTCAGTATATTCATAGTACACATTGTCACTTAACCCAGAAGGACGAACCTCTTAGCCCTGACCCCGACCCTCAACTCGGGCATGGATTAGTTCCGGATTCAGGGGCTGGCTCCTAAGAGTCGCTCCATTTCGTTGAGGATGATCCTCAATAGAGCCTTGAAGGGTCAAGGCTTCTTAGGGTCGAACCCGGGGACCAGGGTACGGACCGGGGGCCAACCGCTAAAACTGCCCCTTTGCTGGCCAATTTCTTCCAAAAAATTACGCACAGCTAGTGATTTGGGTGGGGAGATAAGTCTACCAAGGTCCATGGCCCCCGGGTTACACTGTACATACTAGTACATATGGCAATGTAAGTCCGCCCACAGCAACGTCGATCTCATATTAGCGCGATCCAATCCCAAGGCAGCTAGCTTGACCAATAGGGGCTTGGAATGACATTCATGACGTTACTTAAAATAGCAAGCTGTGTGCCCGCAGTAATGTCGATCTCATACCTGCGAGATTTAATCCCACAGTATGGAACACGGATTAGTGAGCCGGACCAATAGGGGGTTTGCATAACATCACCTAAGAATAACCGGTGCACCCTCGTAGTCTGGGGGCGTAGGAGACATCTTTCTCTTCCATATTGCAAGCTGATTCCTCCGCCTTATATCCACACTTTGTTCCTTTAGCTCCTGTCGCCCCCTCTTTCTTTCGGCTGTAATATTGCGCATTATTAGCCTCTTGGACAGGACTTCCTGTGATGGGTTACATGCTGATCGCAATAGTTGACACTCGAGAAGTCAAGCCATATAGTAATGCTGCAGCCTCGCGAAACATGAAGTATTCTGTTCTCACCGCCTTCAGCCACTCGCTCTTGTTGCTTTTGACACCACCTACTACGCTCTACGCCTTTCAATAGATTAAAGATTCTAGCCTGCCTGGTGGACAAACGCTCTCACCTCAAGTTCAGGGCCCGGTCATTCCATAATGTGCACCAGAACTGTGCAAGGCTGCATCTGTTTATTTGCGGTTCTCTTCACTACCAGTGAGATTGGAACCATCACGGGGCTCAGTGATCAGTACCCGTTGGCAAGTCAAATTGCAGTTTACCTGGCAGCAACCATCTTTTTCGCGGTTTACACCATTTACATAGACCTGCGGCAGTCGCAGGACTCACGAAACATGCAATCTTAGTCTATTCGAGACGACAAGAATTCCTCCAGTTGAGCTTTCTAAGAAACATCCGCTTTCCACCACCGAGAGAGAAGCATGACTCGCTCTCGCTGCGCAAATCTTGTTTTTAAATTCCACCACCGTGGGTAAAGCGGGCAGGCAATATCGACAGTGCTATGGACCGCTTCTCACTGCCATAAATTTTGTTTTCAAGATGGCCTGTATGATCTCGTTGGGATTGAATCAGATTTGAGTTTCCTTTCTTGGTACCTTTCTCTCATAGTCATGTTACAATGATGATCTAATGCTCTTCTTCTGTTCAACTACCACGGCATTCCAGGCTCTAGTCCCATCAATATCCATCGCAGCACATGGCATAGCGCTTTATCATGACTTCATAAAGCAGCTCCCCGCATAGATCTCAAACAGAAAATCAGCTGAGAGAAGAGAGAATACTTCTCAAACTTGGAAACTAGTATAGGTTTGCGCTATCAAATAGGGTACTTGTGTTCTAGTAGGGGAAAGCTATCATCAATCGACACTTGACGCCTAAAAAGTGCTTTTGGTGAAGTCTAACCCCTGCCTTGGCTGTAAACTATAGTGCATTGTCACCGATAGCTGGGCACATCCAGGTAATAGTCGTTTGATCGACATGTGGTTCTAAAAATTGAGATTATACGAGGGTGTGGCAGTTTATTGTTCCACTTTGGTGCAGTATACTCCGCATATGACCGCTTGAGACCCTGAGATACTGTTGAGTTTTGTGCCACTTGCCACCTACGTAGGTTGATAGACCCCACCGGGGGCCAGGATTCAAAGACCCATGCGGTAGTATCAACTTTGGGTTTCTTGGGGCTAGGATTTATGGATCCACACGATATTATCATCTTTGGATTCCTTGGGGCCAGGATTTATGGGCCCATGTAACATTATCAACTTCGGAAAACTTGGGGCCAAACATTGACTTTGAAGACAGAGACATTTCTGAAATGTCGCTCATTAGTTGGTGCTACAATATCAAGACAACAATATTTAAAGAGTGGTGTTTCCCTCCAATCTTTTTACCACCAAACATCCTCCTTCCACTCAAACAAGCATAACAATATCCATTCTCAACCTTAAACAACAAATCTCAAAATGAAGTTCGTTCTTCCTGCTCTCGCCATGTTCGCCTCTCTGGTTGCTGCAGAGAATTGCCAAACGGGCCTCAACTACTGCTCTTTTACCCTGATGGGCAAAGGTATGTCATGGAACTCATCTTTTATCCCTTCACAAATCATATTAACTCAAAATAGGTGACTACCACCAGCAGATTCTCAAAGCCTTGGATGAGGGCGGTGTCGACCCTGCTGTTGTCAATTACGACTACTACCTCTACCACTGTGACGGCGGTAGCAACGGCGCAATCAGTCTGAATAAGGCCTGCCCTAAGGGATGCCACGACGCCGGCAGCAACGAGTCTGACTCGTGTATCTAAGAGGAGCGCCTTTGGTCATGGACAGCAAAACGTCAATGGTGACTGACAACATCTTTGAATGGGCCTACATTGATAGATATCAGGTGTTTGGGTCCACAGATTATATGTATTCGAGAAGTGAGAAAAAGCCTCGCCTTCTCCTTTTTGGGTATCAAAGGAGTCTGAGCACCCATACAATCATAATGCGCCTGTTTTTTATACCGTACCTTTACCCATTTCCTCTCATAAACATTCTTCTTCTACACAATAACCATAAAGGCTTCCTCTCTCCACACAAACACACACACACACACACACATGTCCTGTACTTAACATTGCGAGAATGGATGTAGTACCCAAATGCAAGGAGAATTTCACAGAAAGACGGAAATGGAGTAGCAGCACCCCAAGCGCCAGAGCAATCTGAAAAGCTGAACCCGTTTCAGCCCTTCACCACAAACCCCTTTTTCCCACCCGAAAGCACCACCCACATCGCAACGACAAGCCCCAACTCTGGCTAGGCGCGACCAATTCGCCATTTAGGCAGGTTGATGTGCTCGATACCAATCTTAGCAAACGTTTTCCTGTTTTAGGATCGCACACGGACGATCGCCTGATTCCCGAAATATATTTTGAAATATGACGTGGATAAGAATTTCCCGAGTATTTTTTGAGCAAAACTACTCTACGCATGCTATAGTCCCACTACATCCCACCCCCGGCCTCCTTTCTACATTGATATCTCCCTTTTAGCACGACGGAGACTTCTTCCTCTATAAATTACTCTTAAGTATCAACCAACGCAAGGCTTGCAATATAATTCTAGGAGGTCTCCCCACAAAGCCGCATCTCATCCGTGGTATGGTAAAGAGACAGTTACAAGCCACTACTTAAACTGCTAAAGAGGGTGAATGCATAAGGATAAATAATTGCAGAAACTTGCGAGAGTTTGGAAGAGCTCACACACCCCCAACACGAATAGGCCGCAGACGTGTCATTACACCACCGATGATGGATACGCTGTGCGGCCAATAATTGAAAAAGCCTGGTCAATACCTCGATGAGAAGATGACTGTATTCCTCTGGGATAATAATTTCATACGCGGTTTGCTACGGACAATGCGCCATTAAATCACTCAGAGCGTATCATGTAGATATATATGGGAGCTGAGGTTGATCTGTATTCAGATGTAACTTGCCATAGCTCTGTAGCGTCTACGGCTCTCGATCCGTGCAAACGAGCCACATAGAACGGATGCTGTGGCAATCTGACAACATCGGCATTACGTCCCGTGGATCGGAAAATGGACATAAATTATCTTTCTCATCCAAATGATTGTTGCATTTTGATTGGAATTTCAGCTCATCATGGGCAGTATTCCACTTGGCCAATGTCACCAGCCCAAGCGTAATGTACGACGTCAACAATCCTCCGAAAATTGGAGGGTTTTAGCAACAACCTCGTCATATCAGCTAGCCAAGCCAAATGACTCCTTGCTGACCGACGGTTGATGGTATATAGCGTATCCAGTTCCATGCGTTTTCTCCCCCAGTGCGGACCATCATGCCCCAGTGATCCATACGGTTCCAACGCCTTCAACAGTCCATCATATTGCTCTTCTAGACCATCATAGCTGCAGTTTGGGACGTCTCTGTTTTCAAGAGTTTCATTGATTAACTCATATAGTTTGTGGTGAGAGGCCATGACAGTCCAGTTGCAGAAAGCCATTGTGGCTATGGCAAGTAACTGCTTGGTCTCCACAAGCTCTTTCGTGAGAATCAAGCAATCAAGCATCTGCTTGTTGAGATACTGACAGACCGATCCTCTTATACCTCTGAGGACGGGATTCTCTCTTTGTTTGCGCATTGTATCGCTTCGGAGATCGACCAAGTCGTTGATCAGGGTCGACCCATGGGACAGTTTCATATATTCAGGCTCGTCGAGTCGCTGCCCAGTTGCCAGGGACGCTGCAACAATTCCAACTGTATTGGCGATATCAATGTGTCGATGGGTTGTTAACTCTGTCATGCGACTGCCATATAGCCCCTCGGGTAGAATTGGAACAGCATGGTTACGGTAATAGCCCAGGACTCTGAACTGTACATGGGCGGCAACCAGAATGTCTATATGCCAGTCTTGAAGTAATCCCCCAAGATTGCAAGCCCTGAGAAAGGCAACAGCTGCTGCCCCTGTCTGCTGTAGCTGGGAGAGGACGTCCTCAGAGGCTGCTTCGCAGTAGTCGCCAATCATAACATCATTCCCGGAATCAGCAATTGCGCGCAAAATACCCTCGTCCACAAGACTAGCACCGCAGGCCATGGGATAGAAATATTTTGCATCGGCGCAAAGTTTGACTTTTTCAAACGTTGGAAACAACGCTTCTCGAATTTCCACTGGACTGTCGCAATATTCGCTTGGCCGGCGATCGGGTGCTTTGATGGAAACGATAGATGCAACATCGGTCCCGGAACATGTAGTCGGGCTTTCTTGGATGTCCAAGTTGCAGCAAATGAGTTCTTCGACAGCACTTTCAAGTTTCTCCACCGTGAAGATGCCATGTCCGTTCCATTCCTTGTACCGCTCAGTAACGTCTTTTTTTGCCTCGAGCATTTTCTCAATAGCTCGACAAGTCTTCCCTTTAATCAAATCTGCATCTTTAACAGATGACATTGGCGAGATTCCATCACAGGTACAATCAACACGAGGATCATATCGCCCCGAAAGCAAATTGGTTTCTAAACACGAAGGTGGCAGCTGTCCACCCAATGCCATTTCCCCGTCTATGAACCGTTGGCGGAATGATGATATCACATGGGACAGGCATGTAGGGTCCAGAAGCTGTTCAAGCTTCGACATCTGAAAAAAACTTCGATATATCGTCAACACTTAAAAGGTATGGCGTTTCCTGCGTCTCTTTGAAAGATGTTTGGACCCAGGTATGCGACCAAGCCAAATAGACTTGCAAGAGAGTACTTTGTTGGGGAGAAGAAATCGTCATTCTGCCACGCCGCTAGTTCTGTCAAAGAGACGAACAAAAAGATAACTTAGATACTGTACCATATTTGCGAGCCTTTCGAGGGCGCTTATATATTAGCACGGAATTTAAGAGGGGCTGGGTTACACCGCCGCCGGTTAGTGAGGACAAAAGTTCCAATTATCGTGTGGATGGCATGAGGAAGGATTGAACTAAGCCATTTCGGCCAATTTACGGAGTACAGTGGCGTAACAAAAGTACTTGACCACGAGTACTCGGGCCAAGGCCCAGCTTTTTTAATCCTGCCAGCAAGAATCTCGAAGATTGAATTCAATTTAATAGCTAGCTTCCTGCGTAGCTTCTAGTAGTAGATCTAGCGTAGATGCGCTTTTAGGAAGCTGCGTAAGCTCAGGATGACGCCTAATAATTTTGACTTTTAGCAGAGCCTAGAGGTTCTCGATTGGCTTCAAATCAAGTGAATAAGGAGTCTATTTTATGAAATTGCATTCGAGCTTGTTTAAAGCGTCCCGTACGATATATGCCGTGTGAATAGGCGCGTTATCTTGCGGAAAATTAGCATTATGATTAATGCTATTAAGCAGCGTACGTAACATTCGCCGATAGAGTTCTTCGATCGTACGTGAATAAATGCCACCTCTTTGGGATAGGAATCCCCGAATAGCGGTATGAGCCTAATCGACGCGGGATGCCAGAAAAAGCGGCCCAAAATATCTTCTTGATTTGTTTCCCTCGCGCCGAAGCCAATTAAATTTGAAGCCCTTCTTTTGAATTCCAAAAAGGCCAGTCCTTCGGACGTTTTAAGGTTCATTCTTGACGCTAGCTAAGTCCACGTTCAATCATACGTTCGTCAGAGCAATAGACGCGTGTCCAATCCTTCGACGTAAAACAATGACATTGAAGGGTTCAACAAGTGTGTAAAGCCTGTATCCTCCTCCATTTTCGAAAGTCTATTTCGTGGGTTAGACGCTGAATCGACATTCGGTGGACCTAAAAATCAACCTCTCCGAGTAGAGCCTTGATCAAAATGGACGGGTTTTCTTGTATAGAGATATGGTCTCGTTCCGCATCTGTAACCTTCCTAGGGGTGCCTAAGCGTGTAAGGCTTTCATTGTTTTGACAATTTGCTTCTTGGGTAAGCGTAAATTAAACTGTTGAGCGTGAAATGTCGGAAGAGTGCTGCTTCTTGATAATTGTAACAACCCGGCTGTGTATAGCATATACTTCGCAGATCTTAGCCTGAGTAAGGCAGTCAACCTCTTGAACTCGTTTCTGTGTATAGAAGGTACTATTAGAGAGAGAGAGAGAGAGAGAGAGAGAAACGCGTTCAAAATCGCGAGTTTTGATATAATAACAAAGCAGATGGTATAAAAAGCGGCCAGGGCCCTGGAGTATTTGAGCTCAATTACTTTTCTTACGCCACTGTATCGTGAGACGTGAAAATTCTCGACGAAATAAGCACAGTCTAATCTTGAACAGGAATATCATGCGCTAATCCCTGGCTCAGGTAGTAATCAGCAAGCGGCTGATGTCCATACTGCTGAGCTTCCTTCCACAAGATCATACCCTCCATACCGCAAGGGCTATCCAGCCATATAAATGCATCCATCATGCATACAAATCTTTGCCAACTGTTGATATCCAACCCTCTGAGCTCCAAATGTAATCGCCCAACAAACCACGAGCGATGCGGCGTATCAAGAGCCGCAATCCCACCCAACGTTAACATCCATAGAAATAGTGACGGCATTGCTGCCCTCTCCTCGTCAGGTACCAGCTCCAGCTCGTACTGGATAAGACGCGCTAAATTTGGATACGGACTTGTCATCAGCGAAACGGGGAAAACGACGAGGAGGCTGTATGTGGTCAACGCCAATCGGAATGGCTCGTACGTATGCGAAACTGGTCCATTTTCGGCCGAAAGAGCGGGTGAAAGGGATAACACGTGGTAGTGGATTAAGTTTCGCAGCTGGAGTACATATCCCAGATCCAGATTGAAGAGGTGCCCGTCGGCATACCCTTCTAGCAGAGAACTATATCCGCGGAGAGCGTGGAATACCCAGATTATGGGCTGCGTTACCTTTGAACGGAGGAGGAAATGTAGATGGCACTTTTGAGGATCACTTTGTTCGAAAGTAGCCAAGAAAGCAGCAGCATTATCGACCTGTAGTCTGGATTGCAGTGGCCAGAAGGGTCTTGTTAACCTTTTGCTTGCTACGATCAGATCCCAACTCTAGAAGTATTAGCTGAAGCTTGCAAAAATAATTTATAAAAGGAAGCCCACGTTGACAACCCCTCGCGAAGCCCAGGCATCTCTAGTTTTCTGAAACCCCCTCTGGCCTGTACAAGATGGTGTAATCCTCGAACGTGGCCATCCATTATCACGATATCGGTGAACCGCGTCAACAATTGTAAGTTGGAAAGAGGGGCCATTTCCCTCGGTGAGTTTGGAACTTGGTCTCTCTCGTGTGGATGCAATGCCAGAGCGAAAGCAGCCATGATGATCTGGTCCGTAACAATGGCTGTAGGACGGTCATTTACAGCCTCCTTCAACGCTACGATGGCTTCTTGTCGCATAAGAAGCAATTCGTAATGGTCCTTCTTGGGTGTGGAACTCTGAACACCAGATGCTCTGGATCGGATGAGAATGTGCTCTGCGCCTGAGTGGAGCCATGCGCTGAAGAGAGGTGGACAGTTCATTGCAGATTTCATCCACTCGTTGGTGAAGCTCTTCCCTTCGTATGTCATGCCGGGGAAGAGTCTCGGCCACATTTCTCGGATGGCTGTGATCTTGTATCAGAGGAATACTTGCAATCTCGCTTCGCGGTAACTTACAGTAATGAAATATCCGAGTAATGGTCTCCCGATTCAAATCGGATGGATAAGTATGAAATGGGTCTAGGTAGCGGTGGCTATCATGATCGATTGTCAGCAGACTCGATGTCCGCTTCGTGCCAGAAAATGTTTGTTCATGTCTGACATGCTGGTCGTGTACCAGCTCCGTGAATTCGTCCCACGGCTTAGAGACAAACTGGATTTGACCTTCAAGTTGGGACGAAGAATACTTGCAAAGATTCCCCATGCTTCATTCTTTTGAGTCAGAGAGGCGCAACTAAATTTTCATAGGCCAACTTACCGCACACAACGTAGACAGGATGGTATGTCTCTGCTGCATTTCCTTTTCCCTGCACTACACCGTAAACAAGCTAGGCTTGATTTCGGTACGATAAATCGGGGTTCGATAGCGCTAACAAACTATTGTGAGACAAATACTATTTTTGGGTGGGTGGTGCTGCAAGACACATACCGCAATTTAAAATTTACCCCTATCCCGAGACCCGGGGATCCTCCTGATTGCCCCACACGATCATACTGGCAATCCTGCTTCATGCTATGAAAAATCAAATGTTATCAAGGCATGTCGACAAAAGATCAAGTTGTACTAACCATGTACACCTCGTGCATGCTGGAAGAATCTTGTCACACTTCCGCTTCTTAGATCTACATGCCGCGCATGCCTTTGCAGCGTAGACTTTATCGGATGGGACATTTGCCATGGTTGCAAAATCAGAACTAGTGATACAGGGTTTGTGGGGTAGAGGCGGATGCACGTGCGGATGAAAGTTGCTTTTATACCAGTAGAACCTAGAGGCGATGCAAACAGAGGCTCCGCCCTATGCAAATGACAAGCGGGTCTAATCGCTAACTCCGATCCGACTGCATAAACCCATGATTAGTACTTTTGATGGCTTGAAACCATAATCAGCCACTCTGACGGTCATCAGGTGGCACGCTAGCGGACTAGTGGCGGGCTATTTTGCTCACGATCCGTGCACCTCGCCAGCCTCAACTTCCTTAATTGGTAAATGGTAAAAGGTGAAATCAGAGTATACAGGAAGACCCACATGCTGGGATCCATGGCGAGCGGAGCTGTTCCTAGAATAGCATAATCTGGCTTGATTTATTTTGATCGCAGTTTGCAACGGGCAAATGAAGCAGCAGAATTGATTGATTAGGATACGGGTCTGTATTATTCATATGCCCTATCTCGCTATACTTGACCATCGTGGTAATTGTCGTGTTGCCAATACTGACAAACCCTGTTTTGATTTGACAACCTCATTTTAATCTTTATTGGACTTTTAGCGAACCCATGGCGGCTGAAATGATGAGGGCGATACAGGGGTTTATTTTGTTTATGTAGCGATTTGATCTCAAGGATTGAAAGAATTTAGGTCTAGCATTGTCATATTGAAAGAGCCAATGCATGACTATTAGAAACTGCAAGTGAATTAAGATCATCAGGATGGAAGGAAGCAGTGAATACAGCGCGAATATTTGATATCAGGCCAACTAAGTAGTTTCTGCTAGGTACAAATCGAACACTTTGTAAGTATTGATTCCACATGACTTCTAAATCAAACACAGGTGAACGATGATGCAGCATTTACATCCCCACCGGTGTAGGTAAATACTTGGGGATAGGGACACAGGTACCCCGTACGAGTGGCTGAAGTGTTCCCAACAGCAACGGCCAAGCCTTTCAACCGATCCGGCACCGTTCCATTCTCAACCCAAGCCCTCATCGTGTCAAAGACTGTTTCAGAAGGGTCGAACCCGGCTCCAAATCCACAATGGGTCACCCCCGGTGCAAGGAAGAGGCGGTAATAATCCGCAACGTTGGCATTGAGATCTGCCACGCGCTCATAGTAATCGACTGATCCATTAGTGGGAACCAGTTGGTCGGCCATGCCGTGCCAGGCAAGCATTTTTGTTCCAGACTTCTTCATCTTGGAGAGATCTGGGTTCGAAGTGCCAATCACGGAGGCGTACTGATTGACCGACTGACGGAAAATCAAGTCATATCCATTGTGGGTGAGGTTTTCAACGTCGAACGAGGGGTTGCGGACAACGAATGAGTTGACCCAGTCTTCTGAGACGCTGAATGGAATTACAGTACAGTTTTCGATGGAGCTGCAACTTGTTCCGATCATCGCTCCGAGGCTAGAATCGTGGTCAAATCCATACCAAAGAGACCGACCATCTTTTGAACGTGGACCATCCCAAACTGCAGAGATTAATTCAGCCATCTCCTTGGCAATCGTAACAGCCCCATTTGGGTCACTGCAGTTCACTTTTTGTCCGACGAGGGAAGATGCTTCAAAGTGGCATTGACCTGGATAAGCAATGATACCGTCGGTGACACCGTCAAGCCCATCGCACTCTGCAATAGCGGCCTGCGTGAACGCTTCAACGACACACAATGGTGGCTTCGAATCTTTAGATCATATACTGGTTAGAAATAGATACAGATAGAAAACAAGTTCCACTTACCAAGAAGTTGAGCAATAACTGGTCCCCAAATGCCTGCTGCAGCGAACTTATCCCAATTGATCGCTGAAGCTCCAGCAACAATACCGTCGAATAAATCGGGATGCTCTTGGGCCATTGCGTGTCCTTGACGACCACCGGTTGAGCAGCCATGCCAATAGGAATATTTCGCCTTGGAGCCATAGTATAATTTTGTCGCCATTTTTCCGAGCACCGCAGCTTCGGAAATAGCAACACTTGAGAAGTCACGAAGGGCCGGCCAGTTGGTCTTTCCATGACTCGTCAGGCCCCAGTCTGCAATGGATGTGGCAGGTCCATGCCCTCCATCCGTAGAAGAGGATGCATAGCCTAATAACACCGGAGTTAGAACGCTGCTTGGCCCGCCAGCATAGTATGCTCCTCCGCCATGCATCAAAAATCGTGAGTTCCACTCGCTTGTATCGAGAGGAAGACCAATGTACGTGTTTACGGTGTCGTCTTGTCCCGGGTGCGTGTAGGTCAAAGAGATAAGACAGATGTCCACGGTAGGAGTCTCAACGTTGGGAAGGTCGGGAACAACACCCACACCCCCGGTGGCATTTCGACCGCTGGTTGAAAGTTCGTGGTGAGCAGTGACATTGAAAGACTTGAGCTTGATGTTGTCCAAAGAGAGTGACTTGAATGTTGCTGCAGAACAAGCCGACGTATGATGTTCTTTGGTTGCGATGGTGCCCGGTAGCAGACTGGACAGTGCAGCCAATATGGTGGTTGTTCGAAAGACGTTCATGCTGAAGGCAAAGGCTTTCGACGGTATGGTGGAACGGGGAATGACAGTATTTAGCTGTTGGCTTTACCCGAAAAAATTACGCTGCCGGACAGACACATCACCTCTTTATATTCATGAGCCATACAATGCCTGTGCGGAAGCAAATTGCATGCCTTGGGTATCATAGCATAACCAAGGTGAGAGAGCAGTAATACGGATGGTGGATCGGAGGATTCGGGGTTCTCACTGTCCCAGTTCGTCTGAAAATATGACCTATACTCGTATGACATCAATGGGATCCAAGCCCATTGACAATGTAGTACCTGGAAATTGACTACCGAGCAATGCTGGTGGATATGCGTTCTAAACAATGAGCAATATCAATTTCCGCGGAGCCATCTCGTATAGCTATGGCGGCTGATGCCAAGCATATCTGGCTGCATCCTGACTGGAGGACAATTGTGGCTTGGAGGTAAGCCGCATGCGGGCTAGCGGCTTGCATATTCCAGAATTGGAATATGGTCAAGCATAAAAATCAGACCTGTACCTGCGGGCTGGTGGCTGATCTGCGCGTACGATTTGTAGGGAGGTGGCTGTACAACTGTTCGATATGCATCGCAGTGCCGGAGTCCCCGCCCACGAAGCTTTCTTCGCTACTCAGGTACGTAGTACCCAGTGGGTAGCTAAGCAGGATAGCTAAGCGGGCAGAGTTCAGAGTATCCTAACTTCGCAGCCGAGCAAAATGCTCGTTTCATTACTCGTCCTTTGTCGATGAGCTGAACTGTATTATTTTTAGAATATTGGTCTATTTTTTGTTCCTAGGTATGTTTGGAGAAAAAAGTATGTTGATGGAAGCGATGTACGAGGCCAGCTTTTCAGGATATCCGCACTCAAAAACGCGACACATCCCTTCCAAACAGCCTGTTCAAAGTCCATCTGAAGACAATACGCAACTTATTGCGCCAACTGATACTCATTGTAATGTATGCCGCTTTCCAGATAAGCGATGCAGTACGTCCCTTGATACCTTTAGGCAGGAACTTGTTTTTGCTTCCGTCATCTTCGTGAGGAATCTGCATCAACGCTCTCTCGTTGCCAATATAGGCCATCGTGCCCAGGTTCTTGAAGGAGAATGGTGGAGTCTGGGCCATATCATCCTTGTTCAGTCGCGATGCCAGCCATTTGGCTTCTTGAAAGGTAGCCTGTGCTGTCGCCGGTGGGGCGCCAGTCTCTGGCATGGCATTATCGCCAAGTGCGAAGACGTCTCGGAGAACGGCCGTCTGGCCAGATTTGTTTTCAAGCTGGACACGGAGGTGACCGTCGACGAGGAGTGGGCCCTTCTTGGGTGCTTTCTTGAATTTCCATGTTTGCTCCGCGCTAGCAGGCGTAGCAGAAGATCCTTCAATGGTGAGAACCGAGCCTTCAGGAAGGGGGTCGACTTCATTGAGACATTGGGTGATGAATTTCGGCATGGCATTTCCAGTTGCCCAAACACACATTCCAACGCCAACCTCGCCCTCCTCTTCAGTCGTCAAAGTCAGACAGCGCTTGGGATCCATCTCGTACGGTGGAGGAGCACCCGGCGGGCCCCACCTCAAGCTTTTGACGTGGTGGGAGGTCTTGATATCAATACCCTCACTCTTCATTGTCTCCATCGCATAGCGAGATAGTGACTCGTCAAACATAGACAGCACCTTTGGTGCAACATCATAGAGATTTAGCTTTGGGATCTCGTTGAGAGCTGGGTACAGTGCCATCATGTCCGCGTAGATGAAATCACGCAGAGAAGCCGCAAGCTCAATGCCAGTTGGACCAGCTCCCACGATGGCGAAGTTCAGCAGTGATTTTCGCATCTCTGGGGTAGTCGTCGGCAAGACTGCTAGCTCAAAGCATTCCCGTACACGCCGCTTCACCCTCTTGGCGTCTCCGATATCCTTGAAGAACATGGCATTCTCTCGCACACCCGGCGTTCCAAAAGTGCGACTGACAGCACCAACAGCAATGACAAGCTTGTCATATGGGACTTCGAATATTTCGCCTTGCTCCCATTGGCGCTGTTCTTGCATCGGCTTCTTGCTTGTACTCTCCGGGCCCTCCTCGGTCTGCCTTTCATTGTCCTCCGTGCGTGGCGATTCGGTGACACCGCTCCGCACAACCGTGGCTTCGCATAGAATAGTCTTCTTGTTCAAATCAACTGCGCGTGCAGCTGCTTGGATGAAGTCGACTTTGGCGCGCGGGTCACGCACAGGTTCGACGATGTTGGAGAAATCTAGGGATCCGCTTGCCGCGTCCGTGAGGAGAGGTGTGAAAACAAAGTAGGATCGAGGCGAGATGATGATTGGCGAATAGATATTGGGGGAGAGCTTGCGCGAGAGGCTGTACCCACCCCAGCCAGATCCGAGAATGACGACTCGTTCCTTTTGGTTATCGGAATGAGGGGCAGCGACTGTATGGTCGACTTGTGTTGCCAGGCATCTTCGGCTCGGTCTTTGATGCGAAAGGGCACCGCTGGGGGAGAATGCGCCTGTCAAGTGGAGAGAACTGCGAGGTATGGGACTCCATAGACACAAGGCCTGTCGGCGGAAAGGGAGCATTCCGCTCAATGGCCGGGGTGGCATGTCAATGGATTAGCTCTGTATGTCAGGAGTAAATAACGATTTCAAGCTGCAAGGCCATTCGTATAAACCCGGAGTCTAACACGTTCCGGGCTCATTTTCCGTATCCGCGGTATACTGTCCGCTGACCCATTGATGACCTCATGTTCGGTAGGGTAAGGAAAGGAGAGGCCCGGATCGGGATCTTCGACCCAAGCCTTTGGCCAGACCCACTTTGCTTCGAATGGTGTCGGATCCTCAAACTTCCGTAGACATGTTGAGCTCTGGCTGGCTCTATCAAGCTCGTGGAGAAACCCGGAACCCTTCGGAGCGGTCGGTGAGAAGGACTGGCACGTGCCACTGGAGAATGTCGGGAGATTTAGGCACAGGCTCACATGGCAGTGAAGGAAGGGTTTTTGGTCGTTGTTTTAGTGCAATTGAGAGATATGACAGCTGGCAATACAAAGCAGTCAATGTCGAGGGAGAACGTTGATAGCATGTGGTAGGCTTGGCATTATCACGTGTAGCACCACGGAGTCTGAGAGTTTAGTGGGAGGAACTCTTCATTATATATACATTTAGGCCCATAGTGGTGCCACACTCGATTATGGCATGATATTCACTGCATTGTTATGCGGACACTTGTTGCGTTATGCACACAATACGCTATCCTGATTAGGAAAGGTATCATAAAAGGTCCACTCGCCATAGGGGTGTATCCAAGTACACCATCACTTAGCTGAAATTCTTGTTGGGTGGATGAGAGAAGCATTAATTAGCAATTAGTATGGTTGTCCTAATTACATCGTAACCTGATACTGTCTGTTGGCCTTTTATGGAGTCTGACTCCTTCATCTAGCTACCCTCGTTCAACCAAAAGCGTATGTATGTCTAAAATTTTGGCTTTTTTTTTCGACATGTAGTAAAACAAAGCATCAAATCCCGCGTCTACCCAAGCTATGGCATCTCTGTCTTCTATTGGTTACTCACACGGAATGCTTTATACATTCGTTCATATCCACTAATTGTGAGTATGGCACTCGAACGCGGCCTTAAGCTCAAAACCTACCTTCCCCTATATAAAGGTTCTTTAGCTTTTCTGCCGCGATTCATTGGTAGCAAGACTGGAAGTAAAGTTAGAAGTGAAAAAGGAATGAAAGAAAAGTAAGGAAATCATAGCATTGCGTTTGACCATCGAAAACCCGGATTATATTGTCGGAGTAAGGCATATATAGTGAAGTAGATCAGTATCCCGACTGATATCCATTATGAAAATAGCGCCATTATCTTTGGAGACGTTTACAGCCACGCCTCAATACTATCTTTCACCGAAGAATCCCCACCAGCTGTCACCAAACATATCCCGGCCTGCTTTATCGAAAGAGGTGATTGAATACTTTCCGAAAGAGCTCGAGGCTTGCCTCATCGTTTTATCCTGGTGGGAAAGGACGACAATACCAGCCAAAGGCTGGAATTTTCAATAGAGCCGATGGGCAAAAGATTTGCTTCATGCCTTTCACCTCCACTGAGACAGTAGGGCCGAAAATTATTGTGTGCACCTCCCCCGAGGTCCGGCTACTCTAAGCCCTCTGCGGATAACAAAAAAAGCAGCAGGTTCCACTCCATGGCACATTGGTACTTGGCGACAAGTACGAACATCCCACGGAATTTCTGAACACTGCAGAAGTTATTGGTTACGGGACAAATCTTAGCCCAACCATTCGTTTTGTTTCCCGTCTGCGCACTGGTAAGATAGTAGTGCTCGGCGGAGGAAAATAGGCATTGTGGCACACTTGACTTGCCGTTATGCTTCGGGGAGCAGACATTAGCTTCATTACGATTGTAAATCAATCCGAGAACCAAACGCAAGAGCTCACAAAGACCGCCAACGAAGATAACGGAGTACGATGGCATTTGTCGTGTCGATTTGAATTCCTGAGTTCAACCGAGTTTAACCCAGGAGGGACCAGATGAGGAACTACAGTTGCGTCTCACAGATGCCGATGTGATGTTCTGCACAGTTGGCTCGTAAACTCCATTGTTCTCTTTGGAATCTCTGGCATTGGGAACACGACAAGGTAGGTACCCTCATCACTGTAGTCGGCTTTGGGCAATCTGATGTGATAGAGGTGGATCCGGCGATCTTGTATCATGTTATTTGAATCAATGTTTTCAATGCGAATGGTAACAATACAGAGGTAGTCTTTGTGGACGACGTCGAAGCATCCTTCATAATTTCTGGTAGACCTCGGCAAGGACCGGGACCGGACCATGCGGTCTTTGGTCTTTTTTTAAAGTAGTCAGGACCGGCATATCAATGGTGCTCTCAATGACGTTTCTGATGCACTTATTTATCATCTGTGTTTTTGATGTCTTTAATCCTTCGATTCCCAAATTAAGAGTTGTACACAGTATGAGGAGGATACTGCCTTGGATGGAGACAAAGGTAAATCAGTACGATTGAAATGTGGTCGCTTTGTGCTGCATTCGATGTAGGTCGCACTTCGATTGACCTAGGCATCGTGTCTTATTCATGAAAATCACGTCAAGGCGTATTCTTCATGCTGGGTTGCTCATAGTTACTTTCGAAATCAAGGTTGCTTGGATATCGTACCAAGCCTTAGTGCAGTTGATCATTTGCTGGTGTGATATCCGACCATATGATACATATGGCTGCCCCAGAAGAACTCTTATTAAGCTTTAGAGTAAGACCGTGGAAGTGAGTTAGTTTTGAATTCTAGCCTTTTGAACTGCTGCTTACCAAAATGAAACTCCTCTAACTTTTCTGAATTTCGTAACCGATCAGACGACAACCGGTAAGCAACTCGTATCTAGTTATCAAAGGATCATGCTGACGAAAGAAACAACTTTGAGCAGTATTTCTTGAGTTTAATATTAAATTGTACGCCGAAATATAAATTTCCTCGGGTGCTAGTAAGGAGATTGGTATTGGCACTAAAATTCTGGTTTTACAAGCTGGATCTTAGCAATACAAACTGGTGTGGAACCGTCACTGATCCACCTAAGTCGTTCATCATGCCTCACAGTCAAACCACTATCAACCCCAACCGGGCCAATTTCTTTCGGGGCCTGAAAGAAGATCTTACTCCAGAGGCATTGGAAACCCTAGACCCAGAGAAGTCCACGTCCCAAAATCTGCCGCCCATAGGTGACTCCTCTACGACCAAGTTCGAGAAATACCCATGCGTAACGCAGAAGCCTACGCCAGCGGCGATAGCCAATACCTTCAGTGCTACAGCTCTTCAAGTCGGGATTGGAAAGGATATACCCCGCTGGAAGACAGGACCGACGAAATCCGTCAACTTCGCTGTTCTTGCAAACGGATATCCTAAGCCCGAACTCGCTCTTCTGGCAGCAAACAGGTTGAAGGAAGCCGCTAATGAATGGAATACGCTAGAACTCGGCGTGAAGTTTGAGTGGGTCCAAAATATTGAAGATGCCGCATTCGTTCTCACCTACGCAAAGGATCCCATTCCTGGGGTCCTTGCGTCGGCCTTTTTCCCAAATAGTGTGGATTTGAACGTGCTGAACGTTTACGCTGATGCATTCGAGGAAGGAACAGTTCAGTACTTGAAGAACATTTTCTTGCACGAGCTAGGTCATGTTCTGGGATTCCGCCACGAGTTTGCCCCGGAGTTTGAAACCGGTGCCAACCTGAAGTCGGTCCAAATCGGTCCACGTAACCCAACATCAGTGATGGGATACGAATTCCCCCCCAGATGCAACCCTTGGACATTGAAAGCGCTAAGATATTTTACCAATTCCCTGGGAAATATCTTGGAGTTAAGCAAAACGATTATACTCCATTGCTTATTGTGGACTACGATGCAAATAACTAGTTCCGCACGCTGGGTGATGGGGGACAGGTCACTGGGGCTATCCTGGGTGTTTCATATGCACGGGGTAAAAGTGAAGTTTCTATGTTCTTGTTATTGGCAGACAAATTGACACCATATTTCTTTCTTATCATGCCACCATCACAATTGAACTCCGTATCTGAGCACAGCCTGCCCAAAAAATATTACACACGCCATGTAGTTGGTATATAATGACCGCTGTCACTTTGAAGCGCCCGCAAAATTGTTTCATCGTAGATTTTGCCTTGTCAAGTTTCTCGAGGCCGTCTCAGAAATCCATCTTCATCAGAACGCACTTGCCGCCAGAAACCACTCATTGTGACTTCCGAGATAAACTGTTTTGACCCTTAGGGTTTAGTGCCCTTCTATGAGAGCTTCTCTCTCAGCCCCAGACCTTCCTCCTCCGCCTCTCCTGCATACAATCCACATGGCTTTTGATTTGATCCTCGCTTCCTCTCAGTAGCTCTTATAGTGTTGCTTGATAAACCACTTGCTTGAGTACGGCCAAGCGGACCGGAAGCCCTATTTTCCACACCCCTTGGTCGCATATACTTGAGATGCCAGTAAGGGAAGCTGGATACTAAGAACAATTCAATTCAGAACCGCATGCTGCGTCTAGAAATTATTGCATAAATCCACGTACCTACGCTATACGGTCAGCTCATTCTTCTTAGTTTCGGCCTTCTGAATATTGTAGACAGTATCCGGTGGGGCAGTTCAGCGGAAGACGCCAAGGTGGGACACGTACGGCGCCTTATTGCCTAGACGCATCACATCGCTTAGAGGCTACCCCGACCGTAGTTGATTCGTGCACATCCGCGGCAGACCTGGCGTCATGCTTTGATGGTGGATGTACAAGCACGACCATCTTCTTTTGATAGCCATCCAATGCCTCCTAAACATGTCATACTCAGTGCACATTTTCATCTTTCTGCCCCAAAAAAAAAATTTCAATTTATGAGTTGTGGTTCCCTCTGCCCAGTTTTTTTAGCCATACAGTTTTAGCTGGCGAGGTCTCTCTCTAGCTTGTTAGGGGGTAAAGTTCACCCTATGGCGTCGGACCGACCCACCTAACCTTACACGTGTTCATATTTAGCAAATGCGACATTGACGACTATTTGGCAATGCGGTGTCTAAACACGCAGTTTCGTAGCTTATATTTCGTCTGTAAAATACCTTCAGATTGCATCCAATATGTAGCCACAGAATTTTTTTTATTTGATGTATGTTTTTTTCTTGTGTCTTGTCCTTCGCCAAACATGCAAAGCCGCTTAAAAATTCCATGAACATCCAGAAATCAATCAAGATTTGGACACTATGTTTGGCGATACTGAATGAGAAGTCGCGCGTGCGAGTGCAGAGAAAGTAAAGCCATGCACTAGCTCTGTTTAGAACATGATTTGTACATGAAGATTTAAAGAGCAGCTTGATTTGAGCACTTGGCTAATTAGCCCTGCATTTTTCAATGGCTTGGTTATCTGTATGATTAAGCCATCGGTATCAGCGGAGAGCCATCAATAAGCCGTGAGATGTTGAAAAAGTGGGACTTAGAGCAGGAACGCTTTCTTCTTGGAACAATCGCGTTTTGGCAGGCGTGGAGGGTAATGTTGATGGCGAGGATACTCCTCTAGAGGAGAGAAGGTCTCGGGAACAATTGTTCTGTCGCTGTAGTGTGAATGGGGCATAGTCCAAGATCTGGTTTGGTTAGGGGGAGAGCGCAATCTGACTGGATATAGGGCTAGCGTCGAGTGTCTGGGAAACAGAGATGTGTCAGGCTCATCCTAAGCTCTGGTAAATGTTTGGTACATGTTTGGTACATGTTTGATACATCTCTGTTACCGCTTCACCATGTGGAATCTGGTGATCATGCGCTGGGGGGTTGAAAACAAATTATCATGTCATTTACTCCTTGCCCATACTCGCTTAGGACAGGTTCAATCATTTTTACTTGGCACGTGAGGACAGTACGTAGCTGATATCCTTCTACTCTTTTGGTCAGTGGTCACTGCACCAGGGAAGTTCTCTTAAAGAATCTAGAGTGGTTCTGCTTCTTGCGGGGGTTAGAGGGCGAGAGGATGATTAGGATACATGTACCAGGAGAGTTTGGTTAATTTCGGCTCGGGTCGGTACCTAGATGATGTCTCCGAGTCAATTGAGGCATTTTGATCGCTGGCAGCCTTTGTATACTCGGTAGAGACTTCCGAGGTCATTCTAACACCGTGTTAGTAAGGCTTTATTTGTATTCAAACATACATCTTCAAACCAAAACCAAAAGCTGTCTTCTTTTGATGGCGTTGATATACCAAAACGTTATTTGCCCTTCCTCCCAGTTTGAGAAGAATGTTACGTATAAGATATAGAGTAGAAAGATTCAGAACTGCCGAAGAAACAAGATGGAAAATGAATTCGTGTTCGTCATTTCCATGTCTTCTGGGCGAATAAATACGTTTTTTCTTATATCAGCATTGTTCCCCACTGTCCCCGTCGAAGGAAGGCAAGAAAGATCGCATAAGTTCTTCGCTGAGGGAATCGTAAGGGAAATATGAAGCATCTGTTTCGGATGAAAGTTGCAATGAAGTCGTCAAATCAGGGGTCGGGAAATTGAGGTACGTCGTGTAGAACCCAGCTTCCGGTATGGGTCGAAAGGTATCCATCAAGTCTTCAGAACGGGGGTCATGATAGTCGCTGGGTGCAAATGAAGCAACTTGATCAGATCCAGAGTGAGTTTCAGACATCGCCTCGGTCGGAGGATTACCTGGTTGAGACGATGGCGAAGGTATATCATCGGTGTTATAGTTCATTTTGTTTGCCAGGTTCCGGAAGCTGGAGTCGCAGAGTTGCCATGCCCGACGCGAGCCAACACTGCGATCGGACATTGCAAAGAGCCAACGAATAGACTTTTTCGATAGACCCACAAGATTCTCTTCTTTTCCCGGTACGTGGACACAGCCAAATGAAAGCTCGAGGAGAATGATGGTCGCTGCCTGCATGAGATAGCGTAGCACACCCCACCACGGGCATAAGTGATAAAGCTGGAAGACATTTGGGTCATCCGGAATAAGATCGAGCATGCAGGTAGCCGACTCAAGGGTGAAAATGGCCATCGAACAACTGTAAGTCCAAGGTGAATTCCTCTGGCGTGCATCCCGCCGACAGAAGCAGGGACGGCCAAGGATCATCCGCGCACTATAGTAATGAAAGGCCAGAACCAATCTACATCGAAGCTGCTCATGACTGTCATCAGTCGGTTCTTTCCCAAAGTCGAACGCCGCTGGCAGACTCGATTTCCAGAGTTCGATTCGAGCCTTGAGTTCATCGAGTCGACTTTCAATCTCTGACCACACAAGCGTCACGGCATTTGTCGAATAGACCTTGTTCACAATCTCCTGTGTGACTACTGCCAAATCACAGTAGTAGAGATAGCATAGACCCGTGTTTGCCGGCAATCCTTTCAACCATGTTTGATCCCGTGGCGGAGGGGTCTGGGTGTCATCTGGGGCACTGATCCATGAGCTCGCCATCACCTCACCGATCCGTTCATCTCTCAATGCAGGGTCATTGAGTAACTCGATAGCGATTGGGTCATCTTGTAGTTGGTGCTCTTCAAATGGTAGTGGTAAAGGGGTAGAGTAACCGCCTTCGAGGGTATAAATCGCCCGACCGGTCATAACGCCCAACAAATGCTCGAAAGTGTATAAGGACCACCAAACTCTATAACGTGTTTCTTTTGAAATGCTGGAATTTTTGGGATTTTCGGCTTTGAGATTGATGCCGAGGGTGATTGCCGAACGCAGTGCCAAAGCTTGTATCCTCCACGCTCTACAAGTCATGGTTAGGAAATCCTAGTCTGTGGAGGTGCCGCTGTGATACTTACCGATTAATCTGATCAGATGCAGCTAGGTAGAAAGCAATCAAGCCTTCCACTTGAACTTGCTGTAGATCAGGGTGGCTGAACAAAATTTCGCCATTCATACTCAACCGTCGACCCCGGGTCAGGTACACCAAGTGATCATTTTCATCGCCCCGCCATGGTGCTCGGATAAGATGTGCATGTCTGGCTGATATTGCGAATATAATATTCAAAATAGCAAGCCATTTATCACTCGGCCGGGTTGAGTTGTCGAATAAAGTTTCGTACTGAAGGCGAAATACTGACTTGCTGATGATAGGAAAGAACGGGTGAACGGTTTCTAGGTAGTCATCAATGAGCTGGTCGGCGAGCGGTTTTGATGGTAGGGTATAAAGTTGTATCGGCTCCGGCACACAAATATCGAGGTCGTCGAGGCGGTAGTTCATGGTATGGAGAGAGACTCGATCCTTTGTCTCTTCCTTTTTGCCTTGGGCGGGACCCGAGATATCCTTTTTGTTTCGAGAGCATCTATTGATTTCCTTCTGGAGCCTTTTCATCCATGAGATTTCTGATGTTTTTCCAATGAAGCCAGTTGCGCGGGTACGGTTCGTGCGGTTCAGGTCCTCGTCCACTCTATCGATAGCTTCCAGTGACCCGATGGACAGTGGTGAAGATGGTTTGTCGGATTCGACCGTGTTCTGTGATGCCGATAAAAGAGACTGCGGGTGTTCAAAGGGGGCAGTCGTATTTTGGCCATGCTATACAATTATCAGCGATAGCAAAAAAGGGGTTGGGTATTCACACACTTTATCCAAGAGGGCCTTAACCCAGCCACTGGTGCGAGACTCTGTCGCATTCCGTAAGTCGTGCAGCAAGCTTTCATATTCTTGCACTGCTGCTGAGAGCCTTTGAACCTCCCTGTTGTGTTCCCATAGATCCAACGGTAAGATTTGAGTGTTCCCACCTAGCATATTCCAGGTCTCACCTTGTCATTTTTTCCCTCCATCCCACTGGGTAATAACAAATGAGCCCTAGCTCTCGGCATTGTCGGCAAAGGGGTGTATCACCACTGCATTTCGATTTCCGGCGTCGGCAAGCCTCACAAGCTCGTGGTACCCTTCGACTGTATCGTGGGGTTGTGTCCTGATTCTGACGGGGAATTGCAATTTTTGCATTACCGAGTTGGGGATCTCCGACCGGCGTTGATTGAGATCTATTTGTCCCCCGCGCGGAAGCTAAATCTGTACTCGAGGGTCCACTTAAAATTGCAGGGGCACTTTGTGGCTCTGGTGGCTCTGTTTCTTGCCCATTCCCTTTCTTCATGCTGGGAAAGACAAGACATTAAATGGAGAACTGAGCTTTCCTTCAGTTATGAGAATAGCTAGCTTAATTCACTAGAAAATAAGCGGCCAATAGGTTGCCAGTGCGACACTATTTGCTTCGGTCTGAGATACCGCCAATCAGAAGCCTGCATTTCCTGAAGCGGAAACAAGTGGGAAATCAAGCCCTAATGTTGACTGAGATACATATGCCGTCCCCCCTTGATTTGATCTACCCCTTCAGTTATGCATACTCTGGCAGGTGTCAATTTAATGACCGGCTGCTAGCTCAAGGACCGCAGTGACATGTCTAGGACAATGCCTTGCATTCCTAGCAATTATTCCCTAAAAGTACTACACTTATACTTCTGTTCCATGCATCCACTCATCTGCATTAAACCTTGATGTGACGCCCTAACCGTAGTATCGGGAATATAGGGTTCGAATATATGGTTAGCGAGCTTACGTAGCACCAGTGACCCAACACGTGTAAACAATGTAATGGAGTATCAAACAGACTCTACACAAAGGTTTCGGAGCCAGCACACTATTTCGTTCATTGCTTTCGCCCTACTTGCCATCTCTCAGTTTTACTGTTTCTTTGTCTACTTTCGAGTGCCTCTGTCATTTAGATATACAGATGATGAAATCTGAAAGAAGCTTCTAGCATATGCCTGTAGTTTCGCACAGAATATCAACACAGAAAGATCCGATTACTATAGATACCCTCGACAAGCTCGTGTAACTCATCAAGGATTTATACTGGACCGAATCAAAAATATAGAAGCTTTGACCTGACGAATGAAAGCATGCTTGTGTGAACTTCTCGTCTCGCGGTTAGGGTTTCTTCGCTGTAAACAAAATTCCATTGGACGGCTCTACTTCGAGAACGATTAAAGCGTGTTATCAGTCCTCAATCAAGTCTAGATTATCTCAATTTAACCCTATTCCACCTGCTGATGGTGTAATATAGAAACATGCCAAACAACAACATCGGGCTATCCGAGCTTCCAAAGCCTATCAAAATGTGTGGGTGTATTGAGCTCTTTCCTTGAAACGATATAATATACATTCTAATCTTATGAGAGTTAGAGATTCATACTATTAACGAACAAAATTGAAAGTTTAAAGCAAAAGTCGGTAAAGATATTAAACATAGCGAGGACCGGGTTGGACTACAATCGCGTGGACATCGGCCAATTCTTATGAATTAAACCGGGCACAGGCCGAATGAACCCGAAAGATGCTGTTGAAATCGACGCAAAATTGAAGGGAGTCGGTAACATCATAGATCTGGGCATTCCGAGCTTCTCATTGGCGGGTAGGGACTCAGGGGCATATCATTGGTGGAACGCCAACCGCGGGGAAGTATGAGGCTGAAAATGGAAGGTGCTTCTGTGATTGTCTAACTTCCACTACACACCACCAATATGAAGGTTCGAATAAGTTTGCAGTTGAATTTTTGTTTCTCATTATGACGTATTGTATTGATGAAAACTGCTAGGATACTCTGTTTGCTGGATTTGGCGGAGCATAGGGTGTTGAGTATTGACTGAGAAGCAGAAGGCGAGAAATCCCAGAAGTCAAAATCAGAGCCTGCTTGTTGCGGCGAGTTGGGAAGAAGAGAGTCAAGAGCAAAGGTTATTTTGTCCTGAATGTGACGAGCACAGCGCCAGGAGGCGGAAGTGACGAGAAGGTGAGAAAGTTGAGAAGAGGGAGGTGCGAAGCCTGAAGACGAGTAACAGATGAGAGCCTAAATGTCGAAAAATACAGAGATGTTGTTACCTAGATAGTTCTCTTATCTGCGTCTGAGCCATCATTATAAACAGTCATTATTCTCATATTCCCATTATTATACAATTTGGTACACAAGACAGCATGCTATGACTTCTGTCTCCGTTTCTCAAGCAGACAACTTTTTTGCAAGCTAAGCTTAAACAATGACTGCGGGTCTTGGGACTTCTCTTTTCGAGTCCAAGGAGATGTAATATTCGTCTGGTTTGGCTGTCGCAGTTGTGCTGGTGTCGATAGACCATGATTGATTCTATTGAAGGATCCAATGGGAAGCTCTGCAGGTGTTCCTCGACCTCCAGCAGCGATCCTCTCTCGTCTTTTCCTTTCTTCTTCTTGTTGATGTACTCCAAATGCAACGTCGAAGATTTCGCGAACGTTCATGGTATCGGGAGTACGAGAACCGATTTGATGTCCAGCAGTCAGATTGGGAGGTGCAAGATGATCTGGCTTCGATTCTTTCGTAGGAGAGGCGGTCTGGTGGTCCGGGCTTGGAGTTGCGTATGCAGACTTAGTTTCACCGGACGCCTGTTTGATCCAGGGATGGTCCATAAAGTCCTGAATAGTGAAGCGTTTCCCGGGATCGACAGTGAGGAGATTGGCAACGAGGTCTTTTGCCTCTTTTGAAATGGGATCCCACCATGGAGACTGGAAGGTATATTCTCCATGGGTAACTCGTCTTTTCAAGATATTGATGTTTGGGTCGTAGAACGGAGGGAATCCAACCAGGAGTGTGAATAGGACACACCCAAGAGCCCAAATATCAACACCCATTGAATATCCTTGATCTGAAATGAGCTCAGGTGCGGCATATCCCATAGTCCCACATGGTGTCATGGTTTGGTTTCCATAACTATGAAGCAATTTGGACAAACCAAAGTCTCCCAGTTTGATCTTTCCAATACCGCCGCACCCAACGCCAGGGATGAACTCGCCTTCATCTGCTTTCTCTTCGTCAAAATCGGTATTGATTTTCTTGCTTTGTTTCCATGGTATGGAATAGAAGAAGATGTTCTCTGGTTTTATATCACTAGAATAGAAGTCAGAATGGACCAAAAGCATAGATTAACATATGACTTACCGGTGAACAACACCTAGAGTACCATGGAGATATTCCACAGCTTTGGCAACTTGAAGAATAACATGTCTGCTAAGATCTTCACTAAAGTATGTTAATTTAATGACCTGGTTGAAGAGCTCGCCACCAGTGCAGAGCTCCATGATGATATAACAATATTGGCGTGTCTCGAAAGAGTCGACAAATTGCACGATATTTGGGTGTTCGGCTTCTTCGAGGATGTGAATTTCCTTGTTCATATTTTCTATCTGTTGAGTTATTAGCGGATGCAAGAGACCAAAGTGGTTCAAGCGTCATACCTGTTGTTTATTCATTTCATATTTTCTCAATACCTTGATGGCAACCTCTCCATATTCTGAGGTTGTGTCTTCGGCACGGTAGACACTACTAAATCCACCCTTGCCCATGGTCTCGAGGAGAGTCCAACGCCCCAATCCAGGGTACGAAGGCATTCTTGATTCAGCCATCTGAGGGGCGGTAGGCTTCTTGGTGTTCGTTTGGATCTTGGAGGTATTAGGCTTCGCAGTTTTAACAATGGAGGGTACGGCAGATGTGCGGAGGTCATCTGTAGATATAGGTGACATTATAACCAAAAATGGCTCAAATGGCCGGTAACAGCACAAATTTGGTTTAGAATCACACGATATGGATTATAGAAGTCAAATATCCAGGGCGAGATCAGAACTGATATAACTATACGAGGGTACGTCATTGCCGAGAAACAAGTTGGGTCCATTGATGTAAGTGAAGATATCAAGGATAGATATCAGTTTACGTAAGGCAGGAATGTGGGGATCTTCAATGTGAATGCTTCTGGAGTTAAGTTCCAATTGGGCGGGGATCTAACGTCAGAGACGCTAGAAGCCTATCAAGGAGGTCGAGAACTGCCCTGAACATCATTGCATGAACAATCGCCCGATAATATTTCGAGATGGTCGACCCAGTGAGATGTTTGCACCATGTCAATCCGGAAGACATTCAGCCTATCAGCGACGCGGAAGCCACCGCTCATCAAACACAAATCTGGCCCAATTGGGCAATGGTCGGCAAGAGGCAAATCGCCATTTCCGCCTCAGGCCAAAAGGCAGATGACTTGGCACGTGATATCAAATCTGCTATGCCACTACGCCACATTTAATGCACGTGATATATGGCACGCGTCCTCGGAGTGGCGCAAGCCCCATGAGTCAACTCTCGGAGTTAGGCGCAGACTGCCTGATTCAGCTGCTGATCGATAGTGTTAGCTCCATCGAGACATCTATATTCGCCTCCCCGACAGATTATGGTTTGGTAGATTCGAGAACCATCGAGTAGTGCGTTGTCATCACCGAGGATTTGGCCATATGGGGGAACTGACACTCGGCCCCGAGCATGATGGCGAATATGATTGGAGATGATGCGGTCTAGGCAGGCCTGGGTACGTACACCTTTATAGATGAATACGGGGAGCTTGGCTGCCTGGGTGGGTGAATAGATGTGTATATAAAGACCTGTTTGGTGCACCTGTCGGCTGGATTTTGGAATCAGATCAAGTGTTGTTCACTTTTCTTTTCTTCATTCCTTTTCTTGATACCTTTCAGTATATCATCTTTCAACATCTGATAAGATCAAATTTATCTGTACCATCGATCGACAACTTCAAGATGGCTTCCATCTATCAACTCAATCAACCGTCTAATCCCTTCTGGGATCTTTTCAACGGAAACCTAGAGAATCATCCTTTCTTTGCTCCTGGAGGCCACCATGGAAGACGTGGACATCACGGCCACCGTCATGGATGGGGAAACCCCCAACAGAGCGAGGATTTTCCACGAGGCACTGAAGGTCCCAACGCAGAGTCCAACGGAGAGATGAAGAACGACAACTCAACATCCGACCCCGACTCTCCAGATAACCAGCACCGCCGTTGTGGCCACTGTGGTAAGGGCAAGGGTGAAGGCCGTGGAGGTCCCGGTCATGGTCCATTTGGTGGAAGAGGAGGCAGAGCAAAGCATGGACACGGCCACCACCACGGTCCTGATCCCTTCGACTACATGAACGAAATTAGCCCAAAAGACGTCGAAACATCTCAAGAAAAGGGTGAAGCTAAAGATCCCGACATTGAGACCACGGAGATCCCAGTATGCGAGAACGACGGCAGAAAATGCAAGAACAAGGGCCACGGAGGCCCAGGTCCTTTCCGAGGAAAGGGCGGCAAATGCAAGTACGGCCATGGCCCTCACGCCGGTCCATACGGCCACGGCCATGGTCCCCGCAGCGGACCATGGGGCCACCACAACCACCCCCACGAGCACGCAGGAATGTTCGGCCGCCGCGGACGAGGTCCTCACCATAGAGGCGGACACGGCAGACACGGCGGGCCCCCAATCGGCCAGGGCTTCCCCTTCAACTTCCTCCGCAACCTCGGAATCCCAATGGACGAGCCCGCCCCCGAAGGAGTGGATTTCACACCTACCATCGATGTGTTCGACACGCCGGCCAAGTACATGGTGCACGTCTCACTCCCCGGTGCGAAGAAGAGTGATCTGAGCATCGACTATGACGCCGAGGAATCAGTCCTGCGGTTGGCGGGTGTTGTTCACCGTCCTGGTATTGACGAGGATATGTATCAGGGACTCGTGATGGAAGAGCGTGGGCGGGAAGTTGGTGTCTTTGAGCGTGAGGTCCGGTTCGGGACCAGGGCTGCGCCAGCTTTTGTTGTTGTTGAGGAGATTTCGGCGAAGTTGGAGGATGGTGTTCTTAATGTTGTTTTGCCCAAGGTTGTTCCTGAGCCGGAGGTTCAGAAGAAGAAGGTAGTTCTTGAGGTTGATGAAAACCTTGAGGGGGAGAAGGGTGATGTGGTTGATGAGAAGGTCCGTGAAAATTTCACACCCGATGAGTCGGAAGTCAGTGACCTTGAGGATGGTGAGGCGAGGGATTATGTGAAGGTTCCAGTGCTGTGATATGAGTCTGTTGGTTTTGAGATTTGATGGTTGGCGTTTGGATCTGAATGTTTAGTATTAATAATTTGATATTTGCAATTAAGAATGGACAATCCCTCGGGTGGTATACATATCAGTACAATTTCCTCGTAGAAACTTGTAATCGTAGCTCATTTCGTTTAGTACAGTAATATCCGAAATCGTTCGGGCTCCTATCAAGAAACAGCTGCGGCCATAGTCAATTTATTTCTCTCGTGGCTTAAGGTCAATTAATAGGTAAGTGTCATCTGCATGAGAATGGTCGAAATCTACCAAATTTGTAGTCAGTGCTATTTCTTTCTACTTCTATCTTAAGTCAATCCTCCCAATGAAAACCACCCATCATGTTGAATGATAACAAGCAAGATTATTCCCACAGGGAAATCAGAAATAAATACATAAAATCTCCACAAGCATGACATGCATTTTCTTGGGCAAAGAGATGCCTTGCACACTTTCGAACTAGATCAATCGCAGTTACCACCATTTAGGCTGCAGGGACTTCTTGCGTGGAGCAGTGAATACCGCCGCCCAAGAATGGCAACTGATCGAGGCGCACAGTCATCACCCGTCGATCTTGATACAGGTCACGGATGATCTTCAAGGCCGCGGCGTCGGCCTTCTTGTCTCCAAATTGAGGGAAAATAACTCCACCATTCACGAGTAACCAGTTGACATAGCTCAATGAAGGGTAATCCTCCTCTTCACTTTCAATATCCTTCAAAGTCCCTTTGTCCAATCCGAGAGAGTACAAATCGGCTTCGACCATTTCGATAACCTCAATACGTTGGCCATGAGCATCCGTCGCGTTGGAGAGGATTGAATAGGCTTCTTTAAACACAGCAGAGAATTGAGTGTTGTCAAGAGTGTTCGGTTTGCTGATAACGACTTTTCCTGGCGCCACGAAACGCGCGAGGCCATCAACATGGCCATCAGTAACATCACCGCCCTTAACACCAGGAAGCCAGATAATATTCGAGACACCAAGCGTTCGCCGCAACTCATCCTCGATCTGTTCCCGGGTTTTGCCTGGGTTCCGGTTTTCATTGATGATCGAGCTCTCGGTGATTAGAAGAGTACCATCTCCATCAACCTCCAGCGAGCCGCCTTCCGTCACAAGCCAGGTCGAAATCCGAGGGCGGTCCATGTTGTCACAGACCTGGGACGCAAGAGACTCGGAAGCAGCGACGGGGTATTTGTTACCCCAGCCATTAAAATTGTAATCAACACCAGAAAGGTGGCATCCATCAAACACGAAAGTTGGTGCCATGTCACGCATCCACAAATCAAGCTTGGGAAAATCATGAACAGGCTGGACGATGATATCGTCTGGGTCGTGCTTGAACCGTTTCTTTGCCTCCTTGAGACGATCTGGGGTGACAAGCAGGGTGACCTCCTCAAATTCAGCAACTGCTTCAGCAATTGCTGAAATATCTCGGGTGGCAGCAGCTAAATCCCGACTGCCGCCTTTATCCGCATAGGCGTCGTTCTCGATCGATGGCCAGGCCATAATGATTCCATCATGGTGGTCCCATTCTGCAGGACGGTACATAGCTGATGCGACAAAAGCTTGTAACTGAAGAAGAGCAACGAAGAAACGTTTGGGGGTCATAGAGTCGGTTGTTGAGTTCTCTTTGGGGCTAATGTAAATGAACCATTTCTTTGCGATGCTTTTATACCTTATCATTTATGACTGTGGTTAATTAATATTTCTGCCTATATGGCGTGGGCAGTGCTTTCCGTCACCTCGATATAAGTTTTCGTCAGGGTCTAATGTAACGCCACAGCCCCGGTCTTCCAAACCCTATTCCAACAATTTACCGCCAAACTACACGTTCTCTATGGCACGCTATGGCTGAATTTGGTAATCATCGTCAGGAACCGCGGCTCGCGGTCCTAAAAGGAAATTGTAATAGGCAGCAAACTCTCAACGGTCCCGCATCGCGTCTTATTGTTTGGCTTGCGCTTTTAGCATGGTATCGCGGGCCCTCGCCAAGGGCGGAGATCCGAGATTCCGGTTCCTGCAGAAGAACTGAGTGATGGATTATTACAACAAAGCATAGGCCAATTTCAGGTATACCGAATTACGCTGGCGTTTTGCATAGTCCAGAGCGATCAACTTTGATCTCCTAATGGTATTGTGCATAGATACCGCTTGGTTTACCAGGCGTCGAAATGAGAACGTAATTATTAAAAATATGTATATTATATAACATAATCTAGGTGGGACTAAGGCAGCCCAATATCGGACCTGTCGAGTGGACCTTCGCAGTCGTTAATTGCTGATCCATCAACACGAGCCACACATAAGCCACAAGCCGACTGTCGCTAAGCCTAGTGGGGAATCGCTTAGTCGCGGCTTACCCTGTTTTGGCTCCAGACACAGCCGCATTTGATGACGGCCGAGGCAACTCGGAGATGAGCGATCCAGTCACTGTACTCCGTACTGAACATAGCTATATAATAGGCAGCAAGGTTCTCCAGACAGCGGAGGTCACTCTGGGCAATAACAAGGTAGAATGCAGAATGCTGTTGAGACTGAGATCGAGACTTTACGTTACAAGAAACTGGGTTGCCCAGCCGGTTCTTCTATCGACCCAGGTTCAATCGACTTACGATATTACAATGAGAGTTTACTGACAACAGCGAAACTCGAGAGAAAGATGATTGTAGCCATTACGCAAAGTTAGCTCCGCTAAGCTGCAGGAAGCTGTGGACCGTTGCCAAGCTTGTCCAGAACCAAGAGGATCCCCGCTTTCAGATCGACAGTAAACTAACAATAATTTGATATTTGGCCAATTATGCACCAAGAGAAACGGTCGCAATTTCAGAGACACGAAGATCCCCGCCAAGTTGACTTGCAAAAAGCGAACATAGCAAGTCCTTCCGCTTTTACGCTGTCACTGCAAGGTAGGGCGATAGAGATAGACCAATTTGCCTCCAGCATCAGAAAGATCTGCGCAACACACTCAGAGTGGTAGAATGATGTAGATATCATTCAGGACTAGTATAGGCTTTTGCTCCGACCATCTTCCGCAGTGTCGATGAAGCTGGTTGAAGAAGTCTTCGTAGACTGTGGCTCAACGGATGCCATTGAACCGCGAAGAAACACGAGAATGCACATCAACGAAGACCAAGCGGTGCGGCTTGAACCCAGTAAAATGATTACTACAGATGATAAGCGCAAATCCTTGCTGGATGCATTAAGTCTCAATCTTTCAGGCAGAGCGGATCATTTCCCATAGACCCATCTCCTAGGCCAAACTAGCCACTCCTGGAACCCCGGGTGAATCTTGCTCTCAATGTCCTCCAACAATTGACGAGAAGCACCATTGACGAACCAGCAGTGGTCAATCAGATGTAGCAAAACGCACCAGTGAGCCAGAAGAACAAGGGCAGCAGGTCTATAAGCTTCCAGATCTTCTTGGAAACGCTTGGAAAGTGAGTAAGCCCACATGAGAACCATACCAGTCTCGATATGTGGACCGGCGAGCTCAAGTTGACGGGTTGAAGTTTCGAAGAACTTCATGGCATTATTGTAATCTTCCCTGTGATCAACTGTCGATGGGGGTCCCGTAGAAGCATTTTGGCCGAGAGTCTGAGCCGGTTGAGAAAAGGGATAGTCATCAATGAATTGACGAAGTTGCGATATCCGGTCCCGAATATCAGGGGGAAGCATAGATTGTTGCATGACCGAAGGACTAGACTGATTAGCTATACCGAATAAACCCGAGATGATGTAAGAACCCACCTGGGGATGAGCATATCATCTTCAAGCCAAATACAGTTCACCAACGGCGCAAGCTGTGTTTTTCGAAGAGAATGCAGCCATGGCTCCATGATAGTTTGAAGTCCATTAACAACAGAGAATAATTCAACTACATTCAAGATCGGGTCCGGCCAACGATCTGTGCCTAACCTAATCGGTGAGGCGCAAACATAGACCATAATCATTGAAGCAAAACAAAACACGGGTTGCCAGTTGCTAGGGTCAATTGGCGAAGTAATAAGTTCTCGGAACTCTTTTAATCCGGCTGCCTGGTGGTAGGCAGATGCTTTGATATATTTTTCTTTCTGGGCAGGGTAGAGACAGGCGCGGTGGAGGGCAGCCAGTGCCAATATCCCATGCATCAAGTACTGATTTGCATAGCCCTCCATGGGTAAGACAACTCGCCAGACATGTCGAGCATCTTCGCGAATTGTGAGACTGTTGCATGTCACTGTGCAGTAATGGTGCATGAGTTCAAGATCGCATGCCCAGTCATCTGTGTTTGAAGGGGTACCAGATGGAGCGTTGGACAGAATATGTAGAAGGTCAAGTCTACTCTCACGTCTGGGGGGATAGACAGCCGGTGTAGAAGATGCGGGAGTGTAAGACTCCCGATGGAAAGGCGACGGGACATGCAGGGCCAAAGACTCCGACCGCGTGGCCAGGGTCTCAGCTGGGGTAGATATGGCACTGCCCGTTCCATGCGCATCATTCGGTCGCGTATAGCTACAAGGAATACCGTGTTTGGTACAGTTAGTACACGGATATCGTTCGTCGCACTGCATCACGTTAGAAAGGTCGCGGTGAAGCCAGAGTACGCACCTTCAATCTTCGCGTCTTGCATTCCTGACACCCATTACGCGACTTTCGATGTGATCTTCTCGGAGCCATCACTAAATAGAGAGAAGTTAGAGACAAATGTCGATTTGAGTGCGGATACGGACACGGACACGGACGCGGATGCGAATACGGATTCGAACGCGAGGCTCCACTTACCCACTTTGACATCGGCTAAGAGCAAAATGCATGTCGCCAGATAATAATAACTCGAATCACAGTGAAAGGAATGCCTGCCTAGATTTGATAGTGGAGATAAGATCTGATTCTGTTTCATATCCACGAGGGTTGGAGTGGGAGGGCTGAGGGATTGGGCCTTCTTATAAAGACCGATGGACCCTAGATAGAATGAAAATATCTAAATCTTCACTTTTCAGCCCAAGATGGCTTCAGGCGAGCATAATATCTATGGTTACAATCCTTCAATTCCGGCAGCTGTCATCTTCATTATTCTCTTCGGTGCCTCAACTGCCTACCATGCTTACCAAATCTACAAGTCACGATGCATGTACTTCATTCCGTTCTTGATCGGTGGTATCTGTAAGTTGTTCAATTGCTTTCGCGATATGCTTATTCCTAACCTCTATAGTCCAAATTATCGGATACATCTGTCGCGCAGCCTCACATGACAATTACTACGGAATTCCCCTATACGCAATTCAAACCCTCCTGATTCTGCTCGCTCCTCCACTATACGCCGCATCTGTCTACATGGTCCTAGGCCGAACAGTGACCTACCTCCAGGCAGAAACTCAGAGCTTGGTGCCAGTGAGATGGATGACAAAGATCTTCGTGTCTGGTGATGTCTTCTCGTTCCTCCTACAGTGTGCTGGTAAGTATTTCAACTCCAATGGGGAACATGCCCAAGGTAATAATCTCACAAAACCCACTCATATAGGTGGCGGTCTTATGTCTGCAGGAGCATCCATGCACCAAACAGGTTCAAACGTAACAATCGGCGGTCTAGTCATCCAACTACTTTTCTTCGGCTTCTTCGTGATTGTCACGACAGTCTTCCACTTCCGCATCTCCCGCCATCCAACCTCCAAGTCACAAAACGACCTTATCCTAACCCAGGGCCAGGGTTGGAAGCAGCGTAACTGGTTTACTGTTATCTTGGCGCTGTATACTGTCAGCATTCTGATTCTTATTCGGTCTGTTTACCGTCTTGTTGAGTATAGTCAGGGATACAGTGGGTATATCATGACACATGAGGCGTTCATGTATATCTTCGATGGATTGCTGATGTGGATTGCTATGGTTGTGATGAATGTATATCACCCGGCGGAGATCCTAGGTGATGGGAAGGATAGACAGAGTGGATATACGGAGACGATACAGTTATAGATCGAGTTTTGTTTAGCTCTATAGAGACGGGTATTCAACTTCTGCATGGAAAACAAATAGCCAACGCCAGAAACAAACAAGCAAAACATCATAAGCCGTAATCATATCATCGTGATCTGTAGTCATTACTTGACCGAGCATCATAACTTTTCCTCACCCCATTGCCCAAACCATTAGCATATAAACCAGGCCGCTTAGACACGGCAGAGCCGCGCGTGGACACAGGCAACAAATTTCCCCCATATTCAACGTCCACACTCCGACGCATACGTGACAGGCTAATAATCTTCTCCATCTCCAGCGCCTGCAACGGTCCCTCCCGTTCAGCCGGCGCAGCAGCCTTCTTCCGCCCAGCCAGCCAGCGCCGACTGCCAACACGGAAGAAACCACCAATATCATCAACGGTCAAGGCAACCCAGACAAGCGGGATGGAAATCGCAAAGCCAATGCCGAAGGTATACTTAGCCACATAGCCAAGATTCAAATTATCGAATTCCTTCATATTGATCGTGAAAATGGACGTGATAAACGACAGCGGCAAAAAGACGATCGTGACAATGGTGAAGACCATAATCGTCTTACTCTGGCGTGTAGTACCAGCAGCCTGATCACGCGCAAAGCGAGCCTCGAAGGCATTGGCATGTTTCTGTTTTAGATCTAGCAGGTCAGTGATAGAGTGGTAGATGCGTTCGGCCTGTTTATCCATTCGATCGATATCCTTGAGGTGCATATCGATAACGCGCTGCTGATCCTTGAACCGTTTCTTCACTTCGACCTGGGAGCGATGCTGGCCTTGATATGTCTCGCAAATAACATCTTGGAAATCGATCAGGACGTATTTTTGGTGTTCAAGGACTGTGCGTATCATGTTTAGTTCGTCGCGGATGTCTTTTGTTTCGGCTAAGAGATCGGTTTCTTGTCCGATGTCTAGGAGCCGGTCAACGAAGAGTGGTTGACCGTCTTCGTCGCAGTAATCGCTTGTCAGGCCATCTTCGTCGACCGATTTTGAGAATGATCCGTTGAGCTTGCGGTGGCTTTTTAGCCAGTCGGATGCTTGCACGGAGGCGTGGTTGAATTGGTTAAATAGAAGAGTCTCCTTGTCCGTTGCTATACCGATGGATGACTCGAACATATCCAGGAATTGGTATTCCTCATCGCCTAGCCGGTGTCGATCAAAGACTCCCGAGCATCGACTTGTAATGATAATTGCTAGGTCATATACTGACTTGACCGGGTCGCGAGTCTTGGAATTGATATCCTCGATAATCCCATCTAGTACGTTGAGCGGGTCGTTCTTGGGTTGGTCCCATCTTTGTGGGAACCCTGTGACAATGAGGTTCGTGCCGAGAATCCACATCCACAGTTGGTCGACCATGAAGATCTTGGGGTCGGAACCCATCCCTGGACTTTTGGTTTGGTATCGATATACCACTTGGTCCTGGTCGCGGCTCCTGGTATCGATATTTGGGTAGAAGAATTGGTCTAGTGTTCTGCGGACGTGCAGAGAGGTTGTGGAGGATGAGAGATGTGCATCGATGAGCATTTCGTCTCTTGTGCGCATTCTCTTCATTCCTCCTGGAATGAATTCCAATGTCTCGGCGCGTTGAATAGCATCTTGCATCTTTTGTCTTCGCTCTGTTGTCTCGAAGTGGAGGTATGGCATGAAGACGCAGATGTTACAGGCCGAGACAAGAGGATGAGGGTCTTTGCACATTGATGACAACAGAGGCGATGATCGAGTCTGTTTCTCACTCGGTCCCCAAGGCGACTTGCCTTTTGTTTCAGACTTGGGGGTCCCTGGTACACTTCCCGACTTGCCACGTTTCTGATTCTGGTTCTGATTGCTTTTGCCTTTCTTCGCTGGTTCATCTTGGGAGTGTGAATCGACTCGCTCCATCTTGCCGCCTTTCTGTTTGCGAGATGTATGCTCTGGTTTGGCTTGTCCTTCTGACAGCTCCTCCTCGGTTTCTTTCTCTTTCTCTTCCTCCCATCGTCGCATCATCGTCCGCGGTGTGTTTTGACACAACGGCCGCATGAAATGTGAATGAGTCCGCTGACCTCGATGTTGATAGTTGAACGATTTCTCCAGTCCCTTAAAACCATCAACATCATGAGCCCCCTCCTCAATAAATGATTTGGTCAGCAAAGCTTCCACCCAGGCCATATTATTAGCAGGCAGATGAATCCACCTGAAATCAGTCGCGCGACTATCGGCCGGAATAGTCGTCACAGCCTGCTTGCGAGGATTCTCTCGATCCCTGCCATACAGCAGATCAAAAACAGACATGCGCTTGACGCGATTCTCATTGTGGAAGTTGCCAAAATCAACAACCGTCGCATCAAACGCAGCACAGGCATCCTTGATATCATCAGACAGAGATTCGACATTGTTAAACGGCGCCAACAACAACACAATATCCTTGCGCTTAAATTGCGCAGCCCTGAGAAACGGCGTACTCCCAAAATTATCCCTGACCCTCCTCTTCAAATCATCTCTCTCAAGCAAGCACTCCACAACCTCGCGATGTCCACCCTGCGCAGCAAGATGCAAAGGTGTAACGCCATTCAACAACTGAGCATTCACCAACGCCCCAGCCTTCAGCAAAATCCTCACAATGCCCTCACACCCCTTATCACAAGCATTATGCAAAGGCGTCCAACCACCGTCACTAGCAGCATTGACCGAAGCCCCATGCTCAAGCAACAAGAGCACAATATCAATACGGTCATGAGCAGTAGCAACATGCAAAGCAGTCTTCCCCCTCAACTCAACAGCATCAATCTCAATCGCCTTCCCCGTCTCCCGGCTGGCAAGCAACATCTCAGCAAGCCCCCAATTCCCACTCGCACAAGCCCAATGCAACGGCGTCCTACCCAATTCATCAACACCCTCCTCCCCCCCAAGCGTAACATTAGTCGTCAACAACAACCTAACAACCTCCTCCCCCCATCCCCACCGACAATCCTTATCAGCGGCAAGATTATGCAAAGCATTCCTCCTCCTCAAATCCTTCTTATTCACATTCGCCCCACGGGCAAGTAACAACCCCAAAATCCTCCCATGATTCTTCCAAGCAGCCATCATAAGCGGCGTGCGCCCCTCCTTATCAACACAATCCGCCGAGGCACCAGCGCCAAGCAATAACTCCACAATCTCATAATGATTTCGCTCGACGGCGCGGTGAAGCGGGGAGAGTCGGGTGGTTGCGACGTCTGTCTTTGCGCCTATGGACAGTAGGTATTTTGTTGCGGCAATGTTTGCGCGTTCGGCGCTGCGCATCAATCCTATGCGCAGGAAATTGTCTGTTAGTTGATTTGTGTCGCGCGCGAGGGATATTGTGTGTGACAGGGCTTCTGGGTCGTTTGTTTCTGCTGCGCGGAGAAGGCGTGGTTCTAGTCTCTCGTGGTCGCTTGTTAGGCTGGAGCGGGAGGGTGGCATTTTGGGTGGATTGGTGGTGCTGTAAATAGTATAGGTGGGTAGTATGGTATGGGTGTTGGTGTAGGTATTATAAGAATATTGATATTGGCTGAATTGTTATTCCATGATGGGTGTGAATAAGATCAAGTCGAGAGTTGAACTTTCTGGCAGATGCACTTGAAGCTAAGAATCGAACCAAGCTCAACAGGGAATGGGCCCACAGTAGCCCAGATCTGCAAAAAAGAAAGTACTGCAGTTTGGCCCCTTAATCCTAAGTGAAGCTGCGGCCCTCGTATTGGGTGTGGGGTAGCGGATTGTACATGTGGTGGACTAAACAGACTTGTCCAGTGGGGCCTTGGTTATACTCCGTAGGCAGATTGGATGATTGACTCGTCGAATTTGGAATTGACTGTGGGGGACAGGGAGACTTAAGATGGAGGGCAATTTAGAGCGAGTGTGACATGTGACTAAAGAGAATACAGTACGGAGTATCACTAGAAAAAGTAGATATTAAATCCATATCAAATTACAGAGGAATCGAGGAGTTGTAGATGCTGATATGCCTGATAATTATGACTCTCCATGCTCCGAAATTAAAATGTTCTTGCTTTTTTCGCTTTCCCTGTGCACGCCCGAGTGACAAAATGCGCCTATCAACAGAAAAAGGGGAACAAGATGTGGTGAAATCAGTATCTGAGGGCTGTAGGGGTTATTTATTTTTTTCCCTTCTTGGGCACTTCCTTCAGGATATCATCGAAGCTCATGTTCGGGTTGAATCGACTCATAGGGCGCGCGGGTGGTTCGATGGGGGCAATGCCTGCGGGAAGAGGCAGGGCTTCCAGTCCGGGGTAGATTGAGTGGCGATGCTCCGACCGGGCGCCAGCACCAGGAGAACGCTGGCGCGGGATGGCAGGGGGAGGCGGGGTGAGGCCGCCTCCGGGGACCATCAAGGGGTTTGGCTCAGAGGATGATCCGGCGGAGGAGTGTTGAGCCTGGTACGGGGACGAGATGGAAGACTCGGCGTCCTCGTAGGTAGCATCTTCCATCATGGGAGGATCAATCAGAGCGCCAATCTCAGCCCATTGTTGGGCGACTTGCCAACAGTGACTACGGCGGTAGACACCTTCAACACCGTTGATAACCACATCAGTCGGTAGACTGACAACACCAGCACCGCCAGCAACTCCAAACCAGCTGCGAGCAGTCTTGGTGTCGTTGTGGATCCAAGGAGCACCACCGCGAGGGGCAATGCAGAGGAAGTACTCGACGCCTTCGCTGAAATGGACGTCGGGGACATCCACGACGAGCATAGGCAGAGCCTGGATGACACAGTATAGGAAGATCCACTGACCACAGCGGAGATCGGTAATATCATTAATGTTCTTTCCCTGGGCACAGCGACGTTCAAATTGCATGAAGCTCTCAATGAAAGGAGTAGGCCGCATGCTCTCCCGAGTGTAGGAGCCCATCAACACAGCGTTGACGTCGGAGTTCTTGAGCTTCTTGGTACTCTGCTTGGCTTCCTTTTTGGCGTCCATGGGTTTGCGATGCAACGGCTGCAGCGAGGGGAACTGAGGAATGTCAAATGGAATGGGAGGCAGCACGGGGGGAGTACTGCGGTCGTATTCGCTGAGAATATGACGCAGGGCGCGAACTGCCATCTCCTTGGGTTCGGAAGTAGCTGATGCTTCACCTGTGCCTGAAACATCGATGGAACGGGTTGTCAGTGCTGTGCGGTCAACCAGCAGGTCGTATAGATCGGTGAAGTCGTGATACAGATCGAGCAGGAGGAGACGGTTGAGACCGTTTTCCTCGAACTCGTTCTTCTTCGAGCGGGCCTTGGGTGGCCACGAGCCATACTTCTGTCTGTAGTATTGGATGGTGAAGCGACGGAATTCGTGGAAGCTGGCTCTCCAGTTCTTGAAGCGGACCACCTTACTTTCCTCGGAGGTGTTCGAGTTGGCGGATCCGGAGAAGACGAGGAGGGGAAGTCGAAATCTGCGAGTTTGCCGTAGAGACCACGGAGGCGGTTGTCGAGATCAATAAACGCTCGCTCCATCCGCTTTTGTGTGATGGGATGGATGAATGTGTACTTCGGGCTTCTAAGCTGCTTGAGCTCGTCCAGTTTTCCAACACCGTGCACGAAGCCTTCAATATAGAGCGGGTAGTAGCGTAGACGCTCACCCAAAACGATGGCCTCGATAGTCTTCTCCCGACTTCGTCGAACATCTGCCAAACGCAGTTCCTCGCAGTAGTTGCTGAAGCTGGACGTAGCGGTTTCACCAAAGTTGGAACCGTCCAAGTTTGAGAATTCGAAACGGGCCAAGAGAACCGCCACGTCCATGAAGATCGAGAACAGTGTTGCGGACTTTGGCGAGGCAATCAAAGACTGTCCAAGGAGGAATGCGAACAAGTTGCGGAACAAGAGAAGTGTCTCGGTATCGTCTTGCTGCAGGCGCGCCTGGGGGTTGGAAACATCGCAGTTCAAGGGGATAGGCAGGTAGAGATGGATCTCCTGTACTTCCTCTGGGGTATCGTCGCCAAAGGCCATTCTCTGACTTCCGGCACTATCATCGTCGTCATCGTTCAGGCGGTCCTGCGGCGTCAACGGAGGCGACATCGGGTTGAGCGATAATGTGCGTGTTGGTTGCTCGAGATCATTCTTGGCATCGTTTCCGCGGGCGAGGTATGTGAGGGAGGGAGATTCAGCGAATATGGTGGAATCGACCTTGAATGACGGGGCTCGGCCGGTGTTCTGCGGGAACAGATACACGTAGGTATCGCCCTGTTCATTCCAGAGTTCGGGAATCTGCGAAAGTTTATTCACCATTAGCTTCGGTTGGGCCATTGAATATGATGTTTCATACCTGTTCTCCCCGAGATAACGGCGAAAGATCGTACACGACCTTCTGGTCGAGACCGGCAATCCACGCAGCCGGTAAAGAAGGAGCGAGCGGCCTTTTGTCAATCGAGCTGGCGCGCGACCGACCCGGCATCCAACTCCTACGCTTCGAGGGTGTGCTGGGTCTGGAGTCTGGGTTCGATCCCGGGATAGCAAGTCCCGCCGAACTAGAGGGTCGGCTCATATCCCGACCCCTGCTCCGGGGGCGAGCATCGGATGGTGAGCTCGGGGCGCTGCTCGCCAGATCTTGGTTTACCGCCAAGAGGGAAGGCGGCGGCGGAAGGCCTTCTAGGTCAAGAGGATCCGGCATCGTACGGGGTTCTGAGAACACCGCATTTGGGGTCGATACATGACGAGTAGGGCGGGAACTGCTTCTCCGTCTGTTGGCGGTTTCTTGGAACTCTGTTGAAACAGGTGAATTTTGTGACTCTCGATCTTTAGATCCCAGCGAGAAAAGGGAAGAGATGCGCTTCGCCGACTTAACGGGAGCCGACAACATCTTGCCGGGTTTGTGTAAAAGAGGAAGTTGGCTACTCAGGCGCAATTAGACGTGAGGCGCATGGAATGGGAGAGGTGACAGAGAGGGAGGAAAGGGGATAGGAATGGATCGGCAGGAGTGGGAAGAATGGGACAGGGAATGGGGAGAGCAGAGCTAATGTAATGACAGCTTATGATCTTGTTGCGATTTTATGAAAAAGAAAAAAAAATTCGATTGGGTTCCTTTTGCCAATAATAGATGGAGTTGGCTGTGCATGTCTTGGATGTGGGCCTAATAAATTACGTAGATATAATGTAGCAGCCTTATGTCTATACTATACATGTAGTTGATACTGAAGTCTCACCACTTGCCGGTTGCCGTGGTATGTGAGAGAACTGAGCTTGGGCGAGTATATATTTTCGGTGACAATATATTGTAGGCGTTCTCGGTGCAGTCACTAGTATTTACTAGTCGATCTGATGCATATAATGCCGGAATCTGGGATTCACGGTTATATGCAACTAGTATAGTGACACATCTCGAGTGATTCGTATTTGGTTCATTTGGACAGCGCTACTTTACTCTACTCTGCGCAGTGACTGCACTGTAAACATTGGTTGTTCCTGCCCCTGGATATTGTCCCGCCCGATCTCGGACCCGATATGGAGTAGTCAGCTAACATTTCCATGGATGATGTTATCCACCATTTAATCTGATCCATTCATCTAATTTGTACATTACTCTGTACATCATCATGGAACAGGGAAAAGCTCCAATTGACCTCCTATGTGGTTGGCCCAACCCCGCGCTCCTCCCCGCCCCCGATCTCCGCCACTCCGCCACGACCGTTCTGTCTGATCTCTCAATTGCCAATCCAGCCCTGCTTTATGGCCCCGATGAAGGCTATGAGCCACTGCGCATCCACATAGCCTCGTGGCTGAACACGTTCTATCAGCCTTGTGAACCGATCTCCTCCCAGCGCATTTGCATCACCGGCGGGGCAAGTCAGAACCTCGCGTGCGTACTACAAGTCTTCACAGACCCAATCTACACGCGCAATGTGTGGATGGTCGCACCAACCTACTTCCTGGCAGCCCGGATCATGGACGATGCCGGGTTCGCCGGGCGCCTACGTGGGGTTCCCGAGGATGACGAGGGAATCGACATTGACTTCCTAGAGCGAGAGCTGCGCGCCGCAGAAGAGAAAGCCATCCAGGCTGGAAATACAGAGCCGGTATGACAAATCCCACTCGGTACATCTGGTCAGAGGATACTGTGCCATCCGTTGTGAGATTCTGGACTGACGTGCCCCTCCTTTCCCTGCAGAAGCTGAAACCACCGAGGCCCTGGCGGAAGATCTACAAGCATGTCATCTATGCTGTCCCAACCTTTGCGAATCCCTCGGGAATGATCATGTCGTTGCGCAGACGGGAGGCGCTTGTTCGCCTGGCCCGTCGCTATGATGCGCTGATAGTCACAGACGACGTTTACGATTTTCTACAGTGGGCGGTTGTCCCGGCCGACGTGGATTTCTTTAAGTGGGCGAAGAAGCCTGAGGCGCATTTGTCTGATCGCGCATACATCCCGAGGCTGGTCGATGTGGACCGTTACTTGGACGGTGGTCCGGCTGATGAATGGGGACACGCAATAAGCAACGGCAGCTTCAGTAAGCTGATCGGCCCTGGGGCTCGAACAGGCTGGGCTGAGGCGTCTGAAAAGGTTGCCTATGGAATATCACAAACGTATGGAGCTGCGTGTCGTTCGCTGATCCCTTTACAGCCATAAGCTAACCCAATATAATAGTGGCTCTTCTCGATCGGGCGGCGCACCTTCCCATCTTTGCGCCGCAATGATAGACCAGATGTTTCCCACAGAGATCCTTCAGAAGCACATCTGCGACGTTCTTCAGCCGCAATATTCCTTGCGGTACGACCGACTACTGGCAGCAATTAAAGAGTACCTCCTGCCACTAGGTGTGACAGTCCCCGCACCAACCGCCGCGGCCGGAGGATACTTCATCTGGGTCACTCTTCCAAAGCCAGTGCGCGCGTCTGATGTGGTTCAACGAGCGCAAGCCGAGGAACAATTACGTTTAGCCGCGGGCGATCTCTTCCAGATCCCTGGTGACCCTCAGGCTGGTGCTTTCTCAGACCATCTGCGCCTCTGTTTTGCGTGGGAAGAGTTGCGCCACTTGGATGAAGGTGTGCGTAGGCTAGCGCGTGTCTTGAAGCGTATTATTTCGTAGGCCGTACAGCCCGTATTGGCTCCACGTCTAGCCATTTTGGACGACCGGTCCGTACCGGTTCCCACTGGACGCGTGGCTTATGCACATATTGGGACAATCTCAACTATATAAATTTATACAAGTAGGAACACCATCCCGCGATGGAAGTATAGAACATGGATGCAATGCATCTCATACAGAGTACCTGGACCAAGTGCATGTGTATATTTGCAGGTACCCGATGCCGGATATACTCCCAATCTATTTTTGGTCCAATGATCTGATTAGTCAGGGAAGCGCTGCGCTCGACCTTGGAACCTTCAAACTTTGGATTGTTGACCAAACAACTCACCTCATCTCTTCTACTTTCTACTCTACTAATTACAGTATGGGATGACATCCAATCTAATATGGCTTCAATGTAGTAAGCCTCCGTCGATCCACGTCCAGCACTAGGCCAGAAATGAGCGGCCCCCTCATGTCTCAGGAGATCAAAAGCTTGGCCAGTATCACGTTCCCCCATGCAGACTTCTGCTTCTTCGTACGAGGATATGATCTCAAGTCTAAAACGCCCAAGACTCCAAGATCTCGGCCTGCATTAGTCGAATTCCAGTCCCTGACCCCTGTTCTCTGCCGCTGCCCTGTGAGCTCTCCGTCATTAGGAATCTGAGGCATCTCCCGCGGAAGGCCGCGCCGGAATGCCACCACATAACAACTGACCCCCCTGACAACCCAGATCGCCCAACTCCGCGGGGCAGATATCGCTTGGCACTGTCAACACAGTTGCGCGTATCTAGGATCGGTATCTTCGACGCGCGTGCATAGCAGACCGGACACAGTCCGCCTTGTTGATGCGCGACCATGTCAGCAACAAGAGATGCAACTACGAGAGTACTGTAACTAGCCAGTGGACATGAAACCCAATTGACAGACCGGATCTTTTTGATCAATCGACGAACATCGGGGGAGATTATCGTGTGTGTGAAGGGGCTCCACCAAGGCATACAACAATGCTCGCCCTTGACCATGAAAGGTCGGGAAAAGAGAGCCCCCTTCTCCCATGCGACGACAAATTTGGACCGGAATGGATAATCATGGCCCTTTAGTTATATAGCGCGTAGAAGCCCCAATCACAGCGCTTTTATTTTGAGATCTCTGCCTTTCCTCCTATTTGCTCTACTCTTAATTTTGGGGTCAAATAATCAGTGGAGCCGATTCATTAAGTACGAGTGACAAGAGTGGCTTACCCTGAAACCCGATCGCTTCACATCAGCGCTACTTTTCCCACGCGATTCCTGAATTGGTTAATCTGCAACACTCGGCTCAGTGATCACCATCTTTCAGCGTTTCACCCCGAAGTATCGCGTTTCAAGCTTCGTCTCCGCTATACCCACCCCAGCCTCCGATTGGCGGGGGACCTGGCGCGTGTGATAGGGTGAAAAGGGGAAGTTTGAAGTCTTCAATTTATAGAGTCAGTCCCCGTATTGTCTTTTTTGTCTTTTGTCCCTTGTTCTTTTCTATTCATTGCTTGGTGACCCTATTGTGCGGAGTTCCCTATACATTCATTTGGAAGGAGCCGTCTCCTTTACTTCTTTACCTCTTTGCTTTTTCTTCTCTCTTGCATCTGCATCTTCTTGCGTCTCGCGGCCGGTCTGCGACTCAATTTTTTACTCAGTACTGATTACTGAACTATCCTTCATTAGGTATTCATCTGATATAGTCATTTCCCGCTGCTGGTTCGGCGAAATTCTTGGAAAAATGGCCGTTCTTCAAACCTCCATTGCGATCTTCGTCGCCCACATTTTCCTTCTTCTCGGTCTTCCTGCGGCTTTGGTTGGTGCTGTCCCGGTGACAGTTCCCGTCACGCCTGTCAAGAATGTTCTTCAAGTTGCGACCAATCAGAAAACATCTGCTGCATCCTCTTACTGGGTTGCCAATGTGAAACGCCAGGGTACCGTGCCTTTTGTTAAGAGTGCCGACTATCAAGTATTCCGAAATGTGATGGACTTTGGTGCCACTGGTGAGCCATCTATACTTTACACTTAAGACCAATGCTGATATAAAGAAAGGTGATGGTTCTACCGATGACACTGCCGCTATCAACAAGGCCATCTCCTCTGGTGGTCGATGTGGAAAGGGCTGCGATTCGTCTACTACTACTCCCGCCATCGTCTACTTCCCGCCCGGTACTTATGTTGTCTCCAAGCCCATTGTCCAGTACTACTACACCCAGATTGTCGGTGATGCTGTCGACCTTCCTGTCATCAAGGCCTCTGCCAAGTTCGCCGGCATGGCCGTGATTGACGCCGATCCATACGAGGACGATGGCTCCAATTGGTTCACCAACCAGAACAACTTCTTCCGCGCCATTCGCAACTTGGTCATTGATTTGACTAGCGTTCCCCAGGGCTCTGGTGCGGGTATCCACTGGCAGGTCGGCCAGGCCACCAGCTTGCAGAACATCCGCTTCGAGATGGTCAAGGGTGGTGGTGACGCCAACAAGCAGCAGGGTATCTTCATGGACAATGGATCTGGTGGTTTCATGTCCGACCTAACCTTCAACGGTGGTAACTACGGCATGTTCCTTGGTAACCAGCAGTTCACCACTCGCAACTTGACTTTCAACGGCTGCCAGACTGGTATCTTCATGAATTGGAACTGGGCCTGGACTTTCAAGTCTGTCCAGATTAACAACTGTGAGGTTGGCTTGAACATGTCTACTTCGCCTTCCAACCAGACTGTCGGATCTGTTATGTTGCTTGACAGCAAGTTGACCAACACCCCCACTGGTATTGTTACTGCCTGGACCAAAGACAGCATCCCCGTCGGTGGTGGTGACCTCATCCTCGACAACGTGGACTTCTCCGGTTCCAAGATGGCCGTTGCGGGTGTTGACGGTGAACAGATCTTGGCTGGTGGTTCTGTCGTCGACAACTGGGTCCAAGGTAACACTTACACTCCCTCGAAGACAGTCAAGCGTGCCACCGAGGCTGAGCCCGAGGTTGTCACCGTCGTGCAGACCGTTGTCCACACCGTCCTTGCCTGCCCTGCTTCCCACGGATTGGCCAGCACCAGTGAGAGCGCCCCTGCTCCTGCTAAGACCGCCTCCATTGGTACTGCTGCTGCTCCTTCCCCTGCTCCCGCTGTCAGCAGCAATGCTGCCGAGCTTCCTCTTACCACTGGTGAGGCTGGAAGGTCTGTCGTCAATTCTTCCAACACTGGCTTGCCTATCCTGGACACGTTGAACTCCATTCTTGGCGGCGCCTCTGATACCCGGGAGACTACTGAGGCTGTCCCCGCTGCCCCTGCTACCAGCCAGGCCCCTGTTGCCTCCCAAGTCCCCGTCGTGTCCCAGGCTCCCGCTGTCTCTTCTGTCTCCAGCGCTGTCGTTCAGCAACCCGCTGCCACTGCTGTCAACACTGCCCCCGTCGCTACTGCTACCCCCTCCTCCACTGGTACTCCCCAGAGCACCAACAGTGGCTCTGGATCAAGCTCCGAATCTGGCAGTGATAGCAGCAGTGGCACTGGTACTTGTGGCGCCGAAAAGGCTGTCTCTTCTGCCCGTACCCAGAGCACCATGAAGGTTGCCTCCAAGCCCGCCAGTCTCCTCAAGGACGGTGCTGTCTTCGAACGCTCTAAGCCCCTCTACGAGGATATTGAGGCTTCCAACTTTGTTAGCGTCAAGTCTGCTGGCGCCAAGGGTGATGGAACTACCGATGACACCGAGGCTATCCAGAAGATCTTCAACAGCTACAAGGATGGTCAGGTTATCTACTTCGACCACGGTGCCTATATTATCACGTCCACTATCAAGATCCCCAAGGATATCAAGATCACTGGTGAGATCTGGCCCATGCTCATGGCACACGGCAAGACCTTTGCCGACCAGGAGAACCCCGTGCCCCTCTTCCAGGTTGGCCAGAAGGGTGAGTCCGGTTCGGTCGAGATGAGCGACCTTATCATCACCACCAAGGGCGCCGCCCCTGGTGCTATTCTCATGGAGTGGAACCTTAACGGCGCCTCCCAGGGCTCCGCCGGTATGTGGGATGTCCACTTCCGTATCGGTGGTGCTGCTGGTACTGAGCTCCAGAGCGACACTTGCCCCAAGACTCCTAAGGAGAAGACCACCCCCAAGAAGGAGTGCATGGCCGCATTCATGCTCTTGCACGTCACTTCCAAGGCCAGCGCCTACATCGAGAACTGTTGGTTCTGGACCGCTGATCACGAGCTCGACCTCGAGGACCACAACCAGATCAACGTCTACACCGGCCGTGGTGTCCTCATCGAGTCCCAGAGCCCTGTCTGGCTGTGGGGTACCTCCTCCGAGCACCACCAGCTGTACAACTACCAGGTGTCCAGCGCCAAGCACGTCTTCATGGGTCTCATCCAAACCGAGACCCCCTATTACCAGTCCAACCCTACCTCCCTGACCCCCTTCACTCCCCAGGACTCTTGGAACGACCCCGACTTTTCCAACTGCACTACCAACTCTTGCCGCAAGTCCTGGGGTCTGCGTGTTCTGCAGTCCTCCGACGTCTTCGTCTACGGTGCCGGACTCTACAGCTTCTTCGAGAACTACGCCCAGTCCTGTCTCAACTCCGAGGACTGCCAGGAGAACATGGTCGAGGTTGATTGCTCAGACATTCACCTGTACGGACTCAGCACCAAGGCGGCGGTCAACATGGTCACCTCTTCCCAGGGCAAGAGCATGGTCCCCAACAAGCCAAACCAGAGCAACTACTGCTCGACCATCGCTCTCTTCCAGCAGACTGCCTAGAGTATCTCTCCCCGCGATACTCTCCTTCCTTACATTCCTTTACCCCACCTTCACCCTCTCAATCAATTTTCTTTCTCACCAATTCTCATTTCTCAACTTCACACAATACTGTGCTCATAAATCAGTATCTCTTTCCTTTTTCTACTTTCATCTCTCTTTCTTCATCTCCTCCCACCATCCTCCTCTTAGATTGTCTCAAATTAGCACTTGCTAAACGGGCCATAAATGGCGGTTTTCTGTTTGATACCAATCCGGATTCGGTTAACGAAATCATTAATAGATTTATGTCTTTCTATGTTTACCTTTTATCTTTTCCTTCGTGTTCGATGATATAAAGTGCTATCCAAATTATTTTATGATGTTACGGCTTGAGCACAGGACCGTTATTATCATCTAAGGGTGTAGCAAATCACGTGGTGGATGGAGATGCTGAAACAAGTGCGTCGTACTACATGAATGGACACCTGTAGATCTACTCAAAGTTGCTCCCAAAGGTGTACTGTAAAAGGCCAAAAAGAAACAAAAAGCCATGTGTTATATCCGACCCCGAGATATATATAATTGATGCCGGAAGCTAGCATTTTAAGTTATTGAGGAGCCCCAGGTGCCCTCGCAAGTGACAAGATACTGTTTTAGGTTATGCATATGCCAATAAAGCAACTTCGGAGTGGTGTACCCTAGGTATATACTAAGTGATTCCCTATATCATGCAAGCCCTTAATTGACCACTGTTGCCAGGGCCATCCTCCCCATCTTATTCAACATTCAACAATATCTCTTCCGCCTCCAAGGCATAGAATGGTTTTGCCTTTTCCAGAAGATCCATGAGAAGTGTTTCGATATTCGTAGCGATGGCGACAAACGCGTCGCCGGCTTCATCCAAGCCCAGCACATATTCACCATTCACCCCACTTACGCTCTTACGGAGAAAAACTTGCTCCTTGCTGAATGATCTCCGCAAACACCGTGTTGTTGCGTTGCTCAGCAGCTTCGTGCAGATTCTCGGTGAATTGGAATGTATCACGCGCGGCTTCCTTTCGAGCAGCCTCGTTCTTCGGGACTGCAAATGTAGGCCAGTATCGAGTGCGGAGACGAACGATTTGATGTAAGATGAGCGTGGCACTGTTACAAATCTCGCTCCCACCGCTGGTGAGCAGGGCTTCGTAGAGCGCTGTGGATGGTTTCTTGGCTTGTTCTGGATTTGAAATAAGAAGGTTGACACCATTTTCTAGGGCAAGCAAGGTTTCAGAATAGAGAGCTTGGTAGTATGGCAAAACCTTCTTAAGTCTGGACGATTTTTGGCCTGGGCTCCGTGGAAGAGGGGACTGGGACGGTGATAATTCTCGAAAATGAAGCCAGCATGAGAGTTTGTGGCAAAGGTAAGACATACCTCGGAATAGAACATCCATTCTCTTACCTGACAATGCTTTGACCTTTTCCTCATGGCAACGGCGCCTTAATACTTTCATCCAAGTTTCTTCTTTCCAGTCCCCTCTGATCATCCCACAAGTTTCAGCTCCTATCAAGATATGGATCTGCCTCAAAATATCAATATGCGGGTGATGCTTTATCGCATAGCTTGGGTAATAGCTTGGGTGAAAGCCATTGACTTTGCGAATATTGATAAATCCGCTTCCCCCGCGACGAATCTTCGCCATGACGAGAAGTTTGAGTCTGTCACCAAACTTATTTCCAATACCGATGCTTTCAAACTTCCGGGCATCATCGATTGCAGCATTATTAAGTAATTCCACGATTACGTAGTGCGCCATTCGACTCGCATGATCATCCATGGATCCCCTGAATATCTGGATTTGCACCGTGTTGGAGAAGTGCCGAGACCAGAGCATGATGGCCGTACCTGGCGGCTAGTTGCAAAGCCGTCCAGCCCGTTCTAGAGACGGTATTCATATCTGTCCCTTCATTTAATATAATCCGAGCATCTCCACACAATTGGTCCTTGCCGCTACATGTAAGGGATTTCGCCATCTGCATCTATTTGCATTACTGGTGCAACTGCCTCAAGTAATTACACCTGTATGGCTTTACGTCGCCAGACCCTAGATATCGTTTCTGGGCTTTAACATTGTGGTATTTTCACATGCTTTGTTTCATCTTGTTTGTCCATCGGATTTGTCCACGTAGCGTATTGGTTTATCTACTAGCATCATCACCCTACTCGAGTACAGCTCAGCTGCCTCGGGATGTATATCTCCACAAAATATGTTGTAAACCACCCAACTAAACCAAATTATCCGTCAAGAACAACCACCCCCAACCGCCCAGCAACCGTCATCATGTCCACGCCCCGCACAACCTGCGTATCATCGGGAGCGCCCTCCATGGAAGGGTCTGAATCCTCGGACGCATCCAAATAAGCCATGTAGAAGTAAACTCCGGCCTCAGAGACAAACTTGGCGCGATCGAGCACAACTGTGAACAGGCGAAAGAGCTCGCAGGACTTCCCTTGTGCTGTGATCATATATTTTTCGGGTTCTTGGGGAGTAATACGTTGTGCGGTTGGGAGTCGATTGTCGCCTGCGGGGATGTTGTGCAGGGCGCCGATGGGGAAGGGATTTTCTCGGTCCTCTTCTTGAGTTTGCTGGGATAGAATTTCGAGAACTTCGTTTTGGGCGGGGCGAATGGCCGACCAAGAAGGGGACTTTGGGATGAAAAATTTGAGAGTGAGGGTTTTATTGGCCGGGAGGTGGGAGAATATTGACATTGTGAAGAGGCGCGCTGTGCTTTCCAAGAGGGAGGGCCCTGCTGTGTCGCGGATAGCGCCGAGAAAAAGCGCATGGACAAGGTATTGAATACCAGGGGATTTGCCTTCAGGGGTATTGGTGACTGTTACAATGTCGGCATTCTGAGATATCTGGAATGCCGGATCAAGAGAGAAGCCGTCAACTGAAGGTTCCTGGCCTAGCTGGTCGCGAATCTGCTCTTCTGACGGCAGATCCGAGCTAGGAGGCTCACCCTCGTCTACATCCAAGGCGTATCGCTCTGGAGGGCGACTGACATTGTTCAAGATATCGATCATGAGAATCTGGCCGATGTCAATCTGGTCCGTGACGTGCTCGGTGGCCAATTCAAATGCCTCTGACGAGAGGCTCTCGGCGCCCTCGGATGAATGCTGCGCCTCGTCAACATCACTGCGCGTGCTAGAAAACGAGCGGTTGAAGTAGAGCAAGTCCGGACCTTCGCCCAGCTCAGCAAGCTCATCCGAGTCCTCAACATGGCCCAGTCGATAGCTGTGCGATCGCAGCAGGACACAAAACCCAACGGTTGAGTAGTCGCTAGGACGGGTGAATCGCGGAATCAGCGGGAGTGGATTCTCGGCCCCTGACCGGTGTTGCTGCTTGCGACGGGCGATTTCAATGCGGTTATGCTCAATACAGGCAAAGGCGTCGGGCGGGCAGTATGAATAAATCTCGAACAAAGGCTTGACCTCTTCATTCCAGAAACCTTGCATCAGGTAGCCCCGGAGATTTTCATGGTCATCATCCAGGGGGACAAGGCTGTAGACCTGGATAGGAATTATGTGGTCAGGGTGTGGCTCGTAGTCTGGCTCGACGTACTGCTCGAGCACCACGCGGTGACCCAGATTGTCAGCGTAGGTGCCCACTTGCTGCTATTTACTTTGGGACATGGCGACTTGGGCGTTTGGAGTGGTTGAAGAGTAAACAGGACTAAAAAAGACTGGCTAAGTAAATGAGGGGAGCGACGGGCTTATGCGGCCTTTAACGTTCAGGGGAGGATATTTACGTAAGCAGTGGGAAGATCGACAGTCAACTTAGGGCTAATCGACTCAACTTGGAAGTTACAACTTGAACTAGTTCCTGCTCAGATGGTCTCAACTCTGGCCACTAGATATATACATTTATAACCACCCCGAATATCAAATCTACTACAGGCCCAGCTTTCCTAGCTGATTGTCGCCCCACATTCCGTATTTACTCTGATCATTTGATGAACTTGTCGCAGTACCGGCAAGTGGCTTACCCGGGTTGTTCTGTGGGAACTTCAAGTTGCCCACTGCTGCATTGCGCGTCGTCATAAATTGGTATGCAAACTTCTTCGCGTTTGGGTCCTTCACGCCTAAGCCTTCCATCTTGCCCTTAGCGGTCTTGTGCCAATCGGCCTGCACCTGTTCAACTTTGCCCAGGTGTCTGTCAATCCAGTAGGCCCATATGGTACGCAAACCCCAGTGCTTGACGTCGCGGGGGGCCTTAGGCATCTCGAGCGGCTTGCCCGCCGGCCTTTTGTTGACATATTGGCGGGTGTATTGCGCGTCGAATTCGTCAGAGATCAATTCAATGTTTTGGCTGGGCTTGGTCCATTTGTCGCTGAGGTCTCGCAGGTAGTCGAAAATAGTGGCGGTCATCAGGACCTTGTCCGCTACAGACTTCGCGTTGGCCTTTTTGGGCATACTAGACATTTTTCCTTCGGTGATGACCTGTTTGACTCCGTTGGACGTTTTGTGGTAAAGAACGAGGAGGTCAAGGTTGGTGTTACTTCCTAGGAGGTCGGCCATATGTTGGACCCAGTTCTTGTTGGGGCCGTTGTTTCTTCACCAAGTCATTCCGCCACTGGGGCCTGTACAGATATTATTAGTTTATGTGAACCCGCTATTCATATTCCTGGGGTTCTTACCTCCAAAAAAATTGAGGCACCAAGTAGAATCAGGACGCTTCTAATTTTTAGGGAAATCAATATTGGCCATAGTCCCGTACTTGAGTTCTGGCGTTCCCTCGCACAGCCCACTCAAGGAAATGACTGACCAGGTGTACCTCGAAGACGTGACCTTCCGGGAAATCTCGCAAGCAGAGTTGCTCCAGTGGAATCCGTCGCTGAAGAAGCAGAAATCGAAGTCTGCCAGTTTCAATTTTAGCAAGGAGTATAGGTTATTGTATGGAGGGACCTGAGGTGAGTGCATCGTCCTCAGGGGCTGTGCCTAGTTCGCCGGCGCCTTCGACGCCGCTTACGACTTCGACTTCTTCATCGACATCTAGCCTAATCCCAACGAGCACATCGATCTCTCAGACCTCAACCACCGAGAAAGACACAAGCACTAGCAGCGAGTCCACCAGTACGACCGCAACTCCCACGACGACAAACGGTCCCGTCCCTTCCCCCACCCAGTCGAACAGCATTGCAAACAACTGCAGCGACTATGCCAAAGCCAGGGATGGCGATAACTGCATTGACTTCGCTAAGGATTACGACATTACCCCCAAGCAGTTGTACCAGTAGAGCACAGGTCTGGGTGATGGTGGCAAGGAGTGTGGGACTATGTTCCAGGAAGATACATCCTACTGTATTGGTGTGAGTGAATAGGTGGAGCGATGGATGTGGTAGTTAGGTACTATTAGTGGCAGTCAGTAGTGGTGGCTGTGGTAACTACTATTGTGTCCAAAGTTCTCTGTACAGCGCCTCAACAGAAAGAATAGCACCACCGAATTATACCACTCTCCTAGAACTGTATGTAGGTGTGGAAGATTATGTATATAATTGGGTACCTGCTCATGAATTTCCAGCAGCAGAAGACTGGGTTTGTGATTATTTCCGTTCGAACCCTGTACGAAGTGCGGAGTATAGGGGTTGAATATACGGATCCGGAAAACACTGGGATTCGTGATCGTCTTTTTCTAGTATAATGTTGTAGATAATCATTAACAAACCCGGTAAGGGGACCGGTCGTAACTCGGAAAAAAGACCCTGAACGAGTCTTTAGTCTCGAGTATCCATACAGCTAGACTACTTAGCAGGGGGATCAGCATCAACACGGTCCACTACCCGTGCAATCGGTGGGGGCCGTTTCCGCAGACCAAAATCTGCAACTTCAGGCCCCCTAGCTCCAACAATTGTGGCTAACTCTGCGAAGAATGCAAGCTCGCTAAGAGCGTTAAGCAGCAGAAAAGAAGAGGGGGGGGGGGGGGGGGGGGGGGGTGAAGGGAGTGATAGCACCACACGATCCTCATGATGTTCAGACTGCTGGAGTCTACACGTGACTATTCTGTTCCGTTGCAGAGATCTATTTCTAGAAAGCAACATCTCCGGGCTCAATTGGCCAGTAAAGGTGTGACATACTGTTTTAAATCAATAATCAAGCAGCATATTTAGAATTAATTCTTGTGACTCATACAAAGTATCAAGTTGGTGGATATCTTTGAGGTTCAAAGTTAGGATATAATGCGAAGACAGAGTCTATCCAGGAAAGATATTTTGATGGAATGGAATTAACCACTGCTTCCGACATTGAATACATCCTGTGATTAACTAAGCTGACAGGCGAGGTGATTCATCGTGCATGCATGCGTGCAGATGTCACCCATGCATCTCCGCCGTACAGTAGACCTGGACCTGGACCTCGCACTGCAGTTTGGGGCAGGACAGTGCGCGTCGAGTCTCCAGCATGGCAGTTCTCGGGATGTGGTCTGGACATTAGTTTGTTCGGGGTTTTTTGGTTCATAAAAGTTTTGGAAATAACAAATGTCAATAAAGAAAAGTTAAAATATTACTCAGAGCTCCTTCTTCAGGAAATGCTCAGGCTTGTGGGTAGTCTCATAGTCCACGTGCACATAGGCACGCTCGACGTCGGGAAGGGACTCGAGCTTGATCTGGAGTTCCTCGGCGACATCGTGAGTAGCACGCAGGGACTCGTTGGCTTCCATGACGACGTCGACTTCGACAAGGAGACGGGGGCCAGAGGTGTATGCGCGTACAGTGTCGATGGCGGTGATGAGGGGGGAGTGGGTCATTGCTGTGGAGACATATTAGCAATGAGTTTCTTTGAGATGATTGGGAGAGGGGGTTGATATACAGATATAAGTAATGAGTTGTTGCATCTTGGTGTCGGCGGTGACACCAACCAGCAGTTGGAACTCGCCGTAGGCAGAGTGCAGCCACAGAACACTGACCAATGTGGAGAGAATGATAGCGCCCATGGGATCGACCCACCAGCGCAGCTTACTGCCACCAACGGAGGTGAGGATACCAAATCCATTGATGAACAGATCGTTGCGGTGGTCCTCCCACAAAATGCGAATCTGCGAGACTTGATTCCGCAGAGCCCAGCAGTACAGGAACAAGGTAAGTTTTGTGGCAAAAGCGACGGCAACCGCGATGATAGAGGGCAGATGGAAAGACTGGGTTTCTGCCTCGGAGCCAACAGCCAATTCACGAATCGAGAATGCAATAAGAATGAATGAGACAGCGGTCATGAGGAAGCAGAAACAAATATTGCCAGCAGTTTCGATACGGGCTTTTCCAGCGGGAAACTCGCGCGGGTCGACACGGTTGACAGCCTTGTTGCAGAGTAGGAGAGTGAGGTTGGACATAGGGTCGAAGATAGCATCGGCCATGGTTGTGAATAGAGACAACGATCCGGAGGAAACGGCACCGTAGACTTGGATGACAGAGAGAATGACATTGGCGGCGAAACTGCCGTACACGGCAATGCGGTATTTCAGACGGTTATCGACGTTCAGCTCACGAGCGGCACGGCGGTGCTCCTCGACGGGCTTCAGCATGCGCTCAATATTCTCATTCTGGGACTCGTAGAAGCCTTGCAACTTCTTGGTGACGAAGGCCTGTTTTCCAATACGGCCGGTGTCCTTCACCAGGGCGGCAACCTTCCGGCCTTTGCTAGCATTGGCGGAATCACGTTTCCGGGAGGTATTGGCCTGGATCTGTCGGATTTCCTCCTCGGTCTTCAGCTTCGAGGCTAGTTGGAAGGGATCGTTTTCGGGGGTGTAGCGCGGCGGGGGTTGGCCTTCTTCGTCGCTCGCGCTGCCACTGGGGTGGTGTTGCAGCACTGCCAGCTCGTGCTCTAGAGCGGTGGAGGTCGCTTCGTTGGAGTGGGCCATCCTTTCGCGCTGGGATGGCGAGCTGCTGGAGTGGTGTAAGCTCTGGAATGCATGCGGGTGGTTGGAAAGACTTTGGCGAATATGTTCCTCCATGATGGGCTGTGGAATGAAAGAAAGGAGACAACGTAAGGGATGGAAGAAATTATTGAGAAAGTGGCAGTGCTTATCTCTTATCGCGCCGATCATACACCTTTAAGCTATGAGTTAGTTAAGGTACTGCACACATCTATGACTTGCATTGCAGTCTGGACTTGGCAGATGCTTCGCATAATTTTATTTCAATAGATCAGACTGCAATGGCATGACACTTACCTGCGATTATTCCAGACGAGGTACGGAGTATACATCCAGGGTATCAAGGTGGGTCTGCATATAGTATGCCACACCAGACTTCAACGGTCTATATTATATTTGCTTGGCTAATTTCAGAAGAATTCTAAAAGAAAAAAACTGGGTATAAAAGTTCGGTCCTAGTCCTAGTTCTAATCCTATATACTTCTGCGATAACATTTATGTACATATATACTACACCTTTTCGATCTTCGAGTACCAGTCAGATACCGAAGATCATTTTTGTCCGCCTCTATTGTTGACAGAAAGAGGGAAGTGGCCAGAGTCGGGCGATGCTTGCATGAACCTGAGCAAGAACTAGCTGCCAGGTTGCCCAAAATTGTACCACTTTGTAGTCGCTCATAGTCATGAAACTAGAGCTGTGTATAAGAGTGTACCCCCAAGAGTTTTGAGTGTACTTAGCGAAGTGTTGTCGCTATAAAACAGCAAGGTAGATCGGTCTCTCGAATCAATGAAATTGCTTGTCCATGATGAATCACTTGTTCGGGGCAATGTCGATGTCGGAGTGGTCACCAGCTTGTAAATCAGGTTGACCATCGATTTCTTCGAGTGCGGGACCAATGTAGTTCTTCTTACCCCATACTGCGTACCACACACCGGAGATAATGACAAAACCGACAAACACAACGCACGCATAGTTCATTGTGTCCTTGGTGACGGGAAGACTCGTGGGCATGGAGAATAGTGGGATAGCGAGAAGACACCAAGCTAAAGGTCATGTTGGTTAGAGAGAACAGAATGAAGAGTCCGGAAAACATGATCCACTTACCAATGCAAACCACGTTGCAGAAGGTGCCGAGGACTCCAAGGTTGTAAGGACCGCGCTTAAGATCTTGGCGCTTGCGGAGAATTAAAGACACGGCGACGGGGCAGGCATAACTCAGGGTGAGGAAAATGACACCGACACCGGAGAAGGCATTGAAGGCAGCGCTTGAACCAAAGTAGATCAAGCCGAGAAGCAGCTCAATGGCCATACCCAACAGCAATGAGTTCAGAGGAATCTGTAGACGATTGTTGACAGTCTTCCACCATCCAGAGCCGGGAATGGCACCGTCACGAGCGAACGCCCAAGTAATTCGAGACGTAGCAGTGACACATCCAATTCCACAGATCAGTCCAAGGACAATCAATGGAATCAAGAGACAGAATGCACCAGCGGAGTTGCCAGTCGCAGACAACACAATGGTCGGCACGGGCTGACCAGATGGGAGAGCTGCAAGCATGGCAACATCCGGAAGCACAAATGCGATAGGAATGAGGAACGCGAAACCGGCCAGGGCGTTGAGAGCGACACCACCGACGATAGCGCGGGGAACCTGGATGGCAGGCTGACGGACCTCCTCGCACATGCTACTCAAGTCAATATAGGGACATTTGAGTGGATGGAGTGGACGCGAAATACTCACGATGTGACCATTCCAGTAGCCGAAAGACCGTATGCAGCCTGGAGTAACCCAATACAGAATGACCATCCATCAGGCCAGTTAGATTGAGGCTCAAACGAGGTGAAGACAAATTCAGCCGATCGGCGTCCGTTGTCGGCAACAACCAGGATGGTAATCAGAATAGCTGTCACGCCAACGATAGTCCAGAAAATAGCAAAGGTCTATTCAAAATTAGCAAGCGGGAAACGGAGTTCAAGCGAATAACATACCTCGATATGGGTGAGCCACCTATTCCCGAAAGTGGGAATGGCATGACAGAGAACAGTGATGGCGACAAAAATGAGATAAGTCTGCCAAGTCTCCAGGTTGGCAGCAATGCCGTTACCAGCCGCATCCTTGAACACATTTAAACATTCGATGAAGAAAAGTGCGGTCGCAAAGTTAACAGCCAACGTGATGGTGATATTACCCGCGACAAAAGACCAACCACACACCCAAGCAGTGGAGCGGCGGCACCAGGAGGGCGAGAGGGCAAAAGTTTGGTAATAGACACCACCAGCAGTAGGATATACCGAGGTGATTTCAGCTAGAGAAACGCCTACACACAGCATGATCAGAGAAACAACAATCCAGCCCCAGATCATATTGGCCGAACCGCCACCTATCAAGGCGTATGACATGGTGGTGGACAGACCATATGGCACGGAGGCAAGGATGAAGCACATGAACACGACCTGCCATGTCGATCGGTTGCGGGACAGTTCAGCTGTATAACCCAGAGCTTCGAGGTTAGAATCTGCCGTTGGCGCGTCGGGTTTTGAAACTTCCATGATGTCGCTGGGGGTATTTGTCGCTTGGGAGAATCAAAGGGCTGTATTGGCGCTTGGGAGTAACAACGGGATGGTATATACTAGCGCATGGGAGTATACAATGGAGCAATTGGGCGTTGTTCTAACGTTGCGGAGGGCGTTGTCTAACGTTATGGCGTCGATGGGTGGCGTTGAGGCGTCGATGAAAGAGGGAAAAACTGAAGAAAAAAAACGTGGGAACGTGGCGATCCGGGCTTGACTTCATAAACGCATAAATCGTGCCCAATTCGCGCTTATTAACGGTCATTAGAGTTGAAACCGGTTTCATCCGGGTCCACTCAATCTCGAAAAAATCTCTCACGCGAGGTTCTACCGAATTGATATGCTGGTCTTTCTTACAACTACGGAGTACGTTTGTAGGAAGATGAGTGGACGGAGTGAACCTCTGATGAAGAGATCACTTTCACATTCCCTCTATCGCCTTCATTCCCCAGAATCATTCCAGGCAGTTCCGCTTGGCATTGAGCCTCTTGGCCCGTCAAAGTCTGACCCACCGGGGCGCAATGACCGGATTAGGCAAACTCTTCCGGCTAATGAACAGCAGCCTAGAGAAAAATGATAGTCAGGAGTAATGGGGTCAAAATACCTACTATGGACAGAGAGTGCCGACAAGGCTGCTTTTATAGAGCCATGAAGCCACTGTATTTAGCTGGAGTACGCAGTAGACAGTCCACCTGAAAGCCTCAAAGCATAAATCATGCACATCTAGGTTCTCCTCGTAGGTATCACCTTAAAGTCTCTCGGTTTGACGAACCATCTGTTTCTTGTCCTCCATCCATCAACCTTGTTATCTTGAGTCAACTCGAAATCAAAGTCTCGAACCAACACGGGAATCAATTTACTCATTTCCAACAATGGTATGTTTTTCCCAATGCAAGTTCTTGATCCCATACCAAACGGCATGAAGTTTTGCTCCATCAGCCTGGCTTGCTGTTCGTTCGCTTCGAGCCATCGTTCAGGTCTAAAGCTAGCTGCGTCCGGCCCGTAGACGTTTGTATCGTAGTGTGAGACCCAACTGTTCACACCGACATTTGTCTATTCGTCATATTAGCTCCACCCACTCAGCTTCATAATAAGGGGCCCTTACCCCTTCTGGAAAGAATTGACCAGCAAGTACCTCCCCACCCGGAGGAACAACACGGAAAATTGGAAACCCTGTTGCAGGATGAACACGCAAGGCCTCTTTCATAACAGCCTGAAGATATGGCATTGCCTGTGTTTCTTTGAAAGTCGGGTTACCAGTAATACCAGACGATTTCATCTCCTCTCGCAATCTCTCCATACACGCAGGGGTATGAAGCAAGTTGTACAGAATTGAGCTTAAACTGATAGCAGTAGTATCGCTTCCAGCGCCGACATTCGACCCAGCAGTGGCTAGGATATCATAGTCGGAAATCTTCTCGGGGTTCTGTGCCTGAGCTTGAACGACCTTCATAGTCATATGGCTCGGGAGATCGGCATGATAATTCTTCATTGTTGCCTTTGCCTCTTGAATATGTCGGAAGCTAAAGCCATTCGCGTAGCTTTGATCGATGCCAATGTATTTCGATAGCTTCAGGAACATTGGATAGAGCCAGACGTATGGCCCGAAGTAGGAACATACAGTGAAGGAGTCATCGAGGAACTCAATCATATTTCCTACGTCGTTGCCCGCATCGAGGAAGCCGAATCGATCGCCGAACTAGTTTGGTTAGTATATCACAAGCCAAAGGATAGCCATGACACGCACAGTAATCTTTCCAATAACATCAAAAGCATAACACTGCAACCAATGTCCCATATCAATGAGCCGGCCCGTTGACGCAAACTCATCTAGCCGCTGCTTTAAAATCTCGATGCAATTATCCACGAATGGCTCATATGCTACCAAAGATGTCATCGAATATAGCGAAGCAACCTTTTTGCGCTCATCTGCATGTTTCTTGGAGGACCTCTCGGAGAACAAGTTTGTTTTACTCAAGTCGCCGCTGAAGTTCCAAGCATCGTACCAGTCTGACTTTTGATATTTGGAGCCATGGCCGTAGATCAACTTTGTAGCCGTATGATCGGAGATGCTGTAAAAGTTCGGTGCCACACGGACAATCGGGCCTGTAGGAACGTATGAGTAAGTATGAGGGAGGCTGGTCAATAATACTTTACTTGCCATGTTCTTGATGCAGTCTAATGTTTGTGTGATGAAAATCACCACGTTTCATTTGCCATAGGTACCAGAGGTTCGTGAAACGACTGAGAGCTGGACCTGGGAGATAAAGACGAGCTGGAAATCTGATTATAGAAACAATGAGACGAAGTATAAGGGCTGCAATGCCTACGGGGGTAAGCGTCGAAAGAGATATTAATGACAACATTTTTCGAGATGGCTGCCACAGTACAGCAGGGAGAGATAATCCTATCCAAGTATGACGAAATAATTATCTGGGAAAGACAAGGTATTTTATATGGAGTATGGGTCCTCGGAGTTGCCATTTGTATGAATACAGCGAGGTTGAATGCCATGATCCTTACCTTTGCGCTGTTTTGGTGCCCGCTCACGTCGTGCTAAACCCCCCGAGATCCAATGACAATGTCTTTATTGATCAAATAGGGACAGATGATGACGATCTTCAGAGATCGTCTCTAAATGTATTACTCATAGTAAATAAATGTGAAGTTCCGGTCCGAAAACCTGAAGAAAGACAAATGGACAAAGTGTGAATCTTCCTCCCTACCCTCCATGCGAATCATGCTTAGCTCCTGATAGAGCCACCGCAAAACGTGAATTTTTACTCCCATGAAACCATTGTAAGAAAGCTAATTATTACTATATGTTTGTCTGCAAGATCCAATGCGAACATGGATTACTCTTCATCTTAGTAACAGATCAGGATGTTGATACCTCGCGAAATGGTTAGCCAGGCGCATCTGTTAGCCTAGTGACGAGATAATCAAGTTGATATATAATCCAGAACTCTATTTAGTAATTTATTTTACAGCACTATTCAAAATCTGACAGATCCCATTACTAGCCCAAACATGCTCTTCACGCAAAGTATCCCGATCCATCGTATCAACCTTGAAATTCCACGCCTTCTCCATGTCTGCCATTTCCACTTTGCTCTTATGCTTGAGTAGTGTATAGGGGAGATTGGTCATCCCTTTAGAGCTTCTTCGTCCAGCATGCTGCTTGACAGCTGGAGGAAGGGCCCAGCGGATTTCCTGGTTTGCATTTGCAATTCTTCGTTGATGATGTCCACGTACCCCAGATGCTTTGTTTCGTATAAATTGATAAGATCCGGGATTCCCGAGTGCGGAAAGACAAATGCTTGTGAACAGCATCCGAATTTAGCCATCTGGTCAACACCGTCCGGGATTGCAAGCATTGTAGCGCGACCTGCTGCGGAGAAAAAGGCCGATCAGGACAGGTGTGCAAACGCAACTGAGGAGAAGGATGGTTTCGTTTAAAAAGTCGGTCCTAATCGGAGTCCGATACCCGCTTATCTCCGGGCTGCCGTAAGGCGCGATGTCTAGGGTGAGAACGTTCGACGCCCATAAAAGAACTAGACCATCTTCTCTCGTCTGTTTCATCCCATGATCTTCATGTGAGTCTCCTAGTTTCCGATGGGTAATGGTTTGATTGATCCCAAAATGGGGGAGCAAATCTGTCATGGGCCTCATGAATCCACTCCAGGCGGAGATTCAAGGCTCGTAAGTCGATTTGTGGGCTGATGATCTCTCATAATAGAGTTGGTCGATGTTCAGACAGTCCCCGTGTTGAAGAGTAGACCCTTTGCTAGGGTCTCTTCAGCCACGTATAGCCCGCCCCATCTCGTGTTTTAACTAGATCACAGCTTCTGATAGATCATCATCGCCCTTGGCACTTCCCATTAAAGATAATCAGCATAGAGCTTTTGCTCAAGCGAAGAAAATGGGGGCGGAAGATGTGAGGTGAAACAGCCCTATTTAAGTCAGCCCTGAGTCGCAATTTCTATGACGAGTTTTCAAGTACTCTTGGTGTAGGGCACAAGGGCCAAAGCCTCAAACTGCACGTGGGCACAGCCGAGGGGGAGCTAATAGGCTAGTGAGAAACTTATAAGATTAGAAGATACATACACCATGGTTATTTGCATGGATGCATGCGGTAAACAAGAAAGGGGAGTCCATGTCCCAGGACCTTAGTTGGCCATGAAGACACGGGATACATGGGCCATCAGTTGGTGGGTAGGGCTGGTAGACTGGGATACTAGAAAGGCGGCCTAGAATAGAAGCCATTTTGTGGATAAGGAGGTGGGGGAAAGGGCGAGTTTGTAGGTGGAAGGTGGAAAGAGAAAAGGGGACATATATATTTAGGGGGGGGGGGTTCCCGCATACCAGTGTTGCTATTGATCGAGTACAACAGTACTCCATTGTCTTTGATCTATAGAAGACTGCTATTGGCCGAATCTAGGAAAGCTTGTTTGCTCAATAGCCACTAGTGTCGTGATTTATGCAAGACTACTATTGGTCGAATCTTCGACAACCCGGATATACTAATCTTAATTAGGAAGTCTACTAGACGTGGCTCACGTCTATTATCTGTATACTCCTAATCAGGGTTATTTTACTACGCCTAGTTAGTTGATCTCTACAAGCATTGTAGGCCATGCCTGTTCAGCTGATCTCTAAGTGAGATATTTGCAAGTAAGATGTTTGCAAATGAGCTGCCTCTATTGCTATTTCTGCATCGCCGTACTTAGAAAGATTTTCTCTATTTTTCAACCTATTCTTATTTAGCAGACTTATTCGCAGACAATATACCTCGGTCTACCAAGTAACCAAGTCAGTGGTCCTGACGCAAACCCACAGACGAAACTAAATCGCCTAATAGCATATGATGCTAACTAGTAGTCTCTGGAATATGAGAATTTTCAAAAGGACTGCGCTAGTCTGCAACAAAAGCTAGAAATCCCCCGGGATTCCCCCCGAGGCCTATTCTTCTACCGCAGGTCTACCACCCTAGACAAGCATTGGATAAAGTAGCGACCGCTTTCAACTTCCATGTGAACCAACACAGAGGAGCTCTTTCAAGCCCTAGTCACATGCAGGGCTAAATGTATCAGCTCTTGTCGCCACAAGAAGAATATTGGTCATATTGCGTACCATAGCATGCCTCGGGCCTGCACCGCGATTGTTATAGATAGAAACCACTGGGTAAGCATATCCTCATCTAAATGTGTCATTTTATAGGGTTGGGCGCGTGTAGTGACGATTGAATTGCGGCCATTGATATGGTCGGGTAGCGTGGATCGCGGTACGTCATACACGCGTGCGGCAGCAGCAATAGGAAGAAGATCTCTATTTTGAATAGCTTCGATTGCAATCTCAATTCTACCTTCTTGCTGGATTGAATTTTGCTTCTTTTTAGACCGGTTTGTTGACATGATAGGCGATTTAAAGTGGCGGAGTGAGCAAAGAGATGGGGGAATTAGATGGGGTGGCGAGCTTTGTGTCGATAACGTAAGACAGCGCAGATGGGGCCCCTAGCAGAGTGAGTGGAAACTGAAGGCGATATTGACTAGTACGTTAGGTAGTTTAACGACGGGGGCGTTTTGTTAGTATGGTTAAAGAATCACGCTGGGATTCTCCGTATACTATATATTGGTCAAGCAAATCAAACGTGAAAATATCAATTGATTGATTATAAGGAAAACAAAGCAAAGCTGTTGAGAGCTTTTACCGGCCTATATAGACAATACTCGACGGTAACAACGGTCGAGTCTATGTGTTTTCCAGAAATAAATACCAAGACTGAGATGCGAATCGCGTGTAGCTAACCATATCCCTATTACCATATATCTTTGCCATCACCCGAGCGCGCTAAGGTCACACAACCACGTCTGATAGAGAGAACCAGACGAATCCTTGGAGATAGTCTCTATAGACCAGGGGCATGTTACTGTGGCAGTCGGACCGTTAAGACCGGTAGCTGAAACAGTAATTGACTTGTCGCCGGAGTTATCTGACTCGACAGTGAGAGCCAGGACTTGGTCGAAAGTCATAACAAATGGACATCCCCATCTTGAGCAGAAGAGAGATAGATCAGCCGCTGGACAACTGTCCGAAGGCACCCCTCCACTAGAAACAAAGTCTGCTAGGGCTGTGGTTTGCCCATCAGTTACCTGTGCCCAAAGGCCACACCCTAGGCTCGGTTCAGGTCCGGGAAGGTTGCCAACGAGACCGGCGTAGTATCCAATTTGAACAGTATCCGCAGCGAATGTCAGCGTCGAGGCATGTATGAGCAGCGCTAGGGCTGGTAGTGGCTTTTTGAACATGGCCGCTATTACCAGAACGTAAGTATAAATATTTCGAAAAGAAATTTTGCTTCAAAAGTAGGACACAGATTTCGCTGACCTTGCTTAAGGGACGGATTTCAGATATGCAAACTGATAAATGGCGTCGAGTGGCAAACAGAATCGCTATCTAATGATATTTCTTCAACAATCGCGGGGGCATACGCCGTTATTTGTACCTCAAGGTGACCCGTAGCCGGAGACAGTGCCCCCAGGCTCGGCAAGCTCGGCGAGCGAAGTAAAACATAATAAAACCAATTAGGTTAAGTTGCATAGCCCGTGGGTGATTATATTTTACTTTTATTTTCTTCCTTTCGATTTGCGGAACTACCACCTTCCTTTTTTTGACTCTAGGCGTGAAAACGAGCGGGTTAACTGGCTCAGATGCAGCTAGCTCACTTAAGGGCTACTCTTCGCCCCGCTATGATTTTTTGTGATGAAATGGAAATTTAGAATGGCCTATTACATAAAGAAGCTACTCGAGGATCCTCTCTATTAGCTTCTCCAGAGGCTCTACTCATTAAGTATGTAGATAATTGTTAGTATGTATTTAGGATCTGGCACCTCTGGGGCGCATTATATAACTACGCAATCAGTCTAGACTGTACAGTTTCTAAGCCATCAACCTTAGCTAAATCCTAAAGGACGCCTTTCCCTAGTCTAGTCGCAGTTCTGTTACAATAGATTTCTGATGACATAGAGAAGCTTGTCCCTTATGATCCGTTGCACGTTATGACTTAATTTCTATAATTTTGCTATTTAGTGTCGTTCTCAAACCCTATATCGCACTATTGAAATTCCTATTGCTATTTGTAAATAAATGTTTCGTCTCCCGATCTATATCATTAACACCTCAACGTAATATCTCAATTCTTTTTTGAGGTACGTATGCTAGTGCCGGCATCGTCTGGCAATAAAAGAACAGTGTGGTAGAACTTAACACAAATATAGTGAGGCGTTGTCTCTTAAAGACAAACGCCAGCGACAATCTCGGTGACAAAGCTTGGCGAAAAGTTGCAGCGCTGACAATGAAGGAGCTCACTTATCCTCGGTCTTGTCCCGAGCAAAGACACACTTTAATCAACACGGCATGACGAAAATGCTTGTCGGAGAAGCTTTACCGTAGATAGTAAAGGCAACAAATATTGACCGATCCACTGAATCATGTAAGCGATGGTCAGTAGCTATAAGCTCCGTTTTGTGTGAATTGAGTCATTGGGTAGGGCATTAGCTAGGTCGCACTCGGCAAAAATGGAAAATGGGCGAAGTCAAGGGTGTGATCAATTTCAAGTTTCAAGGCATAATTTAGTGGAGATCGCGCATTGAATTCGGGCGGTAGACTTGACCCAAGCTGACGCCCCACTCGGCATCTACCAGAAAAGGAAAATGGGCAAAGTCAGGGTGTGATCAACTTTAATTTTCGAGAAATCCCGCCTATTTTTCAAAATATATATCTCGGGCGAGGAATACCCCACTCTTGATACCTTCTTCCGAAAATTCTATGTTAGACTCTGTTGAAATTGGATGTCTACTAAATTGGGAAGCATGCATATCAAGGCCGACGAGGTTGTTTAAGCCTGGCCCTCCTCTTAAGGAGTGAAAGACCCTATATAAATGAGAACTCTTTTCCTGAACTATACTCCGCTTGGTATGTTTAATGCTGATCACTAGATTCAGGCCTGTTGCGTCAGGTATCTAGTCTGAATGCGCCATGAATCTCAACAGACTCTTGTACGACTAGTAAATAGCGAGATTCTCTAAGTCCGACTTCTCCTCTCGGTTATTACATTTTATTTAGGGTCGCGATAATCATACTCTGGGATAGTTAAATTTTTGATAGGGTACGCCGCAACCCTAAGGTCCGCGAGAGCACATACGTAGGGCTAGTTGTGCTGCGAAGAAGTGAGTATCTCACTACATTTAAGACTAGAATATACGGTGCGTTTGAGAGGAATACTAGGAATAGCTAGTGCACGTTGAGTTAGTCTTTTTGTCAGATATACGATGATTCTCTATCTCGCCCGAGTATAAGGGTCCTGACACAAATCTAACCGAATTTGGCTAATATGCATGATGATGATGATCCAGGTCTACTTAAAAACTTTACTAATGCAGCATTGCTGACACAAAGCTAACCGGATTTGGCTAATGATGATTGAGTGGAGATAAAGAACAAACTCTAGTCGCAGGCCTCAAAGTATGCATCAGCCTGGAGTGGCGATTTCTGTCTTTTAGCTAAGCCCAAAAATAAACTATCGGTCGACTATCTTTATCTAGGATCTCCTTATTTAGAGAACGATAGTGGCAAGACATTTCTTAAGCACACCACTTCTCAGCAAAAGGTAGCAATGGCGTTAATCTTAAATAGTATCAAGCACACTTCGGTCACGATAGGAGGGAGCAGGGCGGAGCGGGCGATACAATGCAGTCGCTTGTGGAGCAGCGTCGATTACGTCCTTCTCTCAAAATTTTGGAACTGTGGAACCACAACGTGAAGCTTCCCTCGATAAAAACGGCTGGAATGGACTTTAGGTGACTTAATTCCGAGATGAAAAAGAACGAAAAAAAATGAAGCTATATAAACCCAATCACTGCCACTAGTCCCTCAAAAATATTAATCATCTCTTCATCTTTGAGTATCATCATACTATATTTTCAACAGAAACTGGCCTATCGCAATGGCAACTAAGTACGCCGTAGCTCATGAGTCTCCCAACGGCCCTGGAGACAGCCGTCCCACGGCCCTCCGAATCATTCAAGATGAGCATCTCGAGGGAAATCTCGCAGACAAAGTCATCCTTATCACGGGCTGCTCCTCCGGTCTAGGAATCGCGACTGCACGCGCACTAGCAAAGACAGGCGCCAAGCTCTTCGTCACAGCGCGCAATCCACAAAAGGCAAAAGTCGCCCTCGGCAATCTCCTAGAGTCCGACAGGATCCAACTCCTAGCACTAGACCTCAACTCTTTGGCCAGCGTCCGAGCCTCCGCTAGCGAGTTCCTGGCCCAGAGCCACCAAAAACTCAACATCCTTATCACCAACGCCGGCGTAATGGCAACACCGGAAGGCAAAACTGCCGACGGCTTTGAGTCCCAATTCGGCATTAACCACCTCGCCCACTTCCTTCTCCTCCAGCTCCTGAAGCCTGCCCTTTTGAGCTCCTCAACCCCTACCTCGCCTTCCCGCGTGGTCTTCGTCTCCTCCGTCGCCCACCGCATTTCAACCGTGCACATGGACAATATTTCTCTAGCGGGTGAATACGAGCCCTGGATAGCCTACGGGCAAAGCAAAACCGCCGTTATCTGGACGGCCAACGAGGTCCAGCGCCGATACGGATCGAAAGGCCTCCTCGCCTTCAGTCTGCACCCTGGAGGTATCACTACGGGTCTCCAGCAACACGTTCCCGACGAAGTGCAGCAGAATTGGGGGGCTGACAGGTCATTTGCGCTAAGGTGGAAAAGTGTCGAGCAGGGTGCTGCCACTACTGTCTGGGCGGCTGTTGCTAAGGCCTTGGAGGATCGGGGCGGGAATTATCTCGATGATTGTCAGATTGCGGGTCCGCATGATCCTGAGACTGGGCTCATGGGTGCTGGATATGCGCCCTGGGCTTACGACGAGGTGAATGCGGCGAAGTTGTGGAATATTTCGATGAAGATGGTTGGATTGGATGGGGAGAACTGATTTTCGAGGGTATTTATGATTGAAGAGGTCTTTATTGTGTTTGAATATCTTTGTGGCAGGTGTTTGTACAAATAGGGAGAGAAATTGCCCGGCTGAATGCTTGTTCTCATTGTATTTCAATAAAGATCATGACATTCAAGAAAAATAATTTAAATACATAATAGACTTTTAGAAAGTATGTTGTTGAATTCCCTTCTCATAGGGCTTGTTGACGCAATTGAGGCAATGTGGGCTATCAAATCCATCGCCGCCATCTGCTTGTAGAGGACGAACATAGTAAATGGTCTAAGTGTAGGAAATAACAAGCTTCGCTACTTAACAATTGACGATTCCACAATCATAAGTCAAAAATGAATTATAAATGGACTAGGAATTACGATCTAAAGAGAACACAACACGGTGTACGATTACGGTACAGGATAGATCGAAATCAGTTTCACCACTTTAATCTTGGGGGCATCTTCCAAAATCCGACAGATTAGCTGGAGAGAAAAGACACGCATTGTGGTAGGACGTAACTTATCGCCCGACCTTGCTCACCGACCCGCCAAGCGGCTCCAGCGGGGTGCGTACCAACATCCAAATGCGGAGGAAATAGCGATGGGACCAGTGAGAAAGAGTAACAGAATCTATATAATAATAGGATAGCTGCTAAATACATGCCTCATTCCTATTCAATTGATCTATTGTATCTCAAATTATTTGTAGTCAAGGTAGGTCTCTCCGAGCTATCGGTCATACGTCAAAGTCCAAACTACGATCATGCCTCTGCTCTATTTTATTTCTTTAATTGAGCTAAGTCTAAATCATGAGATGCTCGTACGTTGTATTCCTGATGCTTCTAGACATAAGAGCGGCCTACTATAACTGTCGTTATTCTTATAGAGTTACCAAGCTCTAACTCTAACTCTATCCTATAAGGAGTGATCTCTCTTTTTTTTTTGGTCAAACTAGCCGACCTTTGCATAGAGTCAAGGACCTTGCATTCTACAAGCAGCAAGGTTTGATGCTCGGTCCCCTAACTCGTGGCTGGTTTATCGGATGTGACGGCCGTAGCGTGCGGCCGCACTATCGCGAGTCCCCACACGAACCAACAACCAACCAACTGGCAAGAAGTGGGCAACCGATAGTAGCCCGAAGAGTAGTAAGCCAAGAGATATCCCACACAGTGCCTTCCTCAGGTTACGGGAATATCATGTGTCGCTCAGATAAGGTAAAGTTCCGTCTTTTAGCGGCCTAGACTACTTCCAGTCTCTATTATTCCTTCACTAGCTCTGGAAGGGCTATCGAACCTCGAGTTACAACCGAAACCTTGCGTTATTTGGGTTCGAATAGTCTTCCAGACCAAGGGCTATTACAGGGAAAGGTGCTCGCCGTCAAATCCGGGGCAAATCTAGGGAAATCAAGGTTTTACGTCACTATACGTCCCCGGTCAATCTATCCAATAAAAATCAGCTTCCTTATGATAAGTTACTTAATGGTAGGTTTTTCTGGTACTCGCCCAATGCTAGTAACTGCCCTGAGTTATTAGGTTATCTCATATCTCCTATATAAGCCTAGCTAAGTGTAGCTATAAAACCAGTAAACTTCCTACTGCTCTCGGTTCCGCCGGTACATTAATTAAGAAATTCGCATATGGAATTGTACTTCCTGGCCTACTCGCCAGTACGGTTATAGTTCTCCATGTGAGTGTAAGGCAACCTAAGTTGGCCATATTCTACTGACATTCATCGGTTCTCCAGCAAATATCTATTCGTACGATTGTCAAGGGGGTCTGAACATTTGACTGCTAACTCATTAAAGCATTGGGCAATATGGTTTGGCTGCACGTCTGCCGTCACGATATAGAGAACCTCTCAACCCTTTTTCTGCGTCATCTGCTACCAGATAGTGGTTTACCTCGCGAAATTAGTACAAGTCTTGCTCATTTTTGGGGCACTCATTCACCGCTGATCTATATTCCCGCCTGTCTATCGAAACGTAGCTGCATGTTCAAAGGTTTCTTATTCGCTCTTGCAAATAGAGTACACCACTGGTTACAGTACGTGTGCCTCGTTACGACTCTTTCGCATGTTCGAGCTTTTGATCTAATAGGTCTCCTCGAACACAACAACCATAAGTATCAACGTCTCATATATACTAATTCTGAGTTCCGAACCGCTATTTAGGGCCTATGAGGCTCGCATATACACATTCACTAAGCGGGATAATTACTGCTTTTGATCGATCAGCATTCACTAAATATGTGGTATTCTACTATCGGAGATCATCGAGGGCCAGGACCCAAGATCTCCGTCCTTTCGTGCACTGAGGTTACTATGCGGTGGGTGCTTCTTGGAAATCCATAGAAGGGTCTAGTCATTTCAAGTGGCGCAGTACGATTGCAGCAGTATGGCTTAGGGGAGATTTGGCTGCATAGATATGATTTCATCACCGGGCCGAAGTCTTATAATCGATATGGATTGCATCCTGGGAAAAAAATGTGGGCTGGGCTGGGAAGAACAATGCAATCGCCGCTGACCGTCGATGTTGTTCGGTGCGACCGATCGTGAGAGCTGATGTCCCTTCTTTCCATGTCTGTTGAGGAAAATTTATATTCATAGCCTTTCCGGCTTTTAGTCGTATCACTAAGTCTATTTGGATGTCTATAGTTCATACTGTAGTGCCCAGAGCGCCTTAGTAATTCACTAAAACCGAATCAGGCTTTCATATATAGGCATCGCGATCTTCACGTTCTTGGCCCACTTCTCAATATCCTCTACAAATCGTCAGGCGATGCCTATCTTCATTCCTTTCACAATGAACAGGTTTGGATCCTGATCCTTGTAGGCCTGCTCGAGGTCAAGGCCATTCTCGAGCATCACGTCACTGACTTGTCAAAATACAATTTTTAGAATGGAACATTCGACATTTTACACGTGCCACTCACCGTATTCCTCAATAGCGACGTCCCTGAGGCCAGATATCTCGATTGGACTCATTGTATCCGATTTTGACGTCGGCATAGAAGCCGAAACATCCGGGCTATAGGCCCGGCAGGGTAGGACGTTAATGTTAATTGGAGGATATGGCGCTCGCCCTCGGCTAGAGCGTATTTGCAAGTTGACCAATGGTGACAGGTTTGCAGCCGCCGTTGATGATAATCAGGTTTGCTGTGGGAATTTCTATCCGCTATTTTTCCTTTATAACTTTTACACATTGATACCCAGGCTATATATATACCCTCTTTACATGCGTTTTTTTCCCGCGCGCTCTCTTGACTCTCGCCTCCGTCGCCATCGTCGACAGCAACACCTGGGATGAACCGTCGGCGACGTCCCTCAATGCAAGAAGACATGTCTGAACGACTTCTACAAAGACGCCGGTCTTGAATCAAAGTGTGGAAGCCCTGACAAAGCCACCGCGGACTGTCTCTGCGGTGTTAAGGGTTCTATGTCGGACGTCGAGGATGCAGCCTCCAGCTTGAGCTCGTGTCTTTCAAGCGGCTGTGACTCCGAGGACCTTTCGGATGCTTCCTTCAAGCTCGAGGCTTTCCAAAATCGGTTTAGCGATCTCTCGACCCAGTGTACCAGCTCTGGTAAGTTTTCTCTTGACTCCTTGTATTTTTCATTATATCATGTGAGAATTCCAGGCTAATCATCAACTTTGCAGATTCCTCCAAAGGCGCTGCTAACTCCAACGTCCCTGGCCTCAAAGCAATGTTCGCTTCCGGAGCTCTGCTTTTCGGTGCGTCGATGATTTAAAATCTACAAAATCGACTTCGTGTTTAATACAATTTATTAACTTAATAATCCCGATATTTTACCCAAGATAGTTTCTATGTCAAATCTTCTTTGTGTGCGACTCTCCATTCTTCCTAAATTCTTCTGTCTTTACCCAAGACGATCTCACAGTCCCTTGTGGAGATGAGAGACTAAAATACGAGGCTCGTCGATGATCGGCGTTGCTTTAAACCAATGATAAGGACTATCACTAACCCTTTTTAGAAAGCGGCAGCAACCGAAGCAGCATGGTAAAATCGCTACAGAAGGAGAATTGAAAGTATTTGACGAAGTATTTGACGAAGTATTTGACGAAGTATTTTGAGTCGCAATGAAAATGCTGAGATATTTGTTCCATGCACCACAGCAAAAATAAGGATGCGGCGCCAGGCTTAATCTATAATGGTGAAGATCATGCGACTTAGAACCAAAGACACATTTACTAGTCTAGAAGAGTTTCGTTTATGGCAATTGAAATATATGCGGGGCAACACAGGGCGGATCTCAGACTTTTGTATCAGTTCATGTGCTGTATAAGGGCCAAGCAGGCCGGTCTAACAGTCTAACTGAGGAAACAAGAGGAACAGACGATGATGACCAACAGTGAAGTCCCATAGAAATAAGGATATCAGTCAAGGAATAATACAATTCACCCGGTCTACAAGTGTCTAACCCCAGCCCTTCCCCGCCAAGCCCACGCTATCCGATCCCGCTGATCGCATAGATCCGAGCGCATCCGCTCTCCACAAGCGACGGAAGTCACCAATCCAAAGCGTAAACCGATATCCAATGAAATGGGAATAGCCAACATGACCTCATGCATGACATCTAAGTATAGAAGTCAAAACCCCCTCTTTACTACCCCACCTCCCCAACTTCTTCTCACCATCTAATCTAATCTCACTCATTGAACCATCTATTCATCATGTCGAACGTTTACTTTGATGTTGACTATACGACCCCCAGCGGGCAGAGTATGTCAATCCCAATCATTGCATTGTGTCACTGTTTGCTAAAGGGTATATAGATGAATCATGGGGTCGCATCGAGTTCAAGCTCTACGACGACGTCGTCCCAAAGACTGCTGGTAACTTCCGCGCCCTATGCACTGGCGAGAAGGGCTTTGGATATGAGGGCTCTGCATTCCACCGTGTGATTGCGGGGTTCATGGCTCAGGGTGGTGACTTTACCCGCGGAAACGTGCGTATCAATATCCATAACCACGTCCACCTCCATCCACAATGAAGCTAATGTGCATCTGTCATAGGGAACCGGCGGCAAGTCCATCTATGGGGAGAAATTCGAAGACGAGAACTTCAACATCAAGCATACCAAGCCTGGTCTGCTGTCCATGGCTAACGCTGGACCGAACACGAATGGGTCTCAGTTCTTCATCACTGTGAGTCTCTCCTTCCGTCCTTGCATACCTGTGATGTGACTTTGACTGACTGTGTATGTAGTTCGTGACAACTCCCCATCTAGATGGCAAGCATGTTGTCTTTGGAGAGGTCGTCTCGGGACAGGACATCATCTCGAAGATGGAGAGTAAGAGCTTGGATCGAAGTGGGAAAACTGATGGGACTATCAAGATTGCTGCCTCGGGTGCTCTTTGAGTGTTCGGAGTGTGTTGGACTCTTGTCATGCTTGATTGTAGTCATACTGGGTAGTGCTCTGTATAGACTGCAATGGAAGTATGATATGTGGATATCGATCTGGGTCTTTTTGTAGATGAGCTTGTAGGTGCTGAGAGGGTGGACGGGTGTAAGTCTGTTGTTTTATGCGTGTGGGTGGCTCAAGGGGCAAGGCATGGGACGAGCTTGTGCTTGGCCATGTTGGCTAGGCCGCAATAAACACGGGTGGGAAGTGGGCTAGGGACAGGGGAAAGAGATTTGGCGTGGCTTCATTACATGAGCAGAGACGCAAGATGGCAAGGTGGAAGGCAAAAGACAGAGGGCAGAAGGTAGAGCATTAATGAACACAAGGGGCGGCAGGGAATAGCTTCATTTACCACAATGGTCGAATTGGGATGTGGGGAAGGAGGTATACCAGGAAGGGGGGAGCGAAGGTGGTTGGGAATAGCTTCAATCGTGGTTGTTGGCATGCAAGTGGAAGGAAAGGCAGGAAGGGCTGTCCTGGGGAAAGCTTCGTGTTTTGTGATGGGGCATGGGGAAGGGGGAAAAGATTGAAATACCTTCCACAACTCCAACAGCAACAAGCAGAGCCACAACAAGAGGCGGGAATCATGAAAATAACTCATGATCACAAAAAAGTCTCATGAACCCGGTCCTCTCCCAGGCACGTCACGCCAACATGTACGGCACACTACTAGAGTGATATGTTGACGCCCCAGTCATCGCCCCACATCCCTCAGATCAACTTACTAGTTACGGCCTTCTTCATCGAGACGGAGCAGATATCTCCCATTCGACTGAGTCCTGGCCTATGTGTAACGTTGGGAATCACCTCGTTATATGAACTTCAGACCGGCAGTGAGGCAATTTGACCTATCTATCTTCGCTACCCCGCAGGACGAAGACGGGCCATGACAACCACCTGAGCCACTGGTGTGAGTTGGTTAGTTGGGAGTCTTTTGTTTGATAAATATAGGGTGCGAGCTTGGGGGTTATGTCACGGGCGTTAGGAGAATGGCTGTATCTCGGGCTTGGGCAACCGTGGGGACTTCAGGTTTGGAGGATAATGGCCGAGAATGTGTATCGTCAGGGAGTTCCATTGTCAAGTAGCTTGAATAATCTCATATGGAGCAATTATGGTAGATAGACGTCGAGATACCTCCATCCCAAGTCCAAAATGAAGCAATCTGAACATCGAATGCCCCCAACCCGGCCAAGCTTCTCCCCATACAAAATCTCAAACAGGAAATTCCAGATCTGAAGAGCTAGGGATCGAAACCGGCCCCTGCCAATGTTTTTCCTATGTCCTTCTCCATGCCTACCCCCAAGTCTCTCATTTCACAGCAACAATAAACAGCCGAGGAAATTTCAACAAGACCCTCCCATCAACAGAGACAGGGTATGCCTTCTTGATTTTCTCGAGATATGCCTCTAAAAATGCCTCCTTTTCACCCCCCTCCAGCGGATCAATAAACGGCTTCAACCCAGCCCCCTTCATCCACTCCACAACAGACTCAGGCCCCTCAACCGAATGATAATAACTCGTCTCCCAGATATGAATCTCGGCACAGAATGGTTTCAGCCGATCATACATCACCTGCACAGACTCGAGTTCAATCCTCTCCACCCCAATCAACTTCTTGGCCCACGGACCCTCCGCCGCTGTCTCGCGCATCAAGACATGCAACGGCTCATTCAGATTATTCGGCACCTGAATAGCAAAAGAAGAGCCCGGAGCCTGTGGCTCCAACAGCCGCTTGATAACCGCGATTCGGTCGTCTGCCGTCAACCAATGGAACACGGCGCTGGAGAAGAAGAGATCAACGGCATCGCCGGCCTCTGGCTTGTACGTCGTCAGATCTGCGACATGAAATTCCCGCTCTGGAAGAACAGCCTGCGCTTTCTTGATCATATCCGGTGAAGAATCCAGACCAGTGATCTTTGCATCGGGGAAACGTGTCGCCAGGACTTCTGTTGAGTTCCCCGGGCCACAGCCCAGATCGATGATTCTCTTTGGTGAGGAGAGAGGAACCCTGTCGAGCAGGTTGTGCGCTGGAAGACTGCGTTCATTCTCGAACTTGAGGTATTGGCTCGCGTTCCAGTCTTTGGCTTTGGTCATTGTAGTGTATGTGCGTGGGTTTATCCTTTTGCTGAGAGTGGATAGTGTTTGGAGGCGGATTGGCATAGCTGGACTGATGATCGGAGATTCTAAGGTTTAATTGACATATCCTGGATAATATTTGGGCTTCTTCGGTACTTATACTTGAGGACTGTAGGGGTGAGGTCTGCAGATGAAAGGTCCAGAGCGGTTATCGGACATTTGGTCAGCATTTGCCGATCTTTGGAGTCCCCGCATACTCCGCCCCGCAATACTCAGAGACGACATACTTCAAAGCGAATTGAAAGGGTCATGAAATTGATATTCAAATCGTATTTTGGCATGTCGGTATTCTCTCTAAATGGTGTGATCAATAGCTAGCACGGCGTCATTGCCTCACGAAGCCTCCAGGGTCGCGACCTCTTCTCTTTCTCCCCCATAGTACCCGTCCAACAATGACCACTCTTGTCTCTCATCTTCCAATCCCAAGTAGAAATAAATCGCGAGCGCATGAATCAGTCCTCCGGCTCAAAGAGCCCTTTCTCAATTGCTCTGATCAAGTCCGGCAATGCCTTTACTGTCACAGTCCTTCCACTGATAGGATCCAGCACGGTAGCACGGCTTACACCTCTACGTGTACGATTCAAGCCTATCTCTTGTAGGGAATGCTTCAATTGCAGAAGCATCCCTTCCTCAAACCCGGTGGTTGTGTTGATATTTCCTTTGAACTGGGAACCAACTTATGGCCTGCTGGCGTCAATGGCAACTTCCATATTATCTGCTGGATATGACCAAAGCTGTGGAAGAAAGAAATCTCGCGCTGGATGACTGAGTGATGCGCTCGCCATACATTTCTACTTGGATATTGAAAGACGGAAGATGAGAGAATGTTCAGTAGTGGCCATTTGAGAAGAGACAATCTCTACATGCCATAATACAAGGTCTTTGAATATTCCTTCATATTTGCTGTAATTTGTGAAATGTCTTGACATCTACAGCAGAGATTCTTCGGGACAAGATGACAAGGCAATCCGCCGATATCGCAAAATAAACCGTGGTTACATTACAGCCCGCGAAGAAAGAAGATGAGCCGGGTAAGATCCAAAATGTATTGATAAATAATCTAGCCAAAACACAACTTGATCTAATAGAAACAGCACGTCGGACATATCCCAAGGGAGCCACATGGCTCTCCATTTAGTTGCTGCCAACCAAGTTGCCGAGCAGGGACTCAATCCAGCTCAGGACATCCGAGGCACTGTCAGTAGGGAAAGGCAGAGCCGAGCCAGCAGCGCTCGGGGTAGCAACGATGGAGCTAGGGACCTCGGAGGGGGAAGCAGCCTGGCGAGTACTAGTGGCAAAAGTAGTCTGAGCAGCGACGGGAGCCGTGACAGAGGTCTCGATAGCGATGGCAGCAGAGGTGCTGGTAGCAGGGGCCTCGGTGGAGGTAGCGGTAGAAGAAGTCGAGACAGCGACAGCAGAGGTGGTAGCAGCAGCAGAGCTGACGACAACGCTGGAGCTGGAACCGCTGGAGGAGCTGGAAGAGTCACCGCCGAGAGTGAAGTCGACACAGGACTCGTAGGTCTGGTCGATGGACTCGGCGTACCAGTACCACTGCAGAACACAGTCACCGGCGGTACCACACTGGCTACCGAGGTCCTCGGGGATGGTCACGGAGAAGCTGGTCTCATCGTCGGTGACACCTGTGGCGGTGGAGGCATAGACGTCCCATGAGATGAGGGGCTTGCCGATGACAGAGTTGGCCGAAGTGTCGACGACGGAGACGTTGGCGACACCGGTGTGGGGGGCGCGAATGTCAACAGTGAAATCGACCTTCTGACCGGCAGTGTAGGACTGGACGTTGTCCTTGTTGTCGGCGAACTTGTAGCCCTTGCAGAGCCAGATGTCACACTCGGCGGCGTTGTAGTCGCTCTGGCTGGAGGCAACCTGGAGCTCGCCCTGGATGTTGCCGTAGTTGTCGGACTCCTGGTTGATCTGGACCTGGTTGCCGCAGGCGGAGGCCATGGCGGAGCCGGGCATACGGGCTTGAGGGCTAGTGACGAAGCCGTGGGCGTTTACCATGGAGACCATGCTGGCGAAAGCCAGGGCGGGAGTGAATTGCTTCATCATTTTGATGGATATGAGATTGAAGAGAATGGAAGTGAACGGTAAACCGGTACCGATGAATGTATAACGAATGAAATATGCACGGCCACAGACCGGTGTAAAAGAATGTGAATGAGGGGGGGAAAAAACTCAAGAAGGACTGGCCAGCATACTCAACTGGGCCGTCGTGGGCGTAGCCGTTATATAGCCATGGACCATGGTGAAAGCCCTTCACCCCATTAATCAACTACAAACAGTGCGGACTCCACAGTGACGGTCATCATATGGCCAGAGGGACGCAGGTAGCTTGAAACACATTGGATATAATTGAAGGGAGAAGACTGGCGGCAAGTGAATATCCAACTTGACCGATTCTTCCGAGACAAGCCCGATGTTCTCGAGCTAGGGCTTGCCAAGCATGGCCCACGCGCCGAACAGGGATGAACGTTTCAGATTGATGGAGCTGCCAAGTGACAGTTATACAGCTGTAAGTCCTGTCATTGATGGGTATTCTGTGTAATTAAGCATGTGGAGTCAAAGAGATGATCGCGGGTCTCGGGCGTTTCCTCAATTTGACTCTAATCCCGACCTATAGTGGCCCAGCATCTGCCAGGGGTTTGTGAAACTAACTAGGTACTTTGGGAGCCTTCGATAGTTTCATATTAAAGAATGGATAGATATGTCTTGGTTTACCTATCAGATTGGCCGTTATTAATCATGGACTAGCCTGAGGACAGAGTAAACGAGTGATATTATGGAACTAGGTCTTTAGACCAAGCGCCGCCTCGAATTTCGGAGTTTTCTATATTGCCATATCTTATTCGCTTTCTTCGCCGTGCTTACGCCATAGTTCTATTCAATACATGACTGGCTTTGTTGTCTCGGCCCCCTGAATAGTATGCCTCGGCCAACGGGGTATGGAGATATGAACCATCCAGGCACGAGGATTCGGAGACCTTGCTTCCATGATATGTATACTTCTTGAATACGAGATCATTTGAGCATCCAAAGACAAGTTCTTAACAAGACTGGGTAAGTAAGACAACGTGGGAGCATTGAAAAGTCAATCGACCCTTTTTCTAGAATACGGTCATCATGCATTGAAGCACATCGCCGCTGTCTCGATCAACCAAGTCCCAACTCAAACCAATATTCCAACTCGCCATCTATTGGTTTAGCTCCAGGTCAAACACAATCTTCCCCTTCGCATGACCCCCATCCAGCCTCTTGAACGCCTCCTCAAACTGCTCCAGTGGCCAAACACTATCAACCATACCCCGACACAACCCAGCCTCAACCAACTTCGTTACCTCCTCCAATTGCCTACTAACAGGCTGCATGATAAAAAACACATCTTTCACCCCAGACCCCTCAAACCCAGCCGGACAAACCCCCGTCGGCGGCTGATAAATACTCAGAACAACACCACCATCCTTAACAGTCCACCAAGCGTCAGCAAGAGACTGCCGTCCAACACAATCAACAACAACATCAACAGAATTCCCATCTCTCCCAGCCCACTCCCTCAAATCAACACTCCGATAGTCAAGCACCTCCCCAGCCCCAAGCCCCCTAACAAGCCCAACATTCCCACTCCCACAAGTCCCAATAACCTCCGCGCCCAGTATCCTAGCCAACTGCACAACCCACATCCCAACACCACCAGAAGCAGCAGTAACAAGAATCCTCTTCCCCCTCCAGGCACGCTTAGCCTCCTCAATCCCCATTGCCTCCTCATCCACCCCATCCCCAAAAACATGAACAAGAAGAATCTGCCAGGCAGTCATGGCAGAAAGCGGCACAGAAACAGCCTGCACAAAACTCATTCCCTTCGGCATAGTCGCCAACTCATCAGTAACAGCAATGGAATAATCCCGCGCATTACCCGGCCGGATATAATTAGTGCGTGTGTACACCTCCGCGCCCGGCTGGAAGGGCGAGTCTGCCGGCGCGGAGACGACTATTCCTGCCATGTCCGGGCAGGGGATTAACATGCGCTCGGTTGGTGGGGGAAAGTTCTTTGGCCAGAGGAGTTCGCCGGCGCAGGGTGAGCACGCTTTTATTTTGATCAGGTGTTCGTCGCTGTTTGGGGTTGGTGTTGGGGGTGGAGTTGTTGTTAGGGTTAGAGTTGTTGATTGGGCGGATTGTTGGGTGAGGGCTCGGATTGTTTTTGGAAGAGTCATTTTGATGTTGGTAGTTATTGAATTTGAAGAGTTGAGATCGGAGATAGAAAGTTTGGTTATAAGAGTGTAATTTGATTGAGTCGTGGTTGATCTGATCTGATGGATGGGGTTCTTATACCTCGATGACGTTCCGCGATCCCGGATAGCCTATTCATCATAGCCTAACCGGAACATGGGAGATTCAGCCACGGATCCAGAAACGAAATGAAATGTGGTATTATCACCTCGTATTCCCTTGATTCTCTGCGAACCATATACTATCTTCCAGCCGAAGCCGCGGAGATGCGAAGACGCGAAGACGCGAGTCGCGAGTTCTGGGCTAGAACAGTCTTTCCATTTGACATGATCTACCTATAACGTTATACGCGAAGCGAGAACACTATATCGGCATACCTCATTCTTGTGTAAGCTGTATATAACGCTGTTTAACGTTGAACGTGAATCGAAACTCTGTAAAGGCAATGCTCAAGGTATCATAACGAATGAAGGACGAAGACTGGGGAATAGCTATGCGCCGGCGATATAGACAGAACGACAATCAAGAACAAAAGTCCAAAAATACCAAAAAAGAAAAAAGACGTATCACTGCCACCCGTTTGGTATCAACGCTCCTGCTCAGCAGGCTGGAAATGCACCCGATCTCTCTGAGACTGATGCTGATTCCTCCCATCAGAATCCTCCGCGTAGTCATCAGCAAAAGGATTCTGAACCTGGAAATCCTCAGACCTGTACTCATACCGGCCCGCATTACCAGGGGCTGCCGTAGCAGTAGGAGTAGCAGTTGCACTCGACATTCTACCACCAGTCATAGCAGTAGACGGCAACTCCGCAGCAACAGGCACCGGAGGCAAAGGCTGCTCCCTCGGCGCCGCAGCCCCAGAAGCAAAAGGCAAAGGCTGAGACGTGGGCTCAGGCGAATTGACATTCGAAGAACCAGGCGACGAAGACCCCCGAGCCTTGCGCGCCTTCAGCATAGCCCGCTGCTGCTGCGACAAAGCAACAGAAATCTCATCGTTGGTCTCGATAAGCGTCAACAGTGTATCCTCATCAGGCGCAGGATTCGTCGAATGAATATACCCCTGAATGAGCCTCGAACCGGTGCGGCACCGATCCACAAACTCCTTCACGAGATCATTATCCTCCAGCTCCGCCGCCGGCGTCGACTGCACGAATTGCGAGAGCAGCTTAGCCGAGTTCTTCGCTTCTTCGATGCGCGCTGCTAATTCTTCCGCGTTGGGCAGTGCATTCGAGGGCGGTCGAGCAGCATCTTGCGCACGCGCACCTGCATAGGCATTACGGTGCGGATTCGGATGCGGAGGGACGGGCGGTGCAACGCCAGAAGCCATAGGAAAGCGATCAATCTGAGATCAGCAGCTGGGAATTAGCCTTTTACATTGTCGCTCTCCGCGTGCAAATTCCTGACATGGAGATCAAGAGTTATTCAATAAAGGCTCACCAGTCCACGCTGCGGCTTCGACTTTTCCTTCGTCCACATCTGCAGCAGGAGTTTCAGGTCCTCATCCCAGCTGCGCTGTTGCTCAAGTGTATCCAGGTACTGGCGGAGGTAGCTCTGCACGTGCCAGTCGCGACCAGCGCGGAGGAGCTCCTTGATCGTGGAGACGAATTTCGCGTCGAAGTTGCGGGTGAAAGTGTGGCCAGGGTTGTCGACTAGGATGCGGGTCAACATGAGGGCATTGTATTGGACGTTGTTTGGGGTTCCGGCTGGGTCGGCGAGGTATTTGCGGATTCGGTAGGCGGCTTCTTTGGCGGCATTGGGGCTTGATTCGGCTGTTTCGACTATTTGAGGGAGGTGGACGAATTCGTTCCCTTGTTGGTTCTGGGGTTGGTTAGTGAGTGTTCGCCGAGATTCCATGGTCCATGGGAAGTGCGTACCGCGTCGCGAGAGGAACTGTTTGATTCGCAGAATGCAGTCTAAGTTATTGGTTAGTTAGGTTCAGGTCGGTGTGATTGCTGGGCGGACCAATTCTTTTGCGATTATGGCTTCTGGTGAGTCGTCGCGGTGGTCTACACTGTCGCTTGAGCCTAGATTGATTAGTGAAGTTGCTGGGAGCGTGGAGACGAGGAACTCACTCGAGCGCCTACTCAAAGAACCCAGGAAGCGCTTCATGGTGTCTTTGGTCAGGGGAGTTTGGAGGAAGAAGAGCAGTCACAAGATAATTTGGGGCTAAATGGGGGGCCGAAGCTTTCGCTCTGCAGACTAGTGAAGAAAGGGAGCCTCGCTAAGAACATGGTCCATGAGGCAGCAAAGGGAACCAAAGTCAATATATCTATCTCAAGTGGCAAATCCGCGTACGCAATGAAGCCATCCAAATGCCAAGGCCTCTCTCCAGGCTCCAAAATATCTGATGGATGGATGTTTCTATTCCCGGTGACTCAGCCACGTGCCGATGTACAGAGTACACGCCAGCCATAGCGTCGATCACCAAACTGCTAAGTATTCAGTACCTCAGATCGAGTATCTACTTCATCTACATGATATCAAAATCACTCTAGAGCATCAGCCATCTCCCCAAGAGTCCCAAACCGCCAATCAAAAATCGGCTCCTCCAGATTCCCCATCGTAGCCCCAGGCCTCTCAATCCAGACTGAGTGAATCCCCACCCTCTTCGCAGGCTGATGATCATGGAACTGACTCTGGGCAGTCTGCAAGACCTGTGCGGGACGAATTCCAAATTCTTTTTCCACGGCTGCGAGCATATACTTGAAATTGCGTAGATCGGGCTTATAATTGCCGATATCCTGTGCAGTGATCACCATATCAAATGGTACACCCTGTAGACTCCCGCTATTAGATTTAGCGAACGAGGCCCGGTCCACGTTTGAGAGGACGACCAGCTTGTAGTGCTTTGATAGACGGCGCAAGGCGTCTACTGTATCTGGGAAGGCGGGCCATGATCCGACTGAGTCGCCGAATACTTGGCTTTCTTCTTTGCTGGGAGATTCTAGTCCTAGGCGGGTGGCGAGGATTGGGTGGATTGTTGCTAGGAGGGTTGAGTAGGGCATTTCTGGGGTTGACTTTTGCTGGATGCTTTCAAGTTCGTGGAAGACTGTTAAGAGATGCTCACGGGTGAATTGGGTTGTTGCGTTTGAGAGGAGTGGTTCAAGAGCAGTGAGGATGCCGCCTTCCCAGTCTATTAGCGTGCCGTAGACGTCGAAGCAGAGGAGACGGTAGTCTTTGAGTGACATTTTGTAGTTGATATGTGGACATATATAATGGTGGTGTGAATAGCATCAGGTACAGTGGAATTGTAAGACTTCTTATACAAATTGCCCCGCATGTAGATCTGCTGAGGCAGTCCTTGGCATATGCATTTGATAGATAGTAGCTCTGTCGGGGACCCGAAGTGGTCTAGTCAATCTGGATTTACCTGCCTTAGGTAGATACTAAGGTGGATATACTCAAGACGACGCACTGAGATAACGGATGAGCCTGCCCTATTGCTTACTGCAGGAGGAACTGCATCTACACTAGAAGCAAGTCGAAGTAAAAAATAGAATGCATATCACGGAGAAAGAACCACGTTTGTATCATGAGGGATCGGGAAGTACAGAATCCTATTCCATCAACCCAGGGCCATTCGTTTAAACTTTTTATTTGGTTCTCCTCCGAAAGTTGGCGCCATGACCTTAAAAATCTTGTATGATCCGGTATCGAATTCCGTTCCAACATACACAGCTGATGCCGTAGAACTCCGAACCTTCCCGTCCACCGCAAAAATCTTTTCAACACGTCCCCTCACACCTTCTTATGCGATCCGTTTATGCCTCAATGAGAGCACGGCGGATCTGGGTGCCACGCTGGCGGGAAGAGAGGCGGGTCTGCTTCTCGAGGGCGGCCTGGGGGCCCTTCTTGACCTCCTCATCGGCCTCGGTGAGGATGAGCTCGATGTGGCAGGGGTTGGTCATGTAAGGGTTGATCTAGGATAATCAGCACAAGTCACAACTATTAGAATGGCTGAGAATGGAACGTACACGACCGTGGGCACGGTAAGTGCGGCGGCGACCCTTGGGGGCCTGGTTGACCTGGATGCGCTTGACAACCAGGGCGTTGGTGTCGAGACCCTTGCCATCGGCGTTGGCCTCGGCGTTCTTGAGCAGATCAAGGATGTGCTCAGCGGACTTGACGGGCCAGCGGGCCTTGGAGACACCGAACTGCTTGCCTGGTGAAGAGTCAGCCCTTGTCCATCTAAAATGAAAATTCCTCCAGGTTGAAATTTTCCACAACATCGCCAATATCGAAAATCCAATAGACACGTCTCCTCTCCTGCTTCTTCCTCATCCTGTTCACGTCCATGGCTGTCGTATATTGGCGATGATATTTCCCATCCCACAATCTTCCATCCAATCATCGAAAATTTTCAAGGGTACTCACCCTGGGCAGTGCGACCGGTGGAGCCAGCGTAGCGGCGCATGGGAACGGCCATGGTCTTGGTGGTGACGTTCTCGAGGAAGGTAACGGCCTTGGACAGCTTCATGCCGTTGATGGCCTGGGCGGTCTCACGGGTGTTCTTGAAGCTGACACGGAGGTAAGAGCCCCGGGCGCGGGCGCTCTTGCCGTTTTCGATCTCCTGGGCGGCGTAACGGACCTGGATAGAGCATTGCTCGTTAGCAATGCTGATGGTTGAAATTGACGACAGCGAGGTCGACCCGGTGATCGGACATTGAATGTGATATTGAATGTGCCGTCACACGGGTGGCATGTCGTAAAGAATGGAATTCCGATTCATTTGTCGATAGAGGGGACAGGCAGCACTCACCATCTTGAAGGAGTTGGCGAGGGGGGTGTGATGGTCCTCGGTGATGAATTGTTGTCGCTTTTCGTCGTCGGCCGGCGGTCGCTTGAGCCACCAGGTTTGGTGCGGTTTTTTCGCTCTTGGCGCTCTGGCCCTAAGCGAGCCCTAACGCTAGCTTAATGCAGTTAGAATACTATGCCTGCTTAGTAACAGCTGAGTCATTCCTGCCTCAAGCCTTGCAGCCTTGTGGATCAGGTGTCACTCCAACTTTGAAATTGGCTCTAACTGCGCACGCAGTACGGAGTAGACGAAGTTAAAACCAATATAGTCCATTATTTCATCTATCTTCTATTTCTTCTGCTCAGGCACCTGTGTAATCAATTCACCCTTCTCAACAGCTGACCGCAAATTATCCAACACGAGAATCTCCATCTCCTTCTGCGTCTCATAGGTCATGGTACCAATATGAGGCAAGAGCATCACGCGCGGGTTACTCACAAGACCAGGCTCAATCTCGGGCTCACTTTCATATACATCTAGACCAGCAGAGCGCACCTTGCCAGACTCAAGCGCCGCAACAAGCGCCTTCTCATCAATCAGAGCTCCACGAGCCGTGTTAACAATGACAACACCATCCTTCATCTTGCCAAACTCAGCAGCACCGATAATATGGCGTGTTGAGGCATTCAGCGCGAGGTTCAAGCTGAGCACGTCTGCATTGGCGAGCAACTCGTCAAAGGAAACATATGTTGCGCCAGCTTCCAAGTCTGCTGGGAGCCGGGAGCGGTTGTGGTATTGAATCTTCATTCCGAATGCCTTAGCGCGGATAGCCATTTCCTACATGGAAAGTATGGTCAGCAAGCTTGGCAGACAATGGGATTTGTGTTTGCACTTACCCGTCCGATACCTCCCATACCCAGAATACCGAGAATCTTGCCCTTGGGATCATGGCCGAGTGTGGCGCGCTCTTGCTTTCCATTTGTGGTGATTGGCCCTTGCCACTTGCCTGAATAGCGGTCGCGTGGTCAGCTACTAGATCCGATATAGTCTATCCCTCTGCTTGACTTACCTTCCCGAAGAGTCATTATAGGCACATGAGCCTGGCGCAGCGCACCGATCATCAAGAAGATGCCTACATCGGCAGTGGCATCATTGACGGCAACAGGTGTGCTAGACACAGCAATGTTCCTCTCTGAGCAAGCAGCGATATCAATATTATCGTATCCGGCACCATTGTGACAAATATACTTCAGCGACTTGGGCAGAACGGCGACCATCTCCGCATTGAAGGGACCGGTGTACTAGAACTGGTTAATGAGGACATTCATCAGGATTGAGATAAATATCTACCTTTGTAGAGGTATTCGATCTGTAGAGAGCGACTACATCATCATACTGGCCCGCCTTGCAGTTCGCGACGAACTCCTCTCGTGTTCCGCTGGGAAATTCCTGTTCTATATTAGAATCCGATCGCAACATATGCTGTGGCTGAAGTCTTACCTTTAATGTCAAGTTCGAGGAGAGGCTCTCCCATTCTTTGCGCGCATGTGAGATTTCTCCAATGAGGAGAGCTGATTGCGACATGGTGAATCTGATTTGGAGACTGTGCGGGGATGTTAGATGCGGATGTGCGCCATAATGTCGCGAGTACTGGTACTTACCTTGGATGTTATGTGTACCGTACAGTGAAGAGTGTAAGATTAGAATAAGAAAAGAAAAGGAATTGCGCGAGAAACAGAAGAATTACTCGCCCCCGCTATCGCACCCCCATGTATGTCATTGCCCCACAGTCTAGATGTACACTTTTGTAGAGAGTAGAAGAAGATGATATAGATCTAGACATACGAGTAGAAACACTCTGGATGCAGATGATATAGATGTTTTATCCCTAATTCAATTCATGCTATACTATTAACTACTAACTAAGGACTAAGTGAATGCGCTCACAACTTATGAAACCCCCCACGTCGGGAAATGAAGATACTGACTGCAACTTGAAGTCAATAGCCGACGGACACCACGGAGTTGCTCCGTAGGCCACTCCCCACCCGTGAGGGAAAACAATGGCCGATTCTCCAAATGCCGTCAGCGGGGTCGGGTTTCGCTTTACTTCTTTTCCAGGTTTACTTATACTCCTAACTCTGCAACTACTGTCATTGCCTCTGCCACTACCAATCCGCAATAATGACAGAAACGTCGACCACCGCGCTCGTCCTCCACGGCGCAAAGGACCTCCGCGTCGTAAGTCCATCCACCCCATAAATTCCCAACCAGCCCACTAAAGGTACCAGGAACAACGCACAGTCTCGGCCCCAGCAGCCAACGAAGTCCAAGTCGCAATCCGCGCAACAGGCCTCTGCGGCTCAGACCTACACTACTACAGCCACGGCCGCAACGGCGACTTCGTCGTCCGCGAACCAATGTGTCTAGGCCACGAATCATCCGGCACAGTAACAGCAATTGGAAGCAGCGTGCACACCCTAAAAGCCGGCGACAGAGTCGCCCTGGAAGTAGGCCTCCCGTGCCGAAAATGCGCACTATGCAAACAAGGCCGGTACAACATCTGCAAAGAAATGCGCTTCCGCAGTAGCGCAAAGACATACCCCCACCTCGACGGAACACTCATGGACCGCACGAACCATCCAGCAGACATGTGCCACGTCCTCCCTGACTGTGTCAGTGACGCGGCAGGCGCCCTCGTCGAACCACTCGCCGTCTGCCTGCACGCTGTCCGTCGCTCACACCCGCCCACAAAAGAAGAAGTAGAGCTCAACGCCGCAGCGGGCGAAGAAACCGCTGCGCTAGTCTTCGGCGCAGGCGCAATCGGTCTCTTGATTGCAGGCGCACTGGCCGCAAGTGAGAACTTCACTTCTATCCTCGTCGCGGATATCGACGAGCGTCGTCTCGATATCGCCAAGAGTATGGGGCTAGGACTTAAGACAGCGCTTATTCCTCGTGGTGATCCTTCGAACCCGCCTCCGGCGAAGGATGCCCCCCATGCAGAGCAGACAGCCTATGCCCTTTCGACTGCGCAATCTGTCGCTGCGGCTCTCACTAGCGTTGCATCCTCTGGTTCTGGTTCTGGATTGAGTATGCCCGGTTTCAGCCGTGTCTATGACTGCACTGGTGTGCCAGCCTGTGTTCAAGCGGGGATCTATGCCTCTGCGCCTGGTAGTGTGTTGGTCCAGATTGGAATGGGAAACCCGGTGCAGACTGTTCCTGTTGGTGCGGCTGCGTTGCGGGAGGTTGATATTATTGGTGTGTTCCGGTATGATGGGGCTGCATATCCTGCGGCTATTTCCTTACTTGCTAGTGGGAAGATGAGGAGTGTTGAGGAGAAGGTTGTTACGCATCGCGTGAAGCTTGAGGAGGGGGCTAGGGCTTTCCAGCTTGCTGGAGCTGGTGTTGATGAGGAGGGGAGGCCGGTTGTTAAGGTTATTATTGAGAATCGGGGGCGGGATGTTTCGTTGTAGGGTGGTTTTGGGGATGGTTTTATGATACCCTTGGCGAGCATTGATGTGGTGTTGAAAAGTGGATGTATTGTAGATCGGTGAAAGGTACATAAATTGAGTCTATGAAACAATATATTGCATTTCCCCATACATTTACACACATACAAAGTTTTAACAATCACTTTCCAACACCATCAAATAATCACCCCATAAATACACGTACTGATATACAAAATACATCATTTCAACCCTCCAGCCAGCAACAAACTCTGCCCAGTCATATAACCCGTCTTAACCAACATGGTCACAACGTTCGCCGTCTCCTCAGGCGTCCCCAACCTCCCAATAGGAATACCAGCCGCAACCTCAGGAATAGCAGCAGCGTTAGGAATCATGCCCGTATCACCAATCATAGCGGGCGCAACATCATTAACACTAATATTGAACTCGGCGAGACGGGTAGAGAGGTTCTTCATCATTCCTGTTAGGCCGCCTTTTGAGGCTGCGTAGTCTGTGCCATGACAGTTAGCACTCAATCTATCAAGTGTATGGTATAGAATGCGAAAGAAAAGGAAACATACGACACCCATTGATACCACCCCCCTGCGCAGCAATAGAAGACATAAACACAATCCGACCCCAGCGCTGACTCTTCATCCGGTCAACAACACCCTTGACCAGAATGAATGATGCGCGCAGGTTAACTTGGAGCGTATAGTCGAATTCCTCGAGTGTGCAATCCCAAACGTTAGGGATGCGCTTGCCATATCCAGCATTTGAGACGAGGATGTCAGGTCTGTGGCCGTGTTGTGTGTCGATTTCTTGGAACATGCGTTCGATGTCGTCCGAGGAGCCGACGTCTACTTTGTGGATTGAGATTTTGAGGGTGTTCGATTTGGTTTGGAGGGTTTTTACTAGGGTTTCCATTGCCGTTAGGTTTGTTGCGTATGTTAGGGCTAGGTTTATGCCTTGTTCGGCGAGTTGATGGGCGCATGCTGCTCCGATTCTGTAGTTGTTAGCTTCCTTCGTGTTCGTGGTTTTTTTGGGGGTGGTGGTGGTGATGTTGGGGTAGATGGGTAAAGACTTAAAGACTTACCCACCCGAAGCGCCGGTGATGAGGGCGAGACGGTCTTGAAGCTCGTTGAAAGACATGATGCGATGCGATGCGACAATACAAATGATGAATAGCAACGGCAAGAAGTGAGGAAATAGAAGAACAAAACCCCCAAGAAGTCCTCGGCTTACGGGGCGATCTCCGACCCCCACAGCCCCGCATCATTAGCCGTCGGAGTAGAACCGTCGGATTAACAACATATTGACGATGTTAGAACAGAAGATTGCTGCTCATATCACCCATCCAAGCAGAAGACTGCCATGCCTGCGATCGATCCTGACCCTGATACATATCAGACCCATTCTGGAACGCATCGAGACCCAACATCCCGCCGGATATCTGGTCTCCGGATACATAATCGCCCACGGCTTCCAGGTCAAGCCAGGAGAAATCGTTTGCGGGACTGAATTGCATGTAGCCTGGGTCTGCTATTGGGTTTTGTAGGGCTTGCATGGAGAAATCGCTGTTTTGGGTCCCTGGGGGATTGGGGTGGGAGGTGGGTGTTTTTGGTTTCCAGAGGAGTTCGAGGAGGCGGGCGTAGCGGGCGCCGATGTCGTCTGTGCCGGCGCTGGCTTGTTTTAGGACTTCTGTTGTTCGCGCGACGAGGCCCTGGACTTTTGCTTCTTCTGATGGGAGCATCATTCCGAATGATCGGGCCTGGTTTGTTAGACTATTCGAGAAGTTCGCGGGGTTGGTAGTTGGCTTACCTTGTATAGGAAGACAGCAGAGTAAATTCCATAAAGATAGAATCGGAGAGGCATGAAATGGAGATGCTTCTCTGGATCTACCGAGTCCACAAGGATCGTCAAGTATGATTTAGCCGCATCGACGGATTCATATATGAATCTTGAATCCTGCATCGAGGCCACATTCTTGAATGTAGATCGTAATTGCTCCCGCTGGCCCTGTCCATTGGTCTTCGGCTGGACAAGGGATTGAGAGATGGCAGCTTGGAAAGCAAATGCCGTTGTGTATAATCGCAGATACTCATATGATAACTGCAGAGTCGCTCGCATGGGTGGTGAGCCTATAATAACGTCAGCAGCAGACCCAAACTGCATGGAAGTAGACTTACAATCCAAAGACCCCCAAAGCGACTTCCACCGCAAAATAGCAAGCCGGAAATCATCCACATATTTCACATAATCCCCCATCAACATCATCTGGTTACTCGCCCGCATACCAGAATACAAAACCTCATGAACATTTCCATAAAGCTGCGTCAGATCCAACATAGCCTGCCAAATCTTCGAATAATCCTCATCACCCTCCTGAACAGGCTGCAACGAAGGAAAATCCTGACTCACAAGACCAGTCATGGGCCCAGGACCGCGTGACCAAAATGCACGTCCAATACGCACAGAGATCAACCGATCAGAAACATAACAGCTAGCCCAGGCCAGCCGCCGACGCGCTTCACTTTCCTGATCCCCATATGGATCACCGCGGAAGGACGTGCGGTCCATACCGATGAAGTACCCCGAGCGCAAGGCTAGCCCGACATGCATCCATGCAGCGCGATCTTCCTCGCCTCGTCCAACCCGCTCAATCTTCGGTCGTAGTCCCTGTGGCTCCCATTCTGCCAGCAGTAATAGAGCCTCCACAGCTTCAACATCACACTCGGCACCAGCGGCAATACCCGAGATCAACTCATGCATATATTTCGAACAATACTCATGAATCTCAGGTTGATCAACGAGATCCTTTGACGCAATCGTCAAAACAGCAGTCAGAAGATGCTTCTCATTCCCCGCGAAATCATCAAGCGCATTGCGCACGAAATACTTCCGCGGCACGAGGGGGAGGTACGGATGAAAGTTATCCGCATAGCGCGAAATCAGCTGCCACACCGTCTCCGGATCTAGAGAGCGCGATTGAACAAGCCTGTACGCCCTAATTCCTGTATTTGGCGTTGTGAATTCGGGCACTACGCCACCGCGCAGGCCATTATATGTCGGAAAACTAGTGGACTCGGATTGGACACGGTCCTGGCGCGGTTCAGCTGTTCCCGTCTGCGTCGCGATTCCAGTTAGACATTGCCATGCGTCGGATGGGTTGCGCGGAACGGAGTTTATAGATGCGTCGTCTTCCTCTACGGCGACAGAGGCTGGGGCTGGAGGGTTAGGAGGTAAGAAGACGACAGGGCCGGGATATGACGATGGAGGTTGGTGTGATTGTGCCGGACGATTCTCTGACGTGGCCGGACTTGAAGCGTCGGACCCTTTGCTTGGTGAGGGATTCACATTTGAATTTGAATTTGGATTGGCTGGTGTGAAGTTTTTGATCTTGTTTTTGCGGATTCGACGGCCCCCACGGTTTGAGCCGCCGAGGATGCATTCGCGGTTTTCGCGGACGCAGCGTTGGCACGGGGGTCTACCTGGATTGCCGTTGCTATCTCTGTCTCGGTATTAGTGAGCTGTCGATCTGGATTCTGGATCTGAAATCCGGTGGTTCTTACAGGTCACATCGGGACTTGCGTTGTCGGCAGTGGAGGCAGGCTCGTGAGACTCTTTTGGCGATGTCGCGCCTTGAGGCTTCTGTTGGGGATTCGTCGTCCATGTTAAGGCATTTCAGTGTAGCTGTAGCTGTATCTGCAGCTGTGAAGCTGTGAAATGAAGTTGAAATGCGATGCGAAAAAGTACCCCCGCAGATGGAGATTGTGGGGAAACGGAACTGTACATCTACGCTTCCGTCTTTGCCTACATCTACCACAACTACAGAGTATCATATATTTTTCCAAGACGAGTAGAGACATGAGCTTTTCCACGCGCAAACTCCTCCCTCCATATACAATTGTGAATATCGCTATGAGGGGGAAAAGGACAATTGCCGACGGCTATTGCGCCGGCTATAGGAATTGCCACATCGGAAGAACCCCGCGTCATTGGGGTCAGTCATTTAACTTATGTTGTCTTGGTCTTTTCTTCTTCTCTGCTTCTTCAATTGATTCGTTTATACCCAAAATGACAGACGTTCTATCCCTCTTTTCCCTCAACGGGACAACCGCCCTTGTCACCGGTGGCACACGAGGCATTGGCCAAGCCATGGCCCTCGCCTTGGCCGAGGCCGGCGCCGACGTTATCCTGGTTCAGGTACGGAACCTGACCGGAGTGAATGGATATATATGCGGAATACATATACTCACAAACTATAGCGCGACAACACCAACACATCCACCAAAGATCAAATCACCAAGCTCGGCCGTCAAGCCTGGATCCACGTCGCAGAACTAGGAGATCGGCAAGCCGTCAAAAACATCATCCCCGCCGTGACCAGCCAAGGCCTCAAGCCCGAGATTCTAGTGAACTGCGCCGGGATTCAACGGCGACACGCGAGCGAACAGTTCCCAGACTCGGACTGGGACGAGGTAAGCCCCGCCCAATCTATTCACGACACCCCCCTGCCCCTGTCAATATATAATGTCCAATATCTCAACGCAATGTCTCATTTGTGGAGAAATAGGTTCTAGAAGTAAATCTCTCCTCGGTATTCGCGCTCTGCCGGGAATTCGGCGCATACCTGCTTGCCCGTGATGCCTCTGAGTTCCCTTCTGGCCGTCGGGGTTCTATCATCAACGTCGCGTCGCTACTCACCTTCCAGGGTGGAATCACAGTGCCAGCCTATGCGGCGTCCAAGGGGGGTATTGGACAGTTAACTAAGGCGTTGTCTAATGAGTGGATCGCCAAGGGTATTAATGTGAACGCTATTGCCCCTGGATATATCGCGACCGATATGAACACTGCTCTGATCAACGATGCCAACCGCAATGCGGGAATCATGGCGCGTATCCCTGCTGGCCGATGGGGGAATCCCGAGGACTTTAAGGGGGCCGTGGTGTACTTGGCCAGTCGGGCTAGTAGCTATGTGTCGGGGGATATTCTCACTGTGGACGGTGGCTGGATGGGGCGGTGAATACTCTGTACAAAGCACCCGTCATTTGCAGATTTATACTATTATCCACTATGATCCGCTAGACCACTTTCATGTCGATTGACTCCGATCTGAAACCGCTAAGCAAAGTCTCCGACCACTTAGGGAAAGTATCGACATCAGGAAATCTCTTGCGCGTAATTTATAATGTCTCTCGTCTGGTTCGGAGCGACTCTCGGCGTGACGCCGAGCCCTGCCAGGTAGTTCAACAGCAAATTACAGTTGACACGTGGAGAGTCCCTGGCAGATCTCGAAACACTGGCGTATTTGACTGTGCAGGGAGTTCGTCCGATAGGGTTAGAATTAACGCCTTGGACACCATCAGCCCATCTTCCAAGGAGTACATGAACTGACAGGCCCCTGCTAGGGTCAGAGCTTCTGTTTCGTTCTGCATCTTCATTCTTCATCTGCGTTCCTCGCATAGACCTTCGTTTGGCTTCTTTGTCTGGTTACATTGTCTTTCTTTGGACCTGTTTGGATTGATTGTTCGATCGACTTGACTATCTACTGATCTACTGATCTCTTTTTCCTACTCTCAACGTGCATCCCTTGCCTTCACATTCCAGTCAGTCTCCCCTCTCAACTTGATTCTTGGTGACGCTAACCTCGAATACCGCAGATCCTTTGTTGATTACAATCCTTATTGTTCTTTGTTGCGACAATGCTCCTATTATAGAGCGTCTTTGTTCCATTCACCTACATCAAAGCTATCTCTATTTCATCTGGTCTCTTTTCTGATCGATTCCTCAACAAGCGCTCATTCCAGCCTAAATCGAAATCGCTGCTGTTGACCGGCAACATACATCGTCTGCGACATCTGCACATCTGCACATCTGCACATCTCCACACCTGATATAACTGATACACCTGATACACTTGACTCATCTACAATTTCCCACTGGGCTCTTCAATGGCTGCATCCCTTCCGCACATTGCGGCTCGAGGCCACGGATCCAATACAACATACATATATGAGTACTCCAGAGGACTGGGCGGCGTAGATGTTCCCCGTGATGTGATCATCACGCGAATCATCTACGTCTCTCTCGCCACCCTCGCTGTCGCCTTATTCTGTGGCCGAATCGCCCAGATCAGCCATGCCTACCTTCGTCAAATCACGGCCTCTGGCACAACGAAACGGGAACAGACCTTCTGGGCACAGGAGAGCTCATCATGGTGGCCCAACCTCAAGAAACACTTCTTATACGCCCCATTAGGAAAGAAACGACACAACCGAGAGATGCAGCTCTCTTCTGCTCTCAATGTCGGCACTCTTCCATCCCGGTTGCAGACCATCTTGGTCATGCTCTACTTCGTCAGCCAGGTCGTCTACTGCGTCTACCTCGACTACAGTGTCAACGAAAAGAAAGCTCTGGTAGCTGAGCTCCGCGGCCGCTCCGGGACGCTGGCCGTCCTCAACATGGTCCCTCTCTTCCTCCTCGCAGGCCGAAACAACCCATTAATCTCAATCCTGCACATCAGCTTCGACACATACAACCTGCTTCACCGCTGGCTAGGTCGCATCGTCGTCGTCGAATCAGTCGTGCACACAGCGGCATGGGCCGTCAACGCCTGCGACGAGCAAGACTTCAACCACATGCTGACCCGTCTCCGCGACACCCCCTTCTTCGCCTGGGGTTTAGTCGGTACAGTCGCCATGATCTTCCTCTGTCTGCACTCGCCCTCGCCCATCCGCCACGCCTTCTACGAGACCTTCCTCCACCTCCACCAGTTAGCAGCAGTCCTCGCCTTCCTAGGCGTCTACCTCCACCTCCAACTAGACAGCCTCCCACAACGCAGCTGGTCACAGGTGATAGCAGCAATCTGGCTACTGGAACGAAGCGCCCGCCTCTTCCGCCTAATCCACCTAAACGTCTCAACATCAGGCACAACCTCGATGACGGTCACGGCCCTACCAGGCGAAGCCTGCCGAGTAACCTTCCATCTCCCAAAACGCATCTCAATCGAACCAGGCTGCCACGTCTTCGCCTACATCCCAGCCGTAAGCTGGTGGATGTCCCACCCATTCTCAATCGCCTGGTCCGAAACAACAGACAGCCCCTACGCCTTCGCGTCACCACACACGCCCTCCCTCTCCCGCAGCCTCTCCCTAACAAGAAACAACCCCAAAACCTCAATTTCAAACCCAATCCCCCTAACTCCCTCCTCCCTCGAAAAACAATCCCCCACCTTCCCCCTACCCCCAAATCCATCATGCTCAAAAACCCAAATCACACTCATAATCTCCGCGCGCGCAGGAATGACCCGCCGCCTCTACAACCTCGCCAACCAAGCCCCCCAGAAATCCCTCTCCCTCCCAGGCTTCATCGAAGGTCCATACGGAAGCCACCCCTCCAACCCGGCAAGCTACGGCACAACAGTCCTCTTCAGCGCAGGGGCCGGAATAACCCACCACCTCCTGTACACGCGGTCCCTTCTCCAGGCCGCCGCAGAAGGGACATGCGCCACGAAGAAGATCTACCTTATCTGGTCTGTCAGATCGACGGATCATCTATCCTGGGTTTCGTCGTTCATGGATCAGATCCTGCGTCTCCCCGGGCGGCGGGATATACTGGTTGTCAAGCTCTTCGTCTCGAAGCCTCGTCGGGCCGCGGATATTGTTAGTCCGTCTGCCACGGTGCTTATGCATGGTGGCCGGTGTCGACCTGAGGTGGTTCTTGATGAGGTTTTGCCCGGGAGGACGGGGGCCGCGCTTGTTAGTGTTTGTGGGCCGGGGGCTTTTGCTGATGAGGTTAGGTCTGCGGCCAGGGGGTGGATTGGGCGGGGGGCTGTTGTTGATTTTGTGGAGGAGGCTTTTACTTGGTGATTTGTCTTTTTGTTTTCGAACTTTCGGTTTTGTGTTCTGTGGTTGGCTTGAAGATGTCGAGGTGACTACCTTTTTTTTGGGCTTTTTGCGTGCATTTCTTTTATCATCTATGGATGATGTTAGCGTGGACTTTAATGTGTATATTGTTCATTTCTGGTTTCCTTTCGGTATTATACTTGACATTGTGATGTATCATTTTACCCTATCATTCTACATTCATTAACGAAGTATCTAAGCGTGAACAAATCATACCGTACTTGTACTACACCACGGACTTAAAATATAGTTATATAAAGATAAATTATTCGAACCAGGCTAATTTATTCGGCTATCTAGGGCAAACCCACTATAAGGAAAAGACCCGATCAAAGATCTAATCCAAGTAACAGACACAATCACAATCATAACCAAGACAAGAAGCACACTTTGTACAAAATTCAGCTGGAGAAGAAAAAAAGGTGCACAAAGAGAGCCAAAAGTAAAAGCAAAGGCAACAGCAATGCAGAGGCAAATCAAAGCCAAAGTATCAAAGTATCAAGAAAAGGCAATCCCACGATATCAAAAAGATGAAATCTAAGCGGAGAATTTGGGGGTTGGGTTATTTTGGGAGGAATAGTAGCCCACAGAAAGAAGCCTGTTCAACGTAAAATGAGATGAAAGACAGACAGAAATGAAGAGTGAAATGAGATGTAGATGAGAGAGAGATGAGAAAAAAGATATGGACCTCGGTCCATAGAACAAGACCATAAGACCATAAATGTAGGAGGGAATATATCTAGTTCTTGTTGCGCGAGCCCTTAGGCACACGAGCAAGCCAGTAGATAGCGACCGCACCGAAGACGTTAAAGATGATATAAATCCACATGAAACCAAAGTTGCGCCAGGCGTCCTTGTAGTGACTGGACACACTCGCAAGAAAAGTGTCCGTGTCACCAATGGCACAGTAGGAGCATGTATCAGTGGAGTTGGGGTTGGTCAGGTATCCCCCTGTTGGCTGCATGTAGGGCAGCATGTAGTCATAGCAAGTCCGGCCTGACGGAGGGGAGAAGTGGAGCAACTCGATGTCCTCGCAGGTCACTGCTGCGCCGGAAGTACCGGTTGACAGCATTGCCGAGACGAGGTATGTAAATGGCGAGACTCGGTACATGAAGATCCAGAAGCCGGGCATTTGCTGTGGGGTTGCGAGAACACCACAGAAAATCAGACACAGAGAGAAAATCAGGTTGGCGATGTTTCCTCCTGTCTCTGCTAGGTCGATGCCGGCAATGACCATGTGCGCGAAGGTTGAGGTGAAAAGCAAGAAAGTCAGGATGAGCAACCACATCAAGGCGCCACGCTCGTGGACTGAGTCTGTGGCTTCGGCGTTGCGGTAGAGACCGATAGGGTAGTACCAGCAGATGTAGATGAAGACCGACATAAGGGTGTTCCAGGGGAGTTCGACGAGGATGTTTGCTGTCATAAATGCTTGCCAGGAGTAGGACTTGGATGGACGCTCACGCACTTCGTAGAGGGAGCGCTGGGTGACGAAGTGGGGCATGATTTGTTGGACCAAGTTACCGAAGATGGTCATCAGCATGAAGATACTGAACATCTGGTTCTGAAGACCCTGTTGACTGTTCTGGGCGTGGAAGAACGAGAAACCAATGTAGAGAGCAGTGAGAATGCAAAGAGCAGCCTTGGAGTAGATGTAGACGGGGGTTCTCCAGTATTGACTGAAAACACGGGTGAGACATTCCCAGAGTTGGACGGAGAAGGGAGCTGCGAATTCTTGGAAGCTGGAGGGGTCGTTGGCGTTCGTCTCCACAGGCTTCAGAGAGAGATCCGACTTGAGAGTGGCGAGGTGGTTGTGGACTTCAACGCGCTCGGGGCTCTCGCGCCACACCGCAGGCCAGTCAATATCACTGTGGGATCCGGGGGCGGCTCCAATAACTTCAAGCATCCATTCAGCGGGGTTGGCATCGGGAGACAGCTTCGGGGCACCGTTCTTCTCGAAGTAGTTGGACAGAGTGCGAGACTGTTCACCGATTTCACCAAAGTAGACGGTTCTACCACCGCGGGCGAGGAACAGCAGGCGGTCGAAACGCTGGAAGAGCATGGCAGAGGGCTGGTGAATGGTGCAGAGAATAGCTTGACCGTGCTTGGTGAGGGTGTCAATGAGATCGAGAATGGACCAAGAAGTCTGACTGTCAAGACCGGAAGTAGGCTCGTCAAGGAACAGAAGGAGCTGAGGCTTAGCAGCGAGCTCGACACCAATGGTGAGACGCTTGCGCTGCTCAACGTTGAGACCTTCACCGGGGACACCGACGATGGCATCAGCGTAGTGCTCCATTTCAAGAAGCTTGATAACCTCCTCGACATAGTCAAGTTTCTCCTGGCGGCTGACATGGGCGGGTTGACGAAGGACGGCACTGAAGCGAAGGGCCTCGCGGACGGTAGTAGTGTGGAGGTGAAGATCCTGCTGCTGAACGTAGCCGGTCTTACGCTGGAAGGACTGGTCGCGAGGACGACCGTCGACCAACATTTCACCGGAAACAACACCCATAGTGACACGGGTGGCAAGAACATCCAAAAGAGTAGTCTTACCAGCTCCAGAAACACCCATAAGAGCAGTGCAGGTACCGGGCTTGACCCAACCGTCAACGTGGTCGAGAATGCGGCGCTCCTCGTTCTTGATCTTGATATCGTAGCACACGTCTTGCCAATGGAAGACAGCAGTCTGTCTCTGGATAGCAGCAGACTCGCCGGGCTCGGAACCATCCTTCTTCTCGGCAGAGGAGACATCGGTCATTTCAATCTCCTCATCAACACCACCGGTACGCTTGGGGGTTTGACCGCGACGGAAAAGCAGAACCTCGCCCTTGGACTTGGACTCGGAGATGTACTCAGTGCCAATGAGGTAGGTGGCCATGAAGAAGACCATGAAGGCAAACATGATACCCAGGTTGCGCCACTTGTGGCTGTGAGCGTACTGGAAGCTGTCAATGTAGTAATCAGTACCGGAGACGACGTTCATGCCAGCCTTAGCTCCCTTTGTCGAACACGCCCTGTTCATACCCGAAGCATTTTCATAAGACGGGACAAATGCCGCACAGGTAAATTCGCGGCCGTGGAACTCGTTTACGATCAAGGACTCGAAACCGTACGCGATCGGATCGATGTAGTTCATCCAGCGAGACCAGCCAAGCATGTTACGGGTGGGGATGGTGAAACCAGTGTAGATCACCAAGCCAAGGATCAAGATAGCAGCGGGTACCAAAGCCTGCGACAGTGTACGCGAGTAAGAGGCGATGGTACGGAAGATCATGGACATGGTGAAGGTGGTGACAGTGGAGAAGAGGAGGAAGGTGAAGAAAGCTCCTGGGGTTTGGCGAAGGCGAGTCATAAAATAGAGCGGTACGTTGAAAGTGATGGCGTTAAGAAGCTTGTAGGGAGTATCACACAACATGGAAGAGATGGCCTCGGCGAAAGGATGGTACATGGCGTAGCGAGCCTGTTTTTCGACAATTGGACGTTGCGCATAGAGAGTCAAGATCTAGATGGGTTAGCAAGGCTCGTATCAGAGTGGATCTTCACTCACCTCAAGAGCACTGGAGAAGGCATTAAGCAAGACAGCAAAGAACAAAAGCGCGCCACGGGAATAGAAACTATCCGTGGTGTCTTCAAGCTGATAGAAGACGGAACCGATAATCAAGGCCATTATGAAGTTTCCAATAAGAGCAGAAATAGTCAAACTGAAATCACCCTTCAGGCGCTGGAAACCACGAGACACACAGAGCTGGATCTGTTCCATGACAGACATGGTGTAGGGCGACTTGACCCGTGTGTTCTTGGATTGCATGGCCTTGCGAGATGCGGTGAACTTGTCCAGAGCCTCGCCTCCAATAGGGAACTCGGCATCGAACTCGGCGATCTCCGTCATGAGCGCCTGGTAGGCGTCACTGTTCTTCCAGGCGGCGGCGAAGTCATCGGGGGTACGAGGAACCATGTTCTCGAAGCCAGGCTTCACAACACGCTCGGCAGGGCTGGTAAGCGAGGTCAGGAAATCGGCGGTAGTTTGACGGTCGGGGCATTCGAAGCCCATGTTGGTGAAGAACTCCTTGGCCTCATTGGTGCGACCAAAGTAGATCTGGCGACCCTCGTACAGGACAGTCACCTTGTCGAAGACATCGTAGGCACTCTGGGAGGCCTGGTAAATGGCGACGGCACAGGTAGTACCAGAGTACTTGGCCATCAGGTTCAGTGTCTTACAGAACTCCAAAGCATTGGCACTATCCAGACCACGGGTACTGTTATCCCAGCATTGAAGAGGGCTACCACAGAGGGTGGCCTCGGCGATACTGACACGCTTACGCTCACCACCGGAGACACCACGGATGAAATCGTTACCAACCTGGGTGTTGATGGTGTGCGTCAAACCCAGCATGGCCATGACGACATCACGCATGTGGGTTGCATATTGCTCACGGCTGACACCAGGCAGACGGTTGCGCGGTGCGCGAGAGAGAGCGGCAAACTTCAAAGTATCTCCCACAGACAGCTGGGGGAAATGCACATCGGTCTCAGCCGTGTAGATGGCCTCACCACGGAATTGGCTCTGCATCTGCTTGTCGGAGATACCCTGGTAGTTCATGTGAGAGTTCTCATCCTTGTGGATACCGTTCATCTCTCCAGCGATGGTCTTCAGGAAGGTCGAACATCCAGATCCAGGACGTCCAAGGACAACAAGCATCTCGCCGCTCTTGACGAGACCATCGAAGTTGCGTAGAATCTGAATCTTTTGCTTGCCGGTACCGGCAATACTCCGGAACAAAGCACCAATCTGCAGCACAGAGTTGGCAACATCCTTCTGGTAATCGGTGGGACTACCAAAGCCGTGCACACTGAGGTTCTTGAACCCAAGACCAGCCTGGCGCTTGGGGTATCGTTCTTCATCGCGGGAGTGGATAGCGAGGAAGTTCTTCATCCAGTTCTTAGCCTTAAAGTTCTCGCTGTGGGGGTTGAGGGTCGAATTCTCTTGCGTCTCGAGGAAGGTGTTCTCGGCGGTGTTGCCAGCAACAGAGAAGCGCGTCGATTGACGAGTGAGTTCGCGAGCGAGGTAAGTAACCTGAGCTTCCATCTGCGCCTCATTCTCATCCTCAACGCTAGGCTTGCTCCTGCTAGCCTTTCCTGGTTTCTCAGACTTGTCGCTCTTACCAGCCTGTACAGACTCGTGATAACTGGCATTGTCAGGGACAATGGTCTCCTCACTAAAGACACTAGGTGTCACACTGGCCCGCGGGTCGTGTCTGCGGGCCTCTGCCGTCGCAATGTGCGTCTCGTCCATCTCGGAGCTGGTGGCATTGGAGCTGAAAGCCCCTGTCCCTAGCATAGACATATCCATTGTGGCTTGACCACCTGTTTGTTGCCAAGGGGGTGAATTATGTGGGGACTCAAAAAAGGGATATAAGGGATTAAGGGATCACCATAGAACGAAGGGGGTGACCAAATATTAGAATATTAAGAATATGGCAAAAGAACGAGGGGAGATGGTTAGGCGGCCATACACGAGTTTTAAGGAAAGTGAAAAGGATGCAAGATCTGGACAGCACAAATCGGGAGCGGGAAAGATGCATCCTTCGCCTCCGGGACAGAAAAATGGGGCATCCCGTCTATCCTAATCTGCCCGGGGCGGAGCTTCGATCTTACCGAACATATCAGAGTTCTTAGTGGGTGATCAACTACATGAACAGGTTATTCATTGATTCATTGACGCAATCGTTATGACCAAGTATTCTGCTCTATCCATCATCTACTTTATACTCTATGGTGAACTATGTAGTAGTTGTAAAATCATGTAAATCAAGAACATGCACGTATCTAACTCTTCCAGAATAGCGGGACGGGCGCCCTCCGAACCAAGTCTCTGCGTGGCGTTTTATACGCGTCGGATGCGAGTGGTTCCTGTATCCGTGCTGACTCACCTCCCTGACTCAGCTATGCTACGTTTCATGGACCAAACTTGGCCCATTCAGGACTTTATCCACTGCATAACCTTATCTCCGGCCCCAATCTTCCTTTACCAGGGTCCAAGCACTAAAGCATTTTAAAGTATTCGGATCAATCTGGCCCTATTGCCATGGACGAATTCGGCCGAAGCGGCGGAGTTTCACTTGGCATAGGTTCATTTACTGTATGGGGAAAATTCTGTCCATGCGTGCTGTCAGATTTCTCTACCCTTGCTTGCTGTACTTTACTGGATTCGGATTCGGGTTTGGTTTGAGGTGTTCTTGGCACGCCATCCACGCGGTCTAGCCTGAGTCTTTGCGCTAGGCCATACGGAATTTGGATATTGCGAACAGACATTGCAAATTCTGACTCAGATGTCAGACGGACGGAGCTGGGGAATAATCAAGACAGAACAGACCCTTAAGCAGTGTGGGTTGCATACTTCGTACATGTGGAGAGTCATAGCATGTGTACAGTAGAGACACTAGGACATTTCAGATGCTCCATCTTCGTCATCATCATCATCCTCCTCCTCAATGGGCTCTACTAGCAGATTCCCACCGCGGCCGATCTTCTCTCCAATGGAACCACCTTCCTCCACAGGGTACACCGTTCGGGGCATTGGGGAAACCAATCGGAATGTGTATAGATGCTCGAACCCCTCGGGTTCGGTCGCATTGGGTTGCTCTGCATCCTGTAAGACCTCGTAACACTCTACAACTGCATAGAGCTCTTCCATGTCCGCATCGGGGGCGAACTTGCGCATGATCCGTTCACCGGATGGGAGCCGCACGCTGATCCGCACCGCATCCTTGACATCGGGTCCGGGCTCTGCGCTAAGAGACTGTGCGCGCCAAAGCTTCCACTGAGCGAGGTCACGACGCCGCCGCTCCTCTGCCGCCTGGCGACCGGCAGCTTCCTGTTCCTGGCGTTCACGCGCTGCCTCGGCTTCCCGTCGCTGACGGGCGCGCTCCCGGTCGATCGCCAGCGACCGCTCGTAGGCGGAGTCTTGCTCTTCGCGGAGACTGCGCGAGGCTTGCTGTTCGGCGCGGGAGGATCGCAGTCGTTCGATTGGTTCTTGATTGGATGTGACAACAGTCCGGAGCTTGTTCACAACCTCGGATGACGAGGTGATGCCTGCAATTCTGCCCACAACTGACATAGCAGTAGATGACACATTGGGGGTGTGGACGACGACTGCTGCGAAGGGAAATTTCGTCACGCGCAACGAGTTAGCTACCTGGTAGGCCTCGGAATCCTGCACGTTACCGCCCCATACTATCATGTTGTTCTGAGGGTCATTGATGAACTCCAATACTTCCGGTGCCAGCAGAGTATTACGGACCCAGCTATTCGTATCGTCGTGCTCGGGGGCCAGGAGAACAACCAGTAGGAACTTCAAATCGCGGTGGGCCCTCTCCAGCGCCATGTTGTATCCGTTCTCCAGGAACAGGATGAGATGGGAGTCATACTCCTCTTCAAACTCACGGATGAATCGAGCGGCTGTGTCTTTGGGGGCCAGAGTCCGGCGGCCAGTGGTATTGCGGCGGGCACCTTGCAGGGCGGGGTTTGCGGTCGCATTGAACAAGCGTGGCAAGAAAGGGAATAACGTGCCAAACAAGCGGAACGAGCTGCAGAGGAGTCGGTAGACTAGATTGAACGGAGTGAAGAGTAAAGCGAGGATGAATGGCGGACGGTAAATGGGTTGATCGCCGGATTGTGTGTCAACTCGCGGGGCGGGGTCTGCAGCATGTGTGCGAGAAACCCGAGACAGTTGTTCAGTCAGATCTTCAGTCATCAGATTCCGAGTTATGCGGTTCGGCTGCGGTGGCGGCGTCTGAAGAGCTGAACGCGCCTCTTCAAGCGGATCGGGGCCTTCGCCGTCGAAGAATTTTGATATCGCTATCTAATGCAGGTCAGTCAGGCGTAAGCATCCTACAGCGATATGTGTAAACCAACTTGAACATTCCATTGTGACCTGCGCAGTAGAAGAATTGCTTCTGAGGGTTCCTGGCTTGTCACGGCCATGTACATCTCTAGCGCAGTTCTCTCGCTCTCAGAGAGCTGGTCCAGATCGAGGTCCGAGGGCATGGCGACGGGATATCCATGCAATACAAAGATTATAATATCAGAACATCCATGAGACGGTACATTGGTAAGAAGAGTAGAGCAATGACGAAGCTGGCCTGAAGCTCATTGACGTCCTGACCGCCTGGTCCGTGCACGACCCCTTCACTCGAGTTCGTCCCTCGCCCCGCGTCTTCATCTCTATCCGTTCTGTCGCTCTCAATCATTCTCTGGGATGAGAGAGGGTCTTCGACTTATCTTTATCCATTCATGCCGATAGTTTTCGGTTGAGTTCCCGACCTCCGTGGGTGATCCCGGAATTGACCCGCTGTCAATCGCCAAACGCGCTTGATATCAGATCGACAGGGAATGCGGTTTCCTCTCGATATCATCCTTTGCTCCACATCGAGTCCGGTTTCAATGGGGATCTTCTTGCGCTGATCCGCACCGTCTCGTGGACATCCGTCATACACCATGGCATCCGCCGGAAAGCCTCCTTTGGAGGATGCTCGTCGAACGACCGGTTCGCCGAAAATGAAGAGCCGAGGTGAGCGCAAAGCTAGCGACACTCCGTTCACTTCTTCGCAGAGAGATTTACTCGAGCGAGGTGGACTGAGCGGCCCGGAGGCACATGCCGGCTCTGTGATGGCGCTGACAAGGAGCTTCCCAGAGAATGCGAAAGAGACTCTGTGTCGCAACGTGACCATTTATGGCCGATGCCGTTATGAAGATAAAGGTATGGTCAACCCCGTTCATTCAATGGGTATAGTGAATGTTGAAGCTGATCTGGAATGCTTCAAGGCTGCGCTTTCAACCATGACCCAACGAAGCTGAACGCCAATCAATCGGACAGGTGAATATGGCGATGCAATATTGGTCATTCGGTGGAAAAAGCTGACAGGAATTCTTTTGTTTCATAGCAAGAAACGCTTTAATGTAGACTCCCCCAGCTTCACCCCATCCTTACTCTCTGGAAATGGCGTGGCTGGCCCAAAGAAGTCGACTGCGATATCCCCCAAAGCTGCAAGTGCGGCTCCTTTTCAGCCCCGAGGCACCTCACGTACGTGGTCATGGAGAGAAATCAAAGACATCAGAGACACGGACTAACATGACAAAGGATCAAACACAAGTACGCCTGGAGTGCGGGCAGAAACAGGAGACTGGGCAATGGCAGACGTCCAGGAATTTGTGCCCCAGGGCTTTGAGCACGTGGTAAGTTTAAAGTCGCAACTACAGAGTCGTTCTTGCTCTGTCTTTCCCTTTTCGGCTTGGGTCCTTGTTATTGGGTTCCTCGTCTCCTCGATCTCTTTCCCATTGTCAACCTCGTTTCCCCTTTTGTATTGTCTCGTACTCTGTCAAGATGTATGAAGGCTTTCCTAACATGTCTATGTCGAGCTTGAATGCTCTGGCTGATGATTTCGATCCACTCCCGGAGCATCATCGTCCCAACTATCGCAGCTCAAGCCTCGATCCCAACTTTCGCGTTCGAAGCATGGGCCCTCATGCTAATTTCCGCGTGCAGGCTTCTCTTCCAGGCAATGGGAATGGTTCCATCACGTCTCCCAGTGCCTTTGATCCCTTTGTGGCTGCCCCATCTCCTATGACCCCTGGTGCAGTCGGCCCTGTCTCGGCCAATCCTTATGCTCATGACCCTGCTGCCATGGGAGGCGCATTCTTTGCAAACCAGGCTGGTTTCCAGCAGCCGGTAAGTTGAAATGGTCATTTTTCCGATTTCAGACGCTTACATCGCAGCAGGTCCAGTACCATCTCTATGCCCCCATCGGCCCTCATAATCAGAACACTCTGGGATATCAGCGCAATGTCCATGATCTTTTCCTTCCCAACGATGCTCGTGAGGAATTGCAGAAGAAGTCCGCTGCAGCTCTGCAGACCCTCCCTAGTATGTCAAAACATCCCTCACGATCAGAATCAGACTAACAGTTTAGACACCAACCTTCCTGCTCAGGTTGACTACTTCCACTCTCTTGTTCCGCTGGACACTACTCATCAGAAGAACGCCGCGACCTTTGGCTACCCAAGCTGGATCTACAAGGCCCAGTCTAGCAAGGACGGTGACTTTTACGCCCTGCGGCGCCTTGAAGGTAAGAAAATGCCCAATTTTACTTTTGATCCTGACTGACCAAATAGGTTTCCGCTTGACCAACGAGAAGGCTATCCGGTCGGTTCAGGCCTGGAAGCGTGTTTGCAGCGGAAGCGTGGTGACTGTCCATGATGCTTTCACCAGTCGGAGCTTTCAAGACAGCTCTTTGATTGTTGTCACCGATTACCACCCCATGTCCAAGACACTTGCAGAGCAGCATTTGGGCGCTGGAAACCGCTTCCCAAACCGCGGCCAGACCGTTCCCATCCCTGAGCAGGTACTTTGGGGCTACATGACTCAGATCGCGAATGCACTCAAGGCCATTCACTCGCAAGGTCTTGCTGCTAGGGTTCTTGAGCCAGGCAAGGTCTTGCTCACCAGCAAGAACCGCATTCGCTTGAACGCTTGTGCTGTTCTGGACGTAGTGCAGTTCGACGCCCAGCGCAGTGTGGAGGACCTGCAGCGTCAGGATCTCGTGAACTTTGGACAACTGATTGTCACCCTGGGTGCCAACACCCCTACTCTCATGCACAACCCCACCAAGTCCATGGAGCATTTCACCCGCGCTTACAGCCCCCAGATGAAGAACTCGATCTTCTGGCTGTTAAATGGAATGCAGAAAGATCAAGAGCGAGGCATCGATACTTTCATCACCGGAATTTCCTCTCAGCTGATGTCGACTTTTGACTCTGCCCTTCACATGGATGATCAGCTTACCTTTGACCTCAGCCGCGAGCTGGAGAATGGACGACTTGTGCGCCTGATGGCCAAGCTCAACTTCGTCAACGAACGCCCTGAATATGAACTGGACCGACAGTGGTCTGAGACTGGAGAGCGTTACTTCTTGAAGATGTTCCGCGATTATGTTTTCCACCAAGTGGACGCCAATGGCGACGCTGTGCTTGATCTGGGACATGTTTTGATGTCTCTGAACAAGCTTGATGCTGGAACTGATGAGAGGATCAATTTGGTCAGCCGTGACGAGCAGAATATGTTCATTGTCACTTACAAGGAGCTTAAGAAGAGTCTTGAGTCCTCCTTTCAGGCTCTCATGAAGTCAGGCAGACGGATGCATTAGGAACTTGATCTCTTTTTGCGGTCTTCGGACACGCCACACTACGATTGCGATTTGCTTGTTTTTCTCCAGACGTTTGTCATACCACCATTGTTTTGAGGCCGGTGGATTGCTACTGTCTAGGACACAGATGTTGTTACATGTTTCATATTGCAACCAAGTTGCCATTGATGTAATGGAAATAACAATCACATAGGAATGAAGAAATTCAAATAACTCACTCTTCTGACAAGCTATGAATGTTAGTTCCACAACAATCCTGAAGATCAATCGATCCAATCCTCAGCCACCATCGCCATCAACGTTACCGCCATACATGCCATACAGCTACCATCCATATACTCACCCTCTGTCAATCCCAGTGTCAAGGATGTCAATACGCTAAGCAGACATCATCAGATAGATGAGTCTCATTTTGTGGTGATTACCCTGGCCAGCCATCTAGAGTCCAACAACGTCAAAAAATATATTCGACCCAACCTCCATCTCGACATTCACCAGCGTATGGGGACCCAATAACAAATAATGCACCATACTGCCAAACACGAATATATATAAACACAAGTCTACATCGGGCCGATCAAGGCACCAAAAATCGAGCACAAGAGATAAACCATATGCTATTCATTCGAGATACATGTGCATATCCCCCTAATCCAACTCGGGCACAGGCAACCCATTAACAATCTTAACCTTTCTCCCCAACTGATCCAACGCAACCTTGGAATTATGAGCGCGCAACTGACTAGTCTCCTCATCGGAAACCAGCACAAAGTCATAAGTAAGCAAAGCATGGCCCTCAGGAACACCATACTGCTTCGACCACTCCGGCCCGACCTTTCCTATATCAACAACAAGAGAGTCCTTCACACCAAAGACCGCATCGGAAGTCTCATAAGGATCATTCCGAAGGTAGAGAGCCCTATAAAAGTCGTCAGCCACCATCCCACCCCAGTCATTCCAAAAGAAAAAGAGAAGAAACCCACGTAATTAAATGATCGTACCCCTCCTTCTCAAACATAAAATGCATATGCGAAGGACGATACGGATGCCGATGCAACTTGGTCAACAACTTCCCAACCGGCCCATCATGCGGAATGGGATACGGCACCGGCGTGATCGCCTTAAACCAAAACACCCCATCCGCACCACTCCGCATAATACACCTCCCATCAGGACCCTCCCGACCTGCATACTGAACATCATAATGGCCCGACGAATCCGTCTCCCAGATATCAATCTTGACACCCTCAACCGGCTTCCCGTTCATATCCTTCAGCGTACAGACCACCAGTAACGGCTCCCCCTTGGGATCATGGGACATGGATTCTCCGGCGGTCATCTCTTCAGCATCGTGTGTATGGAATGGACCGAGGACGGTTCCTTCCGTTGAACCGGGTGGTTTGGGATGATCGATGGAGTCCACCAGGATGGAGAGACCTAGCACGTCGGACAGGAGGATATATTCCTGGCGCACTTCTGTTGTTATTTGGCCTACTTCTGTTAGGAAGCGGAGGCCTGTCATCCATTCTTCGCTGCTGAGGCGGGTTTCGCGCGCGAAGTCGTGCAGGTGCGTTACGAGCCGTTCCAGGATATATTTCATACGCTCGTCCTCGCAGAGGCTGTTGATTCGGATTACATTTTCGGTTATGTTGTCCACTGTGAGGTTTTTCATGGGTGGGATTTTGACTTTTGAGGGATCCATTTTGGCAGTGTCAATTGGAGGTGGAGGTGGGGGGGGGGGGTTTGGAAATTGTGACAGTATCTAAAGAGAAGAGAAAAAGAGAGAGAGAGACAGAAAGAGAGAGAGAGAAGAGAGCAGTTATATCGTGGCTTTAGTTCGGATTTATGGCATCGGCAGTTCCGTCGGAAAACAGCCGAATTGGTCAATCAGATGTGAAGCAAAAGAAATCACCCCGCACCCCACTCGGATCCCCCGCCATTTCAGTATGTTTATAGCGGACTTGGTAGAGTTGCAGTATAGTGAGTAGGTATGCTGGAATTAACTCTATACACGTAACTTGATAAGTCATGTCTCACTTTATTCCCTACAGTAGATCTCGGATATGGCAGAGGTTATATCCGGCCCCCCACACTTGGTCATCCCTCACTAAGCATGGGGTAGATGCCCCCGAGGCTACACATGTATTTAGTCAGGGAGTGGAATGAAGTCGAGGAAATAAACGCTAATGATATTCAGGGATATATGACATAGTACACAAACACCTTTCCCACCAGTTCGCCAAACAAAGTTATATGAACAGAGAGAGAGAAAAAAAAAAAAAAATAGAACATATACATAATAGACTCAAACTCAAGACCCAAATTATGCCGGAACCATTCGACGGTCCCGGTCACGATCTCGATCATGGTCATGATCAGATTCTACTCGCGGTTGGGAGTGAGAGTGAGAATGGGAATGAGCATAGACAGGGCTAGGGCCAGCAGCAAGACCGGCACCAGGAGCAGCACCAGAACCAGAACGAGAGCCAGAAACCGGCGAAGGTCCACCTAGACTCGGGTTCGCATTCGGAGTCTGGTTCAAGCTCAGGCTCAAATGCTGATTCTGATTCTGATTCTGATTCTGATTATCAGCACGCTCAGCACCACGCTCCTTCTCCTGCACAGCAGCAGCAACACGAGTATGATGATCAACAGTATCGAGAATAGCCTGCATCAACCGCTGATTGGCATCGGGATCTTCATCCTCAGCCCGATGGACACGAGCAGCCGTCGGAACACGACGATCATGCTGGTCCCAACCCCTCCCCTCCGTCTCGCTAACCGCACGACGAGGCGAGTTATCCGTGGATGGTAACTCCATCGGAACATTGGTAGCAGGAATGGGGTTTGGCGCCGACGGAGCAGATTCACGACGACCGTGGTAAGACTTATTGGCATCAGCGACGGAATCGAAGGGTTGTTCGCGGATGCGTTCACGTTCCGCCGAGATGGGAGGTAAGGGACCGAGACCGAATTGGGGTGGGGTTAGGTTTGCGCTGGAACGGTCGATTTCCATACGGTCGTGGGAGGCGGATATGGTGGATGCGCGCATGGCTGCGACTTCGTCTTCTTTGACGTCGCGCCAGGAGCACTTGGCATGTTTCTTGGTGCAGCCGACGCAGGCGGTGAGGTTCTTGAGACAATCCATGTGGAGGCGGCGGCAGCGGTCGCAGGGTGGGATGACGCGCTCGCCACGCTGGAGCTCTTCCATGCGGGCGATCATTTCGAGCTTAAAGGGACCGCCGTCGTCTTTTTCTTGGTGGGTTGTTTTTGGTGGGGGGAGGAGGGAGGAGGGCGTGCTCGGAATCGCGACTGGGGTTGCGGTGGCGCCGGTGTAGGGACTGAAATCGGCTGCGTCGGAGACGCCAGGGCGCGGACGTGGTTGGGGGTTCACCGGGGGTGCGCCGGGGTCGTCGTAACCGCGGGCTTGGCGGTCTGCTGTTGTGAAGAACTTCTTCATCAGGTCTGCGCGAGTAGTGGGAGAGGCGCCTTTTATCGACGTCCCATTGATCATAGTTACATTGTCCGTATTGGAGTGGGAGAACATGAACTGTGACGAGAGCGGGTTCTCTTCGTGCTCGGTCTCGGGACGGTGGGTATTGACGGCGAGGAAACCAGCTGGGGACGCATGCGAGGAGCCGCCATTGACTGGGGCATAGGCGTTGGGATCACGCCAGATGTCGGCGCTAGGTGGATTTGCGTGTAGAGTGGCATCGTTCTCTCGGCGAGTGACAATCGCGGTACGACGGTTCTTTAGACGATGATTAAGCTGTCTAGCGCGAGCAGACACTAGACGAGAGCTGTCAGTAGACATCTACAAATATGGCAAACAAAGCCTACCCTGATCAGCCATCTGAGTGATATGCTGCAAGTTCTTCTCCAGAATCTCCAGCGCACCCAACTCCTTCTCCTCATCCTCGATAATAGGCTGAGGCGGAATCATCTTCTGAGGCATGCCAGAAGCAATCAAGACGAAATCCTCCTCACTAATCTCCACGCGACACTGCTTGGTGTAAAACTGACACACTCGGACACCATTGCGCGACTTCTCCAGGTTAAACTGCTCCGGCTTATTCTTCGCAAACTCAACCACATCCAGCCAAGTCACCGTGGGACCATCCTTGCCATGCGACTTGAGAACCTGCGGCGGGCCATCGAATAGACGCTCGAATCGCTTGATCAAGATCGGGCCCAGCGGGCATGCGCCAAGATTGCCGGCGATACTTTCATGGCGGTGGAGCACACCGTCGTATTCACTGAGCAGGTGAATGATCGCCGGCATGGTATCATCGACAGAAACCAGCGGGAGATTATCAGGGTATTGGCGCGCAAGGTAGTTGATCTGCAGGTGGCTCGAGAGGGTTTTTTGGACTTTGGACGAGACGGCATGATCGGCGGTGGGAGACCGGGGCCGTTTGTTAGACGATTCCGGAGCGTGGGAATCCATCGGTATGGGGGTGGGCGTGGAAACCCGGGAGTGGAGGGTTTATCTCGGGGGGGGATGGGGGAAGGGAGGAAAGTGACAGCGGAAAGGGTATAGGAGCGCGGAGAGTATTGAGCGCGCGGAGAAAAACCGCGGAGTCAAGTAGGATCCGAAGCTACATTCATGGAGGGTACAAGGAAAGGAAAAGAGAAAGGAAGTGAGAAAGAAGGAAACGCCTATCTCGACGGAACAGCGCACGGGAGTGGAGAGGAAAAACGTGACCTTAGGCCCCAATCATTTAGCCCCCGGAACTGCTGGGAATTTGCTTAATTCTGATTAATTTTGGATTAATAAGGGAATTGTGAGAAATCGGGCATTCCCTATTGCAATTACAACCGGATAGTATCGTACAATAGGCCCGCAGGTACCTGGTACAGTCCCAGCGGAGTCCCGCCGGAGGGTTCCGCTGAGGCAATGTACACCTGCACTACAGCCTTACCTGGCCACTACTAGAGCTTAGAAGATAACTCACCAATTAGTTTCTTACTCGGTATACAGTAGGTCCGTTCACATGCGCCGATCCCAAAATCAAGCCTTGAGCCTTGTGGAGGTGCCCCCCATTTGTGGTTTCGCTGATGCCTAGTTCCTCACTGTCACTGAAACATTACGCGCAGTTCGGGAGCTCGGAGGGAATTGGCACAGGCCAGAGATATCTGTGTGACTTGTACAATGGTAATAGAAGTGTACAGTGACCTAGATGTACATGTACATGGTTGAGGAAGTTGGAATGCCCTCCCTACATGTAACCTATATGTAACGGAAGTGTAAAATACCTCCGAGCGGGATCCCTCACGCGGGCGCAACTCTCAATACATGGTAATATCTGTAAGGCGGGCAACGTCTCTTCCTGGTAAAATCCCTCATACACGCAACCACCTTACCTACACCTCACCTCTCAGCCAACGGGTAATCGGAACTACTCCTTTTACCTTGACCATACTTGTTTTTTTTTTTTTACCATTCCCTCTTTTCTCTTCCCTTTCTAGCCATGTCCGAGCGAGGCTCGTTCCGCGGGGGTCGTGGTCGTGGTCGTGGCGGCCAGGCCCAGCAGAAAAGTGGCGGTGGTGGCGCACAGGAGAAGCCCAAGAAGGAAAACATCTTGGACCTCAACAAGTATATGGACAAGGAGGTTCAGGTCAAGTTCAATGGTGGCCGTGAGGGTATGTCTATTCTTTTATTCTTTTCGCTTTGTTTATTCCTTTTTCCTTTTCCTTTTCCTTTGTTTTTCTACTCTCATACTTGATCTATACTGACTCCATTATCAGTCTCCGGTACGCTCAAGGGCTACGACCAGCTGATGAACCTGGTCCTCGATGACGTGAAGGAGACCATGCGTGGTAAGTCCATCATATGAAGCTTGGCTTAAATAAGCTTCCATCTTCACTAAAAATGATATACTAACTCCCACCAGACGACGAGGGCAACAAGACCACTCGCTCACTGGGCCTCATCGTCGCCCGAGGCACTCTGATCGTACTGATCTCACCCGCCGATGGCAGTGATGAGATCCCTAACCCCTTCCTGCAAGCAGAGGAGTAAGCATGCACTCTTCACCTCTCTATCTGGAAGATTGGAGTTCGGAGCTCAAAACAGGAGTTTCCTAACTCTCTCCTCCCTAATGTCAATGTCAATGCAATGCCAACCCTGACTTTGGTTTCGGCGTGCGGCCGGATCTTTATGCTCATCAGTAGCTACGAAGGGAACGAACGCAATATGATGGTTTTACTTTTTATCTACCCTTTCTCTTTTTTTTTTTTTTTTTTGACTTGGAATGTGTATGTGCATGTGCATAGTAGGGCTGTTGGCATGGGATGGAATCTACAACCCCACGCAAAGATACAAAAATAGAAAAAGAAAAGAAAAGAAAAGAAAAAAGAGAAAAAAGAGAACTCAAAATCAACACAGATTTTCCAAGCAAACAGCATAGGTATCATAGATTTAAAACGCACCAAAGCAAACTATACAAAAGCCGCCCTCTCCAGATCAGCACTCGATCTAAAGTAAAAGTGATTACTGGCCCACATCCCCAGGCTCCACCGTCTCCCCAAACTCAGAGTCATGGTCGGCATCAGCATCAGCACCAGCACCAGCACCAGCCAGCGAAGAAACCTCTTTCGGCTGATCCTTCAACCGTCTCACGCCTTCGGCTTCTTCAACCCAAGGCCCAACCTTCTCCATACCATCGATATATTCAGCACCAATACGCAAGTTAAGACCAGCGCTGAGGGCCCGCTCGATGCGTGATTCTCTCGTCTGCGAAACGAGAGTTCGGAAGACATGCACGAAGAAACCGCCTAAGATATCGACGCTCCAGTCCTCCGGTACGAGCTCGAGGACTTCACGGACGTCAAACCAGGCCGCGAAGCGAGCGAGGAGATCGCTTGTGCGCTCGATGCGGTCTGATAGGTCTTTGATTTGGAGGAATTCGTCTAGGAGGTGGCGGAAAAGGGAGGATTGTAGGGTGTGTTCTGCTAGGTCTGGTGGTGTTCCTGTTGAAGAACTGGAGCTGCGTGGGCCGCCGAAGAGGCAGTAGCGGATTGCGGAGTCGTAGTCGCCTAGGCCGTGGGTTAGGAGGCGGAGGGCGGCCCGGTGGTGGCCTTGGAGGCCGTCTAGGATGATGCATTCTGAGACGAGCTCGTTTTGGAATGGTTCAATGCGGGTTAGGACGGCTGGGACTGAGTAGCTTATTCCTGTTGATAGGGGCTGGGATGAGAATTGGGAGCTGGAGATTCCGCCTAGGAGTTGGAGGAGGCGGAGGCGGGACTGCCACCACGGTTCTGCGGGTGTGTTTTCCGTGATGAAGTTTAGGTATGTTGGTTTTGGGGCACGTAGGGCCCGGTAGGTTGAGTAGGAATCGGCTAGAGATTCTCGTGCTTCTGGGGATGACTCGAGTACGGACATCACTGTGTCCAGGTAGTATGAGATCAGGTCGTCGGCATATTGTGTGTACTGGATTCATGGTTAATTATGTTTGTACAAGAAGACGAGGGGATCTCACATTCTTGGCAAACACCAGATGCTCCAGGTAGACCTGAACAGCATTGGGAGCTCGCTCTTTGAGCAAAGAAACAACATCTGCTGGCTCCAGCCTAACCCGGCTAGCATTGTCCGCGAATACCTGGATACCTAGGGCGGGATTTCGCCCAGCCAGCCAAGCGCCATAATCCTCGACCAGTTGAGCATCCTTGATCTTCACCAAGTATCTACGCATCTGCATTTCTACGCCAGATGCGGAGACCTCACCACCGGCATCCGTCTCCCCGTCCACAATTCTCCGCCAGGTCTTGAGCACATTCCGAGACATCTTTTGGCTCTGATATAGACGACTCAGCACATACAGCCGCTTGTATGTCTCAAGTAGCATCACTGCCCGATCGAAGTTGCCCTTCCAGTTATCAACCAGCTTGTTCAGCTCGGAGCGAAGAGGTGACGCTGCACGCTGGTCAGGGGTGAGGTAGGCATCTTGTTCCAAGGTCAAGTGCAATAGTGCAGCATCCGTGCTATCCAACACATAGGATTCATCGGTAATACTGCCATATCCTCGCTTTTGTTGCCAAGACAAGAGGAAGCGCTTCACCATGTTAAGAACTGGGCTGCGGGAAGCATCCAAACCCGAGGTTTCAACGCCCGTTTTCCCTACTTGCTGTGTGTACTTGACCGCCATTGATGCCAATCCGGCGTGTATCCATATACCCTGTGGGCCTTGTAGCACTTCACATCGCAGCAGGGGAATAAGCAGCAAGGCCAGGCGAGGGTCAAGGTTTCCAGCCACCAATGCTTGTTCGGTCTGTTTGATTGCTGAATCGCTACGGTCGTTCGGCTGCATCGAGAGAAGGTCTCCATAGAGTAAGAGGCATGCCTTTTGTTTCACGTAGCTGAGCCCAATGAATTCAGCTTCAGTCTTTGGCTCTGTGTCCTGAATTGATAGCAGCAAGTCCAAGACAGCGTCTCTCTGCAGCACCGTATGGTCGCTTTCGTTTGTCTCCTGGGCCTTTTGCAGAGTGCCCTCGAGTTGGACTACCAAAGGGTTCTGTAGAACACGCCATATTTGTGAACCAGACCACAAGATGAGGCTGCTCTGAGCCTTACCCAGTCCATGTGCGAACTTTGCTTCTTCGGCATTCCGTTGATCCTCCCAGGTTTGCTCTGATGAGCGTGAGCCTTTTTTCGGTCCCTCGGAGTCCGTCAAATCTTGTGGGTCGAACAGTTCCTTTTCTTTCTGAAGCTGTTCAATAGATGCGTGTGTTCTTGGGTCTGCCACTGGAACATGAGGTGATAATAGAGGTGTTTTGAGGCGGACCATTTGTAGCAGCTTGCCGATCTCATTTAGCTCGAGATGGCTGGGGCTGAGTGTGTGCTTGAGACCAACTTGAATAGTTTGGTCTTCTCCCGGTGACGGAAGATCTATCCATCTCTTGTTCCGCTCGATCTCGCCTGGGTCATCATCCCAGCGTTGGATTTCAAGTCGAGTTCGAGACTCTCCTTCTTCGTCGTCTTCAATGACAGCGAGAATGAATTCTTCTTTCGCATCTTCACTTGGTTGGAATATTTGATCACTTTCACCGGTATCAATTACAACTGACTTTGGGAATCGATGGAAGTTGATTGTGCCGCGAACCACTTCGCCATCCATGTCAACGAACATTCCAACACCCGGTTCAGTTGCTTCAGTTCCGGTGACTAGTAAGAACTCTGATGGTGTCGGGGACACTACATGAGGCTGCAGACGCTTCGAGCTATGCTTCGTTGGTGGCGGTACAGGCGGTAATGGCTTCAAGCTGTCGTTGCTGGGAGAGTGGTTGTCTGGTTCTTGATTTTCAGGCTTGGGAGAACTTCCACCTTCACGCTCTTCCGAGCTCGATCTTCGAAGGGTTCCACTAGATGTGAAAGGATCCGGTGTCCCTGACGGCGATCTGTCTATCTGAGCTCCTTGTGCATGCGGTGAGAGCATCCCCACAAAGGTATTTGCACTGCTGCTTCGGCCATGTCCGCGGGGGTCAACCGGTGATGAATCTGGATATGAAGAAGAGGGAGAACGCTTGAGTGGAGTCGGTGGTGCTGGGTTCATGTCTTCAACATGTCCCGACTCGAAGACCTCACTCGAAGAGGAGATAGGGAAGAGGGGGATCTTCTGCTGGTGCGCCACCTCAAGCAATGAATACGAATGTGCATCAGCAGCACAGGCAATGGTTCCTCGTCGTGCCGCTACCAAGCAACCGGGGAACTCGATCTTCTTGATCCGGCGCGCCTCGTCTCCAATCTGGACCAACATCATCCTATTCTGCACAGCGATCATCAATGTCGGGTCTTCCTCTTCTTCTGCATCCCGGTTGAGATCTAAACCACCGATCCAGCGGCACTGGTTGACCTTTGTAGTTCCAAAGGCTGGGCTGAGCTCTGGCAGCATGTAGAATGTAACAGTGCCATTGCAAAGAACACATGCCTTGCCCACAGAGGATAAGATAACTATTTGTCGGACGCCTCGTTGGTCACTTTCCGCTGGAGGGCTGTGGGCGAATAATATAGGTAATCGGGAAGCCAGTATAAAGGTGGGTTCATTGGACTCGTCCGGGGAAGCTGGCGGAAGACATACGAAGTGCAGGATCTCGGCTGCAGATGTACCGATGTATAGATTTTCATCTGAATCAGGGTCAGTGGATATTCAAATCATAGGGGCCTCCACAGCTCTTGGTGGATAGCGCTTACTCCAGTATTCAACGCAAGTGATGTAGACATCGGAGCTATGCTCGGTTGCCAACGGGACATCCTCGAAGAGGGACCTCAGCACATAAGGCATAGTCCCTGAAGGACTGATCCTTCGCCTCTTGCGGGGACCAATTCCATGGTCTGAAGCCATCATGAGGCTGTAGTTGACATCTCTCCCCGCGTGGTTGGAGAGTGAACGGCTAAGGCGGTCACTTTGGGGCCAAAGCTCAAAGGGTTCAGGGATGGCAGAATATAACGGCCGGGGTGCTATTATCGCTGTATTAACCACTTTTCTATTCAATTCAATTCTTATAGCTTTTATGCCTTCCTGTTCCTATTTTTTTATATTCTAGTCAAATCAAGCATATCCCTAGACTGTTGCCTGGTTGGTGAATACCAAAAGATGAGCTGATGAGACCCAAGGCGGTAACCACAATATATGTCCGGTTGGCCGTTATCGCCCACTCAGCTTCGCACGACTACCTCGGGACAACGGCTGTCATCTTAGGGGTGTAAATTAAACACATTGCACATATGTTCATTGACACTCCTTTTGAATCCAGCTCCCTTCCCTCTTTCACATATTCATACAAGGGACCCTAACCTATACACCGGAACAATATCGGCCCGTGCGCCGCGTGTCCTGTTCGCGATAACAGATCTCCAACTTTCCCCTTAGCTATTTGATGTGGGGTGTGCAGACTGGGGACAATGGATTCTTTTGCCATTACAGAGGGCTTGGTTTCCCAAGACCAATCTGATATGCCATCCAGCAAATTGACCGAGGAGACCAACAAGTTTCAACGCGCCATCGCAGCCTGGAGAGGTACGTCGCCAGATCAACAGACTACGCTTATTTTGGTGGGCTGGGCTAATCTAGACCTATCGCAGGTATTGACTTGGCCAACACAATCGCGAAACTCGATACAACAGCTACCGACATCGTCGAGCAGCAGCGTGATGCACTCGTGCAGAGAAAGGACCTCGCCCAGAAAACAAAGGACTATAAGAAGCTTGATGATGAGGCAAAGCTCTCCGAGTATAAGGGTCTACTGAAGGCGTATCAATCCTTCATCGATCTCTTGACCAACCAAGGCAAAACGTCGTCATCATCGTTCTTGCAGCTGTACTCGTCACTGTCGGAGGCTCCAGACCCCTACCCACTTCTCGAGGCTTCTGTTGACTCCCTCGTTCTATCCGAAGATACGGTCCCGAAGCTTACATCAGAACGGGATCAATTGCAAAAGTCGGTGGATCGTCTCACCAAGCAGCAAGATGAGACCGAGAAGCGCCTACAGGAGGAACGCGCTGCCCGGAAGAAATTGGAAGAGCACCAAGAATCGCGAGCCAAGGAAATCGAGGCATCATGGGAAGCTGTTTTGACTGAAAAGACGAATAACTGGGCTGCCAAAGAGAAGAGCTTGGAAGAGAAGGTGGAGAATCAGGAACGCTTAATCAAGGAGCTCAAGGCAAGCTATGAAGTCTCCCAGCGGCTAGGTGAGGGCGAAAGCGATGATAATGATGGCTCCCGAAGTGGTGCTACCGCAGCCGAGCTTGAGCTTGTTTCTGCCGACTTGGAGAAGACAAGCTTAAGACTAGCAGATGTAGAGGCCCGCAATGAACAAATGCGTATCGAGCTGGCCCAGGCCGCCTCCCATTCTCATTCTGCTGCAGTTTCTGTCGAGGATGACCCTGAATATCTTCGCCTCCAGTCGGAGAATTCCTCTTTGTTGCGGAAATTGGATGCTGCGCGCTTCGATAAAGACTCCGAACGACACGCTTGGGAGGCTAAGCTGCTTCAATCGGAGAGAAATGCATCAAAGGCAACGGTAGAGAAAGAGGAGCTGCGCTCACGCTTAGCCAAGGTTGCTGATTATGATGAGATCCGCCGAGAGCTGGAGATGATCCGATCCGTTGAATTCGCAACAGGAGACGATGATGATGCAGGAGACGATGGTGATGCTGGAGATGGAGCTGAAGGCACGGCGACTGAGACTAACGGTGATACAGCTAAAGCAAAGGACAAGAACTCTCTAGAGCAACTCCTCATGGCCCGGAACAAGAAGTTGACAGATGATCTCACTCTTCTGCGGGTGTCCCATCGTGATATCCAAGGTCAGCTTGAAACCTTGCGGAGCGAACTTTCCACTTCAAAGGGAGAGCTCGAGAAGTCTCGAACCCTATCAAGCACTCTTGAGAACGATCTTCTTCGCGTTCAAGAGGAGGCTGCAAACTCGTTCCCCTCCGGAGCAATGTCTGTTGCAGGAACATACACCTCCAGACACCCTCACTCTGCCCGCCGCGGTGCATCATCACCCACCTCATCTATTATCTCCGGTTTTGACCAGGGAGCCGCATCGGCAAATACCATGGATGCAATTCGCGCAGGAGAAGCCGTCGGTGGCGGCTCAGGACTTCTACCAATGATCCAAGCTCAACGAGACCGCTTCAAGAAGAAGAATGCCGAACTTGAAGAGGAGCTGTCAAAGCTGTACGCTACCGTCAAGTCTCTCCGGCAAGAAATAGCATCTCTCCAGAAGGACAATCTGGGTCTCTATGAGAAGACAAGATACGTCTCAACCTACAGCCGAGGCCAGGGCGCATCCACATCGGCATCATCATATGCAAACACTCCCAGCTCCACCTCAGTGTACACATCCACCGATACACCATCAGGGCTTTCTCTCGACCGCTACCAAAATGCCTACGAAGCCCGGATCTCACCCTTCGCGGCCTTCCGAGGTCGAGAATCGACCCGTGCATACAAACGCATGAGCCTACCAGAGCGAATCGTATTCTCTCTCACGCGTGTCATCCTCGCAAACCGAACAAGTCGCAACCTATTCGCTGGCTACTGCTTTGCACTCCACATCCTCCTCTTTGTGGTCCTCTACATGATGAGTACGACGGAGATTGAAAAGCATAGCGCTATGAGCGCCGTCGGTAGTGCGGCCGCTGCTGCTTACGGGGGAGACGGGGTTGTTGGCGCAAGTGGTAGTGGCACAGGGAGTGGCACGGGGCAGCTGCACGGCGATGACTGGCAGCAAGAAGGATTCAACTAATGTTCTATTTCTTGTTCTCACAGCGAGGGTATCGGAGTTCCATATTTTTTCCTTGTTTCTTTATGGATCATCTTGTGGCGTTCGGGGTTGAATGTCATCTCTCGCTCTCTCTCTAGTCTTGGATGTGGGTCTAGCTGCATCCTGTGTAAATTTGAGTTCTGGCAAATATATCTATCTGTATGTCTGTGACTATGTTGCATCAGCCGACTGTAGATTTCTGCGTAATGACGCATGGGGGCTGGTCATTCCTGGAGTGTTATGCATGAATGCTCTTGTGACATGGTCATCTCCAGTCGATCAAGCTATCAATTGGACTCATTTCTAGTTATAGATAGATGAGTGTACTTTTTGCCTTCGCTCAAATGTGTATTTCTCTTTATTTAGGTCCATTGCCATGCCAATCTTATGGGTGTGTTTGGATGCCCATGTGCTCGGATCTATAGATCCACCTATCTAGCTAGCTAGTTCTACCGGTAAAACAGTTAATAGACCATTCGGCAGAACGGTTCAAGAAAAGAAAGTAACCAGAAAAAGAGCTTCCTAGATTCAGTTTACAAATCTGGAGAGGCAAAAAGACTGAAGGCCCGAGCCGCGGATCGAACGCGGGACCTCGCGCAGGAGTGCTTAGGTTTTGAATACCCTAAGCGCGAATCATACCACTAGACCACCCGGGCTTCATGGAGTAAGGTACCGGAATCTTGAACATTATCATCTAGCAACTCCTGTCTATTCGTATATATTCATATTCATATGGTAATTTCCAACTATCACTGAAAATATGTTAGCTTCAATCAAATACCCCACAACATATATGGATGCCACTAGTGCGGTCAGATGAGTGTGGATCCGGTCAATTTCTTCCCGATCTGGTTGGGACACTGTGCATGCAAGTATATATATCTTGGTGGCTTGGGTCGGTTAGACGAGCCGGTTCCGAAATGCCAGTTGGCAAAAGCAGGAACACAGAAATAGGTCAATTAAAGCGAAATGACGGATCAGGAGCCGGTGTAAGATTTGGCGTTTTCTACGCGCCGGTGCGTTGTACTGCAAAGGGGAGTGAGCCCAACCCCTCTTCCCCTCAACCAGCCCCCGTGAGAACCCCAACAAGCCCTGGAGTGCAAGGACAGAACATTCAACCTGATGACAGTTGACGAATCGATGGCAGGGCTGAAGATTTGACCTGATACAAAAAAGTACTAGTATTAGCCCATGTACAATGCCTGCAACAATTCCCCGAGTTCTGCACAAATGCTCAAGGATCATGACCCCAGCAATACCTCCGGAGCTCTGCAGACTAGCCTACAGTGGCAATAATTCTGCACATCTTAACGCCTAGTATACATGTACTCCTCTTCAGTAAGATTTATTAATAGCCCGGGGAATTAATAGAGCCCTCCACATTGGCCTAATATGCTCGTAGCTCTGCCGAACCGCCATTGGGGAACCCCGTTGTTTTGCTTAGCGCGCTGCTACCCTGATTGATCCAAAGTCGTTTGTGGCCGAGGACAAATCAGAGAGAGGTAAGGCTGGAGGAAGCAGCCCAGGGCGCGTCGATCTACCAATAAGAATCCGTGGTCGAGCCCCAATCCCTGCTAGTACCTGCAGGTTGCATCGATCCTTCCGTTTATAGATTCAGCATTGTTTCGAGTCAGATGTGTGTTACTATCTTTGATGCACGCTTGAATTAAAGGATTCTGCAATTAACATCGCATCTATATGTATCTCTGTTCTGACCCGAATGGAACCATGTCAATCCCTCCCTCTCCTGTCATTCCTTTCTTCACCACGCTCTACCCCGTTCCTTCATATCAAACCGAGTGCTACTCAAGGCTTGCTGGGCAACCTTTAATACTATCCAAAAAGGACACCGCCGTGAACTTTCCCTCTCTGCTCATAACAAGTTGTCAGCAATGCATCTCTTCTCTCTCATCACCTGCTTGGCAGCAGTCTCACTTGCTGCCCCAACAAGCTTCCTCGACGATGCATACGATTGGTCAGATGAGCTGGCTGACTTCTACGGAAAAGTCAGCCAGTTCATCAGCAACGCAAAGCACAACATCAAATCCCCAGATGCTTGCGATGTCTCCAAGATTGCTCTTCCTTCGTATGCCTCAGGTCTACCCGGACCCACTGGCTTGAAGCCAGTCTATGTTGCACTTGGACGTGGTACTCAGGTATGCAAACATATACACTATCCATTTGGATATCATTACTCACAATGCACACAGAACTACACATGCGCCGATTCTTCATCCAACACCACACCAGTAGCAGCAGGAGCCGTCGCTCGACTGTACAATGCTACATGCCTCGCAGCCAACTACCCAAGTATTGTCGAGAAGCTTCCTAGCATTGCCTACAAGATCACGCTCCCGACCAACAAAATGGCCTCTTTACCCCCTGCCAACATCGACCTCATGGGACATCATTTCTTCTTTGATGCAACAACTCCAGAATTCAACCTCAACACTACACCAGAGAAGCAAGATGGAATTGTCATGACCAAGAAGCAAGATCAGATTTCTGCGCCTTCTGATGCTACCTCTGGGAAGTATGGTGCTGTTGCCTGGCTCTACCTCACTACCACTGATGGCACCATTGGCAACTACAAGAGTGTCTATCGAGTTGACACTGCTGCTGGATCATCCCCTAAGACCTGCAAGGGGCTTCCTAAGACATTTCAAATGCAATATTCTGCAAACTACTATTTCTTCGGGCAATGATTGGAATGTTTTTGCTTTGTACATAGACCTCGAGGGAGGTTACGATTATGAGTTTTGCGGGCTGGTCTTTGTCTTAATTTTTACTACAACCTATTTCCAACACCCACGGGCACATATGGCGTTATTTACGGAATATAACTATACTTTTTATTTCCACATTCCATCATCCATCAACAACTTCATGCAGGGCTAAGACGTACCACGTGATCTCGCTATCGGCGCCAGTCTCTCACGTGATGAATTCACACGGAAGAGCATGCTAGCCCCAAAGCAGACTAGCGCCGTTCTGATTTTCTGAAAGATCCCAAAGCGCAAAAAAATCTCGACCGCATCAACGAGCAGCAACGGTATCGACCCGCACCCGACAAACAGTCAGCGGCCAATTCTGTTCTAACTGCTTGATCCAGTAAACTTGGATCTGCACTCAAATTTTTTTATTCCTTCCTCGACTCTCTTGGGACCGTTTCTTCCCATTTTCCAACTACACCGGTTTGAGCCTTCGGAAACGACAGCTCAACCTCCTACTCCCCTTTATCTCTTCCCAACCGAGTTTTCCTCAAAATCTATACAATGGCTTTCGCTCCCCGTGGCCGTGGTGGTCCCCCTCGTGGACGTGGTGGATTTGGTGGTGGTGACCGTGGACGTGGCGGTGGTCGAGGTTTGTTCAGTCCATCCTTACGAAGCCGCAAGCTTGCGCATCGTTAGTGTCGGTGGTTCTACCAACTCGACACTCACTTTCTGCACATCGACTTGCTGGCATAATTCAATTCATCTTGCTAATTCGAGTTCTTCAGGCGGTGGCCGTGGTGGTTTCGGCGGTGGTGACCGTGGCCGTGGTGGCCGTGGTGGTGGCCGTGGTGCCCCTCGTGGTGGTCGCGGTGCTCCCCGTGGCCGTGGTGCTCCCCGCGGTGGCGGCGGTGCTCGCGGTGGTGCCAAGGTTATCATTGTAAGCTTTCAGAAAAAAAATCTCAGGGACATCAGGATCAGCCGCTAACCGGACCTTTTTTCTTCTTCTATAGGAGCCCCACCGTCACTCCGGTGTCTTCGTCGCTCGTGGTGGCAAGGAGGATCTGCTCGTCACCAAGAACTTGACCCCTGGTGAGGCCGTTTACGGTGAGAAGCGCATCTCCGTCGAGGGCCCTGCCAACGAGGACGGTGCCGTCACCAAGATCGAGTACCGCGTGTGGAACCCCTTCCGTTCCAAGATGGCTGCTGGTATTCTTGGTGGTCTCGATGAGATCTACATGAAGCCCGGTGCCAAGGTTCTCTACCTCGGTGGTGCCAGCGGTACCTCCGTCTCTCACATTGCTGATATCGTCGGTCCCACCGGTAACGTCTACGCCGTCGAGTTCTCTCACCGCTCTGGCCGTGATCTGATTGGCATGGCTACCCACCGTACCAACGTCATCCCCATTGTCGAGGATGCCCGTCACCCCCTCCGCTACCGTATGCTCGTGCCCATGGTCGATGTCATCTTCGCCGATGTTGCCCAGCCCGACCAGGCCCGTATTGTTGGTCTCAACGCCCACATGTTCCTCAAGGACGAGGGTGGTGTCATTGTCTCCGTCAAGGCCAACTGTATTGACTCCACAGCCAAGCCCGAGGTTGTGTTCGCCCGCGAGGTCCAGAAGATGCGCGAGGAGAAGATTAAGCCCAAGGAGCAGCTGACCCTTGAGCCTTTCGAGCGTGACCACTGTATCGTCGCTGGTTTGTACAAGCGCTCCGCATAAAGGTGATTTTTAATCTCTGGTCATGTCCATTCCCTTTTGATGTTCTCCTCGGCGTCTCGTGTTGTGATGTATCGAATTGTTTCCCGTTTCTTGTGACAGGTTTTTACTGCCCATGTACTTTTGGCTGCGTCTCAAAATTTAGTTTCCATTTTCGAATTGTACACGCTGGAATGTGTCACTCTGTCTTGATCTGAGGTGATGAGATGGCTCTGGATGAAGTGTGATATCCACAGTAATTAGTGACCAATTCAAGTGATTCCCAGCCATGCTAGCCATTCTATGCTTTCGTGGTGTATCTGTAGCTAGTTGGTAATGACTAAGTCTCTTTACAATTATTGGAAGCTTTCTTGATCCTGACTTCATATAGGACCCAGCATCGAGAGACAAGTCAGCACCTGCGCTTAAGAGTTGTGTAGACCCTTAATCTACACAAACGTCCTACGTAGAAACCGTCCGATATAACCAAATGATACTATTCCCGGTCACCCCTCAACTCCCCGCTTAGTTACATTCCCCATCTACATTCTTCAGCAGATCCTACAATCACTTGAGAATCCAGAACCATTTTTGAAATAGTAACAGAGCTAGAGCGCGATATAGAACAAACAATGGAAATCGATTCGGACACCCGGAAAGGAATTCGCGGTACACTCTTTTTAAAATGCCAACCTGACTCGACAGTACTTTTCGAAGTAAATACTCTTCTCAATTGCCACGAGACGGTGGAGAAAAATATTCTGCGGGCAACCAGTTCAAGCTGATTGTTTGCTTGAGATTGATGTCTCCATGGATGATATATAGCTCGTTGAATTAGACAGCACGAACACTTCACACCATGTCATACCTGTTTTTCCAGTCAAATCCGCCACAGAAAAAGGACTTTGCTGGGTCAATTAAGCATGATAATGAGAAGAGGACTTCTCTCTACTTGTTCCTATATTTCCAAGTATCTTTACCTCTAACGTTCCAGCGTATGTCAGATTACTTTCGGCCCAGCTGCTTTTCTGGTATATTCTAACTCCACAAAGCAAAATCAAACAGGAAAAAAAATATGCTATCTAGTGTAGAGGTGATCAGGGCTAAATGTTGCTCTCACACGTAGTCATCTCGGACTTGCGCCGGGCCTCCCGGCAATCGGATATCTCACCGAGAATCACCCAAAATGGCTCGGAATTGATGCGTGGAACGTAGCTCAAATGACCAACTGAGTGCAACACGGTTGTATTATTGGCGGAGAGACACCATGTTCAAGTTGGACCGTGGGGGAAGAGATGGACTCCGCTTCAACCCCGCAAAGCGTGGGCGACTATATAAGGACTGAACGGATGCCTGGTTTCTAGTTCTACATAATTATTTCTCTGTATTAATATCCTTGACTCCAACTTATAATCAATAGGAACTACCTTCAAAATGTCCATCCTTATCACCGGAGCTGGGGGCTACGTCGGCCAGGAATTGGCCGCGGGCCTGCTCGCGAGCACACCAGCTACAACAACAGTGACCATCACCGATATGGTCGAGCCCGAGATCCCACAGTCAGCTGCACAGAATGCAAGCCGCCTGAGCACAGTCAAGGCAGACCTCACCTCACCCAAAGAAGTCGACGAATTGATCAATGAAGCCCGTCCCTACGAAACAGTCTACATCCTCCACGGCATTATGTCCGGCGGCTCAGAAGCCAATTTCGAGCTGGGAGTCCGAGTTAACCTCGATTCAGTACGGTACATTCTCGACCGGCTACGCAAGACCATGCCCGGAACAAAGGTCGTCTTCACATCCTCATTGGCAGTCTACGGCCCTGCAGCCCCAGGATTCGTCATTGACGAGACCAATTTCCCGCCTGTGCCCTCATCCTCATATGGATCACAGAAGCTGATTGTTGAGACTCTACTGAATGACTACTCGCGCCGAGGATTCCTAGACGGCCGATGCGTGCGTCTTCCTACTGTCACAGTCAGAGCTGGAAAGCCTACACAGGCTGCTAGCAGCTTCGCGAGTGATATAATCCGTGAGCCATTCCACGGCAAGAAAGCCATTCTCCCCGTGGCCAAGGAGACGGAAATGTGGATTTGCTCGCCGCACACTGTGATCAAGAACTTGATCCATGCCCGAACTGTTCCTAAGGAGGCATTTGGCGAGTCCAGATCTGTTAATCTGCCTGGATTAAAGGTAAGTATTCAGCAGATGCTGGATGCGCTGCTCGAGGTCGGTGGTAAGGAGCGTCGGGCTCTTGTTGAAGAGAAATATGATGCTGCTACCGACAAGATTGTGCAGTCATGGACTCCTCAGTTTAATACTGCGCGTGCTATCAAATTGGGATTCTCGGCTGATATCTCGATGGAGGATAATATTCGACAGTTTGCCAGTCGATTTGTATAAGAAGGCTTGATGCTCTGTACTCCGTATGATGTAGCCAATCAATAGACATGAAATTGGATCGAGAGATGTTGGTGAAAAATTGGGGAGATGAAGTTGAAAAAGCCATACAATATAGTCCCCACACCTCATAAATCATAAATCCAAGCCATTGAGATCATAAACACTCTCTTTGCCCCATAATGACAGCGCAAGGAAGTATTCGGGATGGGAAGGGCGGTTTGGAAAAGCGGGTCATGTGATTGGCTGGCGAAGGCGAACAATTTCAGACTTCCGAACTTCAACCTCAGGGCGTCTCCATCAGCTCTTTTCTACATCTCTCCCCCTTTCTCCTCCCTCCCACCTATAAAAGTCGTTCTCAATGGCTTCTCGGCGCCTAGCTTTCAACCTGAACCAGGCTCTCCGCAGCCGTGCGGCTCTTAAGTCCATCCAGCCCGTGAAGCGTGGCTTTGCGTCGCCGGTTGCGCTGCCTTCCACCACCCAGTCTACCACCCTCTCCAACGGATTTACGGTACGTCCGATCTTATCAATGCCATCATCGACTCGCTAATATTTTTCCTAGATTGCCACTGATCACTCGCCATGGGCTCAAACCTCCACGGTCGGCGTGTGGATCGATGCCGGTAGCCGGGCAGAGACTGACAAGACCAACGGAACCGCGCACTTCCTCGAGCACCTCGCCTTCAAGGTCCGACACCCTCAAACTCAATCCTCGAAACGATCTTCTGATGAATATATTTAGGGCACCAACAAGCGCTCCCAGCACCAATTGGAGCTTGAGATTGAGAACATGGGCGCTCACCTCAACGCCTACACTTCGGTACGACCGGAAACCATCCATCAACCCATCGGATCAATACTAATAGCGAATATAGCGTGAAAACACTGTCTACTACGCCAAGTCCTTCAACAACGATGTCCCCAAGGCCGTCGACATCCTCGCCGATATCCTTCAGAACTCCAAGCTCGAGCCCGGTGCTATTGAGCGTGAGCGTGACGTGATCCTGCGCGAGCAGGAAGAGGTTGACAAGCAGCTCGAGGAGGTCGTCTTCGACCACCTGCACGCCACCGCTTACCAGGGCCAGCCCCTTGGCCGCACCATCCTCGGCCCCAAGGAGAACATCCAAACCATCTCCCGTGACAACCTGACCGACTACATCAAGACCAACTACACTGCTGACCGCATGGTCCTGGTCGGTGCCGGTGGTATCCCCCACGAGCAGCTCGTCCGCCTCGCCGAGGAGCACTTCGGTGCCCTCCCCAGCAAGGCCCCTACTTCCGCTGCCCTTGCCCTCACTGCCGAGCAGAAGCGCACCCCCGAGTTCATTGGTTCCGAGGTCCGTCTCCGTGACGACACCATCCCCTCCGCTCACATCGCTCTCGCCGTCGAGGGTGTCAGCTGGAAGGACGATGACTACTTCACCGCTCTCGTCACCCAGGCCATCGTCGGTAACTGGGACCGCGCCATGGGCCAGTCCCCCTTCCTCGGCAGCAAGCTCAGCTCCCACGTCAGCCACCACAACCTCGCCAACAGCTTCATGAGCTTCTCCACCAGCTACAGCGACACCGGGTAAGTTGATTGATATATAGAACTGGTTACACGCGCTAACTTGATGTAGTCTCTGGGGTATCTACCTCGTCAGCGAGAACCTTACTCAGCTTGATGACCTGATCCACTTCACTCTCCGCGAGTGGTCTCGCCTCTGCAACAACGTCACCTCCGCCGAGGTTGAGCGTGCCAAGGCCCAGCTCAAGGCCTCCATCCTCCTGTCCCTCGACGGCACTACTGCCGTCGCCGAGGACATCGGCCGCCAGATCATCACCACCGGCCGCCGCCTCAGCGCCGAGGACATTGAGCGTACCGTCAGCCAGATCACCGAGAAGGACGTCATGGACTTCGCCACCCGCAAGCTGTGGGATCAGGACCTCGCCATGAGCGCCGTCGGCAGCATCGAGGGTATCCTCGACTACCAGCGCATCCGTGGAGACATGTCCCGCATGATCTCTTAATCTTGTCTAGAGTATGATCGCGTTGTGAAAGATGACTGCTGAATATCCCGTCGTGGATATCTCGGTGGTTTTGGTTTGAATGTACTATCAATCATTTGCCTTGGGCTGTTAGATCCCAAATTCTGTGTGTGAAATAGCAATTAATGGTTTGCCATAGTAGACTATCGTTTGTTGCTGAGGCCGCAAACGCACCAATTATCTCCTTTGTTTGTTCTATTTGGATCTGTATAGCAGTGTAGTTGTACTGTAGCAGTAAAGCCATGTGTGCTTTGACAGCATGTATCTGCAATATCAAACATCATGTTTCCTAATCCTTTTCCACCTACTCCCAGCAATTTATTTTTATGATCGCTTGAGCCTTTTTACGACTGGATTGCCTGTCCAATCCATACATATATATCCCTTAATCGAACTTCTGCATCATTTTTAGGTTTTATATTGTTCCACTCCAGGAATGTTCCTTCATTTGCTGGCCCGTGATATCAGTCCGTTGCTTCAAGGGAGGTCTTGCGCTGATAGGAGCTTCGATATTCATCGGGATTTTGATGAAGATCGTCAAAGGAATCACTCGTAGCTTCTCAAGCTTGCAGCATGGTGGCGCTACATGATACCGTCGGCACATTGATCTTCGTACAGAAGATCAAGCATTCATCATCCGGGAAAGCTGCATAGCGGAGAAGAATCCGAGGAGAGCCTAGGGAGAGCCTGAAGAGAATCAAAGGAGACTGCGAGATGGATCTGATATCGTGAACACTCAACTTTGGCTTGTTCTTCTAGTGAGATGTGATGAGATATCAGCCTGTCTTCCCCAAAGAGATGAGCCAAGGATCGATGTAGTATTATTTCCAGCAAAGACGGCGTAAATGACTATCTCTAGCAAGGCCGTATTTTCATTGCCTCCTATACATTATTCACGTTCCGAGTTGCGACTTAAGTAACTTTGCTGTTCGTACTGACCAGGGTCAGAAATGCGTATACACTGCCACTCACTAGGTACCAGTAGTTGTCACACGGAAGTCATGGTTTTGCAACGATTGTACAGTTCATAGGTTTCTTTGCATCGGGTTCCATCTTCGACTTTCTCCACTACTTTCCAGAGAAGCAAAGTGGTTCACTTGTAGTAGCCTGACCAACCGTTCATAGTCGAGACTCCACTGTACCGATAAGGCCAACACAGAGGCTTTGATAGTTCGATATTCATTCAGTACGTAGATCCAGAGACTCAACAAGGCCCAAGGCAAACATATTAACATGAAAAGAGAGTAGGAGTATAATTGTCGTCCAACTTTATCCCGCTTTAGATTGCCCAGTTCGGCGATGACTAAGCATGATAACGGGGAGATTTTTTTGGCGGCAATTTTGCTCGGAGTAAACGTCTTAAATCCCATCACATCTGAAAAATGGGCAAAAGAGGAGGCAAGAAGGTATGTGTCGATGTATGTGTCAATTAGGGGACTAGACTGATCTTTCATACAGTCCGGTAGAGGTCGCGGCGGCGGCGGTGGCAGCAGTGGCCGCACACGCTCTATCTGGCAGGATATCAGCAGAGAAAACGAGAAGTTCGAGCGCTATTACAATGAGCCCGAATTTCTTCCGGAGGAGGAGAGAGAGATCTTCTGGGCTACCATGAGGAAGGATCTTCCCAACAGCTTCCGTTTCACAGGTTCTCGAGGGTAGGTTATCACTATTCTGTTGCGCCTCGTGGCGACCAAGCAATACTGACCATTGTGCACTTTACAGGCACGCATTGGCTGTCCAGCAACGTCTCAAGGACCATCACATTCCCGAGATCACCTCCATCAAGTATGAGGATCAATTCGTTGAGCCTCCCACCCCGGTCTCGTGGTACCCGGATCAGCTTGCTTGGTCCATGACCACCCCCAAGAACATCATTCGACGATTCCCACCTTTCGCCTCGTTCCAGAAGTTCCTCGTCGCAGAGACCGATGTCGGAAATATCAGTCGTCAGGAAATTGTCAGCATGATTCCTCCTCTCCTCATCGATGCTAGACCTGGAATGACCGTGCTGGACATGTGCGCCGCACCAGGCAGCAAGTCTGCGCAGCTTATGGAGCTTCTTCACGCTGGCGAGGAAGACTCCGTTGCGCAGGTTGCTGAGCAGGTCAAGAAGGGCGATGTTGGACCTGAGCCCCTCGGCCCCGAGGGACTAAACGACGATGGCCGCAGCACTGGCTTGTTGATTGCCAACGACAGCGACTACAAGCGCGCTCACATGCTGATTCACCAGATGAAGCGCCTGAGCTCGCCTAACCTGATTGTCACCAACCACGATGCCACCATGTTCCCCTCCATTAAGTTGCCTCCTACGACCAACGCCGAGGGCAAGACTCAGAACAGATACCTGAAGTTTGATCGCATTTTGGCTGATGTTCCATGCTCCGGCGATGGTACCGCTCGTAAGAATTACGGTGTCTGGAAGGAATGGATCCCTGGCAATGCCTTGGGACTCTACTCTATCCAGGCCCGCATTTTGGTCCGTGCTCTGCAGATGCTGAAGGTGGGTGGACGTGTTGTCTACTCCACTTGCAGTCTGAACCCAGTGGAGAACGAGGCTGTTGTCGCCAGTGCCATTGAGCGCTGCGGTGGTGCTGCCAATGTCAAGATCATTGATTGCAGCGCCGAACTGCCCGGCCTTAAGAGAGCTTCTGGTTTGCGCAACTGGAAGGTGATGGACCGCGAGGGCCGTATGTGGAAGAGCTGGAAGGACGTTGAGGAGCACCGCGACCAAGAAGGTGTCAACGGTCTTGCTCGACTTGCCGAGGGCATGTTCGCTCCCACCGGCGAGGGTGCTGATCTGCCTCTCGACCGTTGCATGCGTGTCTACCCTCACCAGCAGGACACCGGTGGTTTCTTCATTACTGTCCTCGAGAAGACTTCTGAGATCCGCGCCAAGCCCGAGAACACCAACTCCATCCCCAAGGCTTCCGTTGCTGCTCTCGCCGCTGAGCTCGACAAGAAGGGCGAGGATGGAAAGCCTCTGGAGAAGCTCGATGCTCTGGACGACCTGGTCGCTCCCGACCCCGAGGCTCAGGAGGAGGCCGCAAAGAACGCCAGTGTTGCCGAGGCCACTCACCAGCTTCCTTACTCTGCAACTCTTGACGAGTCTACTACAGTCTCTCTCCCCAAGCGTGATGCAGGTGACTTTGAAGAGGAACTTCCCGCCAAGCGCACCAAGCTCGACGATGGCACCGAGGTCCTCATCGGTGACCGTCCAGTCCACCGTCCTGCGCCCTCCATGGGAACTGGAATTCCCGATGCTGACGACAGCACACCTACGTCCGCTGCTCCTGAGCAGTTGAAGAAGAAGGGGCCCCGCCAAGAGGAGCCTTTCAAGTACCTTGACCCCAACCACGAAGAGCTCGTTCCTGTCTACGACTTCTACAAACTTTCCGAGCGTTTCCCCCGTGACCGTTTTATGGTCCGTAACGCCGAGGGCCTTCCCACCCGGACCGTCTACTACACCAGTGCTTTGGCCCGTGATATTCTCGTCTCCAACGAGGGTCAGGGTATGAAGTTTGTTCACTGCGGCGTGAAGATGTTCGTCAAGCAGGACGCACAGCGCGAGAACGTCTGCAGGTGGCGTATGCAAACGGATGGTCTCAAGATCGCCGAGCCTTGGCTGGGCCCTGAGCGCACCGTCACTCTGACCAAGAAGGAGACCTTGCGTCGTCTTCTTGTGGAAATGTTCCCCAAGGTCAACGATGATGCTTGGAAGGAGCTTGGTGAGATTGGTGAGCGCGTGAAGGATATCGAAATGGGATGCAGTATCCTGCGCATTGAGCCCACCGGCGAGGAAGACGGCCTGACGTAAGTTTTTTGAACATTTTATTTCTAGTTGTGCGTTGACTAACAAAACTATAGTGAGCGCATGGTCCTGCCCTTGTGGCGCTCTCTTCATTCTTTGAACCTCATGCTTCCCAAGGAAGACCGCCGCGCGATGCTGCTCCGTATCTTCAACGACACCACTCCTCTTATTAACACCACCCAGAAGAAGACTGGCAACAGCACTCCTACTGCTGGAGCAGAGGATGAAGCCATGAAGAGCGAGAATGTCCAGCTGGGCGAAGATGAACAGGAACAGGTGGATACTCGCGAGACATACACCAAGGACGGCGACGAGGAGGACCGTTTCAATACCACCGTCTAATAGACTCTCTTATTTACCTGCAACTCGGGATACATGAAATGTACTAAAAGCCAATGTCATGAATTTTCTCTCTTTCTTTACTTTCTTTTCACACCCACTTTTTCCTTTCACTCTAATGCAAGGGATCTGCACTCATAAGATCCGGGGAATCGTCGGCAGCAATATTGAGTGCAGCAATAATTAGTGCACCAGTTAAATTCCTTCAGCTTCCCCGCAGCCTGCGCATCCGAAATTGAACGGAAGAATGCCCCAAAGGCGATATTGGCCACCGGAGAGATCCCTGCGGACTTTGTATACTAACTTCCCCGATCTGAGGACCCCTATCCCTCACCAACCACAACCCTCAGGCTAAAGCCCAACCATACGATATGCGGAAAAATCGCGGCGGTGCCCCTCTCTCCATGCAATAAGCTTAAGGATCATCGGTCCGGTTGCCCTGTGAGGCTGGTGTCTCTCCACAATTTGCAACTATGCAACGCTGCAACCCCTCAATTTCAAGACCCCTGCAAATGGCGAAAGGGACGGAGCTCTGGAGAACAGCAATGCTAGAATTGTTTGCATATGGCATGGTTGACAGATCCTGCTTATGTCGGTCAATGATGTCCCGACTGGCTGCTTCTATATGAATGTCTGTCTGCCCCTGGATTGGGGATTCCTCTTCCCGCTTCACGCTCTGCTTCCCCCGCGTGGATTGTGAATTGTGAACTGTTGAGGGATCATGAAGCTCTCGTCTACTTGGGCTATTGCCTGTCTGGCGGCCCAGGCTGCTGGTGCTGCTATTAGCCATCAATTGAATGGGTTGACGATTACCGAGCATCCGGATCCTGTTAAGCGGGCTTTGCTTCAGAAATATGTGAGTTTTGTTTAATTTGCTGATGGGTAGGGATTACTGTCCTGACTTGCTCCTGTAGGTGACATGGGACAAGGATTCTTTATTCGTCAATGGCGAGAGGATCATGCTGTTCAGTGGTGAAATCCACCCGTTCCGGTGAGTGCTTTGAGTGGCTGTTCTGTGAAGGGATCCTTGTTGACTCTTATTCCGTATAGTCTGCCTGTTCCATCTCTGTGGATTGATGTCTTCCAAAAGGTCAAGGCTTTAGGATTCAACTGCGTTTCTTTCTATGTTGACTGGAATCTGTTGGAAGGCAAGCCCGGGCAATATACTGCCGAAGGAATCTTTGCGCTGGAGCCTTTCTTCGATGCTGCCAAGGAGGCTGGTATCTATCTCCTCGCTCGTCCCGGTCCCTACATCAACGCCGAAGCATCGGGTGGTGGTTTCCCAGGTTGGCTTCAGCGTGTGAATGGAACATTGCGAACTAGCGATCAGGCTTACCTAAAGTCAACTGATAAGTATGTCAAAGCCCATGATACTAACTTTGAGAATGACGTTCATACTAACATTTGTCTAGCTATATTGCCAAAGTCGCCGCGACAATCGCCAAAGGGCAGATCACAAATGGCGGTCCAATCATTCTGTATCAGCCCGAGAATGAATACAGCGGTGCCTGCTGCGGATATGAAGGTTTCCCAGATGGAGCCTACATGCAGTATGTCGAGGACCAGGCACGCAATGCTGGTGTTGTCGTCCCTCTGATTAGCAATGATGCCTGGGCTGGTGGCCACAATGCACCTGGCACTGGCAAGGGGGCGGTCGATATCTACGGTCATGATAGCTACCCTCTTGGCTTTGACTGTGCCAACCCTTCTACTTGGCCATCTGGTAATTTGCCCAAAGGGTGGTATCAAACGCACATGGATCAGAGTCCTTCTACCCCGTACTCTCTGGTTGAATTCCAAGGTGGAGCATTTGATCCTTGGGGAGGCGTTGGGTTCACGAAGTGTGCTGCTCTTCTGAACCATGAGTTTGAGAGAGTTTTCTATAAGAACAACCTCAGCTTCAAGGTTGCTTTCCTGAATCTGTACATGGTATGACACCAACGCTCCAGCCATTGAATATGAACTAACATCTAAAGATCTTTGGTGGTACCAACTGGGGTAATCTTGGTCACCCTGGTGGCTATACATCCTATGACTATGGTTCTCCAATTACAGAGTCTCGCAATATCACTCGCGAGAAGTACAGCGAGCTCAAGTTGATTGGAAACTTTGTCAAGGCGTCACCGGCGTACCTGCTTACAACACCAGGAGACTTGAGTACTTCCGAGTACACTACATCATCCGATATTGCAGTGACGCCCCTGCTCAGTGGTAACAGCACAGCATCTTCGTTCTTCGTGGTCCGTCATAATGACTACTCAAGCCAGACTTCAGTCGACTACAAGCTCAAGGTTTCTACCAGCGCTGGCTCCCTCACAATCCCACAGCTTGGTGGAAGCTTGACTCTCAGCGGTCGTGACTCTAAGATCCATGTTGTTGACTATGATGTTGCAGGGACCAATGTTCTCTACTCTTCCGCTGAAGTGTTCACCTGGAACCAGGTTGGCAACTCCAAGGTGCTTGTGCTGTACGGTGGCCCTGGTGAACACCACGAGCTGGCAGTCAACTCCACATCCAAGGCATCTGTTGTCGAGGGTTCCTCGTCAGGTTTCACCACCAAGCAAGTTGGGAAGACCGTTGTGATCGGCTGGGATGTGTCCACCACTCGTCGAATTGTCCAAGTAGATGACTTAAAGGTTTTGCTTATTGGTCAGTAACTTCTTGCTTCAGCCATACTACATATACTAACTTATATCAGACCGTAACTCTGCATACAACTACTGGGCTCCTCAGGTCCCGGCGTCAGGTACTAGACCTGGCTACAGCACCCAAAAGGCCGCCGCGTCGGCCGTCATTGTCAAGGCCGGCTACCTTGTGCGAACTGCCTATCTAAAGGGCAGTGACCTTCACCTCACAGCTGACTTTAACGCCACCACACCTATCGAAGTGATCGGTGCGCCATCCAAGGCAAAGAACTTGGTCATCAACGGCAAGAAGGCCCAGGTCAAAGTCGATAAGAACGGCATCTGGTCCAGCAATGTGGCATACAGTACACCTAAGATCAAGCTCCCCACTCTCAAGAGTCTGAAGTGGAAGGCCATTGACACACTCCCCGAGATCCAAAGCTCATACGACGACTCCAAGTGGGTTGCTGCCGACCTCGCCAACACAGCAAACAGCGTCCACCCTCTGCAGACCCCGACCTCCCTCTACTCATCCGACTACGGCTTCCACACAGGAACCCTAATCTACCGAGGCCACTTCACCGCGACAGGCGATGAAACAACCTTCTTCATGCACACCCAAGGCGGCACAGCATTTGGCAGCTCAGTCTGGCTAAACTCCACGCACATCGGATCCTGGGCGGGAATCTCGATTGACAGCGACTACAACGCCACATACACCCTCCCAACCCTAACAAAGGGCAAGTCCTACGTATTCACCGTAGTCGTGGACAACATGGGTCTAAACGAAGACTGGACAGTCGGCTCAGAGGAAATGAAACTGCCCCGCGGTATCCTCAACTACGAACTCTCCGGTCAATCCGCCGACGCAATTACCTGGAAACTAACCGGCAACCTCGGCGGCGAGGACTACATCGACACAGTCCGCGGCCCGCTCAACGAAGGCGGTCTCTACGCCGAACGCCAGGGCTTCCACCAGCCTTCAGCACCTACACAAGATTGGAAATCAGACAGTCCCTTCGATGGCCTCTCAGCACCCGGCATCAAATTCTACTACACAAGCTTCGATCTCGATATCGAGAAGGGCTGGGATGTACCCCTCTACTTCAATTTCGGAAATAGTACCGCGCCGCCTGCTGCGTACCGTGCCCAGCTGTATGTGAATGGCTACCAGTATGGTAAGTATGTGAACAATATTGGGCCGCAGACAAGTTATCCGGTTCCCGAGGGTATTTTGAATTATCGTGGGAGCAACTATGTTGCCTTGAGTCTGTGGGCTCAGGGAGAGGATGGTGCTAAGGTGGAGAATTTGGAGTTGGATTATACTACTCCCGTGTTGACTGCGTTGGATGCGGTTGAGGCAGCTGGGCAGCCGAAGTATTCGAAGCGGAAGGGGGCTTATTAGTTGGATGGCTTGGTGAAATAGTATTCGCAAGGATATATAAGAATATAAGAATTGCAGTCAAGTGAATTGTATACATCGTAGATCCACTTCTCCGCAGATCCCAGCCACCCCCCAACCTCCTTCGATTCTTCATTTCTGTTCTTCCTTTCCTTCCTTTTCGATTATGACTACGGAGTAACATATGCGCATTCTCTCTTTCTATCATTCTTGACGTCCAACTTCACGTTTGTGACATCGGCCTCTAAGCGCCCATCTCACACCGACTCACCACTCGCTCGAGTCGAACCCCAGCCCAACCCCTCAATCCAATTCCAACAGAACAACCAACCATACTCATCGAGCTCAAACAAACAACATGACATCCAATGCAACCCTCACCCACCCAAACGACCTCCCCTCCCACCTCCTGACCTCCCACCAAAAACGCTACACAACAATCTCCATCCCCTCAACCTACGGCCGGCTCCACTCCAGCCCAGCAGCAGGAACCGTCGTAGGAATAGTGCTAGGCAGCGTAGCAGGCTTCGTGCTGCTCATGTACATCCTCTTCCTAGCGGTGAACCCAGGCGGACTAGCACGCGGCGGTAGCAGCGGCGCGGCACCAACAGTATCCTCCTCGCTCTCAATGGACGAAGAAGAGATCGTGGAAGTACGCAGTCGACGACCGTCCAGACGTCGCCGGAGCGGTGAGACCATCGAGGTGATGGAGGAGCGGGAGACGTTCCGTGATAGTTATCGGCGCAGGCCTTCGTCTAGGCATGATCGCATTCTTGTTGAGGAGTCGCTTGCTACTTCTACTTCTGGGGGTGGAGATGTTGTTGAGGTCCTTGAGGAGGAGAGTTCTGTTCCTTCTGATGTTTCGCCTAGACCTGCTAGACGGAGTCGGAGGGGCGTTAGTCATGTTGACCCTTTGGCTTATGGGGGTGGGAGTCAGTATAGTCGGAGGTCCTGATTGTGATGATGGTTTATGGTTTATGTCGATACCCTTATGTTTATGGATTAATGTTTGACGAGATAATATATTGCTGTTCTGTTATACCTTGGGAGTATGAGTTGTCTTCGTAGTTGATCTTGATAGCTACTTACCGCAAACGGAAGCTCTAGATACGCTACCATGAAAACGACCCCTACAGAGAAAAAAAAAAAAAAAATTTAGAGTGAAAGTGATAGCGTGCGAGAACGAGGACAACAGTAGGGGTGAATAGTACAATCGAGGATACAATAAAAACCAAGCCCAAACACCGTTTTCTGTTTTGCGCCAACAAAAGCCAAAAGAGTCAAGGATATATACGAGAACACAGAAACCAAAAACCAATCTCCACCGAGGGAAGCCCAATCCCCCTCAAGCCCAACAGGGAGCAAGAGCAAGAGTATATGCAAACCATAGGAAACCCAATATCAAAACAACCCCCTCCTCTTCTCCTTAGAACAAGATATCCAAACAGCAACAGCAAGCAAGAGCAGCCATTATACCCGCACAAATGCCCCCAGCACCACCACCAGACCGGTTACCCCGATCATTAGCATAATAGCCCTGCTGCTGAGGCGGATAGCCCTGCTGCTGCGGCGGATAATACATAGGCTGCTGCGGCTGATTGTAATACCCCTGCGGTTGCTGCTGCGGATACCCATATCCCTGCTGCTGCTGCGGGTAATAACCCTGCTGCTGGGTTCCGGCGCCGCCGTAGTAATCTTGCGCGGCGCCCGGGCTGGGGCCTTGTGGTGGGGGGGAGGCGTGGTTGTAGGGTCCCGCGTAGGAGGGTGGGGGACTCGTCTATACCAGAGGAATATCAATTAGTATCGTTGGGATTGGATATGGGGGGGGGGGGGGGGATTGGCTTGCGACATACGGGTTTGTTGTAGGACATTTTTGGGGAGGTGTGGAGTTCTTTTATGGAGGTGGAGGGTTTAGCGCCGATCGGGTGTATCTTTGATCTGGGGTGCAGATGTAGATGCTGATGTGTGGATGGGCCCGGGTTGGATGTCTTTGTATGGACTATGTATGGATCTGGGGTGTAATGAGCGATCGCTATGAGGATTCGAGAGATTCGAGAGGAGAAAGCCGAAGAGATCGTTGCGAAAGTGGCGCAGTTCCGGGGGTCGGCACGCTTAGTCAGTTCCAAGACCGGACCAAGTTTTATAGTAGGCATCAGGGTAATTTTTATGTTTGAGTCTTGTTTCAGAACTTGATTATGACTTTTGAAAAACCATTTATAAAAACAATGCAGATGCAAGAGCCAAAATGAAAAAAAAAAAAATGCTAGGCAAACGCTAGACTGTATGTTGACGCATATATGAGAACTCCCTCTCTATGCCTTTTCCTCGATCGAGGCCTTCTTGAGCTCGTCGGCGGCGTCGGCTGCGCCATCCTGCTCCTGGGCAAGCTCGGCATCCGCTGTCGGGGCACCGTTCTCTTGGGCGGGCTTCTTGGCAGCGTCGGTGGCCCGGCCGTTGGACTGGGAGATGTTGGCCTCCTCCTCCTCGAGGCGGGTGATTTCCTCCTTGGCCTTCTTGATGTTCTGGATTTTGTTAGTATATATGTTCAACATCAGTCACTGAGATAAGCTCACCTCCTCGGTCTTGCTGGCCTGGTTCTTCTTCCACTCGGAGATCTTGGCGGCCAGCTTTTCCACAGCAGCAGGGACATCGGACTGGTTCATGGGAGGGTCGATCTTGACCTTGGAGAACTCCTCGATGATACCAACGTTCATGTTGAACTTGGTGCTCTCAGCAGCAGGGGCAGCACCCTTCTTGCCACCCTTCTTGCCCTTCTTACCACCGGTACCAACAAAGTAGTCCTCCTGGTCGTCCTTGCGCACAACCTTCATACCCTTAATCTCAGCAGCCTCAACAGTCCGGCCGACTCCGGCGCGGAAGTTGCTGCCGGCATCCTTCTTCTCGTCCAAGCCGAGAGCGGCAAAGTTATAAGCAGGGTCAAAGTGACGGATAAGACCTTGGGCGGTAAGGATCTCATCATGGTAAGCGGGCTGCGAGGCCTCCTCGAGCTTCTTGTCAGCGACCTTCTTGCGCTTCTCGCGCTCAAAGGCCTCACGCTCAGTCTTCTGGCGCTCACGGCGCACGCGCCACGCCTCATCCTCGTACTCCTTGTAGGCACGGCGGGCCTTGTAGTAGGTGTCCTTGATAGTGCGAATGGCAGTGTACTTCTCCTGCTGGTCATTGCGCAGCTTGGTGCGCTCATCGCGCAGAGAGTTAAGGTTCTTGAAGACACCGTCCTGCTCGGCCTTGATGGCGTCGAGTTCCTTCTGGATCTCGCTATACTGGTCGCTCAAAGCCTTGGCCTCGGGGTTGTCCAGGGTCTTGCGCAATTCGGCAATCTGAGCCTTGAGCTCATCAATGCCCTTTTGGGCCTCGTCAAGGCCAGCGAAGCTCTTGCGCTGCTTGCGCAAAGTCGAGACATCGCTCAGGGCCTTGCGCTCGTCGACCAGACGAAGGGTACCGGAGTCAACCTGCTTCTCGAGACGGGCAATCTCGCGGTCAATCTCATCGACGCTCTTGAATGAAAGACGGCCGCGGGAGTTGTTCTGCTCGGCAATGCGGGCCTTGAGGTTCGAGTCCAGAGAGTTGATCTTCTCCTGGGTGCTGGAGCGGCTGGACTTGAAGCCGGATTGCTTCTGACGGATGGAGGAGAGTTGGGCACGGAGCTCCTGCTGCTTCTTGGCGGTAGGCGAATCCTTGTTGCTGGGCTGAGCGTTGTCAAGTTTGGCCTTGATTTGGTTCTGCGCAAATCAGTCAGAGGGGAAGCGGATACAACAATGGGCGACGGCATGTAATGGTGTGGGTCGAGATCATCGCAATGCTCTCAATTCCAATGTGAGGACAAGAATCTAAGAAAGTCATACCAACTTCTCTTGAGCAGCAGTGTGCTCCTTCTCAGCCTCGGCCAGACTGGCCTTGTAGGCAGCCTCATCGGGCTTGGTGGGCTTGACCCGGGGCTCCTCAGTAGAAGACATTCTCAAATGAAATGAAAGTAAAAGAAGAAAAGACCAGAAAAGACAAGACAAGAAAAGAAAACGATTCACCAAAAGAGGAGTAGAAAAGGGGAATTAATTTGGTTCGGTCGGTTTCTCCGCTTCGGTCGTTGGCAGAAAGTTCCCGCCGATTTTTCGACTTCACTTTCTCACCTTGGAGCTTCACCCGTTTTTCACTTATTTTGTTCAACACCGCAGTCATGGATGGCGAAACACACTCCGGCGAGGCCGAGCAGGAGATGACCCGGCTCTGGCGCACATTTAAGACAGTCTATGAATTGCTTGCGGACCGGGTAGGCACGCCTGATTCCCTTGGTCCTGAACCATGCTAATCATCGCATAAGGGCTACGAAGTATCTGAGGACGAGCTGGCCCTCGATCTGAATGAATTCCGCTCAAAATACTCCGACCCTCTGGGCTACCCTGAGTACGCGAAATCCCTGCCTCGCCTACAATTGAAGCGCGAGAAATCGCCAATTGAAAGAAAGCTAACAACCCTCTTCCAGCCGCACCAAGATGAAAATCCAAGCCCGCCCCACGGAAACCATGAAGATGAAGTACACACCACTTCCCAGCAAAGCAAACCCAAACCCGCAACCAGACTGCGGCACAATCTACGTTGATTTCTGCCCAGACGCCTCAGGCGTCGGAACCAAGCAAGTCCGCGCCTTCAACCACCTGGTCGACGAGAACAACTTCCACACCGGAATCTTCATCACGCAAACCCCGATCTCGCCCTCGGCCGTGCGCCTGCTGAGCGGAGTCCCTGGCCGCATCTGTGAGCACTTCCAAGAGCAGGATCTACTGGTCAACATCACCCGCCACGAGCTGGTGCCCAAGCACGTCCTGCTCAGCCCGGAGGAGAAGGCCCGTCTGCTCGAGCGCTACCGCCTGAAGGAGTCGCAGTTGCCCCGTATACAGGTGTCTGATCCTGTTGCGCGCTACCTTGGTCTGCGCCGTGGTCAGGTTGTTAAGATTATTCGCAAGAGTGAGACTGCCGGTCGGTATGCCAGTTACCGCTGGGTCATCTAAGCTTTTTTTCGTTGGAAAATTGGCGTAAAACGGGATTGGAGAATGATACACAGCTGCACCACTTCGAAATGGACCGATGCAGGCTTTTCTTTTTAGTATCTCTTTTCCATTTCCTTTTCTCTTTTCTTTGGGGGCTTGGTTCACGCCCGAGGGACCCAGTTCTGCTTCCAAGCTCGGGTTCCTCTGGAGCTACCTCTACATATCGCATCCGGTCCACTTCCACCATCTGAACCCTTCCAGCATGCTACCCTTCTCCTGGGCATACCAATACTGCGAGAGAAAGAGCAGCGCTGGATCAAGAAACAGTACCAAGCGAAGTGGACACCAGGGAGTTCTGTTATCTTTTTTTCTTTTTTTTTTCTTTTATTTTTGGTCCAATTTACGCCTACACAAAGATACAGTACTCGATTCTTGATACTCGATACTCAGAAAAAAAGTTCGGTCCACCCCCCTTGTATTATGGACAGCATGGCGTACAGGCGCGCAACGTTTCTCTATCTCTAGCTTTGGCTTCGGGTGGTTGCGGTTGATGGGGTTACCTGTTTCACATAGTTACGTTAATGGTTCCCCTTTTGTCGTCTAGATGAATTTGATCTATTATGAAGAGTCCATGAGATGTAGACAGTCCTGTCATAGTATAGATCTAGATCTGGAGCCTTTGTATTCTTATGTCAGGGTTATATGGCATCATGTGATCACGAATGAAGAATATCTGTTAAGTGTTCATTTCATTTCGTTCCATAGTATGGGCATATCATCTCAAATCTCAATATATGTAGGTGGTACACTATTAACAACCCCAGACTATCCAGACTCCAGTCCGGGGGTACATGAATTGCAATGCAATTGCAAAGGAAAGGTAACACCAAATATCAAATCAATATCCAACGCCACACTAAACAACGCAGTAACAGACACAGACACAGACGCAGCAGGGGGAATACAACAGAGACCAAAATATGGAAAAACAAAAACAGGTCCAAACAAGCCGAAAGAAACCCAAATGTAGTAGAAACAGGAAAGGCAAAGCCATATATGGGCATGGGTATGGGTATGTACCAGAACTCCTCCGCTTTCCAATTCTCCATAAGCATAAACAAGTAAAACAAAAAAAAAACAAAAAGGAAAGGCATTATGTCGTTTCGTAGATCATGATATCAACAAATGTCACGATCATGGTCACGGTCACGGTCACGGTCACGGTCACGTTTCTGATTCTGATGTGTTGAGAGCAGCCCACCAACATCTTGTAACTCGACATCTTTATCGAGGGTGATATCCGAAGAAGAGCAGTGTGCCGGAAGGATATGAGCGTGAGGCTGAGTCCGGGTCTGACTTTGAGAATGAGAATGAGAATGTAACTGAGGTCGAGGCTGAGAGTGAGGCAAAGTCATCGATCTCCCAAGGCCAGCCCCCCTCGAAGAAAACGGCGTGACAATGCCCAAATCTTCCAGGAAAGCCCGACTGCCACTTCTCCGCTGTGAAGCCTCAGCAGAAGGAGGCAGAGGAGCATGAACAGGGACAGCAGTATGGGAACTTGAATTCCCTCTCGCAAGAGAATCCCCAGGCAAAGCCCTAGTCAAAAGCCCACCCACATCCGAAAACGAAACCCGTCTCGACTGAGCACTTGACTCCCTCGGCGAAGTATTAGTCCGCAAATACTCTCGCGGACTAATTTTAATATCAAGACTATCGACCGCGGAAGCACGATCATCATCAGAACGGGTCGTAAACGACCAAGAGGGATCAATGGAGCCAGTGCGGGCGACCGCAAGCGGGATATTAGAAGGGAGGGCGGCAGGTGCAGGACGAGGAATCAGGGATCCATCAGCAGTCGAGGGATTGATACACGTATCCGGATCGAGACGGATGCACAGTCCAGAGGCTAGATCGGAGTCGCTGCCCCATTGGTTCTGCATCACTGTATTCCTCCGCACGAAGGATTTATCCATACTCTCTGAAACAGAGGCGGAGCCCTGATCGCGCTTGTATTTCAATTTCTTGACGCCGCGGTCTCGAACGAATGAGCCGATGACGAGGGCGTTCGAGACAGCTGTTGCGGCTAGAATTTCCAGACTTGCCAGGAGGGAACGGTATTGCTGGGAGCCTGCGTGGGCGATGACGGATGGGACGCGGTAGCAGGTGATGGCGACTAGGAAGAGGGAGAGGCAGAAGAGGATGATTAGGGCTAGTTTGCGCTTTAGGGGCATTTGGGCTAGCATGATGATTGGCACGGGGAAGGCAATTAGGAGGAGGTCCGTGATGACGTCGCAGGTGCCCATTGTTATTAGATTCACGTAGCCTGTTCGGCAGGTTGGGCCTGGGTCGGGGGTTACCTGCCAGTAGTGGTCGAAGGGTTGGCATTCTGCTAGGGTGGCGATGACCACGGCGGCTAGGGTTGAGATTAGGAAGAAGGTGATGAAGCGGAGGAAGATGGCGACCGAGCGGCGCCAGACGAGGCCTGTGACTCGCTTGAGGAATTCGCAGACTGTTACTTTTGCTGTCCAGATGCTGTATATATCGTAGATTAGCCCCAATTGACTCCATAGTGGGGAGAAGGGTAGACAGGAGGATCTCACAAGATAGCATAAAAGATCCGCGCAGCAAGCACAAGCTTACTCCCCAGCTCGCGGTTCCGAATATCCTGCTCAGTCAAGCCCGCAGTTGTGGTATTATTAGTACCAAGCACCAGCACGAAATGCACCAGCACCATGCGAATAACCAGCGGCACCACGCTGATCATGGCAACCTTATCCTCAGGAAAGAAGCGCTCCATACGAATGTACCGGCCACACAGACGGACAATGATAATGGCCAGCGAAAAGCCCGTCGCCCACCAGCTCATCATCAGAGTCGGATTGATCTGGTCTCTGGTCTGCATGGCGGGCGGGCTGTCTGGGTAAATGCCACGCGCCAAGATGGAAGCCATCGCGATGGCGACCCAACTGGATCGTTATCAGACACGCGAGTTCAGACTCGAATGTCGAGGTTCACGGTTGAGGTTTACATGGTCTGCACGTGCCGTGTGGGGGAGTGAACGGGGCAAAGTGGAAGCTATGGCGATCGTTTGATATTGATATGTAGGAGTCTCCAGGAGTCTCCAGGAGTCGAGTCTCCGAGCGAGAACCAAGAAGCAAGAACCAAGAACCAAAGAGGGGAAGCCGAGAGAAATAAGAGCCACAAATCACCACGAGTCATAACAGATAAGCCAAACAGCCAGTCAAGAACCAGTGATCGTATCCTCGCTAATCTTGCTCATTTCCTCTACTCTACTTGTCAGATCCCGGTAAGCGCCTCCTGTCAGACTTCACGTTCTCCCGTCTAGTTCACAATAGCAAGATGGAAGGATCAACTCAGGAGAAAGAAATAACCTCTCACTGCGTTAAGGCGCGAAGGAGCTCACCGTTGCGCGGATTCCGGCGGAGTTAACCTTTGGGGACGGAAAGGATCGGCCTTGGCTTCAAAGTGTAATAGATTGATGGTGAGCAGTGATTGACTTGGGCGGTTTGGGGATAGTTGGCTAGGTAAGGTAGATGGTTAGATGGTTAGAACAGGGGAAAGGGAGGGGATTACACGTGGACTATTGCCTAGATAAGCCGGTTACCAAGATACTATACAGGAATCCCGGTCTATGATAGGGTGCCTATATCCTTTCTACCTATCTATCTCTATATCAGGTGGCTGGCCCCCAAATCACACCCATGGCACTCGGGGCTCTGGACTCTGGGCCTCTTATCTACAGGGAACGAACAGACTCAATGGCTCCCCCAGCACGCAGCCCCCCCCAGTACGACCCGCAACTCCTGCAAAAACTTCGAAACCTCGTCTTCAGTACCGACCGTAATCCGCAAACATCCCTCACACCCAAGCTCCTTACCCCGGAATCGTACAACAACCCCACGTTTCTCCGCCATACCCTCGTAAGCCGCGAGCGCGGTCACGTTACACGGTCGGCCCTCAGCATTCAAAATCTGCACAAGCAAGAAATTGGCATCATACCCACCGAGGAACTTCCCCACACCCGGGATGGTAGGTAACGCGCTTAGCAAACGGTCGCGCTGGGCAATGATCTGCGCACGGTAGCGGCGCATAACAGCCATATTAGGGCCAGTAAGGGCGGCAGAAGCAAGCGCGCTGGTCGGGCTGGAGATATTGTAAGGGGCCTTGAGGCTATTAAGGAGACGGGCGATGTCAGGACTGGTGTAGGCGACGCCGAGACGGATACCTGCTAGACCGAAAGCCTTGCTGAGGGTTTGCATGACGACCAGATTCGGCCATTCGGTGACCCATTCCGCGAGGCTGGAGCCCTCGGGCGCGAAATCGATGTAGGCCTCGTCGACGACGACCACGCCGTTCCAGGTTGGGTGCTCGAGGACCTTGCGGATGTCTTCTTTGCGGATGAGGTTTGCAGTTGGGTTTCCGGGCGAGCAGATGTAGGCTAGTTTGATGGATGGGTCGGCTGTGAGGGCTTGGTGGATTTTCTCGGGTTGCAGGTGGAAGTTGTTGGAGGCGTCTAGGGGAACCTTGACAATCTCCACATCGTTCACTTGCGCGCTGACGCTGTACATGCCGTAGGTTGGGGGGCAGGTGAGGATTTTGTCTTTGCCTGGGACGCAGAAGCATCGTAGGAGGGCGTCGATGGCCTCGTCTGATCCGACGCCGCAGAACATGTGCTCTGGGAGGAGGGTTTTGGGGGTGTGGTGGTGGGTGTTTCGGAGGTTGCAGAATAGCTGCTTGAGTTCAATTTGGTGACTGGCTGTGTTAGACATGTACTGCTTGTCTGCGACGGGGCACTCACGGATCGGGGTAGCGGTTCAAGCCCAGGAAGTCGATCTCGGGCTTGGAGGCGCCCGTCGCATCGCCGGTCTGGGAGGCTTGCAAGGCGCCCTCGCTGTTCAGCGCAAGACCGGGCCCGAAGGCGTTCTCATTGGCGTCGAGGAGCACATTCGTCCCATCATCTTTGTAGTCACTGACTCGTTAGCTGGGTTCGGTCCGATATCGGGTCGACGTACTCTCGGGCGCATCGGTATGGCTGCAATGCGAGGATATTAGGGCGGGCGCAAGTGGCCAGGTTGAATGGTGACGAAGCCATTGTGTGTGAAGGATGTACAGTGAAGAAGTTGGTGGGGTGGCGGGGAATTTATCGGAGATGAGAGCGGAACACTGCAATATGAGTCAATGCTGCATCTATACTCTCCAGGGTACCCATTGGATTGGACATATCCACCACTATATATAGATATTGTTCAATTCATTTGACCGATTCTATTATAATTGTACTCTAAAATAAATTCTATTTACATCTAAGCCTAGACTTAACTCGAAAATAGCTTCGATACAGCCGTGTCAAACAACGTTGATAGCATGAATAACATCTCGATAAGGTCTAAAGTAAAATAATAACTTCTCTAAAGTTTCTCAAAGACCTCAACAGCAGCCTTAGCAGTAGAACTGGCACTAGCAGGGTTCTGCCCAGTAACAAGGCGGCCATCAACAACATGGAAGTCATCCCAAATACCAGTAGAGCGCTCATCTGTCCAAAAAAAAGTCAGCAAACATCCAAAAAAAAAAAAAAAAATACTCCAATGAAAAAGGCAACTCACACTTAGCACCAAGACGAGCAGCAATCTCCTCACAAAGCTCAACATTCCAACTCTTCAAATCTCCAATAATACCCATAGTATTCTCCGCCTCAGTAGTGAAACCAGTAAGTCTCCGACCCTGAATAACAGGCTTTCCAGTCTCACGATCAAGGATATTGGCAAAGATAGCAGGACCGTGACAGACAGAAGCAACAACACCACCACTAGCCCAGACCTGCTCAGCGATCTTCTGCAGCGAGGTCGCAGTTGGGTAATCGATCAGAGCGGCGTGGCCGGCGGAGGCATAGAAAACTCCGTATTGGGATGCATTCAGGTCGACAGCTTTGGGCATGTTGTCCAGCTTCTTGCGGAACTCGCTGTTAGTGTCGTTCCAGATTGCCAGGTCGTCGCCGTTGAGGAAGTCGGGTGTTTGGGAGAGCCAGTCGGCGGTGTAGGTGCCTGTCTCTGAGGCGAGGTCGACTTCGAAGCCCGCGGCTACGAGGACATTGTAGGGGTGTAGGGCTTCGGTGATGAAGAGGCCTGTTGTTTCCTTGTTTAGGGTGGCTTTGGCTGAGGTGATGGCGATGAGGGCTTTGCGAGCGGGAGACATTTTGAGATTCAAGGTGGGTGGTTTTTGGTTGTTGGAATTGGGTGTCAAGATGAAGAGTTGAGTTGTTCTGGAGGATGCTGATGAGATTCTGGGACTGGTAGATCATCTGGTATTTATGTCCAGCTTCATCTGCTTGTATGGTATAATCTGGTCCGTGCGGATGAACTCCGCAACTCCGCAACTTCACCACCACTCCGCGACTCCGTCAATCTGTGGGAAGTGCCTGTTTCAACCCTGAATCATTAGTGGAGAGACAGTTAGTGTATGCATTCAATCAGAGTTTACTAGAGCTCCGCATTCTGTCCCCAGAGCTACGTGGTCACCAATATTGAGACTCCGCAACTCCGACCCATCTATGGCTTCAACCTGGAATTTTCATAGTCATGATTTGTCATTGTAGGATTGGTCATTATGAATGAAAGGTTAGATCCTCACATCTCCGATTGGTATTGAGGCATATTGTCAGCTTCTGGCCAGAGCGCATCGAGATTGTTCCAGAAATCTACATCAACCGCCATGTCAAACAAGCTCAAATCCGGTGCCAGATCATTGGTGTAGGAGCTCCAATCTCGTATTGATGAACTTGAAGAAGCATCAAAGGATAGCCCTGGCAGAATACTCATAGAATCATCCATAGAGATAGTTTGGAGGCCATTCAAAGGATCAGGTTGGGACTGATTATACTTTGCTAGGAAGTCAATCTTGGCACATAGATCCCGCATAATTTTGGCTGCATTCGCCGCAACAGAGAACTTTGCACCGAAGTTGTCAAATACATCGACTGCTAGGTCGATTGCATTCCTGGCTTCGATGGTCAATGGTGCATCCGGATATACCATGACAAATCCACTCAGTGTCATAGCCGCATTCCATTGGCAGTGAAAGGCCTCATGCCACCCGTCGAGGATGGAAGTGTCTGCAAGGACTTGTTGCGTAATCTTCGATAGCATGATAGCGTGGGAAGCACAGCGCATAGCGATCTCCTCCGCCCGAGATCCTGGCGACGGCTTGGAAGAGAAGGAAAGCAGCGGTCGGTATAGGTTGATACTGAGGTGGTGATAGGAGTGTTCGAGGAGGACGCGTTGCCGCTGGAGCCAGAGTGGAGCGAACTGCTCGATTAACAGACGTGTACCATCCGTCGAAAGAGGCCTGCCGTTATTCTGACGCTTCAGCTTTAGAGCCTCTGGTATACTGTTGCTCCATTCTTTCAGGATCTGGATATGTGGGAATAAAACCTCCGCGCTGGCTTGCAGGGCATGAGGATTATCCCATATCACCTGGCCATCCCGCAAGTGAAGTTCCTGGTCGTAAAAGCTCGTGTAGGCAGCTCGTGCTTTGATGTATAGCTCCGTCTGGTGGAGATTATAACTCAGCCAGGTAGAGTTGTCGCCAATGGGCGCAAAAGCAGAGCCCGACATTCTTGCAGCATCGAAGCTGTCGCTAGGTAGACATGGCATGACATGAGAGTCACGCAACAAGAACGGGCGACCAAGCTTCATTCCGACTTTGCTATCCATAAGATAGACCGCCCACCATAATCGTCGCCGCATCTCGCGGTCTTGCTCAGTCATGCTCGGCGAGGGGTCCAAATGAAGGCCCAGAGCGTAAGCTGTGCGCACGGCTTGACCAATTGAATTGTCCAACATATTGTGGAAAGATCCACCGCACAGATAAACTGAACAGAGTAGATGGCATTGCAGTGTTGAAAGAGAAGGACTTTCAAGCTCGTATGTGAGCAGTGTCTGTCCACGCCAAAAGTGCCATCGGCCGGCGACCAAGGCATCTTTGCCTTCTACCAGGCACCCCTGGGTGTCTGATGGCAGAGCTGAAATGCCATGTTGCATACACATGGCAATGATAACATCGACTAGGGCTGATGGCTTTCGTTCTTTGTCACCAGACACCCACAGAGACTGGTAATGCTTCTTGAATTGGGTTTCATCCAGCAATGGGAATAAAGAGGTGTGATAAGTCTGCCAAAAGAAGTTGATAAAATACTCCTCTTGTATCGGACTTAGATAGACACCGGCATTGGAGAGTTTCCCCGTTGAGACCAGCCGACGGACTGGGTCTACGTCGGGGCCCTCTGGTCTGTCCAGCAATTTATTGTCGCTTGCCGAGATGGGGAATAAATTATTTGCAGAATGCGTCTGTTGAAGATTGAGACTGAGATACACGCTGAGACGTTGTATGAAAGAATGTAGTGATGACGGGCCAAGCCATGTCACATTGGATGATCGCGCAGGGCGAAGCTGTATGCCGCCCCAGTATTTTTTCAAATCACCCGAATCTGCAATTTCAGAGCTTCTCGATGAAAAGACATGAGGTGGCGACGATGCAGAGCCTGTTGGCGTGGGAAGATTATTGCCCTCGTTGGACCGCTGTTCGAGTTCGGCTTCCAGGTGCTGGACTCTCTGCTTCAGCCACTCAATCTCTTCGGAGGCTTGGGTGAGCGTGGATGCTTTGGGCGCACCACTATTGCTGCATATTCGGCCCTTTGCTGTACAATTTGAACATGGAACTTTGTTATCGCACTTTCTGCGTCGTAGTCGGCATTCATCGCATGCTCTAGCCACCTGGACCCGCTTCTGGCGCCGGGATGCCTTTTGATGCCCCGGAAGCCCAGGCACCGAACCGCTCGGCCTGGTAGTCATGGAACGTCACTGGATAAGCCGGGAGACTGAGACAGACGTTGCCAAGATGTACATCCTGGAAGTGAGCAGCACTCGGATACTCCAATCAGTGGAGACACGTGACGGCCTCTCCGCAGCCCTTCCCAATCGGGAATATTTTCTATAAATTGGCTTCTTCCAGTCATCGGCTTGGCTCTACTCGTTGTTCTAGTGTGTTTCAAAATGCTCTGGATATCAAGGTTGTCCGGAAATAGAAAGTCCCGGTTATTTGAGGAAACCACTTATACAGAAGTATAAATTTGTTTGGCTCCTGAGCATAAGCTATTAAAATTTCCAAGATCAACCAAATAATTATTTTATCATTTAATCTCCATTTAATGCGAGGAAAAGTGTTCGAAAGATCCAGTGACACAAACAGGAAATTCTATACATCCTGAAACAGGAGCCACTCGATCAACAAATAAACCACATACTCCTCAATCCCATTATAGTATGAAATATCAAATCAACAGATATGATATCATCCCCGATAGAATTGCCACAGCAAATTCAACAGAAGAGCCATAGCACCAACGAGAATAGCTATAAAACATCATCAAATCAGCCATAAGACCCAACAAGAAGCAACATGAGAAAAACAAACCTTCCTTCCCCCAAACCCCAAGCACCCTAACAACCTTCCTCTTCCCCTGCATCCTAAACCAAGTAGGCATCAAATCCGTCCGACAAGTTCCCCCATCAACAACAACACAACCACCCCTAGACCGACGACACTCAAGGTGCCAACGACGGCGCTCCATAATGCGACGAACACGCTCATTGCAAAAAGATTCATCAGTGCGGAACGAGCATTTCTCCATGGGACATTCGAGCTTGCGCTCAAATCGCTCGAGCAACCAGTCCACTTTGAGATGCACGCCTGTATAGACTATTGAGTAGAAATGGCGACTGCTGTGTTTTAGGGCTAGGGCGTCTGGGTAGGAGAGGTATGTGCTTATTTGGATGTGGAGTTCTGATGGGAGGGTCATCAGCTTTGACCGGTTGTTGAGGGATGCCATTCGCATTGTCGGGTCTGGCGTTATCATGGTTGTTGATATGTTAGATGGATGATTGATATGTTTTGAGACGTGCCTGTTTATATTACTTGGCGAATAGGCGGGTGCCTAATGCTCCAGGTTCCACGTGTATGTTTGAAAGCGATTGGAGCCATAGTCTTTTTTCTAATACAGAATTGGGATATTTGACTCGATCAAGTTGATGCGGCTGCCTATTGCAATGCTTATGTCGTGTTCATTGCGTGGATCCTGCTTACTTCATGGTCTAAGCAACGCCCAAGTTCCTGACAAGAGACAAAATTACCGTAACATTATCAGCAGGAAGAATCATAAATAATCACATTATTGAGCCGATATCAAGTTAAAAGAGACAGAGGCTATTTAAATCAACATTGATTGAACTAGTAGGCCTCAAATCGTGTTTTAGTTCCTCCACCTGCGTGACACTTTCAACAAAAGTAGCGCCATACTCTCTCATGATCTGTATCTTCTCCTCCATATTCATCGCTAAACTCATTTTTCCAAAATCGCTTGGCAGTTGAAGCGGCCCATGGTTTGTTGCCAGAGAGTTGGTAGAAAGTTGAGGGTCATGGCGACGAGCATGCTGCTAAACCTCATGTTTCAATAATAAGGCCACAAACAGGGAAACACCGATGTTGGGTATTGCATGGCTCGACCTCAGAAGCTCATGAGCGCGCTCTCAGGGTCACGTAGATGACCGTTTCAATATGTCGGTTTTAGTACCCGCTTATGTAATCATCACTATCAATCCAATCTCGAGCTTCGACTCCAACTTAGAGATCGCCACTCACTAAACCTCCACCTCCAAACCCCGTTCAAAATCTAATCAATCCACAAAAAAGACACAGCCATGTCCGGCCCAAACGCCTACGGCACCCCGGTGTCCGACACAGCGTTCCGCAAAACATGGGACCGAGAAGAATACACGAAAAAAGCCGCGGACGAAGAAGCCAAGCGCAAAGCTGAAGGCAAAGCACGATACGAAGCCAAACTCCTAGGCAAGAAATACCATGCACCCGTCGACCTCAGCACACTCGAAGCGACGACAGCTCGAAACCAGCGGCTGGACGTTGCCTCGATGGTGGGCAAAACGACGATTGTGCCAGCCGGCGCGTCAATGGGCAAGCGCGGTGCCGGTGCTGGATTCTACTGCAAAGATTGTGATCTTACATTCAAGGATAACCTGCAGCTTGTGGAGCATTTGAATAGCAAGCAGCATTTGATTGCGACGGGGCAGAGTGGAGAGGTGAAGCGGGCTACTGTTGAAGAGGTGCGGATGCGGTTGCGGGCGTTGGCGCATCGGAAGAGGGTTCGCGATGAGGAGGAGCGGAAGGCTTGGCAGCTTGATCTTGGGGTTCGGTTGAAGGAGCGAGAGGAGCAGGACGCTAAGGAGAGGGAGGAGAAGAGGCGCAAGCGGACTGAGAAGCGGAGGAAGGTTAAACAGGAGGATGATAGCTGGGAGGGACGGTTGGGCATTATTTCTTGAGAGCTGTGTTTTGTCCTAGGGGTTGCGTTCTACATTTGATACCCATGGTGTTATGGCATGTTTCTTTTCTGTTTACTAGCATGTTCTTCAATGTGCAATAAAACTGCACTGTAAAATTCAAATTGAGACCGAAAGATTCAACAATGATTCCCAACGCCTACCATGCAAATTCATATCATCCAGAATATTGTGGTATCACTCATAAGTTAGTCGATGCACTCGATCGCTTCTATCCGTTGCATTGCTCGGCCGCCTTCCTTCTCAAATTGACCGACAAGTCGCTCACATTCTCTTTTCAAGCGTTCTTCGCCGTTCTTCGCATTCCATGCGATCCATTCCTGGACCGTCATCTTCTTCTCCGGGCTGGTCAGTCCGCCCTTAACACCCCTGAAAAGGCTAGCCAGGTCGGCATTCTCCTTGTCGCTGTTGTCTCCGAAGAGAGCCTCATCGATATCAATTGGAGTCCACGGATGACCCGAAGGCCCGAATCCAGCATTGACATTCCGCTTAGATGGAGACGGAGTACTAGCTGTCAGAGTGGCTCGGAACTTGGGCTCCTTGGGTGTTGATTGATCATTTGCACGAGATGCCGAAGGTCGTGACGATGGAGGTCTGTTCTCAGCATCGGATGACTGCGGAGACATGGAAGGCGTACTCCGGTGAGTCGATGGCAGTGGAGAGACAGCCCGGTCAGATTGTCGAGAGTTGCGCATATCATGAGGGGAAGAATGAGCGATGGTTTCCGCGAGGTGCTCTTCCTGGGGAATATCACTATATCTTTTCGCGGTTTTTGGTGGCAAGTTGGGTGTTGTTCGATGCGATCGTTGTTGCTGTGGAGAAGACTCTGGAGGAGGCTGGACTAACTCAATCTGATCAGGCAAATCATCCGCTGTCTCAAATCCATCATCCTGTTCGTCAACGGATGGCTCGATCTCATGTTCCACGATTGGGGATTCGGGAGGCGGAGGTGGCTCTTTCTTCTCAGCTTTCTTGGACTTCTTCTCCTTGGGTGCCGGTACGTCTTTCTTCTTGGAGCCTTTCTTCTTCGACTTAGCAACAGATTCTTCAGGTTGCTGTGCGGATTCTTCAGGTTTAGGTGAAGGCCCAGGCTCTTTGTTAATGATTTCCACAGAGATAAAAGATTCATGGCGCTCCGGCTCATATCTATCATCGGCTACCATAGGTTCCAAAAATTCCTGGGGTTCTGGTGACTCTGCTTTTGGCTCTTCGGCCTTGGCCTTCTTTGTTCCCTTCTTCTTGGATCCCTTGGCCGTCTTGGTCTTGGGAGGTGGCGGCTCAGGTACCTCCTCGGGGGCTGGCTCGGCTTGAAGTTCCGTATGATCCTCCTCAGCCGCATGGTCCATTTGCTCCCGCGGGATGGGCTCGGGGGACTTTGCCACAGCCTTGGATTTTTTGGTTGTTTTGGACTTCTTAGAAGCATGTGGCTGCTCTGGCTCCTGCTCTGGCTTGGGTTCAGGTTGAGCCTCAACAGGTTCGGGATCAGCATCGAGGCCTGCTTCGATTTCTGCTTCTATCTCCGAATCGCGAGGAGCACGAGCCTTTGAAGTAGGTTTTGATGCAACGGAGACATCAGAGACCTTACGGGCCTTGGAAGCTTTCTTCTTTGTGGGCTTGCGACCCCTCCTTGTTTCTTCCTCCGAAGCACCGTCATCCACCGTGTCTGCATCAGGCATTGCTGAGTCACTGCGTTCGTAGTTGTAATTACGAGAAATGCTGCTGCTTCGTGTTCTTGTTGCCCGTCTCTTGGCAGGGGGTTCTTCAGCCGGCTGTACCTGCTCTGGTTTCTCCGAAGCAATTGGCTCTAGGTCATATTCTTCCTTGCTGATATCCTCACTGGCCCTCTTCTTTCCCCGGCCTATACGTTTGGCCTTGGCAGGCTCTGGCTCAGCAACCTCTGCACTTTCGGTCTCTATTTCGACCTCCGCTTGTTCTTCCTTCTTGCTTTTAGCTCCCTTGCCCTTTCCTTTGGGTGCCTTCTTTGTAGGTTTCGATTTCGTAGTAGATTGGGACATCATGCTCTGGTCCATTGAGTCGTCCATATCGACCTCGGGCGTTTCGGAGGCAACTGTGCCAACTGACTGAGTCGAAAGACGAGATGTTGCTTTGGAAACACGAGATTTCTTAGCACGTCCTTTGCCCTTCTTTCCTGGGGGCTGGGCGAACACAAAGAATGAACAATCTGAAGAGCGGCGGTAATGTTCCTCACTGAATAAGTTAGCAAGATTCATCCGGAAAGAGCGATGGGAACTGACAAAGGATCATCCTTGGGCTCCCATCCGTCCAGAGACAACTTGCAATAAGCGCAGCTGGCCAGATCGTTGCTCTCTTCCGTCGGACAAAAATACCATCCACCCTCAACCATCTGTACTATTGTGAGCTAAGTAACAAGCAGTTTGACTTGGCGCATTACCTTCTCTGACTGGCATACCCAGCCTCGTTTCCCATCATGTGGCCAGGCTGACCCGAATGTCGACGCTCGTGCTTGTGTGATACGCTCGTTTGTGGGGTCTTCGATAGAAGAAGGGTTGGAACTGTTTTGTTGAATGTCCATCATAATGGCCCATCCACAGTCAGGCGCATGCTTGAGATGTTCGGTGATGGGGTTGTCTTCCTCCTCCCAGCCATCTAGCGCCCTGTGACATTCGAAACATGTTGTGTTGTCGGGATTCGTCTCGTATGGCTTGTAGAAGAACCCGGCGTGCGCCAACTAGAACTCCGTCAGTCGATTATATAAGGACTAATGCACATAGTCATAGTGCCTCCGAGGTTGTGCGCACCTCAGCTGGCGAAGGTCGCTGATGCGGCCATGTAATCGCCTTTGGTGTCTTTGCGCCGGAAGATCTGCGTTTCTCAGGCTTCAACACAAGATCAAAGCTGGCCAGGCGAGCGGCGAAAGTGTCCATTTCGGAACCCATGGCGAGATATCAAGCTATTTGAGATAATTCTCCCCAATATGTGACATGCAAGGACGCCTTGGTGGGGGACTTAGTGGGTTGTCGAAAGTGTGTTGTTGATTCTCCGCGTCTGTTTACTCCGTTGTTATGGCGCGCGTAGTCACATGATGCATTACTCAGCATCCGAAGTGGAAGCAGGATGGCGTACGTCAGACCCGGAAATGTTGACGACCTCAATCCCTTTGCCTTTCTCTCTTGTTGGGATATCAATGTTCTGAACTGATCCTATTTTTGCGCTCTGCGCCCCGTTCCCTACCACTCCACTCACAAATATGCCGGGAGTAACAGTACGTTCGATCTCGCTCGGCCCGAGGATCTCACTAACTTATCGGCTAGATGATTGCTTCTCGGAGAGCCAGCTCCAGCTTCATCTGGCGCTCGCGTACCCTCCTTTCGTCTCCCTCTTTCGTTCCTGCGTCGGCCCGCTGCCTGTCGATCAATTGTCGCCCGACCACCCTCCATAGCCGACTGTCGGCGAACCACAGCTCATTGACATCGCATCTGTTATGCAAGACTACCACCAGCCGTTCATCCGCCTCCTTCTCAACATCTACCTCTTCTTTGCTTCCCGACTCGGACTGGGACCATAACCCGAATTTGGCAATCTCTAACTTCTCGGAACTACCCTCGAAGGATTTCGGAGTTAACCAGCATATGATTATAAACCAAGAGTTTAAAGAAGCACTGCGACAGATCCTTTGGCAATTCAAAGCGCCAATTCGATATGCATTTGCCTATGGATCGGGTGTGTTCCCTCAGAATGGAAGTGCAGCACCGGCCAGCTCATTACATCCTTCGGCACCTACGGCCATTTCAAATATGCAACAAGGCTCCGGAAAGATGATTGACTTCATTTTTGGAGTTTCATACTCCCAGCATTGGCATGACTTGAATCTGCACCAGCATAGGGATCATTATTCTGGTATGGGCTCTCTTGGGTCGTACATGGTTTCCCAGGTGCAGGACAAGTTCGGGGCTGGCGTCTACTTCCATCCTTATATTACCGTTAACGGCACGATGATCAAGTATGGAGTGGTTAACTTGGATACATTATGTCGAGACCTTACCCAGTGGGATACTCTGTATCTTGCTGGTCGGCTACACAAGCCCGTGAAGATCTTGCGGGACCACCCTAAGGTGCGATTAGCGAACCAGATGAACTTGCTGTCTGCCCTACGAGTCGCACTTCTCTTGCTACCTGAGCGATTCAGCGAGTTCGAGCTTTACAGCACAATTGCCGGTATGAGCTACATGGGAGATTTGCGCATGGCTCTCCCGGCTGAAGACCCCGGCAAGGTGCGCAACATCGTCTCGGGACAGATGGCACACTTCCGCCGGTTATACGCGCCGCTCATTGAGAATCTTCCCAATGTCACATTCCAAGACCCCCGCTGCAGTAGTGAAGATTGGATCGATGACCCGAACGCCATCCTCGCCATGGCGCAGGATATGGATCCAGTGAAGCGTGGCAACATGGTTCGTCGCTTGCCAGAATCATTCCGTCAGAAGCTGTACTTCCAGTACCAGTCTCGCTTCCAGATCCCGCGGGTCGACTTCGACAAAATGATGAAAGAAAACAAAGATGCTCAAGATATTATTCGCCGGCCCCAGGGAGGTCCTTTTGAACAGCGGATTGCCGGAGATGATTCTCTCCAGGAGGAAGTCTCTAGGTCCATTGAGAAGACCATCCGCTGGCCAAGTACTGTGCAGACCATTAAAGCGCCCCTGACTGCAGGTCTCGGCAAGAGCTGGACCTACATGAAGGAAAAGCGAGACAAGCACAAGAAGTCACAAAGCAAGGTGGATTCGAGTGAGAAGCCGGAGAGCAAGAAAAAATAAATGTTCAAACGCATATCTTAAGAAATAGCCCTACTTGAGGCATACGGAGGCGTTGTGGATTTTTGTGACCTATGTATCAAAATCATCAATGCATCGGCAGGAAATATCTGACCCAATACATACAGACTACATAGATTTCAATTCAATCTGTCAAATAATCTAAATCCAGTAGATCGTAAGTTGAAACCCCAGCTTTGACTTGGATTGGATCGACGAACCACGGACCCACATGGTGCAACAACCTTAACTTAGTGCTTCTGGGTGCAAGCATATGTAATCGCTATCCTTAGACCATTGTACTGTCGGTATGGAGTACTTGTCTTCTACTTACCTTGTATAGAATTTGCCCTCATAATCTGGATTGTTGTCAGGAGTACCTGTTGAGTTACATAAATGACGTGAACATTGAATGACTTGCATTCTGGGTAGCACCAGAGGTTTTCACTGGAGTATCTTGGATTGGAATTGGTCTGAGTTGTTAATATCTTGACAATAAGAGCCATAAAATAGTTCCTCAAAGAGCAATGGCAAGTAGCTGTTCTGTTTCCCTAATGCACAAACTAGGTTACCTTGTTTCAGAGGCATTGTAATTAAACATGCAACAAAGCTGCTCATGAAAGACTGAAACAAGAAAATAGCATATTATACACAAAAGTGCCAGTTCGTGATACTTACTGCCAAGGATGTCTAAGTAGATGTGAAGTTGAGACCCCAATCCGGATCTACCCACTGACGTCACATTGACGATTCTATGTATACTTCCAAGAAAGCTGCAAAGCTCTGCCTATATATGTATGCAATCCCCACCAATTCTCTGCTTAAATTCTTCACTCTATCACCTCTCTTCTCCAATCGAACATTGAACAAACATGTCTGCCGACGCTTCCATCAACACCTCCACGGGCAACCACCCCGTGGACCCCTATAAGACCCAGAACTTCGAGGACCCTCCTCTCCCCCAGAAGATCGAAGAACTCACCAAGTTCATCTCCGAAGTAAAATTTGGCATGTTGACCACCCACCAATCAGAGGGTGACTATCTAGCCTCACGATGCATGGCCCTCGCCGCACAGGTATGATAACAGCCTGTTTCAGTTCACAAACACATACTAAACAAACCAATTTCAACAGGAAAACGGCGGCATTGACCTAATCTTCCATACAAACCTTTTCTCCGGCAAAACAATGGATCTAACCGTCCACCCTAAGGAAGTAAACATGTCCTTCCTCGACCCAGTCAGCGGCGCCTGGGCCTCAATTTCAGGAACAGCATCAGTAGTCAGCGACGCAGCTGTGGTGGAGAAGTACTACTCACCCATGCTGAAGGCCTGGATTGGCGACATGGGCGATGGCGTGCACGACGGCGGCCCGTCCGATCCTCGCATTGGCGTTATCAAGCTGGAAGCGAAGCTTGCTACGCATGTTGTTGCCGCAAAGGGGGTTATCGGACGTGCTTATGATACTGTGAAGGGCGCTGTGCAGGGTAATGTGCCTCATATTAATGGAATCCGGGAGTTGACTGAGCAGGAATTGGCTGAGTGTATGTTCCAATGCTCGTCTTTGTTGTGTTGTTTTTGAATGTTGTTTGCTAACTTTGATGACTATAGGGCGCCGTACGCATCAGAACTAGGGGTTTTATATCTACTATAAGCCGGAATGGCTTGGCTTGAGTTACGTTGCATGACTTATGAGATATTCATTATCAATCTATGACTTGACTACTTTGGTTGTCATCATATTCGCATTATCACCTTGTTTCTTACCGTTCAGGTTGTAGCTCTGTAACAACTATATAGTTTTGTGTGTAGATCAATATCGCGTTTGCTACCAAGAGGGATCAATGGGTCTGTATACAGTTCTATAAAGAATTGAGCTGCAATCAGAAGTAGGATCTTGTGCCTTGTCCCAACCCAGCGCTGGATGATGTGGACTCGTTATAGACGGTAGGACTACTGGGGAGTAGACTGCCTCGGTCGATGCACTCGAGGCATCTTCTGAAGGTAAATTTACTGAAGACTGACTACATTGTTTACGAAAGGATAAGTTTTGAGATCAAGACTCCTCGGAACTGATAGGTCTGGTGATGGTATGAAGACTAATAGCCGTGACCAAGGCAAATAAAGGAGCTCACTCTCCCCACTACCACAAACAAAAACAATTAACGTTACAGACAAAATCCAAGAAAGCAAATCCTGGGTATCTCCTTAGCTGACCGCAAACTCCCGCTACTGAGCGTAAATCATTAAATGGCGTCATACGACGCCCGACTAAGGCAGGCCGCCCTTAGATAAGCACCAGAGGAAAACTGGCAGGAAGTCGGCCATTATGCAGCAGCATGGCTGTCTGCGCCCGGGGGGTGGCCTGCAGCTTGCGGTAGGCCTCGCGCACATGGCGGGGCTCAATGGGGGTACGACCCTCCTCAGGGGGGTCGAACAGACCGGTCTCGCGCTTACGTTTCTTCAGGTCCTCGCCGGCGTCGGCGCCACCGCGGCGGTTCTTCTCGTTGTCTTCGCGCTCCTTCACGCGGAGAGCCTGCTCAGTCAGGGTCTGGACAATCTCAAAGGTAAGGAAGCCGAGGATGTCAACAATGTCGTCGTTAGGCTTGGACTCGGTCACAACTCCGAATCCGGCCCACTCGCGGAACCGCTTGCTCTTACGGTAGGTAAAGGATGCCTGGCGGCACTCAGACCAGAAGACATACTCCTCCTTGGTCATGTTGCGGGTGCGCTCGTCGGCGGCGGCCAGACGCTGGAGGGTGGCGTAGTTCTGCTCTTCCTCTTCTTCGTCCTCCTCGTCCTCGCGCTCGGGAATCTGGACCGAGTAAAAGCTGTTAACGTCCCAGGCAAGTCCGACTTTGGCCTTCTTGTTCTTGGGCTTCGAGGCCACATCCTGAGGACCAGCAACAACTCCAGCTGCATCGTCGGCAGCGGCAAAGTCGGCGGCGTCACCACCGCCCTTGTCGTCGGAGTCCTTGACATTCTTGCGAACATCCTTCCAGGAGAGGAAAGTTCGGAGGCGAGAGACCTTGGCCTTGTCGTGGCGGATCAAAAAGATAAGGTCATCGGTGGAGATGGAGCGCACTCCACGGCGAGTTGCCAAAGAGGTGCTGCGAGAGAGCTAGAGCAGTGTTAATAAACAGTGCGTCAAATATATAAATAAAAGTACTGACAATTTCAAGGACCTGCTGGCGAGTGATTTCTTCAATCAAAGTAGTGGTCTCAGCGGACGGCTCAGCAGTTTCTCCAGAAACAAACATCATCTTCGCAATTGAAGTTAGCGTTTCACGTGAGGTAAATTTATGTCCCATGTTGATGTTCTGGTTTCCATGGGTTCCCTCCTGATTGTTGGCGTTGCTGGGGTTGTTTCCGATGCCGGCGATAGACGCATGGCTGTTGCGCATAGTGAGGTACATCTACGAGATGAAGTTCCTAGCAAACACTAGTCGAGCAACGGCTTTTCGGTCTGCCCCGAGGCAAATTTTGACATCCGGGCAATGCCATATTGCATATCGAGACAATTGCAACGTATTCACAATGCAACGAATATGCTTCGGCTCTCAAGCCTCTTGGCGCGGCAAGGCCGCATTTGACATGCTCAAATGATCATCCAATATGTGAGATAGATCGAGACTTGGTATGAGATGTCCAGCGAAAGAGCAAAGCTTATGACTTTCTTATGCAGTGGTAGCATATCGAAGCGAAGCAAGACCGAAAACAGAGGACGCGCCGAGGGGAAGTCGGGATGTCGTCGGCACAAAGACAACACCGAAATGTGAAGTTGGCCAGGTAGGCAGGGTTTTGTACGCGATATTGGTCAAGGTGGTCGGTGCATTAGTCGTGCATGGGCATGGATTGCATGCCACGCGGAGCAATCGCAAAGTGGAGAGTCGTGACAGGCACCTCGTCGGCGCTAGAAACTCAAATCCAACAACCAAGAAGCTTACCCAGAAACCAGAGACACGAGGGGTAAACTGAACTAGCTGAAAATAACTCACCTGCTGGATCTCCTGACGGTACTTGGGGTTTCGATCAGACATGATGATATGGGGGAACCCTTCCGGTGGGAATTGAGATGGAATGAGGGATGAAAGAAGAAGGTACGTGCCAATCTCTGAAACGAATCAGCCAGAAAGAAGAGGAGCCACAATTGCAACTCCGAGGATGCAGCGAGGGTGCAGCGAGAGTTCAAGAAGGAAGATGCGGAGGCTCGAAAGTTGGAGATCCGATAGCGATAGCCCGATAACGGTGATACCTTTACCCGGCGGTGTCACAATTCTGCCGGTTTCGCGGGGCATGGTTCACTTTTTTATTTCTATGGGCTGTGCTGTTCAATTTATACTACGTTGTCTTCTTCAATTATTTAATTGAGCTCTACTTGGATCAAATTGTTCAATTGTTTATCACACAGACAATATGCTGCACCTCGTTGGTCTCGGTCTCGCCGATGAGACTGATATCACTGTCCGCGGTCTGGAGATCGTAAAGAAGGCCGAGCGAGTCTATTTGGAGGCATACACTAGCATCCTGCTTGTCGACAAGTCCAAGCTGGTGAGTTGATTATATTCTAGCCCTGATGGTCATTATGGCTATATTGAACATAGTTCCTAACCACCATGAACCAACAGGAAGCATTCTACGGCCGCCCCGTCATTGAGGCCGACAGAGAACTCGTCGAAACCGGCAGTGATGACATACTTGCTGGCGCCGACAAAGCAGACATCGTCTTCCTAGTCGTCGGCGATCCATTCGGGTAAGAAACCCCCAAAACACCATCTACAAATACGCATACAACTACAACCCCCAACCAAAACATTTAACTAAGCCAATCCACTCTCCAGCGCAACAACCCACACAGACCTCGTCCTCCGCGCGCGCGAACTCAACATCGAAACAAAAGTCGTCCCCAATGCCTCAATCATGTCCGGAATCGGGTGCACAGGACTGCAACTGTACAACTTCGGCCAAACAGTAAGCATGGTATTCTTCACAGAGAACTGGAAGCCCAGCTCCTATTACGACCGAGTGAAAGAGAACGTCCAGATGGGCTTGCACACACTCGTACTGCTAGACATCAAAGTGAAAGAGCAATCGCTTGAGAACATGGCTCGCGGTCGACGGATCTACGAGCCGCCTCGTTATATGACTGTTGCACAGTGTGCAGCTCAGATGCTCGAGACTGAGGAGGAGAGAAAGGAGGGTATTTATGGGCCTGATAGTCTTGCTGTGGGTGCTGCGCGGGTTGGGGCTGCTAATCAGCAGCTTGTTTCCGGTACGCTTAAGGAGTTGGCTGGTGTTGAGATGGGGGCGCCATTGCATAGTCTTGTTCTTCTTGGGCGGAGGACGCACGATCTTGAGCGGGATTATATTCGGGAGTATGCTGTTGATAAGGAGACTTTTGATGCTAGTTATGTGAAGGGGTATGGGGCTAGTTTGTGAGTTGTTGATTGAGTGGTGCATTGTTAGCTATGAAAATATAGGTTTCTTTTTATGATTTATACGTTTACAAAGGGTGGATAGTATATCGTTCACAGTTGATTAGATCTAGATTTGATGACTGGCCAGGCAGACTGTCTGGTAGTTTCTATTCTAATATGGCAATTAAACACAGATACCGTGGTGACAGCAAGACAAACAAATGCAAGAAAATGGTATCCAAAAAGCGAAAAAGACAAAACAAGAAACTATGCAATGACATCAATGTCCACCGGTACAGGAAAAGAAGAGATCATTGGATATCTGAAATAATTGTAAGATGACCTGCACCGATGGAACACCGAGAAACCAAACCAAACCCAGCCACGACACCGATAATATGCAAATGTTGAAGCAATGTACAATCCAACTCTAGAACAAAAGACACGCTGATCGTATCACATCACTAATGGGCATGCTCGATCTCATCTTCCTCGCCGGGGAGGAGAAGCTCATGCCCAGAGCCTTCGTAGACGAAGATGGCAGCCACACAGCCAAACACGGAGACCAAGGCAATCAACCACCAAGCAAAGCCGACCATGCCGATATCCAGACCATAACCATACCAGGCACCTGAGAAGATAGGGCCAATGGTTCGGAAGGCGGAGGAGACTGACTGGCCGATGCCGTGGATTGTACCGAGGACCGAGGGATGTGGCGAGCAGTTGTTCAGCAGGATGATCGAGGTTGGGAGGGTGAATGTTCGGGCGGTGACCTGGAAGAAAAGAACGATGATAATCCAGAACCAAACCCAGGGACCGTTGGCTTGGCCAGGTGGGGGGATGGAGGAGGGAGCCAGAGAGATGTATGGCGCAATGAAATATGCAACCGGGAAGAGAGAGAGGAAGTATTGGTAGCTCTTGGCTGTGCCCAGGCGGCCGTTGATGGAAGGGTAGATGGTGAACTGAAGGAACATGCCAATCACACCCAGGATGGCAGTCGCAAAGCCGACACTCTGCGGTAGCATACCCAGTCCTCCAGTGAAGATGAAAGGTAGGCTTTGGGCGGGGCTGGCAGGGTCATTGGCATCGTAGCGAGGAGTAGACAGGAATAGGAGCCAGAGGTTGTTGAAGGCACCCATTTGGAAGTCGAAGAAAGCCTGTGCTCCGAGTGTACACAAGACGTTCTTAGTCCAGATTCGGCGGAAAGGCAACACACGTTGGAGGCGGACAGGCTTGTGTGCCTTTTCTTCAAGCTCGTAGCTTTCCGCGCGTTCCAGGCCACGGCCCAACAGAGGTCCGTCCTCATCATAGTCGCGGAACGGAAGTCGTGTGTACAAGGTCGAGGAGGAGGGAACGACAGTCTTCACACTGCGCGCAAAGAGCTTCATGGCAAATGAGCCCAGACCGGGCTTGCCCTTGCAGGATAGGAGGGTCTCCTCCAGTCCATATGCCACGAGGGCAGCAGTGCAGGAGAGGAAGCAGAAGTTGGCGAACATAGGAAGTGCGTAGGGGTACTTCTCTAGCCACTGCACACCATTCTCACCTCCGAAAGACGAATTGGGACCGAAGAGACGGGGATAGCTCTTGACGGGATCGGCCAACATGCCACCCATGACTGCGAAACCGTTAGCACCATGTTGCAATTGTATCGAACAAGAAACTCACCAGGGCCAAACAACGAGGCCACATTAAATCCAATAGGCAGAATCAAGAAAGCACGCGAGTGGTACTTCTTCTCCTTGACATTCTCGGCAATCATAGTCCGAATGATACCGACAGTACCGTTGATAGCACCACCAAACGAGCGCCAGAACACAGCCTGCGCGAATGACGTCGAATAGGCAACACCCAAACACGACACAGCAGTGCCAACCAGACCAACAAGCAGAACGAACTTCCGACCACCCCATTCGGCATCAGCAACCCGACCCCAGGGAATAGCCGTCGCAAACTGGGCGGCGGTAAATGCACCCTGGAGAATACCCGCCTGAGTCGCAACATCGGAGTCGGAGAGATTCTCATCAAAAGACTTGAGCTGATAAAACATGTACGCCTGCAACGATGCGACCTGCAAGAAATCAAAGACCCGACAGAGTCCCAGCAGCGCCAATTGACCCTTTCGCGGCAGTGACATCCACGTCACAGGCGCAGGCTTGACAGGAACAGCGGGAATTTCGGCCTCCTGGAGGGCCAGTACGGCGCCCTGACTGATAGAGCGACTGCGCACATGCTGGGCTTTGCGGTCACCACCCATATCCATCGAAGTGTTCCTTAGCATTGTATCATCGGCGGGATCGGAGTCGGGGGAGGAGGGGCCTTCTTCAACACTGGCGAGGGAGTGGTTGGACTCGCGGCGGCGGCGTTGCGGGTTCTCGGAGGATTCGCCGGGGGCGTGCGTTAGATAGCCACTCGACCAGGAAGTCGTACGCGCGTGGCGGGCATTCGTCTTCTGGTTCCTGGCCATGGAGGAATGCGTATGTAAGCCGGAGTAAAGCTGTGCCCCTTCTTGTATTTTTGGAGAAGTAGAAACAGTTACTGTGTAGAAGGGAGTTTAGACTAGTTAACTAACAGTTAACCCCAGGGCTGATCTGTAATTTACTCCTGATGACGTCCTGGCCCACATCTCCAGTCCACATTTATGCCTCTATACGGAGTACGAGGTACATAACTTAGTTCCCTTTGATAGTATAATTATCTCTTTTCTAACTATTATTCATTATCTGTTATTCACTACATACAAGTAGAGTATACATAGATACACTGTAGATACACAGTACACAGCTTGCGACGACATCTCCACAACACCCGAGCCCACCGTTCCCCCTGACCCGTGACTCGTCAGTCTCGCCCGTCTGACGACGGAAGTCTTGGCTTTTTTGACACTTTATAGTATACTTAGACTTATCCGCTGATTGACATGTACAATTTACTTGTACCTAATGAATACAATTTATCTGACGCAAACATCTGTAACAAATAAGCTCAAATCTGAAACACACACCAAACCATACCCAACAATTTCACAATTCCAATCTCAATTTCCGCTTCCACTCCAAACGTTAGTCTAGAGCGACAACAGTTGGCGCTAACAGAGTTAGCGTTTCAGCCCCAATCCACGTAAACGGCCACTGTAAAAAAAACATTGACATATACCGGCATTGTTTGTAGTACATTAGCGCCTAGGCATTCCTCACTTGTCTTAACCCTACAAGGCTCGCCAAGAGATGAGTTATGCATATGCCTAGTACTATATAAAACATAAATCCAATCCAATCCTGCGACTGGGGATAATGTATGGTAAAATATCCAGCTTCCGTTTTGATTTGTGATCGACGGTGATTTATCCGGAAGGGTAAGGGTACTGTAGATGATACATGTACCTTACTGTGTAATATTAATTACAATGTCCCGTGTAATTGTGTAGAGGGTGTAATTATTTTATCGATCTAACACGATTACATGGGGTACGCAGAACTGGGAACTGGGAACTGGGAGTTGCGAACTAAAGACCCTATCAAGTAACCAATACAAAATAGATGGAGGGAAATATCTGCACTCCGCCTCGGGGGTACGTATACTCACTGCGTAAGGGTCGGGTTGTCGGCTTTGTGTTATTTTCGGGATTACTTACCTGTAATGTAATGTACTGTGTATTAAGCACGGGTGAAGAGAACGGGCCCATGGACGGGTTCCTTGCGTGGCGCTGCGTGGGCTTCATACTGATCTGTATCTTCATCACCATGTGGATCTACATGCTTGGATCTACAGAGTTTGATTGATATAGATATTTGAAAGAATAGTAATAGAGACGTTTGTTGTCTTGGATATATCTATGTACATGTGAATGAAACCAACCGAGACCCAGGTATAAATGCAAGTAGATAACGCAAAAGAAAAAGAAAAAAGAGTGTGACAGCGAAATTGGGATAAGATTAATCCGCCCTCCTCTGTGAACCCTCCCGGAGTGGGAAATAGTGAGAAGGTTCACCCTCCGCGGTCCACCTGCGCCAATTCCACCAGGGAAGATCAGTGGCCCGAACGGGGGGTTCTTTCCGCTCAGCCATACCATTCAACGGCTCAGAGGATTCCTGGTCCCGCAGGTGGTCGAGCTGATGTTTATTAAAATAGCGATATGCAAAGTAGATACCAGCAAGGAAGGGGATCGCCACGAGACAGACACCGCCCCAGGCGAGTAATCGGCCCATGTTCCACCCGTTCGAGTAGGCCATTGTGGCTGATTTGTGTGGGTAGTCCGAGGGATGTGTCCAGATATTGGAGCCTGGGTTGTCGGGGTCGATCCAGGGGACTGTGTTGACGCCTACGGGCGGAATGAAAGGCTGGGCGGCTTCTTCGCCTGGGAATCCGTAGCCGGGGGCATCGAGGCAGGTAGAGTCTGCGCAAAATTCGCGCAGTTCGGAGGAGGGAACGAAGGTGTATTTTGTTTCAGATTTGCCTAGGACTTTGCCTTCGCTGTCGATGCCTTCGACTTTGGACCAGAGGTAGAAGCTGGCGTTTGTGTATTCGGTTTCAAAGCCGGTTTTGTTGACCTGGTCCAGCAAGGTCCATGGCCCGGTCATGTTCATTGCGCCGTAGAATCGCCATGATTTGACGAGGGTTGCGCCGTTCCAGCTGACGTAGAAGCTTGTTGGGGAGATTGGTTCTGCAGTGCGAGAATACGACCATAGAGCTGGTGAGTCGGTTGGCATACCGTTCCATTCGAACTTCATGGCGCGGTAGTTCATAACAGTGTCTTTGGCGAATGCACCCCAGAACAGCAAGTTGCCTGCTTCATCATGCTCGGAAACAAATGGATTGTTGCCCCATCCGATAAAAACATTTCTATTCGGTAGCATCTGCAGGTTTCCCTGACTCGAGCTAACCAAGTCATTTCGGATGGGCGCATAATCACGAAGCTGGAGCGCCGTATTTTCCACATGGTCAAGTAAGACAATCATACCAGCTGAATAAGTATGAGTCTTGTTGAAGCCATTGTAGCCATTGTTATAAAGCGAGACAACAGAGTGTGTGGCGTTTTCGAATAACCACCGCGCATCGTGCTGCTGCGAGAAGCTAAAGTTGATATTTTTGAATGTCGGCTGCGCACCATGCAGTCTCCAAAGAACCGAACCGTCTTTTCCAGAAATCTTGTAGATGGCGCAGGTATGCCTCGACGAAATTAGATAGTCACCATCGGCGTTCTTGTCGATAGAGTTGATATGGAAGTAATCCCACGGTTCATGTACATTCAGTCCAGTACCAGAAGTATCCGTATGTGCAGGCCAAGTATAACTCATCGAAGGATCAACATGATCAAGCGAGCGCCACTCAAACAAGACCTTGTTAGTTTCGATATCAACTTCCTGAAATACACTCTCCATCAACCATCCAACACCGGTCTTGATGTTCCATGGAGTCATATCAAACTGGCGTTGTTGGTAGATAGTCATCAAAGCAGTCTTTCCATCATTGATGGGACGGAATTCGTGCATGTCACTTGAAGCCATTCCTCCACCGGGCTGCACAGATCGTACGACCCGGTATTGGTTATCCATGATGATGCCATGACCACGACAATATCCTTTCTGTTGATTTCCCTGGAAGAAACATAGATGATCGGCGCCATTGTACTTGCACACGTGGATGCCGTGCGCATTACCAGGCCCTGAAATACCCCAGCCACTCCATACCAACTCCTGTCGCGTGAGTCAGCTCGGTGATCTGCATTCATCCCCGCAATCCAGGACCTACCCCTGTGGTGTCAAAAATATAAGGGCCGGGGTTTGCAAGTTCGTATGGTGTGATGAAGATGTAACCGGGGCTCAATTTATTCGGCTCGGACTTTTCTACCTTGAATACCGGAGGGTAGATATCGGGTCTCTGCGTTTATTTGTTAAAAAAAAAAAAAGGGCCTGAACGTGGCAGTCAGGGGCAGCTCACAGATTTGTAAAAGGAGGTTTCTTCCCCAAGCACGCGGTTAGCGCATAGCCACAGTAGAAGTAGCAGGAGCAGCGAGGGGGCAGCCCTCGCAGAGGACATGATAGAGGCGACCATAAGTCCTCATCCCCCGACAAATTAACAAATTAGAGACAAAGCGAGAGTGAAGTGACAAGAATGTTTATGCAAGGAGGTAGAGATAAAACATAAAAGTTGAATGTCCACCAAAGAGTGTACGAATCCCACTCCACCTGTCAATACTTGCGACAGTAAGTACTCCAGCCTGATTGGTCGATAGTAGTTTAAAGCCGACGGAAGGTGCTTAGTCAGTAGCTGTTCAGCCAACACGATTCAACGCCAAGATGCCCAGCAACTAACTAACTAACTTGCGGGGCTCGGTAGTTTAGACTGCTATTGTACTGTTATATCCTACTTTAAGTTGCAACTGTTCGCTTCCTACAGATATCTGTCGATCAACTCCCATCCAAACTCAGATCCCCCCTGATGCACATACACGTATTACTAAAACAAAATACAGGTAACCATTTCCCGACTCAAAAAGGCCACGTCATGGCCACTTAGTCCAACACGCTAAACCAGCCCCGAACACCCTAACTCCGAGGCGTACGTACCCCATAAGGAGATCCGATCTAAACAGAAACAGCCTCAAACATCTCAAACAAAAGACTTCTAAAGATAACTCAGCGGACGAACGATGCCCCCACCAGTTCAAAGTCAAGCCAAGCCAAAACTGTCCGGATGTACTCCGTCGCAATTACTCAATACGCATGTAATGTTTCTTTTCCGGCTAGTGACACCTAAATCTGGATGCTGCTGCAGATGTGACGGGCCCGATAGAGACTGGCCACGTGCATGTGGCTGAGAAGAGGCATCACCTCTTACGTATCCCACAGATCTGGTGGCTTGGGCTTTGTCAAATGCATGTGTGCTTCGTCAGGGTGAACGTCTTATATCAAGGTCTTGGAGCCGATAGCCGATTATTGAGGAATTGAATTAATAGTTATTTATGGTGATGATTTGATGTGTTCGTATCATACAATGTACGTACTGTAGTGTTCACAGCTCGGATGTTGAGCAACACTACAAGAATAACTTGACACACGAGGTACATGTATATGTACAACCATGATCAGTCTACACTCATACGATAACCCAATAAAACAATCAATCAAAATCTAGCAAAGCAACAGTAAAAGATAAGACCTCACCCTTCCCCTCCAACTCCAATAGCCGCGGGGATAACACATGCCCACTCGATTGGACATAACCAAGCGATGAATCTTTTGGCTAGATTGCAAGTATGCAACCTATTTCCAAGTTTTCATGAGAGACATGCAAATACACATACAGATGCACATGCACCACACATGTCACAGCAAACCGGAGAATAGAACAGCATGCACCATCCAGCATCCACAACCCAGCCCAGAATGCAGCCGCCATCTCCGATGATCACAGGGAACAATGCGCAAATATATTTTAAACTTGATCACAGTATATGTAAAACGT